GCACTGAGAAAAGCAACACCAGCACGCACACACACACCCTTCCCAGCCCCTAGCCAAGACCCAATGGGAGCACGCACTGAGAAAAGCAACACCAAAACGTGATTGCATTGTCGGCTGTACGAGGCGCTGCATCCAGGCATAGATTTTGATTTTCACCGCCGCTGCGATGCACACTTCGCATCGCTCTCGTTGGAAAGGACGTGATCTCGACGCTCATTGCGGGCTTACCGAGATATCGTTGGCTCAACAGCCAAGCCGAGATGGAAGGGGCACCGCGTCACCTTGTAGTGCCTTTCTCAAAGAGGTGGAGATGGTATCGTATTCGCGCTCCTCATGTCTGCTCGCAGTGCCAGTCGAAACTCTCTGCTGTCGATCACGCTTCCCCCATTTCGGGCTTCGGTCTCCCCATCTCCCACCCCAACACCTTCCTTACCGCCTCCTCGCACCAGGTCTTCCCTCCAGCCCCTTTGAGACCACAGATTCCTTCTTCGCCACCCTCTTCCCACCTCTCCCCCTCCCCGCCTTGACCACGCGGCTTCCACCATCCGACCAAGGATCCCCCCTCCCTCGCCCATCGCACAATCTCGTCGCGCTGCACGCTGCCCCACCCAGGAGCGTCGAGACGGAGAGCCCAGAAGGAGCTCAGCACCGCCGTAGGGCGTGAGGAGAGGGCGGAGCGACGCGACTCCTCGATACGTTGTAGCGCCTCGTAGATCGGGGAGGAAAGACCGGAGGAGGCATCCTGTCGCCAGGCGAGGCTGGTCAGTCGTTCTGCGGGGCTCTTGGCTCCCGTCAGACTCCAAGGGAACAGAGGGCCCAGCAGAGCGGGTAGTACGTCTCTCCGCGCTAGTCCAAACAGGGTGCTGTGCCCCGGTGCATTATGCCCCACGCGCAGAGAGGGTGCCACGTCATTGCCGTAGAAGGAGTGAGCCGTCTGCGCGTCGATGAGAATTTGGGAGTGGAGTCGCTCCGCCGGGAGGTGGGAGCGAAACATGTCGCAGAACAAGGCGCCTGAGCCAAGGCAGATGAGGGAGAGGTTGCCCTTGAGGTCTAGCGTGTCTAGGGCGTGGAGGAGGGCGAGCGCGGCAAGGTCCAGGCGAGGCTGCGCCGCGCCAACGTTGGAGCTGGGTAGATCACTGGAGCCTACGCCGGGCGGGTCGAACCACACGGCTCGGCGCAGGGCGAGGTGACCGTCTCCCGTGCCGTTTGGATTGTGGGCGGGTAGGTGAGCGGTGCGACGTACCATGTGGCGCAGCCAGCGTGAGGCGGCGCGACCGGGTGTGGCGGTGTGGAGCGGGGGGAAGAAGAGGGCTGTGAGAGGCTCGGTGGAGTTAGAGTCGGAGTCGGAGTCGAAGTCGAGAGGCGTTAGGTCGCTGCTGTTTCTCCTCTTTGGCGCATTCTCCACGCCCAGGTGGAGCCGGAAGGGCGGGATGGACCGCAGAGAAGAAACGGTGTCGCCGCGTAGGGACTCGAGGTATCGAGACTGGGAGAGGTCCACCCACACTCTTCTCTCCTGCTCGTCTAGCACGCTCAGATCGATTGGTCCCTCTGGCGCCCTTTGTGCGAGCCCGTCCAGCACAAGATTGCCCAGCAACAGGGCGAGGCCGATGCAGAGTAGCGTGGAGAGGGACGTATGAAGCCAAGAGCGGGCGCGAGACCGCGGCCGATGAGTCGACGCAATGACCGTCTCGACGCTCGCGTCCTCCACGGGGGCACTCTTTCCTGCCCTCGACCAGGGCAGGCTGAGCAGCAAGACGCCCAGCGAGGGGAGGAATGTGCTCGCCAGCCCGCTGGCACGATGCTCTGCGGCTGCGACTCCGGCTACTCCCAGCGCGACGACGAGCGCCAGGCTTGCCTGATGAAGTAGTGAGGCAAGCCCGCTTCGCTTGGTGGTCTCTTGGCTGAATAGGGAAGGTAGCACGCATAGCAGGGCAATGAGGTGGAGGTTGAAGCAGAGTAGAAGGGCGGGGCTGTTGGCTTTGATCGGGAGAGGGAGGTGTAACGGGGCGATTGGTTGGAGGAGAAGGGAGAGGAAGAGGTAGAGTGTTGTGAAGAGACTGAGCGCACATAAGGGGGATGAAGGCTTAGTGTGCATTGTAAGTCTGGTGTCGCTCTCAATCGACTCACTTTACGAAGAGAAGCAGAATCCCAAGCGTGAAGCCAGCTTTGCTTCTCTTGCTGAGACGCTCTCCTGAATCCGGATCGGGATTCGTCGAGTGGCGTGCCCGACCAGTCCGCCTCGCTCCACGTCTCTCCTCCTGCTGTGCAGCCAGGAGGGCCGTACGTTCTGAGATGTCGTCGCGAATCCTAGCGCCGCTTTGTTCCGGCATTGTGATGATGTAGTATGGGGGCTATTGCCCACCCAGCGTGATGGTGAGCGGGGTCGTGGTGTTGGTTGGGACGTCAGGATGCGCCCACTCGCGGCTCGTCAGCTGCACGCTCGCACCCACGCCCGCACGCAGGGGCCAAGTCAATTACCATTTCCGACTGAGTCGGCCCGCCTCGCCCGGCGCCTCACTCCGACCTGCGTCTCCGTCTCCGTTTCCGCCCTGCCAAAAAGTCGAGAGGAATGCCGATGCCACTCCCGCCTCGCCTCATCACCACTATCTTTCCTCCCTTCCACTCGACTCCGCCCTTCACCACTTTTCCCCCTCCCCTCCTCTTCACACGCATGTCCTCCCACTTCTACGCGCACAGTGCCCACCTCCTCCTGCTGGCCTTGGAGCGCAGATCATCCCTGAAGAGCATCGTAGCGCGGGAGTGTCCTCTCTCCTCCGCCTCCTCCTCCCACTCCTCCTCCTCCTCGTTCTCGCAGTCAAGAACGTACACCCTCGCAGAGCAAAAACGCTACCTCGCTACGCTGATCAATCTCCTCGCCTGGCGCGGGCCGCTGGAGATCGTCGTGGTGCAGAGCGGGGTAGAGGGGGAGAAGGAGCTGGGCAAGGCGCTAGGACAGGCGTGGAAGAGGTACGAGGGCTCGGGCTCTACCAAGCAGAAGCATAAGCAGACGGCGGCGTGTCATGCCCTCCTCCTGTTGCTGGTCCACGACATGCTCTGCTCCCGCACGAAACGCATTGCAGCTTCCCCCGCTTGGCCACCACATCGAGCCTTATTGCCCCATAGGGCACGATTGCAGGCCGAGCTGGTTAGGCTGCAGGTCGCAAAGGGGAAGGGAAGGATGGAAGAGTTGAGAAGTGATTGGCGAGAGGAGGTAGAGGGGGATAAGTGGGTGAGAGGAAGGTGGGTGAGGGTGAATGCCCGCAACGCGAGTATGAACGAAATGCTTGATTGGCTGCGGTCACGAGGCTATTCCCAGGCTCAAGGCGACTCGTTCCCCGAGTCGGGGAGACAATTTCTCGTCCCATCGAGGGGTTCGCATCCGGAAAATCTGCTTCTCCTCCCACTCTCTGCCACGCCCGACCTCTTATCCAGCGCGCTCTACAAGGAGGGCAAGGTGATCCTGCAAGACGCGGCGAGTTGCTGGCCTGCGCACCTCCTCCTGCACAACAGCGCAACCCCTCCCATGCACGTCCTGGACGCAACGGCTGCCCCAGGGAACAAGACCAGTCATCTTTCTGCGCTCCTCTCCTCGCGACCCTCCTCTTCCTCCCCACAAGCAGCACGCATAACAGCCCTCGAGCGCGATCCGCAACGTTTCCGCACCCTGACTGCCCAGCTCAAACGTTTCGCCTGTCTGCGGCCCGGCGCCGGGATGGTCACTCCCCTCCAAGCGGACTTCTTGAGCTTAGACCCCTCCTCTTCGAACCCATCCGCAAGAGAGGTGGCGCTAAGGGACGTCACGCACATGTTGCTGGACCCTTCGTGTTCGGGCAGCGGGATCACGGGGAGATTGGACTGGTTGACCGCGACGGCCACAGAGGAGCAGGACGAAGGGGAGACAGAAGTTGACGAAGCGCACGAAGAAGGGATGGGAGGGGGAGAGGGAGAGGGGGAAGGCGAGTCTGGTCGACTCGAGAGACTGGCAGCCCTCCAGCTCAACATGATCTTGCACGCTTGGCGCTCCTACCCTTCGCTTGAGCGGGTCGTCTACTCGACTTGCTCAGTGCATCGGATTGAGGATGAGGAGGTGGTGAGGAAGGCGCTTGCTTCACCCGAGGCGAGGGGGAGGACCGCGCGGGGAAGAGAGTATAAGTGGGCGCTCGCGGAGAGGAGGGAATGTCTGCCGGGATGGCCTTGGCGTGGGGAGGAGGGGAAGGGGGAGGAGGCGGAGAGGATGATGCGCGCTTATCCTGCCGGGGAGATTGAGGATGCGTGCGAGGGGGAAGGGAAGCGCATCCACCTGCTACGGACCAACGGCTTCTTTGCTGCTTGTTTCGTCAAGAGGTGGGAGGACGAGGAGAGAGGGACGAAAGTGTCGCTCAATGAACGAGGGGAGAGTAGGAACGCCGAGGAGGGAGAGCAAGGAGGATCGACGAGCACCAGCTCGACGACGGCGGCTGAGCGAAAGAAGCGTAAGCGTCTACGCCAGAAGGCGAGCAGGGAGGCTAAGAGGGCAAGAGGGGAGGGCGAGGGCGAGGGCGGTGAGCCGAGAGGAGAGGAGAGTGAGGAAGAGGAGGAGCAGGAGGAGTGGAAGGGGTGCGCAGATTGAGTTGCTCGCCTCGCCGTGTCAACCTGATATTATTAGCATTAGCACGCCCGCGATTACAGCTTGGCAATCGTTTCCCCGTACGGCTGTCTGAGCACCTCGAGCTGTTGTGCATGTATGACCCTCTGCGAGCGACCGAGCGCGAAGGGTAGAACCCGTCTCTCATGTCAGCTTTTCTTTCCTCTCCCCCACTTCTGACAACCAACCCCCATCGCCTCTTCCCCAGCATCGCACTCACCTTATTCATCCCCCACACCCCGGCCTTACTCTTATGCGCCCAGCTCGCCGCCATCTCCACGCTCTTCGCTAAAACGTCGTTAGGCTCGGCGTCCGGCAGGTGGACGTCGACAAACCCAGCCTTAAGTGCTTCAGCTCCGGGGAAGCGCTCGCCCTGTAGTACGACGCGGGCCTTGTGCTGCGGGAGGTGGATACGGGTGGAGAGGGGAGCCCAGAGACCTGGGGGGATTTGGGCACCAAAGTCGATCTGATTGCGGCGTAGATGCGCGAGAGGACGATGTCAGCCATTATGGCTCGGTCTTTGCCTGGTCTATGTAGACCTCGCGACGCACCTCGTTCATGCAAAGATACCCCTTCTTGCCCATGACCGCCCCGTCACACGCGGCTGCCAGCCCGAAGCCCGCAGCAAAGGCGTGCCCGCCAATACTCGCCACGACGGGCACGGGGAAAGTGAGCAAGCTCTCGTACACTGGGAAGAGGTACCGGTCAAAGAACTCGGGGTCCCCAATCGCGCTCTCGAAGTCTAGGCCGTTGCTGAAAAACTTTGCCGTCTTCCCCTGCAGGGTGCCGGTGATCACCAGCCCTGCCCCGTGCGGCGTGCTGGACAGTACATTGTCCCACACCTCTTCTACGTGTTTGAGCGCGGAGTGGAGGGCGGTGAGGAATTGAGGAGTGAGACGATTATCCGGGGTTTGGGCGGAGAGGAGGGTGAGGACGAAGATGGGGGCTGGGGTGGAGGAGTGGTGCGTGAGGGAGAGGGAGACGAGATCGTCCGTACTGCCTGGGACGGTGGATTTGAAGCCGAGTGGGTAGCGAGAGGTGTCGAGGGACATGGCGCGGCGTGTGTTGGTCGTGGTGGGGAGGTGAGAATGAATGAAGCGCAGGCTAAGGCGGAGGCGGAGGCGTGGGAGCAGCGCATCCTCCGGCTCGTGAGTGTGGGAAGCCGGACTCGACTGGCCGGCCGGAGCCACGTGGACGTGCAGGAGGACGGAAGGGGGAGGGCTGCCTGCCTCACGGGCGGGCGGATAGAGATTTGCGTGGGAGAGGCGCGGTTCCAAGTAACTTTCTCGAGCTTCGCGAGTGTCCCATCCCATGATCCCAGCGCTTCGACGCTCCGCCTTCTTCCAACCACCTCTTCTTTCTCGGCACACTGCGCTCATTCGCTCTTTTACCATGGCTTCGTCTTCCTCTTGTCCAGCCCCTCGCCTGGCCACCCAATTCGCTCCACCGTCCAACGTCCCACGTCTCCCGCTCATCGAGTCGCACTTCGATCCCTCGGCTCCCTCTTCCTCCTCGTCGTCCACCTCGCGCCCCACGATCAGCACGACGCTGGAGGAAGTAAAGCCACACTTCGATCGCGTGGTCAACCTCGCCGCTCTGCGCGTCCCCGCCAGAGACGTGGGGAAGATTCGCACCCATCCAGACTCGGCCATCCAAGCGGCGCTGCTGCGTGTGCCGCGCGTCTCTCCCATCGTGAACGACGATGGGAACAAGGGTACAAAGCTCTTTCTTCTCAACGCGCCCAGTCTGGCTGACCTGTCCCAGTCGGTGAGGGGTTGGGCCGCCGACTCAGGCTACGAGATAGTCCCGCACTCCCTGCACCTGGGCTACGACTGGTTCTCAGCAGACGAGGTCCTCTCTTCCCTCCTCCCCGCTTCGCTCGACCCCTCCTCCTCATCGCCTGACGCGGCGGGCACCCCAACAGGCTACACCACTATAGGCCACATAGCTCATCTGAACCTGCGCCCGGAGTACGTCCCCTATCGCCACCTCATCGGATCGGTCATCCTCTCCAAGAACAGCCCACAGATCCGCACCGTGGTCAACAAGCTCGATTCCATCGATACAGAATTCCGCTTCTTTGCCATGGAGCTTCTCGCTGGTGCAGAGGAGTATCAAGTAGAACAGAGCGAGTCTGGCTGCTTATTCTGTTTCGATTTCCGCAAGGTGTACTTCAACTCTCGCCTGCACACGGAACACGCTCGCGTCTGGTCACAACTGGATAAGGGAGCAGTCGTGGCTGACGTTATGGCTGGTGTGGGGCCTTTTGCCATCCCAGCGGCAAAGAATAGGGGTTGTCGCGTGTACGCCAACGATTTGAACCCGCACTGCTACGAGGCGCTCATTACCAATGCGAAACGCAATAGGGTTGAGGGCGGGGTGCACTCCTCGTGTGAGGACGGGCGCGCTTTTATACGGAGCGTGACGGTGAGGGCGTTCAGAAGGGAGATTGGAGAGGAGTGGCAGGGTGGGGTCAGTCGCACCAAGATGGAGAAGGCAAGACGGAATGGAGCTACGCCGGGCATCACGCCGACACTGCTGGCTCCGCCGAGTCGGTTGGTACAGCACTTCCTCATGAATTTGCCCGCCACGGCACTCGAGTTTCTCGACGCCTTTCGCGGGCTGTACACACGGCTCGCAGAAGAGGTGGGGAGGGAAGCGCTTCAGGCCGAGATTGAGTCAGCCGGGGCGGAGGGGCAAGCAGGGCCGTGGGTTCACGTTCACACCTTTACGAAAGATATGGAGGATCCGGCGAGGGACATCCTTGCGCGGGCAAACGGGGCTTTGGGTCTCGCGGAGGGGAGTGAGGGGAGATTGAGGATCGCAGAGGAGGGCGAGGGAGGAGCACGCCTCCACTGGGTGAGGAAGGTGGCCCCAAATAAGGACATGTACTGTTTGGAGTTTAGGGTACCGGGAGAGGTGCTCTGGGCCTGAGGCGTGAGTAGAGCGTGGAGGGGCAATGGTCTACCGTCGCAATTTGATATCCTATAGAAGACCACGCAGCGCACTCCCACCCGCACTCACGCTCGCACTCGCCTGAGATTTGACTGAGATCCGATTGCCGATAAGGGGCAGGGCTCTGCTGCCCTTTCATGAGCCAGAGTCAGATCCAAATCCAAGGCCAAGCCCATGGCGATGGCTAGACCCTACGACTCGCCGAGCTGATCTGCTCGCCCTCCTCCTTCTTCGTTTGCACAGCATGTCCTCCTTTTCACTCCCTCTCTCCCCGTTCGCTCCCCCATCCATCGCCTTGCCCCCCCCTTCCACTACATCCCACCCCTCTCACGCCTGCCTATCGCCTCTTCTTACCCGCGCCCACGGGGCTCTTACGCCCCTCATCTCCACTCCCACCCGCCACTGCCTTCTTGCTCCTCAAGTGCGACTCAGGAATCCAGCTCTCATCGTATCCCTTCCCGTTCCCTCCCATCGCCACACCCGTCGGTGCGCCCGTCGGGGGTCCCGCGCTCGTCCTGGTAGACCCGCTCTTCTTCCTCCCCTTGCCCTTCTTGGGCTCAGGGAAGTACATCTCCCTCGCCAACCAGGCCCCGCCTGCGAGAAGGGCAAGCCCGAAGACGTACAGGCTGAGCGTTTGGAGGTCGAACCAACTCTTCGGGGGCTCAATGACGGTCACTTTTCCAGTGTATGCGAGGACGTTGTGCTTCTTGCTGGTCTGACCATCCCGTACCACCAGACGGAACTCTACTCCCAAGTCCTGCGGCTTGAATTCGGGGTAGAAATCGTAGGGGACCTCCAAGGGCTTGCCGCTGAGGGTCTTGAACTTCTTTTCCGTCTTGAAGGTGGTAGTGGTCATGTTGCGGAGGACGCGACCGCGTTGTCCGTCTGATTTGGCCGGGTTGAGGAACGCGCCGCTGATGGAGAGGAGGGAGAGGACACGGTCCTGGGAGGGTGGTTGGGTGAGGTGGAAGACGACGCGGTTGGGCTGGCCGTTTGATACGAGGGACAAGGGGTTGTTGGGGAAGGTGGTTGTAACTTTGACCTCGCTGCGGTGGGGCGAGAAGGGGGAGGCGAGGTCAGACTGGGCGATGCGAGGGAGATCTCGTGGTGCTCACGGCGTGTCGTCCGCTTGCCCTACGACGAGAGTGGCCGCCGTGGCGACGAGGAGTGTCGCGATTGTCGAGAAGAAGCGCATCGTGACGAGGAGGAGGAGGAGATGCGAATGAAAGCAAAAGAAGCAAGAAGACAGCGCAGCGCGACGGACAGACAGACGGACGGACAACAGATGGCCGTGCGCGCCTCGATGCGGCCCAGCCACACGGTCCGCGCTGGCCTGGCCCAGACCGCGTGGAATCCGCCCCCCGAGCCGCGTGGACTTGACCCACTCGCCACGGCTACGATGCTATCATGGCAATGGTATCAATTCCCCACCCACCTCTCGCCCCTACAGCTTTGCCCCCCACCAAGGCCACTCGACTCCCCTCCTCAATCTCTCCAGTCCTCCCTGCCCAAACCGCGCCTTCCTCTTCTGCATAAAACTCTCCACTCCCTCCCTCGCATCCCCTTCCCTCGCACACCACGCAAGCCAATAGCTGTCCCGTTCGTGCACCTCCTCGAGGCCGCGCGTGAGTTGGCCTCCTGGAGCGGAGCCGGGACGATGCAGTTGAGATTTGATTAGGGCTGTACTGAGAAGGGAGTTGGACTGGGAGAGGTGGGTTGCAAGCGAGAGGGAGGTGGGGAGGACTTCTGGAGGGGGTAAGATGGAGTGCCAGAGGGAGGCGAGCCAGGGGGAGCTCGGCGTTACGAGGTCGCCGGTGAGGAGGAGTTTAGAAGCGTCTTATCATTTCCAAGGGGGTGGGGGGTCGGTCAGGGGAGGAGAGGTGAGTTTCACGCCTGTCTACTCCATACTCGGGCGGTCCCTCGTACTCACTTGACCATCCAACGAGCCTGGGGAGCAGATAGCTACTCAGCGCATCGCACGGGATGCCCCGCTTGACGAAGGGGGTGCCCAGTTTGGCCCTATCGACAGCACAAGAGCACGAGTGAGGGGACAAAAAAAGCATCAATCGATCAGCGCCGCGCTCTGTGTCCTCTTCCCCTCCTTCCGGACGTTGCCCACACGTACCCCTCAGCCACAATCCTCAAATCCGCGGCAAAGCACATGGTCAATCCAATCCCCACGGCGTTCCCCTGTATTGCCGCAATGATCAGCTTGGCGCAATTGAGCATAGCGAGGACCACCTGCCCGCCTCCATCCCTGTGCTCCTCTAGGGGGCGGGTTGGGTCCACCCCGAAGCCTGAGGTGGAAAGGTCCGCCCCAGCACAGAATGACTTGCCCGCGCCTGTGAGGACGACACATTTGACTCGGTCGTCGTGGTGGGCGAGAAGAAAGGCGTGGACGAGTGAGTCCTTCATCTGGCCAGTGAAGGCATTGTGCTGCGAAGGTCGATTGAGGGTTATGAGGAGGAGGCCATCCGCGTCTAGGCGCACGAGGATGTGCTCCCATGCGTGGCCCGAGTAGTCGAATTGGGAGGCTCCGGTGGGTGTGAGAGGGGCGTAGGGTGGGGATGACATGATTGCTGGAGAGGGCGGGAAGCAGAACAAGAGACAAGAGAGTGAGCAGAAGGGGATCCTGCTCGTAGGTACTTTCTGTGAATTGCCGGACTTTTGACTCAAGTTGTGTCCGCCCTGAATCAACCGCCCCGCCCCGCGCCATTGTCTGCGTGCACAGACCGCCCGCCCTTCAACGGCAACGGCGGCTTTGTTCTCCGCTCGATGGACTGCAACTCCTCTCCGTCTGCCTCTGCGCTTCGCAACCTCCAGTACAACCCAAACCTCTCTTCGATGCTCTCCGACTCATAGCATAGTCGTAGTTGCGCAGTGCAATACCGTGACGACGCCCAATGTTGTCCCCTTCCAGCTCTGCTGCTCGCGACGACGACCTGGCCGCAACGACGTCTGGCCTCGCCTCCAAACAGTCGGCGGCTACCTTGCCGCATGTGCAGAGGGCGACCGAGGGCAGGGAGGAGCTCAAGGTAGATGAGGACGCTGTCAGGCAGGACATCAGAGAGAGCGAGCCGCAAGGTGATGCGAGGGATGTAGAAGACGGGCTGGCGGGCAAAGAGGGGGAGAAGGTAGATGCTGATGCTGATGCTGCAGCTGATGCTCAGCCTTCACCACCAGCAAACGAGGAAGACGCCGATACGGGCGAGGGGGGTGAAGACACACCCTCGTCATCCTCTCCACCCGCCGTTGATCCAGCACCAGGGGCATCAACATCTACCCGCTCCCCGCGCTTCACGCGCTCCCCACCGCCCACTTCTTCGTCAACACGTCGTCCACGCCCACCTAGCCTCCTCTCCATCGCATCTCCCTCCAAAAAGGCCGCCCCAACAATGTCTGCAGTGACGCACGTCTCGCAGGTTGACCTCGACGCCGACGAGGATGAGGATGACACGGCGAGTCAGGCCTCCACCTCCTCCTCCTCGCCGCCCGAACCCTCCCTAAAATACCAACGTCTACGCGGCTCCATCCCGGACATCCTGAAAAAGGACAGCGCCTCGTGCCTAGCGGTCCATTCCACCTTCCTCGTCCTCGGCACGCACGCGGGAATGATCTTCGTCCTCGACTTCACAGGGCATATAGTCAAGGCGATGCGAAATCACTCTGCCTCCATCCTCGACCTTAGCGTGGATGCCTCCTCGTCGGGGGCAGGAGGGGGAGGTGGCGAATTCGTAGGAGCAGCAAGTATGGATGGGCACGTCTCCCTCTCTTCCCTCTCCACGAGCGAGAACTATAGCTTCGACTTCCGTCGTCCCATGCGATGCGTGGCCCTCGAGCCGGGCTTTGCACGTCGGACGTCCTCCCGCGCCTTTCTGTGTGGGGGGATGGCGGGTTCCGTCGTGTTGAGGGAGAAGGGGTGGATGGGAATGGGACACAGTAAGGAGTCGATCCTCCATTCAGGCGAAGGACCTGTACGGGCTGTTAGGTGGAGCAAGGGGGGATTGGTGGCCTGGGCCAATGAGAGGGGGGTGCGCATATTTGATTTCAACACGAGGACCAAGCTGGCCTTCCTGCCAGCTCCGACTGGGCAGGGCGAGAGATTAGAGATGTGTCGCCCGCACTTGTGGTGGAGGGATGATAGACATCTCGTCGTCGGGTGGGCGGATCAGATCAAGTTGGTCAATATCACCGAGAAGCGCACCACGGGGTCATCCGGCGCGAATCCGAGCGCGAACGCGAACGCGAACGCTTCGTTGCACGTTGAAGTCAGCAAGATCTTCCAGCTCGACTGCCATATAAGCGGTGTCGCCCCCTATGGGGAGGATCTCCTCGTCCTCGCATACATCACCGAGAGCGAGAGCGAGAGCGACGAAGGCAGCGAAGATGAGGAGGAGGAAGAGGAGGAGGAGGAAGAGCCACGACAACGCAGCAGCAGGGATAAGGGCAGTCGCAGTCGCGGAAGAGGCAGACCCCTAGCCTCTCCCCCCGAGCTACGCATCATATCCCCTCACACGGGCGAGGAGAAGAGCAGCGACGTCCTCACCTCCCTCAAAGGGTACGATCGTCTAAGCGCAATGGACTATCAGCTCGTCCCCTCCGCCTCGCTCCTCCGCACCGCGCAGAGTCGCCTCTCAAAACAGCCTCTCAGCAGCGTTGACTCCAACTCCGATTCCGACTCGCAATCCCTGTGGTACATCCTCACGCCGCACGAGATCGTCCAAGCTCGACCGCGCTCCACGGCGGACCATGTCACCTGGCTCTTGGAGCGGCGCAAGTACCAGGAAGCCCTAGTGGCCGTCGAAACCATGGGCTCCTCTGCCGCGCGGGAGGCGGGATTCGATACCAAGTCAATTGGCCAGGCCTATCTCTCCTACCTCGTCGACGAGAGAGCCGATTACCCTCGTGCGGCTCGGGTGAGCTCGAAGATCCTTGGCCGGGATGCGGAGAGGTGGGAGGAATGGATTTTCCTCTTTCTAGAGAGGGGAAGGATCGCAGACCTAGTCGAGTGGGTTCCTACGGATGATCCGAGGTTGGGGGCTGTGGTGTATGATTTGATTTTGGCTCACTTCCTCGCTGAGGAAGGGGAACGAGGGCGATTGCTGCACCTGGTGAGGGAGTGGGACCCGGAGATCTACTCGACGGAGCCACTCGCTATTGCTATGCAGGATCGACTGCGTGAGGGGGAGTGGGAGGATGAGAAGGAGGGGCAGAGGGCTCTGCTTGAGACTCTTGCGGAGCTTTACGTGCGTAATGGGCAGGCGGGGAGGAGCTTGCCGTATTACCTGAGGTTGAAATGGCCGGGAGTGTTCGACCTTATCAGGGAGCATAATCTTGTCCTCGATATACGCGATCAGGCGGGCGAGCTCGTCGAGTTTGAGGAAAGCCTGCCTCGCGACTCGACGGGAGATGGGGACGGGGAAGGTGGCGACGCAAAGCAAGAGGAGAAGGCCCCTCCAACCACCAGTTCATCACGAACACCGCGCTCCATCTCTCTTTTGGTGGACAATCTCCCCTCGCTCCCACCCGCACGCATAGTCCCGCAACTCAACCCCCACCCAGCGGCGCTACACGGCTACCTCTCCTGCCTCTCCACCCTCGACCCGCACCTCGCAGCACCCTATGCGGACCACCTCGTCACCCTCCACGCTCGCTTCAACCCCCCTGCCCTCCTCCCCTTCCTGCGCAGCATGTCCTCACACTACTCCTTCTCCCAGGCCTACGCCACATGCCAACGCCACGATCTGGTCCCGGAGATGGTCTTCCTCCTCGGTCGCACGGGACAGAACAAGGAAGCGCTAAACTTGATCTTGGAGCGACTGGACGATGTACAGCTGGCTATTGGGTTTGCGCAGGAGCAAGACGATCCGGATCTTTGGGAGGATCTGCTGCGTTATGCTGAGACGCGGCCGGTGTTTGTGAGGGGTTTGTTGGAGAACGTAGGAGGGGGAGGAGGGGGAGGAGCAGGTGTTGGTGGTGGCAGGGGAGTGGATCCTGTGCGTCTGATCAGGAGGATTGCGACGGGGATGGAGATCGAGGGGTTGAGAGGTGCGCTGAGGAAGATTTTGGGAGATTATCAATTGCAGAGCAGTCTGTTGGAGGGTTGCAAGGGGATCCTGGAGGGGGAGGCGAGGCAGCTCGAGAGGGTGAGGGCTGAGGGGCAGACGCGGGGCGTGGGCGTGGGCGTGGGCACAGGACGTTGTCTTGCTTGCGGGGAGGGGCTCACGAACAAAAAGCAAGCAGGAGGGACGATCAGAGTGGAGGAGCAGGGGCGAGACGAGGCAGAGAGGACGACGGTCGTCTTTCTCTGTCGACACGCTTACCACCTCAGCTGTCTCCTGCCTCCCGCGAATCTGCCCCGACGAGGAGCAACAAAGCCTTCTCCCGCTCTCGGTCCCGCTCAAGTCAACACGACGACTACACAACGCAAATCAGCGCGGCGGGCAGCTGTGGTCATGGGCGGCTCTGGCGAAGGGGAGAAGGGGCTTAGCGAGCGCGAGGCGGAAGGGTGGGGCCCTGCGGTACGATGGGCTGCTCAGCGGGAAGCCTGGGAGGACAAGGGCAGGTATGCGGCCAGATTGAGGGTGCCTATTGTGCGCGGCAAGGGGAAGGGATGTCCGGCTTGTCATGGTAGTTCGGGCGCAGCGGAGGGGATGACGACCATGTTGCGATGAAAGGCGGTGTGAATGCGATGATTGGTCTTTTTGAATTTTATCATCCATCCCTTCATTCGTCGCGTGTACCATCTAGACGGCCCTCGATCAGCCGTAGTTGAGGCGGAAGAGGTCGTTGAAGACGTAGTACGACCCAGCTCCGTCCGGGTTGAGGATAAACGTCTGGCGAGGGACGATGTCGCGAGGTCAGGGGATATATCGATGAGCACTTTCGCGCCCCCATTGCCTCCCTGCGCACTGCGCACTCACCTGACTGAAATTCAATGGCTGCTGCTGATCATCGACCAGCAGCTGTCCCGTCACGGCGACAACGAGGGAGTTACCATCGCCCGTGGGCTGACAGTCCCTCGTGGACACCTGGTGCTTGACCGTCTGGAAGGGAAGGGAGGAGAGCTTCTCGACGATGGCGTCCTGGCCTTGGGTTTGGGCGCCCTCGAATGTGAGCATCGAAGTGGGGCGCTGTGCGTGCGGAGGAAGGCAAGGGTAGGGTGATTCAGTGAGAACGAGAGGTAGAGGGAGAGAACAGGGGCCATGGCACGCACGTAGAGGGGGCCCAATCCGGAGCGATTGGTATCGAACGTCGTGTAGTAGTAGTCGGTGAACTGCGCGTGCGAGTGGGTGGTGGTGCATTCAATGTGTCGATGAGCTTTACACTGCCCTTTGCATCGCCCTCCCGTCTCGCGCACTCACCGACTGCGCAATTGCCTCCATCTTGTCTTTGTTGGTATCGGGTGTGGAGAGGAAGAGAAGGGCAAAAGTGTTGCTTCGACTTGTGCTGCATCCATTGCCGTCCAGTCGAGCTGCTTCGTCCCTCGACGTCAGGATCCGCGCATAGCCACGTGGTTCGTCACAAGGGGGCGGGGCGCACGGTTCAACACACGCCGCCAGCCACTTGGCTCGCTCTCAGCTCGGCGGGCCGGCATCGGATGGGCATTACATCGATGCACCTTTCCTCTCTTTCGATCCACATCACCACCACCACCACCACCACCACCTCACGCCCACCATGATCCTCCTCGAAGACTCAAACGCCCTCATCTCCTCCACCCTCACACAACGCTTCGCCGAGCCAGGCCCTATAGACCAGACATTTACCGACTTCGATGGTGTCTCTTACTATCTCGAGTCGTCCAAGAGTGGGCCCATCTCCCTCAGTATGGACATCCGCTGCTGGTCTCAGCTAGAGGAGCAGGGCGCCACAGAGGTGCTCAGGAGAGAGTATGGCGGGTTGCTTTGTGACAAGGCGAGGGAAGGGTATAGCGTCACGTTGGAGATTGGGTATGAGGGGGTACCGCCAGAGGGGGGTGAGTGAGCGAGCGAGTGAACGTAGAGGCAAGAGGCGAGAGAGAGAGTATATGCTGACGAAAAACGAAATATCCCCTCACACACCCAGCTGAGCGTCAAGCCCTCGTACATCGCCTCTCCCTCCTAAAGCGAAACGCAATGTCAGCCCCCTTTGAGCGGGCCTTTGCCCTCCAGTCCCAATTAGAGGCAGCCGCAGAGGACCCTTCGGCCGCCTCGTCGTCAGAGCCAGCGCCCCAAGTTATGACCATCGCCTACCGCGACGACGAGGCAATCTACATCGTCCCCGGTGCGGACCGCGTTACCGTCGTGTTTAGCACAACGTTCAAGGAGGAGGTGGACAAGATCTTCGGTCGCGTCTTCCTCCAGGAATTTGTCGATGCCAGACGACAGCCTAGCATTCAGAATGCGCCGCAGGTGCTGTATAGCAATCGGGAGCCTCCACTCGAGATTAGGGGGGTCAGCGGGTTGAGCAGGGGGGAAGATGTGGGATACGTGACATTTGGTGAGTGGGAGCCGGGGATGCGGGGAGAGATGGAGCACAGCGAGTATAGCGAAGGGAAGCTGATCACGACTGACTGACACTTCGTTGCGCCCACACGCACGCACGCCAGTCCTGTTCCCTCGCCACTTCCAAAACCCAGACGTAATGGCAGCAACCATCTCGCGCATCCAGCTATTCAGGGACTATCTTCATTACCACAGTGCGTTCGCCTGCCCTCTCCTTCTTCTCCCCTCCTTTGCCTCCCATACTAACACTCCTCATCCCCACCCACGCGCCTCCTTCTCTTCCCCCCCTCTGCCCTCCACCTCGCTCCTGCCTCGCAGTCAAATGCAGCAAAGCCTACATGCACTCCCGCATGAGGCATCGCGTTGCCGACTTCCTCAAGGTTTTGAACAGGGCCAAGCCAGAGAACCAGGGGGAGAAGGAGAGGAAGACGGTCAGTGGTAGGACGTTCAGGAGGGCGGCGTAATGCTGTGCGCTCCATGATGGAGTAGTTGTCAAAGGTGTGCCAATGGGAAGGTGTGCCAATGGGATCATGATTTCATTTCATTTCATCGATGAATTTGGAGTGAAAGCTGGGAAAAGGAGGGGGGCGAACGGACTAGTCCTCATCATCAAAGGGGCTCTTCTGATACTCCAAGTCCAGATCATCGCTATCTAGATCGTCGGCATCCGCATCATCGTCTTCCACCTCGTCGCCCAAATCCCCTCCTCCTCCTCCTCCTCCTTCTCCTCGCGCCCCTCCGAATCCAGCTCCAGACGAGGGGGAAGTGCCATCGTCACGTCGGCCCTGCTCGAGGATAGAGGCGATCGAGGCCGGCGGCGCTGCGTTGGATGAGGTAGCGGCTGTCGCGCCAAGAGCAGCCACACCTGCACCCGCACCCGCACCCATGCCTATTGCGCGGCCCTTGCCCGTATCCCTTGTCGACGCCTGCGGCTGTGCCTGGGTCTGAGGAGTCTGAGGAGCGCCGGCGCCGAAGAGCTTGATTGGCTGGTGTGGGGCAGGTTGAGGTTGAAATTGAGCTTGTTGTTGCTGCTGTTGCTGCTGTTGAGGGGTGGTCACACCCATGGTCCGACTCCACGGCTGGCTCACCTCTGCCGCGCCTGCGCCTACTCCTGGCTGCTGACCGTACCCGTACCCATACCCCTGCTGGCCCTGCCCCTGGCCCACGCCTGCCCCTCCTCTCGCACCTGGCGTCGTGGCCGGCCCCTTCCTCACCCTAGGCTGATACCGCAACGCATTAGGATCATACCGTGCACCAGGTGTGGGCGAGTCGCTCCACACCGCACTTCCTCCTCCTCCTCCCCCACTCCCACTCCCTCCGCCAACGCGCTCAGGATCTCGAGAGCGGGCTAAGGGGCCTTTACCCTCAAAAAGGGGGCCGACGCTGGATTTCAGGTCGGAAAAGAAGGAGGCGGCACCTCCCCCTCCACGACCTCCTCCCATCCCATGGTGCTGCTGCTGCTGCTGCTGTGATCCCCGCCCAGCGTAGCCACGTCTATTCTCCCTCGCCTGTGCCTCGCGCGCGTATCGCTCGTCCTCCTCCAGCGCCAGGCTACGCGCGAGGGCCTCGTCGCTGGATATGTGGGCGGCGGGGTCCGCAGCAGCACCAGACGGTGGTGAAGCAGTGGAGTCGGACATGCTCAGCAAAACATTCACGGCCGCCTCCTCATCCCCACCCTCTGCCGTAAGAACGGCGGAGATTGTGTCCGAGTCCAGACTGGGGAACATGCCCTTTACTGCTTTGATCTTGCCCGCAAGCTCCGCGTCCAAGCCCGCTGCTGCATCTGCGGTGGGCGTGGGCGTTGAGGTCGAGTTGAGCTGTGTAGCTGTAGATGGCTTTACGGGCGTCGCTGTTGTTTCTGGCGCTTTCGTCGTCGTCGTCGTCGTCGTCGTGGCTGAGGTCGGCATTGTGCTACTTGACATCGTTGCGGTTGGGAGGGTGGATTTGTTGCTCGACGTTGTCGGGGACTGAGAGCCGACTGAATTTGGAGAAAGGGTCGCGGGGGAATCGCCGCCTGCCTCTCCCTTGTTCCCCTTGGTGGTGGTGGTGGAATCCTCACCGCCATCCAGCGCGTCGCCTAGTGCGGCTAGGTCGAGATTCTGTGCGTCTGTCGCGGAGGAAGAGGAGGAGGACATGTCGTGGTCAAGGGTAAGTACGTGAGTCTGTGAGTAGGAAGGGGAGGGCAGGAGAGAGAGAGAGAGCGAGAGAGAAGAGAGACAAGGCACCGCCCGCTCAGTCAGTTGTGGTCCGCTGGTCCGCTTGGTTGCAGTCGCAGTCCACTTGGATCGCAATTCAAGTGGGTCTGTGCACGCACGCACGCACGCACTCGATTCGACTCGACTCGGCCCGATATTGATATGCTGTTTGCTGCGCAATTCTCCTCCCTTGCCCTCATCACGCCTCCAGCAGCATGCCCCGCCCCCCGCTCTACCTCGTCTTCAACCCTGCAGCAGGAGCAAACGTAGCGCAACAGCTCCTCCACTCGCATGTCGAGCCTTTACTGAAGGAGAAAGGCGTGCAAGTGGCGCGACGCTACGAGACGAAAGGGGCGGGGGATGACGAGCTCATTGGGCAGGAGATACGACGCAAGGTCCAGGCGAGCAGGGGAGCGAGTGCGGGGATAGACGTGCTACTTGTAGGAGGAGATGGCACGACACATGACGTCTTGCAGGGTCTACTCGCATCAGAGTCGCATAGCGCGAGGATCAGGCTCATCCTCGTGCCTGCGGGGACGGCCAATGCACTTTATGCGGCCATATACCCTCCAGAGACGTCGAAGAGGCATCGCAAGGACCCTCACGACAAGGACAGCGAGCATGCTTGGCGCTTACGCTCTCTACGCTCCTACCTTCGCGGCGAGCACGACGACGACGACGAGCACACCGGCGCTGGCGCGAATCTATACCCGCTCACGATCCAACGTACGATGCTGTTCCTCCCCTACGCAAAGGGAGAGATACACACCCGCACGCATATAGTCACATCTCACGCCCTTCACGCCGCCATCCTGCACGACAGCGAAGCGCTACGTTCCACCCACCCTGGGATAGAGAGATTCAAGATCGCCTCGGCACAGAATGCCGTCCGGTGGGTGGAGGGGCAACTTACCCTCAGAGAGAGGGGAGAACATGGCGTGCAGGTGTTCGATTCGAGGGAGAAGCGATTCGTCCCCTGTGTTGGGAAGAGGGTGCTGAGCGGCCCATTCTGGTACATGATCTGTCCTACGGTGGATCGCCTTGAACCTTCCTTCGTCCCCGCACCCTTCTCCTCGCCCTCGGCCAAGGGGCAGCACGATGAACTGGCCCGCCCGCCCAATGCGTTGGACCTCGTTCTCATCCGACCCCTGCGCGATCCCATCGTCCAGCGACACCTTCGTGGCGACCACGCCCGCGATGCAGCTCCTACTGCGTGGGATGACGAGACCTCACGGCCCGCTCGAGAGGCGTTCGCCAAGGCGCGGGCAGCTCAGCTCACGGCGGCCATGTACGCTGAAGGGCGACATGTGTACTTGCGCTACCCGTGCGGAGGAGATGCGGCTGACGATGAGCAGCTCACGGAAGACGGTGAGGGAGAAACAGTCGTGGAGTATTACAGGTGCTCGGGCTACGAGTGGTGCCCTGCACCTGCTTCGGAGCGCGCAGGGTTGACGTGCATGGATGGGACGGTTGTGCAAGCGGAGAGGACGGAGGTTGTTGTGCATGGTGGCAGAGAGAGTGCGGGGAGGGTGAGCGTCTGGATGTAGCGGGGCGAAACATTAGCATAGCGGTCACGGCGTCAGTCACGGCGCGGACATGTGGAAAGGGGGTTCAACGAATTCGAATTTCGTAGAGAGAGAAAAGAAGAGTGGGAGATAGTGAGGAGGCGGGATATTGGGGATGACTAAGGGAAGTGCAACATGAGAGAGACCAGGCTCGAGTCGCCTCGCCCCGCCACTTAGAGGACGGTGAGCACGCCGAAGGCGCCCATGGCAAGGGCACCGAAGACGGCGACACTCTGAGCCCAAGGGACGGAGAGGGCACCAGCGGCGTTACCGCCACCGCTCATGGTGTTGCCCGTGGCACCGGCAGCCTGAGCAGTCTGCGTGCGCGAGTTGGCGGCGACGGCGCTGCTGGCGGCGCTGTTCGTCGAGTCCTCGGGGGCCATCTGGCCGTTGGCGAGGGCGGCGGCCATGCCCATGGTGCCGTTGGGGTAGCTGTTGAGCTGAGGAGCCGCCGTGCAGTTGTAGCCCTGAGGGTAGAGCGGGCAGCTCGAGGCGAGGCAGATCGACTGGCTGGCGTTCTGTGAGCCGGGAGGGAAGGAGATGGCGGGAGCGCAGCGGTAGTTGAAGAGCATGGTGAGCGTCTGGCCTACGGCTGTGGCGTCTGCCATGGAGACGCCGAAGGAGAGGGCAGCGTTGCCGACCTGGTGTGGTGTGAGGATGGTAATGACGCGTTAGCAAGTGATGTCCTTGCTGGTATTTTCACGGGCGGACTCACCTCCTGGATGAAGTATGCGTTCTCAATGACATTGAGGTTCATGAAGCGGTGCACGTTGGACATGGACGTGGAGCCCTCGTAGTTGGAGAAGGCGGCATCATCGTCGCTGCTCTGGCTGGAGCAGCCGAGGGCCTTACCGAAGTACTGGTAGAGGTGGGTCACGAGAGTGTACTGGCGCGAGTCCTCGTCGTTGGCGGCCATGTTCTGCGTGCGCGAGGAGGGAGTGTGTGTGACAGGAATGTCAGTACGACCGTGACGCGATGTAGCCTCCTGGTAGCGCGCCGCTCACCTGCTTGAGAGGGTCAGCCCCACCTCCGTCGAGGAAGTTAACCGCCGTGGCATTTCCGTCGCGGTTGGTGCTGCGGAGCTGTCCGTTGAAGTACTTGAGGAGGGAGACCTCGGTACCGTTGTAGGTACCGTTGTTGAGGATACCCGTGACGTTGGCCTTGCCGCCCAGAGGCGAGTAGTTGCCGATGAGGGCCGTGTTGACCAGGGCGGTCAGGAGAGTCGACTGAGTGGTGCCGTTCGTCGAGTTCTGTTTGCGCGGGGGCCGGCAATAGGTTAGCACATTGTTTGTTCACCCCTCGCTCATCTCACGCGCGTCACGCCGCGGGCACTCACGAAGAGGGCCATCGAGTACTTGTCACAGATACTCGTGTTGGACGACTGGGCAACAGCGCCCGTGGCAGCGTAGACGGCGCCAGCGACGGCGAAGAGGGATGCGGTGAACTTCATCGTGGGCTAGGATTTGGATGGAGTGATGGATGGGAGACCAAGGAGGGGTCGGGCGCTCGCTGAGTGCGGAACTCTTTATACGAGGGAAGAGGGGATCGAGGGCCCGCACCGAGACTGAACGGAATACGGAGCGAGGGCTTGTCAGCCAGGCAGTCGCGGGCGGGGGTGAGCTACGACATGCTGCTCCGTGCCCCGTGCTCTGTGCTTTGTGCGCTCGCTGCTGCTGCTGCCGAGGCCAAGAGGCGAAGAATTCTCCGTCGGTCGACGAGCTCTGATTGCACATCCACCACACTGTCGTGACGCCTACCCGCGACGTCGATCGTCGGATTTGAAATGCCCAGGGCCTCTATTCCCCCCTCCCCTCGCCATCGCCCTCTCAATGACTCTCCGCGCACCTTGGCGAAGGGAGAACGTTGAGATGGAAGGCAACGGCGGCGGCGGCAGCGGGCGCAGACGAGACAACAACGTCAGTGCCGTGCGTGCGTGAGGTGGACAGACGAGCAAAAAGGCTTGGCTGCCGTCGTCGTTGTGAGGACCATGCATCCGCGATCAGGAGGCTGAGCGATGGACGAGTGCCCGCTGATCAATCCGAGCTCAGCGAGAGAGCAGAGCATAGGGCTGAGGGCTGGGCCCTGCGATTGATCAGCACACTCAAAGCGGACCGCCGGGTGTCTATGTGTGCGTGTGTGTGCTTGATGGGCGCCTGACCTTGTGCGGATGTGCATCGAAGAGCGCAGGTAGGGAGAGGGGGAGCGCATTCGCGGGCGGTCTGTGCGGTGCGGACCGTGGTGCGGAATATGGATCGCAGAGTCAAAGCCCGGCGCAACGTCAAGTCAGAATGAGACCTGACTCCCGCCGCCCGCTTGCTTCCCCGCGCTATGATACAACCAGGCACCGATTGACCGCGTTCCATCGCGCCTTCAACGAGGCGTTGGGCTCAGCCAGCACTTGGAGAAGAGTTGGTCGTAGTCAGACATAGGGAGAAGCCATCGCACTCGTCACTTTCATCACGAAGCCGTCGTTGCAACGTCAACATCAACAGCTTCGCGGTAATCGCCCGCATCCGCTCGACCGACTGGTCGCTGATTAGAAATTCCGCATTCTTTACGGCGCCTCCCACTCCCTTCTTTGAATCCCTAATTCCGCCTCCGCCCTGCCCTGCCCTGCCCTGCCCTGCACTGGGCTGACCCTGCCTCTGATCGCTTCTACGGGCCGCACACAGGCCGCATAATGTTGCATTGCATCAGAGGAGGGAGGTTATTGGACTGGCCTTCGTGACCTAGGTTGAGCGGGCGGGCGAGCGAGCGAGCGAGCTGACGAGTGAGTCGATGGGTGAGCCAGTCAGAGAGGCTACGGTACGATTGATTGCATCTGAGCGAGTGGCAGAGTGAGTGAGTGATCAGGGCCAATTAGGTCGGTCGATCATGATGAGGAGGAAATAGGTTGCGATTGAGGGTAGGATACGAGTGGCATTGGGAGGACACGAAGAGAAGGAGAGGTTACAGGAGGGAATAGGGCGATACAGAAGGAAAGGGAAATGGTCGAAAATGGACTTTGCTGCTTTGCACAACGCGACGCGGTTTGCGCCACACTACCACGCCTCAACCCGAGCCTCCTCCATCAGATCCACCTCGCCAAATCCGTACGCACTAGCCTCCCTTGCAACATCCGCCCACACCCCCTCATGCGGATGTCCCTTTGGCTTGATAAACTTGGTAATCAGATGACCAGCCCCATTCAGATTGACGACATCCTGGATCAAGACGGGCACGCCTTGCACCTCCATCCTAGTCTGTAGGGGCCCCTTGCTGCCTGGAAGAAGGTAGTAACGATAGACTGCTACATCTACCTGCTCGAACTCCTTGGCCTCATCGGGGGGAGGCGTGTCGTGCCCTCGCCTGAGCTTGGGAAGGACCGAATCGAACGTGTAGCGCGTGACATTCGCGCCGTTCTCCATCGACGTGGTCGTCGTCGCGACGCTGCTGCTGCGGTTACGCCCGTTGCGGTGGACGTGGTGCACCGAGTCCGCGTAGACGATATCGTCTGGGATGGAGTGCAACATCAGGACTTTTCCTAGCAGATCACGACCCCAGGGGGAGAAGAGGTAGGCACGGAACGACCAGGGAAGGCGATCCCATGCCGCATTGCTCGGCGCAAAGAGGGTGGCCGCCTCTGTGCCTTTGGGGTCGCTGAAGTCCGGGCGACGATGCTGGTGGTGGTGGTGATCCGAGTGGCTCTCATTGTGCCCATCGTGCCCGCCGTGATGCTTCATAGGTGGCAAGGCGAGATACCCATCGCTCTTCGTCTTCTGGAATGCGCTGGTCAAGGTGCTGAACTGAGGTTGCGTGAAGTAGAGTCCCTGTAAGATCGAAGGGAACTGGAAGAGCGGATAGTCGACTACGTGGATGATTCCGTTGGCCAACTCGACGTCTGGGTAGACTACACGCGAGTAGAAGTTGAGGTAGACCCCCGGCTTGGGGACGAGGGACTTGCCTACTCGAAGGCGCAGCGGTTGACCGTCGGAGAGCTTGCCGATGTAGTTGGCCAGCTTGCCGGTGATGCTCAGCTTGGTGGCGACGGTGCTGTTTTGGGCGATGGAGGAGGCTTTGAGTGGGTGAGACGTGTCCACGAGGTGGTACGCCAGGACAGAGTCGATGAACTTGGCTAGCATGCGACGGCGACGACGCTTCTCGTCGTCGTCGTCGTCGTCATCATCATCGCTGCTTTCGCGCAGTGCTTCGGCCGCCTCGAATGCTTCGACCTTTTGGTCTAGCAGAGCCCACGAGGTTCCGACCTGAGCGAGATGCGCATCCGTCATCTCGTCATCGCGCTTGTGGTGGGGCATCTTCCAGTCCTTTGGCGCGAAGAGGGTAAGCTTGCCGCCCGTCTTGCCCTTGAGGAGGTCCTTTGTCTCCTCACTCGAGTAATTGACAGCCTTGGCCAGTTTGGAAAACTCGGCATGGGTCGTAATGACGTCGTAGATGGTCTTGTCTGATCGCGATGCGTGGGAGAGGTGTACCGCCAAATTGTCCTCGCGGGTGGGGACGAAACCTCCCGCTGCGGACTTGAGGAGAGAGCTGATCCCCGATGAGAGCCATGAGGCTGCACTGATGCTAGGCGCTTCAGTGGAGGCAAAGCTGAGCTGCTGCGGAGAGGATGGAGCTGCATTGGCTGCTGTAGCCGCCAGGGCAAGGCCGCCGACGAGGGCGTGCGTGGTGATGAGCCTCATTGCCGGTCGAGTGGGGTGAGGTTGCGAGGGGCGTTGGAGACGAGAGCTGGACCCTGGATCGCTGAGCATATGTATCACATCTCCGCACCCTGCCACCCGGCACCCTGACACCGCTGAGCAAGCTCAGCTAAAGGCGCTGACGAGGGCACCCACTCCCACTCGAGGGCTGACAAACGGGGCCTCGATGCCCATGGCAAGTGGCACGGGCCCATGGCAATTAGCTGTGGAGGATGCACGCCACGCCGCGCCACGTGAGCATTGTGTCAACACGTGAGGCGCCGAGCGGGCGGAAGTGGGCGGCGTCTGTCCGTGTCCGTGTTGAGTGAGAGTGAGTGGCTCGTCGTGTTGGATTCCACCGCCGCTTTCCGTCCTCGCTACCACTGCATCCTCCCTCGCACCACCCGCAATGGGCGTCCCGGGCTTATGGCCCCTCCTTGCCTCGGCAGCCCAGTCGCACAACCTCGAAGCCCTGGACCTTGCCCACCTCACCGAGTCATCCGCGTCGTCCTCCTCGTCATCACTAGCCCCACGCCTCCCGGTAATCGGCATCGACCTCTCCGCCTGGCTCTTCCACGCCCGCCAATCAGTCGAGGGCTCCAATCCAATCCTCCGTCTCATCTTCTTCCGCCTACTGCGTCTCCTTTCCCTACCCCTGCGAGCAGTCTTCGTATTCGATGGGCCGGATCGCCCTGCCAAGAAAAGGGGCCGGCTGATCGGGGGAAGAAAACATCCATTGACTGGACCGCTGAGCGAAATTATTCGGGCGTGTGGCATGGTCGCGTGGGAGGCGAGGGGAGAGGCAGAGGCTGAACTGGCGAGGATGAGTCGAGAGGGTCTGGTCGATGCTGTGCTGAGTGACGATGTGGATGCTCTCGTCTTTGGGAGTAGGGCGGTGATGAGGAAGTAAGTGCGAGCGGCGCGATGACTCCCCACGCTTTATTTGGCCGACACTGACCTCTTGTCTCTGACTTCGCTGCTCGCACGCACAGCTGGTCTGCTACGACTCCCAATCGCCCTGCCAGCCTCGGCGAGGACCGCGGCGAGAACGCAGTCACAACCTACAAGGCGTCCAACGTCGAAGAGCTGCCCGAGCTAAGCTTGGGGCCCAACGGCCTCGTCCTCATCGCCCTAATGGCAGGGGGAGACTACGATGCCAAGGGTGTGGGTGGATGCGGAGTCAAAATGGCACTCTGCCTCGCTCAGGGAGGCTATGGAGATTCCTTGAAGGAGGGGTTCGACAAACATTGCAGAGTGACAGGGTACGATCCTGAGTCGAAGATGCCTATCGTTGAGCAGGGGGAAGGATGGGCACCTTTCGTTGAAGAGTGGATGGCAGCCATGCGTGATGAGTTGGCCACCAATCGACAGGTGAGTGGACGCAAGCATGAGCAACATCGTCCATCCTCGCTCTGACCCTCCTGCCTCGGGCCCCCACGCCGCGCCAGGGCTTCCTCGCCTCCCGACAACCGCGCCTAGCAAGCAGTCCCGCCCTCCAAACATTCCTCAGCACCGCAGAATCACTCCAGATTCTCGCCTCCTACCTTCACCCAATCACCACATGGTCCATCTACGAGACTTACGGGCGCAGCAGCGTCGCCCGCCCGCCTCCTACGCGCCTGGCCTTTCCCCACCCGGATATACCAGCAATCGCAGGCTTCGCACAGCGCACCTTTGCGTGGGGCCCCAAGTACACCGTAGGAAGGATGCGCAACTTAGCCTGGAAGGGCATGCTCCTCCGTCATCTGCGCAAACACTCTCGCACCGCCCCCTCAGATCCACGCGATCGACGCGAAGAGGGCGGCTCAGCTGGGCTGGAGGTGGACGACCTGGACTTACCGCTCATCAAGATCCACTCGGAACGTCGTCACGCAATCACGGGCCAGCGACTGGAGTATCGCCTCGAATGGGACCCGACCGCTCTTGCACAGCTGGCGGAGAGCGGTGTAGACCCAATGCTCAACGTCGGCCCGGGTTTCGACGAGCCCCTTGACCCGACTGAAGAGCCCTCTCCCCCGCGCGATGAAGACGACAACGACGACGAAGATCTAGTCCCGGCATCTCCGTACGCCACGAGCCTCGCTGCACTCCAAGCCCAAGCCGGGCGGGAAGCAGAAGCAGAAGCTGAAGGCGAAGGCGCGGGAGACGAAGAAGGTGGCAATCATGGGCCATGCCCTCCCTCCCCCTCCAAACGTAAAGCCCGCCCCCCACCACCGGACCCTTATTCCACCCTTCGCGACTGGGTCCTCTCGGATCGTCTCGCGGCCACTTCGAGGGGACAGGAGCTCATCGACGAGTATCAGGCCAGGATCAGGGGGAAGAAGAAGAAGGGCGCACAATCCAAGGTCAAGGCCAAGGCGCCAGCCAATCAACCTTGCATCAATGCACTCTTCCCTGCTCAGAAGTCGGCCGGCAGCATAAGCAGCAGCAGTAGCGCGCTCAAGCTTCCACCGAAGGAGAAGGGCCTCTTGAAGCTTCCACCTAAGGAGAAAGGGTTGCTCAAGCTTCCCAGAAAGGAAGTCACCGCTCCTCCGCCCGGCTGCTCCTCTTCATCGTCACGCAAGGAGGAAGACATCGCTGCCATCCCAACTAAACGTCCCTCCCAAGGCGATTGTGACGCCGCGAGCTCGGGCTCCCCGGGCAGGCTAAACTTGTTGCCTAAACGCACCTTTGGACGCACGCAAAGCGGGCCAGCTACGCTCGGCTCTACACCACCACCGCGCTCTCAGACTGTGGGAAGCTGGAACGCTCAGACGACGATGGCGCAGACGCAGACGCAGAGGCAGAGGCAGACGATTGCCAGGAGGAGCAGCTTTGATGTCGATGTCGATGTCGCGCTGCACGAGATCAACGACGACGACGAGGAAGAAGCGGACTGCTCGTTGCCCGACGCGTTGGAGCTCCTCAGGAGTATCGCAGATCCCAATCGACGCGCGGCGCTTGAAGCTAGTAGCCCAGATTCGAGTCCAGATGTGGTATTGGCTAAACGAAAAGGTCGAAGAGGAGGAGGAGCAGCAGGCTCAGCCGCACACGCATGCGCACACGCACGATCAGGCGAGTCATCCGCACCAATCAGCATGGGATCGTCTACGACGTTCAGTAGTCGGAGCGATGATGGGTTCGAGATCTTGCTCTCAGCACCAGCACCGGCACCGACGACGGCGATGGCGAGGAAGGTGGGTGGGCTTAGAGTCAGAGGAGGTAGGAAGAGCGATGCGATTGTATTGAGCGATTCGGACTAGGCGTAGGTATGGGCGTGGGCGTGGGCGTGGGCGGGAGGAGAAGGAGAAGGAGGGGGAGCTTCGCATTGTATACCATCTCATTATCACTTTCTTCATTCACGTCATCGTACAGTGTTACCTACGAAAGAAAAGCAAAAGAGGGGAGACGCTCCAGGCGCTTTTCCTGATGAATTATCGCATCGCATCGCGTCGCATCGCGTCGTACGCTCAGCTCATCGTCGTCATCGTCCACCTCGACCACCCCACCCCACCTCCTCCATCCCAGCGGGATTGCCGCCCTCCTGCTGCTGCTGCTGCTGCTGCTGCTGCTGCTGCGTCTTGATGTAATCGTGGAAAGAACCGACCTTGCTCAAATGTCGACCATACCCTATCGACCCGTACGTCGATGTGGCTGTAGCTGTCGAGTCCCCCGTTCCTGGTCGATCACGCGTTTGTGTTGTGCCCGAGCCCGAGTGCGAGCCCGAGTGCGAGAGGGAGTGCGAGTGGGTGTACAACCCATCCACGTCCCCGCTGCCGCCGCCGTTGGTGAGAGCTGCACTCAATTGCTTTCCGGCGAGGCTGGAGAAGGGTGCAAAGGGCTGGTATGAACGTTGCACGTGGGACGAGGGCTGAGGCTGTGTCTGCGGTTTAGGGGGAGGAGGAGGCAAAGCTGTCTGCCCTGGAGGCGAGGAAAAGCCCGGCCGCATCGTTTCGTCGGATAAGGTGAGGCTGGGCGTGCGTGGTAAGGGCGGGCGAATGCGCGGAGATGAGCCCGTACGGGCATGCGTTCGACGTGAAGGGGATCTGACCGACGCTGCAGGAGCTACGCCGCCGCCGCCGCTGATTTGACTACTTCTCACGGGCGAAGTTGGCGGACTACGACTCTCCAGGCTCGAATCGATGTACATCACCTGGCTGTTACGCGGTATGACGGGGGACTCGGCGCTGAACCTCTGCACGCTCGGTTCCTCGACTTGGGCCTCGTGCGATTCGTTACCCGGGCCCGCACCGCCGTCCCTCTCAAAGTATGAGCCAACGACCGCCGGGCTCCCACCGGGGGTTCGGCGCACCCAGGGCGTGTCCGGACTGAACCTGCTACCAAGCTGATGTGCCGTTGCGACGCCATCGTGCTCGTGGATGGCGGATACAAGCTTGCGCAGCGTGGCTAGATGCGCATCGTTCGGATCGTAGGAGCTCGAAGATACTTGCGCCCTCCCTCGCGCTTGGAGCGTCCCGGCATCCCAGGAGGGGCCCGGTGGCTCAGCCGGCAGCACGCCGCGCTTCGGCAAGGATGTGGTGAGGCTTGAGCCCGTCGGGGAGGAAGACGAGGTCGTGTGCGACGTATCGTCGAGTGTCATGGACCGCTCATTGGTCCGCTCGGAGAGGCGACTGAGCGCTGGTTTTCCCTCGCGCAGGTGCGAGCGCGCAGGCTGAACTAGGACGTCTGCCATCGCGGGTCCTGGGGCTGGAGCTTGCGGCTGACGCTGGTGCGGTGTTCCTCGCGAAAAGGACGGGCGGCGTGAGCCTGTGCTACTGCCCCCTTGGACCTCAGCGATCTGCTGCGCTGCGGCGTAAAGAGCCATTATGGAGCTGTCGTCCGATCGGGCAGTGTGATGGTGCGGCACGCGCTGCTGAGGCGTCGCCGGGTGGGAAAGAGGCTGAGGAGCGAAGCGATGCGAGTCCTCGTAGCTGGGCTGGCGAGAGTGGGAGGAGGGTCGCCGTGTGAAGAGGTTGTACACTGGTCGCGACGGAGAAGACTGGACCGAGTCGGCGGACCCTTTGCGCACTGCCGTTGGAGGCCGGCGCAGGGAGTACGGGTCGCGCAAGGACTGCGAGGGGAGGCTGAAGTTGATGGGCGACTCGTGCGCCGAACGAGAGGTGGAGCGGGCGGTCACAGCTGGTGAGGAGACGTACTCCATCGATGGGGAGGGGTGGGACATCCCTGCGCGCTCAACGAGGGTGCCCTTGCGAGAGTGCGGAGCGCCATCCGTGAGAGTTGGGGTGCTGGGCATATTGGAGGGCACTCGGCCGTGAGCTTGGAAGTGTTCATGAGGAGAGACCTGCGCCTGCTCATCAAAGACTGGCAGGACGTCAACTTTCTCCTTCTGGCCGAAAGGCAATTGCCATGTCTCTCTCCTGCGTCTCGATCGACGCCGGCTCTTGGCGAGGAGTCTTGAGATCGGGGCCATGGAGAGCAAGCCGGCAACAAAGCCGAGCAAGAGGCCGCCACAGATGCCCGCTGCGGCGGCTGCGCCTACGAGGCTGCCCGGGTAGAGGGCTGCCTGAGACGACATGGTGTCGAGTTGTCGCCGAGACTGGAGTGAATGAGAGTGAACGATGTCTGCCAGAGACGAAGTCGTACGGCTAGCCAGCTAGCTCAGTATGAGGGGGGATGAATGGAGGTCAAGACGTCATTGCCGTCGCTGCCATCGTTGTCGTCGCCATGATGTTCTTGGCCGCCCCTATGGAAGCGGTGCGCCAAACGATTCGCGCTCGTCATGACCTTTCGACGCCCCTCTTTGCCACCGAGTCTTGTTTCGTGCTTCGAGCGAGTTGTAAATGCCATTCACAGCGATCCGTGCGAGCTCGCGGTGACGTTTTGAGAGGGAGCCGTGCGAGCAGGCGGCGTCACGAGCGCCTGCCGCGGTCCGAGCGTATCGCCGTCGCTGTCGCCGCCGTTCTCGCTGAGCTAGTCGTGGCTTTTACTAATCCTCTTTGCAGGGATCGCAGCACATCGTAGCTTTTTTCTTCGTCGACGCCAAGTTGTTCGTGGGCTGCATCGCAATCGGGACGCGCATCTCACCCGTACACACCGTCGCCCGCCGCCCTGGCTTCACGCCCCCCCTTCCCGCGCTCCTCCCTTCCCTTCCCGCCACGGCCACGCCCCACGCCGGGCAAGCCCGCTCTTTGCTCCTCTTCCATTCCCCGCGCTACGAGCCCGCCCTTTTGCCACGCAACCTAGGGGTACCTCTAATCTCAGATGAAGAGCCGCTGCGGCCCTTGCTCTCGTGTAGCAGTCGAGAGTGTCGGTGTCTGGGAGAGGAGTTGCTAGGATGAGAGTGGCGCGCGGGCTAGCGGGCTACATCTTTTCTCGGGCCCGTGTCGATCGCTTAGCCCACCCGACCCTGCAAGGAGGGTCCAATGAGTGCGACTCGGTACGGGCGACCGGTGTACCTGACTTTGGGAGCCTCCTTGCCTTACGTATTGTCTCGCGTACAACAGTGCGCGACGGGCGACGAGGCTCACTCATTGGTAACAGTCGATACTGATGCTCCCCAAAGTAGTATCAACGACGACACAATCGATGGCTGTGTGTGCCGTTCGTGCTAGGGTGGCGCCGGCCAGTTCGTCGTCGCGGTGGCTTGTGTGCGTGGCCGTCTCTCATCTGAGACGAGTCGAGACGTGTGAGATGCAAAACAGAGACGTGGTGCTGCTCGCCGTCGGCCCCTTGCATGCCCGTGTCGTGTGCCGCCGTGAGGACGGGCGGCGGGCGGGCCTGGCGACGAGGTTGCCGGGCAACCCCGCCTTTATTTTCTGGTCAAGTCGCGGCGCGCCTCCCAAGGGAAATTTAGGACGCGGTGCAGCGATGCATCGTCGAGGGTCGAGGCCTGACGCAACGCAACGCAACACGCAGCTTCCTCTCCGCCACGCCTTGCCTGACCTTGGCTTGCTCTCTCTCCGTCATCCCATCTCCTGGCCCTGACGCTCTCCTTGCCGCGTATTTCCAGCGTAATGTCAGCCCGATGAGCAGTCGTCGTCGTGGTCGTCGTCGTACGTTGTCGTCTTGGTCTTCGTCCCGAGTTGCCCTTTCCTTCCTCCTGCCATTCCTCTCCTGATAGCACACAATCCTCTTCGCGACGCGAAGCCATAGAGGCGTGGGTTCTCTTGCTGCACGGAGGCGAGTCGTACTCCCCCACAGTAGGAGCTGCCGCTTGATCAGGATATCACTGCGATCGATCGACCATCTCTTTCTTCCTTCCTCCCTTGTCTTTTCCCCATCTCCTTCATCGTCCTCGCCCTCGTCCTCGCCCTCGTCCTCGCCCTCGCCCTCGCCCTCGCCCTCGTCACCTTGGTTACCACTCCTGCGGCGTGCCCAAAGCACGTCGAGTAGTCACATCACTACAACAATTTCCAAACCTCGTCCTAAGGACGATTCTCTCGGCGCAATCACGCCGCACGCCGCACGCCGCACGCAGCCCGCCATGTCCACTCAGCATGCCACCCTCGAACACTCGCCCGATCCATCCCCCTCAGCATTCCCATCTACCCGCGCCTCGACATCACGTAGCGGCAGCGTGGCAAGCATCTGGAGCTCAGCAGAGATCCCATTCTTCCTCGATGCTCGTCGCAGGAGCAGCGAGGTCAATGCTGCACGCAAGGGCTCAACGAGTGCTGCCTCGGGCTCACGATCAGCATCCGCCTCTGGATCTGCCTCTGGCTCCGGCTCTGGTTCTGGCTCAGCATGGTCTCACGGCCCTCGCGTCGTAGCACTAGCCAGCTCGCGCAACAATGACTACGACTTCCCCGGACGCAGACGGTCTGTTAGAGATGTACCCGACGGACCTTCGTCGCCACGGCCCAGCGTCGATTCTTTGGCGTCATGGCGGCGAGGCAGCAATAGCGGTAGTGACGGGCAAGGGAGGAGGACAAGCTCATTGGCATTACCAGACGCCGCTGTGGTACCGACTCGAGGTTTCCAGACTCGCAAACCTGCAACACTTGCCATCCATCCCATCGCCTATACATCCCCCCTCGCCACACACAACGAGCGTGATGCCTCGCCGACTACGACGACGTCCACACAAGCTCCCTCCCTAGCCACCAGCCCGGTTCCATCCAGCGAGACCGACGCCAGCGCAAGCTGTTCCACTCCGCTGACAGCCAAGAGCATCAATTCGTCAATGCATCCTCGAGACGTCCCTGCGAAACCGCTGCCATCTCTGTATGCACGCGCCGGCCAATTTTTCCGCGCAGACTACACAATGGTCAGCCCCTTGACCGCGAATGCAGATGAAATCGATCCCCTCGACGCCAGCGCATCCTCAGCGATACCAATCCCTGCGGCTCCACCCCGCGTCACCATGCTCGCGCCAGTCACCGAGGCGGGAATGGGACCGAGATCACCTCGCTCCCTGCTGCGCCCACACACGGCTGCAGCTACAACGGGGTCCTTCCTCGAAGCTCCCTTCTCCCGCGAGCAGCATCGCCGCGCTCTCGCGAAACAACGCCATCAATCGCTCGCGCCCTGGCAGCTTGCTCAACTCCCTTCGCCATTAGAGTCCCCTCATTCCGGGGACACCATCACGATGGAGCAGGAGGCTGCGATGGAGCGGCAACGCACCATGTCCGTGCCCAAGCTGTCCGCACTGCCTCACCCTCTGTCCTCCTCGCGCAAATCATCGTGGGGTGGCCAACCTTCGCCACCAGCCACTGCACGGCAAGACAGCGATGACGAGGGCGCCGGCGGAGGCAGCAGCAATGCCACGCCATATCGTGCGCCGACGTCGCCTCGCAGCTTCAGAAGCGGAATTCTGCGACGCAGCGGTCGACCTTCGTCCAGTCGCCTCAACACGCCCACGTCAGTCTCCACTGCGCCGGGCACACTGCGACCCAAGTCGTCGAGCGGCAAGGGTGCGGGTTGGTCGTCTTACCTGTCCGAGGGCTTGACGCTCTACATCGATCAAGGACCAAAGCGCGATTTCGCCATCAAGGTGCCGTACCTCCGCTATGATCCATTTGGTAGACCGGAGGACATCGCAGATACCACTGCAGCCGCTGCGTCAGGCACCCCTGACTCAAAGCCAGGCACGCCGCGCAAGAGTAAAGGAAGGCTATCGGCGATAGACCCGGACGATGAGGTTGGGACGCTGGAGTTCGGCCACCTGCCGCAGGCCAACGACGCTGAGGCAGTCTTGTTCTCGCGTCGCGGTTCGGCTCCCATCCTGCGCCACTTGGGCATTGGAGACGATACCAAGGCGGACCTGCTAACGCGACAGGCGGCCCTCTCGCTCGACGCGAATGGGTTGCACGAGGTCTCGGGCTACGAGAGACACGGCAAGATTGCGTGGCGCTTCAAGTACCAGGTGATGAACTTGGGCGATGGAGAGGCGGCGCTACGTCCCGTATCCTTTGACTGTTCGGCCACCCTCCTTGATCCGACGCGCGCTCGCAAGGCTCGACTTTTCAAGATGGTCAAGAAGGGAGTCACTTCGACGCTAGCCTCGAGCTTGGTCGCGAGTGAGTCTGGCTCAAGGGGCAGCCACTCAGGGGAGAGTGATGGCTCCTCGCCACGAGGACAGAGGACTCGCCGCGGCGACCTTCGCCGACCGTCCGAATGGACCAATGGCTCCTCCATCTCGGCGACGTCGATGCTGCGTCAGAGCACCTCGAATACCGTGTCGCCTCCCCCGTCGACTGGCTCCCTCTCGCCCGTATCACGCCGTGTCGAGTACCAGCCGCGCAATGGGTCCCTAGGCTATGCGCGGTCCACCAAGTCGACGCGCCTAGCCAACGTCTTGCAGGCAGAGCGACTACTTCGCGCCAGCCAAGGAGACCTGGCGAGTAGCAGTCGCAGCAGCAGCGTAAGCTTCGGCGCCGGTGGTAGCGGCGCCGAATCCCCTCTTGTTGCGACTCGAGCCGCAAGCATCGTGGCAGAGATGAAGCCAACGACTCCCTCCGAGGAGATCAAGAGGGCGTACCTCATGCGTGCCATCGAAAGGGACGAGCACCAGCACCAGCACCAGCACCAGCACCAGCCGCGAGTGTCCCCGCCTGCTACCCGCTCTCCAGCCTCTGCGCGCTTCCCGCCTACAGCTGCCCGCGAGGAGCCCTCGACGACGCCTACACAGGAACACTTTTTCTTCGCCCGCAACTCACCCACTGGCGGGGTGAGCACGTCGAGCCGTAGCTCCGGGGGTAGCTCGTGGGCCGAACATTTTGCCTCCCTCGCCGCCTCGAGCCAGCGACGCCTCCGCCAGGCCGTCTCGAGCAAAGCGTTGCCCGAGCTGCCGCCTGCTTCGTCGCTGCCATTGCTGAGAAAGAAGAAGAGCAGCGCAAGGACGATCAGCGGCGGTGGATCTGGGGCCGTGGGTGGAGGTGGCGAGCAAGCAGGAAGCGGGGCAAAGCCGCCACCACCACCACCACAGTCGTCTCTCTTATCAGAATTGGGTTTCATCTAGGCGTTCGTTCTCCCGTCGCACCTCGCATAAGAATCATTGTCCTGCACACGTGTACTATTTTCTTGCCACACAAACTCAATCCTAGCATATCTCTGCGTGCCCTCCAAGATACCATCGTGCTGTCTCGCCACCACGTTATCGCCTCGCTCCACGCCACCTCGCGACTCGCCCCTCGCTACCACGTTTCACTGTAGGGCCTCATGTCGAGCTCGTGCGTCCAGCAACTCTTCCTCTGCGTTGCCACACTATAGTAGGCCTCAGCGATATCCTCCGGCTTGAAGCGAGAGTTAGGCACAAAGTCCGATCCCATGTAGCTGCGAGCCCTCTCTCCGTCGATCATACCATCGACGATGGTGTGAAAGACGTGGACCCCTTGTGACGCGTACTCGCGGGCGATGCTCTGCGTGATATTGCGCAATCCGGCCTTGGCGGAAGCAAAGGCAGAGAAATTGGCAGAGCCCTTGAGCGAGGCCGTTGCCCCCGTGACGGCTAGGAAACCAGCTGGCTCGTCCCCCTCGCGACTCTTGGCCCAATCTGCATGGGCGGTGAGGGTTCGCAGGTAGGCTTGAGCAAAGAGGAAGCCGCCCTTGGTCATGACCTGCCACTGCTCCTCGAGCTGTTCGGCCGTCGTCTCTAGGAAGGGCGCTCGGCTGATGGCAGCTGGATTGAAGACTGCGCCCCATACGCGGGCTTTGCCGCCGAAATCGCGATCGATCTGGCCAAAAGCCGCATCGATGCTGTCCTTTTGCGAGACGTCTGCGCCATACGCCACTGCTTTTCCCTGTTGCAGCTGATTGATATCCGACGCCAGTTCTTCGAGGCGAGTCTTTGAGCGGGAGATGAGGGCGACTGGGTGTCCCGCTTGGGCGAAGCGTTTGGCGATCTGCGCGGGCGTCGTGAGGGAAAGGGTGTGTGAGTGTGAAAGACGAGACTACCAATGTCCAGAAATCACGCATTGGTCCGCTCGTCGCGCTGGATGCTCACTGCAAAGCCTGTGCCGGGGCCTGCACCGACGACGACGACGATCTTTAAAGCGGCAGAGCTGATGGCGGGCATTTTAGTGGGATTTTACTGTGATGGTGCGTTACCGTAGAAGAGTGGCCCAGCGATGCCGCCCGCACGCAGTCGGCCCCACATTGGCCCATCTCCGCCCTCCGTCCGTGCGTGCGCGCAGCTGGGTGAGTGAGCTTAGAATAAGTCCCCGAGGTCGACGCTCATCGAGGCCGAGGCCCGGGCCCGCCCCCTCGCCCCCTCGCCCACCAATCGATCGATTCATCTACGTCGTACGCTGCAGAGACCGATACGCGAGCACATGGTACTGCGCTACGGAGCAAACCAACACACCTTGAAATCCACTTTCAATGGTTCATCGCCACCCCGATCGCCATCGAAGTGCGCTTGCCCGTGTGCGTGGGAGCGTGGCGTGGCGTTGCGTGGTGTGGTCGCCTGGTGGAAGCCCACATCGCCATCACACCCGCCCTCGCAACCTCTCAAAGACCGTTGCTAATCGAGCTTCATGGTCTAGCCCGACTTTGTGTGGCTAATTGACTCGCACGTGCGGTTGAGATCTTCTCGTAGTTGCAATACAGCGCCTTTGCTGCTCGCTGACCGTCGCCATCTTAAACTTGCAGTCGGTCGTCTTCGAAAAAAAAAAGGCTTGTGCTCGCCAAGTGCTCGGCTGCACGCTCACGCGACTCGACGCCCCCTTTTGACGGGGGGGCGATGAGCACGTTCTATTCCTTGGCACTCGACCGCAAACTACCAATTTTGGATCTTCGCAATCGAGATGGGTGTGGGCAAGCAGGGCAAGCCCAGGAACATGGCACAGCACAACGTAGCGCGCGCATACGCCCTGGCAGCTCATCATCTGGTTTCACTGTGAGTCGCCAGCGGGATCCCACCGGTCCCCCGCTCGTCCCCGGCCCACCGCGGCCTCCCAATCACGCCAAGAGCTCAAGACCACTGTCGCGCGCAATCAACTTCACCCACTAAACGATGGTCAGACTCAGGCTAGACGGCGCCCGGATGTGGATGGCACGTTCTTGTCGCCACGGACAGATAGCCGCCGGTAACAACTTCCGAACGAGAAGAAGTGCAGGCTACGGTATAAGACAGATGGACAAGTCGAGACGGCTATCGTTTACTTTCCCCCCAAGCTAGTCCACACCAGCCTCACCCACCCTTCCTCTTGCGCACTCGCTCAACCCCCTGACACACGCGCACGCGCAAGATGCCGTACCTCCACCAGTATGACTACCTCATGGGCATCGGCACCATCTTTGCCATGCTCGACGCCTACAACAACGGCGCCAACGATGTGGCCAACGCTTGGGCTACCTCGGTCTCGAGTCGCAGTATTTCATACCGCATGGCCATGGTCTGCGCCCTGGTCTTTGAGTTGCTTGGTGCCCTCACCGTAGGAGCACGAACAGCCGACACGATCAAGAACGGTATCATTCCGCCAACGTGAGTGTGCGCGCGCGAGATGCCCAGCCTCCATTTCCTTGCTCACACACAACATCTCTTCGCCTCGCTCGCAGCGCCTTCCGTGGCAACGCTGGTGTTCAGATGCTCGCTTTCACTTGCGCCCTCGCCGGTGCCTCGTCCTGGGTCATGTGGTGCACTCGTCACTCTGCCCACGTCTCGTCGACCTATTCGCTCATCTCGGCCGTCGCTGGTGTCGGTATCGCCACGGCCGGCGCCCGCAACGTCGTGAGTAGCAGCGCGCATCCACAAAGCCTCTCGCATTATTGTGCTGACCTCTCCTCCTCCCTTCCTCGCGCCAGCAATGGGGATGGAACAACGGCAAGGGTCTCGGTGCCATCTTCGCCGGTCTCGGTATGGCTCCCATCTGCTCCGCCGGCTTCGGTGCCATCACCTTCCTCCTCATCAAGCTCGTAGTCCACCTCCGCCGCAACCCTGTCCCCTGGGCTGTGTGGACCTCGCCCTTCTTCTTCCTCATCGCCGGTACCGTCTGCTCCCTCTCCATCGTCTACAAGGGATCGCCCAACCTCGGCCTTGACAAGAAGCCCCCTAGCTTCATCGTCGCCGTCTCCCTCGGCACCGGCTTTGGACTCGCCCTCCTCTCTGCCCTCTTCTTCGTCCCGTGGCTCCACGCCAAGGTCATCAAGAAGGACCAGACCCTCAAGGCCTGGCAAGTCATCATGGGTCCCCTCCTCTGGTCGCGCCCCTACGCCACCGAGGCTGAGTCTGCCGTCGCCATTGTCCCCAACTACGCCGTCGTCCAGCACAAGGACTACGTTCCCAACACCGAGGAGTCCACGCAGACCGGTGACGACTCCTCCGACGAGAAGATCGCCCCCGTCAACGACCTCATCGCTCCTCACAAGACGTATCAGGAGCTCGAAGCTGAGGCTCGCGAGCGTCTCCACGCCAAGCTGCGCCAGGGCACCGGTCCCCTCGGCTGGGCCATGCGCTACCTCCACGCCAACCCCATCGGCGACGGTGCTTGCTACGAGACGCACAACATGAAGCTCTACGCCAAGCGCCTCCCCGCCATGTGCGTCGTCGCCCTCCTCTACGGTTCCCACTACGACATCCACGTCGCTCAGGCCGGTGTCGCAGGCACCCCCGAGGGCAACCGCATGGAGCGCGTCTACGCCCACGCCAAGATGTACCCCAACGAGGTCGAGCACACCTACTCTTTCATCCAGTTGATCACGGCATGCACCGCCTCCTTCGCCCACGGCGCCAACGACATCGGTAACGCCGTCGCTCCTTGGGCCGTCATCTACTCTGCATGGTCCACGGGCAACCCGGCCGCCTCGAAGCTCCCCGTCGCCACCTGGCAGATTGCCGTCCTCGCCCTCGTCCTCGTCTTCGGCTTCGTCACCTACGGCTACAAGATCATGACCGTCATGGGCTCCAAGCTCACCTACCACTCGCCCTCTCGTGGTACCTCGATGGAGCTCGGTGCGGCCATTACCATCCTCATCTTCTCGCAGTACAAGCTCCCCGTCTCCACCAGCATGTGCATCACGGGCGCAACCGTCGGCGTCGGTCTCTGCAACGGCACCTTCAAGGCCGTCAACTGGCAGCGAGTCGGACTCCTCTTCCTCTCCTGGATCGTCACGATCCCCATTGCCGGTCTCCTCGCCGGTCTCCCCATGGCCGCCATCCTGGCCGCTCCCCGCTTCGTCTGATCTACGCGCGCTCTCTCTCTCTCTCTCTGCTCTGTATATGCTATCTGTTTCATCCTTTGTCACCCGCACGTGTGCACGATGCCTCATTCAATGACACTTTTACATGATGACACCCTCGGCACGCTCCCGCAAACCACGCACAGCCTGAAGCGACTCGGCTCTCACCCCTCCCGTACCAGCCCCGCTCATCAGAACGCCAACTCTCAATCGCTCGCTCTCCCCCTTCTCCCGCTTGCCCGCCGCACGCAACATCTCCTCCAGTGCCTCGCGCCTGCCCTCCGCCTCAACGTAGAGAACGTAGAGCGCATCATACCCACCAGCGCCGGGCACGCCGCCGCCAAGCACTCCCGGCACTCCGTCGATCGCAGCGCTCAGCACCCGACCCATGCTGTCCGGCTCTACGGGCGCGCCGCTCAGCCTTCCTAGTTCGCGCATACCTGCGCGTGTGGAGCGTAGCGCATCGCGAGCGGCAATGAGGGCTCGGCCCGTCTCGCTCTCGGCGAGGCGAGTGGAAGACGATGTACCCGTTTCGCCGCCATCGTGCACGCCGTGGGCATGTCCGTGTCCACACCCGTCGGACACGCCTCCCCATTCGCTGCTCTTCCTCCCCTTCGCCCACTCCAGCGTCTCTTTGTACTCATCAGCGGCCCCTCCCTGCGCGAGTGCCATCCGTGCAAACGCGTCAGCGAGCGCCGAGTTGCTCGACGCAATGACATCGTAGAGCTGTTTTGCCCACTCGGGCTTCTTTGTCCTCCACGCCTGGACGGACGAGACGAGCGAGGGCGTATTTGATCCGGCATCGACATCTGCGAGGAGCAGGGAGATGCCTGCGGGGAGCGAGAGAGGAGCGGGACGTAGCGATGTTGATGAGGCAGTCGTGGCGGCGAGGCCCTCGAAGGCGGTTGGGTGGGCATTGCTCGTGGTCGTAGCAGAGAGGGGCGAGGGCTTCCAGAGCGGCTGCTGGAGCGGATCCAAGTGGGGGCCTAGCGATTCGACGTCGCGGAGTGAGGCCAGCTCGCCTGCCTCTCCCTTGGGCGCGCCGGTGACGGGTATCTTGGGTATGCTAGCCAGGAGAGGCTCAAGCACCTTGGCATCGAAGCGCCTGTAGATCTGACTGCCCCATACCGCCGCGCTGACGTCGAAACCGCTGCCTATTTTGCCCTGCGCCGCACAGTGTGCCAGCTGCGCAGTGTTGTGGGCAAGGGCAAGGGCAAGGTCGTCGTCGTTTTCAAGCGTGCGGACGACGCCCAGGTGCAGCAAGAGCGAGGAGACGAGCGAGGTGGTGAGGGCAGCGGAGGACCCAAGCCCGGTCTTGTGGACGTCGCGGATCGCTACGTCCAATGGGTGGAAGGGGGCGAGCGAGGAGAGGTATTGCGATGTTGGAGCATCCTCGCTGCCCTCGGCCTTCTGCGAGTAGAAGTCATTGTCCGCAACGACCGTGATCTCCAATCCTTGCGCCAGCTTGGCGCGCAGCGCCGGCAGAGGTACACGCTGGTACGCAAGAGCAAGTGAGTAGACGAGGGCGAGACAGAGGAAGGGTGATCGACCTGCATAGGGCGAGGACGCCGACTCGGAGCTGAGCGAGAGCGCTCCGCTCTCGATGTCGAGATCAAAGTGCCAGACAGCCTGTGTGAACTGAGGCGAGCGAATGGATAGCCTGCCTGCAGTTCCCGCCGCAATGACCGAGTAGAAGCGGGCGTCGGTGCTGATAACGAGGCCAGGATAAGCAGGGGAAAGGACGAGGTACCCGCCAGCGACGAGGACCTTGCCCGGTGCAGAGACGACCGTGGTGGGCGAGGGGCTCTGAGGTGCGGCTTGGGGCTGAGCGACGTCTGCTCTCAGGAAGCGCCACAATCCCGCCTCATCCTTATAGTCATGATGCACCACTGTAACCAACCACCTCTTCTCCCCGATCTCCCTCATCAACTGAGCCGTAGCACTCCGCTTAGGGAAGAGAGACTCCCACTCCCTCCAGATATCAAACGCCTCGTCCCGCCAAGCTTTGAAGGACTCCTCCTCGATGATCGTAGGCTGAGCAATCTCCTTGCCGGGGAAGATGCCCCAGGTGACTGCCTCGACTTGCCCTCCCTGGGGCATGTTGGTCTCAAAATCGCCGCGACGATTGCCCGCGAAGAAGGTGAGCTTGCCTTGCCCCTCTGCCTCGATGCGGGCAGCGAGGGCGTCTTTGTCTGACTCGCTCATGAAGAATTCGACAAAGGCCCTGCGAAGGGGCGAGAGTGACCATATCTGGTCAGCCATTGCGTTGCGCAGCTTGAGCCGGTTCACTGCTGCACTCACTTCTGATACACGTATCCGTCTCGCGGCCCGAAGCCGTACGTAGGATCCGCACTTGACACGCCATCAACAGCCGGCTGCGACCCTACGGTCCACCATCCCTTTCCCGGGGCATTAAGAGCCAAAAGCCACTGCTGGATGGCCAGCGTCTCGTCGAAGATGGGCGCGTCGCACCAGGGGATGCACTGAATCTTGTCTACGAGGTACGACGAGAAGATGGCGCTGATGTCGTCGTCGCTGACTGGGTATCCCCAGATGCGGAGGGCGTCTGCGGGCGGGACCTTGAGCGAGACTCCGTAGCCGTCGATTTCACCAAAGGCGGGACTGCGCGCGTCTCCGAAGCGGCCCTAGTGAGGAGCGTAAGGAGAAGACGGGTTGGTCAGCATCTGGGTGATCTGGCTGCCACCACCCGCCCATACTCACGTTGGGGAATTCGTCCCATGTCGCATCGCTCGTCGCTGCGGCCGCTGATCTATTCGCCCCCTTTGCTGCTGCCTGTGCTCGTGCGAGCGCCTCCTCCGTCACGGCTCTGTAATCGATGTTGGCGTGGGTATCCCTCGACTTGAAGGACGGCACCTTCGCGCCGGTCGCAGGAAGCGTCTCGGCCCCCTCCTGCTGGCACTCGACCCACCCTAATCCCTCGAGCACCCTTCGCACGCTCTTCTCGAGGTTGAGAGTGCACAAATGGAAGCCCCGAATGTCCGTCTCTAGGTAGAGGCGCGCGATCATGCTGATGGCGAGATGGACGCCGTACTCCTTTACCGCTGCGTCGTCGAAGCGGATGGGCTCGAGGGCTGCGAGGACTGTGGGGGGCACCTTGGACTTGCAGAGGTTCGTCATGCGGCGGAATGATCTGCGCGGGTCAGGGTGAGGGCGAGAGAGATAAGCAATTGTGAAGACAGAGCTGAGCAGTCGCAGCTTGCTCTGGGGCACGCACTGGTAGTTCTGAATGGGCATGATACCAGGCAGGATGGGGATGGTGATTCCCGCTTCTCTACATCTGCGATACCATTCTACGAAGACATCGACGTCGTAGAAGAGCTGCGTGACGACGAAGTCAGCGCCACAATCCTGTTTGGCTTTGAGGAAGCGCACATCGCGGTCGATGTCCTGGTCGAGGCTGTCGCAGTATCCCTCTGGATAACCTGCTACGCCGATGCAGAAGAAGTCGCCGTGGGATTGACGGATGTATTCGACGAGGTCCGTCGCTCGTTGGAAGCGTGAGTCGGCGGCCACCCCTGCGAATGAGTGAAGTGAGCCAAGCATGATCAGATCACCTTCCTTCTCTCGAGTCGCCAACTCACAATACTCGTCCCCCCGAGGCGGATCACCCCTCAACGCCAGAATATTTCTGATCCCCAGCCTCTTGGCCTCTTCGAGCGTCTCATCCAAACTATCCTTATCGACATTGGTACACGTCAAATGCAAACACGAATCCATGGCCGCCTCGCAATCCAAGTCCTCCCTCACACCCTCCATGGGAACTACCGGATCCCACACGCCCCTCTGACCCCTCGCTGCCAATTCCAAGCTGCGTTCCTTTGTCGATCCGCCAGCCCCCCATGTGACGTGGTTCCACTGTGGGGAAAGGGTGGCATTCATGCGAGACATGCGGGCGAGTAGGTTGGCCTGGCCTTGGGAGGTCTTAGGAGGGAAGAACTCGAGCGACCAAAAGGGACGCGATTGTGACGACGATGTATGCTGAGCTATCTTGGTCGTGATGTGCGACGATGATGAGGAAGAGGAAGATGGCATCGCTGCCCCTGGTCCTGCCTCTGCGGTGGTAGTCATCTCGCTGCGACGCGGTGTGGGGAAGATGGCAAGAAGAGGAGAGAGCAACACCGGAAGAAGGGGAAGAAAGCGCGCCCACGAGAGGCGAGGAGACCCCCCACTCGTTCAAGTCCGTCAGCCGGATACCGCGGCATTGGTCTGTCCAGTCCCGAAGCGCTCATCGGGTCTCTCTTGCCTCTCGCACGTTGAGCATTGAATTCTCTTCAGATTGGATTGGATAGGCAGATAGAAGGGTAGAGATAGAGAGGGTAAAGAGGGACATAAATGACATCGCTCTGCACCGCATACACCGTCGCCTATACCCTCAACTCAACCATACCTACCAGATCCTCATCTGACCTTCAATGCCCTCCTCACACCCCGCGCTACTCCTTCCCGCCCGCCGTCGACCCCATCGCGGGTGAATTGACAGCCGGCGTCCCACTCGCATCACTGCTCGCCATCGAATGAGGCGGGGGCGGCACCGCCTGCTGCTGCTGCTGAGCAGGATGGGCCACACCCGGATGCATGTGTTGGGGAGGCGGCTGTTGATGGTGAGGATGATGATGAGGATGGTGATGATGCTGCTGTTGCTGCTGATGCGGGTGCCCGCCGTGCTGCCCATGCGCATGGAAGCCGCCACCAGGCCGCATAGAGGCTGGGCCCATGGGTCCCGCGACAAAGTGGGGCGGCATGGGACCTCCCTGCCCATAGTACATCTGCGGTGGTAGCGCTGCGCCCCCTTTGCCTGCTGCGTTGGCCGTCGTACGGGGCGTGCCAGGGGGAAGAGCACCACCTGCTGCAAATTGACCAGGAGCCGCCTGTACCGTTCCTGCGGCCGCTTGAGCCGCAGCTGCTGCCGCCATTTGGGGCGAGTACATCGTGGCTGGCGGGCCCTGAGGCGGCATAGGTGGTGAAAAGGGCATCGCGTGCGGTGCGTGAGGATTGTGCGGCGTATGAGGCATCATGGCGAATTGCTGCTGTTGCTGAACAGGTGCTCCTCCTGCAAAGGGCATGCCAGGACCGCCGTGAGGCATTCCGTGCGGCATCGGCATCGGGTACTGGCCGTGAGGGGGGAAGCGATAGGGACCAGAAGGTGGTCCCATCGGGGGCTGCTGCTGTTGCTGAGGTTGGTAGACGAGAGCGGGTGAGGGGGCGTACTGCGGGGTGCCTGGGACTGGGGGCGCTCCACCTCCTTCGCCTTGCCCCTGCTGAAGAGGAGTAGTAGCGTGGCCAGGCGTGCCCGGAACAGCGGGCCCTTGAGCCTGTGGCTGCGTGTACATGGCACGGAAGGATTTGCCATTGTACGGCCAAGTGGGTGGGATCGACGACGACTCAGGCACCACCTTGGACGAGCCCTTTTTGAACGGCGTAAAGTCCTCGCGCACGTGCAGGGGCGTAGCCGACTTGTTGAGGGGACGATTGCCAAAGAAGGGATTGGCGGGTGGGGCAGGAGCGGCGGGAGTAGATGAAGCTGCCCCTGCTCCAGCGCCCGGTGTGAAGCTTGCGGCTGCAGGATTGAAGGGCTTGAAAGAGCTCGCCTTGGCGCTCATCTTGGACATTGCTGACGACGAAGGAAGCGCTGGCGCAGCACCAGCCGCAGGGGCCGCCCCGTCCTGTTTGGCCTTGAAGGGCGGAATCTTGGGAATCGTCATCTTAGAAAGCATTGCTTTGGTATCAGCCAGCTGCGCAGCCTGAGTCGACGGTGGTGCTGGCGTCGCAGCCGTACTTGCACTCGCAGCGCCGCTCGAAGACGTCGGAGCCATCGAAGAGGACTGAGCGTGAGCTGGTGCCGGGCTCAAGCTCTTTTGAAGGGCTGGATCGCGAGGCTTTGAATCCGGGCTCTTGTGTACGACTGATGCGACGTCTTCAGGCATGGGCGTCTTGAGCTTGAAGCTCGATGACCAGCTCTTGAGCTCGGCGAGGCGCGCCTTCTTCTCCTGCTCCGTCTGCTGCTGCTTGCGCGACTCGAAGCGCATTCGCTCAGAGGATACGAACTGCTTAAAGTCCGAATGAAGGCGATTGGACTTGCCGTCCTCTGGGGCTGCACCCCCAGCAGCAGCAGGAGCAGCAGCAGCGACCGTCGTAGCTTTCGGCGCTGTAGCTCCGCTCCCGTCACCATCTGGGATCGTGGGGCTTGCGACATTGACGGCGATGCTAGGAGCTGCAGCTCCTGCCTTCTTCTCGGCCGCCTCGGCGAGGACGACGCGAGGGCTGGCAGCCGCTCTTCTCGCTGCGGGAGGGACATAGGCATTGGGACCACGCTTGACGGCGCCGTACCTAAGCGCGAGACAAGGGGAGCATTGCGGGTTAGCTTGAATTCTGCTGCGACTCTCGTGCACGCGTCCACGCACTTGTCTTCCTCGTTCTGGCCCGAGTCATCGACATGTCCCCTCTCTTCTGCCATGTGAGTGTTCGAAGACACCTGCCCTTCAATCTCTGCTGCCAAACGTGCAGCTCTCCTTTCCTTCTCCTTGAAGTCCTTGCCGCTACGATCGAGCTTCGTCGTGTAGAGGTCCTCGTCGTAGTTGCTCTTGAGACCAAAGCGAGCTTCATTGGCTGCGAATTGATCCCATGCCTGGCCGGGCTTCGAAGACTTGCTGCTGTTGTTGGTCGCTGAGCCGTCTTCGATGCCTCCACTGAGTGCGCTGCCATCGTCGTCCCACTTTTCCAATGCCCTCGATGCCGGGTCTGGACGAGCTGCCGCAGAGATCTCGACGTCGGTGCGAAAGGCTGCGCGAGATCACGTCGCGACGAGACAAAAGAGGTCAGCTTTCCTTTTTGATGTCGATATCGTCGCCCCGCCCTCTGGCACACGATCCCACACTCACACTGTCGGTCCGCCTCTCGTACAGGCTCGCCCAGGGTCACCTCGTGAGCCTCGACGATGTCCAAGTCGCCGCCATTGATGACGAGGAGCTTCTGTGGAGCGCCCAGGGTACCATCGCCCTTGATCTCCTGAGCAGACGAGAGGCTGACGCCGAGATCACCGGGAGAGGTCGAGTGCAAGATACCAACGAATCGTTGTCCGCTTCGAGTCTTTGCAGTGACGGTGTTGCCTACCAGGCTGACAAGGACAAACAGGGTGCGGCTAGCTGCATCGTCCCCTCGTTGAGCAGTCTGCGTCTGCGATCCCAGCGAGGGGAAAGCAGAGGCCGATGGAGCCTGCGAAGGAGGAGCAGGAGCAGGAGCTGCTGCTGCTGATGGTCCGCGAAAGCCATTGGGAGTGGACCATCCGCGAGTGCTGGGACTGCTACCACTACCGCCACGAGGAGACGACGTGGAGAGGCGACTGCCACCGCGTGAGGCTGCAGTGCTTCCGCCTCTGGCTCCACGAAGGGACATGCTGGCGGCCAAAGAAGGTTGCGTCGCGCGAAGGGAAGGGAAGGGGGAAAAGGGGAGCCGGAGATCGCTGGTCGGGGCTGATGCCAATTAGACGTTGATCATGGAAGCAGCTGAGCGAGTACGAAGATAGAGTAGACTACGTAGCAGCAGCAGCAGCAGCAGCAGCAGTGGCGGCGGCGTTGCGAAAGGTCGCAGCCGTTGGTGATGATATAGAGTAGTAGCAACGACGACCGATGGTCCTGTCGTCGAGGCGCCTCGACTTGGACTCTCGGCCTTGGCTGCACGGCACGCCAGGTCGACGACGACGACGAGCGACAGACAAGAGACAGCCCGCCCGCGCGCCCCCCCGCCCCTCCGCCCCGCCCTTGGTTGCTCACAAGCCATCTTCATCCGCTGCCTGCTGCCTCCGCCCGCGCCGACGTTCGTCTGCCTCCGCCCTCGGCTCAATCTCAACGAGCGGGGAAGAGGCGACGACGAGCAGCCATGGCACACGACGCGAGCACGACGACGAAGGAGAAGATGGTATTTCACTTCTTCAATGAGCCGTCCTGTCTATCATATTACTATTCTCCGGGCGTCGCGCACGGTTTCACGACGAGAATTCGCGGAAACGCTCCTCGTCGGACATGTACGTCTTCTCTCCAGCTGGCGCCAAGACCTCTCCAAAGACGAGCTCACCGTGCAGCTTCCAGTCCTTGGGAAGCTTGTACTTTTCAATGAGGGCATCGTTGGTCAAGTTGCCGTAATGCTGGAGGTTGCCTCCCAAACCAGCAGTCTCGATGGCAGTCCACACATTAATCTGAGCCATGCCGCTCGAGTGAGTGCTCCATTGAGGGAAGCGGTCAGCGTAGAGGGAGATCTTCTCTTGCATCTGGCGAATGGCAGTCTCGCTCTCGAAGAACAAGACCGTCCCAGCAGCAGCCTGGAAGCCTTTCAGGCGTTCAGCTCCCTTTTCAAAGGCGTCGGCAGGCGCCACGGCCCGAAGCGCCTCTTTGACGGTGTGGGACCAGTAATCGTCGTGCGCCTGGTCGTACAGAATGACCTGCGATTGCGTGGGCACAAATTTTATCAGCTCCTACTCTGCGAGCGAGGGATTGAGGCGCCCGCTACTCACCACGCGCGAAGTCTGAGAGTTGAAGGAGGATGGCGACTGCTTGACGACCTCCTTGACCAGCTTCGACAGCTCCGCCTGGGCCAGCGGCAGCTTCTTGCCCAGCGAATAGATGGAGCGGCGAGATGAGATCGTGGAGAGGAATGCTTGAGCGGACATGATTGAAGCGTTGCGTGGAAAGGAAGAGAAGCTGGGATACCTATCCTCCTCCCCACGCCATCACGCAAGAAGGTAGAGTAGGCCGGGCATGCCCAGCTTAGGGCCGGGGGTTGCCGTTCCGGCGATTGAGGGCCACGCGGGCGGGCCAAGTTCAGGCACCGCTATCCGCTCCTCCACGTCCGTCCTTGACGCCTCGACGCCCTGACTCGACAAAACTACATCTTGCGCCGCCCGATGAGTCGCCCAAAGAGCTTTGCAGACGTCGTCGATGCTGTGAGGAAGTCGTGGAAGGGTGCAGGGAACTCAACACCTTCGGCGCAACAAGTCGCCGCCCCGCAATCGAGATGGCAAACGGCGCCTTGGCTGGGCAACTCGTTCCCCACCCTCGAGGCATCGCAGCTCGAGGTCCTCTGGCCTGATGAGACGGACGCAGACACTCGGCGGTGTGTCGAAAAGGCACTCGAAGACATGAAACTCAACTGGGATCTCGATCCACAGCTGCTCGGACAGCGATCTGATGCCTCGCAAGGGAGCGCCGCCATCGTTGCCCTTCTCAGCCGCCTCACCGCCGCTGCAAAGAGCGAGGCAGGACAAGCAGCACGCAAGGAAGGTGATGAGGCCACCACGATAGCAGAGGCGAGCAGCGAGCAAAGTGCTGTCAAGACTGCGGCAGGCACCTCTGATCCACGCCCGGCCAAGTCGTACGAACGTCACGACCTCCTCCGCGCCATTGAACGCCAGGACACGACGACGATCCTCGAAATTCGCAACTTCAACTTCGACCTCCTCCTCGACTCGGCCCCTGGCTCTTCCTCCGCCGCCAGCCCTCATGGCATGTCCAAGTCGACGCTCATGCAGACGCCACTGGGCTATGCCATCTCCCTAGGCCCCAAGTGGGAGTCGACGGCAATCGTCCTCGTCGGCGCCATGAGTAAATTTGTCAACACGCTGCCAGATCCAGTCGATGACGGCACGACCGGTCGTCACCGCGTGCGCAACACCTTCGACCCGCGTACTCTCGCCCGTCTGCGCAAGCTGCGCACCAATCTCAAGCTGGCCATCGACTCTTCCCTCGCCACAGACCAGACTCGTCTGCTCTCAAGCTACATTCAGGTCCTCTTCATGAGTGAAGGCCTCGCCTTTATCACCGACGCCATCGACTCGCTGTGCTCCACGATCCGCTCAAAACGTGGCGACCCAGTTGACGAGGCCACGCAGCTCGTCTTGCAGTTTGTCAATGCCGGCCTGACGACTAGCCAGGGAACAAGTAAGCGACGCAGCGTCTCGTCGCGCATCGCCTCGGTCCAAGACCTCATCAACAACGCCGTCGGTGACCTGCTGCTCATGGCTCTGTGGGAGCTCATCAGGCCTCGGAACGACGACGACAACGAGGACTCACAGGCTCTTCCCGCCTACTTCTTTGCCCGAGACGATCGAGTGACCACAGTATTCCGTCAGCGTCTCGATACTTTGGAGAGGCGCTCTAACGCTACGTCGACGAGCTACGAGTGGCGCCGAGCATTGCAAGTCAAGGAGCAGATAGAGGGCAAAGGGGCACGACGACTCGAAAGCAGCGAGAGACTCGAGGCGATCAGCAACGTCCTCTGCGGGAGGTCGTGAGAACGTCGCGAGGAGCAGCGAGTAGCAACTTCAGGTGCGATACGACATCAACAACCACACCGCGCCTAGCGTATCCGGCCGAGACACCACTTAGCGCTCGAGTGGTATCGGCAATCACTTCGATCATCAGAGCACCTCCGGCCTGAACTTACGTCGGGCGTGCGATTATGGCATCACAAGGCGAAATGGGCACAAGATGATGCGCACCGTGCACTGCCCAACGACAAAGCGTGGGAGCTCGCTCGGTGACACTGAGTTGTCTCGGGCCCCGATCAATCCAATCGCCTCTCGCTAGGAGAGAATGCGGTCGCCGTAATTGTCCTTGTACCCACGCTTTATCCTATCGTGCTGTCTCAGCGAGATTGGTCGCAGAGCTAGAGCCACTTTTAAGCTCTCGAATAGCGCCACGCGGTCGATGGTCGAGGCACTGACGGAGAGGGCAACGGCTGGCGACGCTAGCCATAGACGATGATGCAGCGGCAGCCGGAAGAGCAAGAGGAGCAAGTCGCCGCGATAGGCCTGCCTGTATTCACGACGTCACGGTCGCGTCTCCGCTCGATCACTGGCTCTGCGTTGTCGTCGAGGAGCATTCAAAGCTTGAAGCGGCGACGAGAAAAGGAAGATTCGATGAGCCGGGCGTGCGTGGCGTGGCGTCTGTGCGTCGTCCCGAGAGTCGTGGCGGGCTTCGAAAGTCTCCGCGCCCGCATGCGGTCGACGCGTCGACCGGCACAGGCGGGAAGGGAGCACGAGAGCTTTCGACGGACGAGAGATGTTGGTTGTTCCAAGTTGGGTTCCGTTTCTCACGTCAAAGCGTCTCGTCAACCTTGTTTAGCCAGAATGACGACCTCGATGACCTCGACGACCTCTTTCGGACCTCCCACGCAGGAACCGGCAGAGAGAGCTTGATCGAGCTCCGGATAGGCCAAGCAAATGATGCGCTCCTTTCAATCACCGATGCCCTTGCTTGCTTGCTCGCTCCCTCCGTATCGTCATCGCCGAAGCAAGCACCGCTCGAGGACGAGATGCTACAAAAAGGATCATGGGCGGCGACTAGTTGCTCCATCTCGACTCCTCATCGCTCCTTGCTCTCCGATTCCCTCACTCCTCCCCTCCACCCCCTCTCCCGCCATGTTGTCGTGGACCCCACTCGTCGTACTTGCGCTCCTCGCCTTGGTGCCCTCTGCCCACGCATATTGGATTCTTGGCCACCACAACCTCGTCTCACAGCGCCTCGACCCCATCATCGCCCCCAATGGCATCTCAGGTCACACGCACGCCTTTGTCGGCTCAGCTGCCATTCAACCCGGTCAAGACGTCAACACGATGTGCACCACCAGCCCCGTCAAGGCCGACCTCAGCAAGTACTGGGCGCCTCAGCTCTACTACTACAACGGTGACACACGCAAGTTTGCGTCCATCAACCTCGGCACCGTCAACACCTACTATCTCAACCGCGGCGGTCCCAAGATGGGCGAGGACTCTACATCGCTCCAGCCGTTCCCCAAGGGTCTCAAGATGATTGCTGGCTCAGCCATGCTCTTTGACGCACCCAACTCTGACCCCATCAAGGCCAAGGCCGTCAGCTTCGTCTGCCTCGGCGGCAACAACCCTCAGACCACGACGCTGCCCACTGGCGTGTGCTCCGGCGGTATGCGCGCTCAGATCGTCTTCCCTTCGTGCTGGAACGGCAAGGACCTCGACTCGGACGACCATCAGTCGCACGTCGCCTACCCCATTGGTGGCCAGGCCGACACGGGTGACTGCCCCTCAACGCACCCCATCAAGTTCATGACCCTGTTCTACGAGTTCATCTACGACACTGGATCGCTCCAGGGCAGCGTCACAAAGGGCAATTCGAGCAGCGGCTTTGTTCTCGCAAACGGAGACGCCATCGGCTACTCTTTCCACGCAGACTTCGTCAGCGACTGGGATACGACGGTGCTCAAGGCTGCCATTGACGAGTGCGATGGCGAGCTTGGCGGCAACATTCGCCAGTGTGCTCCCTTTGTTCCCTCGATCCATGAAGAGACGACGACGCCCAACAGCGCAGACCCGGCAGCCGGCTACTGCCGTACGGGCGCTGCCGTCAATGAGGTCGTCCTCGGTAGCAACTTTGATGCTCTTCCAGGTTGCCAGACGGTTAAAAACGGTCCTTTCAAGGGCGCTGGCGCTGGCTGCACGGCCAGCAGCCCTACGACGACGGCCACGCCCAACAACTCGACGCCCGCCGACGCCGCCTACCGGGGCTGCTACCAGGAGCCCACGAACGCACGAGCCCTCGTCAACAAGGTCAGCTACAAGGGTCAGATGAGCACGAGCGTCTGCCGCGCCGCCTGCTCCGCTGCTGGCTTCTCCGTCGCCGGCATGGAGTACGGCCAAGAGTGCTGGTGCGACAACTCCATGACCTCTGGTGCCAAGAAGGTCTCTGACGACTTCTGCAACATGGCTTGCCCCGGCAACTCGACGGAGACGTGCGGTGGTAGCAGCTTGCTCTCCGTCTACTCTATCAAGGCCGTGACAACTACGGCTGCTACTTCCATCCCGCCTACCGCTGGCACGTCGAGCTACCAGGGCTGCTACCAGGAGCTCAGCGGCGGGCGAGCTCTTTCCAAGGCCTCGTACTCGAACAGCACCAACACGCCCACTCAGTGTGCCGCCTTCTGCGCATCCAAGGGTCTGCAGTTCTCGGCCACTCAGTACTCGTCCGAGTGCTATTGCGGCGCATCGATTTCGACTGCCAAGCTGGCCGACTCGCAGTGCAGCATGTTGTGCTCGGGCGACAAGACGAGCTTCTGCGGTGCCGCGAGCCGATTGCAGGTCTACAAGGACAACGCCTGGAAGCAGAGCCAATTCACCGTCATGCAGCAGGGACAATGGAACTTCACCGACTGCGCCGTCGACTCGCCAAGTGCGCGCACTCTGCCGACGGGCATCTCGAACCCGGCCAACACGGTAGCGGGTTGCCTCGCTGGGTGCCAGGCAAAGAAGATGACCTTCTGCGGCGTCGAGTACGGTGGGGAGTGCTGGGGCGCAACGAAGCTGCCTACGGGCTTCAAGGCAAGCAATGCGGAGCCCGTGGCGCGCGGCTGCTCGATGCCTTGCAACGGCAATTCGACGCTCTACTGTGGTGGATCCAGTCGCATGAACCTGTACACCTTCTTCTCCAATGCCTCGCCGACGAGGCCGACTGTGCTGGCGTAGGCGTAGCAGCGTTACGCGCATGCCACCTCTCACAACCTTGTATTATAATACCACGAATCGTGTCACTGTCATTGCTTGCGTTGGTCATTGCTTGCGCCCGTCCACACTCACTCATCCCGCCTGCCACCGTCTCGCTGCAAGCCTTCCCTCTTGCCAAAGGCTGGCAGCCCACTAGCCAATCGCTGCCCTGCCACCAAAGAGCTCCAGTCGAGTTTCTGCCCAGGTGGAGCGTTGGCTCGCGCTGCGATGAGGTGTTGATGAGCCACGTCTACGATGGGCAAGGGGCAGTCCACGCTGGCACCGAGACGACGAATGTGCGAGGCGTCCTTGATGCCGCCGTCGAGGGAGAAGCCCTCTGCTGAACCGAAGCTCTGGTCAAGGATCTTCTTGGCGTAGCCGATGGCAGATGGGGCTGGGTCTGACAGCGATGCGAGGGTGAATCCGTGAGCGCTCGTGATGCTTTCGTCGCGGCTGTCTCCGCGCCCACTCACAAAACTCTTTAACAAAGTCAAAGAACTGGTCTGCTCCTACACCTGTCTTTTCTGCCAGTGTCATGCACTCGCTGAGCATCTCGATGGTGCTCAGAATGAGCGAATTGCCAATGAGCTTGAAGCTGGCCGCTCGCTCTGGGTTGCTACCAAAGTCCATGACCTTTCGGCCGACGCCCGGCACGAGGAATTGGCTCACAAACTTCTTGGCGTTGTGAGGTCCAGCAATGGCAAACACGAGGGTACCAGCATGGGCCATGGGAGGGGGGCCGAAGGCGGGAGCTGCGATGAAGTAGCGGTTGGGGACAGCAGAGATCTGACGTTCGAGTTCGCCTGCCAACCAAGAGACAAAGGAGCAAGATGATCAGCGGCCACGAGTATATGCGCTTCTCTTGGCTCAACGCGCTGCTCACCCGTCGTTTCCGGGTACAGCGTCGAAGTGTCTACAAAGATTGTCTTGCCCACACTGGCTTCCCTGTGCCCTGGCTTGCCATTCTTCTTCTCCTCTCCCTCGAGCAGCTTGGCAAACACATCCTTTGCCGCCTTGTCATCGCTCAGGCTTACGAATACGAGATCACACTTCTGTCCCATCTCGACGAGGTCCTCGCACACCTTTGCCATGTCCTTCGCCTCGTCTACAAGCGCCTGAGACTTCGATGCTGTACGGTTGTAGACGAGGAGAGGAGGCAAAGGAGGCTGACGCGAAGCCATATTGCGGGCGAGGTTGAGGGCCATGCTCTTGCCCATGTTGCCCAGCCCCACCCAGCCAATCTGGTGCTGAGGGTGAGGCGTAGCGGGGCGCGAGTAAGGGTGAGCAGGTGGTGCGGCGTGGTGGGATGACATGGTTGGCGGCGTGATTCGATGTGGAATGAAGGTCAGCAAGAAGCGTCGTTCGCAGCATCGGAGAGAGTCGAAGGGTCGAGTGAATTGCTCCGCTGCCGTCGAGTGGAGGCTGTGGGTCAAGGTCGCGGCCGCGACGTGCAGGCTCGCATCACTCGCAGTCAAGATGGAAGGAACCTCGTCATTTCGTCATCATTCATGTCGTTTCAGTAAGGGATGGGCGTGGGCGAAGCCAAGAGAAATAGAGTAGAGAAGAGACGATCACGACGTACTACGGTGAATAACATCAATCTATCCATGCATGCATGCGAGTCCTACGTTATTCTCCCCCTCTTCTCGTCGGTCGTCTCTTGCTAGTAGCTCCTCCTGCCGCGCGTGTCGTAGGGCAGCAGCGCCAATGCTATGGGGCAGAGGAGCGTGACTCCACCGCCAAGGTACAGCGTGTATCTGGCGGCCAAGTCTTTTGAGATGTCCGCATACTGGCCGTACAGGCTGTCTCCTGCCAAGGGAGCTACGATACCCGCAATGCGGCCCAGCGTCGACGTGATGCCCGCAGCTGTCCCTCGCACCGCACTTGGGTAGAATTCGGGTACGACGGCGTAGAGGACGGCGTTGAAAAGGGACTGGAAAAAGTACTCCATAGCATTGAGGCCGACGGAGCCAGCCTCGGTGTCGATGATCGTGTAGATGAACATACTCACACCCATGAGAGCTGAGCTGATGACCATGACCCACTGTCGTCCGACACGAGGCACCTCGATGAGAGCGCACCCAACCAGGCAGGCAAGGATGCCAGGTGCGTAGATGATGACATAGTCGCGGTACGTCTCGGATAGGGCTCGACCTTGTTGGAGGCCCCGGTCGGCGAGGATCTGAGGCAAGAAGGTACCGGCGATCGTGAAGCCAAAGAAGCTGGAGCGTACGCGCAAAGAGTGCAACTGATCAGCTTGTTGCGCACACGACGCTTCGCGCTACGCCCAATCACTCACTCGGCCATGTATGTAAGCCACATCAAAATGGTGATCCTGGCCATGACCCTGTCCCTGAACAGGATGTGGATCCCACGCAGCTGCGCGCCCATCTCTCCTAATGTCCTTGACACAGTTTGCCACGCCGTCTCATCTTCTTCAATCTTTTCGTCTGAAGGAGCAGGCTTGGCAGAGACTCGAGGAGAGACACGACGCCCGCCTGCGGTACCGCTTGCTCCGCCGGATGGCGGCGCAGCCCTCTTTGCTGCTTGAGCCGCCTTGTCAGCATCGGAGTCGGCGTTGGCATCTGAAGCTTCTGCCGTCCCGGTCAGCATAGGCTTGTCGGCTGCCGTGTCATGGGTAAGACCTGACAGGCGAGACGCCATGTCGCTATCGCTGCTGCGGCCGGTCTGAATCTCCATGCAGCGTTGCTCGATCTCACGGAAGTCGTCCATGTCAAGGCGAGGCCTCTCAACTTTGTTGACCTTGGCAATCTCGTACAGGACCTGGAGCGCCTCCGCGTCGTGCCCGCGGTTGATGAGGTAGGCTGGTGACTCCCTGAACTTGAAGACTAGAAATCGTACAAAGAAGACGAAGAGCGTGATGGCTCCGATGGTGTAAAGCGTGTATCTCCAGCCAGCATTCTCGCTCCTTGTGCAAGCGGCCAGCTGATCGGCCATGAGCTCAGCGCTGCCTCCTCCGCACGAGTAGCGGGGCACGAAGCCGTAGGCGATGCCTGATGCTGCTAGGGTGCCAATGGGCTGGAAGACGCTGAGCAGTGCGAGAAGATAGTGACGGCCAGTCGGCAAGAATTCGAGTGTGATGGTGCAGTCGATGGGGATGTTGCCGCCAACGCCAAAGCCGACGAAGGCGACAAGGATGCGCAGACCGGTGAACGAGGGTCCTGCACCGCTCGCGACGCCAAAGATGCCAGCAATGAGGCAAGTGAGGTAGAAGGACCACTTGCGGCCAACGACGTCGACGCCGATGCCCCACGAAAAGGCGCCTACGGTAAGTCCCACGTTGAAAGCAGTGGTGAGGGTGCCAATGTTGCCGTCCATGGCTCCGAAGCCCTCGTTCTTAAGGGGCACGAGGATGAGGCCAAATGCTTGAGCCCAGAGGAGGTCGATGAAGAAGCCAAGGCCGCAGAGGAAGAAGATGAACCACTGGGATGGGGAGCGAGAGGCAAGCAAATAGGACGTATCAGTATGCGGATGATGATGCTTTGCACCCGCGCTGCGCGTCTCACCTGGTATCGGCCCATTCCCATTGCATCAAGCTCTGCGCTTACGGCGAGCGACTTGTTCTCCTTGGCAGAGCGCCTATCGTCAAAAGCAAGCATCCAAGGAGATTCAGTGAGCTCGCCACCTTCGGCGGCAGCGTCATCGGAGGCTGCGGCTGCTGCCTCTTCGGGACTGGCCTGATCGGCGCCGCTGAGAATGCGAGAGTTGCGGATGGAGCTGCGGTGAGAGCGTGATGACATGAACGATCTTCGAGCTCGAGCCCGAGATGGCGAGTCGCTGTTGTTGCCTCGCTGAGCATCACCCTCTTCGTCGTCGCTGTCACGCGGCAGGATGCGCTTCGAAGAATGGCTGCGCTTGAGGGTAGGAGTACGAATCATGTTGCGCAGAGGAATCGACTCTGAACGGAGGAGCGCTACGGTGGGGTCGACGTCGAGGTCCGAGTAGGAAGACGAGGGAGAGTCCGAGTCGTGCGGGCGAGGATGGTCTTCGTCGTCGTGGTCGTTGCTTGCGGCGTGTCTGCCTAATGGCATGCGGCGATAACGCGGCGAGCTGCGATGATTACGTGGTGCGCTCGAGAAAGCACGCGTGAGGTAACGGGCCTGACGTACTCAACGTGCTCGATGTATCCACCGGGTGATTACGAGCGGAAGAAGGGTCGAGGGACTATGCAGAGGTAGCGCACAGAATGGTGAGTTGAAGAAGCAACGATGGACTAGACGATGACCGACGACAGAGGGATGACGAGGGACGACACACTGTGAGATCTCGCCCTACGCCCGCATTGCCTGACCTGACTGGCATCAAACTTTCGTCCCCGACTGGCTCGTCTCGCTCGTCTCTCCACGCAAGCTTACGAAGTCTAAGCGGCCAGTGCGGTCAGGCCAAAGGGAGTTGCGAGCAGCGGGCGGCGGCTAAATGGGAGGCGACGAGCGAAGCTGCAGAAGCTAGGCAAGGGTCCACTCCGCGTCTCTCTGCCGCCGAGCCTGCCGTCTTCACCTCGCCGCACTGCCCGCCGCACTCGAGGTTCCCAGGCTATGGGAGCAAAGCTGGGTCCTCAGGAAGCAGGAACAGAAAGGAGAGGAGCAAAGGCTCACGCGTGGATCAGGTGGTCAAATGGGAAGGCGAACGATCACCAAGACGATGCCAGGACAGCCCTTCCATGAAAGCAAGCACTCAACATCGATAGCGGACGTTCGGGGGTCGACCTGACGGCAGCGCGACGGCACACTGTGGACCTTGAACCCTGTCTCCGAAGAATGACGTCGGCCGTCTCAGTCTTCTGGGCCGCGCTCGCGTTGCTAACGATGTGGATTCCAGAGCGCGTTGATGATAATGATGAAAAACGAGTGACGACGAGACATCTTACACTATCGAGATGAAATTAGATGCGAGGAGCGCACACTAGTCCTCCTGCATACCGTCCACGCTTTGCTCCTCCTTGACTTTGGTGGTATCCTCGGCAGCCTTGTTTGCTTTGCTAGCCGCCTTCTTGTTGCCTCCTGCCGCTGCCGCCGCCGCCTTCTTGCTTGAAGGTGCAGTCGCCCCGTCAACTGTAGAGTTCGCCGCCTTGCCCGCTTTTCCCTTTGCTGCACCCCCTGCCTTGCCCTTCTTGGTCGTCCCCATCGTGGAAGAAGCTGCCTCAGCCCCAGCCACGTCGTCGTCGTCCTCGTCCCCATTTGCAACGACAACGTCTACCCCCAATTTGTTGCGCGCCAGCTTCGCCCTCGCGTGGTCTCGCCTCGAGCACAAGTCGCGGTGTTCCTCAAGGAGCTGCCTCAGATGCTCGACGGACTTGCCCAGCACTACCGCCTCGCTGCGTGGACCCGCTCGTCCATCGATGCGCTCTCCTCCCACATCGTACGAAGCGTCTGCGTCCGCGGTCCCATTGTCACCCGTGCCACCAGCTCCGCCACTGCCCTCCTTCTCAAGGGCTTCACGCAGCGCTGGTACGCCGGCGCAAAGCATCTCGTACCCTTTGCGGATGTTGGCGCGACGCTTCTGCTCCGAGGCGATGTGATTGGCCTTCTTTTCAGCTTCCGTCAGGAGGACGTGGGGCGCCTTCTTGCCCTTTTCTCCTCCTCCAGCCGCTGGATCTGGACTGCTCGACGCCTTCTTGCCGCCGGCCTCAGCGTCATCTTCGGCATCGCCGCCCCGCTTCTGCGACGCTTTCTTCTTCTTTTCCTCTAGCAACTCAGCTTTCTTTGCGCGCTCTTCTTTTCGGCGTTCCTTCAAGTCGACGAGGTGCGGCTGGAAAAGCTTTCTCTCTTCGGCCTCATCCCTGCCAAAGAAGGCCTCGACGACGTGTGGCGCCACACCTTTTCGATCCACGCGTGACAGATTGAGCTTGAGCGGAGGGTACGATTCGCTCGTCTTGGATGGCGAGGGAGCTTTCGGCCAGGGGCGATACAGATTCGAGCTGGAGTCGGAGCGAGTCAATGCGCTATCCGCGGTCGAGTCGGGACCAGGAGCCGATGCAGCGTCGCCTGTTCTTCTCCCAGTCTTGGACGAAGAGCGTGACCCGCTGGCTTGCTGCGTCTGATCCGCCATCTCGGAGTCACCATCTGGCCCCCATGCAGCAGCGATGTGTCCAGGAATGGTTGGCGGTTGATGCGCAGATTGCTGTCCATTGCCGTGCGCAACACCTTCTGGTGGGGAAGCGGCAGGGAAGTCGTGGCTGCTGGGGAAAGAGAGGCCCAAAGATGACAAGCTCGGGCCAGTCTGAGCAGCACCCATAGGTGAAGCAGACGAGTGAGGAGACGCGTAGGCGCCGCCTCCGCCGCCGCCGCCTGACGATGATGACGACGAAGAGGCTTCTGCGGTAGGCAACGACTCCATATACCGCCTACGCTCTGCCTGCAAGGCCTGAAGCTGCTGCATCTGCCATTCACGACTCTGTCCGTACGCTCCTCCACCGGCAGGACGAGCTTGCGAAGCTGGATCTGCCTGCGAGCCAGAGGCCGTCTGGCCCCAGCCCCACGATGATGCAGCGTTCTGCGCCGTCCCATGGTAGGCGGTTTGCTGCTGGCGTTGCGGTATTTGATAGCCTGGCTGAGCGATCGATGCCGAATTACGCCTCACAAAGTCGTTGAAGGACGTGTCTGCCGACACTGCGTTATGCGACGTTGGCTGCATTGAATGCGGCGTCTGACCTGGAGCCCACGACTGCTGTCTCGAGCGAGACGGACCGCCATTGTTATTACCACTGCGCAGCGCAGACGAGCCTGACGAAGGCGAAAAGTGAACTGAAGGGTCCCAAGGCGGTAAGCTGGGACCTGCCCCGCTGCCTGATCTCATCGAATTTGCCATGCTGTTGTTGGGTGCCGTCAAGCTTTGAATTAGGCCAGGAGGTAATACAGCGGGCACTTTGAAGCCGGGTGCGCCGTGTTGAAAGGGATCGAAGGAGAAGGCAGAGGCAAAGGAGTCGGTCATGAATCGGGCCTCGTCTGATGAGAAGAGTGGATTGTCCGTTGGTGGGGCGGGTGGAGGAGGATGGCCGCTGTTGTGACTGCTGTGATGCGAGCTACTGGTCGCCATCATGGGAGCATGTGAAGTGGATGAGGACGGAGCACCCGTCGTCGCCGTTGGCGTTGGTGAAACGAGTGGGGCATCTGTAGTAGCCATCGATGTCCCACCGCCAAAGGACATAATGCAAGCCAATGGTCCGCCCGCAAACGAGGATGATGGATGATGTGATGGAGGGAACGCTTGATTGGGGTTTAGCGGGCTGTGCTAGCGTGCCTGAATAGATCTCACGCGACGGCGACGGCGGCGGCGTCGGTGGTGACGAATGGGAGGATGCGGAGACAGTCGTCGAGAGGCGGCTGCGTCGACGGATCTAGCGTCGAGTCGAGTGAGTGAAGTGGCTTCGACCCCGGGCGGCGGGCGGGCAGGCAAGGACGGCAGGCGAGGCCAGATGCTCCCTCTCTCTCTGTCTGTCCGCCTTTCTCTCTCGGCTGATCGTGAGAGCGAGCCGGAGGCGGGGGCCGGAGCTCAGCAATTGCGGGGGATCGCAAGAGAGCACCGCGAAGATTTGGGGGAGAGATTGATAGTAATCAAATGGGAGGAGGCGAGAACGAAGAGAGTGGTACGCAGCTGGCTCCGGCGAGGCGCTCATCTTGTGTCGAGCGAGGTGGTAGACAAAGGTGCCCGCTGGAGACGTCGGGTACGACGGCAGGGAGCGGGAAGCGGCAGGCAGGCGGCAGGCACATGGGAAAGGCGGAAGGCGGGCGATTGGAGATTGTGGGCGATTGTCGACGAGAATGACTTTGCGGGGTGTGCGGGTTCACGGAATTGCAAACCTACCTCGTCCTGTCCCCTCTTACCATGGCATGGCCAGCGACGTCTGTGGTAGCGCTCACAGCATGCAGTAGAAGAACAGCGGCAGCAGCGCCGCGATGTAGCGGAAACCTACCGCCGCTCGCATCCTGCTCAATCGTACGTCGTCGCTACTTTCACTCGACGGGAGCGGCGTCATATTCCCCCTCTGCTCGAGCTTCACCCTCATCGCCTCCGTCTGGTCCAACAGCAAGATACAATGAATTGGTGCAAAAGGGTCTGCTGAAAGATGACGACCATCAGCGCTCCATTATAGCCATCTTGCAGGGCTTGCACGAAGAGCTTACGCTCTATCGACCGCCGAATCCTACGAGGCCGTTGGGACAGAAGAAGGAGGTGGAAAAGAGGGGCTTCGTGAGTGGCCGCCGGCGATGGCGACGCGGTAGAGCTCAAAAGGTTGCATCGAGCTGAGAGGTTTCCTTCTTCGCCCACGCGCAGTTCGGCCGCCTTTTCGGCTCATCATCACACGAGGGCAGCGATGGACACGACGACGGCAAGCTGCAAGTACCAGAGGATGTGCCAAAGGGGCTTTACCTTCACGGGGACGTAGGCACGGGTAAGAGGTGCGCGAGCGAGAGGGCAATCAGTAGAGTGCTACTCCTCATGTTGATCTGTCCCTTACCTTCCTGCCGTCACGCCGCTTAGCATGCTGATGGACCTCTTCTTCGACACACTTCCCGACAACATCACACACAAACGACGCATACACTTCCACCAGTTCATGATCGACGCTCACAAGCGCATGCACGCCTTCAAGACGCTCACTCACAAGCCCAGTGGCATCGTCGTCGGCGCCTCGTCTCGCGTCATGAGCGGCGCAGCCAATGCCATCTCGGGCGGGCCTGCTGGTGGGGCAAAGGAGAGGGCAGCGGCCGCTGCGGCAGCTGGCGAAGACGTAGACCCGATCCCTCCCGTGGCCATGGAGTTCGCTCAGGAGGCCACCGTGCTCTGCTTCGATGAGTTCCAGGTCACCGACATCGCCGACGCCATGATCTTGCGGCGCCTACTTGAGCACATGATCGCCCACGGCGTCGTCTTCGTCATGACATCGAATCGCGAGCCGAAAGACCTCTACAAGAACGGCATCCAGCGCTCTTCGTTCGTGCCCTGCATCGAGCTCCTCCAGTCGCAGCTGAAGGTGCAGGACCTCAACTCGGGCACAGACTACCGCAAGGTGCCCAAAGCTCTGAGCAAAGTCTACTACGCGCCACTCGACGACAAGAACCTGCGCGAGTTTGAGAAGTTGTTCGAAGCCTTCACGAGCGACCCGCACGATCCGGCCATCGAGGGTCGCCCGCTCACCATCTGGGGCCGCACGCTGGCCGTGCCCCTCTCGACGAAGAAGGTGGCCCGCTTCTCCTTCCACGACCTATGCGGCACGCCTCGCTCTGCGGCAGACTACATTGAGATCTGTCAGACGTTCCCGACGGTCTTTGTGGACGAGGTTCCCAAGATGGGGCTCGACCAGCGCGAGATGGCCAGGCGCTTCATCACCTTCATCGATGCCGCCTATGAGAGCAAGACGAAGCTCTTTGCGAGCAGCGAGGTGCCCATTCTGCAAATCTTTGGCGCTGGCACGGACGGCAACAAGAAGGTGCGCAGCGCAGCGCGAGAACGGAATGATGGCCGCCGTGCGACGAGCTGACCCTTCTACACTCTCCTCACCCCGCCGCAGGCCGAGACGAGCGACGCGATGCGCGAAGCAATGGACGCCCTGGGCATGACGATGGACCAGCTCGGCGGCAATCCTATCTTCAGCGGAGACGAGGAGTTGTTCGCCTTTGCCCGCGTCATCTCGCGACTGACTGAAATGGGCACGACGCAGTATGCAGAGCTGGCGGGAGTCGGGAGCAAGGAAGCACCGCCGGAGATGTAGGCGCGGCGCAGCGCACAACGATTGCAATGTGAAGGCCTTCTTCATGCTACCATCAAGCGTCATCGCACTTGACTGTCTCACCCTGCTGCTTAACGCCATACAAGGTCGTCGTGAACACATTTCGCCAGATGAACTGAGCTGATTGAAGCGCAGCGCAGCGTTTGCCTGTTTCTGGCCATCGACACAGAGTCGACATTCATCACTACTCCTCCTTCTGGCACCGACGGCTCCGCAACACAGCAATGACTTTCCCGCCAGAGCCTCAATAGCGCTAATGCGTCTGAGCTGGATGCCAGATGCCATGAACAATGGATAGCCAAGGTGTGCTTGCAGCGGCCCGAATACTGGATTGCATTGAGCAGAGTAGAGCGGAGGACGATTGAGACGTCGTGGATCGCATTGAGCTTAGCATGACAGAGGGTGACGCCGCGCAGCAAGGCTCGCAGCGATCAAGGGCATGTGGGTGCTGATGAATGGAACGGCCGTCACAAAGTAAAAGAGCTGAGTCACACACGCCGCGCAAGCATCGGAAAGGCAGGGCTCTCTTCAAAGAAGCGTCGCGCTGTGACATCAATCACAATCCTCAAGATCCATTTGAGGCTCTCTATCAAAGCGCTACGACGACGTGGATTGCAAGTGATGCTGATGACCGCAGATGTAGCCTCAATACTCCCTCGGACGAGCGCGATCATCATTTGCGAGGTTCTCCGTGGATTGTCATAGGGGTTCGCGTTCATGTCATGAAAGCCGTCGAGCTCGGACGTCACGTGTCGCCGGCTCAGCGCGACACCTAAGCAAGACGCTGTCAGCCCGTCTGTCATCTGTCGTTACTCCAAGTGGCAATGTGCTGTGCTTCGTCACTCGTGTGTTTTACTCGGCGAGAGAGGTGCTCAGCTCGCTGATGCACGAGAGAAGCTGGGTACAGACGTCATTGATGGCATTGCGGGGTCTGTCCGCTCTGCAGAGAAGCAAGCACGGTAACGCAGCTGCCATTGACAAGGTACACGGCAGTAGACTCTCTCTGCATTGATCTGCCAGCATCACCACACAAACGCGCCAATGGCCGAGACAAGCCCGACAGCGAGAAACCCACATCGCACAAGGTGTAGCTTCTGCCATTGCTGGAAGAGCTGCTCTACCTCTGCCTCGTTGACGCTTTCACGCTTGTTGGCCTCCTTGCGGAGTGCCATGAGCTTCGTGTTAACGGGCATGATGACAATGAGCTGTAAGGCGCGTCGTACGGCGTGCGGGGGAGTTGTGATGATCAGCTGAAGTACACGCACACGCCTGCTATGATACGTTAAGGAGCGCGGCGCTGCGCAGCGGCACGCGCTGCGCCGGTACTTACAGTCCAGGGCACGATCGAGAACTGCGCTGCCGCCCCGATGCCCAGCAGCCTCCAGTTGGGCGTGAGGGCGGCGAGCTTGTTGCGATTCATGGCGTAGAGGCTGCCCCAGAGTGCGGAGCAGGCGAGGCCTAGCGCCGGGATGACGGTGCCCATCTTGTAGGAGCGCTCCCAGAGGGTGAGGCGCTGGTTGATATTAAGGGACGGGCTGCGGGAGGGAGAGTCGAGGAGATCACCCTGGTGCTTCATAGCATAGTGCGGATTGATGATGAGAGGATAGGCGATGGCGAGACCTAGCGATGGGCGAGCGGCGAGCGGCGAGGAACGAAGAGTGTCAGTCAGATTGTGTGAGCAGAGAGGCAGCGTTCAAGTGCTCTGCCGCCCTTCTGGCTCACCAGCTTGGACACCAGCCAAAGCCAAACCGACGGTTGCGACGGCATTGGAGTAAGTCGGCGAAGGTACGGACATGATGATGGCGGCGAAGTGGTGGTTCGAATGGCAAGATGATCGTCGCCGCAACCTTCAGCACAGGCCCACGGAAAGCGGATTCGAGATGGTCAGTGCGCAGCCGTCGAACTAGAATCGGGCAAGAGGGAGAGCCGCTCTCACGATGACCAGCAATGCATTGCGATTTGTACGAGATCCATTGACAGTGTCCCTTTGCATGTTCTCGCCCCCCTCACAGCACCACGAGAGGCATCGCCTGGGGCTCGCTCATCGTGATGGTCCTCGTCTGCGTAAACTCGTGCAGACCCGCCACGCCATTGAAGCGCCCAAACCCACTCTCCTTCCAGCCACCGTGCGGGATGCTCGGATGGTCGTGCACTGTGATCGCATTGACGTGAACCTGCCCTGCTTCGATCTGTTGAGCCAAACGCACAGCTCGCACCTCGCTGCCGTAGACTGCCGCGGCTAGACCGGCAGAGTTGCTGTTGGCCAGTCGGACAGCCTCATCGTCCGAGGTGAAGGTAGTGACGGAGAGAATGGGCGCGAACGCCTCCTCTTGGAAGAGACGCATCTCTGGCTTGACGCCGCTTACGACGACTGGCTTGACAGAGGCATGCTCGACGTCGTTGGCGCTCGAATCGCCCGCAGCAATCTTAGCGCCAGCCTGGAGCGTCGACTCGAGGATCTCATTCGCACGCTTGGCTGAGGCGGCGGTGAAGAGAGCGCGAGCCTTGCCTGGAGCTTTGCGGTACTCGGCGAGGGCTTCTTTGTTCTCTGAGAACAGGCGCTGAACCTCTTCGAGGAAGGACTTTTCAATCTTGGCGTCGACGAGAATGATGGCCGTCGACATACAGATTTGCCCGTGATTCATCATGGCGCCAATGACCGCATTGTTGGCGGCAACCTTGATGTCAGCGTCGTCGAGGACAATCTGCGGCGCTTTACCACCGAGCTCAAGGACGATGGGCTTAATAGCCTTGGCAGCTTCCATGGCGATGAGGCGGCCGACGCGCGTGCTCCCAGTGAAGTTGATCTTGCGAACGGCCGGGTGGTGGATGAGGGCGTTGGTCACCTCGACGACGTCCTGGGGCGCCGAGTGGACCACGGACAGCACACCCTTTGGCAATCCGGCATCGTAGAGGAGCTGGGCAACTGCCAGATGCGTTCGTGGGCTGTTCTCCGACGTCTTCAGAATGCAAGTATTGCCAGCAGCGAGCGGGTTGAGGATAGCGCGAAGGGCGAGGAAGAAGGGAGCGTTCCAAGGCGCAATGCCGAGTACCACGCCAAAGGGCTCGCGCTGGATGAGCTCGCGACGACCAGAGCCGTCGAGACGTGGGAATTCACCTCGAAGAGCCGTCGAAATGACAGCTGCCGTCTCCTCTAGACCTGGCACGGCGAGGTGAGCCAGCTCGAAGCCGGAGAATGACAAATCAAGGCACGTCTCGTCGGTGGTGAGCTTGACGTACTCATCGATGCGGCCACGAAGGAGATCGGCAGCCTTGAGAAAGATTGCACGACGCTCCGGGAAGCTCGTCGACTTCCATGATGGCAGCGCCTTTGCAGCTGCGTCGACTGCTCTATTGGCGTCGTCGACGGAGCACGAGACGACGGAGTGGACCTTGGCGCTGTCTCCGCGCTCAGGACGGACTACATCGAAGAGCGTCTTGGAAGACGTCAATGGCTCACCGCCAATGAGAGCCGGTACCGGCTGTAGGTTGATAAACTGGGCAGGAGATGTTCCGTTGCTCATGGCGGACGTTTCGATTGGTAGAGAGCGAAGCTGTCAAAGGCCATGTCGAGTCGCTGAGAAACAGCTGGTCCAATTCGTGCGGGGAACGAGAAGCAGCATCGAGCCGTCAGGCGTCAGTCAATCTGCGAGCACGATCTGCGAGGTGCTGCATGATCATCGCAATTGCACACCGACTGTCGTCAGTCATCTGACGCCTCAAAGTTGTGCTTTGGCCTGCCTGGCCGTGCCCCTTGGCGGCGGCAATTGCCTAGGGCCGAGAGTCGCAGCGACATCCGCGAATTCCTTTGTCGTCGCGACTCGACATCCACTTTCACTCTTTCTTGATCCTATTACTCCACACCACTGCCGCACAACAGTATGCTGGCCGTAGAAACGCCTCCCTCTCTGCCCGTGCAGCACACGCTACCACCGCAGTCGATAGCAGAGGCACTGCCCGACACTGTGCCAGAGAATGCGCCCGCTCACTGTCCTGGGACTGATAGCGACCAGGCGGGCAAGGCCTCGGCGTGCGATGGATGCCCTAATCAAGGTGTATGCTCTTCAACGCCAAAAGGCCCTGACCCAGACTTGCCAAAGATCAAACAGCGAATGGCAGCTGTGCGCAACAAAATCCTCGTCATGAGTGGCAAAGGAGGGGTGGGCAAGTCGACGTTTACTAGCATTCTCGGATGGTCATTCGCCACTGATCCCGATGTACAAACGGCCATTATGGACATCGACGTCTGTGGGCCATCAATGCCCACGATCCTTGGCCTAGCCAATGCTACCATTCACTCATCATCGACTGGATGGTCACCCGTCTACGTCTCCGACAATCTATGCTGCATGTCCATTGGCTTCCTCCTCCCCTCGCAATCATCCGCCGTCATCTGGAGAGGACCCAAGAAGAATGGCTTGATCAAGCAGTTCCTCCTCGACGTCGACTGGTGTGGCGGTGACGAAGAAGAGGCCCAAGCAATGGCAGACGGAATCGTCCCTCGCTCTCACCCGCTCGACTACATGCTCATCGACACGCCTCCTGGCACCTCGGACGAGCATCTGTCGATTGTCTCCTACCTCAAAGAGAGCGGCATCAACGGCGCAATCCTCCTCACTACGCCGCAAGAGGTGTCTCTTCAGGATGTCCGCAAGGAGATCTCATTCCTCCGTAAAGTTGATGTGCCCATCCTCGGCGTCGTCGAGAATATGGCTGGCTTTGTCTGCCCCGCATGTCATGGACGCAGCGATATCTTCTATCCATCAACCGGTGGTGCCAAGGCCCTCTGCGAAGAGCTCGGGCTGCGCTTCTTCGGCAGCGTGCCCCTCGACCCGCGCATTGGAAGATGCTGTGATACGGGCGAATCTTTCGTCGACGAGTATCCCGATTCACCGGCATCCAAGGCCTACATGGACATTATACAGCAGATCAGAGCCATTGCGCCGTGAGCGAGGCGAAGAGGCAGCGACGAGAGAGGAGGGATCGCGACTAGCAATGAGAGGAAGGCAGAGGGAAAGGGATGACTCAATAGACATTACCCAGAGCGACGACGACCGCGACGGTCCAGCCATTGTACAACAGCACAATCCAGAGCACACACACGCACATCATCTAATATCAAAAGTCATCATATGTCCTCGCTAGTTATCACGCTTCCCCGCATCGATGCCAGTCGTATCTATTGCGAAAGAGAAGAGCCTCGGATCGAGGGGTGGTGAGGATGGAGCGTCATTGGTGACCAGTCGTCGTCGCTGGTGCTGCGTCGACGCCAGTCTGCCCTTTTTGTGTGTGTGTGCGTGTGTGTGTGTGTACGCGTGATGCTGACGTACCAAGCTGGTTCGCCGGCCGTCTGCGCATGCTCCGTAGCCCTCCCCTCCAACGCCCAGACTGCTCGCCCCGTCTCTCGCTCTCTTCCCGCCCTGTCTCACACTTCACGCCTCACTCGCGCCTTCAGCCCGTACATTTGTCTGCGCCGCGCTCGCTTACGACCTGTAGAGGTTCCTCTTGACGACCTTCTTGATGATGTTGGCGTCCGGGAAGCTGAGAGCCTCAAGGTTCGCAGCGTAAGGAGTGGGCACATCCGCGCCAGTGACTCGCTCAGGGAACTCGTCGAGGTAGTCGCGAGCCTCACTCTCGCACAGCTGAGCCAAGATCTCGGATCCAACACCAAAGGCGGGGAAACCGGCCTCGACGGTCACGCAGTGGCTCGTCTTCTTGACCGACTCGATGATGCTGTGGCGCGCGAGGGGAGGAGACACGATATCAGCTCTAGCTCTCCAAATGCTCAGATGCTTGAGCCGAGTTCACTCACGTCTTGATGTCCAGGGGACGAATGGAGCGGAGGTTGATGACCTCGCACTCGATGCCCTCATCCTTGCTGAGCTGCTCGGCGGCGTTCATGCAGTGGGTGAGGCCCAAGGTGTGCGAGACGAGGGTCATGTCCTTGCCCTGACGTTCAATCTTGGCCTTGCCAATGGGAAGGACAAAGTCCTCGGAGAGAATCTCCGGGGTGACGGGGAACGAGGTACCGTAGAGCATCTCGTTCTCGAGGAAGACGACGGGGTTAGGGTCGCGGATGGCCGCCTTGAGGAGACCACGGCAGTCCTCGACAGACCAGGGCGAGATGACCTTGAGACCAGGAATCTGGCCGTACCATGCCGAGTAGTCCTGCGAATGCTGAGCAGCGACACCAGCAGCGGCACCGTTGGGACCACGGAAGACGACGGGGCAAGGGACGTTACCACCAGACATGTAGTGAGTCTTGGCGCCCGAATTCTGAGCGCGAGTGAGCACGAGGGGGTAGGAAGGCGGTCAGCATGGCCAGCACTGTAAATTGCCAAGTTCTATGATGCTTGTCCTGCTGCTCACGATGATGTGGTCGATGGACTGCATGGCAAAGTTGAAGGTCATGAACTCGCAAATAGGGCGAAGTCCGCTGAGGGCGGCACCGACGGCGAGACCAGTGAATCCTGCCTCTGTGATGGGCGTGTCGATGACACGACGCTCGCCAAACTTGTCGAGGAGACCACGGGTGACCTTGTATGCACCGTTGTAGCGGGCGACCTCCTCACCGAGGATGAAGACGGTGTCGTCGCGAAGCATCTCCTCCTCCATTGCACTGTTGAGAGCATCACGAACCGTCATCTCCTTTGGCTGAGAGTCTGAGCTAGCATTGCGGCGAGGAGAGGCGAGGGACGAAGGTCCAGCTGAGGATGAGGAAGCGGCGCCGTAGGTAATGCGGCCTGCTCCCGAAGGAGTGAGGACCTTTGGGCTGGCTACACGAGCCGACGTCGAAAGGGAGCGCGACGATGCCCTTGCGCCGGCAAAGAGGGACGAGCGAATGAGGGACATCGCGGAGCGCACGGAAGTAAGGTAAAAGGTGGTGGTGGTGGTGGGAGAGGGGAGGAGAGAGGATTAGAAGTTGCCAACCAAAAGCACGGCCGCCCCGCCCAATCGTCCCATCCATCGGAGAGGGCGCCGACTGGACGTCTTGCCGTGCCTGGCTCGTTGGCCTCGAGGAGATTTGCCGTCGTCCGCTCAGAAGCCGCCCCAACACGGCAAGGCAAGAAGCCAAAGGGCTAGGCCGACGGAACGGAAGGCGGACAGGCAAAGGTCCCCGGCAAGGGGGGCGTCGAGTGCATCGTTGAACGAGAGGAGGCGGCCCGTGCCACTTTGATAGCTGATTTCATTCGCTTTCGCAAAATGGCCACCTCGTCATCAGCATCGACGTCGTCAACGCAACCGACTGCTTCGACGTCTCGCAAGGGAGGTGTCTCTCACCTCCTGCGAGAATGGCACACCGCTCCCAAGGGCGTCGATGCTGCGTCGCCATCTCCAGATCGAGTGGCTCACCGATGCATCGAAATATCGTCGTGGACCATCACAACCTCTAGAGGCGCCATTGGCAACTCAGCATACATGGATGGACTGGGTGATCGACTCGGACTACCCCCGCCAGAGATGGTCTTCCCCTCAAATACGCTCGTCATCTCTCACAAGCCATCGGGCTTCGAGTACCGCTTTGCCGCAGACGAGGCATTACGATGCGTAGATGGAGTCGCCGCCAAAGTGAGGCTAGAGGGCGTTGATCTGAGCAAAGACTGGAGAGCGCAAGATTCACAGCGTCGCGGTCACAAGACGCTGGGAGCAAAGCCGCAAACCAAGCGTGGCATCAAAGTCGCCTACGCACAAGAGTGGGGAAAGAGTCGCAACGACCCAGCCAATAATCCAGCAATGACAGCCACGACAGATCCAGATGCGCCTGCCCCAACAACTGCCTTTGGTGCGGCAGCCGCTACCCAGATTGCAGAGGCTCGCGATTACGATTGGACCTTCTCGACGACGTGGGCGGGTTCACCTTCACCGTCATCCTCATCGTCCTCTTCGTTGCCTCCATGGAAACCAGCCTCAGATCCTGCCTTAGATCGCATCCCCGTCGAGAGACTAGGCCCTTCAAGCGGGGAGCCTATCCTATTCTACGACGACCTTGTGCTCTTTGAGGATGAGTTGGGAGACAATGGTACTAGCATGTTGGGTGTCAAGGTACGCGTCATGCCATCTGGCTTCCTCATCCTACAGCGCTTCTTCCTCCGCGTCGACGACGTCGTCTTTCGCCTCTTTGACACGCGCATGTATTGTGCCTTCAATGAGCTCGGTGGAGAAGCCTCAGCGATGCCCGCCACCGCAATGCCTCAAGTGACACGACCAGGAGCATCGTCGAATGCAGTTCCCCCTCCCGCAGCAGCTCCTTGGGCAGCCACATCAGCTCCGCGATCAACGACTACGCCAGACATGTCCTCTCTTCGTCTCGGTCAGCCGCGGGGAGCAGCCAAGGAACCAGCGACGACGATGCAATCTATATCATCGTCCGCTACCCCGCCTGCGCAGCGGTTGATCCGAGAAGTTAGCGGCTGCGAAGCTCCATACAAGGATGTGCGAGCTCGCCTCCCTCCCTACCGACCCAATGACTTGTCTCTCCTGACCGACCCGGGCTGGGTCTCGCAGACTCTCGAGAGCCTCACGGCAAGGCAATTTGCCGGCAGGTCTGGCCAGCAGCAGCAGCAGCAGCACCCTGCTCTCGCAGCTACGACTGCCGCGCAGAGCGTGCAGCCTGCCAAGGCGCCAGGAACGGTCGCTGGCGGCACCGACGCAGCTGCCGTCGTTGGTGAATTGGGCGACGAAGAGGCGTGGGAAGGCATTGGGCAGCGCGTCGATGTCGTCGTCTTTAATTGAATAGCATTGCTGTGCCCGTCTAGAAGCCCTGTTCCGTCAACCACCTCTCGCTGTCCCTCAACCCCTCCTCGTCATCCTTGACTACTTTGACCCTGCCTCCCAGCTTCTTTGCGAGTGCGTCGACCGCCTCTGGCCCGGCGCCCTCGCTCGACGTGACGATGACGATGCCTGCAACGCTGGGCCGCTTGGACGCTAGATGCTCGCCCAGGAGAGGTAGCGCTAAAGGAGAAGCCGAGGCGCGGATGAAGACGAGAGGCTGGCGTTGCAGAGACGAGAGGCGGACCTGACTGGCGAGCTCTGCGCAGGAGCATTACATGTGAGTGACCCGAGACCAGCGTGCTGTGAATGAGATGACCCTTCGTTCTGATACTTACCATCGCCGAGCACCTTGGCCTCGTCTGTGCTGCTCGTAGCTGCGGCTAGATTGCAGTCAAGAATGTCATAGCCTGCTTCTCGAAAGTAGCCGATCCATTCCTGCCAACTGCGAACGGAGGTAGACACTCAGACCGCTGTGATATCGAGCGCTTCCTGGCTCTCGGCTTACTCACTCGTACCGCTGCGAGCCCTTGACGCTGAGAAACATGAGCGTCGTAGGCTGCGAGCGCATAGCCGCCGGCGAGGCTTGACGGAGGATCGCAGAGCTCTGCGACTCGGCGTTGTCGGACGATCCCGAGGAATTGCCCTTCGCTGCTGCTGCTGCTGCTGCTTCGTCATTACCCTCTTTGCCGCCCTTGCTAAAGAGCGAGAATGGCAGCGATAAGGCTAGAGAGGCTCCACCATACGTTACCCACGAGGGACGACTGATCGTCGTCGGTCGACTCGGACGAGAATGCAGTGCTCGTGAGAAGGTCGTGCTGGTGCTGCCGCGAAGCGCCAGCGATGTCTGCGCCGACCTCGAAAGGGCGCTACGTGTCGTCCCCGTGAGGACTCGCTGCGATGCCATTCTTGCTCGATGGTAGCAATTCGAAGAAAGGGTTCAATGGGTGTCTGATGGCTTCGTCTGGGTGCGGGGTGGAGGCCCCAAATGCGAGTCGCAGCAGCGCAGCATGCGTGTTTGGCATTCGCACCTGCACGCCGGACGTCGCTCCGACCGAGCAGAGGAGGGGAGGGCAGGAGGACACAGCACACACAGGGCACCACCCTAGCCTAGCCTAGCCTGTCGGCCCTTCGCTTGGACATTCACGGGCGAGAAAGAGATATCCCTCATCAGACTCCCTCTGGTATCCAATCGCTGCTTGCCTCTTGACTTTCATCATCACCACGCATCCTTGCTTCGACTTTCACACCATCATCATGGCTCGCCTCAATCTACGTGCCATCCTCTTCGTCTTGACAATCGCCATCACGGCCTGCGCCGTCGCGGCTTTCAAGGTGAGCTGGCTTCCTCGCAAGTGCGTCAACGGGCCGATCAACTGACATTCTCTTGCTGCACGCTTCGTCTCCGCCATCTGATCCAGCTCGATGAGCGTGCAGAACTCATCATGACGAGCGGCCAGGCGGAATGCACCATCGTCACAAAGACGGACTCTAGCGGGCGAGCAACACCGGTCCCTCAAGGCGCTGGATGCACCAACAGCGGTGCATCTACTCCTGCCGCTACTCCTATCGGCCCGCTGACCACGAGTATTAACCCCTCGGGCTCCTTCACGCTCCTCAATCAGACCAGCACGGCCGGTGGAAGCGCTGCTAGCGGCGGAAGCTCTGCCAATGGCACGGCTTCGTCGTCCTCTTCAGCAACTTCAAGCTCATTGGCTACTCTCAGCGCGACTTCGATGGGTGTCTCGACGACTGTGGGAGGGGGCAGTGCTACAGCTACGTCTATGGGCTCAGGGAATGGCGCGATGGGCATGACCTTTGGAGGAGCAAATGCGGCAACGACTTGGGCATTCCTGGTGGGATTGATGAGCTTTGCAGCCGGTTTCCAGGTTCTATTGTAACCGCGTAGTCAGCGTCAGAGAAGCATCTCGGGGAATGCAACATCAGCATCCATCTTACTGCTCGCCATTGATTCTTTCTCATTGCTTCTTGTTTGGCTGGTGGTGTTGCTCTTGGCCTCTCCCTCTCGCCCTTCTCTGACGTGCGTCTCTGGCTGCAGCCGCGTCGTGCGTGTTGGCCAGGTCGGAGCGGATAAACAAGCGCGAATGGGTTGGTTGGCTTGCCCTCGCATCTCTCCTTTCACTTTTCATTCACACTACCATTCTTGGACTCTTAGCTGAAAGAACTTCGACTTCTCTGCTTGCGACCCCCTGATGGCGGACCATTTCGCCAGGGCGGCTGGCTTTGCCGCTGGAGGCGGTGACGAGACGACGGAGGCTAGCATGATGCCTCCTCCTCGTAATGCTGCAGCCAATCGCTTCGACTCGACAATGGACACCGATACAAATGCATTCACTGGTATCGTGGCCCAGCCCATCCTACGCACAGCATCATCCTCGTCTTCAGCAGCTCGCGATGAAAATGGCAGGGACCGACGAGTCAGCAATGGCAAGCAGCCCGCAGCGATGACTGGATCCATTCGAGTCCCACCTTCGCGAGTGCCTCTCGCTCCCTCATCCGCTCAAACGAGCTCCCCAAGCGGCAGTCGTCCATCATCACGCCCTTCATCATCCAACGCTGCTGCGCGAGGCGCTCTCTCAGCCCCTTACGAGGTCACTCTAGACGACGACGAGGGCGATAGCAGCGACGAGATTGCAGAGAGGCCCAATCTCACAAACGCAAATGAGACGACCGTCGCCTCAGCAGATGCTAGCGAGTGGGAGAGGCACATCAAGGAATCCAAGAACAAGGCAGGCGTATCATCCAAGCAGATGCAAGATCGCATCGACAGCCTGCTGCAAGAGCGCGATGACCTCAAGATCGAAGTTGACAGTCTGCGACGTCATTACAACCCTAGCGAAGAAGCCGCCGAGATCATTCGCCTACGTCAGGAGAATACTCGCGTCCTGCAACATCGCCTCACGCTCACCAATCTCGTCACTGCTCAAAAGAAGACGATCAAGGACCTCAATAAGCAGGTCAAGACGCAGTCTTCCTCGCAGCAAGGATCGACGGATCGCGAGACGCGGAGGCGAATGGACGAGATGGAAGAAGGTCTACGTCTGCTTGATCAGCAAAAGGACGAGGAAGCGCAGGCAAGGCAGCAAGCAGAGGATGAGTGGGTACAATGTCCAGCTCGAGTCCTTAGCCCCCGCGCATAGCTAACTCTTTCCCCGCCTCCGCTTGCAGGCTCGAACGACTTCGCGAACAGCTGCTGCGTTCTGACAACGAGCGCAACGACCTTCAGGCTGACAAGGAGGACCTCGACCAGGAGATCTACCGCCTCGAGAAGCAGCGAGATGAAGCAGAGGAGAAGCGCGAGGCTCTCGACAAAGAGCTGCGACATTGGCAAGAGAGCTGTCGAGAGCATGAGGACAGAGTCGCTGAGCTGGAGGAGCACGCTCAGAACCGAGCCAACCAGTCTGCAGCGACAAGAGACTTGCACGAGCGACACCGGTCAGAACTCGATCGTCTCGAGGCTGAGCTGGAGCAGCGCATTGAAGACCACCAAAAGACGCAGCAAGAGTTGCAGGAGGTACGCGGTCAGCTGGAAGCTTCAGCAGCAGAGGTTGCCGTCTTCAGGGGCGAGGTCGACGCACAGCGCAGCGCCGACGAGAATAAGGTGAGCAGGAAAATCGTTGTGGAGCTAGGGCCGTCCTGACATTCTGCTCCCGCCCCGCTCGTACCCAGTACGACCGCCTCCGCGACGAGCTTGCTGCCAAGTCCAACGAACTTATGCAACTCGAGGAAGAATTCGAGAGCGCTCACGAAGCTCGCAAGCAGATCGAGGAAGAGCTGGAGGAGCTACTCCAAGCCCGCAAGCAAGACGAAGTCGAGCTGGCTGACCTGGGCGCACGCTTCGAAGACTTGGCACGACAGCTCGAGGAGAAGGAGGCCGAAGTCCTCGAATGCAACAAGGAAATTGCTCAGCAGTCGGAAGCCATTCGACGCCTCGAGGACGAGCAAGATCTCAGCATCGCCGACGCAGAGGAGGCAGAGCATTTCCGTGCAGAAGCAGAGTCAGAACTCGAGTCGCAGCGAGAGCATTACGAGATGAAGCTGGAGCAATTGAAGCAGCGACTCGCCGATGCCGCTGCTGAGATGGCCGAGACTGGAGAGCGGCTGCGAATGTCAGAGGAAGATGGCGAGACTCTGCGCGAGAAGCTGCAGACATATCGCGAGACGCTCAAGCAACGCAACAGCGAGCTCGAAGCTGCGCAAGATCACACGGCTAAGCTCGAGGAGAAGTGTCAAGACATGCTGGCCGACCTTCAAGACGAGGAGCGTCGCAATGAAAGTCTCGCTGCCGAGTGGGAGAAGCGCATGGCCGACAATGAAGACGATCTGCGCCGCATCATCGAGGAGAAGGAAGATGCGCTCGCCGCAGCCGAAGACGATCTGGCTCATGCGCGTAGATCGTTGCGCGACCGCGATGCCGACCTGGAAGCCCTGCAGAAGGTCCTGCAAGCCAAGGAAGATGAGTCAGAGAAAATGGGACGGTCGAGTGCTACGGACAAGCACTCGCTCAAGCTCGAAGTCGACCGACTCAAGCGTGATCTAGAGCGTTGCGAGCAGGATCTGGAGCGAGCAAGGGACGAGGTCGACCGCAAGGATGAGGCGCTACGAGAGCGAGCGTCCCAAGTCAACAAGCTCTATTCGGAGAGTGCCGAAGCCCAGGCCAAGCTGGCCACCGAAACTCAGACGCGGCTGGGTCTCGATGAGCGCATCGCTGCCCTCAAGACGTCTTTGCAAGAGAGCGAGCGGGCGTTGGCTGACGCTCGCGGACGTGCCGATACCCTAGAGAAGAAGTCGCACGACGACGAGTTGTCCATCGATCGCGCCGAGTCGGCAGTCAGGAAGCAGGTGCTCGAGAGGAATAGCCTCCTCCAAGCGTAAGTACGCGTGCAAGTACGCATGCAGAAGAACCACTGCGGTTGAACAGATGCTGATTATCCCTATCGGCCCCACCCGCACTCGCAGCATTTCGCAGCACATGATCCAGATCCTAGGCGGCGTAGATGACGCTCGCAAGCGCTCTAATGAGCCTCGTCCAAGTAGCGATTTCGGCGCCTTCCACGCCTTGCTTCTCGGCCGCGTACGCAAGCTGGTCGAGATCAAGTCCATGTTTGAGCGCCGTGCGTCGCGCATCGAGGCGCAAGCGACCGACTCAGTGGGCAATCTGCGACGCCAGCAAGAGTCGCGCTTCAAGCAGATTGATCGCATCGAGGGAGCTCTCAAGGGTGCGCAGGACAAGCAATCGGCCTGGCGCTCACGTCTGGTAACCAAGCAGAGGTGCGCGACGATCAAGGAGGCATTCATCACCACGTGTAGCCAAGCTGACATCCTCTCTTCCCTCTTCGCGCTGCGCAGCGAGCTTGACGCTACCAAGAACACTGTCGCCGAGCTGCAATCGCAAATCTCCTCACTCAAGACGCGCAACTCCCTCTCTACGTCATCAGAGAACACGAAGCTCACCACGCTCAACTCGCGCGCCAACACGGCCGAAAAGCGCCTGAGAGACGCTCAGCAAGCCGCCTCGCAAGCTGACGAACGTCTCGCCGAAGCCAAGGCCAAATACAACCAGGGCGAGAGCAAGTGGCTAGCAAGAATCAAGGAGCTGGAGGCGAGGTGCAAGGCTGCTGAAGAGAAGGTCAAGAGGGAGAGACAGGGTGCCAAGGAGAGGGTTGCGGAGCAGCAGGAGCAGAGAAGAAAGCTCGAGGCTGACGTCGAGGCGGCACAGAGGAGGCTGCGTACTGTTGATCATCTGCGCGAGGGGCTGGAAGGGGTTGACTGAGCCCAGTGAGGAGGGTCGCGCGCACTGTTTTTTGATGCCTTGTACAAGTACTGCTATACCGTTACTCGCATGCCCGCTCGAAGTGCCACGATCGCCACGTCAACGTCAAGGCATCAAGGTTCGTTCAGCGCCAGACCCAGTCTACTGTTTCTGGTCGTACTGCCCGCGCTCACGTCTATCTCTTCTCCTCCTCGGCCTCGCCCCGTCCTCACTTGCCAACGCAGATTCCCACCCACTGCTGGCTCGCAGGCACTGGGTAGCAGCCATTCACACTGACGGTGGTGCAGTCGGTACATTCTTGACCGTTGATCTTGTGGCAGACTTGCACCTTGTGAGCGTAGGGCTCCCCTACGAGGGGCTGAAAGGTGGGGCAATTGAAGTTGAAGATGGTGACTGCTCCGGGTCCGGCCTTGCCCTTCGCGACGCCGGTAATGTTACCAGAGCAGCTTGGTCCGCTGAAACAGGTTCCCAAGTTGGCAGTCAGGGCGACTTGGCCGCAGGCGAGGGCTGAAGCAACTACGAGCTTGAAGAGTTTGAGGTGGTCAAGCATGCTGTGGCTTCTGATAATGTGTTAGGGGGCAGAAGGCGAAAAGCATAGTAGCTGAAATGCTTGCTCAAGTCAACCAAATGCGACGGAGCCACCTGACGCGGCTGGAGATTTCTTGCTCAGATGTTGCCGTCAAGCGTAGAGGACGGGCCGCTTAGCGGTTGCTCGGCTGGTTATGAAACGTGGCCCATGCCTGCGCCACCCGTCTGCTGCGACCAATTGCCCTTCTCGTCATCGAGCAGAGCATGGTCGCGCACTCAGCTAGCGATGCACACTCCGACCCACTGGCTCCCCGGCTCATTCGTGTAGCATCCGCCCTCACTGACCGTAACGCAGTCGTGGCAATTCTCAGTATTCACGCTTCGGCAGAGATACACGTTCGCAGTGTCCGGTGAGCCAATGAGGGCTCTGTATGTAGGGCAGCCGGTCTGAAAGGATGCGAATGTGCCGGCGATGCTTTTGCCGGGCATCGCGCTGGCTGGCCTGCCTTCGCAAGTGATTCCAAGGTAGCACAGACCGAGATTGGATGCCGAGACTGATCGAAAGAGCAGAGCGAGCGTGACGCCGGCTAGTGCGGTGTTGAGAGACAGTCGGAAGCGAATGAGCATGGTTCGATATGCGGTCGTGTACAGGGGTGAAGAGCTCTGGTTCTGTGAGCAGCTTGCGAGGAGGCAGGGCAAGCGGCACAGGCTGTCACGGCATGTGCGGCTTGACATCGAAAAGGTACGATTCGCAGGGCTCACCCGCTTTGTCATCTGTTCCGTCTGCGCAGAGTGCACCAAACAGATCAACTCATTCATGAACGTTCAAGAGGCTAGACAATGGTGTAACAGGTGAACGAGCGTCCTGCTAGATCTTCAGCGAGGGAGCGGGGCAGTTCTCCTGTCTGCGTGTTGGCATGACATCGTCAGTGGGGGCGTCCAAGCGGGTCTGCTCATTGGCGCGCTCACCGCACGTCCACCACTGGGGCACACTTGCTGATACAGAGAGCAACGAAGCTGTGCATAGGATCGGCCGTGTAACATCCATCCGTATCGACCTCGACACAGTCCCTGCACTGGTAGACATCAACGTCTTTACAAAGGTAGACATTTCGGATGTATGGCTGCCCAATGAGCGACTGGTAGACGGAGCAGCCTCCTCGGAAAGTGACGACACTTCCAGGCGTGGCCTTGCCTGAAAGGATTTGGGTACTCCGGCCTCCGCACTTGGACCCGTCGAAGCAGATTCCCAGATTGCCGGCCAAGGCTTGGTGGGCGTGACGAGCAATGGCAATACTGTAGTGACAACGACGTACAAGTAGCTGAGCATGTTGGCAGGGTGTTGAATGAGGTCGCGTCTTACAGTCTGGTGTTGGAGACGCAGTGGTGGGTAAGACAGGTGGGTTTGCAGTCTCGACAGGAGAGCAACACTGACACGAGGCTATGTCATCATCGATGTCGCGCTCTTGTGCGGCCCTCGATCGACCCAGCCAGTCACTTTGCTGGCCCAGAGAGAGCGACCAGCTCGTTCGCTCAATTGTGATCGGCTATCCAAGAGCGCTGCAGGCTCTCGATCTTGTCAAATTCGTCATGAGCCATATGGCGGCATGCTTAATGGATCTTCGTCATGGCCTACGAGGCCTGACATCTCAGCACAGGCAGATCCGGGATCATCGCCGGTCTGTGGATGCTATCGCACCCCTGATCAGCACGCGTGTAAGGTACTGCAAGAAGAGCACGATGATGGAGAGTGCTCGTTTGAGGTTGATGAGACTAAAGCATCGGTGACCTCCCGCTACTGTAGCAATGACGTCTGGGCTTCACGGCCGCTCCTGCGGTCAACCGACACAGAGGCCGACCCAGATCGAGGTGGCCGTGTAGCAACTGTTGTCCGCCATCGGCGCAGTGCAGCCCACACACTCGCCTTCGTTGACTCTGGAACAGACTTTGATCTTCTGTTGATCCGTAGGAGTGCCCACGTAGGTCCTGAAGGAATAACAGTCTGTCTGGTTGAAGAGAACATGCGTCCCATTGGAGTAGTCGCCGTGGACACCGTGTCCACTCAGCTTCTTGATATCGCAGTCCTTGACTGAATAGCAATCGCCCAGGAGTTCACCTTTGGTCATCCCGGGAAGATAGAAGCCAACGGCCACCAAGTAGACGATGGCGACGTTGAAGGCGATGGTGTACTTGCTCATGATTCCGGATATCCTTTCGCAATGGGGCAGGCAAAGTCGTCAGCAGAAACTCTCTTGAGGGCAGCGTGGATACTCACGGTGATCGAGATGGGTGGTGGTGATGTTAGGAGTTGTGAAGGAGGTTACCGATCAGAGAAGAAATAGGTTACGAGAGGGCAGAGGGCATCGGACGTGGGTAAGGCAGTCATTGCTGAGATGCTGCCCGCAGCATCGACGGGTTCAAATCGGTGCTGCGTTGAAATATTGATCCGGGCCAAGCGATCACGCGCAGCACTGATCTCCTCGATGTCATGCGTCTACTCGTCTCCACTCTCCTTCATGGACGTGCGATAGTCATCGACGTGCTCAGCATCGCCGCACGCAGAAATTGCAGCATCGTTTGAGAACGGAGCATTCGTTGGGATTTATCAACACATTGGACAAACAATAGCTGAAAAGCAGCGAGGGGTGTCATTGACGACGGCCTTCTTGCCCTGTTCGCCTGTATCAGCTTCAGCCCCTCAGACTCTCCTTACATCCAATTGCCTCTACTAATCAACACAGATCCCCGTGTAGATGACAGTCGGTACGTAGCATTGACCGATCGTCAGGACCTCAGAGCAGTCGGCACACTCGCCAAAGTTGACACGCTCGCAGACCCTGATCTTCTGAGGATAGTAAGGTTTCCCTATGTAGGCTTTGTAGGCGTAGCAATTGGTCTGGTTGAAGTAGACCTTACTTCCACTCGAGTAGTCCCCATACACCCCGTGACCGCTCAGCTTCTTGATATTGCAAGCTTTGGTGGAGTAGCAGTCGCCGAGGAGCTCGGCATTGGCCGTGTTCGTCAGCCAAAGGAAGGCGACGAGGATGTAAGCCATGGCGGAGATGGCGAAGGCGTGCTTGATGTTGGTGAGGGACATGGCGTTTACAGCCTGCTCGCGCGGATGAATATTTTGAGCAGACTAGCGCTGTCACTTATCATGCATACTCTCTCACTCAAAGTCTCAGCTTGTGTCAAGGCAGAAGATGGGTCGATGGGAGAGGCAAGGACCAAAGGTAGGACGGAATGACGGCCAGGAAGGCTGCTCGTCGATGGATGGTCAGCGGGCCGAATGAGGGCAGAGGGTTCGCTAGCAGGAAGCGCAAGAAAGCTGTGGTTTTTAGACAAGCCGCTACGATTTCCATTCCAACAGCCCGCTATTGCCGCTATTGCTGCTGTTGCGCATCGCCCTCCGCCAAGTTGGCAGCGACGGCTGTGTTGCCACCAGTCGGGTTGTTCGACTTTCCGGTGGGAGGGGCATTGCCACGGAACCTATTGACGCGATTGATGGAAAGTAGCAGACGATCAGTGAGCTACTCGAGGGCGTGCGCTACGGTCCTATACGGCGCTTACCTCTTCCTCATATCGAGCTGAGTCAGGGTGGTGGAGGAGTGGTGAGAATGACCTGGGGATCAGAACGAGGCTAGGGTACACTACGATGACTCAAACAGCGTCACCACTCACCAGTCCCTTCCTGCAGTGGACGAAGCTGCGGTAGATGTTCTGACACTCCATGGGCAGCTTGTCCATGTCATGTTGGATACAATCCTGGCCTGATCGTCCCTCCTGTTGCACGCACGGCGAGGCCAGGACGCACGCTGCTAGGTCCTCGCGGATACCATTGCACTGGCAAAGGAATGGCAGAGGTCTGTCAGACCCTGCCATGGCTCAAAGCAGGCGCACCTATGCTCACCGAATTCATCGTCGAAGAGTGGTCGAGGGCGAGTTGAATGGTACTTGAAAGCTGACTAGAAATGTGCAACCTGCATCTCGCTGCATGGCTCGCCTTTCCGCTCAGTGTTGCTTACGTCAGCCCCTCTGGCCGACTCGTGGAGCTCAGGCCGCGAATCCACCTTGGTTCGTCACCTTTCACCACATTGGAAACAAGTACGCACGCGACAATCATGGCCAACTCGGGAGAGCCTACGATACCTCCAGAGACATCTCAGACCGCCGCATCGTCGCCTGCATGGCCCACGCCTCGGGTCTTCTTGCCGCCTACAGCGTCAACATCTGCTCAACCCGCCGTAGCCTCATCCTCAACGTCGTCGACGCCTTCATCCTCAGCGTCACGCATCGTACCTCCCGTCTCCACTGAGGACCCCAAACCGACGGCAGAAGAGATCAAGGCGGCATATGCATCGACGCTGGAGCGTAATCAGCGAGCAGGCATTGGGCCTGATGCTCCACTCATGACAAAGGCGATGAGAGAGAAGCATGAGGCCAAGTTTGACAAGGGCAAGACGAAGAAGACGTATCAAGAGGTACGTCGTCGTGGCGTCACTCCCTAAGCTTCATCTCATACTCTTCTTGTTGCCCCCCCCCTCGCCAGGTCCGAGTACGCTTTCGCCTCCCCGACCGCACCCAACTCGAGTACACGCTTCCCTCAGCCTCCACCCAAGTCCTCGATCTCTACCCCATGCTCCGCTCAACGGCATTCAGCGATTCCGTCCCGCCCTTCGTGCTTTACACTACACCGCCACGACAGGACCTGGCAGAAAGAGACGCCCGCCTCAAGGGCAAGAAAATTGGCGATATGGGATGGGGAGGCGCTGCTGTCGTCAGCGTGAGATGGGTTGAGGAGGGCGCGACGAGTGCAGAGGCAAAGAAGCTCAATAGATCAGACACGACACAGCCGCTCAGAGAGGGACTGCGTGAAAAGGCAGAGAGGATGGAGCCGCCCAAAATGGGACTGGGCGATGAGAGCGGGGCAGCCACGCCGGCAGCACCGTCTTCATCGAGTGCGGTGAGAACACTAGGAGGTGGCAGTGGCAGTGGTGGGCAGGGGGAGGAGAAAAAGATACCAAAGTGGTTCAAGGGCTTCAAAAAGTAGGCGTGTGACCGCAATAGAGGACAGCAATGTCATTCGACTTGGTTGCCAAGAGGAGAGACGGGAGAACCATAGGCCTGTATGCTGCGTATCCATCGGGCTGGACGATTAGTAGTCTGGAGTGGCAGGAGGGAGAAGGCGGTCAGCATCATCTTGTTCTGCCTCACTCTGATGCCTTGCGCACTCACTCCTCTTCTTCTTTGGCCTGACCCCGCCAATCTTGATCTTAGTCGCATCACTCATGGTATGCACCATCGCCCTCGCACTCTCGCCCTCTGAGCTCAAGAAAGCTCTGTAAACAGCATCCCTGCCCTGTCCGAAACCATTCCACACCACATGCAACCAAGCTACAGGCTCATTGCGAAACTTTGCTCCCCACTCGTTACGACGACGCGCAAGCGTCTCGAATACGTTGAGAGCCGTCTGGTAGCCGGCTTCGAAGCCTGAGCGATTTGCGCCTTTGAAGCCTACTTGGCCGGAGGAGACGGAGTAAAGAGTGGCGCCGTTGGGGCGAGTGAGGGTGATGATCGTGTTGTTGCGTGTGGTTTGCACGTGCAGCTTGTGAATCGTTGTCGGTCTTCTCCCAGCGAAGGAGGAAGATGACGAGGGACCAAATCGCTGGGAAGGCTGGTAGAGGGAGGACGATGCTGTAGGGGGACTGGACCCTGGCAGAGGTGTGCCAGTAGCTGCTGATCCGGGCAATGTTGCCGCGCTCGATGGACCGGCTGCTGATGAGGCTTCTTGTGATTGGGAAGATGAGGGAGGAGTTGGATTCGGTGTTGCGTTGGCCTCTGCCCCAGCTGACGACGAGCTGCTGAAGAGGCGCAGCGGCGCGCGTGAGGTAGACGCTGAAACCCAGAGCGACGACCACGCCGTCGTCGCGTATGATGTTGAGGCCACGACGTTGCGAAGCATGATGGTATGGTTGAGGAGGCGGAGTGCCAGAATTCGTAGTCGATGGCCTCGACGTCGAAAAGCAGCAGCCTGCCTGCCTGCATCGACCGACCTGGCCGCTCGGTCTTCCGTTCCGTCGTGGCCCGTCCACTCCCGTCCAAGGTCACTTGAGTGGAGCGCCGCCTTGATATTGCAGCTCCTCTCTCCTGACTTTAAACGCTCGACCACGGCCATGAAAGAATGGGCACCGATGACCTCGCAGAGAGGCTCAGGGCCCTCAGGACAAAGGCTGCTGCACCAAAGGTAGCCACGTCGGCCCTTGCTGAGCCAGCAAAACCCTCGACGGTCGGCCAGAGGGTGGCACGCGACATCGAAGGAGATGCTGTGGAGAAGCTCTTGGCCCAATCAAGGGACGAGATTGATGTTGCTCGGGAACACGGAGAGCTCACAAGCGGACACAGCAGCCCTTTGAGTCGGGCATCGTCGGCTCCTGCACCGCTTGACGTCGGCATAGAGGGGAAGGCGCTTGCCAATCTCGCTTCAGAAGCCGTCTCAGACGCTAATGCTGTCCTCAATGGCAATCGCAAAGTCATCGCTGCAGCCGCAAAGCAGCAAGCTGGCACTGACGGTGCTGCAAAGGACAGACGTCTCATACCCGTAGCGAAGGAGTGGCCTCACCTGGTTCGGCCCAACTCAGGTCAGCTTGGCTTTGATGCTGATCAGGATGATGGAGCCATGGCATCAGAGCTCGCAGAGGCAATGGGCGAGATGGAAACGACCCCTTTTACTGAGTCAAGCAATGTTGGCCCCTCCAAAAGAGCGGCAACAAGTATCCCTCCCGCCGAGAATAACAAAGAGGACGACGTCGAGCGTGAGGCTGCGGACCTTATCGCACGCTTCACAGCTCTCCGCTCCAGTGCTTCGTGCAACGTCTCGACGAGCTCGGCAGCATCGCTGTCGCAGGGCATGCCATCTGCTGCCACCAGTTCTGGTCTCGGCCGCAGTCTTGATGACGGTCACGACGGCGACGACGACGATCGTATGACCGCCACAATCTTTCCCTCTGCGCCCTCCGACGCTTTACCTTCACTTCCCGAGCCCTCGCACCCTACGCTAGGTCCAGAGCACAACGACATCTCCGCCGACATAGATCTCTCACCCTTCCGCCGCCTTGTGGGCAAAGACCTGAACATCCAACAGCGCCTCGCCAATCTCGGTCGCAACGACGAGCCCAGTTTCCCCTCAACACCTGGCGGTGGCGGTGGCGAGGAGGATGAGACGACCTTTTGCTCCCTCTGCGCCGAAGATGCTTCGCTAACCTGCTCATGTCCCGATGACGAGTATGAAGGATGCGCAGGCGACGCATACTGCTCGCAGTGCTGGGTTGAGGCGCATGGTAGCATGAGCAAGGATGAGCTGAGGGACCATCGCACAAAGGACGTGCCTGCTCGACGGCGGCAAAGAGGGGCCAAGGGAATGGGAGGTATCGGTGGTAGGAGGAGGGCAATGGCGGCCTAGTCCGATGAGAAGGCGTCTATTGTCTATACCTGTGTGCGGCTATTGTACATTGAAATGCTCTTTGCCCTGCTCTATACTCGTACAGAAGACTCGCACTCGCGCTTTCTCTTCCACCCCAACGTCCACCACACATGCCCACTCTCATCGCTCCTTCCCAGCCCCTTGCGCTTCGCCATCTCAATGCGACGGAGCACTACGAGTTTGAGATCGTCATCCTCGCCTGCCTTTGGGTCATTCGCATCACCTGTCCAGACAGGCCCGAACGCTTCGTCTGTGAGCTTGATGAGCCCCCACTCGCCAAAGCGACCCTCCATGCGCTTGGCATTTATGACGTGGGCGCGAGAATGTGGTGATCGACGGGAGAGGAGGGCCGACATGGCTGCGTAGAGCCATTGGGCATGAGAGCGGGAGTAGACGACGTCCGCTGCCAGCAGCAGGTCGTGTTGCGGCGTCGGTGCTGCGAGAGCATTTACGTCCTGCTGGTAGTAGTGCGACCAGTCGAGAGACTCGACAGACATTTGAACGGGCGGCTCTCCTCCCGCTGTCGCCGTAGCCTGGACAGGATTCGCGGTGACATTTCGACGCAGATTTGCCAGCACCATCGAGTGGTAGTCGGTCAGCACAACTCGGTTCCCACCTTGTGTTGCCCTCGTCATCCTCTGAGCAAGCAGCTGGGCGCAGACAATGCCCACGAGACCCGTCCCAGCTCCCAGCTCAGCCACACTCAATCCGCGACCCTCATCATTGTCACACAGGCTAGGGTGAATGTCCTCTGGCGAGCGTACCAGCAAGTCGGATAGGATAATGGCAGCCGCCCATGTCTGCACGCCTACCGCTTCGGCGGCAGATGAGGCCGTGTTGCTCGGGTCCCCGAGGTCGTGATGGTCATCATTTCCTGACGGAGGCAGCGGCTCATCGACGAGTGTGACTCGGATGGCCGACGTCTTTGCGTCCTCGTCTCCGACCAGCGCCTGATCGCCCGCCTTCCTCGTCAGCTTGTCAAAGTCAAAAGGAAAGCTGAACACCCGCTCCATAGGTTCGGCGTCTTCCAATCCCTGACCGCCTCCCGCGGCCAAGTCAGTGAGGCGCTGCGAGAGCATGGCGGTCTCATCGAGGATGGAAGCAGTGCTGCTGGATTGCCCTCCGTCGCCCGCGCTCAGCCACGCCAGCTCCGAGTCGATGAGGCGACGTAGCCATGCTTGAGCGTACTCGCGCTCTTGTTCGTCGAGGCGGAGAAGGGTACCCCTACTTTCTTCATCGCCCTCATCTTCCGAATCGCCGTCGAAAGTCCCCAGATAGATGCTCTTGAGGCTCTCGAGGTTGGCCTGAACGATTTGAAGCGGCGGCTCTCTGCGAATGGGCGTGAGAAAGCTCGTTGGCGGCAGCGGCCTCGCCATTCTGGCGAAGGTGTAAGGCGGAGAGGCGCGAGGGCGGGAAGGGAAAGGCAACCAGATGAGGGCGGAGTGAATCCAGTCGAGCTGAGGGGGTGGAGTCGACGACTGCAACGCAACTCAACTCATCTCCTGTCCACCACCACCACCACTTTAACGTCGCTATCAGCCTCGCATCATCAGGAGAGATCAGCTGCACCAAATTGAGCGGTAACAAGTATCACGACCTATTCCTCCGCCTAGACAAGCGCAGCCAACTTCGATCCCTCAATCCGCCACGCCGCAATGTCAGGCTGGGTGCCCGTCATCGCCGGAGGAGCCGTAGGGGGCATCTCCTTCTTTAGCTGGGGTGCCGTCAGGAAGGGAGAGAACCAGGTGTGCGTGAAAGGGGCACCGCGGATGGTTCTCAGCCACCCGATCGCTCAACTGACATTACCTTTACTCGCCCGCATCGCTCCCGCAGCCTAATCCGCTCATGCATCATCCTGACGCTCGTATGCTGCTACCTCATGTGGGCAATCATGTACCTCGCACAGCTTCATCCCGTCATCAGTAAGTAGCGGCAGCATGCAGCTGATAGGTTTCTCGTCCTCAGCGCTGTGAGCTGATCCTCATTACGCTCCTTCGCTGTCTACAGAGCCGAAGCGAGGCGACCTTCGACTAGAGGAGTAGAGGCGACGCCAGCAACTTTGCCTCCTTGAATCTCTTCTAGCTTCCCTCCCAGTCAGCTTCGCAGCCAATACGATGTCCATACCTTGCCGTCTGCAAATGGAGCGGCCGACACTATCTGCAGGATGGCAGAGCAGTGCCTGGTCTGAGATTATATGCTAAGCTAATGTTACAATTGATTGACGACTCCGCCCTACGTGGGCGAAGCTCGCTGCTGCTCGAGCTCTCGCCCTTCACTCGTCATCGTCCTCGTCGCTTTCGTCTGCACCATGTTCAACCAAACCCCCCAAAGCCGCCACTTCAGCAGCCGCTGCTGCCTGTTGCACCCCTGCACCACCCTTGCTATTGGCTGCACTGCTCTTTACCCTCTGCCTGATCAAGATCAATCGTGCCTCCTTGTCCCTCCTCTCAAGCTTCTTGAGCCTTTTGTCCAAGCGTTGTCGCAGGTCCCAATTGGGTTTTCGAGGGGCCAGACTGCTCAGCTGGAGGTCGGCGCCGCGGGTAGCTGCTTCTGCTTCGAGGGTCAGGGATTCAAGATTCTTTGTCTCTGCGCGCGAGTGAAGTAGAGATGATATCAGCATGACCTGCCGCTGAATGCTTGCCTGCCTAGCTGCGCGCCATGCTCACCCTCTTCGATGCCCGTGATTGTCGTCCAATCCCCTTTGCGAGCCTCGCCCGTACGCGGGTCCCAGTTGCGGAAGCGACGCAGTAGCTGGCCCTCTGTTGTCGACTCTGCTAGACGTTGCATGGCCTTTTCGCTCTTTGCGGCTGGCCGAGCTTCCTCTTCGTCGTCCTCCTCTTCTTCTGCATTGTCATCATTCTCCTGCCGCTGCTGTTGACGTCGTTGTCTCCTCGTGGTGACATTGGAGATGGCCTTGCGGAAAGGATGCAGGGAAGTGGATGCCGATGGCTCTCCCTTTGTCTGACGCAAAGAGGCCAGCCTTGCCTGTCGTGCTGCATGCTCTGCTTCCATCCTGCACCTTGTATGGTTTCTGAAGTTGCAAAGGATTGATTGATCGTGACGATGAGAACGCAAGCCGTGGACGAAGGGAGGCGGACTGGTGTCGAGGTCTCGATCTCAGCCACGCGGGACGCGGATGGAATTGTCGATCTTGAAACAAGGCGCCGCTCGACGGTGCTCACACGCTGCGTTTCCGTCCTTCGCAACCATCGACGACGACCAAGCAGAGGAGCATATACACAGGCCCCGGCATCCAACGACAAGATGGCCACACCTCGATCACGCGTCGTCTTTGTGGGCAACATCCCCTATGAGATGTCAGAGGTGAGCATGCGCAGCGCACCTTTCCTAGCTCCTTGGCATCCATCGACTGACCCAATCCTACGTCCCCTCCTTCGACCTCGCTGCGCAGGAGCAACTCATCACCATCTTCTCAGAGGTCGGCCCCGTAGCAGGATTTCGCCTCGTCTTCGATCGAGACACTGGCAAGCCAAAGGGCTACGGCTTCTGCGAATTCCATGACCCAGAGACGGCGGCCAGCGCTGTACGCAACCTCAACGATGTCGACGTAGGAGGGAGAAGTCTGCGCATCGATTGGGCAGATGTGGACCCGTGAGTGACCATGCGCCAGTCATCAAAAGCTGACAGCATTCAGCTCACTCCTCTACCTTCCTCCTCTTCCTCGCACAGGGTCTTCCAAGGAAGAACCACACAGATGGGTCAAATCGACGGCGAGCTACCGAAACGCGACGGAAGAAGACCAGGCAATCCCAGCGCCGGTGGACCACAGCGTGGCGGCGGAGGAGCAGGTGCAGGACCACCTTTCGGTCAACAGGGAGGACCTGGAGGATTCGGTGGTCCTCCGCAGCAAGGAGGCTTTGGTGGGCCAGGCGGCTACGGTGGTCCCCCGCAGGGTGGCTTTGGCGGACCTCCTCAAGGCGGCTTCGGCGGTGCGCCAGCGGGCATGGACGCGCCGTACAACCTCAACAATCTGCCTCCGGGCGTCAACCTTCAGGCTGGACAGACGGCAACTGACGCCATTACTCAGACTTTGGCTACTCTGCCGCCAGACCAGCTGCTGGACATCATGGGACAAATCAAGGTGAGTGTCCGCCCATACTGGCTCAAAGGTTGAGCCATCGATTTAGACTAACGATCACTCCTCTCGCCAACACCCACGCAGTCCCTCATTCTCACCTCCCCGCAATCAGCACAAAATCTTCTCAGCTCCCACCCACAGCTCACTTACGCCCTCTTCCAAGCCATGCTCATGATGAACCTCGTCGACCCAGCAATCCTGCAGCGTATTCTCCTCGCCGGAGGCGTCAATGGGGGTGCAGCAGCAGCAGCGGTAGCCAATGGCGGGCCTGCAGTCAACGGGGCTGCTGGTGGTATGGGCCAGCAACAGCGATATCCGAGTATGGGAGGAGGACCCCCGCCGCCCCAGCAGCAGCAGCCATACGGCGGCGGCGCGTATGGTGCCAACCCATACAGCAATACCCCTCCTCCAGGCGCACCTCCCTCTCGTCCCCCCTTCGGCCAACCCTCTCATCTCGGTCGCGCCTCATCAGCGCAAAGCACTCCGCCACCGCCTCCCCCATCTGCACCACCTATCGCCCCTCCGCAAGCTAACGCAGCAGCAGCGGCGGCAGCGGCCGTAGCGGCCGGAGGCGGTGGAGCCGCAGCGGCTGCGAACAATCCGAACCTGCCAGATGCGCAGCGTCAATTGTTGATGCAGGTTCTTGGGTTGAGCGACGCACAGGTGGCGGCGCTACCACCGGATCAGAGGGAAAGTATCATGATGTTGAGGAGGCAGATGGGCAAGTGAGAGCGCACGCGAGAGCAGTCGAAAAGAAATGCTGGATGATATTGAGATGTAGCAGATATGGAGGAGGTAACGAGAGAGAGTTGACGAGGGACTACCAGCAATGCATCTTATCATTATCCCATCGTCGTGCTCAGAGAAGCGCGCTCATCTTGATGGGCTGCCTGACTGCATTTGAATAGCCTTCGTTGTGACGGTAGTGGACCTTGAGACGCTTTGTAGCCGGCGGTGCTGACCTGACCGTGACGGTGTCTGCATCCTTCGCCTGACGAGCAGCGAGAATGGGCGCTGGAAGGGCAGGCGAAGTGGCAGCAGCGCTCGGCTTGGCTGCTTTCGGGGCTACTGGTCGTCCAAAGAAGTCCAGAGCCACCTTCTGCTTCTTGACCACTGCGCCAGCTGCATTGGCGTCAGACTTGCGGTACGCAGCCAAAGCACCGGCTGCTCCTCCCGCTGCTCCCGATGCCACAGCCGCCGCACCTCGGGCCTTCTTTGCACGCTCCGCCTCGACCTCACGCTGTACGATCTGTCGCACAGCGTACCTTCCCACATTCACGGACCCGCTCCTCTTGCCGTCGTAGGAAGTAAAAACCTCCAAAGGTGGCTCTAGGCGGTACACCAGCTGTCCCTCCTCTGTCTTGTCTCGCACAAAGTCGAGATTGAGGTCGAGCATCACCGTCACAAGGCGCTGAAGCGTCTCTCGCTCGTCAGTCTTGACGATTTGCTGGTTGACGGGACGCAGGTCCGGTGTCAGGATGCGCATTAGCAGGGGGCCTAGCTCGCGGACCACGGCCTCGCGGCCAAAGAGGGAGCGCAGAGTAGGCGGCAGCGTACCGTGGAGCTCGAGTGCGATCTCGTTGAAGGCTTGCCGCTTGAGTCGCTCTTCGTAGTCGGCTCGCGGCCATTCCGGGACGGGATTGACCGTATTTGCGAACAGGTGATTCCAGCGAACGAATGAGTAGGGTACATACCCCATGAGCTCAAACATTGAGCCAGAGAAGGCCTTATCCTGCAGCTCCATGGCGAAGTCGGCCCAGTGAAGGACGGAACGGATACGCCACCAGCCGTCGTCGACGAAGTTGAGCTTCGGGTAGTGCTCGAAGCACCCTTGAAGGAGACGGGTGTGTTCGCCTGATGATTGCACGAGGGAGACGAGGTGGCGGGTCAGAGCCGGACCCTCGTGTGGCTGCGTCTTGCGGGCACGCTCGCGAGGGGAGGCTGTACGAAAGAGGGCGCTCCAGACTGTAGAGAGACTCGTAGAGCCGTCCTTGCCTGCGTCGCGGATATCGCTCTCGGTTAAGTCGAGGGGCGAATTCATAGCCTTGCGCGGCTGCTTTTGCTTTGCCATCTGTAGCGCATTGAGACATGAGCGGATATCGCCCTGCGTGAGCTCGGCCAGAAGAGAGAGGGAGCGAGACGTGGCTGAGATGGCCTCGCGCTCGCAGATGGATTTGAGTCGAGATACGAGGTGGTTCTGCGTTGGCTTCTGGAAGCGGATGAGCCTGCAGTGCGGGCGAAGAGGGCGGAGGGCAGGGGCGTAGAGGTCGTTGCAAATGCAGATGATCGGGCGCAGTAGAGGTTTGTGTTTGCGCTTCTTTCCTCCACCGCTGCCTTTGCCTCCTTTACCCTTGGGTCCGGCACTCCCCTTGCCTGCTTCGACGAGGTCCACCAACGCCTTGATGAAGCCTCGAGACTCGTCATTGCCTCCGCCGCCGAAGCCAAAGCCGCCACCTCCTCCCGTAGCTCCATCGATCTCGTCGACGACGAGGCAGGTTGGGCGCGAGTCTTTGAGCGAGGCCGACTCGAGGGCCATCTTGATTGTATCCGTCACTGCGCCAGATGTACGAGAGTCGCTGGCGTTGAGCTCGTAGACGCCATAGCCTGCCGCCTTGGCGAGGACGTGAGCGAGCGTCGTCTTGCCGAGACCTGGCGCGCCTGATATGAGGAGCACTCGCTGCTGTGGTCGGTCGTAAGGGTCGCGATACTCGGCAGGAGCAGACAGGCCTGAAGAGGTCTGCGGCATGTCCTTGAATTTTCGCTTCGCCTTGCGCTTGAAGACGCAAGAGTCCCACTCTTTGAGCCATCCCATGACCTCGCGATGCACCCGTTCGTCTCCGAGTAGCTCCGTGAAGCGCTTCGGTCTGTAGCGCTCGACCCAGACCTTGCCGTCTCCTTGGCGTGGTCCTGATGTAGAGGCGGAAGGGGCGACAGACTCGACTAGGGCTGCCTCGCTGGCTGATACGATTGCCTCTGCTTCCTGCGCCTTGATAGCGTCGATGATCTGGTGAACGGGACGTGAGAGAAGGCCGGTGCTGCGCTCGTCGCCAAAGTGGGGTGGGGGTGGTTTCCTGGCGGCAGAGCAGTGGAGAGACAGGTGGATGTCAGCTGAAGCCATCGGGCATCGGAGGCGCGAATACTCACCATCCTTTCAGTCTTCTTCTCCTCTCGAAGCGCAGGATGTGGCCGTCCATGGAAACGGCGTTGAAGTGGCCCGCGGGGATGTACTTTGGTATCGCAGCCTCGCAGCTTCGAGTCGGGAGGGGGCGTGTCGATGGGCCCGCCTCTGAGGATGCGCCTTCGTCTTCCTCATTGTCAATCACAATAGTCATTGGTGGGGCGACAGTGCGGCTTGAGATATTAGCTTGCTCGCCGCTATCGTCCTGGCCTCCCAGCAGGCCATTCTCCTCAAAGCGCGGGCGTGACGAAGTACCTTCGCCTGCTCTCAGCGCCTCGAGCTCATCGTCGTCCTCCTCTGGCTCATCGTACTGCTCGATGTGCGACTCTGCACCCCACTGCGTCTCCCTCTGCATCTCCTCCTCCGCCTCAAGATCGTCCTCAAATGACCACTCGGGCGCTGTCTCTCGATGTGATTCCTTAGTAGGACTTCTGCGCAGCGACGATGAAGAGCCTGAAGCTAGGCCGTTGAGCTCGGACAAGACGTTCTGCAATGGCGTGCGCCTGTCGTCTCGTCCTCCCTCCTCGTCTTCGTCGAGGAAACTCAAGGGCTCGATGTTGATGGCTCGCTGCGGTGATCGCTGCGGTGATCGCTGCGGTGATCGCTGCAGCGTCGCCATGACGCGGGGCGAGAGAGTGAAGATTGGTGGTAAGGAAGAGCAACACTGTCGAGGAAGCGGCTGCTCACCTCACGTCGCGTTCGTCCATCCGCGTTCGCGTTGAGCAGCCAGGAGCGTGGGAGTGCAGGGTGATGAATGACTGTGACTGTATATAGTTTGTTCATTTTGCCAAACCCTCCCATTCAGCTGAATAGCGCAGTGGTAGCGCATCAGGCTCATATTTGCGGCAACGCAGGTGACCTGAGGGTCACTGGATCGAAACCAGTTTCAGCTATTTCTTTTGCTCCACTTTTTTTGCCGACGCCGCCCAATTGGCGCGTACGAAAAGCGCGACATTGACCCTGCCGCCGCTCATCGAATGTAGAGTGTGCCGCTTTTCGCGTCGTCCGGGGAAACATGTCCCCTGGCAATAAGAATCAAATCCTGACTGGTGACTCCTACAAGAATGGGCTTTCACTCGTCAATCGACCTGCTCTTCCGTCTAGAGCCACCGCGATTCTAGAGCCACCGCGATGGTCAGGACAGAATTGAGCTTCACACACGAGGGCCAGGTCGATGCACGACTTTGACCGGAAACATGAGGCGTTGGGCAAGCTCGCAGATGATCACTCTGCCTCATTATGCTTTGCTGTGAGCTCGGTTGGTCTAACCATTGCCTGCCTGTCACTCTTCGAGATTCCGTTCGCTATCGACATCTCGCCCCCGGTACGTCTTTGTCGTCGCCACGACGGCAATAGTAGCTCACTGGTTTGGGCACAGGGCTACGTGTGATTTTCCGGCCGTCGTGAGTTCACGTGTTTGCTGCATTGCGCTCAAGCTCCTCGATGGACATCGAGCGCTGCGTACTGTGAAGGACTGTCCTGACTTGGCGCGGGCCGCTTGCTACGGACCCACCGCGCCGTCTCGATATCACGGCCGCTATCAGCCGATGGTCAAGGGGGTATCCACGTCAGCTTCGTCATCCACCACGGCCTCAGCGCTCTCGTATATCAAGCGCGCGTCAGCCCAGCTCGATCCCTCCCTGTCGTCTCCCCACAGCCTCCTCCCCAACCGACCGCCTCACCCCGCCTGACCACTATCACAAGCGACATGATGCCGCTCATCGCTTCGACGTTTCCCTTGCGAACCTCGCTCCTGGCCGCAGGCCTGCTCAGCCTCCTCACGCTCTTCAACGGCGTGATTGCTGGACATGCGGGCGATTGCTACGATAAGATTGCTACGATAATTGGCAAGGTTGCAACGGTGCCGTCGCGCATAGCGTCGATGGCAATCTGGCGAAGAATCAAGTCGTAGGTACCAACACTGACTATTGGTGAGTGAGCGCTTCGACCTGCTTGGGGACGCTCTTCAGCGCTGAGCACCCCTCTCTCGCCCTTTCGCAGCAAGGCCTTCAAGTCTGCCGTGGGACCTTCGCCAAACTTGAACGCTCAGATCTGTCGCACGTCCGATTGCAAGCTCTGCGACCCTCTCAGCGTCGGCGCTTGTATCCTGGGATCAGGCGGCCTTTTGAGGACGGTCTGCTTTTCGTAGAGCGAATGCGAGAGAAGTCAAACACGAGCTAGAAAAAGATGTTTCTTGTCCTGCTCTCAGCCTAGAAGGCTCATGCCACGGTGGAACACGATCCATGAACCCGAGCAATCGAACACTTTTCAAGTGCCACATGGCTGACTGCCGTCAGTGTGATACTATTGATTGGAGCACCTGCCTCAGGATCACGAGATCTCTAGTTGTCGGTATGCTTCTGAGTGCGGCGAGGGGGTGCTTGTACGAGGTTCCGAAGGCGTGATTGTTGCGCTCGTGGCGGCTCGTTAAGCCGAGGTGGCTTAGTGACACCGGAGTGGGCAGCAGGCCAGGGTGACTTCTCTGCTTTTCCTCACTGTCAGCGACCGACGCGTACCGATTCTCACCTTGCTGACCTTCCATTGAATGGTGGCCTGCTTCATCGCTTTCTTGCGAGATGGCATGGCCATCTCCGTCGTTCTCGCCATGCTCCTCCTGACCACAACCCTCCAAGCCACGCATCTAGGGGACTGCTTCGAAGATCTCATCTGCAAAGGCATGCAGGTCTCCTCCCTCGACTCAAACACAACCGCCAGAGGTACGCTCGCCAATGTGAAGACTGCTTGCTCCTCCTTCCGCTCCAAGATCGGACCTCCCATGAGGGCCAAGATTTGCAAGACTCTCAACTGCGGCGCTGTCTGTAAGCCGCTGCTCGTCGATGCTTGCTATGAGGGGGTCAGCTCGGTGTGCTTCTACTGAGGTGCGAGGACAAATGAAGAGGGAATTGCCTGCAGTCAAGCGACGCTCAGGTGATCGCACCAATGGGATCGCGCTGTATGGATGACATTGCCTCCTCATGCTCGACATTATCTTCCCACCTGCCAATGACAAACATCTCCGTCCACGACGATGTAGTTCTTGCCCTCTTGCCTCAGCTTGCCCGCCGCTTTGGTCTCCCCCTCAGTCCCGTACTGCTGCAGATCGCTAAATGCCATGATTTCACCGCAGACGAACTTCTGCTGGAAGTCGGAATGGATGACCCCAGCAGCATTCGGAGCCTTGGTACCCGAGCGGATACACCAGGCACGGACCTCGTCCGGTCCGCAGGTGAAGTAACGAATGAGGTCGAGCCCATCGTAGCCTGCCTTGGTAATCTTGGACAGGGCTCCCGTCACGTTCTCTCCCAGAGCCTTGAGCTCCTCCTGCTCCTTCTCTGGTGAGCCGGCCTGGACAAGACGCTCCTCGAGTGCGACGGAGAAGGGGATGAGCTGGTCTCCTGGGTTGTTCTCATCGATCCATTGCTTGATCTTGGGGAGCCACTTGTTCTTCTTGCGGACGTAGTCGCGTTCGCTGAGGTTAACGAGGTAGATGACGGGCTTGGCGGTCAGGAGGGACATGGTGTTGATGACGTCGACCTGCGAGCGTGTGAGCGTGGAGAAGGAGTGTGAGCGGGTCGCGCTGCGGGTGCGAGTGAATGCCGAGACTTCCTCGCCCTCCTTCCCCTGCCCCGATGTCCTTTCCCTCCTGGCTGGTGCTGCTGCTCCGCTCTGGGTTCAGAATAAAACTTCTTTTCTCATGCTCAGCTGATGAGGCCGATCGACGAGCTGGGTTATTAGAATTCGAGGGTCTCAATGTGCGCCCTCTTGTTCATCCTTAGAGGAGCGGTCATGCTGCCGCCTTGCGATGCCACGTCCAAACTTCCACTACAAGCCTCTTTGCGCCGCTCGCACGCTTACTCACCTCCTTGGGCGACCAGTCGACCTTTCGCACATCCATGTTGTCCTCTGTCAGCGCCTTGAGAGCCTTCTCCATGGTGGCAATGTCCTCCTGCTTCCTCTTTGCGTCGAGACCAGAGGCTCCTCGAGCATTCTTCCTGGCCGTCTCGAGAGACTTCTCGGTCCACTCGATGTCCTTGAGACGCAGCTCCTTTGAGATGATCTCCATGTCTCTGCACGGGTCGACATCACCCTCGACGTGGATGACCTCAGCATCGTCGAACGCTCGGACTACCTGGAAGATGCCGTCTACTGCGCGCACGTTGGACAAGAAGGCGTTGCCGAGACCAGCACCAGTCGAGGCTCCAGCAGTCAGACCGGCAATGTCCTGCATGAGAGGGGTGAAGGAGATGAGTCACTTCTGATCGACGTGGGGCACTGGCAGCTGCGAAGACTCACAATGCAGGTCAGAAAAGCTGGGATCTCGCTCTTGGGCTTGTACTTCTCGCACAACCAAAGGAAACGGTCATCGGGGACGGGAACACGAGCCTCTTCGGGCTCAATGGTAGCGTAGGGGAAGTTTGCGCTCTTTCCGAGGTCGCACTTGGCAATGGTGTTGAAGAGAGACGACTTGCCTACGTTGGGAAGACCGACGATGCCCATCTTCAAGTTATTGGAAGGCCTGCCGAGGCGAGCCTTCTCGACGACTGGGGCGCCCTTCTTTGGCGGCATCCTGATACGCTTCTTGGTGGGGTTGAGGGTGGTTGAACTGAAGCAACGGTATAAAGGGGGCTGCAGAGAGAAGACGGCGATGCGCAGTGGCTGTTGTTGTTTGAGTAGTGTTGGTACTGCTGTTGATGACGAGCAGAAAGTGAGCATGCGCTGAGCAAAGGCCACGAAGGGAAGACGCTCCTCTGGCGAGCCTTTGCTTGTCGCCGCCCTCGCTCCCTCACTTCTTCTGGCAAAAAGCGCGCGGCTTGCCACGCGAGCGAATCGACATCGATGGATGATCGACGCCTTGCTCCTGGCCCCTGGGAGGCCCAGAGAGAGGCCGGCCAGTCGGCACGAGGCGGGCGACGGGCGGACGCCAGGCGCACGCCTCTCTCACAGTGGCGGCGTGCCTCTTGACGGCTTCAAACATCCCAAACGACGTCGAGTCGTGAGCCAAGCCAAGCCAAGCAACCGTCTCGACCTCATTACCACGACCGCCTTCGACCTTGAACTCGCACCACTACCACTCCTCTTCGCCTCTCACTGCACGGCACTTCATTTGGTGCCAGATACCCTCCGGCAGAGCTAGCTTTCGACTACACAAGCCAAGTGCATCCACCTCTGCCCTCCGTCCTCTCTCAAATCGCACGCATCACAGTCATGCGCACATCACTCCTCGTCGTAGCCCTGGCTACTCTCCTCTCAGCATCGGCCGTTGTTGCCACTGAAGTCGCAGCAGCACCGTTCGAGCAAAGAGAAGCGTGAGTGTTGCGCGCCCGTGTGTACATGTCTTCACAGCATCCGCTAACGCCCACATCTCCACGCCCTCTTTGGTACTCTTCACAGCTCTCCCGTAGCAGCGCGTGACGCAGTCCCTACGCCCTTCGAGCTGGAAAGGCGACAGAACGGTGCCGGTCTGGGAGGAGGAGCAGGAGGCGGAGGTGATGATCTCACCTCAGCGACGGGCCTTCAGACGATCAGCGGCTACACTCCGCCACAGTCGACTGAGATCCCCTCGCCCGTAGTCTCGTCTGGCAGGATCTTGGCTACCAACCAGATCCCGGGCTTCAACACTAGCCAGTCTTCTGGTGCAGAGGGCTTCGGTATGGCTGCGGCGGGTGGGCACGCAGTTGCGGCACTGGGTGGTCTCGCGGCGGGGGCTGCGTACCTCCTTTTCTAAGCGGGCAGCGCTCGCAACAACATCCTTTTGCGGCGCAAGGGGACTCCTGTCGTCTCGGCCTCTACTGTTCATAGATCATCGGCGAGGCATCTTCGTCGACTTTACGCCATCCAGTCTCCCACGCACCCTACCACGCCTGCCCCCTTGGGCAAAGGCTCGTCTCTGCGCTGGCTCCCAACGCAGGACCGAGCAGTCATCCTCTAAGCAGGCGTCATGGATGGAAGCCACTCGTCTCGCCTCTCCTCGATAATGTCCCTCCGCCTTCCCGACTGCCTCGGCCTTTGCGCTCTACATCTCGGTCTCCCATTGTTGCACAGGCGTTCTTCACAGCGCGCTCGATTTCGCTCACGGACAATTGAATATGCCAAATGCCACGATACTTGCAGCGAAGAATGTGCAGACGTCTAGATGAGAGACCTTATTCGACCCAACTCTGTGCCCGTCCCAACTGCCTCCCTCACTCGCCGCCCTTGAACAACTTCTCATCCAAGTCGGCATACACAGGCACATGATCGCTGGCCCCGTACACCTCCTGCCTAATTTCGCACCCAGTACATCTGTCCTTGGCCCTCTCACTGACAATGAACGAATCGATGCGCCAGCCAATCCCCTTGGCTCTGCACATCCCTCTCCAACCATAGTAGGTGAAATGCCCCTTGGCACCAGGGTGGTGCTCCCTCCAAACGTCGACGAGCGGCTTTGCCCCCTCCGTTGCCTTGCCCTCCAGTAGGGCTCGATGCGCATCGCACTCAATCTGCGTGTAGCCGGCAGACTTGTTCCACTTCTGACTCGCACGGGCAAGGTCGTACGAATCGTACACCACGTTGAGATCTCCCGTCCACACCACTGGCTTTTGGGCGTCCAATTCTGCGATCCTCTTGGCCAGCGCAGTGTTCCAGCCTTGCTTGGCAGGCATACTCTTCAGCCCCTCCCCCGCGTTCACGCAGTACGTCCCGACAAGGAAGCAACCGGGGTACTCGACGACCAGGCAGCGCGACTTGGTCTCGTAGTCTGCGGGGATCATACCGGGAAGGCCCTTGTGGACGGCGAGGGGCGGGATCTTGGAGAGGACGGCTACGCCTGCGTAGGATTTTGTGGCGCCGATTCCCCAGGCCTGATGCGGGTAGCGCGTGGATTGGAAGAACGTGGGAGGCTCATTCACTTTGGTTTCGGTGAGAATGAGCTATGTGTGGGGTTTTGAAGCACAAGGGTCAGTCGCTGCTGTCCTGTTCCGTCGTCATGGTCTCCTCCTTGCTGCTACTCACAACATCAGCATCCTCTGCCTCGATGTACCTGCTAAGTCCCTTCCCCTCTGCACTCTTGAGTGACACGATATTCCATGCCGCAACGCGTACGGTCCCCTCTTTTCGCGGAGCATCAGAGAAGGATAGCGGGTTGGGAATATCGACCGTCTTTGGGCATCCCTCGTAGGCAAGAATATCATCGTCCTTACCCCGAGGTGCGGCGGGCGAGTCAGGGAGACCGCCGGCGTTGGGGGCAGCGTCTGCTTTGGCCTTGGAAGTACGGGGCTTCTTTTGCTTCGCTGGGGGCGACTCCTTGCCCTCGTCATTTTTAACGAGCTCCTCTGCCTTGGGCTGCTCCTTGTCAGCTGCCTTGCGCTTCGTCTGGCCATGAGGTGACGCGGCTGCCTTTGCCTTGGAAGTCGAGGGGGTTGAGGGTCCAGCTCCATTGCTCTCCTTGGCTGTGGATGCAGCACTAGCAGCTCGGGATGCGTTGCGTCTTGGTGGCATAGCGAAGGCTGTGTTGAGGATGGTTTGATGGATTAGTTGAGCTGGCAAGCGGGTGGACCTCTGAACCAATCGATTGAACATGCGGTAACAAAGGAGGACGCGTTTCGTTGCGTCGCCTCGACTCCGGTCCAGGTCCAGATCGAGTGGAGACGAGTTGATTGGCCGAAGATTTCCCTTTCCGCCCTCGTCGCTCCTGTCTTCTTTTGCCCTCTCTCTCCCCTCCTCATCACAAGCATCAAGATGGCCGATCCAGCCCCGCAATCCTCAACGTCAGAATCAACAGCTCCTCCTTCAGGCGAAAGCGATGCAACGCGATCCCCGACCCCACCTGGTGGCTTCCACGCCTACAAGCCAGTCCTCTCCTCGGACGACTTCCTCTCGTCAACTGAGACGAATCTTGCTCGCCCACTCACCGACGCAACGATCACGATTCGCGTCATCAAATCCTTCCCTTATCGCAGCGTCAAAAACCTGGTGCTGAATCACATCGATCTTACAAAGATGACTGTCCTTGAGCTGGAGGAGAGATGTAGGAAGGGTGAGCCATCCCTCTCCCAACAGACCCCCAAGCTCGCCACCGCCGAAATTAACCCCTCTCTCGCTCTCGCTGCACAGACGTCTCCACACTTCCAGCATTCAAAGCTTTCCGTACTCACGCCCCCAAGCTTGACTGTCTCAAGATCTACACAAGAGCGCACGGGGCCAAGACGACGAACTTGATCATCAACTTGGATCACCCTGAGTGGCTGCTTGACGATGCAGAGAACAGGTCAAAGACGTTGCAAGAGGTCGGTCTGGAGAATGAGGCAGAGGTCAGCATCTTCAACAGGGAAGACTACGAAGCTTTCCTCAAGGATCCGACGACTACATGGTAGGTGGAGCCAGAGGAGACAATGCATCATCGGCCAGAGCGACAAGGCGGAAAGCTCTCTGGCTAGTCATTCACTTGCGATCGCAGGCCAGGTGGGATCGGCGTGAAGACTGGGAATGCATTACGAGGGCATAGCTATGGTAAATAGGAAAAAATAGTCACCTTGATAATAAGAAAGGACGAGGAGGCGCAAATGGTGCTAGGTAGGAATCGAGACCGGGCAGCAACGTCGTTCGTAGCGCTCACAGCCCAGTCATAGCAAGCGTACGCGGCCCTTTGACTCGAACCAGATCAGGAAGAGTAGAGAGTCGGAGGTAACCAGTGGGATAGCAATAGCTAGCTGCTTTCGAGGTATACGAGGACTTCGGGCCTTCGCCGTGCCCTGTCGAGGTGCGGAATATCAAATCGCGGTCTGTTTCGTCATCACCCTGTGAAGCGGCCTGAAGTGGCCACTTGGGTATCCTGAGCTGCCCTCTGCTCCTCCTACTCATCGTCCCCGGCCGCTGCGTCCTCATACTTCGACCTCCCGGTCTGCATGCTGGACCTGGCGGTGGTAGTGGCCCCATTGGTCCCCAACAACGCCGAGGAGCCCATCTGCTGTCCATCGCCCTCACCACTCCTACTGCCACTGCTGGAGTGACGCAAGGCGCTCGCCTTCGGCGTGGCAGCAACCGCTCCAGACGCAGCGAACGCAGCAGGAGAGACAGCGTGGAGGACAGATGCGTCAACCGCCGGCGTGGAGGAGGCGGGGGACGAGATGATCGAAGTCCTGTCCCAGGAACTACCACCTGCTGCGACTGGGGGTGCGTTGGTCGTGTTGGTTGTGTTCTTGCCAATGGATAGGCTCACGAGGGGCCGCTTCTTGGCCTTCTTCGTTGGCGTGGCTGACGTAGAGGGAAGAGGAGGGACAGCGTCTGTTGATGGACTCCCCGTCCCTTCAGCCATCGTCTCGCGAGCTGTACCATCGGCGGTAGCTGGGGGAGACTGCGCATCCGCATTGGCCCTCTTCCTCAGCCCTCCTGCAATCGAGCTCATCTTCCTCACACTCGCCCTCTTCCTCAGATTGAGGCTCATAGCCTTCAGACTCTTGAATGAAGGGGCGAAGAGGGAGCGCCTCCCATCGGTGGAGGAGGCACCGTCGTTATCGTAGCGCAGGGTATTCTCCTCATCCTCTTCGTCAAAGTCCTCTACGTCGTCCAAATGAACCCCGGCATTGATGCGTGGCACACCGCGACCTGAGCTTTGCGCTCGGCGAATAGCACTGCGAGAGCCCTTCGTGGGCAGAGTACCATTCCCTCGAGTGACGGCGGTGGGACGAGGCACAATTTTCTCCTCCACGACGAGCCAGTTCATTCCCGCCGTGGGCGCAGCTGGCGCCGCCGCCGTCGAAGACGGAGATGACGTAGCCCCACCCGACATGAGATTTGCCGCCGCATTCCTGTTGAGCTGTGCAGCTACAAATCCAGGCAACATAGCTGCTGGGCAGAAGTCCAGCAGGGCGTCTTGCCAGACTGAAACGAGCACCTCGTCTAGGTCCATAGTCGTGACAGCTGTGATGCTATGTCGCGGCTTGGCAGTGCGGGGGCGCTGCTGCTTCGCATGGCCGAGTAGACTGTCACCGCTGCCATTGACGCTGCTGTCCCTGCCTCCCTTTCGTCGCAGAGTACCAAAGCTCGTTGCGCGACGTAGAAGACCAGCGCTACTGGATGAGCCGTTCTGCATTGCTGCTGGGCGGCTAGAGCCAGAGGCAATGGAGAATGACTCGCTTGGCCTGGGCTTGGCGGACACCTCGTCGAGGGAGAGGTCGACGCCACTCGCTTTCTCGTTGGAGGAAGTGGCAAAGCCGCCGTCTCTGAAGACGTCCCAGTCAACCTTGGGTGGCGTTGAGGCTGCTTCGGCGCGTGTTGGTGTGTTGGGCGCGCTGGTCTCCGGCAGCGGGTCGAGGGTGGTCGACCCATTGAGCTTGTAGCGACTGGTATTGGCGTATGATCCAATCCTTGGTAGGCTGGCCGCAGCGTCCCCCTGTCGTGCGCTTGAGGAGTACAAGCTGGCAATGGAGCCGTAGGATGGCATTGCTACTTGAGTCTTGGATTCGCTGTCCCGTGCTGTGGACCCGTTGCCCATCATAGTCTTTCTCTGTGCAATCTCTGCGGCGAGAATCGCAAAGATGCGACTATCTTCGTCTCGTAGGAGCGCCAACTCTCTTGCCAGCTCGAGCTCTTCCTCGCTTGCGGCCGCGGGTGCCGCAGTTGCAGGGGTCTCTCCCGTTGCAGAGTCCTCGGTCTCCTGCGCCGCGGCGTCGGGCGAAGCATGCACTTCCCTCGTAGCCTTCTGCGCCAGTCCAACAAGCGCAGCCCAGTCGTCCGCCTCTGCTGACGACTCGCCATTGTACAGCTTAGCCGTCAAAGCCGAGGCCAAGGTGTCTGAAGGCCCGCGCGGGTTGCGTAGCGATCGCGCCTGGACGTTCTCACTGCTCAGCGTCACCTTGAGCGCCTTGGCGACGACCTCTGCCCCTCGCTTGACATGCAGCCCCGGCGCCCCAACCTCACTCTGCGCCGACACTCTTGGATAGTCGTCAATGAGCTGCGTCAGCCTCGTGGGCATGTAGTGCACCTTGGTACTCTGGTCGCGCAAGTAGGCGAGGTAGAGGTGCTCCATTATAGAAGAGGAGCGCGCCCACTCGTCCAAGAAGGCGGAGAGATCTGTGGCCACCTTGTCCGACTCGATGCGGCCAAACAGCCAGAAGCCAAAGGTCTTGCATATACGCCAGGCAGGCATCGCATTGGCTACATAGTGCGCCGAGACGGACGTGAGGAGGTCGAGCGTGTCGTTCAGCAGGCGTTGTGTGTCTGTGGGAAGATGAGGCAGGAGGAGAGCGCTGTATGCGTTGCGTGGGTAGCCTTGATCCTTTTCTGCTTTGACGAAGGTGTTGTACCACGTGAGGTGATTAGTGGATGAGAAGTCGAGGCGAGACACTTTGAGGCGGCGGAAAGACTGCGGAGAGTCAAGGTGTATGGGGTGTGCCGTCAGATGAGGATGATCCCTCGTATCCTCTCGGCCACCTACTTACCCATTTGAGAAAGTCGGCTACATCGCAGACCTTGGCATAGGCCAGTTGCTTTGCCAGCTCCCGCGTAGCAGACGGCTTGCCAAAAGTAGCCACAGCAAGATCGCTTCCCTTTGCGTCCACAACGCTCAAGGTCCCTTCGTATCGTTCCGCATCCACGCTCAGCAAGTAGAGCTCGGCCATGCGATCCACAGCCTCTGGCGAGGCTCCAACGCGAAAAGGTCTAAAGATACCCACGTTGGCCAGGCCACGCTGCTTGATCTCTGCGCCTGCGAGCTTGACGACCTCGGCCACTTGAGATGGGGTCAGCCTCGCCTCTGAGAGGACTTGGGCGCGAGTGATGCCCGAGTCTTTGAGCTTGCGCTCCTTTTCTGCGTACTGTTGAGTGACTTGTTGAGCTATGCCTGCCGCTTCCGTAGCAGCGCCGCTCTCACGCTGAGGAGCGACACTGTCGTCTGGGGCAGGAGTTGCTGAGGTCGAGGCTGGCTCACGCTCAAAGGGAAGGAGATCGAGCTCGAGAGAGTGAGGGAGGTCGGGAACTGGAGGGGCTTCGCGATGCTGCTGACAAAGGGGAGTGTGCTGGGTCAGAACAAGATCTCTCTCTTTCTCTCTTGCGCTTCGGCTCACCTTCCTCGACCAGATACTCTTGCGACTCTTACTCTTGCTCATGGGCGAAGAGCACGGGCTGGTGATGCCGTTCCACCTGCTTTCTTCCTGCTCTGCTTTGGCCCGATAGCTCCTCGTAGTGAGATCCGGACTCGACGACGAGGGCTTGATGTACGAGATGGACCCGCCGCGTTCGCGATCCTTGCTCGCGGTACGGATCTTGTGGAATACGTAGCTCACCGATCCACGTCGCACCGGCGCGGGCGAATGGACGCCGTTGCCGTTGGACAAGGGTGTCGGGCTGGCAGCAGCGACGGCTGCCATTTTGCAAGACGATGACGAAAGAGGCTACGTGCGCGTCTGCTAGTGTGATATGGATAGAGATGGCGAGAAAGAGGGAAAGAAACAAGCGCGGCCTTCGCAGCGACAAGGACGCGGGTGGATAGTGAGGCAGATAGATGGGAGGCCCAGTGCTTCTCCCCGTCTTCGTCCCTGGACGCCTGAGCGCGGACGGCTGCCGATTGAAGACTGCCCGTTGTATGGCCGAGGTGATGAGTGAGGAGATGGCGGGACAGGGGGCAAGGGCATCGTAGCGATTTGCTAGGGCACTACGGCGGTGCCCCCCAGAACGATTATGGATCCCGGAGGCGAGTCCAACACCAGCTCTGCAGGCGGGCGGCAGCGCACAAGCGCATGCAAGCAGCAGCAGCAGCAGCAGCGAAGCCCTGCTCTAATTCAAGGCTTTTGCAGTGGCGCGGCCGTCCTTTCTATTCACCTGCTACTCCGCGCTCGACGGAGTGCATTCGCGACGCCAATCAGCGCAACCTCCTCGCACCAGGACTTCGAAGACCTTGCGTCTCCCGACAACTCAATCTCGAGGGACGAAGCTCAAAGTAGGCCTCTGGATAACCAGCCTCGAGAGGTCGGGGAAACAAGAGCACCTCGGTCACGACGGTCAGAACGGAGTCGTGGGATCGCAGCTGCGAGCCTGCTTTTTTGTTTGCTTCTAGAAGCACACAGCTTGCATAAGACGGCAGCTGGCAGATATTGACTCTCGAACAAGGCGACGACGGCCAATTGCCAATCGCCATCTCCTCACTCTCGGTCGCAGGACCCGGCTTTTCCGTCCGCTTCAGTAGCACTCGATAGCTCGATCAAGGTCAAGATTTAGACGAGCACCCAGGAGCAACGATAAGACGGCTGTCCTTCTAATGGAGGCTGGCACGTCGTCCTCCTCGCCCTCGTCATCATCGCTCTCCTTTGTGCCGCGCAGAGTGGCCGGGACGAAGAGACGAGGAACCGGCCTCGCATCAAAATCACGGCCACCACCACCCGCAGTCGCAGCTCCTGGCGATGTCGACGTCGACTTTCCCTCACACGTCCTCCTCCATGCCACTTTATCGCTCAATCTCCCCACTGCAGTCGTAAAGGATTCACAGCGACTAGCAAAGCAGATCGATCGGTTCGTTCGGAGGAGGCTGGAACGCATCGCCCCACGCAGCGTTGACTACGTCGCTGTGAGGCGTCTCACCCGTAGCGAAGAGATCGACGAGAGAGGCCAAGACGGGGACAATTCAACGGCGAAGATGACAGTCGAGGTCAGTACACAGCCATCAGCAGGCTCTCGCGGCGAGGTTGAGTTGACGCGAAGCCATCCTTTCCCTCGTTCAGTGTAACATCCGCTGCTCCTCGCCCCTCGCCGCTCGTGCGCTCATCGACAAGCACGAACATAGTCAAAAGGCAGAACCGCCAGCAGACCATCTTCATCGGCATCGTCGCACCCCTGCAGCAGGCCTCACAGCTCTTCGCCCTCTAACGCCCTCTGAGCAAAAAGCCGTATGGCGCTACGAGGTGCCTAGCAAAGTCAAATCGCGGGCTCGCCGGCGTGTATCGCGACGCCTGAAGCAGGAGAAGGAAGAGAGGGGCGACGCTGCTGCAGTGACAGATGTAAGATAGAAGAGTTGGATTTGGATTTGATCAAGCATTTTAGCAAATCCGTCTATACGAGTCTAGGAGCCTCACACGCTCCACGTCAGCGATGCGCCCGCCTATCTGCCACTTCCATCCTCTACCATTCCCTTAGCCTCAACCAGCCTCAATAGGTTGCGCTGCAACATGGTGCAAGTCATCTTCCCTACGCTCGGCAAGTACATGCCCGCCTTGGTCCTCACGTCCTTTTCGAAGTTCTTCTCCGAAGAAAAGTTGACGCACGTTGCGCCTTGACGAATTTGCGAGGTGGGCACTTTGAAGTTTGCTGAGGGGACACCAGAGATGACCACGTCTGATTGGGCAAGGCAGGATTCAAGGCTGGTGCTAGAGGAGGGGAGAGGACGGACGATGTGGTGCGGGCGAAGACGCTGTGCTGCATTTCGGCGTCGTGCTTCCTTGACGGCTTGCGAGGCTTCGCGATCGTCCTCGTTCTCCTTGTCCTCCTCCGAGCTCGTCGTGTAGGCGCGCTTGCTGAACTCTTGCGTCGACCCCAAGTCTACCGAGAAGACGCGTGCACCGTCATTCGCAAGGAGGGCAGCCAGCGGGCGGCCGACGACTTCGGAGCGGTTGATGACGGTGATGGTCTTGCCGCGCAACCTGTCACCGTAGGGCAGCGATCGATCGTACACCTGCATCGCCTCCAGACACTTGACGATACCCAGCGGAGTGCAGGGGAGGATGCCCTTGACCATACCCGAGGGAACAACGTCATCGGTGCCGAGGGAGTGGTCGTGCGCTCCACCATTCGCAGGCTGACTTTGGCTCAGCGCCTTCTTCTCCTCCTCGCTCAGCACATTGCCCTCTGCCGTACTGCCCGGCGCTCCTCCGAGCTGGCTAGGAGCGATCCATCGTACATTGTGGTAAAGGTTCCAGGCAAAGGAGAAGGAGAGACCTTCGACGTCCTTGCTTGGCTTGATGATTTGCGAGAGGTACGTGTCCTGGCGTCCGCCGAAGACGGGGAAGTAGACCATGATGCCGTCTACGGAGGGATCCGCATTTGCTGCAATGATGAGGTCCTCGACATCGTCTTCGAGTCCGCTGCGAGCGAAAGCAAAAATGGCCGAGTGAGCTGGGGTGCAGGCTACCACGGTGGGGTCGTCAAGCACTTACGGCTTCTTGTCGTCCTCGCTTGGCGGCTCCTCACCAGGCGCTTGGTCCCATGTCCTCCAGATGTCCTAGCAGAGGGGAGAGTAGAGCGTTTGATCAGCGTCGCACCCTTGAAGAGCCTTGGCACGCTCGCACGCTCGCACTCACAAATTCCATGCCTACGCTCTCGCAAGCCTTCTTAGTCCACTCGGCATAGGCGATACTCGGCGGCGAAGGGGTAGCCAAAATGCCCACCAGGCGAGGTCTAGACTTGCCATCTTTAACCCTCTGCGTGATCTGTTCCGTGATCGAGTCAATGAATGGCTTAGCCAGGGCAGCGGCTGATACGAGCTTGCCCGGGTTGGACTCGCTGATCGGCGCCGTTGAAGACGAGGCAGACGTGTTGAGGGCGGGCTCGGTCATGCTCGATGCGATCCCTTGGAGAACTACGTTGGGGGCGTCGAGGTACTTGTATTGGCTACTTGTGTAATCGATCTCTGCAAAGTGCTCGGCGAGGCTGCCAGAGTTGAGTGACGATGAGGAGCGGCAAAGAAGAGGTGACGGAGAAAATAGAGTTGAGGCGCGCGGACGGGAGTGGGAGTCAGTCAGTCAGTCAGTCAGTCTCAATTCAGGCCAGACGCTAATGGGCGCGATTCAAGGGCGGTAAACCTCGTGGTGGCTACCTCGCCACGTACTCACCTCTCCTTTTGCTCGTGAGGCGTGCAGACAGTCGCTGAATGAAAGACGTCGAGCAGTTGATTGAACTTCGCCTTGCGTTGTGCACGAGCTTTGGGGTCTTCTGCCTTTGATGAAACGAGGTCCGAGGGCCGGGTGAGCGAGGAGAGGAGGGCGTTTAGGTGGGCGAGGTCGACTGGCGCTGGTGAAGGCGAGGTGTCGTTGGGTTGATGCCCAGCTGAGGCAGAAGCAAAGAGTCGGCGAGGGGTTGAGGATGAGGATGAGGATGAGGATGAGCTGGCTGGCAGGCTAGGGATGAAGGAGAGTGGTCGTCGATGGACGTAGCGAGCAGAGGCCGAGGCGGCGGCAACGGCAGCAACGGCGGCTCTCTGAAGACGAGTCAGGTTGGGCAGATTGACAGAGCGCGTGTATAGCGATCGAGAGGGACGAGCAAAGAATTAGAGCGATGGTGAGGATGACAGGATAGGACTGGAGTCGCACGCAGGTCAGCAGACTGGATGACAGGCGGCGTCAGGCGGCGGCGGCGTTCTTTGAATTGGCTTGGCTCAATTTGGCCTTGAGACCTCGTCTTTCTCCGTCCGTCCAATCGACGTCAAAAAAAGTTGCAGCCCAGCCGCCGGCAGGTCTTCGAGAGCCCAAGACGACCAAAGGCCGTGGCCATCGTGAGGCGTACTCGCGAGGTCATCGCAATAGCCAGACATCGTGATGTTGCTCATATTGCCAATGACCAGAACAAGGAATCTACGGACGCGATACGACGAAATTTCTTCTGTGCTCTCCGACGCCCGCTCTCATCGACTCCACCCATTGTGAAGGGCCAAGTCGTCAGCGCCATTCATCGGCCCTTGGCATGTAGTAGGCGCTCCGTCGTCCTCCTCGTCATCTTTGCCTCCCCTCTCACCTCCACCAGGCAAAATAAGCCCATTGCCATTGGTATTCTCCCTCCCTGACGTGGCAACATAGCTAGCCTGCATCGCGGGAGGTGCAGCCATCTTCCCATCTCCCGCCCCCTCCCCTGGCGGCCCCACAACGAGCGCTGTGCCGCCCGACCCACTTGTAGGAGCAGCTCCCGCGGGTTGTGAGATCCTAGAAGCGGCCGTCTTCAGCTTGGCATTGTCGCTTCGCAGCGACTCCAAGCTGGAGAGGTAGGCCTCATCCACTCCACCGGTCACGTAGTCCCCATCGAAGACTGCCGTGTCGAATCGCTTGATCTGCACCGTAGTCATGCACTCCTGCACACTCTCCACCAAGTCAGGGAGAGTCTGGTAAATGACTAAGTCGGCGTGAATGTGCGAAGCCACCTCCTCTTCGGTGCGGCCATGCGCTACCAGCTCGTGTCGGGAGGGCATGTCAATTCCGTAGACGTTGGAGTAGCGAATGGCCGGCGCACACGAGGCCATAACGACCTTCTTTGCTCCAGCTTCGCGCGCCATCTGGATGATCTCTCGCGAAGTGGTACCGCGAACGATCGAGTCGTCAACGAGGAGGACGTTGCGCCCTTTGAACTCCATAGCCATAGCGTTAAGCTTGCGACGGACGTTCTTCCTTCGTACGGACTGACCGGGCATGATGAATGTACGGCCTACGTAGCGGTTCTTGACAAAGCCTTCGCGATATGGTACGCCGAGTGACTGGGCTACTTGGAGCGCAGCAACGCGCGAGGTGTCCGGTACGGGGATGACGACATCGATCGTCTCCATGCGGGCGCGCAGCGTCTTACGAACCGTCACGGCGAGGCGGTCGCCCATGGCAATGCGGCTGCGGTAGACAGAAATACCGTCCATGACAGAGTCTGGGCGAGCGAAGTAGACGTACTCGAAGATGTCTGGCGCGAACTCGTAGGCGGATTGGTCTACCAGCACGCGGCGAGAGACCTGGTGACGAGTGATGATGATGGCCTCGCCAGGCTTGACGTCTTCGAATTCGTCGAAGCCCAGCGCATCACCAACGACGGATTCGGAGGTGAAGCAGTAGTCCTTGCCGTGTCCGACGGCAGGGCTTGAGGTGCCCGACGAGCTAGCAGTGGCTGATCCTGCGTCTGGCGAGTTGCGCGAGCACAAGCCGAGGGGACGAATGCCATTGGGATCACGGAAGGCAATGATGCCAAAGCCGGCGAGCATGGCCACGCAGGTGTAGCCGCCCTTTGCCTGCTTCATGAGGCCTTGGATGGCCGTGAAGATGTCCTCTTCGTTGATACGGAATTTGCCGGTCGCCTGGCGGGGAGGAGAGAATAGAAGGCGGTCAATCTTCAGTCCAGTCCATAGCATCCCGCAAACCCCCTTCGCACTGGCTCACCTGCAGATTGTTGGCAAAGATGTTGAGGAGGAGCTCCGAGTCCGAATCAGTGTTGATGTGACGGTGAGCTTCTGCGTCGAGGAAGGCTCGCAGCTCCGTTGTGTTGATGAGATTGCCCTGACGAGAGAGCAGCGTAAGTGGCCCACAGTCAGCATACAATTTCTCTCGCTGTGTCTTCGGCCGGGCCCACCGCACTCACATTGTGGGCGAAGACGATACCATAGGGCGAGTTGACGTAGAAGGGCTGAGCCTCTGCGTGGTTGGACGAGCCAGCGGTAGGGTAGCGGACGTGACCCACGCCCATTGAGCCGCGCAGGCGGGCGAGACTGTTGGCATCGAAGACATCTCGGACCATTCCATTTGCCTTGCATTGGTAGAATCGCCCACCAGGTCCACAGGTCACGATGCCCGCTGCATCTTGGCCGCGGTGTTGGAGGAGGGAAAGAGCCTCGTTGATCTCAGGCGCAGCCGCAGCCAACTGAGATGACAACAGGAGGGCCAAGATGCCGCACATGACAGCGACTGAGCAGCAGGAGGATGGAGAGGAGGAGGAAAGAGCGAAGAATGGATCGACAGATGTTCTGACTCCTGGTTGCTCCTCGACACGCCTACTCTCGGCGCCTTCGGGCGTTGAGCCTCAAATCGCGCCTCTTCTCCAGAGCAAAAATCGAAAAGCGCGGCTTGTCGCAGGCCAACTCTAAAGCCGCGACTCGCTCGCCCAGCCTCGTGGCAGAAAGGCTTGGGTGCCTGCCTAGCGCTCCACAGCCGCCCGCCGGATGGAGGTGGACGGAGAGAGGCGCCATGGGGCCCTCACCTGAATTGACTTGACGGCCAAGCCACGAGAGCGAGAGAGCGAGGTGAGGTCGCGAGCTTGTGAAGCTACCCAGCATCCGCACCCGTCGGCCGTTGTCACCACGCATCCTCGATCCAAAGTCACTTGCTCTGTTCCTGATCCCCATTTCACAACCCTTTTCCCCCGCATTTCCAGTCATCACAGCGCAACATTGCATCGAGCGGGTCAGCTGTTTAAGCACCATCACTATCACTACCAATCACCCAACGCCAACCTCATTGCTGCAGCCCTCTTCGTCTCCCCTCTGCATCTGACTCCACCTTAAACGCGACATCCCAAGCGCGACCTCCTTCGTCGCCGTCATCGCCCATCGTCGCGATGGATCCTCGCAACTTCTTTGGTGGCGGCGGGGATCACCAACAGCAACAGCAACAGCAACAATACCAGCATGGTAGCCAGCAGCCGTTTGCTTCAACATCACAGCTAGGCGATCTTCCGCCTGAGCTGCTTCAGTGGCACCAGCAGCAGCAGAATCCCCACTTCCCGCAGCAACAGCCAATGCAGTCGTATGCCACCTTTCCCTCCATCTTCCAGCAACAGCAACAGCAACAGCAACAGCAAGAGCCTTTCATGCAACAGGACTCGGCCTCGCCCACGTCGCTCACGCAGGTGGAGTCATCATCGACGTCATCGCCCTCGGCTTCAAATGCTGGCCCACCGAAGAAGGCGAGCCAGGCAGGGCCCGTACGCTCAAAGACCAAGAGCGAAAAGGCATCCAAGGATACGACGGCGGATGCAGCAGGTTCAGGAGGAGGAGCGAGCGGCGGCGACGAATCGTCCAAGGCTGGTTCATCCAAGGCAGGCGCAGGTGGAGCGTCAGGCAAGTCTGCGCCCGTACGTGCCGCCTGCCTCTTCTGTCGAGCCCGCAAGTCGAGATGCAATGGCCAACAGCCATGCCACAACTGCATCAATCGCGGCAGAGAAGACGACTGCGTCTACACAGTCTCAAGAAGAGGAGGCAAACCCAAGCCTAAGCCCAATCAGTCGCAGGAAGAGGCTAATCTCGAGCAACATCTCAAGCGGCTCTTCAACCTCTCGCAAATGCCGTCCCAAGTCCGCATCCCTGGCGCAATACCCCAGCTCCTTGAGGCACAGAGGGAGCAGGGTGCCCAGCAGTTCAGCTCCGCTTCTCCTTCGCAGCAACCTCAGCAGCAGCACCAGCAGCAGGCGCCACCCGCGATGCCCTTGGCTGGTTCGCCTCTCAGTCTTGCGGGGTTGGCTGCGGGCCAACCAGGTCCAATACCCATGGTTCCACAGTCACCGAGCGGCAGCAGCCATTCGTGGGATCCCATGGCCGCATTCTATGCTGCCAATCTTGGCCAGTCGCCCTTCTCCACGGGCTCATCTGCCGTTCCGCAGCAGCATGGCGTCATGTCTCCCACTATGGGCGGGCCAATGTCACCGTGGTCTATGGGTGGCCATCAGCACTCCAACACCGGCCTAGACCTCTCTGGCTCCGCAGCCACTCCAGTGACTGCCCCACCTCACGCAGTCCCTGGAAGCTTCGCCGGCACCTTGGCCGGCGGAGGCGGTGTTGCAGGCGGCGATGTTCACTCGATTCTCATGGGATACTACAAGCACCTCTACCGCTTCTTGCCCGTCTTCCTTCCTCCGGAGTATATTCACATCATGGCCAATCGGCTTAGCCCTGAGTCGCCATTCATTCTCTCGTTGCAGGCCATCCTCCCTCTCCTCTCACACGGCGAGGCGCACGAGGACGCCGAGAACGCTCAGGTTTCATCATCCAGCAGTGCCAGCGTCGGCGCCGACGTCAGCGCAGGAGGCACAGACACTTCACAGCGCAAGCAGCAACTCCTGCAGGTTGCCGCCTTTTACGAGCGCAGGGCGAGTGAAGCGATTGAAGCTGTACTGGAACGGGCAGAAGGGCATTTGGCAAATGGCAAGACGGACAGTGTTACCAGCCAGGGGTCCACGCTTGGCGTCATTCAGGCGTTGGCTGTTCTCTGTGTCTACCACTACGGCAGCGGTCGAGCACTCAAGGCTCGGCTCAAAGCGGATCAGGCGCTTGGCCTCTGCATGGCTAAAGGTCTGCACCGCCTCAAGCGACCAGAGAGCGGTGACTTTAGCTCCTCCTCCTCATCGAGCTCCATTCCCGCCACCAAATCCAGCTTCGTTGCCCCGGACAACGATCCCTTTGGTCACCAATCCCTCTTCATGGACATGCCTGATGTCGTTCTCTACGAGATGCAGAAGCGTGTATGGTGGACCTGCTGGTCTTCCTCGCTCTGGTGCGCGTACAACACGGCCATCGTGCCGACGATTCGCGCCGATGATCCAAGAGTCAGGACGGAGGTGCCTGCTACTTCTGACTCGGGGGCGTGGGCTGCGAACGTCAAGAGCTTGCAGCTGTTGCTACTCATCCAGGAGAGGGTGCTCGCGCTCAGCAATGGCAAGGAGCTTGACGAAGGCGGCAGTGGAAATGGCAACGGCAGCAGCAATGGTGGTGGCCAGCACACACGAGACGAATCCAAGTCCTCGACGTACGCCCCCTCATCCAATGGGGGCGATGCCGCTACGCCCACCAACAGCTCAAGCACAGCGGAGCCGGCCTTCCATTCCCTTCCGAGCAATGCCACGCGCCAAGACATTCTTGATAGCATGATGGACATCGACCGCAATCTGCAAGCTCAGATCGCGGCCATCGAGTCGGACGAGTCTGCCTTCAAGCAGCTCTGCGAGGAGCCAGAGGCTATAGCGAGCAGCGTGGTTGGGCGAGGAGACTACAAGGGCGGGGACGACTCGCCTGAGGCTCTCTCGCGTCGCTTAGAGAAGCAGCTTGTGGCCTACCTGCGCCGCTCTGCTGCCATACAGGTGTATACGAGTTCTCTAACGCTGCATCTTGGCCAAGCATTCCAAGGTGCCACCCTCTTCGAGCGCAAGTTGTGCTTTCTCAACACCATTGGCGAGAACGACTCGAGCGCGGCTTGCCAGGTACCGATGCCCGACTCCTTTTCTGCCGCATTCAGTTCGGCGCAAGGAGGAGGTGAGGAAGAGGCAGCCAAATCAGCAGTCGCAACCGCGGTCAGCAATGCCGCCCAGGCGAATGTGGCTACTGCAAGCACGCAGGACCTCTTCGCTCGCGGCCCCTTCCTCCCTCGCGAGTCATTGGATCGATGCGTGCATGCGTCGAAGCGGCTCCTCGAGATTGCAAGACATCGTCGCGGCCCTACTACGCCCTCGAAAGAGGGGGAGGTCAAGCGCGAAGATGGTACAGCATCAGGAGGCGACGCTGATGCCGCCAAGGCAGCTGCAGCTGCAGGCTTGAGTGAGCCCAATCCATTCAATGCGTGCAGCTTCGTCCTCATCTCGTTCACGCTGCTCATGCAGGCTTTGGCGGTTAGCAGCGGGAGTCAGGATGCGACAGGTGGTGGAGAAGAGGAGGTTGGGAAAGGCGATCAAGATTACGCGGGGAGCGACATGGACGAGGGCGAGGGTCAAGGAGGCAGCTTTGCGTACACCGCCGACGCGGCCGGCAACGAAGCGGGCCCAGACAGCGACTTTGACATGGATGAGTTTCTCTCCTCCACCAACAACGAGGACGGCCCGCCTTCGATCTCAGCAGCTGATGACAACGACTTCGCGAGCAGCGGTCGTCGCCCCTCGAATCAAGGCCGCTCCCACTCTTCAGCGGATGTGGATGCCTTTTCCCGTGGGCTACTCCAATCTGCACAAGGAGCGGCGGCGCTCGGTGGTGGAGGAGGCAGTGCGGTGGCCAGTGGCTCAGGCACGCCTTTGCAGGGCTCAACACAGCCGCAACAGAGTGGGCAAGCGGAAGCAGACAGGCCCGATTCGATTGACTGGGCCTCGCTTCTTGCCTCGCAACAGCAAGACGCTCCCTCCGGAGCCTCCTCCCTACCCTCTGCCGCCGAGCAGGGCGATTCCACCTCCTCCTCAGCAGCTCAACGTCGTCGTCGTCGCGAGAAGCTACGCGAGATCTGGTCGCGCGTATCAGAGGCGCACTGTACGCTCCTCGGGCTCAGTCGCTACTGGAAGATGGTCGAGCCCATGGCCGACGAAGTGAGCTTGTGCTTGGAGACGAGCAAGATGCTATTGATGCAGTAAGGCCACCAAGTCTGCGGTTAGACGGGCAGCGTATTTTGGGTTTTCACATCGATCAGTTCGTATACAGTCAATACAACACCGTCATTGTTCGTCATCTGACTCTGCTGCGAGTCTGTTTTGGGGCGTGCGAACTCGAATGAAGAGCAGAAAGGAAGAGCATCGTAGTGCTCGGTATCATTGAAAGGCAAGCGATGAAAAGAAGAGCAAGCAAGAAAAGCGCGGATGGTCGTGATGGTTGATCATGAATGCGAGAGAGGCATGATCATGAAAAAGTGCTTGTGTATCGTATGCAAGGAGCAGGCGTCGCTGAGCCAGTGAGGTTGAGGAGGTGACGAGTAGGCCAAGACGAGAGTGAAACCGGAAAAAGACGATGATGCGCCGTCACGGCGAGGTCATCTCGTCTTCTTGGCGCCAATCTACAGGAATCCGCTCTCAGCCAACAACCTGCCCAACCTCTCGTCCTCCCTCTCTCGGGGCTCGATACTCAAACTCTGCTGGTAGAGTTCGGTGTCTCCCCTACTCTCCACCAGATTATCCTCAATGAATCGTTGAATGCCGGCAACGGGCGTGAGGTTATATGGCGTGCTCTGGTAGATCATGATCTCCCTGATCACTTCGGCCGTCTTCTGCCTCTTGCCAAAGTTGATGAGGCGTTCATCGTTCTTGAGGCGGTCAGAATTGCCGTCCTCGATGAAGGTCAGGTCGGTGAGGTAGACGCCCAGGAAGGGGACGCAGGGTGGTTGGAGCTTGTGAATCATCTCACGATAGTCGGAGAAGTTCTTGGAGGACTGCATGATGCGATTGACGTTCTCGTGGAGAGCGACGTAGCGTTGATTGACGCTGCACGGGAGACAAGGTGGGTGGATGAGAGGTCAGTGATGAGCATCATAGGGCACGGCTGCCTACCGCTACTCACGAGTCCCATGTCCTCTTCAGTCTGTAGACGGGAGCCGAGTTGAGCCCGGAAACGATAGCCGTCATGGTGGAAAAGTTGTTGAGAGATCGACAAGCGTCTGCAATCGCAATAAAGTGCTTGATCCAAGCCGCACGCTTCTTGAGATCATCCTGCACGAGGATAGCCTCCGCGACCCAGCCAGTAATCCGATTCGACGTGCTAATGGTATCCTTGATCCCCTTGGCATGCAGATCAGAGTCCGGCTTGCTCCACGCCTTGCCCAGGCACTCCACCGGTTTGATCTTGCAGTAAAGCTTGTGATCAAGCAGCGTAAGCTGGCGGGCCATCTCTATCGGGTCGATGTCGAGGAACTTAATCTTGCGCAGCGACTTGGGCAGGATGGTCGGTGGAGCAGAGTTGGGCATCATCATCCTGCGAACCATCTGCTCTCCGTCACCCTGCCTGCGCTCGACGAGGCGCATCAGCTGCTTCGATGGCAACTCCATTGAGTGGTAAGACATCTCCTGCGCGAAGCCTTTCACGCGGTCAAGGTGTTCGTCATCCTCTCCTTCGTAGAAAAAGGCCTCCAGCCACGACTTGAGTACATTGAAGACGCGTAGGCGGATGGGAATTTGCTTTCGTTCCGCCCAGAGCTGGTGCTCTTCAGGGGTAAGGCCGGAGGGGGGCGGGATCTTGAAGCGGGCGAGGAGCATATCGAGGAGCTCGTGTGTTGTAGTGAAGGAGCGGTACGTCATGAGGAAGGTATTATTAAATGCCGAGTCGAAGGTGTTGTGCATAGTCAGGCGCTCGAGAAGGGCAGGCAGCGTTGCACCCTTGACTTGGCCTTCAGCACTCATAATGATGTCCTCTGGTGCGTAGTCGGGGCCAAGGAACCAGGGGACCTCTTCCTGCACTCGCTTCTTGGCCGCTGTTATTGATGCTGCGGAGGAGGCGTCGCCTCTGTCAATGAGAGTGCTCCCGGCCGTTGATCCTTCTGGAGGCGAAGGGGCTACCGCACCAGAGTCATCGCCAAAGAACTTCTTGATCTTACTGCTCGTCGAGCGATTCCTCGTCGACTCGGCGTCTGCATCCACTTGAGCACCGCTGGCACCGAGAGATCGGCTCCCTTCGACGCTGGCAGACTGCATCGATCCACCCGTGGTCACCGACGTAGAGCGATCGCGATTGCCGCCGCTGCCGCTAAATAGAGACGTCGTTCGCTGTCCAGCTTGTGGTGCGGAGCGCTGTACAGGGTCCATTGAAGGGAAGAGCTCTCCAACCGACTTGGCAGCCTCCTCGACACCGTACACTCTAGCTCTTGCACCTATGTAAGGCAACTTGACACGCTCTTGCTCCTCCGCGATCTGCAACAGATCGTCCGTCGCTTCCAACATTTCACGCGAAAGCTCTTGCAGCGATTGAGCTGTCGCAAGCAACTTCTGCGTTGCTTCGGGCTCGACGACGTTGCGTCCATGTGCCGCTTCGGTTGTGGTCATATCCTGGGCATCCATAATCAGAGTTGAGCTGGCATCGTAGCTTGCCTGCTTGAGACTCATGAAGCGATGGAGGCCTTCACGCGCCGATACGGTTAGAGACTCCCAGCTCTTGGAGGTGGCGGGCGTAGCGGCCGACCCGGACGAGTCAACGTCGAGGGTGGAGGCGAAGTCGAGGTCCTCGATGATGGCAAGAAAGGTGCCCATGCGGACGGAGACGAGCTTGACGTGGCTGAGAATGGCGGCGATCGCCGAACTTGGCAGCGCAGGTGTCGCATTGCGTCGCCCGCTGGTCGGAGCCGACAGGACAGGTGTGTCGTCGCTGGCGACCTGTTCGCTATTCTCCGCCTTGACCGTCTCCAGCAGTGCCATGATCTGCAGTTGCAAGTCGTCAAGCTGCGGTCTCACGCACTCGTTGACCACTTCCTCCCCGACTCGTTGACCCGGGCGTCGCCTCATCACCTCCTTGCCATTTGCGAGCAACATACGAGCCTCACTGCTCAGGTTGAATGCCCCACTAAAGCGATGCATCGACTCGAGGCGAAGTGCTGCGGCCTCTCTTGCTTGAGGCGAGACAAAGCCGCTTCCACGCCACGCTGCAGCCGATCCAGCCCCGCTGAGTGAGTCGCGACCGATGCCAGCTGATGGCGAGTCCTCGGAGCGCAAAATTGCCTCTAGCTGCTTAGTCCAAAGGGGCTGCGCTTGATTCGCGGTGGAGAGAGCCCGATTGCTGTCGAGCTCCTGCGCAAAGGCGTCCACAAGATCCTGCAGCTCGCGAGCATTATCCGTCACTCGCTGCCTGAAGTTGGTTAAGCGTTGAGCAAGAATAGCAGACTTCTCGTCATCTTGCGCCTCGCTCGTCGACGGAGGAAGCTGCTCGGTGACCGCTCGTACGGAGAGTGCCAGCTTGGACGCTGACGAATTGATGCGCGCGCCTAGCTGACGAATGCTTTGCGGTGGACCACCTTGGTCTGACTGCGAGTGGATAAAGACGACCGAATCCGCGAACATCGACATGGCGTTGCCACTGCTGCCACCCTCGGCGTTCTGTAAAGAGGCAAGCTCGGCGATTGTGGCCAAATCAGCGGGCGAGACGTTGAGTACGCCCGCAGCGTAAAGAAGATCGCGCAAAGCATTGATGACGGTGTGACTTGCTTGAACCAGTCGTATACGCTCGTCATCGTCGCTGTCTTCAGGCTGGCCATCGCCGTTCTCTTGACTGCTACTATGCCGTCTTTCGCTTTCCTGCTCAAGACGTGCGAGTGCGGTGCCGGCTTGGCTGATCATGAGCGGCAGCGACTTGGCTCCCCTTGTCTGAACGAGCTTCTGCAATTCCTTTGCCTCCTTCTCGTCACGCAGCATCCGCGGCGGTCGCAGCTCGGTTGAGCTGCGTTGCCTACTCGCTGCAGGCTTGGCGGGCGAGCCGTTGCTCCTCGTATCGGCCTGACCCCTTCTTGCGGTGATGTCTGGAACAGAGGCACTCCGGCTGCCGCTTGCTTCGTCGAGTTCCTCGTCGCCAGAGTCATCGGCGCCGTCTGGTAAATCAACAGACTCTGCGCCGGTTCTCGTGTTGTAATAGACGATCTGAGGAGAGAGACACGGTCCGATGTCAGTATTCGCATCCAACAGAAGCCTTTATTCCTGTTCAGACTTACATCACCGCCGTCTGTGAACTTGGGTACCCAATAGTCGCTCTCCTTGGCCGCCGCGGCCTTCTTCTGTATAGCGGGCTTCGCAGACTGCTGAGTCGGTTGTTGCTGCTGCTGACGTGACTGCGGCCCAGCAGCGCTAGCCGCTCTCCCTCTACTCTGCCAATCATTCGATCCGTTTGCACTACGCTGCGGCTCAAGAGCGGTTGAAGCCCGCGGCCTCCCGAAGCTATCCGTTTGCGCCATGCTCCGCGAAGGGGCGCCCGTGAGATCGATGTCCGGATTCCTACCCGAAGCAGTCATTGCTGGTGGCGCTTCGCCGTCTTCAGCAGCGAGCTCCGGATCTCTTCCCGCATCGAGCATAGCGGCTTCGGCCAACTGCTCAAAGGCATCGGTCGCATTGCCGTCCACGCCAGGCAGGCCTGCCCCGCCCTCTCCTGTGCCCATCAGCTCTCGTAATGCTGCAAAGTCCTGACCAAGACCAAGAGCGGCAGAGAAGTCGCCGTCGTTTGGATATGTTGCTGTTGAGAGTGACAGAGCGGACTCGAGACCTGTGGTGGCCTGCGTATGACCCCCTGCCGCTGCTAGTGCGTCGACCGCACGAATGTCGGCCTCCTCGTCGTCAGCCACATCGAAGTCCAGTGTTGGTTTCAACCCTAGAGCCATCTCCCGCTCATCGAGCTCGCGCTGCGCCGTCTCCTCATCGATGGTTTCTACGTAGTTGCTGGGGAACCAACCGCGCTGATCGCAGAGGATTCCGTCCCACCATCCAGTTGGCAGCTGGGTGAGAACCTCGATGATGTCGCCTCGCTCAAAGGAGAGGGAGGACTTGTCCGTTGCTGTGTATGTGTAGAGGGCGCGGACGAAGAAGGACGGAGGATCCTCCTCGTCGGAGGGGGAGTAGGACATGGCGAGGAAGGAGGATCAGACGCGACGACGATGCTGGTAGTATTAGCGGGCAAGGATGGCAGAGATATGTGTTGTCGATTGCAACTCTGAAAGGTCGAGCCCTCCACCGACGAGAGGTCTCACCGCCGGGTCCGGGCGCAGAGGAGTCGAGCTGAGGTGTTGCCGCTTTGACCTCGAAGTCGACGTTAGCCTCGATCGACGGCGGGAAGTGAGAGCGGCAGGCTATGAAGCAGGGAGACGACCCGCGATGCCTTACGATAAGAAGCCTGGCTGTCGTAGCAGTCGTGGGGTCGCGATGACAGCCTAAGCTGCGTGATTGTGAGGATGTTAGGTGGTTGAGTTGTTGAGCAGAAGCAACGGCTCGTCGTCTTCTCCGCCTTCGAGAGCAGGCAGGCCAGGGGGGTGGGATACGCGGCCAAGCAAGCAAGCAAGGCGGCGGCGTCGGCGGGGCGTGGGAAGCGCACAAATCGCAGGCAGGCGGACAAGCAAGAGAGGGACGCAAGAAAGACTAAAGGGCAGCTCAAAAAATAGCCACGACGGTGACGACGACCGAGAGAGCCATGGTCAGAGCAACATCACACTGTCGTCAAGTTGAGGCTGAATGGATGAGCACCCTGACACATTCGCCCCGCCCCTTTTTGTGTGATGACCACAAGCCGGAGCTTACCAAAGGGCAAGCAAGGACGAGCCGAGCAGAAAGGCTTCAGGAACAAAGACTTTGCCAGGGTCGCGCCTACTCAGGGCTACAGTGGACGGTGGGATATCGCGGCTGTGTGCCTGAACACTGACTCGTCTTGCAACCTCGCTGTCCCCGTCTCTCCACTTTCTCGTCATAATCGATTCGTCCACTGCTCTGCCTCTTTCCTCGCTATCACGATTGATTGGCGGGCCTAGGGCGGAGACATGCCGTGCGAGAGCGAGATCGGCGGGCGGAACAAGAATTCACATAGCGGCTCGCCTGTTTCCATCTTGACCACCAGCACGACCATCACCACAATTCAACAATTCCATAGACGCCGGCCCAGACGGCAGCGCCTGCTCATGCTCTGGGCTTCTCTTCCTCACGATCCAGCATAGACGCTTGATAGACATGCGTGGGCCAGGGCGGGAGGCGCCGCCTCTCACCGTCGAGGACCCCTCCCCCGCGTCTCGCGATAACGACGATGCCAGCCCCTCGTCGCCCGTACACTTGGCATTCGCAGATCTGCGCTCGCGCTTCGAGAAGCTTGCGGGCCCATCCCAAGCAGCATCATCCGCAGCGGCGTCGTCGTCGTCCGTGACACTCCCAGCATCAAAGCCCGGCAACACGGCATCTTTGCTCACCCGCTCGAGCCCTAGCCATAGCAGCCTACACCTCCCTCACGCCTTCAATGAATTTGGGGCGAGACAAGTCCATTCCAATGGCAACGGCGACCAAATGAGAGGCGAAGAAATGGCGATCGAGCCTTCGTTGGGGTCTTTGGAGGCAAAGCCTGCCGCTACGTCTTCCCGCAGACCGCCGCCTCCGCGACCTCCGAAGCCAACAGCGTTCAGTCGATCGCCGAGCGCAATAGCGACAGCCCCTGCAGCTGGGCTGTCACAGCTTGACACAAAGCCGGAGCTCAACACTGTTGTATCGACACCCCGTCCTTCGACTGCACAGCCTGCCTCTGCTCCACCCCGCATAGACGCAAGAGTACCGCCCCCGCCGCCCTCGCGGGACGTCTCCCTCTCCAGCTTCTCTGACGTCTCTGCGGCCCTGCAATGGGCTGATGACCCCGGCGACTCCATCGATACCCGAAATAACGACATCAGTAGCAACTCAATACCCATTCCTCCGCCCCCGCCACGCCGAGTACACCCTACATCCAGCACCATCCTTTCTCCTCCGCCTGTCCTCTCGCCGGAGACAGTTCAATCGGCAAGTCCTCGCCCTATCCCTGCGCCGCCTTTGCCCTCATCCTCGCCGAACATCCAACGTGTAGCAGCAGCGCCACGAGCTGTCCTCCAGCCGCCGCCGGTCCCTTCCCGTTCCCTTCCTGCCGAGGCGCATTCATTCCATCGCAGCAATGGAGCCACCCCGTCAACTTCACCGCTCCCTCCGCCTCTGCGATCCGCGGTCTTAAGGACGCAAGGGTCCTCTACCATGACACGAAGTGCCTCCAATTCCTCCGCAGCTGTGGGCGACTCATCCTCGTCCGACGACGAGGACGATCTCGAGATCCCTGTCGCCTCGTCCTCCCTCAGTCTTGCCTCGTCCTCCGCAGCTGCCAACAGCGCTCGCCTACCAGCAACCACAGCACCTCCTCCCCTCGCATACTCAACAGCAGACACCCTGCCCGATGCCTCACGGGCAAATCGTCGCCCCCCTTTCTTCAGCCCACGCCGTTACGCCACTTCGAAGCACGTTACTTGCTCAGCTGTGGCAGGGCACACAATATGCCTCGCATCAGGTGACAAAGTCCGCGTCTACCGCGTGGGTCCGACCGCCACCTCAACCTCAGAAAAGCTTTGCAGTCTCGTGGCAGAAAAAGGTGGGAAGGAGGTAAAGATCACAACGATGGCTTTCAGGCCCGATGAGAGGAATGAGGGGCGCTTCCTCTGGTGCGGGACTAAGGAAGGTCAAATTTGGGAGATGGACATCGCACACGCCTTGGTAACGAACGTGCGACAGAACGTGCATACCGCACCTGTCGTGCTGATGGAGAGGATGGGAGGAGACATGTTGACCATGGATGAGTCGGGGAAGATTTGCATCTGGTCGGCCGCGAAGGAGAAGGGGCACCTCGATCTGGCAAGACAGCCGGTGTCGCAGAGAATTGCGCTTGAGAAAACAGCAGTCGTGCTGGCTTTGGGGCATCAGCTGTGGGTATGCGCTGGCGGAGGAGGGGTTGGCGTCACATCGCCACCTCTGTCTGCCAGCGGCGTAGTCGGGGGCGGTCTAGCAGGCGGCATACACTCAGCCTCCGCCGCAGTCGCGGGCATCGGATCGAATGGGCATCGCTCCAGTAGCCAATCGCACACCAAGGAACAGCTCCGCATCAAGATCCTGAACCCGACCTCGCTCACACAGCCCTTCCATGCCACTTCGCGCCCGATCGGATTAGGCGACATGGCCAAAGCAAGCAGCAGCGGTCCTATCGGGGCCATCTCCTGCGGCACGCTTCTCCAGTCCGATCCTTCTCGCGCCTACCTAGGGCACGATAGCGGGCACATCTCTGTATGGGATCGCAAGAAGATGATCTGTGTCGCTGTTCAAAAGCTGAATGTGCTGGGCTTCACCGCCCTCTGCGGCGTGGGCACCTTCCTCTGGGCCGGGAATCGTAGCGGGAGGATTACGGTGTATCAGCCGTCCTACCTTGAGGGGCAACACTGGCAGGTCATCAAATCCTGGCCAGCGCACAAGCACGGCGTGAACGCCATTTGGGTAGACACGACGGCGCTGCGCGAGGGTGGCGGCGGCAACCAGGCCAGCGATGAGGCGGACGCACTGGCGCTGCCCGTCGCAAGCGCAGGGATGGACTATCGCGTCGAAATATGGGATGGCACCCTCACGCATGACTACATAGCTCATCGTCTTGCGAAGCGAGTGGGCGAATTCTCCACGTATCGCCGGCTGAGATCGCTGCACATCACATTCAACATCGACGCCGCCCCCGCGTCGGCGCTCAACGGCTCCGTCACTGCAATGGACTGGCTCCCTCAGGTGCTCGCCTCCTCGAACACCCCGCCGGACTTGATCTACATCGGTTTCCAGGAGGTGGTCGATCTAGAGGACAAGTCGCTTACTGCGAAGAGCATGCTGCTTAATGCTACCAAGGGGAAGAGCCGGGCAAAGACCCAAGTGAACGAGAGGATCAGTCACCAGTATCGTGAATGGCAGTCCAGGCTCATCCAGAGCATTCGTCTCGCCATGCCCCCGGACGTACCTTATACGACAGTTCACACTGAGACTCTCGTTGGCCTCCTTAGCTGCATGTTCGTCCGGTCCGATCAGATGCACAGCGTGAGGGATGTAGGCCTCTCGACCATCAAGTGCGGATTGGGCGGGCGGTGGGGTAATAAGGGGGCTATCTTGAGTCGTGTGACGATAGACGACACGAGCTGCTGCTTCATCAATGCTCACTTGGCTGCGGGACAGAAGCACGTCAAGCAGCGAAATGCCGATGTGGCGCAGATCATGGAGGCGGAGGCTCTCCCGGCCAGCATCTCGGATGGCAGCGATGGTGGTGGTGCTGCGGACGCGGATGTTGTCTACGTCTCCGGCGGCGACGGTCAGCTCGTCCTAGATCATGAGCTCGTCTTCCTCGGCGGTGACCTCAACTATCGCATCGACCTACCCCGCTCACAAGTCATCAACGCAATTGAGCGCCGTGACTGGCCCCTACTGCAGGAGAGGGATCAGCTCACACTAGAGCTACGCAAGAATGCTCCCACTTTCAGGCTTAGAGGCTTTAGAGAAGCCGGGGAGAAGGAGTGGGGTCCGACGTACAAGTTTGACCGCGGATCGGGAACCTACGACTCGAGTGAGAAGAAGAGGGCGCCGGCTTGGTGCGATCGATTGCTTTATCGCGATGCCTTGGCAGGCGAAGACGAGAGCTCGACCCCACGGGTGAAGTGTCTGCAGTACCGCAGCTGGTCCGAGCTTCAGATCAGCGATCATCGCCCTGTGAGCTGTGTATACGAGTTTCAAGTGAAGCGAGTAGACCGAGAGAAGAGGGAGGTGGTCAGGATCGAGGAGGCAGCGAGGGGACAGGGGAAGATTGGGGAGCTGCTTGAGGAAGCGAGACGGTTTTATGCTAGCGTTGCAACGCCATAAACGAAGAGCGACGACGACGACGATGACGATGACGATGATCACGACAAATACGTTCTGAACTGTCAATAGATGCTCAGTAGACTGTGCTCCATTTCATTTCACTCGTGATGATCCATTCTGGCTGGAGATGACAACGCTGAACCGTGGCGCCGCCATCTGTTATCGGCTCCACGCTGCCGTCGCCCTCGTGTGCAAGAGCAAACGGCAGGAAGGACTGCAACGTCATCGCGGCAAGGCAGGCCAAAGGCAGCCACTGCAGCGCGCGAGCTGAGCAACGAACATCCCGCCGTTGGTCCTCCCGCGCCGCCGTGGCTCCGCCCTGCCTGCTTGGCTGGCCAGCCCGTCGTCACACAGCTGAGCCTCAGCTCAGGCCCCAACGCTCGTCGAGGGTCGAGATCGCCGACTGGAAGAGAGGCAAAGCACACGGTGTGCTGCGCTGCACCCTTTTTCTTCCTTTCTACTCTTCTCTTCACCAACATTAACCAGTCGGCTTGACCTTACTCTCGCTAAGCTGGCCTCTCGTCTTACCTCTATCGCCAAACACCTTTTCCCGTCCAACGTTGCAAAGATGTCTCAGCAGGCAGTGTGAGTTGCGAGTGGGAGTGAGAGGGCCAGGGATTGCGGCGGTGGTGGAGGAGGACGGGGACGACGACGAGAAGAGAGACAGGCCAACAGAGCGCAGCATGCTTACTGTGCGATCCTTGTGCCTCTCTCTATAGCGCCGACATTGGTCTCATCGGCCTGGCCGTCATGGGTCAGAACTTGATCCTCAACATGAACGGTGAGTCTGCGAGATGGCTGCGAGGTCGTATGCGACGAGCGTGTATGCTGATCCTCTATCTGCCCTGCACTCTCTACGCACACAGACAAGGGCTTCACCGTCTGCGCGTACAACCGTACCACGAGCAAGGTCGATGACTTCATGGCTCACGAGGCCAAGGGTACGTGCGAGCAGGCCCATGTGAATCACCACTTCCCATTCACTTACACCCCACTCTCTGTCTCCTACCCCGTACAGACACCAACATTGTCGGTGCCCACTCCATTGAGGAGTTCGTCGCCAAGCTCAAGCGTCCGCGCAAGATGATCATCCTCGTCAAGGCTGGCCCCGCTGTCGACGCCTTCATTGACCAGCTCACCCCTCACCTGGAGAAGGGCGACATCATCATCGACGGTGGTAACTCGCACTACCCTGACTCGATCCGCCGCACCAAGGCGCTCGAGGAGAAGGGTGAGCATGGAGCGAGCGCAGACCGATCAAGATCAGATCTATGATGTACTGACCGTCCATCCTTTTCCATCCTCGCGCGCGCGTGCGTTTAGGCCTTCTCTTCGTTGGCGCCGGTGTCTCCGGCGGTGAGGAGGGTGCCCGCCACGGACCCTCCATCATGCCCGGTGGCTCGGAGGCTGCTTGGCCCCACCTCAAGGAGATCCTCCAAAAGACCGCCGCTCAGTCGGACGGCGAGGCCTGCTGCGAGTGGGTTGGTGGTACTGGCTCGGGCCACTACGTCAAGATGGTGCACAACGGTATCGAGTACGGAGACATGCAGCTCATCTGCGAGGCCTACGACATCCTCAAGCGTGGTCTTGGCATGAGCGCCACCGAGATCGCTGACGTCTTCGAGAAGTGGAACAAGGGTGTGCTCGACTCGTTCCTGATTGAGATCACGCGCGACATCCTCCGCTTCAACGACGTTGACGGCAAGCCCCTCGTCGAGAAGATCATGGACTCGGCAGGCCAGAAGGGTGAGCAGCGCGCCTCATCGCAGCAGACTTGCAAGTTTTGACTCTGACCATACTCTGCAATTCTCGCCCACAGGTACCGGACGATGGACTGCCATCGACGCCCTCGACCTCGGCCAGCCCCTCACCCTCATCGGCGAAGCCGTTTTCGCTCGCTGCCTTTCTGCCATGCGTGATGAGCGTGGGCGTGCTTCCAAGGTCCTCGCTGGCCCCACCCCCAAGTTTAATGGCGACAAGCAGCAGTTCATCGATGACCTCGAGCAGGCCCTCTACGCCTCCAAGATCATCTCGTACTCTCAGGGTTTCCTGATGATGAACGCCGCAAGCGAGGCCAACAACTGGACCCTCGCCTACGACAAGATTGCCCTCATGTGGCGCGGTGGTTGCATTATCCGCTCCGTTTTCCTCAAGGACATCACCTCGGCGTACCGCAAGAACCCCAAGTTGGAGAACCTCCTCTTCGACGACTTCTTCAACAAGGCCATCCACGACGCTCAGGACGGCTGGCGTCGCGTCGTCGCTCAGGCTATCCTGATGGGCATCCCCACCCCTGCCTTCTCGACCGCCCTGGCCTTCTACGACGGTTATCGCACGGAGCACCTGCCTGCTGGTCTGCTCCAGGCGCAGCGTGACCTGTTCGGTGCCCACACTTTCCGTCTGCTGCCGGGCACTGGCGGTGAGAAGTACAAGGAGGACGTCGACAACCACGCCGACTGGAGGGGCACGACTGGACGTGTGTCGGCGAGCACGTACTCTACCTAAGCGGGCGTGCCAGCGAGAGATTGTTTGTTAGTAGTGCCAGTCGCGTCTGCGTAGAAGAAAGAGAGGGGGACGGGCTGTCTGTCTCTCTCTTGATCGAATGAATGGAAGATTTACATGCCAAGAGCGAGGACCGATTGATCAACAAGTTGTAGGAAAGTGCGAGAGATGGTGAATCTATGCCGCCAGTGCCAATCCTCAGCCCCTACGCCTACCTTCTTCCCTCTCCGAATCTACTTGATCAACACCTTCTCATACGTGACTCCCTTGACGCTCCCACCAGCCATGGTCCTCTTGACTGTGCTAGCAAACTGTCCGCGATCCCGCCTCAACTCATCAGCAGCCTCCTTGTTCAACGGGTCGCCTGCGTTTGGTTCGAGGAAGAGGTACTGCAGGCCAACGACGATGGAGTTGAGGTTGAGGACGGGCTTCCAGTCCTCGCGAAGGATATTGAGGCAGACGTTGCCTTGTAGGTCTATGTTGGGGTGGTAGATCTGTGCGACCAAGAGAGGATGGTAGGACGGTCGATCGTAAGGTGTGAGGATGGGACAAGGGAGATGAGAGGGGGAGCTCAGCGCAGGAACGCACCTTCTGCGTACACTTGACTTTGGGCGGCTCATGCGGGTAATTGGTGTTGATTGCGAATGTGAAGAGGAAGGAGCCTGGGCGCATGCGCGAGATGGAGGCAGCGCAGTCATGAGCATCGATGGCCCTGTCGATCTAGGCCCCTCACCCTTGCATTCACTCACCTCCCTTGTACATGCCCTCATCGGGCTCGATGGTGAGGGTGAAGTTGAGAACATCGGCCGGGTCAGGGAAGTTGGTCTTCATGGTCTTGGGCAATTCCATCTCGGTCAGGTCTAGCAGTGGCAATCAGCATGACGAAGAGCTGAGTAGGCCGCCTCGGACGCTAACGCTGCTGCGCTGTGCTCACCCTTTTGCACCCTGAGCTGAGCCGGGCTCGTCTTTGGCTTCTTCTTCTTTGCCGACTCCTCATCCTTCTTCATCGACCAGATCTTGATCATCTTGGGCGATGAGCAGCGATGGCCTTACTACAAGAAGGTTGCCGAGTGTTGGTGAGGTCAACGGCAAGATGGAAGTGCCACTCTCGCTCCACTCGCTCCTGTCATAGGCACGACGGAAAGCCACGCGGCAAGGCAAGCGCTTGCGCAAGTCGAGTCGAGGTCGGCAACGGGCACACGACTTGCTCAGGCCGGATGCCGACGCTGAGTGTGGTCGTGCCCCGCATTGATACGCTGAGCACAAGGACCCTGAGCAATGAGCAACACAATGCGGCAGCTGACTTGAGTTCTTGCCCCTCTTATCTCCCTATTCCACCACTACCATTGCATCCCATCCTCAACATCATGGCAAAGGTAGCAGCTTGGACGGCTCTCTCAGCCATCCTCGCCCTCGCCATCGCCGCTAATGCAGCACCTGCTAATCACCAGCATACATCCGCATCCACGTCCGCACACGCCCTCATCGACCACAACGCCGATGTCAAGCGACCCACTTTCGTCACCGATGTGCCTTTCGCATTCGCTATAGAGAGCAAGCAGACCCCTCATGAAGTCGCTCTCGGACTCGCAGCCTCGCTACTCAGCGTCAAGTCGTCCTCGAGCAAGCTGAGGGTCAGGGACGACAGTTACTTTGATGCTGCGCATGGCATCCACCATGTCTATCTAGCTCAGGAGGTCAATGGCCTCAACGTCTACAACGGCGGACTCCATGCCGTAGTCTCCGACAAGGGTAAGCAGGCAGAGTGGCATGAGTAGTTTCCGTCTCCTTCACTTCACTAATGACTCTCCTACCCCCTCCGTCCCAGGCGAAGTCCTCTCTTACTCGCACAACCTCTACGATGGAGAGATTCCCCCTCAAAGTACCGCACCCGTCGCCGCCTGCCAGAAGCAGCATCACTCGAGCAGCAAAGCCAAGCGCAGCCAGCTCGTCCTCTCCACCAACGAGAGCGCCATCCTCTGCAAGGAGACCGCCCTTGGCGCCTTCCTCATCCAGGCAAAATCCATCGCAGTGGGCAGTGGACAACAGATGCAGTCTGGCCCATCTCATGAGGCTCTCATAGCATCCATAGACTCCTCTTCGATGGCTTACGTCATCTCATCCAACGGCTGCCTTGTCCTCACGCACCGCTTCGAGGTGCCGACGCAGGATAATGAGTACGAGGGGTACGTCGACGCCCTCGATGGGACCATTCGTGCGGTGGCGGACTGGACGTCGCCAGGCACCGCAGGAACGCCTTCTCTCGCCCGACCTGACTTTGGCCGCGTCAAGATTGCCGGCACTGGCATTGACGAGGTGCTCAGCGCTCCCGTTCGCAAAGTCAAGCAATGGATGTCGTGGAACCCTGCTGTAGAGGCTGCCGTTGCACAGGCAGGCAGCGACGCTGATGACGAGTCAAAGGCGCCCTCCTACAAAGTCTTCACCTGGGGTACCAACGACCCTTCCGAGGCAAAGCGTACCTACCAGCCTGCCCGCCACGATCCCGAGGTCTCCCCCTACGGCTGGCACGCACACCCCTCGTCCCGCTCGCCTTTCACTAGCAGCAAGGACCGCAATCAAGTGCACGATGGCAATCTGACAAAGTACACAGACACGCGCGGCAACAACGTCTTTGTCTCGTGGGGCGGCATTTCCAATGAGGACGCTTTCCACCCCGAGCTCCCACGTCCGCGCGGCTCCGTCATCAACGGGAGCCGTACCTTCGACTACCCCTACCCCTGGCGCAAGTTTGACAGTAATCACACTGAGCTTCCACCCCGCGAGTATGCCCTGGCGAGCCAGACGCAGCTCTGGTACACCATCAACGAATATCACGACATGCTATTCCACTATGGCTTCGATGGACCCTCTGGTAACTTCGAGGAGTACAGCAAGGACGGAGGCAAGGACGGGGATGCAGTCATCGCCTTTGCGCAGAGCAAGGCTGGGATGAACAATGCGGACTTCTCGACTCCTCCTGATGGGCGAAGGGGTCGTATGCGCATGTACACATGGGATGGGCACCCAGAGCGCGATGGTGCGTTTGAGGAGGGCATCGTCATTCACGAATACACGCACGGCCTCTCAACGCGCCTCACGGGCGGAGCGGCCGACTCGAGCTGTCTGGGATGGGGCGAGTCAGGTGGAATGGGCGAAGGATGGGGAGACATCTTTGCTACCCTGGCTCGTGACCGCAACAACTCGGATGTCGCCTTCAGCATGGGCGAATGGGCTTCTGGTCGCCCCGGTGGCATCAGGAAGTTCCCATACAGTAGGAACATCACCCTTTCCCCTGAGACGTACGAGACGCTCAACAAGCCAGGCTACTGGGCGGTTCATGCTGCTGGAGAGGTGTGGGCCACCATCGTGCTCGATGTGGTCGCGCACGCAAAGGAGCAGTACGGCTTTTCAAAGACCCTCTTCCCTCCAGCGACTACAGCGTCCGATGAGGAGAAGGCCCGCTTCTACCTCACAGAGGAGGAGGTGGCCTCTCTCCCCAATGGGCCCAAGCGTAAGTCAAAGCGTCCCATCCCTCGACACGGCAATACGCTGTTGGCACAGCTGCTCGTCGATGGCATGAAGCTGCAGCCCTGTCGCCCGGACTTCCTCTCAGCTCGAGAGGCGATTGTCAAGGCGTCGCAGATCCTCACGGGTGGCGGGGATGACTACGAGTGCTTGCTGAGGCATGCATTCGCGAAACGTGGGCTCGGTCTCGACGCCAAGGTCGTGGGGCAGACGCCGTGGGGCTTCGGCGTGCATACTAATGGGCACAAGACGCCCGAATCGTGCAAGGGAACGAGGAGGAGGGAGAGCGCATAGTAGTGGGCGTGGTGAATGGTTTGTTCTCGACTTGGCAAGGCACGGACTCGTTTGATGATCTGTTTCCTCTTATCACGACAATTCTCAGAATGCTTCGCAATCAATGGTGACCTTTCATTATCTCTCGCAGCCGCCATGTACGGTCCTCGTCGCAGCTCGCAGATTAGAGTTGAAGCGACTCGGCGTCTTCGTCTTCCCGCCCCACGGGCTCATGCCTCCACCCAGCCACTCCCGACGCGTCTTTGTCATCCCACGCCCAACGCCCAGGCAGGGTCCAGCTCAAAGTGCCCGAGGCCTTTCGACCCTTCACGCTTAGCCTTCTTCACCACCAACTTCTCGTCTTATCAGTCGCAAAGCATGGCCCCACCAAACGTAGCCGTCATCGTCGGCTCATCGCAGGGACTCGGCCTGCACCTGGCCCGCTCCTACCTGGCCCGTACCGACTTGCAGGTAGTTTCCCTCTCCCGCAAGCCCTCTGAGGCTCGCAATGCTATCCTTGACACAAAGGCCGCTTCGCCTCTCAATCTCAATGGGCCCAATGGCTCCAAGAAGACGGGAGAAGCGGATGCGGCTAATATGAGCCATCTGGAGGGAAGTAGGCTGACGAACTTGGAGGTCGATGTGCGCAATGAGGAGAGCCTGCAGCAGGCTGCCAGCGAGGTGTCCAAGAAGTTTGGCGACAGTAGTCTCAGGCTTTTGTTCAATGTAGCGGGAAAGTTGACACCGGAGAAGAACCTGGGACAGGTTGAGTATGAGGAGATGTTGGAGCAATTCAAGGTGAGCCGGCACAGCGTCAGGACAAAGGGAGCGTGAGCATTAACTTGGCGTTCTCCCTCTCGCCGTTTCGCAGATCAACACCTTCTTCCCTCTCCTCTCCTTCAAGCACTTCGTTCCCCTCCTTCCCAAGCCAGTCTCGACCCCAAACCAGCCCGTATCAGAGAAGGATGACCCGGCACACGGCCTTCTCCCTTCAACACACTCCATCCTCGCCTCCCTCTCCGCCCGCGTTGGCTCCATCAACGACAACGAGCGTGGCGGCTGGTACAGCTACCGCGCGTCCAAGGCGGCACAGAACATGATCACCAAGTCCCTCTCGCGCGAGCTGGCCAATCGTAATCTTGCAGCTCTCGCTTGCGCCTTGCACCCGGGTACGGTCAGGTCTGAGCTGAGCAGGGAGTTCACCGGCGGTCCAGGTGGGATGAAGGGCAAGGAGAAGAAGGAGGGCGAGTTTGAGGCGGATGAGGCTGCCAATAATTTGATCGAGGTGCTCAAGGGGTTGCACGACGTCAAGGGCGATAACGGAAAGTTCTACGACTGGAGGGGCAAGGAGGTGCCGTGGTGAGCGCGCACACGAAGCGCAGGGAAGCGCGATAGCACCGTCAAAAGGGAATCAAATCACAATGAGCATTCAAGACGTCTAGACGATTGTCAGAAGCCCCGCGTCTTATTTGTCAAGGCCGGATTTTTGCTGAGCGGGCCAATGAGAGAAGGCCCAGCCCTTTCCAGCATCGCTGTGTCTATCATCAAGTCTTTGTGTCGTCCCACAACTGGCCTGGCGTGGATGAAGGTGAAGCGGAAAATGGTCAGCGACGAGCGCAGGGGATGCCCAGCTTGCTGCGCTACTTACCCTCGTGCACCTTGGACCCATCGTCGAGGCGTGTCCAACTCGATCCCCGCTCTCCAAAGGCATCAATCTGATACACGCGCGCCATGCGTGGTCTCCCCTGCATCCCGTAGGCGGCGTACGACGCCCCACCCCCAAAACACATCCACGTCCCCCTCCCCACCTTGTGCCCACCACGCTTGATCTCCTCACAGTCCCCATTGTTATGCATATGGCCCGAAATCACCGCTCGTACTTCGCGCTCCCCTTCGCCTTGCGCCATCAATGCATCAAAGAAGCCACGTTCCCTCTGCGAGCCGATGACGCCGGACGTCTCTGCCCTGTCAGGGCCAAAATGCGGCGTAGTAGAGTCCACATCGAAGAATTCAGGGAGCGGTATATGAGTGAAGGCTAAAGCGTTGGGCTTCGAGAGACTGCGCGAAGAGGAAGAGGCGTCCCACTCGTGATCGGCTCGGTGATGCCAGTCCTGCTTTGGGAGGTCGACTCCGCCGTCTGGCACGTAAGGGCGAAGTAGTTTCTTGGTCTGGCCGGACTGCTCGAGGAACCAGATGATCTGATCCTGTCGGATCGAGTCGTAATGGCCTCTCGCCTTCCCCCACGGCGCTAGCATGCCCTTGGGTTCCTGATCCCCCGAGTCTAAGAAATATAGATTGAACACATTTGCTTTGTCCGGTGTCGGACTCTCCAGTCTCACGTAGTAATTCCCAGCTCCCACCCCGTCATGCAATGCTAGGGGCCCAACCCTCGTCAAGCTGTACGGCATCTCGCTCATCAGGCCAACCAGGTCGGTACGAGAGACGGAGGTGGTCTGCGAATCGTGATTGCCCAAGATACCAGCCCAGGGTATCTTACGGTCTATGATGGGCTTGAGGGTCTTGGGAAGGACGGACTTGGCGTCCCAGCTTGTGGATTGGCCATTCAGCTGATCTCCTGTCAGGACTACCATGTCCGGTTTTTCGGCGTCCAGCCAGGCGTTGAGCAGCGCGACCGTATCATTGTAGCTATGGCAGGGAAGCGTGGGGGCTCGACGGCCAAAGCGCAACGATGACGACGACTTGCTCTTGAGCGCCGCCGACCCCACCTCGCGCAAATCACGACAGGGTTCCTCGTCGACGGAGAAGTGAAGGTCAGCAATCTGGAGGATCTTGAAGGTGCCGTTGCTGGTGAATTTGGGCCGAACGTCTATGTGTGGGTTCGGGATGGGCTTGCGCCGAGCAGTGAGAGATGTAGAGGATCTGCCGGCGGAGTGGTCGCCCAGGGCTATTTGGCCAACGATGTCAAAGCCCGGCCAAGGGAAGTTGCCGTCCCCGTACATGATGTCGAGCTCTGTGATGGGGTCGAGTGACTCGGCCAGTGGGACCTTGCCCTTGCTCTTTGTCGCGACTTCTTCGTTGGTCTTGACCTCTCTGCCGTCGTTGCGATGATCCCACGTTGTGTCTGACTTGTTCGCCTTGGGCCTCTCCCACTCCTCTCCACCCACAGTCCTGTAATACAAATGAATGCCCATCTTACTACTGCCACCCCAGATCCGCATGTACCTCGACCTCAAATCATCGTGCACGCGATGCCACCCATCCTCGCTCGTAGTCGGCGGGTCCTGCCCCGTCTCGACCAGCCTGAGATCCACGACTTTCTGCGTATCCTCTCGAGAGCTTCGGCGATAGAAGAGAAACTTGGTCTCCAATGCTCCGAATATTTTGGCAAAGGCACCGCCAAGGCCGCCGCCCCCGCCGATGGTGGATGAGGACATGGCTTGCGCATCGAGTGGGCGGGGCACGAGGACCCAAGGGCCGAGGCGGGCGTCTTCAGCTGCTGTTGTCGGCGGATGACACAGCGAGACGGCGATGGGGACACAGCTGCGGACTGTGATCTCTGTGAGAGGCGCAGGATTCGGGACGAGCGGAGCATAGACGTCCATAGGGAAGCCGGGACCAGCCCCGCCTTGAGAAGTGGCTGCTGCTTGCTCCTCATTGCCTGGCGCACCACCTGGATTTTGATGAGTTGAGCCGATGTTGGTCAGCGCCTGCCAGCCAATGTACGCTGACTTGGAGGGCAGTCGCTCCTTGGAGAGGGTGAGGAAGTTGATGCTGAGTAGGAAGATGAAAGCAGCCCAGAGGATGAGGAAGGGAAGGAGAGGCCGTCGAAAGCACCCGGCGATGAAGCCACGACGAGGGAAGCCGCTGGTGCCTGGCAGTCTGGACAAATGCGCTTGCGATGCCAGACCACCGCGATGTGACGTTGATGCGGTGCCATTGGTCCTCATCGGCAGCTCGTTGAGGATCAAATGATCTTCGTCCTCGCCGCCAATGTCATCTCTGTAGCTTGGATGGTATCGCTTGGACATAGTAGCTCGAGATCATAGAGAGGGTCACAAAGGTACAGGGACGGAAGGGAAGTGATGATTTAAAAAAAAACGGAGCCTCGTTGTGATGTTGAAACGGCATTGCCCCGTACATCGCAGCCCCTCAAGGGAATCTCAACGAGCGAGGATTCAGCGATCCAAGCCATCCCCACCCTCCTTCCTCCACGGTCCGCCCGCTTTGTCGTTCACCCGCCCACACACGCATTGGCAAGCCTCTGTTGTGGTGCCCTCCCTCGTGCGCTTGTCCGCTTGCAAAGAGGGCCTCGACTCTCTTCCGCCGGCTCGCTGCGATTCCATCTGCCGAGCCCGATCTTGCCGGCGTGCGTCTTTTGACAGTCGATGAGCAGCGGGCCGGCGAACAGAGAGCAGCTCTTGGCTTCCTCGTCCTCTGCCGCGTGCACAGCTTCTTCTTCTTCCCCCCCAGACGCGAGCTCTCTGCTTGCTTGCTTGCTTGCCGCCAAGACGAGAAGATTTGCGACTGTCCAAAGGCCGGCAGAGAAAGAGGCGAAATGGATAGCATGGAGCTGCTGCCGCCTGCGGCTGCGCCTGTTCGGAGGGATCACGAGGAGGCAATCGTGTCACCCCGGGTACTGCCGTAGAGGCGTGTGGATATTGACGTATGGATAGACAAGTCTGCAAGATAATACATCTCCGGGCACCCGTACTTTCCTCTGCAATGTAAGACCTTCACCTCTGCTGCGCTTTTGCGTCCGTCGGGGCCTACTTGGCCTGCATTTCAGACATCCCAAGGGCGAGGACGCCGAGGCGCTGGTGAGCGGCTGAGCTCGCGCAGCTCATCCTCGCTGTCGCGGCCACTAGCGTTATGATTGGCTGAAGGAGAGCTCCCGCCTTGCACCGCCTCGTGTTGAAACGTCCGCCTGTCCCCTGCTCCTCGCCCTTCTCTCTCTGCCTCTCCCGCGCCTTCCCTCCCCCCCATTCTCTCGTCGTGTGGCCGCTGTACGGCTTCGCTTTGGTGGTCAAGTAGAGGTATGCCGTCCAGCGGCAGTCTGTCTGACGGTATTGCCCTAGGCATCGTCGCTGTTCCGCTAGTGGCAGCCGGGGCCGATGGGAAATGATCTACTCTTCGCACCTGCTGCGAGCTGGACGTTGGACTCAACACGGCATTCATCGGAGGAGACCCTCTCTCTGTTCTACCATACGGATCACTTCGGCCTAGTCGAGCGTAGCCTCTCGGTGGCTCGCGAGCAAGAGGGTCATCATCCTCGTGCGGCCAGTGCACATACTGTGGCCCGCCCTCCTGATGCTGTCGTGACGGAATAGCTGGGTCGCGATGAATCTGAGGAAGCACAGATGCAAAGCTCCGTCCTCGAGATCGATTCAGATGAAGGCCGAGGCCTGGCGATGTTGGCGATCCCGATTGGGCTCCTGCCGCTGGTTCTAATGCTGCCATCGAGACTCCGCCGCCGCGGTGATGTGGACCCTGTGGAGCATGCGAGCCGTAAGGATGGGATGGCCGAGCCGGGTGTGGTAGTTCTCGCTCTTGCGTACGTGGCCTGCGGGCCTCTGTATGAGGCTGATACCCGGGATGCTGCGGGTGCGAATGAAGTCTTTGTACAGGGGTGCCCGGATGACGAGGGCGATGATGGTAGTGTTGAGGGAGAGGTGGTAGCTGAGGCGGCTGTGCCATGCTGGGTGAAAAGCCAGGGTTCACCGGATGCTGAGGATGCCTGTGGAGCATGTATTCGCCCATTGTCGGGTGTTGCATTGCAGCATGGGGCCATGCCCCGCTCATCACTCCGACGTCACCGCCTGCAGCCATCATCATGGTGCTGTGCTTCCTGTGCTTGCGCGCTCGCGGCTTGATGACGTCCGTCTTGAGACTATGAGGCCTTGGCCTGCCCTTCACCTTGGCAAAGAGGCCGCACGCATTGCAAAGTAGCCCACCCTTCCCATCTCGTCTCCAAAGAGGTGTCGCGCGCGTCGAGCAATTGCTGCAGACGGACCCCTCTTCCTTCGTGAGGGAGCCTGACGAAGGTGAAGAGGCTGTGATAGCAGGAGGCAGGCTCCTCGACGATGATGGCATCGGCGGCGAGCGAGGAAAATCCCATACGCGGGCAGGCGTGGAGAAACTTGAGCTGCCACTGCTGTCGCCGCCTGAAGTTCTCCTGAAGGGTGAAAGAAGCTCTGCGCCCCCGCGAGACAGTGCGGACGGGCCGAGAGGCTGTCGACTCGGACCAGCTACGGGTTGCTGATCGCCAGTGTGCTGCCGCTCATACGGTGAGGATGCCGTGAGCTGCCGTGTCGGTGGTGAATGGCCGCCGTCGGAGGAAGAATTCGAATGCCATTGCGTCTTTGGGGGCTCTCCAGCCGCATGAGCTGATCTCTGCAGCGGCTCTGGCAGGCGAGAAGCTGCCAGTAGAGGCCGATGTGGGGAGCGGGCACGAGCATCAGCGCCTCCTACCAGTCCCGACGTCTCTTTGGAAATGCCATCGCTTTCAGTGGCTAAGAAGGGGCGACCGTTTTGTTGAGTGGGAGCAACAGGACCGCACACGGGCTGTTCGAGTCGATGTCCCGGTTCGCTGAGGCGGCGAGATGATGAAAGGCCCCGTATTGCAAGGAGAGCGGCTGGAGATGGCAGAGTCGGAGGATCAATAGATTCGTCGACGGGCACGGACGGTGGGATAGAGGGCAACGGGGCATCTTGAAGCTCATTCAGGTAGCGCCTCATAGCCGGACGAAGGAGGAAGAAGAGTCCGTAGTCTTCTTGTGAAGCGACCGATCTTGAATGTTGACGGTAGGGGCGAAGAGGATGGAGAATGGGGTCGGGGTCAAGGGGGCTGCAGTCCAGCGATCGAGCTTGCGGTGATCATGCGCTTGCAGGCGCTATGATGATGGTAGAGCTTGTATGCACAATCTCGAGCGGCGGGCCTGGAGGACCGAAGATAGGGATTGAGGACGAGGGGAGGGAGCTGAGATGAGGGCGAGGGGGGCCCAACGCGAGAGAGAAGGATTGAGATCAGCGAGCGGTGTGCGTAATGCTCAGCATTGTCTACGGCGCACGAGATTCTCGGCCGTGAGCTTCGATGCGCACGACACCCAATCCCGCACGAGGTGGACTGAGATTGAGACCTCAATCTCGTTGCTGCCGGTCGTTTGACATGGCCAAGACGTCATCCGCAGCATGCAAGCATGAGACCGACTCGAGACAGTGAGACAGGGTAGTTGAATCTTCGACGGGGGTCTTGCGCTGCGATGAAGACCGATCTCAACTCACCTTTGGCAATGATCGTCTGGCGTGTATCAAAGCAGGGCCGATCACAGATGTTACTAGTGCCTGCTGGCGTGTGGATCCCTGTAGTGGCTTGTCGATCGTGGTGACGTGCAGGAGAAAAGACGGATGAGGAAGGGATGGCGCAAAGTAGAGGAGGGAATGGACAAGGGGGAAAGCGTAATGGTCGGGCGGCTCGGAGCACGTCCTCAGCAACCCTGCTGACCAGCTGATGGTAGCAAGCCTAGTAGGATGGATCTGCCACACAGCGCCGGTCTGGACGATATGAGATGCGGGAGTCTGCCGTCGCAAGTGATGACAGCGAGCTTGCTTGAGGGAGCCACGTCGAATGAAGAACCTAGGCAATAGCTGCTACTCCTGCTGTCCCTGATGCTGCCTCTGCTGGATAACACAAGCGGCTGCCACGAGGCAAAAAGCATGGGCGTACCTCTGGCACTAAGCAGTGCCAACAAGCAATGCGTGATGATGGGAGCGTGTAGCGCCTAACAGTCAGCGCCTCTCTGGTACGAGGCACTAATGCAAGATGAGCAACTTTAGTGGTGGGGCGTCGTCGTAGGGCTTGTACCACCCCACCAGGCGCAGTCGGTGACGTTCGCTGCAACTCGCGACGAGCTAGCAGACGTACGGGTAAAGGGAAGGGGACAAGCGGCGCTGAGGTAGAGATTGAGCGCAGACAGGGCGCGATCTTCACTGAAGGCCTGCCTTTGCCTGGCTGCTCCTCTCACGCAGTTCGTGACCCGAATGACTAGGAGTACGACGAGCTAGGGGCGGCGGTCGTGGGCTGCTGAGGATCGCGAACTGAGTTTTTTCCGCTCGTCTTCGTGCGACTGAAAGCGGCGACGGCAATGAAGTGGATGGCAAAAGAGGAGGATGTGCGCGGGAAGAATGGAGAGGAGGGAAGGGGCACAAGACGCAAAAGAGGCTCTCTGTAGCCGACGACATGCGGCGGATCTCGCCGCTGCCATTCTTGAACGAGGCAATGGTATGCGGGCGCCGGCGCCGATGCCCTCCTGCCTCAGCTGGCTCGGTGGATGGCCTTGCGATGTAGACGTCGGCTTCGTTTGGTGCGAGAAAGAACAGGGTTGACAGAGCGCTAGATAGACAGGCTGCTGGCATCACGAGATGCGGTCGGCGCAACCGCTCAATTGGCTCTCTTGCTTGTGTGCGTGATATTGATACTCTTGAATGGGCCGGCCGCTCGCCACTCTGTCGCCGCCCAAGTCGCGGCCGCCGCCTGCCGTCGATGGGGCGGACGGCGGCGAGCAGCAGCGACCCATGATTGGCCCTGTCTTTCCCCACACATCGACCAAAATCCTCTCAAGGATGCGAGTCATGGCGACTGTAATCGCCCGTACGCAAGCAAGGCAAGCAAGCAAGCACGCACGCACGCACGACGCTTGGGCTCAAATGCAGCGCAATTCGAAGCTTTCGTGGGTCGCGGCGACTCAAGCAAGACTGAAGAAGCAGACGAGGCAACGCGAGAGCTGATTGGATATGGGACGAGCGTCGAGGGCGGCGACCGTGATGAGTCGTGTAGCCGCGTCAGCCTCCCTTTCTCTTCTCGGCCAGTGGGCAGCGCCAGACAGTGGAGGCGGAGTGAACAAAGCTATCGGCAGTGAGGGCGACGCAGGTGCAAGCATGCAGACCGCTGCGCGCACCACCACAGGTTGCTCTGCCTCGTCGTCTCGTAGTGCTTCTTCCTCATCTTTCAAACCTCACCGCCGCGCTCGACACCGCCCCAGAAATCGCCCCCTTTGCCGTGGTAAGCCGAATTCCGCTCGATGCCACCACCCGCTGCCGCCGCCGCCATTATCATCGCCCGCCCTTTGTCATCGCCGCCACTTGCCGTTGCGTGGCTTCGTTGGCGCTGGGTTTGCTGTCATCGTACGCCAAAGCCGCAATGCTTCGACGGCGATATCACCAATCTCGCCGATGTCAATGGCCTTGAGAACAGCATCGAGGCTCAGTGACTACGAGTAAGCATCAACGGCGTCACACGCCCACGCATTTAATGCCAGATGAGATGCCAAATGCCACTACGCTAATGCGAGCCTGACTCAAGCATGCTCTCGCAAGCTCGCTCAGAAGGGAAGGATGGAGGAATGGTAAGGAGCGGGGCATAGCTGCTCGAGGCATGGGGGGCATTCTCTGCAACGACGCCGCCTGCGTACGTGCGCATGAGCATATAGCGAGTGAGCGATGAGCGCGCGTGGCTTACTGTGAAGACTCGTTGATTCCCTGGAAGGTTTAAGGTTCCGCTTCGTATTGCCGTGTGACAGTTGGTGTCTAATCGAAGGAGCCAAGGCTTGCGTCGCGAGCGCCTTTCTGCAATCATCGGCCGACAACGCTTTAAATTGGGCTGCGCCAACAGGCACGAACGGAGAGCTCCGAGCAGCACAGCTCCGAAGGGTGGGCGGGCGCTGTGGGCGTGCCATCGAGACGAGGCATCGAGCACGGAATAAGGGCCTCGCTGCCCGCGCTGCTGTTCACGCGTTGAGCAGGTTGTGGTGAGGTCGCGCAACAGAACAGTTCAGTCATGGCGGCGAGGGGCACGATATAGGAGTCGTCGCCGGCAGTCAAGATGAACTTCCTGGGTGCTTCCCCTATCCTATCCCTCGTCCTCGGCGTGCATGAACACGAGCCTAGCGCAGCTAACGTCGAGGACGACGTTTGTAGCCGTAGCTTGCTGCCCGCCGCCCACTAGCATGAGGGTCTCTTCATCTTATCGGCCGGCGCTCGCCGTTTCCCAAAGATCCAAAAATGACGCTACCAGAAGCCGCCAAGACGAGCGCGAGTCAAACGTGCCCGAAGGGCAGGCCACGAATCTCATGCCCTCTCTTGCTTTTCGAGGCGCCCTGTGAGGCCTTATCGAAAGATGCTACCCGCATGAGCCCAGGTGCGCTCCGGATGGGAATACGATAATCTCTCTCTCTATCGAAAGATGCCGACCGCCAATTGCCTTGCTCAAGCATGAGAGACGATGACGTGTATCCGTTGAGCGGTATCATCTTCTCAGCCAACGAACATCAAAGACCTCGTTCCGTCAGGCAGGTCGTATCGAGCTGAGCGCTGCTAGCTGTATCGTGACCGAGCGTCGCCACCTACCTGTCAAGAGCGGCCCATTGTCTTCAATCTAGCGAGGGCTGAACACTTCTACGCAGGGCGTTGTCACCGCGGAACGTCGTCAGATCACAGCGGAAGTCCTTGCCTCTCATTCCCAGATTTCCCTGGATCGCCATTAACTAGAGCGCCGGCTCGTCAGCACGATATAAGCCCCGCTACTCCGCCTCGCTTTGAGAGAGAGTCCAAAAGGGTCCAGAATCGGGTCATTACAGCAATGAGCCCACCATCTAGGAGCACGCAAGTACTGCCCATCACGCATTGCAGGACAATCTGCCGCCATGCTTGTTCTGAAGGTTGCCAAGAGGACACCTCTCTGCCGACCATGACTGATTCGTGGGAAGATCGTAGATGCGGTGCGAAGAGATCCGCGCTGGTGGCCGTAGTCACAGGCCCAACAGACATTTGCCGGCTACAATCGGGCGAAACCCTGATTATCTCCGCCGGCGATTCATGTCAATTCAAAAGCACTCGGCGACGCAGCGGGCAGCGGCCAGTCTCGAGGAGGTTGAGAGAGGCCCATCGGGCCATGCTCTTGCGGGTGGGAGGAGTTCGAAGAGTACATACAGCGAGCGACGAAGGCCGAGACCATCATCACGGCGGCCTCCTTCCAGTGAGACGGGGGGCGAGGGTCCCATGACGGACGACTCTGGTTCGGCAGAAAAGAGCCGCCGGAGCTAGATCAACAGCAGGATGAGGGGTGTCGAGCGCGGAGGTCATCGAGTCTTCATGATCAAAATGTGGATTGAGTGAGATGAATCGGGGATGAATGAGCCTGTAACTGGAACTGGCTCCGCCTGCTCTTCCTCTTGGCACTCATCTCCTGATCGTGATACGCTCACACAAGCCTAAGCCACAGTTTGAGTCATCGCGCCTGTCTCTACCCCCGCTCGGAATGGACCCTCGAGATGATCCTGTGCGGAACGCGCTCAACTCAAATCCATCTCCTCATCTGACGCAACCCGTCCACTCCCGCGTGCAGCTCCAGCTCCAGCTCCAGCTCCGCCTCTAAAGGCAGCCATAGGATCCCTCCTCTCAACCTGAGGCGTAGGCTGATCTTCACTGTTCCCGTTCCACGCCCCTCCCTGCTGCTGGTAGTGCTGCTGCGAATATGCGCCCAGAGGAGATGAGCTGCTCATTACCGTGCTGCTCGACATTCCTGCCGGCGTCGAAGATCGTCCCAGCATCCCCGGGCCAGTAGAGGAGCGATGAGGATGATAGTTGCTCTGGTACTGACTGCTCAAGCCCTCCTGAGCCGATTGACGATGCGAGAGAGTAGCGCTGGGCGTTGTTGGAGTGGATGTCAGAAGGCTATCACCACCGCTACCGTTGCTGCTGGGAGCTTGTCCTGTCGAACCCTCCCCAGCCCTGTGCCCGCCGCCGCCGATGAGGAAGTCGTGCGAAGACGACGAGGCAAGCATCATCCCACTGGCGGCGCGGCGAGCACTCAGAGGTGAGGAGGTCGCTGAGGAGAAAGAAGCCACACCCATTCCATACTGTGGAGATGGTCCGTCGGACATAATCGCAAGGTTGTTGGAGGAGAGTGGCCGCAAATTACCTGCGGAAGAGACTGCTCGTGGACCGGTGGGAGCACCGATCCCGGATGCGGGGAAGCGCCTACCGACAGTGCCAGGTCCGAGAGCAGATGGAACTGGTGGGACGCGCAGATGCGACTGAGCAGCGGCGGCGTCATTGCCCGAGGTGCTGCGACCTGAGGAAGGACCAGCTCCTGATGAGCTTCCAGGTGTAGAAGAAGCGGACGCATGCCTCATCCCCATCCCCATGGGTAGAAGATGACGAGGATTCATCGGTGGAGTCCTGGCCTCATCGCTCCTCCTGCGTGCATTTTCCTCTTCCTCCTCACCCTCCGTCTCCTCCCTATCGCTAGCGGCCGGAGTAGCAAAGAAGCGGCGATGTGGTCCACGACGACGTCTTGCCAGCCTGCCAGTCCCATTTGCGGTGCCATCTAGAAGTTGATCCTCGTCGTCCTCATCATCGGGCAGATCAGGCGTAGGAGTTTGGCCTCGCCAAGTAATCTGGTCAATATCCGCGCGTCCGAATGCTTGCTCGTCTACCCCTCCAGGGTTGAAGCGACCTACTCCCCCGCCCACACCGCCAAAGGAGTCATCGAGGCCGCCTGTCCCGTCACCGTCGCCTACAAGGGCGGCCACTCCGCCCCCAACTAGGCCCTGCGCGCCAGCAAAGCCGTCGAGACCCGTGCCTGCAATGACCGGAGGGGGCAGAGGACGACCAGCCAGGTCGGTCCGCATGGGTGCTGGCGGAGGGCCGCGCAGCGCATTGGGAGGACCGGCATTACCTCCTGTAGCGGAGCTGGCTACCCTCTCTGTGGCAGTGGCATGCCCGCCCTCATGCGCCTCAGAGAGCTCCCCGTCGCTAGCCGGTATATTGTGCGCAGAGCGATCCGCCTCGTCCTCGCTCATGTCCGATGCGGCGGCACTGCTGAGCGCCTCGCTGACTAGACGGGTCGCGTTGCCCCGGTTGAAGTTGGAAGCGCGACGACTTGGCAGGCGACGTACTGTGGTTGGGGAGGCTTGCGTGACAGTGTAGGTTGGGTGGGTGGCTGTGGTAGGCGTAGCCATAGCTCCATCTGCGTGGGTGGTCTGTGCTGCTGCTGTCGCCGGCCCTGCTCCATCATCATGATGATGGTGACGTGGGTGATGAGGAGCACGCACAGTCGCCGATCGAGCTCGGACGACGGCATCGTTCTCGTCCACATGCTCACCGCGACCTCCAGCCGTCGCAGTCGTAGGTGTCATGAGGTTGAAAGGCTGCTGCATCGCCCCCTCGTCCGGCATCGCAGGAGCTCGTCTCGCATCCTCGTCGTCATCGTCATCCCCACGTCCACCCTCCTGCTGGGCCGCCCCCGCAGCCGTAGTCCCTGCTGCAGCGCTCCGAGACCCTCTCCCAGCTCTAGAGGTTCCACTCCCCGCGCTAGCCGTAGTACTTGCATTCTCCAAATCCTCAGCAATAGAGCTGCACCAGTACTTGTGCCCAATCTGCCAAGAGGTACTCTGGCAGACCTTGCTACAGAACTTGGCCTTTTTGCATCGCCTACACTTGGCGAATTCGCGAGGTTCCGTCTCCCATTTACCGCAAAGCATGTTCCCGCATTGACGGAGACCGAGGTGCTCGTCCCCCTCGCGATCGTCCTTGCGGCAGGCGTTTCGCATCACTACACCGGCCCAGTATTGAATGAGCGGGGCGAGCTTGGCGTTGCCTGCGACAAATTCAGCATTGGGGTCGCGTCTGGTCGCGCGGCAAGTGTACCGCTCGGCGATGGTGTAGATGGAGCGGTGGAACTGCTGGCCTGGCTGCCACATGGGCGTGCCCTGCGACGTCGAGGCCTTCTCCCATAGCAGGTCGAGGTCGTACAGGTTGGAGGCTCGGGTCATCTCCGGAAAACGGAGGAGGGCACGAATGTGGGAATACTTTGTGAGGTATGCTAGGATCTGGAGGGAAAGGAGGACCTCCTCCTCACGGAAGGCCATGTCGTTCGGATCGAAGGTCTCGGCGATGTACGTTGTGGGCAGAACGGGTCGTGTGCGGTGTGTGACGGTCGAGTGGCGATCACGTCCGTGGTGGTGGTGGTGGCTGCGAGATGATGAGGAGATTGCATTGGAGGATGAGGGTTGCTGGTCGCGAGCTGCGTCTGTCTGCGTCCACGTGTCCGAGCGGCTGCTCATGGGAACGGCTTGAGGAGCGTCTTGCGCCGTCCGTGGAGCGGACTCGGGGAATGACGAGGGGCGAGACTCTTGCGAGACTCCAGCAGCTGCCGTTGTGGTAGCAAGAGGCGCCAGCACTCGTCTTGCAGCTCGAGGCGTCCTCCTTTCCTCCGCCTCGACGGCAGGAGCAGAGCGACGACCGCCATTCTCGGACTCGTCCGCCGCCTCTGCCGCACTCTCACTATCCTCTGCATCGGCTCCATCGCCCGACATCTCTGCCTCTTCCAGCCCGGACTCAGCGCCAGAGTTGCTGCCTAGGTCATCAGCTGTATGGGCAGCCAAGAGCGGCGTGGTGACGCGTGGTGTCTCGCGTGCCGGCCCTCGACTTGATGCTGCTCGAGTGGGTAGAGCATGCTCAACGTTGTGGTTCGCACTTGCTCGTACCGCCTCTGCTACGGAAGCAGTCGCGAGAGCTTCGAAGTCGGCTGCTCCTGCGGGGATGGGCGCAGGAGGTCGCCCAGCCCGGAGCGTAGGCACGTCGACGGGCATTGGTGCCATCGCAGCAGCTTGACGACCCGGCTCCGCACGCGATTGTGCGGCAGAGACGGGTAGCCGGACGACAGGTGCGTCAGAGGGGGATGCCTGCTGATGAGCGGGCAACAGACGGCTCGTCGATGCTGTTGCTGATGCTGCTGATGATGGATCAGGCCTGCCATATTCATTGTCGCCAGCCGCTGCAGCACGAGCAGCCGCTCCTGCGAAGTTGGTAGGGAAGAGGGCCGCAGCTTGCTCTTCTCGGGCAACGTCCTGCCTCTCATGGTGCTCGCGCTCCCTCTCTCGCTCTCTTGCCGTAGCTAAGGCGGCCGCCGATGCGCCCGCGCCGGCGTTGTTTGCCGTGATGGTTGTTCGACGATGGGGCGCGGCATCGTTGGCTGCTGCTTGTGCACTCGAAGCTGCCTCTCCGTCAGCGCGCCGACGTTCTTCGACCTGTCTCTTCCTCTCTTGCCTGAGCGCATCCGAGTAACAGAGATAGCTCTCGAGGACCTTTACGAGGATGGGCATGATGCCGGCCTCGACGGCCCTCTCGCGCACATTGACGCCGCCTCGAATACAGAGATGTACAACGCATTGGAAGGCGGTGGTCCACTTCCACATGGGCTGGAGATCCTTTGGTGATCTTGGACGCATGAGTGTGCCTTGATTCTTGGGCACGTCTCGCAGAATGTGAATCAGTCGCTCCAGGCCTCCATCGACGCAGAGGAGGTCGCGGATTTTGCGGTTGTTTGCGACGAGATATGCTAAGTTGTTGAGGGAGAAGATGAGGGGAAGAGACGTTGTGCAGTCGAGGGCTGCATTAAGGAAAGGGTGTGGAAATGAGGGGTCAGTCAGGTGTCTATGATTATGCTGAGCAACCTTGATTGCAATCTCTCACCTTTGCGCTCATAGAGGGACGCCGAGATGGTGGCCGCCGCACGATTCTGAGCCTCATTGGAGAAGTTGACTTGTCGTACCATGGTGACAATTGTATGCTAATCTGCGTCTCGACGACGCCACTGTGCCGCACTGAGCAACGATGGTCGAAAGGGTGGTTGCGCAGCACGAAACCAAGAGAGAAGAGGACGAGAGATTGCTCCCAGGCTGACTAGCAGCGCAGAGGGAGAAAGGAAAGAGAGTCAAGTCGAGGCGAGGGGGTGATGACCTCTGTCACACGCACACCTCTATCCTCGTTGGCTGGCAGCAACTGGTGAGGAAGAGTGAAGCTGTGTGTTTGACGACAAGGGGAGCAACGACAAGGAGGAGGCTAGCCGCTTGCCGCTTGCCGCTTGCTGCTTGCCTGCTTTGGGCCTTGGCCTGTGTGCTGCCCGCCTGAGCGACCTGCAAGCGGCAAGCGGTTGGACTGTTGGGCGTGGCGCGGCCCCCCGCTCAAATCACGTCGACGCTGAGACCCCCTTCACACCTCCTGACCCTTGACCCCCCCAGCACAACTCCCAACTGATGGCGATCGTTCCGCCTGGATCACCGCGGTGGACACGCGCAAAAAGAGCAAAGGGGCAAGCTGGCTTCTCAAGTGAATGGCATATATTGTACAAAGTAGCGAAGCGCAAGATCCTTTGGGCTGGATCAGACCATATCTTGGAGGTTGACGGGCATCTCGTCGATGGTCTGCAACAGAGGGGCAAGGGCGTTAGTACAATCGATCCTCATTGCCCCGGAGAAGCAAAAATCGGTGCTACTCACTGTTGAGTAGAATTGCTCGCTGTAAGGGCAAAGGGCAGGCGATCTTCGGTGTCAGCGTCGCGTCACGGCTACTACTCTCTCTTCCCTGTCATGCCGCACTCACATGTCCCGCAAAATCCTCACGTCATCCACGGTAACAAAGCAGATCGAAACTCCCTTTCTCCCAAATCTTCCCGACCTTCCAATCCTATGCAGGTAGTTCTCCCTATTCAGCGGCAGATCATAATTAATGACCAGGCTCACATTCTGCACATCGATCCCCCTTGCCCACACATCCGTCGTGATCAAGACTCGGGATGATCCTTGTCTGAATTCGGACATGATTGCGTCTCGCTCCTTCTGCTGCATCTCGCCGTGCATGCTCGACACTTGGAAGTTGTTCTCGCGCATCTTCTCGGTGAGCCAGTCGACTTTGCGGCGGGTGTTACAGAAGATGACCGCTTGGGTGATCGTCAGCGTGTCGTAAAGATCGCAGAGGGTGTCGAACCTGGCGCAGAGAGGCAGCGAGTGTCAGTCGGATTGCTGAGAAGAGACTTCATCTCGCTGGATCATCTCGCAAACTCACTTCCAGTCCTCCTTCTCCACAGCGACGAAGAATTGCTTGATGCCCTCCAGGGTCAGCTCGTCACGCTTGACGAGGATGCGCACAGGGTCCGTCATGAATTTAGTAGTGAGCTCCAGGACATCCTGAGGGAGAGTAGCAGAGACCACGACCCTGAAAGAGAAGGGGGAGAAGGCGTCAGCCAAGTGAGGCAGTACCTTGCTGCGCTTCGTTGGGTGCACTCACACCTGCGTAGCTGGCGGCAGGTATCGGTAGATGTCGTAGATCTGCTCCTTGAATCCCATGCCCAGCAACTCGTCGCTCTCGTCCATAATGAGCATCTTGATATTCTTGGTCCTCAAATGTCGTCTCTTGATCATATCAAAGACCCTGCCGGGCGTTCCAGAGACGACGTGCTGCCCATGCTCCAGCCTCCTGATGTCATCTCCGACGCTCGTCCCACCAATACACGCATGACACTGCACATTCATATAGTCTCCCAGGGCGAGGACTACGCTCTGGATTTGCGTAGCCAGCTCGCGCGTAGGGCTGAGGACTAGCGCCTGGCAATCGCGCAGCGTCGTATCGATGGACTGGAGCATGCCGATGGAGAAGGTGGCCGTCTTACCCGTTCCCGATTGGGCTTGAGCAATGACATCTCTGCCGCGGATGATGGGAAGGATGGCTCGTTGTTGGATAGCAGATGGCTTCTCGAAGTTGTAGGCGTAGATTCCTCGTAGGAGGTCCTCCTTGAGGCCGAGGGCATCGAAGGTTGGGGCTACCTTTACCGATTCCGACGACTCGAAGTGCAGCTTAGCATCGCCAGGGTTGATGCCTGAGCGCTGCAAGCGAAGGGCGGTGGAGAGGGGTCAGCCTGCTGCGCTGCTGTGCTGTGAACGAGAGCGGGGGCTGCGACGGCTACTCACACTCATTTTGGCTTGAGTTTACGAAGGAGATGGCACAAAAGACGTGGATGGCTGAGTGAGCGTGACCGAGGGGCGGAAAGGGAATTGGAAGTCACCCTCCTCGACGCTCCAAGTCGAGGCAGTTGGTTGGCTCTCCGTCGAGCGAGAGTGGATTTGTCTCTGGCTGGCTGGGCGCGCAGACGACAGAAGAAAAAGTTGGCTGCGACGGGGCCCTCACTCGCTTTCTTCTCTTCTCATCTTGCAATCACACTTCAACAAGGTCACACCTCTCCTTATCCAATGTGAGTATTCACAATTGTCGCCCCCTTTTCAAGGATGACAAACCCCTTTAGATGACGAGGCTGAGGCTGTCATATGCGGGAGGCACGCTCTCTGACCGGCGCAGGCTTCTTGCCTGTCGCTGCGAAGAGGCGACTCGCGGCAGTCGATGCTTATAACCTTGGCTACCACTCCTGATACTCAGCAAGAGCGCGCGATACTACCTTTCTATTGGTAAAAGATGAGCTCACACATTTGTTGTCCTCTCTTTGCGCTACTAGCATGCCGGCAACGGCACCGGCGCCGCCAGCATCGACAAAGGCGCCTCCGCCCACGGCCCCCGTCTGGAACGACGACGAAGACGACTGTAGTGACACCGATTCCGAGTCTGGCGATTCGATCACTGATGTCCACCTCGGCCTCGCTGATGGGGAGCTCGAAGACGATGATGAGAGCAATCCCCTCGTGTCAAGAATAGGAGGCAAGGCGGTACGTACGCTGCGGGCACCCACCGTTCTTTCATGCGCACCAATAGCTGACGTCCTTCGTCCCTTCTCTGTTGCAGGCATGGCTTCCAACAAAGTCAATCCCACCCGCTTCGGTAGCTACATGTCGACACTGTGACACAGTCATGGAGCTTCTTGTCCAGCTCTTTGCACCCCTCGAGGACTCGCCTTACGACCGCACCATCCTGGCTTGGGGTTGCGCGCGAGCCGTATGCCAGCGTAAAGGAGCAGGAAGGTGAGTCTCAACGCGTCAGATCATTGAGATGTCAGTGGCTCGCCGCCACTGCCGCCACCGCCGCCGTCGATGGCAGATGATTAGTAGTATTTCTTCACTTGAGGGCGACGGAACCCTCTTGGGCGAAATCGTCTACTGAAAAGATAAACAACTTTGACACGAGCTTTTTAACCATGATGCCACACGACCCTCAACTACGACGGCGGCGACGGCGATGGGCGGTGGAGCGGCGGGCAGCACATACCCACATGTAGGCGGCGGCACGATCTGCTCACACCTCTCCCCTCTCTGTCCCACCCACGCGTACAGCCTCCGAGTGGTCCGCCACCTCCAGTACAACGCCCGCTGGGCTGCCAAGCTCGAAAAGAAGAAGGCTAATCAACAGCAGAGGGCAGAGCGTAGACGTCAGCAGGAGGAGCAGGCAAAGAAAAGGAAAGAGGAAGAAGAGGCGAGGAGTAAAGTGAACCCTTTCGCCTCAGGCGCCTCAGCAATGAATGGTGGCGGTGGGCTTGGTGGGAGCTTGTTCGGTGGAGGCGGCGCTTTCGGATCTGGCGGGAACCCTTTCTCGACATCTGCCGCCCCTGCCGCCGCACCAACTACCGACTTACAACCTTCGGGCAAGCAGGACGCTTCCACCGAAGAGAAAGACGACGCCTCGGACGAGTCCGATTCAGAAGCGGATTCTGCCGCGGAGGACGAAGCTCGCCTTGCCGAAGAGCTAGCAATGAAGGCTGCCCTTAGTACCGCTTCCGCTTCTCAGTCAAATTGGGTCCCCTCCCTCGCTCCGCACTACGCTCCACCCCTCTACCTCAACACCGTCCCCGAGTCGTCCTCCTCTGCCCGCGCGGGCGACAAGGCAAGCAAGCTCACAAAGGAGGCGGCAGCCCTCAAGAAAAAGGCGCTGGCTGCTTCGGCGGACAATGCGACCGATGAGGAGCTCAAGGGGATGGAAAAGGAGAGCTACGAAAGGATGATGCTCGTAGGGGTCGATGAGGTGTTGGAGAAGTTCATGGCGCGCGTGGGCGCTGAGGGGAGACAGGTAGTGAGGTACGAGCTGGGAGGACAGCCCCTCCCTTTCAATGCTCAGGGCGAGCTCTATGACACTCTTTGGCCCAAGGCGAAAACAGCTGGGCATGGGAGAAGCTACGACCCTTCGAAGATCCCGCCCTGTGAGGCTTGTGGGTCACGAAGGACCTTCGAACTTCAGCTCATGCCGGCTTTGGTGCATACATTGAGGGCAGATAAGATCCAGGGTGCCGAGGGTGAGAAGGACCTCGCTACCAACGACGACGCTGCCAACGTCGACGCTGAATCCCGTCGACGCCGTGACCTCGAAGCTGCCCTTGGCCGCCGCCTCGCTCCACAACCAGACAAGGACGGCATCACCCGCTCTAAGGGTGACGCAGCTGCAGCAGCCGATGGGAGCTCCACGGTCGCCGCAGGGGGGAAGACGGGCCTCTGTTGGTCCACGGCTATGGTGTTTGTGTGCGAGAAGGACTGTTGTATACCTAGGCCGGATGAGGGGAAGGAGGGCGAGACGTGGAGGGAGGAATGGGTTGGGACGCAGTTTGAGGATTAAGATCGATGACTTTGGATACGGCTTTCTCCCCTTGTATATGATCTCGAGCATTTGTACAGCAGCACTTCTATACGCCTAGCAAACATATTCATTACCCCGTCCTTGACGATGCCTGGTCTCCTGCTCCCCTGAGCGGCGCCTTCAGCCCTAACCAAACGTGCTTGGCCATCCTTGTGCACCCAAGTTTCTCGTAGAAGCGCACCGCTCCTTGATCACTGGCATCAACGTGCGCTGTCACAGGCCAAGGACACCACGTCCCCTCTCCTTGCGTCGCCTCAGCCTCGATGGCAGCCACGTCCACTCCGCAAGCAGTGAGGGCGCGTCGTTGTGCGAGGCCGATGCGGGGGGAGAGTAAGGTGACTAGTAGCCGACCGAGGCTCAGCGGCGCGGGTGGTGGTGCTGCTGAAGAAGCGGTGGAGTCTGCAGGCTCGACTCGCCGTCTGTAGGGTAGCGCGACGTGCAAGGAAGCCAAACTCATATCCTCGTGCGTGTACACCCATCCAGCAAGAGAGCCTTTGGCCTGCTCTATCGGGTAGACGTCTTCCTCGCTTCCCTTCTGGGCCCCAGCTGCTCCCACAGGCCCAGTTGCATCTCTCGCCAGCAAGGAAAGGTGCGGCTTGCGCAGTGTATGCGAGACAGGGAAAGGTATCTTGTTGGCCTCTGCGACGGCTTTCGCCGTCTGTGTCGTGATTCGCTCGAGTTGCCACCGTTGGCCTGCTTGCTTTGCTTCTTCCTCGGGGGTGGCAGGGCATACAATGGGTGGCGGGTCGAGAACGAAAGCATCGTAGGCTCCGCTGCGCCATTCGATCCAGGGTCGGTTCGACGAGGGGCCTCGCAAAGAGTCCTCGTCGCGTCTTGCCTGGCAGACCTCATCAGCGAGCACATCAACCTGCAACTCGTCCATCGCCTGGATGATGATGTCGACTTCTCTCAAATGTTCCCTTTCCACCTCACTGGCATCAAGCGCAAAGTGATCCCTCTGTGCCTCAATGAATCGCTTATAAGCCACTGGCAGCCACTGAGAGAAGAGGAAATGCACCATGCCCCGAGTCGTTGGATCGTCCTCTCCTCGGGCTGAGCAAGCCATTTCGGTGCTGAGCCAGATGCTCATGTTTGGACGGCGCAGGCATGTTGTCGGGTCGGCTTCGTCGCGGAACTTCGACGAGACGAGGATGCCCAATCCCCAAATCCCTGCCTGGTGACCATTGTTGGCGCTGCTGCTGCTGCTGCCGCCCCTGCCACTCTTGAGGACCCCTACAGGCGGCGAGCCAATGACCACAAGCTGTGCCCCCGGCTGGTAGCGAGTCGTGAAGTCTTTCCAGGGGTCGTCAATCACGCTCAAGCTATCGAGACTGGCGGAGAAGAGGTCAGTCCTTGACGTGACGGCCGCAAGGAGATGGTTGCGCACGGTCGTCGAGGTAGGGAGGCAGGGTGGGGTCGACAGGAGGTGGAGGAGGTAGGCGTAGTTGATGTCCTCCGGCTGGTGGGCCACCATGCTCGTTGGCAACGCCATGCTTGTTGCCCTTCTTACTGCTCTGAGCCTTACGTGTCCGAGCGAGATACCTCCCACCTCTTATCTTGATTGTGCTGATGGAAGGAGAAGATCCTCTCTTCCCTGATCCGTTGACTCGAGAAGGAAGCCGCTTAGGTTCCCGATTTGATCGGGCCGATTGGGCGCCACATTGAGCGCTCAGATCACCCGGACCATCGCCCCGGCGCTGCACACGACACACGACATCAAACAAGGTTCTGGCAAAGGGTCTGGCATTTCGAGCAAGACGGAGAGCAAGCGATTGAATCAACGAATAAAGGAGAAACAGGAGACTGGGAGCTCATATGGTGATTTTCTGGTTTTCTGTCCACATCTCCTCACGACTAGAGGGGGTATTCCACGACACGACACGCTGCAAAGTCCTAGCGATCGCTCCGAGAGCCATCGATCATTTGACGACGCGCTCACTCGAGCTCAACGCCTTCGCCCTGTCGTGCCCGTGTAGTCTGAGGCGGCAAGGGACGATTGCCTGTTGCTCCTCGACGTGCCGTCCCTGGTGAGCTTCTTTGTGCCGCCCACAGAAGGCGAAGCCCTCGAGCTACGCGACGAGGTCATAGAGGTGCCGCGCGACGACATCGAGGCAGACCTCGACGTCGAGTTGCCGCCGATGGAGGAGCCGGCGGCCGACGAACCAGAGTCAGAGAAGAAGGAGCCACGCGACCTGTTCGAGTTGATGCGCTGCGTCTCGAGGGCGGCGTGGGATCGTACTTGGGCCATGTTGCTCATGAGGTACGAGGCCTTGGCGCTGCCTGTGAGACCGCCCTTGCCCTTTGCCTCGAGAGGCTTGCCGCTGAGCACCTTCTTGAATTCGAGGCGAGCGGCGTCCGGCTTGTTCATCGCAGCGAGGAGGCGACCAAACTCGTAGTGGGCAAAGTAGCACACGTAGCGGTCCACCTCGTCGAGCTTGTGGGCCCACTTGAAGACCTTCTCGAAGGACCCGACGGCGTCCTTTTCGACGTCGTCGAGGGATCCAATCGAGTCGTCGGCGGGGAGGCGTACCAGCGTGTGGGCAGGAGGGTAGGCGACGTGCGTGAGGGCCACACCGCGGAGGAAGTAGGAGATGCAGTAGGCTCCGTAGAATTCTGACTCGCCGCCAGGGTACGTCTTGGGGTCGTGGTACGTCTCGAGGTCGTCGATGAACTCGTCGATGCGCGTGAGCGTCTGCTCGACCATGAGGAAGACTGGCATCTGGCTCATGCAGTGCCAGAGGTACGAGAACTCGAGGGCAGGCAGAGGAAGACGGTTGCTGTTGGCAACGTACTTCTTGGCCTTGAGCACGGCGAAGCGCTCGAAGGGGATCTGACGGCCAGCGATCTTCTTGACGACCTTGGGAACCGTACGCATGACCGTAGCGCTCTTTGCTCGGTCGTCCATGCCCGTCTCGTAGAGCATGACGGCCTTGGCGTACTGGTAGATGGACTTGGACCAGTTCGACTCGCGCGAGAGGACATCATAGCACTCGTGAGCGCGAGCGTAGTCGCACGTCGAGAGGTACGTCATAGCCAAGTCCCAGAAGCACATGTGGTGGAGCTGCTTGTACTCCCTCTGGCTCTCGATGGCGTTCCTGTAGTACTCGATAGCCTTCTCTGGCAGGGCTTGGGCGGCGTACAGCTTGGCCGAGAAGTACAGGTAGAAGATACCGCTGGGGAAGCGGACAAGGTTCCACGAGAGGACTTTGTCGGCAAACTCGATGTCGACGTCAGTGAGCGGGATGTACTGCGAGATCGTCAGATGGTAAACGAGGATGGCAATGTCGCACAACGGACGACGGACACCCTCAGCCTCTGCGGAGATGGTGGGCAGGGGCTTGTTCTTGGACCAGCCACCGGCTCGCGAGTAGAGATCGAGGGAGAACTTGCGGTCACCGACGAAGCCGAAACCCTCCATGAGGCTGAGGGCGCGCTTGGGCAGCATCGAGAGGACGAGCGAGCAAGTGGCGTTGCCGACGTAGACACCGGAGCGGAAGTCCTGGTCGACGTTGTACTTGGCGCGGCGGCCGCTGATCTGAGCTTCCTCAGCCTCACCATCGCAGTACTCAACGAACTCGAGGAGGTCCCTCATGACGAAGTACGAGGAGCGCAGGCCAAGGGCATGCTTGACGAATGCAACAGCGTCACCGGCGTAGAAGATACCCAGCACGCACTTGAGGAGCTGCGACTCGGCGAATACGAGCTCGGCGTGCTGCTCGACAAGGCTCATCTTCTGGAAGGCCTTTTGCTTGCCGCCGCCGATGAGCTTACCAACGGTACCTTGTTTCTTGCGGAGGTGCGAGGCAATGTTCATCGAGTGCTTACAGCAGAGAATAGCCGTCTCGAAGTCGGAGGGCTCGAAGGTCATGACTGCCTTGACCGTGTTGATCAGAGCCATGCCCTCGGCCTTGTAGAGGCGGTTCTCAGCGCCCTCGCGGCAGAGCTCTTCAGCCTCCTTCATGCGGGAGTTAAGGAAGAGATTCATGGCCTCGCGCACCGTAGCCAGGTCCTCGCGGCAGTCATTGTCATCGATCTTGACTTCAGAGGCCTTGACACCCTTGGGGTTGATGAAGTCCACGGCGACGTTGGTCTCGGGAGTGATTGAGTCGTCCGAATAGTCCGAGCCGGCGTCCTCATCCTCATCCTCCTCGTCGTCGTAGTCTTCCTCGTCCTCTTCCTCTTCGGGAGCAGGCTCGGGCTCACGATAATTCTGCTTGCGGCCGTTGGCACCACGAGTGGCAGTGGCACCATTGGACTTGGCTCCGTCCTCAGTCGCGCCGTCTTGCTCATCTTGAGAGCTGCCGCGGAGGTAGTTGACGGCGCCAGCGGCAGTAGCGCCAGCGGCGGCGGCTGCGCCAGTAACGGCGCCGATGGCAGCACCGGTGTAAGTCTGCTCGTCCTGGTTCTCGTTCTGAGCCTTGCCGCCCTTGGCAGAGCCGTTGGCACCCTTCGACTTGGGAGCGGGCTTCTGCTCCTCCTCTTCCTCCTCTTCCTCATCTTCATCCTCCTCTTCTTCTTCCTCCTCCTCTTCATCGTCGTCGTCGTCCTCTTCCGGCTCAGGCTCAGGTTCCGGCTCGGGCTCCTTCTTCTTCTTGAGAGGTGTAGCCTTCTTAGCCTTGGCGGCAATGGTGCCAAGAGCACCGCCAGCTGCAGCGCCCCCAGCGGCACCACCAGCGGCTGCAGTTCCGTTGCTCTTCTTGGATCCGGCGTCCTTGTCCTTGCTTGCAGCACCGTTGCTGCTGCCCTTCTTGCCTTTCGACTTGGTGCCGGCGTGGCCACCCTTGGCCTCAGTGCCGCAGGCGCCGAGACGACCGACGACGGTGTCTTCGAGGTTGTCCTCATCGTTGTCCTCAAGCCACTTCTTGAGCGAGGGAATGTCGTGCTTGTCATTGACGGACTGCTTCTTGACCTCACCGTCCTTCTGGGGGTACTCCCAGTTGACGTGGTGCTCGTCCTTGAGGATGCCGACACGCTGGTAGATGTTCTTGGCTCGCAGGTAAGGCGTACCCTGGAGAGCAACGAGACGAAGCTTCTTGGCTACGACCTCACGCTTGTACGTGAGGTCAGGAGCGTCATCGTCATTGTCACCGGCATCGATCCACTCCTTTGTGAGGTTCTCGTACTCGGTCGCGAGGTCCATGTACTGCTTCTTGATGGCCTCAACGGTCTCGGTGTCCTTGAGCTTGTCATTCTCATTCGGCTCGGGCTCGATGTAGTCCCAGTCCCAGTCCATCGTACCGCCCATTCCGATACGAAGCTTCTCGGCCGGGATGTAGTCTGCAAGCTCGTGCGCCTTGCTGGAGAACTTGATCTTGTCACGGACAACGGGGTCAAGCATGGGCTGGAGGACCTGCCAGATACCCTTGAAGATCCAGGGAGCGCCGTGGACGTAAATGCGCTGCAGAGACTCCGGGTAGTAGGCCTCGAGACACTTGACGAGGAACAAGACACACTGCCAGTCCATGTTTTTGAGACCGAAACCGTTCATGTCGAAGACAACGACAGCCTTCTCGTACGGAGGCGTGGTAAGCTGACGAGCATTCTCCATGGCCAAGAGGACGAACTGCTGCAGCACCTCGTGCTTCTGAGCGTTGGTGAAGTGGCGGGCGACGTGAATGAAGTAGATCGGGTACTCTCCCGGGCGATTCGAGTTGCCCTGAATGTACGAAATACCACGTCGGAACTGGTTGAGGAAGCCGGGCACGTCCTTGAGACCCTCCTCACCCTTGGTGATGATGCCTTCGACGTCCATCTCGAAACGGAACTTGAGAGCGGCAGCAAGCATAGCAAGAGCTCGGTCGATGTCCCACTACGAGTGTGAGAGCGAGAGCAAGAGAAACAGATGTCAGTCTTCCGATGCAGCTCTGCAGCTCATTTCTCGTCGCCACCCTTACCTTTCTCGCTCGAAGGAAACGGAGCATCGCAGCGTCGGGATGGTCGTGCTTGCAGAACTCCCAGACAGCCTTCTTGAGGTAAGGGCCGCCGTACTTGTCGAGGAACTGGTTCATCTCCTTCATCTCCTCGGCCTTCTTTGCCTCCTCCTTGGCAGCGTCACCCTTGGGGATGTCTTTACCAGCCTCCTTGTCATCTTTGCTGGGAGCAGGTCGTCCGCCCTTGGCTTTGGTTGGACCCTGCGCGAAGTCAACGAGCCGACATCGATGAGCCTGACGACTCCAATCACTCCACAGCTCAGTGTACGCGCCCACTCACCCCCTGCTTTTCGAGGTCTTCTGAGATCTTCTTGTTCTTCTCCTGCAGTTCAAAGAAGCGCTTGTACATCTCACGCAGGCACTTTTGCTGGTGGTCATCGAGGTTGCCTAGCAAGCAGACAACCAAGTAAATCGCCAGGAACAGCAGCGACGTCGATTCAAAAGACCTTGTCAGTCGTTGAGACTACTTCGAGCACCTCATTCTGATGCGCGCCCACTCACCTCTGTATCCAGGCAGGACCTCCTCGCCATCGAAGTTCTTCTGAGTCGACATCGTGGGTGAAGATGACTTACAAGAGAGCAAGGATGGTGTTGTGGTGTGTGTGCGCGCCGGCTAATCTGCCTTTGCCTACTTTGTTGAGCCTACTCGCCGCCGGAGGGTGGAGTGATACGAATGGAGTGGATGGTATAAAGGTGCTTGCTCGCCAAGTGTGTGCTGCCTCCCCGCTACAAATTCGTCGCTGAAGGGATATGTGGAGAGCAGCGACAAAGGGCAGTGGAGTGATGGTAGTGAAGAGAAGGGAGTCAAGGAGGACGAGGGCGTGCGGAGGACGGAAAGCTTTACTAAAGCGACAGACTGGGTGGGAGCGAGCGAGATCGGGGCTGGGTTGGGACTGCTCTGGGGTCGGTCGCTCGAAGCAAGCAAGCAAGGGCAAAGCAGAGCAAAGTAGCTTGTGAGTGCGTGCAATGGGCGCCGCCGACGTAGACGTCTTGTCTGCCCTTCTGCTCGCCGAAGTGTCTGTGCTCGCCTTCTGACGCACTGGATCACTGTAGAGCTGGCCGTGCATCATCGTGAGGAAGTGGATGCGTGCGAAGGCTCGGCTCGCATGTGCGGAGAAGGAAGGTGGGGCAACAGGCACACGACGAGTGAGGGCTAAGAAAGCGGGCCCGGATCATTCACTCAGCATCGCAGCGCACCGCGGGCTGAGAGACAGCGAAGAGAGAGAGCAGGCCAGACAGGACCCAGGGCTGCAATGCGGCTCTGCTTTCTCCTCTCAACTCAATCGGCCGGACGCCGCGCCCTCTCGCCCTATTCGATTGCTTTCAACGGCCATGAGAATGGACGGCAAGAGCCACGCTAGGACAATCTGAAGCGGTCCGCGGCGGCGACAGAGCATGTTAATGAGCTGATCAATCTGTGAGACATTTCGTTCCGTGCGCCCAGCCCGCTGGAACCGGTCGCACAAGCAGGCGTAAGGCGTACATCAGTGCCGGCCTAAACGAAGGCGTCAGTGGTATCAGCGGCAGCAGCGGAATGAAGACAAGCGGGCGGTCCTCGTCAGCATGGCAGAGGGGAAGAGATCAGACTCGAGCTTAGCGGCTGATTGCTAGCCAATGGCTACAGCCTCTCTTGTCGTAGCGTGGGGTAAAACGACATCACGGCGGGGATGGCAGCACACTGTGTGCTCTCTCCACCCTTTCCGCCTTTCGGTCCCCGCGATCGTCCCCGCGCTCGCCAATGACACCGTCACAGTTGCCCTAGGCTCGCTGCCCTAGCCTCGCCTGGCTTCGATTGCTCCAGTACCAGGCAACGGGCGCCCCGCTCCCGGCAGAGGCCTTGCGAGCCGAGAGATCACAGACGCCTGCCCTGATTTGATTGCGATTGCGCTTTGTTCGTGTGTGAAATCTTCGATGGCTTGGCTAGCTTGGCCGATCGAGGCGCCTCAGTGCGGGACTACTTCAAAGGAATGGTGAAGACGATGAAAGGGTATCATTAGTAGTCAACGAAGGAGCCGGATAAAAAAATGTTCCTTGAAGAAAAGATAAAAGGGGTCGCAATGAAGTAGAAGAAATGGTCCGAGGGCTTGTGGCGCCGTGGACGAGATAAGGGAAGCAGAATTGCTTTGCTGCGACCATTGTACGCTCCTCGTCACAGCCACACCCTCCTCTTGAGCCCCTCGATCAGTCCTCCGAACAAAGGAGCCTGCGCCTTGGCCTGCTCGAGCGTCTGTATCGGCTTCGTCCTAATGAAGCCCTCACCCTCAACCTCGTTATCCTTCTTCTCGCTCTCCTCAGACCCGCCATCAGTGTTTGCCTCAACATCCTGAAGCGAGCAAGCACCCGTAGCAGCGCATTCCTCAGTCAACATCTGCACGATCGCCTCTACGATGTTCTTCGACGTGAGGTCAGCGTGGTCCTCTGGCGCTGAGCGGGTGACACGGGAGGAGCGAAGCGTGCTTGCTGTACTTTCGACGCTGCTGGTGCTGATCGTTGATGCCGTGACGTTGCTTTGTTTCTGCTTCTCGGCGGAGAAGCAGACCTTTCCACCGCCGAGTTTCCACCGCGAAGCCTGGCTCTCCTTCGGAGTAGGAGCCGTAGCAGCAGCCACGGGCGGGTCGCGCTCCCTCTCCAACGTCCCGCTGAACTCATCCGCCACGGCTTTGAGGCAGATGAAATTTTCCCCTTTGCCCTTCTCCTTTACCGCAGGCGGTACATTCTTGATACTCGCCACATTGACCCTTGTATCTTGTCTGAGGTAGTAGACCACGAGACCCCAATGCTGCTCGCTCCACACGCCTTCCTTAGGGCTCAGGATGTATTCTCCCTTTTGCAGAGCAGTGATGTCCCCGAGGAGAATGCGGGAGTACTCGCTCAGCTTGTCCGCCGTAAAGTCATAGGCGCAGATGTAGAGGGACTTGTTGGTGAGGAGGACGACCTTCTCTTCCAGCCGAGTGGACTGTACGCGATTCGTCTCGTGCGGGGAGAAGAGCGTCCAGCCGCCAATGCGGATCTCGCCTTCGTCCTCGGCGGAGACCTTGTTGTCGCCCTCGCCATCGCTCTTGCCGCTGTTGGTGCTCGGAGCCAGCACCATTCCCGCGCACGTCTCGATGGCCGCGGCCCTCACTCGCGCGAGCCTGACCTCATTGGAAGGATCGACACTTTGCAGCTCCTCGCCATACTTCTCAAGCCCGCTCAAGCTGAGCTCCCCATAGACAAAGGAGATGACCGTCTGCCTCCAAAAGTCCGTGACTGCTCCCTGCACCAAGCGGTAAACGCTAGCCGTCGCGTCATTGAATACTCCTGTCCAATTGCGCCTGCCCGTCCGGGTGAAGTCCCCCTTGAGGGCACGAGAACCGGCGTAACATTGCGAGATCTGGTCACCGTTGTTCGCCCAGGCGTCGTTGAATGCGTAGTCGAATGCGGGATTGTCCTTCGGTTGAACGGCAATGCCTAGGCTCGCGAGCTGGGAGAGTAACATGTGGCGCCCAAAGGCAGAAGCCGCTACGCCTGATCTGTCAAGACAGTCGAGGCAGGAAACACGGAAGGTGCCGAATTGCTTGGAGAGTAGGCCATCTGGGGACGACGATGACGATGAGATCGTCGGAGGCGTGCCGGCAGTGGTGGTCGTGCTGACGCCTCCCGACGAGCGCCAGAAGAAGCCCATCTCTTGTAGCGTGTCGTCCAACCTCTCAATGAGCCGGCTCACATTCTCGAACTTCATACCCGCGCACTCCTTGTGGAAGTCGAAGGCAAGATACTTGACCTTGTCATCCCTGAGTTCTTCTACCCCTTTCTGATAGGCAGCCGTAATCTCCCCTTCCTTGCCGGACTGCTCAGCAAGATTCACGCATGTCACCTTCCCATAGCGCTCGACTTGCGCCTTGAAGTGGGCAGCGAACGCGCGCTTATTCTCTTGGGATGAGCGCTCGAGGATGGGGGGTGGCTTGAGGCTAAAGGGGGATTGCGACCAGTAGAGAGGGATAGACCCTCTGAACTGTACAAAGGAGAAGAGGTGCGTCTGCTCCTCGCGGTGGACCAAGAGGACCTGCTCTGTCTCTACGTAATTGGCTACTTGCCCATCGGAATTAACGCCGCGACGCTGGTAGCGAAGCCCCGGTCTCTCACGGCTGCGGCGCGAGATGATCATCAACTGCGCACTGCTGTCAGCCTCGCCGCCGCTGCTGGCAGGAAGAGGCAAGCTGGACGTCTGGAAATAACCCTGCATAAGTGGCAAGACGAGGCTGTGCGCACCCGCAGCAATGAAGTCGCGGAGCATGTGCTCGTTGTGGAAGAAGCGGCGATCCACTCGTCGCCAGAGAGGCAAGGTGGGACGCGGCTCCTCAAACGGCGGCAGAGAGCTGCCATTGCTAGAGGGAGCGGTGGGCTGCGGCGCCGTCTTACCTCCATTGGCCTTGACTAGCTGCTCATGCTTGCGCTGCAGGGGAGTCGTGAGGTCAAAGTCGTACGAGAAGTAGAGCTCTCCACGCGCAAATTGGCGGGTGGCCTCCTTGACTAGCTTGTCCTCCAGCTCGGCCTTGTTCGCATCGTGCATTGCCTCTTCCTCCTTTGACGACGACGATGCTGCTGCTGTGGATGCTGGATCATGCGTAGCTTCATTGGTGACCTCTGCGTGTACTGAGTCTGGCTGTGCAACAGGCGCGTCCGGACCTACAGTCCCTTGCTCTCCGAGCTTGCCAGTCCCAATCTGCGCCTCCGAAGCTGACTTTGCCCCAGCATGGGATAGCCACTTTTTCGAGTCGCTCGCCCGTAGCGTAGACGTATTCCGTGGATCGATGCCGGTGTCGCTTCGAGAATTGGACATGATGAAGGACTCGCGCGTGACAATGGATGGCGTCTGGACATCTGAGTCGGGATCCTCCTCGTCCTCCTCGTCGCTATCCTCGCCTGAAGAAGTCGCTGACGAGGAGGAGGAAGACGTAACAGTCTTACCAGGCGCTCGTTCTGCCTCCTGCTTCAATACCCTCTCTGCCCCATCCTTGGTCAGGGGGATGCCCAAGACTCCAACGCATCGATAGACTGGCCTGCTCGCGTGCAAGAAGTCGCCGCTATGCTCTCGTCGGGTGATGACGAGCAGGTACGAATTCTGGAAGAGCTTGAGTTTACCAACGATCCCGTAGCATTCGATTGTACATCCCTTCACTTGGGACTTGAGGCTCGCATTGAGCTCCTCTGCCTTCATCTGCTCCACATTGGCATCGCGACTCCACCGCAGCCTTGCACCGGTGGCCGTTGCTGGGGATTCTAGACCTGTTGCTGCAGCGTCTGCTGAGGGCTGTTTGCGATGACCATGGTGATGGTGGTGATGGCGGGGTACAATGAGCAATCCATCAGGGGTGACGTGAAGGGAGAGCTTGCGGTCAGGAAGTGGAGGAGTGAAAGGGGGCAGGGCCAAAGGATCCTTGTACGATGACGATGGGGAGGACGTCGGCGAAGAGGGAGATGAAGGAGAGTTCGCTAGCTTGGCTGATGAGCGGGAAAAGAAGGCCTTCATTGCGGCCGAGAGTGGTAGCAGCAGGAAGTGAAGGGAGAGGAGAGGAGAAATGGACGGCTGACTCCATCGAGCGACGAGAGGAAGCGGGAGCCGACAGGGGCTAATCGCAGCCCATGGCTCGTGCGCATGGCCGCCTCAGCCGCTATAGAAGCCGCCCTCGACTTCGATGGTCGCTTGACGATCCCTTGATGACGACGATGAAGATGCTTGATGAGCCACTGCGGGACACGAGGAGACAGATACAAGTACATTGCAATTGCGGCCGGACACCATCATCGCATGCGCTTCGCCGGGCTGCTGCGCCCAGAAGGCTCCTCATCCTGCCCTTCCGTCTTGACATTCCCCTCACCGCTACCCACTGAAGGCCCGGCTCCTGCTCCTCCCTTTCTCTTAGCGGCGCCCTCCTGACCGCCCTCCTCTCCTGATGCTTTGCTGTCCTCCTGCTTGTCAGGTCTACTCGCCCTCAACTCTCCAGCCAAACGTTGCAGAGCCTGCATAGGTCCCAAGGTATTCTGCGCCGCGTAGTCCATCAAGTCCCTCAGCTGACAGACCGACTCAGTGATCTCGAGGCAGCGCATGGCTCGCAGCGTCATACCATACTCGTTGACCGGGTTCTCTGGCATCGACCAGCGCTCCACAGGGTGCGTGATGCGTGGCCGTTCCCGATCCCGGTCGTCCTCTCTTGAGGAGGAAGAAGGCTTCTCGTCCTCTGCTCCCGCTTCCTTTGAGGTCTTCTTGTCATCCTTGCTCTTCGATCCGTTCTTGACGTCTCCACGGATCTTTGCCACGACCTCCTCACTGACCACCTGCTCAACCACTCCCCTCTGTATCTTCGCTCGCGGCACCAGGCTGCTCCAGTCCTTGATGATGAAATCCAACCACTGTAACTTCAGCGCCCCGCCGATCGTCGTGAAGCCCGCCCTCATCACTCCACGCTGTACGACTGTCCAGCCGCTCTCGTACTCGATGTCCATCCGAGCGCGATCTACTTGGACAAAGTGAGAGGTGCGTCCGGTGGGGATACCAAGCGAGCAGCCTTTTACTGCGGGTGGGTCGGTGACTTTGCTAAGCTGGTCACAGGGATATTCACGGGTGGAGGAAAGGGAGACATAGTGGGAGGAGACGCCCGAGAGGTGGACGGTGTGAAGGTATCGTGGGATGACGGGTGTGGGGAGTTCTGCGGCAAAACGGCGAAAAGAGTGACTTGGGGTTAGCTCGCTAAGGCCAAAGCATACGCTGCCAGGCGGTCTCTACGTACCAAAAGACCTCTGCTCCCTAGTAGACGGATTGAAGGCAATGAAGCGAAAGACGCCATCAGGCGCGTAGAAGGTATGCGTCAATGAGCGCCAGAAGTTGAGGTCGTGAATCTCATGGGCATGCTGGGACTGCGAGTGCAAATCAGAGGGACAAAAAGTCAGCTCAAATAAGTCCACATTTGTCGCTCGCGATACTCACTTCTTTGCCAGCGAGCGCATCAAAGTACTCGAGCAGCCTGAGGGTCGCATACCCTGCCGGAACGCTAGGCTGAGGCGGAGGCAAGGCAGAGGTCGAGGCGATGCCCAAGCTGTTGGCCGATTGAGTGGGCATGAAGCCTAGCGAGCCGCCTGCCGAGCCTCCGGCGGATGGAGGAGGAGGCATCATCGCCATGATGGGCAGCGATGCCGCTCTGGCTGAGAGAAGGACGAGATGTGTGGATGGCGAAAGGAAGCAAGCAAGGCTACGAGCGAGATGACAGGACGGAAGGACGGACGCGCCAATCTCGAGGTCTGGAGTCGATCGCGGAGAGAGTCGAGACGAGCGAGTGGAAGGCGGGGGGAGACGAGTGGGCCCCCACGCCGCGCCTCACTGCCAAATCCATGAGGCCACACCGCCATAGCAAAGGCATCTCTCGGAGGACTTGAGGGCATGAATGCAGTTCGAAATATCGATGCCGAGTCGAGCGAGTGATGGCTATTAACAAGTAGAAAGATAGGGAGGGGATGACAGGTAGTACGCACGCGCCTATTCGTAAAGACCCCGCTCTTCTTGGGTATCGGACGGGGTGGCCAGGAGCAGCAAATAATCGGTGAAGACTCGACGATGGTGATGAGGGCCTTCGTAGCAACCTCTGAGGTGCATGCCACACACTTGCTCACGTGCCGCCACCCCTGTGGGCCACGCTACTGTGTTGCTCAACCTACTCTACGATGACTCCGCCTTGCTTCCCCTCTGCCTCCCCTTCGCCATCAAAGTAGCTTCTCATCTCCCCCTCAATAACCATCTACTGCTGGAGCACTTCCCTTTCCGCTTTCCGCGGTGCGTTCCGAGCCGAGCTGGACGCTGAAGCCGTGCTGGGTGAGGGGGCCATTGAGCTGCTGTAGTTCGCCACGGTGAGCGTGGAAGAGTGCGGATCGCGGCTGGGTGAGGGTAAGAGGGACGATGAGCGTGGCAGCACTGGGAAAGGGTGGCGTGTAGAGGGTGAGGAGAGGTTGACTGATCGTTGAGGGTATTGATGAACTGGCGAATGCACGGCAGCCGTCGAGGCCTCCGCCGTTGAGGACGAGGAGGAAGAGAGGTGGGCTGGCCTGGTAGGCAAAGGAAGTGTCGACGTCGCTGACGATGAAGCCGGTGCAGCTGGCGGAAAGACAGAAGAAACACGCCTGCCATCCTTGATGGGAGGCGAGGGCAGCGGTGCAGTCAGAGAAGACTCAGCTCTGCCGCTGCTCAATGCTCGTTCAGGCGGTGCAGGAAGACGGTGCGCCGGTGGACTCGAGGATGCGCCTTGCTGTTGGCTCTGTCCGTGCACCGGCCGAGTAGCTTCATCGGCGGGCTCTTTACTCTCAGTCCGAGGCGAGGCCATCTGAGGCCGAGAGTAGAAGAAAGGCGGGGGGGCTGGTGCTCGGGTGACTTGCTGAGGATCAACGGGGCTTGTCGCCGTCGTGGAGGTGTTGAAGCGATGGTTGTGGCTCTGTGAGGGTGGAGAGGTGCTCGACGAGGCAGTAGACGTTGCTGGTCGACGGAGCTTCGACATCTCCACAGGCTTGAGTGAGTCCATACGCGGGAAGTAGGAAGACCAGCGTGTGGTCGCGTTGGCAGTGCCCGAGCCTGACATCGCCGCTACATGTGACGAGTCTACGGCAGTGACGCCAGTACGAGAGGGCGATGTCGCATGATTGCTCGCTAGCCCCGCCATGGACCTGGGCGTTGGTGTCGTGGAGCTTGACCTCCTTGCAGCGTCGGCAACCTCCTGCAGCATGCTGGACGAGCCTCCGAAGCCAAAGGAAGGGATACGCAATCTCTTCGTAGCAGCGGTCGCTCGGCGACTCCTACTGCTCGCGCTACCTATACTACTGACCATACTGCTCCCTGAGGACGAAAAGGGGCGGCGTGCTTGTGTTGGAGCAGGCTTCAACTGTTTGGCACTGACGGAGGCTTCATGGCCCTGCTTGGATGGCAGCGGCGGTGGTTGCATGCTGCTAGCAGGGGAGGCGGGGAGGCGTTTGTGCCTGCCGACGCTGCCAAAGGAGGACAGTGAGGAGAGGGAGAGCTGAGTGAGCCGACCATGAGGCTTGGCCGCTACTGCTGGACGCGAGAGCATCCTAGATGCCGCCGGATCGGGCGAAGCCGACGAGGATGGGAGTGTAGCATTCACTTGATGATTTCTCTCGACAGGCGAGGGCGCATCCGAGCGATCCGATCTCCTCCGGCCTCGCGGGAGAGCCGCAGGTAGCGAGGGGAAGCTGCGCGAAAAACTGTCCTGCTGCTTCGCCCGATGAGTAGAACTCGAGTGGGAACTGCTGGCCCCACCGAGCGTATTCACGTCTGAGGAGACGCTGCTGTTGTGCTTCATCATCCTACGACTGAGGAGAGGCGCAGCGGTAGCCTCACCATGAGCCTGCAGGCCTGGTGGAACATTCCCGCTGGTCGCTGAGCCGCGGCGAGCGCTGACATCCTGGTGATGGCCTTCATTCGGAGATCGACAGCTCCCTGCACTCGTCTCAGATGGGGTCTGCACTCCATGCCGCCGCTGACCGTCACGCCTCTCCTCCTCCCCGCTCTCCCTCTCATCAAAGCTAGGCCTGATGTTATCCTGCAACAATGGCGGCAGAGAGAAGAGCATCGAGCCTCGCTTGTAGTCGCCGCAGCCGGAAAGAGATCCCGTGCCGCTCCTCTCAAGATGCTGCAGCTCGGGGCTATCGTAGCCAGACGCCTTAGAGGCTTCCTCGACTGGCTCTTCGCAGAGCAAAGGTATAGAAGAGGAAGATACAACATCCGCCGTGCCCAAGACTGCATGTGGGCGAGGTGTCGTCTCCCCCGATGCCGACTCCAGCTGCGGCACCGAGGAAGAGGAGTTGGCGGGACGTTCTTGATACTCTGCTGCTGCTGTTGCTGCTCGATCTTCGAAAAGGACGTCCTCGTGATAGGCCTTGCGCGAAAGGAAAGCCCGCTCAAGCTGGCGCGAGATGAACGACGAGGCCGCTGATCGAGACGAGAGCTCGCTGCGTCGTACAGAGCGTTCCGATGTTGCAAGGTTTGCCTTTGAGGGCAGGAGCTCCTCGATCATCTCGCTGAATCTGGTGCCGCCTGCACGCTCAGCTGGGCACTCGACCTCATCTTTAGCGACGCGATGTGAATTCTCTTTCTCCGGCGCCACGTCTTCGCATGAGCGAGAGTGAGGACGAACGCGATTAAGCATGTGGCCTCCCTTTGAGAAATGAGAGGCAGCCTTCTGCAGGCGCTTGCCCAGCCAATGGCTTGAGCCGGTCGAAGCCAATGATGACGACGTCGCCATCGCTGCTTCGGAGCGAGAACTCACGGCTAAGCCGGCTGAGAGCCCGTCGAAGTAGCCGGCCGGGGATGAAGGGGAAAGCTCGAGGCCGTCGCTCTGCGAAGTGGTGAGCTCTTGCGGAGAAGCGCAGAGGACGACGTCGTTATCCATTGAGGATTGAGACGCATGAGCTTGAGCGGGCGGCATATCGACGGGCAGACTGCCAGGCGAGAGTCGACGAGGAAGCTCAACCTGCAGCATCGGGTTCACGTCTTCATGCCCGTGCGGCGTGCTCTGCTCACTCTTGAGCGCGGCTGCCGCTTCCTGGATGACAGTACTGAGCGATTTGCCGCCGAGAGATAGGCGACGTAGCTCCTTGAGATTGGCAGTGACGGGTGGGATCTCTTCTCCCCGGAGGGAGAGGGGTCGCAGAGAGGGGTCGGCGAGTAGAGTGGGGCCGCAATCATTCCGACGAAGCGGGAGAAAGTAGGGGTGGCCACCATCCGAGTGGGCATGAGCGCTCAAGCTCTCAGATATGTCGATCAGCTCGGCTGTGTGGTCTGGGCTTCTGCCAAAGGCGAGGTCAGTACTCAGGTCGGAGCGCAGCTGGAAGCCCGCGTTCGAGTTGGACAGGTCGAAGTTGGAGGTGGAAGAGCTCCAGCGTGAGGCCACGAGGCGATCGGGCGAGAAGTCGCCGGGAGGTGGCGAGTTGGATGGGGCGGCGGAGGCCCGCGCGTTAACTAAGGACGTCCAGCGTTGGATTGCGCTGCCTCGCACTGCTTCGTGATGGGCAACAGCAGATGCCGCCGTGGGGCAGCGTGAGGCGAGCGCGGAGGACACCGGAGGGAAGCTGAATGCTCTGTGCCGGCCAGGGGGTGCCGCTGGCGAGTCGGCCTCTGTCATCGTGATCATTGAGTCCGGCCTATTGAGCTCGTGTTGAATCATTGATCCCAGTACGCGAGTGCCAGCTGGCGTACCTTGATAAGATGACGACGAGGGAGAGAGCAAGATGTCATCGTTGGTAGGTAGAGTTGCTGAAGTCGCCTTGCGAGGCGTTCCGAGCACTGTAGACAGAGCTGGTGGCGAGGAGACTGGGGTGCGTAGAGAGTCGAACTCCACGACCACATCGTCGCCGGTCTGGGGCAGAGGCGGAGAAGGCAGCGACTTGTGTGAAGTCGCACGCTCAGACGAAGCCTCACATGAGCTGAGCACGTCATCTTTCTCCTGGTCTTCATCTTTGCTGGCTGCCTCCTCCCTCTCGACGTCCTCTGAGATGCGACGCAGTGACGGCTGAGCGCTGATGGTGCCGCCGTGCGAGGATCGTGAGGCAAAGTCGTCGTCTGAGGACATGCGGCGTAGAGGATTGGAAGCTGATGCGGCGACGGGTGAGGGGATCTGCACAATTCGGACCTTGTCTGAGCCGGTGCTGCTCCCGCTGCCACCGCCTAGGTTAAGGTAGCGACCGGAGTGATCGATGAAGTGAGAAGGGATGACTGTTCGGTGGCACGGTAAAAGAGAGAAGGAAGCGAAGCAGAGGCGGAGAGCAGACGCGCGTCAGCCCGCACGGCCCATGTTCGCGTTGCTCGAGACATTGCTTTCTCCTCCTCGATTGCACACTTACCACCTTCAGCCGGCGCAAGACGCGAGAGAGCGCTTTCAAAGTCGCCCTGTGCAGGCGACTTCTGCCTTGCCTCGCGATTCTTGCCGCTTCGAAAGAGCATCGTCGGCTCCTCGTCGTCTGGAGACCACTGACTCGTTAAGGGCACGTCGTAGATGAACGGCGCCTGGGGCTGGCTGCTAGCCCGAGACGATGGTGAGGGTACACCATTCGTATCCTTATGCGACCAGTCCCTGACTAAATCGCGGAACTCTTCTTCGGCACGCGTGAGACTCTTCTCGGCGGTTTTCGTGGGAGATGAGGACGATGCTGCGAGGTCCGAGGTCCCGCAAGCCGTAAGACCTGGCGCTGTGGAAGAGGACAGAGAAGAGGAGCGCAGCCCGGACCTGCCGACTGGAGGAATGGGACTTTGCGCTGCTGACTCGACGCTGCTCTCCGCCATGAGGTGGTCGCCCATGTCATCCTCGTGAGATGCGCCGCTGCTCGACGAGGAAGACGCAGAGGAGGTGCGTAGTGAGGGCTGGTGTGGCTGCGCAGAGCTATTCGTATTCGAGTCTAAGCCGGGCAGAGCAGGCTCAGCCCTGCCATTGACGAAATTCTGAGCAGCGGCAGAGATGCCACTGCCATGAAGTCGCACGACACAGCCTGGGCAAAGACCACCACTGGATGCCTTGGCCTCTAGCATCGCAGTCAATGCCTCCTTCGCAGTCTGGACCGCTACATCAGCTTTGATGATTCCTTCAAGGGCGGCAAAGAGGCCGAGTTGATATCGGTGGTCGCGAGAATGGGTTTCACCATTGATCTCGGGTGGTGAAGAAGACGACGGCGAGGAGGGAGAAGGTGATGTCTGGTTTGGATTCGACCGCACATTACTGTATTGGGTATGGAGCGACTCGACAGACCATGAACTGTGGGGCAAGCCGCGCAGTGAAGGGCGACTAGACTGGCGAGTCGGCGGATGACCGGGAGTTTGGCCGTCACTGTGGCGCAGACCATACCCGGTAGGCGTGGACGCCTGGTCGCTGTCGGACTCATTTGGATGTTGGTCCTCTGGTGGTAGAGGCGTTGAAGGAGCGATGATCTCGACTGACTGGGTCTCAGAAGCGATTGACGTCTCGACTTCCCAGAAGCTGGGATCATCGACGGAGGTGCGAGGCGGGAGCTCTGATCCTTGGAAGAGGTCCGAGACGTCCAGTCGGGATGAGGCGGCCCGGCTCAACGTCTTCTCGTTGTCGCTCGAGATGGCGTGCAAGGCAGCGTGCTCTTGTCTGCTGTTTACCCCGTCCACGCTAGCCATTTTTATGCTTCGGCTTCGTTGAAAAGGCTGGGGATACGGCGTAGGGAGCAAGACGAGCAGCGGCTATGCGTGAAGGCCCGTCGATCCGTCGATACCTGCCAATGGCGCAGAGGGCACGGATCGCAATACCGCAGGGCGGTGAGTCAAGTCGTATCGAAGCGCCCTGATAGCAGTTCCGTACCATCCTCGTCGTCAGCCGCGATTGCTCTCGCGCCACGGCAGAATCACAGCGGCTTCATATCGATCCGCCAACTTCGACTTCCTCACCCGCCTTCAAGCTGCGTATCTCGCAGTGCTCGCAGCCTTCGCGCTGCAAAGCCTCTCGGGCCTGCTCATCGCTCGTCCCTTGGCGGGATATAATCTTTCCCACCAGCCCTCGGGCCGCCTTGTGCTCATCATGTGTGCGAAGGATGAGCGTGGGCACGTATGCCTGACCGCCTGTGAAGCACGAAAGGGCCGCTTGGTGGAAGCCGAGCGCAACGGGGCCCGTGGCGAGACGGAGGAGCGGCAGGGTCTGGCGGTCGAAGGATTGGATGAGAGTGCGGCAGTGGGCTTGAGATAGGGCGTGAGGGATGGACCTTCCGAGGATGCCGTGGGGTGAGTAGACTACGGCGCTTTTGTCCCAGATGATGGCAACGCCGCCGTGTAGGTCAGCCCAGGCCGGGCCATGCGTCCAAGGTGACTCTTGAGCAGGTAGACGGAGCAAGCGGAGGCCTGAGGGGACGTCGTCCTGCTTGTGCGAGGTGATGGAGTCAAGGCTGTCACCGCGGTCTCTCAGCTCGTCCATAAGATGTAGCTTGAAGGCTTTGCGTTGGTCGGCCGTCATCTTCTTGCCATTCAGCAGATTCGCCACGGCCTGGAACGATTGCGGCGTGCAGAAGATGTCAATGGGACGACTCTGGTCGATGAGCTCGCATAGCGTTTCAGGGTGAGCATGATCGCTGAACGGATGACTGATCAGGATGGCATCGATGCCGCCTGCCCCCTTTACTTCAGCTCCATTGCCTTCAGGCTTCGAGATGCGCTCTCGAGCGGCAGCTTCGAGCGTTTCGTTGGCTAGAGACTGGGAAAGGGCAGACAGGCTGGGGAATGAGGCAGTCTCGACGCGTGTCTGCGCTGAGAAGAGGGGATGGTAGTCGACCTGCTGGCTCGTCGAAAGCCATGGGTCGATGAGCTAGCGCCGCGAGCAGGCAAGGGATGTGTCAGCCAGCCGCAGCTCTAGAAGAAGAGGCGCCACGGGCAGCCACTGACGAGATTGTAAGTCTTTGCATCGTGGCCGACGTGGATCTGCAGCAACCACGTCGTATCGCCATTGAGCTTCCTGAGGTTGGCCCGCTTCGATGCCTCCAAGCTTGAAGGCGGCATCTTCTTGGAACCAGAATGGCTAGCTGTGCTCGCTCCACGGCCGGCGTCGTGATTCTAGTCGATGATGTGTGTGAGCTTCAGGCGTGCGAGCGAGCTAGCAAGTCGTTGAACACCAGCGGCGGCGGAGCGTTGAGCCGGTGCATCTGCGTCTTCGTTGAGCGTCATGCCACGATGCGGTGCGGCGGTGCGACGGACCAAGCGAGACTAGGCAGACGAGACCCGTTCACGGAGCTCGGGCAGAGGCAGGGAGCTCTTTCGAGCGAGCTTTTGGACCCTTGCTGCGCCGACTGACCGAACGACAAACTGGTCGCTTCGAAGGCGCAGCGAAGCAGAGGCAGGGCAGTGGCAGGAAGCAGGCAGGGCTAAGCCAAAGCTGAGGCAAGACGGCTTGCAATGCATCCACGCCGACTCGCGCTCAGGCTGAGCGCCGCATCGTCCAGTTTTACTCTAAGATGATCAAGAGACGCGGTGCAAACGGGTCGAGAGCGATGAAATGACGCTCTTCGCCAGCAAGCAAACAGAACAGATGACCTCGAATCGATGGCTCGATGCCATGCTACTCCGAGGCACGAGAAGGCTTGGGTTGGCCTGGCTTGGCCTGGCTTGGCCTGTCTGTGATCGTGGCGCCCCGCCCTTCGTGATGAGAAAGAGCAGCCCGCGTCGACGACGGCTATTGTGAGGTGAGGTGAGGTGAGGTGAGGTGAGCTCCCGTCGTGAGCCAAACAGACCAAGCTGATGAGAGAGTGATGCAGTGCCACTTCCTCGTTTGGCTCGTCTTCCCATCGCGCGGCGATGTTCGTGGCGTGTCGTCGCTCGCTGCTCGGCGTCTGCGTTTGTGCGTCGCGGCCGGCCGCCCGGCAGCTCAGGGGCGTCGCCCAACGACAAACGACGAGCTGCAGCTCCAAGAGGGAGGGCAGAGAGAGGGAGGACGAGTCGTCCTCGATCAGCAAGCAGAGACAGAGACGAGACAGACACGAACGGCCCGGCGACTACCTCTCACTACCTGGCTGCCATTACTACCATCACCACCACAGCGACGCCCTTGTCGACCTCGTTCCTTTTCTCCGTGTTCACAGCGAGACGACTTTGGCTTGCTCCTGCCCCCTCTTACTCTCCTTCTTTTTCCTACAAGGCTGTCGCCTCCCTTACAAACGTCGATCAACGTCGGGTGGCGCTCCCCTCTCTTCCTCCTCCTCCCTCCTTCCTTGTTTGTTGCCGCCGAGCCTCGAGTGGTTTGAGAGGTTTCACCACCTTCACTCCTCACTCTCTTTCTCTCTGCGGTCTACCTAGAGTCTACACCTCGGACCCTCCTCCTTCGGTGCCAACCGGGCTAGATCAGCAGCAGGTGCGTACACGGGAGCAGCGCGCATGTTATGATGTGCATGGTGCTTGGCTACGAGAGGAGTGACGGACGGACAGACGGTCGGTCGATCTGGCCGGTCGCCCTGAATCAAATCGCGATGAAGCGCGGTCGCGGCGTTACCTCCGCCGTAGCACGTCGGTGCTGTCGGATCTTGATGAGATGAGGGGGCGGGTCCAGGTCGTCCGTCGCAAATGGCTCTGCTGAGGGCGACGCCGACAGCCCTGAGTGAAGGCAAACAAGGGTTGTGGCCCCGCCGCCGTTGCTCTTGGTAGTGCTGCGACAGGCAGAGACAAGCGCTGGTCCCGCGACCAATCTCGTCTTCCCTTTTCATGACCATCACCAACGCTTTGCTCGATACCTCTGACCCCTTTTCATGCAGCTGACACCGACCTCGTCTTCTTTACCACCACTGCAGTACAATTGATACGACGGTCAATCAACGACACCACCACTCTCCCTTCACCGTCCTCTCTTTCATCGATCGCCTTTCGTTCAACGAATGCAGCGAGTCTGAGAGATAGCGACAACAACCCATCACCTATCCTCGCCCCGTCGCCATGAACCCCTTTGAACAGGGTCCGTACGACTCGAGCGAGCAATATCGCCCGCAGTCGAGTCAGCAACGGCAATCACCTCCGAACCAGCACTCCTCTGCTTCATCATCCTCTTCTCATCCCCAGCAGCAGCACCAGCAGCAGCAGCAGCGTGGTGGCCCACCTCGATACAATGATCTGCAGGGAGGCAGCTTCAATCAGTATGCCCAGCAGGGACCACCACCGCAGACTTCGTCCTCCGGCGCTCGAGCTGGTGGCGTCTCGTTTCAGGTGCCGCCACAGCGCCCGCAGACTCACCGAGCTACAACGTCGAGGGACTCGGTCAAGAAGGACCTGTTTGGCAACGGCGCCAATGCTTCCGCCAGTACATCAGATCTCCCTGAGCTCAACCGAGGCAACAGCAGAGACCCAGAGGCCGGTGGCGGTGGCTTCTCGAACTCGGACTTCAAGAGAAAGAAGTCGCTCGTTCGTCCTGACCGAGAGCGCATGGACCCCAACCACAGGCAATGTGAGTATATTGACTGAGTCACACGTCGGCCCCACTTGTGTGCAGTAACTGACCTGCATACCCGCCTCACCTTGCAGGGTACTATCGCAACCACGCCGCGCAGCTCGATGCGGTCGATGGCTCAGGTCGACCAGCTCACCACATTGGCTTCATGCCCTCGTCAACGGGTCACATGCCGCAGCATGGAGCTGCTCTCCCTGGCCACGGGATGGGCCACCTTCAAGGCCCTGGAGGCGGTGTGAGCGGTCTCGGCATGATGCAGCACGGCTCGATGCCGCCGAATGGGATGGGTGGACAAGGAGGCCCAGGAGGTCCAGGAGCACCCAACATGCCTCCCGGTGGTCTCGGAAGGGCACCACCTCTTCGTCGAGGCAAGTCCATCTTGGGCCGAGAGGAGGACCAGGTCGAGACGGGCATCAATTTCCTCAAGCGCGGAGTCTCGCTCAAGAGATCCAAGTCGCAGAAGTCGCAGGCTCGCAAGGAAATCCCTCAAGACCTTGGCGACAAGCCTAAGAAGCAGTCTTCCATTGCTCCTGGTCCCGTTGGTCCTTGGATGATCTACTGCTACGCCCTTACCATCTGCTGCCCCGGCCCTTGCCTGGGCATCTTCGGCATCAAGACGCCAGAGCAGCAGCGAGCTTGGCGAGAGAAGATTGGTCTCCTTTCCATCGTCCTCACTTGCATGGCTGCCGTCGGTTTCATCACCTTCGGCTTTACACAGGCGGTGTGCGACACCAAGGCGACCCGTTACCATGCTGGCGAAATTGACGTCGGCTCAATGGTCTTCCACGGCTATGACTTCGACTTCAATCGCTTCTACCATCCTCAGGTCCCTCCCTTCCAGGCTAACGGCCCCATGAATCATACTAACCCCGTCTATTCGGAGCCTTACTCTTCCGGCAAGCTCGATGGCTCGATGATCATGCAGCGAGGCGGTGGAGAGTGTGCTGGCCTCGTCCTGAACCGCGACGGCACCGACGCGACGCAGTTCTATCCTTGTCGCCTCGTGACTCAGAATGGGCAGGCCCGCTACACCAATTCGACCATGTGCCACGCCGACGGTGTCGCGGAGAGAATGCTGGCGAACCAGACGAACGTGCCCGCGAACAGGGCAATTCTGCAAGGCCCCGTCTATTATAATTGGTCGCAAGTCGAGGACCCGACGGCGAATCTTCTCGTGTGGAAGGGAGCCGTTATTGACTTGGGCCGTCTCAACCAGCTTTACACCAACATCACCGTGCCCGATCTCTTCAATACGCTCAAGACCCGCAACGAACGCTTTGCTGGACGCGACGTTACCGCCTCTGTCATCCGCTCCAAGCAAGACCGAACTTTCGACTGCCTCGAGCGCATCGCTCGCGTCGGCTTCATCGATTCGGACTCGATTGGCTGCGTTGCCTCCAAGGTCGAGCTCTACGTGGCCCTCGTCTTCATTCTCGGCGTCGTCGGCATCAAGTTTATCATGGCCGTAGTCTTCGGGTGGTTCCTCTCGTGGCGCATCGGCAACTATGGGAACGAGACGAGGGATCAGAGGAAGAAGCGTCAGGCTGAGATCGAGGCCTGGTCGGACAACATCTACCGTCCTGCGCCGGCCTCTTACCGACCCAACGCTCGCAAGCACAAGTCCTTCTTGCCTACAACGTCGCGCTTCTCCGTAGCCAACCCGCTTGGGCCCAATGGCAAGATCACCGCTCGCACGGCCATGTCTGAGAAGAGTGGTGTGCGATCGCCCAATCAGCGCAAGACTCTGGGCGTCGCGTCGCCTCTCGGTGGCTCGCCGCCTGGATCTCCTTTGCTGCCTGGTGCTCGCTCATCTGCCTCTCTCGTCAACACCAACAATGGCGACCGCAGCGCGCCAATGTCTGCGTGGGGCAACGGCTCGCGACGCAGCTCCTTCAGTGACCCTATGATCGGCGCGATGGGTGCTTGCCCTTGGCCACTGGATCACGTTGTGCCTCAGCCTCCGTCCAACTGGCAGCCTTTCCACTTCCCGCTCGCCCACTCGATCTGCCTCGTCACAGCCTACTCCGAGTCCTTCGAGGGTCTGCGCACCACGCTTGACTCGCTGGCTACCACTGACTATCCAAACTCGCACAAGGTCATCCTCGTCATTGCTGACGGTATCGTCAAGGGCGCTGGCTCCGACATCAGCACTCCAGACATTTGCTTGAGCATGATGAAGGACTTCATCGTTCCGCCCGAGGAGGTCGAAGGCAACTCGTACGTCGCCATCGCAGACGGCTACAAGCGCCACAACATGGCCAAGGTCTATGCTGGATTCTACGAGTACGACGACGAGACCGTGGAGCGATCCAAGCAGCAGCGCGTGCCCATGGTTCTCGTTGCCAAGTGCGGCACGCCCATGGAGGCTGACTCTGCCAAGCCTGGCAATCGAGGAAAGCGTGACTCCCAGGTCCTCCTCATGGCGTTCCTCCAGAAGGTTATGTTCGACGAGAGGATGACGTCCTTTGAGTACGAATTCTTCAACTGCCTGTGGAGGGTAACGGGCGTCTCGCCTGACCATTACGAGATCGTTCTCATGGTCGATGCCGACACCAAGGTCTTCCCTGATTCACTCACTCGCATGGTCGCCTGCATGGTCGAGGACCCTGAGATCATGGGATTGTGCGGAGAGACCAAGATCGCCAACAAGCGTGAGACGTGGGTCACGATGATCCAGGTCTTCGAGTACTACATTTCTCACCACCAGACGAAGGCATTCGAGGCTTGCTTCGGCGGTGTCACTTGTTTGCCAGGATGCTTCTCGGCTTATCGTATCAAGTCGCCCAAGGGAGCAGCAGGGTATTGGGTCCCCATCCTCGCCAATCCGGACATTGTCGAGCACTACTCGGAGAACGTCGTCGACACGCTGCACAAGAAGAACCTGCTCCTTCTCGGTGAAGACCGATTCCTCACGACGCTCATGCTCAAGACTTTCCCCAAGCGCAAGATGATGTTCGTACCTCAGGCAGTCTGCAAGACCATCGTGCCGGACACCTTCCGCATCTTGCTCTCGCAACGTCGTCGCTGGATCAACTCTACGGTGCACAACCTGGCCGAGCTTGTGATGGTCAACGACCTCTGCGGTACATTCTGCTTCTCGATGCGCTTCGTCGTCTTCATGGAGCTCGCCGGTACTCTCGTCCTGCCCGCCGCTATTGCTTTTACCCTCTACGTCGTCGTCTCGGCCATTATTGACGCCGGCAACGGCAAGGAGATTCAAGCCATCCCGCTTATCCTGCTCGCCGTCATCCTCGGTCTCCCCGGTCTTCTCATCGTTGTCACCACGCGCAAGATTGCATATGTGGGATGGATGCTCATCTACCTCATCTCGCTGCCCATCTGGAACTTCGTCTTCCCTTCGTACGCCTTCTGGCACATGGACGACTTCTCCTGGGGCGCTACGCGTGTAGTGCAGGGCGAGACCAAGGGCGGACACGGTGACGCCGAGGGCAAGTTCGATCCTTCCAACATCGTCATGAAGCGTTGGATCGAGTACGAGAGGGAGCGCCGCCTGGCTTCTGGAATTCACTCGCGCGACTCGACGTACGACATTGTTCAGATTGGCTCGCCGGACCGCGCTGGCTCGACGCGCTACAGCACCGTCTCTAGCTCTGTCGGCGGACACAGCGAAGTACCGTCATCCGCTCAAGCGCAGGACCGTCTGCTCAGCTCGTTGGGCTCGCACATGGAGTCGGAGAGCGGCCATGGACGAGGCACAAGCGTGGGCGGTGCTCGCGCTCGTATCGATGCCGTACCCTTGCTCTCGCTCCCTGCCCCACTCGGTGATCCTGCAGCAGCCAAGGCAGTCGGCGGTCCTCATGCTCCTGGCTCCATCACCGTGCCCAGGCCTCGCGACGTCAGCCCGAGTGGCGGAGGTGGCGTTCGCGGCAGCAGCTACGACCCCTTCCCGTCAGCAGGCGCAGACGACGAGAAGCAGCCCATGATGATGCACAGCCAGTCAGCCATGTCCTCTCCTGACCCTGAGCGCCTCAATGCCGCCATGGGTCAAAGCAGCAGCTCCTCGTCTTCTCGTCCTGGCTACACCTCAGCAGAGTTCGCAGCTCATCTCAGCGCCGAGCCCGACGACTTTGCTTCGCCTACCTCGACGCAGGCTCCGACCCTCCCGCAGTCCATTGCGGGCTCTTCGCCACGACCGAGAGAGAATGCTCCTTCGCGCGGCTTCTCACTTGTGGACGATGGGCCGGCAGGCATTGCGCCCAGGGTGGTTCAGCGCGGCGGAGCGAGGAGGATGAGCACGAATGATCAGCCGACGCGCTTCTCTAGGAGTACAGAGGGAGGTGGCAACCACGGCCAATCGACGAATCCTTTCAACCGTTGAGCGGAGCGTGCGATGAATACCCGAACAGCGACACAGGACAATGACTCGACATCACCATTACCACCACGGCTCGTCAGTTCTCCACGGAGCAGGCGAGCATCACCACGACACGAATCCGACTCCTTTCTCTCTCTCGGGACACTACCTCTCACAGCCACGCACGTCGTCGCTCCTTTGCATCCTAGCTACTCTTCTTCTTTGTTCATCCTTTCCCAACGTCTTGTTCCCGCCCGATCAACGCCCTATACACAGCCCTTGACCACCCCGACTACCCCGTAGTCAGACGCTCTCTCTCAACGTCTTGGCCTCTCACGCCTGTCTCTTCTCTCCTCTCTATCGTTCCGACGACGCTGAAATGCCAAGGATCTTTTCCCGCTCCATTCATCTGCTCGTTCGCTCGCTTGCTCTCGGTCGTGTGTCCAGGAATGACGGCACAGGCTAGTTGCCCGGCCATGAGTGGATCCATTAAGCTCGAAGGTATCAGGGGTTGGCTGTCGACAGGAAGCTTAAGCTTAAGTGCGATGACACGACGACGACGCGACGCGAATGACATTGACCTGCCCTTAATGGACGTTCAGTCTAGCGTGTTGTGCTCGATGTGTAGCCAACCGAAGCTCACCGCCTTCTTCAGGATCCTTTCCGTCAGTGACGAGCACACACCATTGGACGGTATCCACGACGACGCGCCAGACTAGCGCGTAGCCACTGTCGGCCGCTCCCCCTCGCCCACCCCACCCGCGCGCGCCGAGTGTGCGTGCGTGCCTCTGAGATCGATTTGTTTGGAGTCTCACATCCTCAGGGCGCGCCACACGTTTTGGCACCTGGTGCAAGAAGAAGCGCAAGAGACGGTGCAACAGGCGTGGTCAGGCAAGAGTCTACCGCACGTAAAAGCAACGCAAGTGGACGCAGTAGCAACGCGTTACGGTACGCTAGGGCGGGCATAGAAGCAAATTAGTGTGGTGCGCTTGATCGAACGAGGAGATGATACCACGAGCTTGGGTAGGGACATGTCAGTCAATCAGTCAGTCAAGGCGGGGCGAGCAGTGGGCCAATGGGCGAGGTCAAGGGCTCATCAGGACCCGTCATCGCTCGTTGATCGGTACGGTTTCATTCATTCCGCGAGGAGGAGGACAAAGGGCGCGAGCGTAAGAGGTCTTCCGGCTATGAGAGGACCGAGCACAGCGCAGACCGTGACGACGACGAGCGTGAGTGGGCGTGAGACGGGACGCCATGCCATCGTCGAGGGGAAGAAAGGCTCTGGCTTCACTAGGCGAGCAGGTTGTGAATCGAATCGACGTCAACGAGCTCCTCGCGAGCCAAGTGGCTGGCTGGCCGGCTGGCTGGCTGGTTGTTTGGCCAAGGCGTAGTTGCACCTGCCTGCCGACGAGGGAAGTTCATTCGTTCGTTCACCGTTCTGGCTCAGAGTTGTGTCGAATCGAGCGGGCAGGTCGGGCGGCAATTTAAAATTTCCCTGTGGCCCAGTGCCTGGTGTGCCGCCCCCTCGGCGCCCGCCCGACTGCTTCTGCGCTTCTGCTCGCCTCCCGCCTCCTTACTGTTGCCCCTCTCGCTCGCCTCGCCGCCCGCCTATTCGAGCCGTCAGCCGCCGCCGCCGCCGTCGTCGCCTTTGCCCCTTGTGCGTGTGTGTGCGTGTCGTGGGCCAGGCTAGAGCAGAGTAGGCGCGGGCGCGGGCGGGTCAATGTCTCTGTCTGACTGACATCGATCGCATCGCCATCTCATCCTCGAAACTGCCTCCTCTTCTCTAATATCACCGTCACAGCCGCCACTCCACTACCAACAACGCCAGCACTCGTTGCTACGGCAGACGCTCCCCCTACCACGCAGACAGGCAGGCCGCTTCTCCCTCCTCCTTCCGCCGCGTCCCCGTCTTAACGGGCTTCTGCAAGCCCCACTCTAGACCTGCGCTCGTCGTTCTTGCACACCACACCGTCGCGCCTCCCTCTTCATCCTCTCCTTTGGCCCATCTTCACGCCACCATCTGCACGCACATATCACGTCACTAGGTCGTCAGGCGCCTTTGACCATATCCGCCCCTCTAGCTGCGTGCATCCATCCACCTAGTGCGCGGATCCACGATGCTTTCCCTCAGGTCACTTGTGTCCCTGGCCGCCATCCTCGTCGCGTCATCATGGACAAACGTCGCCGAGGCGCAAGCAGACAATGCGTCATGTCTGCCTCTGACGGGCTCCACAATGTGCCCTTCATTTGTTAATAGCAGTGAGCATCATCGCGCACCTCACTCCGCATACACCTAAGAAAACCTGTACTCACCACCTACCTGCCTCCCTCCCCATTCCTCGCTCGCTCGCAGCTATCAGCCCTTCGGCCCTCGCACCAGCCTACTCCTTCTTCAGTGACGTCAGCGATGTCGCATCATTCGACCGACTGTTCCGACGCTACTTCACAGACTACGTGAGTGTTGAGGCAGCGGCCCGTATTCGTCAGGGGCCACACCGCTCACACACGCTTTCTCTCCTCGCTCCTTGACAGCAACAATTCCGTCAGACGAAGCTGCACACGGGCCTGCAATGTAACGAGACTGGATCGCTCAACGCCACCTTGCAGTGGGCGCAGACGGTCCTCTGCGGCCAGTTCACCTCGTACAGCTACAATGCTGGCTGCACCCAGCCCAATTCCCCCAACGCTTCCACCCCTCTTGTTTGCCAAAATACCTGCACCGAATACGCAAACTCCGAGGTCGCCTTCGTCAGCAACGCCAGCTACTGCACACCCACAAGTCGTCTAAGGCCGGCATCCCTCGTTGATCTCCGCAACACGACGCTCCGAAACGACCATGACGGCTGCACGAGCTGGACGGCCATGTACTCTACGAACAATGCAACGTGCGTGGAGGGTATCTCGAACGAGCCCAACTGCGGGTGGGGGTCAGGAGCAAATGACCAGCTCTGCTCGTACTGCAGTGCCGGCAGCGGGTCGCTGCCAACGTGCTGCTACGATCAAAAGACGGACCTCTCAGGATGTGCTGCAATGGGCTACCCTGCAGCAGCCCTCGTCCGCCCCACGACTAGCATCGGACCCGGCTTTGCACAACAGACTGGCGATGCATCCTCGTCAAGCGCCAACTCAAACGGCGGCAACGGGCACAGGCTGAGCGGCGGGCAGCTTGCAGGCATCATCGTCGGCTGCATCCTGGGCGCTCTCCTCATCGGCGCTCTTCTCGCCTGGCTCCTCTTCCTCTGTTGCTGCGGTGGTCGTAGAAAGCGTCAGCACGAGACCGAGGCGCAATCTGATCGTCAGGGCATGCTCGGCGGTGCCGCCTCAGCTGCCACTACCAGCCCGAGAGAGAAGGCCTACAACCTGTCCGAGGACACGAACCGCAACCCTAGCATGAGCAACGAGAAATCCCACATGAACATGGGCATGGGCGCGGGAGCAGGCTTGGCAGGAGGCGCGCTCGCCGGTGGTGCGGCAGCTGCTGCGGGCAACCGTGGTTCTCACAACGACGGCTCAGCCAACTCCCGTCCGCTCTCCACGGCCACGACCGGCACGGATGGCAGAGGCACAACAGTCCCCTCCGTGCGCTGCCAGTACACCGGCCAGGAGATCACACCGGGAGACACAGTCGTTGCCATCTATCCTTACTCTGCTGGCTTGTCAGACGAGCTGGACCTCACACCAGAGACGCGCGAGGAGCTGCACGTCGTCAGGATATACGATGACGGATGGTGTCTCCTTCGCCGCGACAATGGTCACGGTGGCAAGGAAGGAGCAGCGCCGCTCGTGTGCTGTCAGTCTAGCAAGGGAGAGTTGCCCGCGCATATGAGAATGGGCGACTCAACAGGCACGGGTACCGGCTCAGGTACTACGGATGATGAGGCCGGAGGGATGACGAGCGGAGCAGAAGGCGGGATGACGAGTAGCGTGGGTGGAGCCGTGACAGCAGACGAACATGGCTTTACAAGCGATGCAGCCAGTCGCTGAGCGTGCTTTCGGATCTCACGGCAACTCAGTACGGACCTGACGACTTCTCGGACTCTATACTCGGGTGGATCTACCGCCTGCGCAGGCTGTTCAGCCTTGCCGCCCTGATGGCGTGTCTCTTTCCCCCCCCACCCCCCTTCTGGCCCTTCACCCTCGCGATGGCACTTTCGCCCTCCTCCCACGCACATAGCCTTATCCCTCAGAACGCACCCTCACCCTACTACGCCCGCACCACACTCTTTACACAGTCGTTACCGACTTTCTTTTCATCAGCACTTTCCTTTCTTTACATTCTTTTCCTGCTCTTTCTCTGGTCGCCCTTTTCGCAAGTTGGCCATCTTTACCGTTTCGTTCTCTGTCTTGTTCTGATGACGAGCTCTTTTACCCTAGCTGCTGCTATTCAATCACAGTTTGCGCGTAACCGTAGTAGCTCTCAACTTGGCCGTCGACGATGTCGTAGTCGAGCGTGTGTGGGGATCGTGATGAGTGAACGGGGTCGTTCGTGTCTCACGCGCACGACTGTCGGCTGGAGGAAGCGGAGGCGAGCGTCGATCGCGAAGAGGGGCGGAGTTGGATCGACTGGAGAGAGACGAGCAGAGGGAGTGGAGCAGCAGTTGAGCCGCCGTCCCTCGTGCTCACTGTATGCGCTGCGTTGGCTTCCCCACACTCTGGCTGCTTACCCTTCCTCTTGCTCCTTGACTATCCTCATCACCATCTGCGCCCATAACAAGCAAGCAGGATGGACAGGTGAGCAGGTAGAGTAGCGACGATGGTGAACGTGCCAACTGACTGAAATTTTGGCATTCCCTGCCCGCAGCCTCGACTTGCCCACCCATCAGCTGATCCTCGACGGACTTGCCTCCAACTTAGCGGATAGCATCCTAGCCAATGACGTCGACCACGTCAAGCCTGAACACCTCTCTGCCCTCACCTCCTCAGCCTCCGCATCTTCCTCCAAAGCTAGCAAGCTCACTGGAGGATCAGGCCACTACCTCTCGATCAACGCGGCTCACTCCCTCATCAGCCTGTCGCGCTTCCTTTCGTCCATCTCCTCTGCCGTCAACCCAGTGACGGAGCGTGGTCGCGTCAATGACCAGGAGCACCTCATACCAGTGCTCAACGATGTGATCAATGCCACCAAGAGCTTGACTGCGACGGACGTCGAAGCGCTGGTTGGACTCGCCAACGAGTGGCCTTTGGCTGACCGCCTTGCCGGTGCACTCGTCGAGTCGCTGCTCAAGACGGCGGGTAATGCGCCGCAGCATAGAGCAAAGTGCTTTGATGCCATTGTTGTGCTGGCAGAAAAGTGAGTGCCACGCTATCTCGACCCGTAGGGAGCAGCTTTAGCATGCTGACCGCTCGTTCCTTGTCGCAGCCTCTCAGCCGGTCTCGGTGCCTCCTCCGGTGATGCTCACATCGTCGTCACTCGCCTCGTCCCCATGCTGCACGGTCTTTATCGAGCTCTTTCCTCGACGACTTTCAAGTGGACCCTTCCCGAGTTCGCCCGCCTGGTCACCGCCCTCACTCCGGTTACGGGTACCTCGCAGACGGTACAGCGTCTCAACCACGTCCTCCTCGTCCTGCCTGAGCAGCAGGCCGCTCTCGCTCAGGGCACTCGCGCTACCCGTCGCAAGCCTAAAGAGGCAACTATTCGACGTCGTGATGAGGAAGAGGACGATGAGGACGATGGTCGATCGCACGGTAGTACCGAGACATTTTTCTCGGGAGACGAAGGCGATGATATCGTTGACGAAGTGCTCAATGGCGGCTTCACCTACACACAAGGACAGGACGTCATGGGCGACGAATCATTCGACTACCGCTACGCCCTCCTCTCCCACTATAAGCGCCTTGGCCGACCTCTCTCGGGTCACTTTGTGCTCTGCAGCGCTCTCGAGATCTTGGGCTCGGTCCTCTCGCAGACTCTGGCAAGCCATGCTCGCGCCCCTGAAGATCTCGATGCCAATCTGCAGCCTCAACAGAATGGCACAGCACAGAATGGCGACCAGCCGCAGCAGCCTGCTCCTCCTCACATCGACACCATCGATGCCGCTGTCGACAATGTCAGCCCAGGCACAACGAGCCAATTGCCCACGCAGCGCGCCTGGCAGAAGCTGTATCGCCATGCTGTCACCCTTGACAGCACCGACAAAGCCTCACTCGCCGCCGCCAACGGCTCTGCGAACGGTAATGGCAGTGGCTTCCTCTCCTCCCTTGTTGGCGGCAATAAGTCTGCTGCCTTTGGATCTGACGGGGTCAGCCTAACGGGCAACACCCAAGGTGTGGCAGCCTCGCTCCACCTAGCCAGCCGCGCCTACCACGATGTGCAGCGCTTCATCGAGAAGGAAGGCCGCAAGAATGGCCAGCTCTTCAACGATGTCTACTCCCTTGAGATCCTCAGCGAGGCACTCAAGCTAGGCGCGCTGTCCTCCATCGCCTTGTCTCGCGTCAATAACTCCGCGCTAGACGCCCACACCCTCGTCCGCATTCGTGCCCTGTTGAGCGAGTCAGCGATCATCATCGATCCCATCCTCCAAGGGGCGGCACTTCAAAGTGCTGGTGTACTGGTCCGCAATTTCCCTTCCATTGTCGGGCCTCTCAGCACGCAGCTCAGGCGCTTCGTCGTCTCGCCGCAGGCCATGTTCATCTCGGACGGGACGGACATCTCGCCTGTCCTCGATTCTGCGGCCAAGTGCCTCGCCAACTGCGTCACCATCGCACCAGGCGATGACCTGGCTGTCTCGACGATGTATGCGCTGCTCAACCACATTGGGCGAGAGTCCAACGGCAGTGCCGGTGCTGGTGGTCTCGCGGCCAGCGGCATGTCCGTACGCTCTGGTCTTTCGAAGGCCGTCACGGGCAGGGACTTTTCGATGGGAAAGTCGCATTCTCAGGCACTCTTTGCGCAACGTAATGAGGAGGAGAAGCGTATCATCCACCTTAGCATCGTGACAATCGTGTCACGCCTGGCGCTCGAAATCAATCGGCCCGACGTCACGGGACTGGCCATCTCGATGCTTCTGCAACGTCTTCGCACCGCAGACGCAGAAGCAGAGGCTGCCATCCTCAACAATTTGGTACCCCTCGCACTCGCTGGACACAAGTCCACCTTTGTCGACGTCATTCGCGCCCTCACACAGGTCTCTCGTAGTGCCATCAGCGGTGGGGCGAACAGGCGAACAGGTCTTCCGATCCAGCTCGCCCAGCTGCGTCTCGCCCAAGGCTTGGGAGCTCTGCGCGAGGAGGACGACCGAATCGACAGCGAAGAGGAAGCTGGTCTGGACACCGAAGAAGACCGCTTTGGCTCCATTGGCCGCAAGGAGCTCTACCTGGTGGAGCTGCTGCAACTCTTCTCGGAGAAGGGTCTCGCCCTCCAAGCTTCAGCCTCTTCGTCGAGCAAGGGAGAACAGAGCGAGCTCGCGACCGACCTGGCCAGCCTGCTACCCCCCATCGCCGCCCTCCTCTCGCACGACGACATCAATCCTCACCTTGAGCCGAGCATTGAGATGGTCTCACTCTTCCGCAACATGTGGTTCCTGTGCGTCATCTTCAACTTGGCCAACAAGGCTGGCCGAGGCAGCAGCTCCGTTGTCGCAGGCGACGATGCCGTCGCAGACTCGCTGAGTATCATCTCGCTCAAGACCCCGACTCTCGTGCCTGAGACGTCCGTCAACTACCTGGAGAGCGACCTGCAGTACAACTCGGTTCTGAAGCGCGACTTCTCCTCCTCAGCGCTCGACAGCCAGCGCAAGCTCCTCGACAGCGTGATCCCGAACCACAGCAGCGAGATTCGCTCGTTCGGCTTCCCGCAAGTCATCTTCCTTGCCACCATCTACCACCTCGAATGCACCCGTTCTGCCATGGGACGCCCCTCGATGATCTTGTGGTACTTTGTCAATCAGGGACTCAACAAGTCAAGTCTCGTTGGCTCAATGGACGCAATCGCAGACAGAGTCATTGCAAGCTTCATCGACGACCTCTCCAGTCGCGTCAACAAGCACACCGTCGACCCGCGCGTCTCAGCAGAAGTCAAGAACCTCCTGCTTGGCAGCTGCCACCGCGTCGAAAAGGTCCGAGCTGTCTCTCGCCGCTTCCTCGATCGACTGGTCAACGTTTTCCCCAGCCTCATCTGCGATCAGGACGTCGTCTTTGCGCTGCTCGAGATCCTCACCTTGCTCCGCCGAGCCTGCGAGGGCCAGTATCGCGATGAGTTCTCGCCCGTGTACCACTTTCACTCGGAGAGGGCGAAGCTGGCATTTGAGCTCTCTGACTCATACACACAGCGAGAGGAGATCTTGTCGGGCTTCTACACAAGGGCAAAGTCGTACCTCGGCCTTTCATTGGGCCGTGCGCCCGTCGAGCTGCAAGGCATCCTACAGCGCTACCTCGCCGCCTTCGACGACGATGTGCTGCCCGGTACAGCTGAGCTGGGCAAGAGTCTGGCACTCGATTACGCGCGTGCTCTTCCTGCCTCGGGAGTGTCCGACTACCACCTGCCCGCGCTTGGTGGCTGGCGTTCAGACCTGTCAAGCTCCTTTGTTGGCGAGCTGACGTCCAAGTCGACCTACCAGGGAGAGATGACGGGCATCCACCTCGCCCTGACCAAGACGATGGTGGAACTGAAGAAGGATCCGCGCGTCGGCTTCTCACATCAGAGCGTGGAAAGCTGCAAAGAGGAGATGCGCAAGGCCAGCGAGGCCTTAACTGCTGGCCACGCTCACGCCCATGCTGCAGACGGCAAGGCGCACCACGGCCCACTGCCCTTCGCAGAGCTGCGTCGCCTCCTCTACCGTTCTGCGGCGCTCGTCGTCTCTCTGCCGCACGCCGACTTCGACCTCCTCCACCACATCGTCGCCCTACCCATCCGCGCCTTCACTCCGCAAGCGATCACGGTTGCTAGTCACGTCTGGACCTGGATCATCGGGGAGCGTCCACTCTTCGAGACGAAGATCATGGTTGAGCTCTCCATCGGCTGGGCGGCCACGGTCAAAGCCAAGCGCGGCCTCTTCCAAGATGACTTCACCAGCAAACACGCACTGATCCAGAAGACGGAGATGTCCGCTTCTGATCGTGCGGAGTTCGTCAGGGAGGGGGAGAAGGCCAACCGATTGTTCATGCCGCATCTGACCCTTGTGCAGCTCATGAGTAGCCGATTCCAGGCGTTCAGATATCGAGACCCCACAATGGTTCTTGCTCTGGTTAGGATGTTGCAGCGCAGTGCGGCGGCTACGGATCATATGAGCGCGCACCCGTTGGCGAGGCAAGCCTTCTTTTCTCTGGTGCTGTTTGGCTTCCAACTGGTGCAGGGGTCACAGCTGGACGGGCTCGTGGAGTACAAGCTTCGTACGGCTCTCTACGGTATGGCCTTCCATTGGTTCGCGCACAGCCCGCAATTCAGCCACGGCTCGAACAGGCTGCAGAGCGCTGCCGAGATGCAACTGCTCAGGGATCTGCTGGCTACAGTCAAGGCCGACAGCGTGCGATCCAAATCGATCACCACGTCGTACATTGGCGTCACAGCATCTGCCATTCGCCTGCCTGGCTACCTCACCCTGCAAGAAGCTCAGCGCGAAGCCGACGACCGTCGTGCGGTCCTGACCCTCTTCCTCGAAGACGAGCTGCGTCGTCTCAGCGTCTGGCAGAACCCGCTCGAAGACCCAACGCGCGGCAGCGACTACTCAGGTGACATGGCTCGCACGATGAACGATGCCAAGTGGGAGGCGACGGTACTCGCTGCCTGGAAGATCAAGCCCGCTCTTGTCGCCCAGCTTCCTGTCCGTTTCAAGGCCGCTACGGTCCGTCGCGAGGCCGGCAAGCTGGTTCGCGCCGAGCCGCACAAGGTGTACAAGACGGGCGACGCCCTCAATCTCTTGACCGAGGACCACCTTCGCCTCGCTCTCCGCGAGCAGACGGACCTGCGCTGGCTCCTCTACTGGGGCTCAGTCTCCCCCATTGACGCCATCTGCCTCTTCCAGCCAGTGTACGGCAACAACCCCATGCTGCTGCAGTACGCCATGCGCACTCTCGAGCACCATCCCGTCGACCTCACCTTCTTCTACGTCCCGCAAGTGGTCCAGGCTCTCCGTGACGACCAGTACGGGTACGTCGAGCAGTTCATCTTTGAGACGTCAAAAGTCTCGCAGTTGTTCTGCCACCAGATTCTGTGGAACATGAAGGCCAACTCGTACCAAGACGATGATGGCGAGGTGCCTGACCCGATGAAGCCTACGCTGGACCGCATGACGGAGCTGATCGTCGAGGCGTTGGATGGGGAGGCGCAGGACTTCTACGACAGGGAGTTTGGCTTCTTCAATGAGGTGACGAGCATCTCGGGCAAGCTGAAGCCCTACATCAAGAAGAGCAAGCCCGAGAAGAAGGCTAAGATCGACGAGGAGATGGCTGCCATCAAGGTCGACCCGGGAGTGTACCTGCCCTCCAATCCCGATGGTGTTGTTGTGGACTTGGACCGTAAGTCCGGTCGCCCGCTCCAGTCTCACGCAAAGGCGCCGTTCATGGCCACATTCAAGGTGCACCGCGACGTCACGACTGAGGACCCGGAATCGGGCGAGGAGACGACGAAGGGCGTAGACGTCTGGCAGGGGGCCATCTTCAAGGTCGGAGACGACTGTCGTCAGGACGTGCTCGCGCTTCAAGTCATGGCCATGCTCAAGAACATCTACACTGCCGTAGGTCTGGACGCCTACCTCTACCCTTACCGCGTAACTGCTACGGGGCCCGGCTGTGGTGTCATCGACGTCGTAGCGAACGCCACATCCCGTGACGAGATGGGACGCAGCAAGATCAACTCGCTCCTCGACTTCTTCGTGGGCCGCTTTGGCAACGTGGACTCAATTCCATTCCAGCGTGCCCGACTGAACTTCATCCAGTCCATGGCTGCCTACTCTATCGCCTGCCACGTCATGCAGTGCCGAGACAGGCACAACGGTAACATTATGATCCAGAATGACACGGGTCACCTGGTGCACATCGACTTTGGTTTCCTCTTCGACATTGGACCCGGTGGAATGCACTTTGAGCCTTACAGCTTCAAGCTGACTGCCGAATTCATCGAGGTCATGGGCGGCATTGACTCGCAGGGATACAAGCTCTTCTCTGAGCTCGTGGTCAAGGCATTCCTTGCTGCTAGGCCGTACGTGGACGAGATTGTTGGCGTGTGCGACCTCATGAAGCACACGGGCCTGCCGTCGTACACGGACGGTAACACGATGAAACGATTCAGAAGTAGGTTTGTGCCGGAGATGGATGAGAGGCAGGCAGCTAGACATGCTGTGGGGCTCATCAACGATGCTAGCAAGAACATCAGGAGTATTGTCTACGATGGGATCCAGAAGGCGCAGAACGGGATTCCCTTCAAGTGAGCGGACGCGCGGCGCACACAATCATTTGCTTCGTAATGGTTTCTTCTTTTCTTCTCTGTGGACCTCAATTCGATGGTTCGTTGGCTATCGTTGTCGCAGATCTCTCATTACGCAATCGAATCGTTCCGTCGCCTTGAACCCCTTCTCTCCACCGTAGGCGCCGCCTGTTGCGCAGGCTCTGCCGCGCCCACGTGTTCTGCGTCGACCGCGTCCGTGCGCCAGACGAGACTGGAAAACTGAGCAATGCAGACGACGTGGGATTAGCTGCACCATCATCGCCATTGCGTCTTGCATCCTTCCCCACAATCTCCAAACTCCACAGAGCAGAGCATTTCGACAGAGAGACCCCACTGATAGCATGTCGCCCTCTTCATCTGAGAGCACACCTGTTCAACAAACTGCTGCGCCAGCAGCTGTCCCCGCCCCTTCGTCTGGCTCTGCAGCAGCGCAGCCGATTGCGACACCTCATCCTCCTCCTCCTACGCCAGCCGCACCCCTCGCATCCTCATCATCGTCGTCAACTGGGACTCGTCGCGCCTCGAGCAATGCGCGGACGTCTCCCATGATGGCGCCGCTCAGTCGCATGCCAGGGGGCGAGTCGACGACCGTACCGGCCGCGCATACAGCCTCAACCTCTCCTCCAACGACGAGCTCCGCAGCGAATGCTGGCAGCCCTCCTCGAAGCGGCAGCGGCGTCAATGTGGGGCGAAAGCGCAGTCAGCATCGTACTGCCAAGACGGGCGACGCGACCCCGAGCAGCAATGCTGGAGCTTCCGGGTCTCGTCGCCCTGGTTCGAGGGGCGGGGCAGGCACGTCGGCCTCATCTCACGCCGGATCTCCTCCTCACACGGGAACTACGAGCGGCTACTACTCGTCACATGGATCTCGTCACCCATCGATGGGCTCAGTCACTACACGCCCCGTGGCTCCCCTCTCTACCGACCAGCGCACAGCATTCGAGGAGGCAGTCGCCTCTTCAGCCCTCGCGTCTACCTCTTCTGGCTTGCAAGCCCTCTTGCGAGATCATCCAGAGCTCGTCTCTTCTGAACTCGCGAAAGCTGCTGGTCAAGAGTGGTCGCAGCTGAATGAGAGTGCAAGGGGTTCTCGTCCGGGGACTGACCCTCCTACGCCTGGTGGGGAGAGCGATCAGGGAGGCGCAAGTGCGGGCGGCCATGTCTTTTGGGACGACGACGACGACGTGACGCCTCAAGTGGGAGAGGGAGGGCCTGGTGAAGGGGCCGGGGCTAGCGGTGCGGGAGGTGGAGCTGGCGGTGTCATGGAGAAGGCGACCAATCTGGGGTCCGCAGGTGAGTTTCTCGTCTCGTGTTACTTTTTCGACTCGGTGTCCAAAGGGTGCCCACCCGCGCTCTTGCTCGTCTTCGGCTTTTTGGGCCACTGCTGCTTTCGCTGTCTTCGCTGCCTTCGCTGCCCTCGCTGCTTTCTGTCGTGGTCACACACAGCGCCGTCTTCGTCGGCGCCCGCTCCGCTCGCCCAAGTGGACCGGGCGAGGCCGGCGGACGGCGATGCGGGCGATGCAGCCGTCGTCGAGTGTTGGATCAGCCGATAGCCTCCCGCCTCCCGCCTTTCCCGATCCCACAAAGACGACACAGACCCTCGAAGGAGTGGGCATTTTGGCTGACAATCATCCTCTTCGCCTCTTGACAACCCACTCCAACTCATCTCACGACATCACACCATGTCGTCCAATACGCCTTCGTCATCTTCTCCCTTCACCCCGATATCTTCGCCTCGCAACGATGGCTCATCGTCCACTCCGACATCCTCCCTCTCGCGCTCCTCATCCCACTCCTCATTCTCGGGAACTGGACGCTCTTCACTGCATCGCCTATCGCACTCTATTAATCTCTCTGGCTACTCTGCCTCGGTCGACGACGATGCCACTGGACTTGGCGCTACCGGCACGATAGGCGCGAAGCCCGATTACTCGCAGGCCAAAATCGTCGTAGCGATGGTCGGCCTCCCAGCGAGAGGAAAGAGTTATCTCAGCAACAAGCTCATGCGATATCTGCGCTGGCTAGAGTACTCGGTGAAGGTATTCAACGTCGGCCAGCTGCGTCGTGCTCTAGCTAGAGCCAAGCTGGCAAAGTCCGGCGTAAAGGAGGATCAGTCAGCCGCCTTCTTTGACCCGAGCAACCCAGCCGCATACAAGCTCCGAACGCAAATGGCAGAGGAGTGTCTTGAGCAGCTCATTACTTGGCTCAAGCGTGGGGGTAATGTGGGGATTCATGATGCGACGAACAGTAGCAGGAGTAGGAGAGAGGCACTCAAGAGGAGAGTGGAGAAGGAGCCCGGTATGAAGCTCGTCTTCCTTGAGAGCATGTCGACAGACCCGGCAGTGATTGCTGCCAACATCGCAGTCAAGGTATCGTCGGGTGATCCAGATTACGCAGGGATGTCGCCGGAGGACGCCAAAGCAGTGCGTATCCCACTCGCGTGACCTAGACCTACCTCTCGACGCGCGGACTGACTATTGAACCCTCCGTCTCCCACGCCGGTAGGACTTCCTCAAGCGTATTCAGCATTACGAGCAATCCTACGAAGCCTTGGACAGTCACGGCGATGAGTCTCACCTCTCGTTTTGCAAAGTCATCGACGTTGGCCGCTCAGTGACCGTCAACAACATTCAAGGTTATCTCGAGTCGCGCATCGCCTTCTACCTCATGAACCTGCACATCACACCCCGCAACATCTTCTTCTCTCGGCACGGCGAGTCGCAGTATAACGTTGAGGGCAAGATTGGCGGTGACTCGGACCTCAGTCCCCGTGGCTGGACGTACGCCAAGGCCTTACCTGAGCTGGTGCAGGAGGCAGTTGGCGATGCTCCTTTGACAGTGTGGACCTCGACGCTGCGTCGTACAGGGCAGACGGCTAGCGGCTTGCCCTATCCGAAGCTCGCCTGGAAATCCCTTGACGAGCTCGACGCCGGCGTCTGCGACTCGATGACCTACGATGAGATTGAGCGATACTATCCGGAAGACTATGCCTCGCGGGACGAGGACAAGTTTAACTACCGCTACCGCGGAGGCGAGTCGTACCGCGATGTGGTCGTGCGCCTAGAGCCAGTCATCATGGAGCTCGAGCGTCAGGAGAACATCTTGATCATCGGTCATCAGGCAATTCTGCGTTGCCTGTACGCCTACTTCCACGGGCTGAGTCAGGAGGACCTACCGTACATCAAGATCCCACTACACACGGTGATCCAGCTGACGCCCAAGGCGTACGGTTGTGACGAGAAACGCTTCCCCTTGCCCATTGAGGCTGTGGATACCCATAGGCCCAAGCCACAGCCAAAGACCGCAGCGACTGCGCCCGCAGCGACGTCAGGCGGATCGGGACCGGACACCCCTTCGCTCGAAGATGCTATGACGAGCGCGCCTCCTAGTCAGATGAGGCCGCAGGGGGTCGCGTAGCCGCGCGCGGGGTCATCATCATCGAGAATGCACACACGTCACTTGTTCCATATGTATCACTTGCTCGCTTGTCTGCTTCGTTCATTTATTCATTCATTCATTCATCCATTGAGTCGTCATTGTTGCGTCGTTACGAATTGCGCGAAAAAACCACAGTCGTCGAGCTAGCTAGAATCCTTTCGCAAGCCGATGCGCCTCATGCGATGGCAACCTTGACGACCTGGAAACTGTGCGCTGGCATATTGACAGAAAAGTCAGTCGCGCCCTGCGTGACGGGCAAGTCCTTGGTATACGGCTTGACCGTCTCCGGGTTCTGCACCGTGTTGACCGAGTCGAGATCGTCTTGCCCACCGAACCCCCACAGGCTCGCCGTAGTCGCATCCAGCTTCTTTCCACCGGCGACCGTGATCGCCACATCCTGTGCAGAGCTGGCGCTGTTGACAAGCTTGACCACGAGCGTCTTGCCACCCGAGCCGCTCAACGTGCCCGCCGACCAGTAGATGGGTCCAGGCCTGCCCGAGGTAAGGTTGGCACCGAGGATGTTGTCGATACGGTTGCGAGAGAAGGCGTATTGTGTCCAGTAGCTTGGGCTGAGCGCAATGGTGTTGTGGTCGAAGGCGATGAGGTCTGGGTTCCACTGCGAGCTTGCCGAGTTGTGCAGTAGAGGAGCGTAGGCGGCTGAGGTTACGAGGTCACCGTTGCGCTCAAAGTCCATAGTCCAGGCACCCTCGGCGAGCGCAGCCTCCAAGGTAGGGTAGGTGAGACGGCACTTGTTCGTGTAGAGGTCCGCGCCGTCAGCCTGCTCGCCGCAGCGCCCATTGTTGATCACGGCATACTCCAACTCCATGATCTCCGTACCGTTTCTGGGCCAAGAGTCGTGCAAGCCGAATTGAGCGTAGGCGAATGCTACTGTGTTATAGTCATGTTGATCGACTCCGGCAAGCTTGGACTTGTCCGTGGAGTAAGGACTCGATGCAATGAACTTGACGTCCGGGAAGGCCTTCTTCAGCTGCGGATAGAACGCGTTATACCTGAATCCGTACGTGTCGATGGCCTCCTGCGCAATCCAGTCCTCGTTCCCAATCTCGACTATGTTGAGCTTCCAAGGCTGGGCACGCCCGTTGCCCTCACGACGTTTGGCGTACTCGGAGGAGCCTTGCGCGTCCTTGATGTAGTGCAGCTGGTCGAGGGCTGATTGAACGTAAGGCTGGAGGTTCTCCTTTGCCACGCTCTTCTTGTCAAGCGAATAGCCCGCGTAAAGACCCAAAATGGGCTCGCTACCGATCTTCTCGAAGAGGTCGAGACTCTCGTGCAGCCCGTAGCCATCTGTGTCGTAGCCAGCCCAGACTGAGGGCTTACCAGGTCGGTCAGTGAGGGGTCCCACGGCTTCAGACCAGTTGTAGGCGTTGGCAATTGAGTTGCCTTCGAGCTGATTACCGCCAGGAAGACGGGTGTAGGGGGCCTGCAGGTCCGCAATGGCTTGAACGATGTCCTGGCGACCGACAGTGCCTTCGTACGTGGGCGGGAAGAGGGAAATCAGGTTGAGTTGAACGGCGGCGGTGCCCTGCGGGAAGGTCAGGCCGAAGGTGTTGTTGCTGTTCGAGGCAGATTGCGTGGACACGAGGTCGGCCTGCGAGCGAAGAGCGTAGGTACGTCAGCATTTTGAGCGCCAACGCGACGAAACCGTAGCGCGACTCTACCCACCTTGAACTGCTTCCACTCGCCCGTGAGCGCAAGAGGCACGTCGACGCTGGCAAATTCCTTGTTGTCAGCTTCGGCATTGAGGCTAGCCTTGGCCGTCACCTGCGCATTGGCGCCATCAACGGAGCGAGCGTAGAAGCTGACGGCATACGTCTGCGGCTTGACTGGGATGCCAAAGTATCCCTTGTTCCGCAGTCCGCCCGCCGCGTTCCCGGGCGTGACAACGACTGAGTTGGGCAGCGCCTTGGAAAGCGGGTTAGCCTTGGTCTGCTCAGTCTTGGCTCCTCCAATGGACGACCAGTGAGGGGAGAAGTCTTCTTGGAAAGCTCGGTCGCGGATCAGCTCAGCGTAGATACCGCCATCGGTGCCAAAGTTGATGGAGTTTTCGATAAAGGTTGAGATGCCGAATTTGGAGGCAGTCGTCTTTGATGTGTCGATTGAGAGAGCGTGGGTCGTGGCAGCCGACGAGGTGGGTGCTGCGTTCGTGAACGAGAGCGTGACTAGGGCGACAGCCAAGAGGACGAGGTATCTGTTGGCCATGGCAATGGGGATACGGTGGAGGGGAGAGGGGCAGGAAGAGGTGGCGGAGAGGCTTGAGGATCGACACCGAGGACAGCAGTTGGAGACCTTATATAGGTCGTCTTGAGGAGCTCACGAGATTCCCGACCATCATCTCGACCTTCTGACTGTGGGGCTCCTTCGGCAAGGGCTCACAAATCCTCGCAAGCTTCCTCATCATCGCCTGTCAGGAACCGGATTGATCTTTGCTGCTTCGCTTACGGCTTCCACTCGAATATATTCGACTGTACACTCTCTGGGTGCTCTTCAGGGCGGCGGCGTAGGCTTACCTGGCCTCTCAGCGTCTTTTCTGTCGCTCGCACGAGCGAGGAAAGTGCTAAACGAAGCTTGTCGGGCCGTCGACCGACAGCAATCTGGATAAAGCTCGTCCTGCCTTGCCCCTCAGCTCCCGCTGGTAGACGAAGTGACGGCTGAGAAAGACAGACAGGAGATTACCGTCGTAGCCGAGGCCGCAAGGAGAGAAAGAGGTCAATTTCGCTGCACGCACGCAGACATCGTGGTGCGGGGCACCGCGGACGGGGCAAGGCGAGGTCCGTCCCGCTGCTGCTGCTCTCTCTCTTTTCCATCGCTTCGTCCGTCCCACGTCACCTCAGTCGACGATCATAGACCGATCATCGCCGAGCACAGCAGAAGGATATGACGGCCATAAGGGCGTGCAGACATACAGATGCCAAGACGTCACCAGCAGCATGATTAGCAAGGGGCGGTTCTGACCGTCCAGGAAGCTTACACAGTCGCTCGGGCTCCCAGATGAGATCGCCGAGGGCGACTCGATCCTCAGCTCGCGTCAGCTCGTACCCGAGTCCTGACTTTTCCACGAATGCTCACACGTACAAGCAGCCTTTGAGGAAGCAAGAGAATACCATCGAGCATGCATCGGCATCATAAAGGAGGTAAGGGGCGGCCAGGCGCGATCAAGAATAGGCAAGCACACGACAGCATCGAGCTTCTCAGACAAGCTCAACAACAGTGACCTGCTGCGACCCTTCCTTGGCGCCTTTCTCGTCTGGCGACTCCTTCTCACCCGACCCACGGGCTGCCTCTGCCTGTCCGAAAGTCCCAAAGACGCTGCGATGTGGGAGGGAGGCGGCGGTGTCAGTTCTCTACACCTCCCCAACGCTGCATCGCCGTTCTCACTCGTAGTCGTCCACATGCCCGAGACCCTGCGGCGGCCAAACGTAGCAGAGAGCGGTAAACACGAAGGCGCTGATGGTCAGACCGATTAGCCAACAGAAGTGGAACAGCCTCGACCAGCCGACGTTGTAGTTCGTAAAGTCGCCCTTATGCGAGACGTTATGCACGAAGCCTGGGAAGGCGGGCAAGACGCCGAGTACCCAAGCCAAGAGGGCTCGTGCTGCGGCAAGACAGAGGTCAGCGTGGACCGCCTCGTCACCATCACCTTGGCGTACTTGGACTCACGATTGAATCCACAGAAGAACGAATACGTCGTCTCCGGCGTAGCTTCGTAGAGGTGGGAGAGCTTGAGCTTCCTTTGCCTCACTACATGGTAGTCAGCGATGAGCAAGCCAGTCAACGGGCCTAGAAACACTCCGTAGGATCCCATGACGGACAGATAGACGGAGCTGCCGTTGAGTAGCTGCCAGGGCTGAATGAGCACAGAGACCAAGGCCGTGAAGTAGGCGCCGCGACGAATTGTCATCCAGCGTGGGAACATGGAGGCTAGATCGATCTGAGACAGTGGGCGAGGAATCGTGAGCTCGGTGCTGTAAGTAAGACCGGGTAGGTCTGCACTCACTCCGGAAGCCGTCAAGTTGTCGGCCACATTGATGCCAAGCTGCGAGCTCAAGAACACCAACGCTGCAAGGAAGACGGCCAGGCGGGTCTTGCCGACATTGTCGTTGGCCTGAATCTGCTCGAGGAGGTCAGGCGGCATCCAGAGGAGTCCCTGCCAGCGTAATGTTGCATTGCGATTAGCACAGCCTTGAGCCTCATTCTCGACGCTAGCTTACCTTGTCCGGCCACCACTGTGCCGCACACGACGTCACAATGATTCCAATGGTACCGCAGAAGGTCCTCGAGAGCGGGATAGCAAGTGCCTGTGCCCAGACCTGGTCGTAAGGCTTGCGCGCATATCGCGAGTAATCGCTCTGATTCAGCATACCTGCGCAGATGGACCCAATCACCGTGTTGACGGCGTAGAGCATTGCCCAGGAAAGCTTTGTCCCATGCACCTGCGTCACGCCAGAGATGGCGGAGCTGTCGCGCACAAGCGCTCCTGCGCCGCCCGCCTTGGCCATCGCCCAGGTCAGCATCACGACGCAAAGCAGTGAGACTGCTCCGCTGAAGTAGAGAAAAGGATTGCGATAGTGCTGCGGCCGGACGAGAAGGAGCGGCATCTGCAGCAGCACGAAGATGACGAAGGAGACGAGCGTGGCGCTGTCCAGAGTGCCGCCGGCGAGGGGCTGGCTCCACTTGTAGAAGCTTGGGACCATGCTGCCAATAAGAATACGGACGCATCGAGCGCCAAAGTAGGACTGGCAGGCTGACCAGGTGAAGCTGAGGATTTGGCGATTGGCGAGAGGGAAGAAGGAGCCCCACATGCCCCATGTCGAGCGACAGGTCACGGCAAAGGGGATGTGCCTGCGCGCCAAGAAATCAGCAAGAGTCGACCCTCGTGCGAACGGTGGAGCTCACCATTTGGCACCAGGCGCGCCAGTCAATACAACACCTATGCCAACGATGATATTCCCGACGATGATGGCGGCCACGCACTGGCGCACATTGGGGCCAAGTGAGATCAGCGCGGAGCCCATGGTCCAATTCGAGATATTGACCGAGCAGACGAGCCAGAAGCCAGCAAAAGATACTGGACCCCACAGCCGCCGAGCTGGCTCGAGGGGAACGATGTCGTTGTTGATGAAGGCGGTAGATTTGCCACCTGGCCCATCATTGACCTCAAGACGGTCGCGCAGGATAGTCAGCTTGGTCTTCCGGGTTGCTTCGCTATCGGTCATGTTGCTGTGGAGGATGGTATACGTCGGACGTGGTGTGAGGATGAGGTGTAGGCTCTCTGACAAGACGGCCGTATCTTCGAAGATACCATTTGCACGCTTACGCGATCGCGTTGAGACACGAGAGAGATAGCGCGTATATTGCGCGGCTCACCTGCGGTGATGCCGTAGATCGCGTGCCGCTACTCCGTAGCGGCTCGATATTGAAGCAGACGAGCGAGGAGATAAAGGGAGCGTACACAGCACGCTCACCTCGATGACTTTTTACTTCTCCTCTCGTCGTCGTCATCACACAGAATGAGCCCCATATCCGATGAAGAAGTCTTCGTAGCCGGGTGAGTGCATGTACGATGGCCTACTCCCCGGCGAGGTAACTGACGCACGGTCTGCTCCATCGTCAGCGTCGACGCCGGCAGTACAAACACCGACTGCGCCATCATCGAGCGTCACTCTGGACGTATTGTCGCAGCACTCAAGTCGGCTACGACGGCAGATCCTCAGGAAGGCATTCTTGCCGTGCTGCGGGCGACGTGCGCCAAAGCCAGGATTGAGCCGGCCCGCCTTGGTTAGTAAGCCTCGGCCACGATACGTCAGCCGACGCTGACCCCCTTCTCTTGCTTGCCAGCCTCCATCGTGATTGGTACCACCCACTTTCTCAACGCGGCCTTGAGTGCCGACTCGAGCCGCCTCCAGCCCGTGGCCCTCCTCCGTCTCGGCGCTCCCTACACGTCGGAATGCCCGCCCTTCTGCGACTTTCCGCCAGGGCTGCGCAAGGTCCTCGAAGGCTCAGCGAGGATCTGCAAGGGAGGTTTGCAGATCAGCGGCAAGCCCATTGGAGAGATCGATGAGGATGAGATCCGAGCCGAGTGCCGCAATATCAAGGAGAAGGGCCTCAAGGTCGTGGCCATCTGCGGCATCTACTCGCCTCTGGACGTTGACGGCTCTAGTCAGGAGGAGCGCGTAGCAGCCATCGTGCGCAAGGAGCTGCCTGATGTCGGCATTGTCTGCTCCCGTGACGTGGGCCAAGTAGGCTTCCTCGAGCGCGAGGCAGCTACTGTCCTGAATGCCAGCCTACTGCGCTTCGCCCGCATCACCGTGGCTTCATTCGTCTCCGCCATCCGCAAACTCGGCGTGACGGCAAGCACGCCCCTCTTTCTTACTCGCAACGACGGCACGCTCTGCTCTGCGGACGAGGCCGCTCGCCTGCCCGTTCGTAGCTTCAATGCGGGTTCCGTGGCGAGCGTCTGCGGCGCTGGTATACTGGCAGGCTTTGATCGCCAGACTCTGGCCCAGGAGAAGGGTCAGATCATTGTTGTCGATATTGGTGGCACCTCGACCGACGTGGGCGTCCTGCTTAAGAGTGGCTTCCCTCGCCCTGCGGCCGCTTTTGTTGAGGTCGCTGGACTGAGGATGAATTTCTCGATGCCTGACGTGCAGAGCATTGCCCTCGGTGGAGGCAGTATCGTGCGCGTGAATGAGGAGAGTGGCAACGTCACTGTCGGAGCAGACTCGGTTGGCTATCGACTCGTGAAGGACGGACTGGCATTTGGAGGTCAAGTGCCTACGGCGACGGACGTAGCCATCGCGAGTGGAGCAGCTGCTAGCCTCGGCGATGCTACTCTCGCACGAGTCTTCTTCGGCAACAAAGTCCTTCGCAAGGCTCAAGACGCTATCAAGCACAAGCTGCAAGGCATCATCTCCAAAATGAAGACCACGCCAGACCCAGCTACGGTCATTCTCGTTGGCGGTGGTTCCATCATTGTGCCGCAGGATGCCACCTTCGAAGGAGTCGCCAAGGTCATCCGACCAGGCGAGATGGCTGGTTGCGCCAACGCTTTGGGAGCCGCTTGTGCTCGCGTCGCTGGAGTGGTCGATACAATCGTGACCGTGGCTCCCGGACAGTGGCCTGTCGTGCTCGAGAAGCTCAAGTGCGATGCAGTCAGCAAAGCCGTCCAGTCTGGTGCGAAGGCAGATTCGGTCATCATCGCTGAGGTTGACAACTTCCCCATCCAGTACGTCAACACCGGAGCCACCCGCGTGATCATCAAAGCGGTGGGGGAGGTGGATCTCACCAGGGCACCTACCTCCGAAGCCGACGCAGAAGGCGCCAGCAAAGATGCTCAGCCCGTCGAGGTCCTACCTCCACCGGTCACACTCACCAGCGCCACGAAGGTGCTCGATCCCCTCCCTCCCCTCGATATCGATGCCTACGTCCCTCGCATCGTCGACGATGAATGGCATCTGAGCGAGCTCGACCTCCTCTGGATTGCCGATGGGAGCGGTGTCCTTGGTGTAGGCGGAGGAGGATCCACCTACTATCCGATGATCATGGCTCGCGAGATCCTGCGAAAGGGCGGTCGCATCCGTATCAAGCGCGTTGCGGATGTAGAGAGGGACAAGATCGTCCTACGTGGCGGATTCATGGGCTCTCCCTCGGTGTCCAACGAGCGTTTGCAAGCCGGTCATGAGATCGAGGCGGCCGTTGCCGCTCTTTGCAAGCAGGCGAACATCAGCATGCACCAAGTAGGAGCTGTCATGTCCGAAGAGATCGGAGGGGGCAACGGCCTGCAACCCCTCATCTTCGGCTCGTCTGCCCACCTTGACCTGCCCGTCCTCGATGCCGACTTGCAAGGCCGTGCTTACCCAAATCTCTTCCAAGCAACGCCTATCGCATACAGCGTGCCAGGCGCTCATGCTCCAGCCGCAATCGCAGACGCAGTGGGCAACATTGTGGCAATTCCCTCGACGGAGGGCAAGTTCGATGTCGAGCCTCTGCTGCGAGCTGCCTGCTCCGTGCTGGGTAGCATGGCCTTCTACTCCATTGGTCCGCAGCCTGTCAGCGTCATTGAGAAGTATGCTGTACACAACACCGTCTCGCAGTGTTGGTGGATAGGCCGTGCTCTCGCTCAATGCCGACAGCGCAATGACGTGGCGTCAATCCCGCGCGCCATCTTCAGCTTGCAATCTGGACGAGTTCTGTTCATTGGCAAGGTGATCGACGTTGCCCGCGAGGTGCGCTCTGCCTTCACGTGGGGTCGCCTGCGTCTCGTTGCTCTGTCAGAGGCGGAGCGTGAGGGCGGGGGCGATGACCTCGAGAGGGACAACTTCGAAGGTGAAGTGGAGCTAGAGTTCCAGAACGAATGGCTCGTCGCGCGCTCGCTTTCTGGTCCCCACGACTCGCCCAAGGTCCTCGCTATCGTCCCTGACCTCATAACCTGCCTCGACACCCAGTCAGGCACCGCTCTCGGCACGCATGAGGTGCGCTACGGCCACATCCTCACCGTCATTGCGCTACCTGGCGACCCAAAGTGGTACACGCCCGAAGGGCTCGACTGCGGTGGGCCTGTGCGATTCGACATCGTGGAGAACGAGTGGTTGAAGGCCGAGGGGTTGGGCGAGTACAAGGTGCCGAAATCTGTCATAGAGACGTATGGGCACAGGAAGTGAGGTGTAGAGTAGACTCGCGCTCATAGACCAGTCATGTCAAGTCCTATCTTATTTAATCAAATCAAGTCACCAATCGATTCGTACTGGCTGAGAGACACAGGGGAGGGAGATGAAGAGACGGGACGAGTCGTGTATCGTCGCGCTAGGGCTGGGATGAGATTGACAACTCTAGTGCTTGTCGGCCGCACCAGGGGGCGCAGTTGTGGCGGATCCATGGCTAGGAGGAGGCAGCATAGCACTCGACGGCAAATTTCGACCAGCTTGAGGCGGCAGAGCGACCGTGGATGAGGGTGGGGTCGGAATAAGCGCGGAAGCCTTTGCACCAGCGCTACCAGCGGCCCTGCTCGTTGCTGCAATGCGCGCCGCCTCACTTACGACCCTTGCAGCAGGCGACCCAACCGCCTGGGCGTGCGGCAGAGGTGCCCCACCAGGCAATGGTCTTGGGCTCTGCCCCGGCGTGGCAATGGATCCGGCGAAGGAGGAAGCTCCTGGCGTAGAGGGCCCCGGTGACCTCGCATCCGCATCGCGATTGTGGTCGTGCAGCCTTGCCAGATTCGCTGGCAGGGGAACGAGCGGCCTGTTCGACGGCATACGGTACGGCGAATGGTTGGGACGCTCATGCAGAGCCCCGTCGGAGAGGCGGCGTACCCGTCGAGAGGCAGAGCCCGAGCTATTTGCGGCCGCCGCCGCTTTGGCGGCTGCGATGTGGTTCGAGGTGGCGAACGAGGCGGGTGTGGCACTGTACGCTGGGTGCGGGGCATGCCAGCCGTGCTGGGTTGGGCCGAAGTTGTAGCTCGAAGCGTGAGGGTGTGGACGATGAGCGCCGGCGCCTGCGCCAGCGCCGAGGTGGACGCGCGGGTCGATAGGAGAGACTGGGTCCAGACCTGTGGTGCGATTGACATTGCTTCCGGTGCTGTGGCGAGGATGGCTGACCGTAGCCTGCTGGCTTCGGAGGTGGGCGGCTGCAGGAGGCTGCTGCGCATAAGAGGGTCTGACGCCAGACTGTCCGGGAGGTGTGCTGCCAGCAATCCATCCGTCTCGATCGGGCAAAGGCCGATGACCTGCACTGGGCGGCGAGCCCCAAGCAGAGCCAGCTTGAGCGTATTGCGGCGACTGGTGAGGGTGATGATGGTGATGATGATGGTGGTGATGGTGATGGTGCCGATGATCAGCGTGCGGCTGCCCATTCACATGAGCGGCACCGTGCGCGTGGTGATGGGCGTGTGGAGGATGAGCATGGTGGTGCTGTCCCCTCCCCTGCCTCGCATCAAACTCGGCCCTATCCCTCATCTCCCTCTGCTCACTGTCCCTCTTCTCCCTCTCCAAGAAGCTCTCGATCAACCTGCTCCCATCCGGGTCATCGGCAGCCAGCTCGATTCGCGGCCCCAAGTCGAGCTCTATGAAGCGTCCAGAGGAATCGTAGCGCGGGTAGACGAGAGTGCGGCCGTTCCACCCTACGTACCACTTCTGGATCATCGCGTCGGTCACGCCCCGAGAGTACAGGTTAGCCATGCCGATGCGGTGACGCTCCTCGGCAGCCTTCTTGCGCTCCTCTTCTGCTTGAGCGGCCGCAGCTTGACGGGCACGACTGGCTGATGGGGCAGCTCCCTTGGGCGAAGCGGCTGTGGATCTGCCCTTGGCGGCTGCGCCGGCTGCCGAGGTTGAGACATTTGGTGAGGCGGCAGTAGGAGCAGGATCACGCTCATCGTCGGAGCTGATGATGATGGGATCGTCGCTCTGCCTGACTTGGGCAGCCCTGGCCACAGCCGCGCTGGGCGTAGCGACGACGGATGAGGTGCTATCATCGGCGAAGACGCTCGTGTTGGCTGCGTCTTTCTTCTGTCGCTTGGCCGATTCTGGGAGCCCGCTGTTGTCCGCCGCGATGGCGGGGTAAAAGCTCTCAAGGTGGAGAATGATGCGCTTCTCCTCTGGCACAGACCAGTGCTGCTTCTTGCTGATAGGGCGGTAGTTAGAACGCAGGGACGATCGGATGTCGAGCCACATGTCCGCTTGCGTGACACCGATGTCCTTGACTTTGACCTCAGCGTGAGGATACTTGCGCTCCGTCTTGACGCAGCACATGGGGCAATGCCACTTCTGATCGCCGAGATCCTTCGGGTCGTTGATGTGGACGCAAGAATTGTGGAACCAGAGCATGCAACGGTCGCACGAGATCATGTTGCCGGTCTCCTTCTTGTGACAGAGGCAGTAGATGCGCTCGCCATTGAGTGGGACCCAGATACCCACCTCCTCGCGGAAGACGAGCTTGGCACGCTTGCCGCGCTTGCGCTTGAGGTCCGCAGCATTGGCTGCCGCCTGCGCCGCAGATGGAGATGCCGCACCTGTGCCGCTCTTGCTGCCAGATGGGCCTGCAGAATCACGTACACCTTGAGTATCGTCGACGGAAGGGTCAGGCAATTCGGCGAGACCGTAGCAGTACATGATGATCTGCTTGCACGCCTCGATGGCCGAGCGTGTTCCCTGCATGGGAGAGCCAGACGTGGTGACGTTGATCTTGAAGGGGCAGCCGAGTAAGCGCATGAGAAGATGCTGGTACTTTGCTGCGTAACGAGGCTTGGCAGCAGGAGTTGGGCCATTGAGAATGTCATTGGCGAACATGCGCAGTCGATACGCCTTGCTGCCAGCGTCTCGAAGCTGGTCCCACTCCTTGGGCTTGAAGCGCATCCTCGCAGGCACAAACTTTGCGTCGGCCATGGCTTGCTCAACGAGCTCGAGGTCCACGCCGCGATGCTTGTTGATGAGGGCTTGCAGCTCGGCCGGGTTGCAGAAGGGGCACGACCAGTCGGGCAGCAAGGGAGCGTTGGACGCGGAGGCGGATTGTCGACCGCGCGACCTGGACGTACCGCCTGAACTGTTGATGCCTTGCGGCAGCGTAGTGCCCTTCAAGCAGGCGACGTGATAGGTGGTGAGGCAGTGTTTGCACTTGAGCTGCGAGCCAGAGACGTCCTCGAACGGAACTCGGTCGATGCACTGGCGCGGCATCTCGACGCCATCATCATCGTCGAGATCCATCGCCGTTGTGGGATCGTCACCGGGTCCATCCATGCCGAGCTCCTTGGCCCGCTCCCTCATCTTGAACTTCTCCTTTTCGCGGTCGCGTGTGATCTTCAGCGTAGGCAGAGCGACATCGTCAGACTGGTCCGTGCAGCGTGCCACGCGCTGGCAGAAGACTTCGACCGCTTTGGCGACGGCAGCTGGCGTCAAGGTCGAGGCAGGTGCACCCTCGATGACGGTGACGATTGGGCTGATGACTTGCTCGCGCCATTCGTCCAGATCGTTGAGCGAAGCAGTCAGCTCCTTGGTCATAGGGATCACTAGGTTTGAGCGCTGAATAGCTTCGATGACCTTGCGTGCTTCCAGCGTCATTTCCTGATCTGCATGCCCAGCCGTCGTACGCTCCATGATCGAGCGCACCGATCTCTCCCACGTTCGGCCGCTATTGAGAAGCTTCTCGAGCTTGATGTGCTGGTCTGGCACGACAGGCACACGGTTCGGTGTAGATGTGAGGCGGTCGATCTCCTCGAACGTCTTGGGCGCGCCATCTTGCAGCAGCTTCGTCGCCGTGTTGGCCCACTGCTTCCCGTCAACGAGTCGCTGTTTGAGGTCCAGGTAGTGGTGGTGCGTCTTGGGTATGTCCGTCTCCTTAAACTCGGTGAGCAGCTCTCTGACTTCAGTGAGATTGATGTGGTTCTCATAGATCTCGTCCATCTCCGCCAGCCACTTGCGTCCAGCGACGTGTCGCTGCAGCTTGACGTGCTGTGGGATCTCGACATTGAAGCCCGCACCCATTGCGAGCGTCTCCTCGCATTCAGAGAAGGAGACGTCTTCACCGAGAGAGAAGCGTTCGAGGATGCTGGCGCACATCTTGTCCACGTCTTCGATCGCGACGACCGCCTCGCGTAGGCTTGCGATTTCAGGAGCATCAAACGGCAGCTTCTCGACTTCCTCCAACAGAGCGTAGACGGCTCGACGACTGCGCATGCGCACTGCTTGCGCCTCGCGACCATCGGCTACGCTCTCCTCCCGGCCAGTTGGGCTGTCAAAGTTGGCGCCCTTGTTGGGTCGAGCACCGTGACGCTTGGGCATCAGCTTGGCTGCTTGCTGACACCAGTCGTTGGCTTTATCGACAAATTCGCGCAGCTGCTCGATTTCGGGAAGCTGGTCGGCAATCTTCTCGCCCTCTTGAAGTAGGGTGCGCAGGTTGCGAAGCGCCGGACGGCGATTGGTGGTGAGGAGCTTCATGAATCGCTGCTTCCACTGGACTGGCAGCTCAGCTCGATCGACAATCTTCTGCAGGGACGTCTGGAGGTGCTCGTCCGAGTAGCGCAGGCGCAGGGTCCAATTGGTGGGGCTGTCCGCTCCGCAGACCTTGAAAGCGTGCTCGAGGCAGGCGACGCCGGTAGCCTTGGGCGAGGTGATCTGCGAGAGGTAGCAGAAGCAGTTGCAGTGGGCGCATTGATACTCGCTCTCTGGTCGATCTTGATCATCGATCTCCTCGTTGACACCCGGCACGTCATCGCGAATGTCATTCCGTGCCGCCAGCTCGCGGGTGACCATCTCCTTGTACGGATGTTGCAGCCAGCTGGCCGTGTCGATCGAGGTGCTATGCTGAGATGCAGTGATGACGAGCTCATCGTGCGAGAAGACAGGTGCTTTGTTGAACTTCTGGTAGCGCTGGATACACTCGAGGTCGAGGTCGATCCAGTCAGGCAGCGCAAAGTTAACGGCCTCGTTGAGGTTGAAGCCGTGGTTGAAGCCTGAGTGGTACGCCTTCGGATAGGTGATGACGAATTCGTTGGCGCGCTGGTCGCACGAGTAGACGCGAACGCCCTCCTTCTTGAGCTTGTCGGGGCTCATCATCGTGACTAGCTGGAACAAGAGGTCAGGCGATGTCTCGAAGAGGTCGGGCGCCGCCTTGCGCATTGCGTCTTCGAACTTCTCTGCATCACCGCCAGGAATGCCGTACCATGTCTTGGTGTCGCCGAAGTGCTGGTAGTTGATCGAGTAGGTGTAGTGATCCTCATTGTGCCAGCAGAAGGTCGAGAACCTGCGTGGGGGAGGTGGAAAGAAAGAGGTCAGCACAGCTGTCTAGAACGCTGTCTTCGTGTCCTCGTCCTTCCCGCTCGCGCACTCACATCATGCCTACGTAGATCCACGGCACCGTCATTCCTGAGATGTCCGACTTGATGTATCGGAGAAGCGACTGAGGCAGAATTGGCAGATTGTTGAGGTTCCAGCCGTCACGAGAATAGGCACTAAGAGGGTGCGTTTCAAGGGTAGGCATTGCGCTCCCGTGCGTCGTCGAGTGGACGTCGGCGCCGTACTCGATCTCGACCGTATCACTCGGGCTGTGCACCAGTCTCCAGAATTCTCGCTCAACTTGGTCTTCTGGGACTTGAAGTGGGGTGCCAGGGACAGGCCTGACAACGCCATTCGCAGGCGATGTGAGGACCTCCGGCTTGGGCTCCTCAGATCCGCCCAGCTGAAGAGCAGCCTTCTCCTCCCTCTCTGCCTTCTCCTTGAACCAATGACGGCGGAACGAGTCGGCCCGCTGGAAGAAGCTGTCAAGGCTGTGTGTCTCGCCATCGTCGAAGCCGTAATCGTTGCCTGTGCCGACGAGGCACGGTGGGCAGAACCATTGCGACTTGGGCACGGTGGTCAGAGGAGGATCGAGGCAGTACATGTGGTAGCCGCGGTTGCAGTCGTCACAGAGGAGCATCGAGATGCCGTCGTCGCCGCGCAGGCAGATCTCGCACATCTGCTCCTCGGCGCCATCGGCCGTCACAACCTTGGGGCCGTTTGACGAGTCGTGAGCCGTCCTCCGCCTGTTCGTCGTGGTCTCCTGCCTGGACGACGATGCTTCCGTTCGTCGCCTATTGCTGCGGCGAGTTGAGCTGGTGATGGCCTCTGCTTCAGCCTGCAACACCTCTTCGAGACTCGAGCCCGCGGCGAGCATCTCTTGACCCCACTGAGTCGCAGGCTTCTTGCTGCCCGTTGTGGCACCGACATCTGGAGTAGCCGTCGATCGACGGGCGGCGGAGGTTGACGAGCCCGATGCATGCTCGCGCGCCTTGATGAGGAACTGCTCGAAGGGGTGGACGATCTTCATGTACGCTGCCTTGATCTGCCCTGCGACCTGCGCTGCAATGGGATCTTGGTAGCCCAAAGCGCGAGACAAGTCGGCCCACCTGCGCGTGCGGTTGATGAGCTCATGCCCGCCATGCTCCTTGACGAGGAGCTTGAGCTGGTACAGATTGACAGGACGACGGTCGATGACGGGAATCGAGACGCGAGCCTTTCCCTGCTGCGAATGGAACTTTTGCAGCTGCTCCTGATAATTGAGTGTAGCACGAGCATCGGCGCTGAGTGAATTGAGCTGCTGTACTCTGGTCCTGAAGCGGAACCGTTCTTGATCGAGGACGAAGTCCGAGTGCCAGCCCTCGGGAGGCACAACCTTGACAATTCCGTAGGCTTTGCCGTTGCCTCCCTCGGGCGAAGAGATGTGATCAATGTACTTCATAGGCTCAGCAAATTCCTCCCAAGTGGGATAGAAGACCGGGCAGTCTTCCAACTCAAAGAGGCGGGCCTTGGAACGGCAAGGAGGATGGCGAGGAGAGCTCACGTACGTCGGCACGATGGGCTTGGAGGGTAAAGGGTCGTCCTTGGCAGTTTGAAAGGGCAAGGGCGCTGTGGAAAGAAGTTGTTGAGCTCGCCGAGCTGGATGCTGAGCTGGAGTGGGGATACCGTTGAGAGGCATGCCATTCTGCGAAGAACCTTGGTACGACGATGATGGGGTCGAGCTCTCATCCTGTGGGAAAGAAGTATAGGTGTGTCAGTCAGCCAGAAGGCTAGGCGCGTACCGTTGCATCAGCGAAAGACTTACTTTGGGCGCATTAGGCCCCATCCTCTTCATGCCGCCCTCCTTGGCAGGTTGAGCGATGGCGTCATTCTTGTCTTGCTCAGAGTTGCTGAGTGGCGCAAAAGAGCGGGATGTGATAAAGGTGGGCTCGATCTTGCGAAGTTTGACGGGTGCGAGGCGTGACGGGCCAGCGGTAGGAGCGCTGGTGGCGCTTGGCCCTGCGGCTGGAGTGGATGGCGTCGATGTGCGGGGCGTGCCGCTGATGCTGGTCATAGCGCTAGTTGACTCGCGGCCTGATGCTTGGTTGCCGCTACCGACTCCATTGTTTGGTGTGAGCACAGCCTCGAAGCCATTAGGAGCGCTGGCGCCATCAGCATTGCCGTTGGCCTTGGTCGAAGCAGCCGCCGCCACGACAGCCGCTAGCGCATCTCGACTTGACGAAGGCGACAGAGCGTGGCCGAATGCAGCGTTGACATCGCGGCTCGCTGAGCCATCCATGGCTCCCGCAGCAGCCTTGCTCGGTGTGCTCGACTTTGGGTGAAGGTCGTGTTGCTGTTGATGCGCTGTGTTGGTGGTTGAGGTGTAATTTGGTGTCGTGTTCGACGTCGAGGTCTGAGCTCGCTGCTGCTGCTGCTGCTGCTGCTGCTGAGATGCGCCGCCGCCGATCCCGCTGCTGAGTGCAGCCGACGGCGACGCTTGGTCCGCCCGCGCGCTCCAAGTCGACGGCGGCCCAGAATTGGCCCCGCCCACGCCCGCGATGGCGCTGGTAGTGCGGAGAGGAGCAGAAGACGGCGATGGCCCAGCAGAAGGAGAGCCTAGTCTGTTGCTACCAGACCGAGCAGAGGACATCGCGGCATCGACGACATCTGCATCCCGCTCATCGTCGCTCGTCTCGCGATAGGACATCGACTTGCGAGCTCGTCGAGGTGGCGTGGCGCCATTCGATGACGAGGAGACGGCACTCATGTTGGCATCGCCGTTGGAGAAGGAAGTTGCCGTCGTCGGATGTGAAGTGGCACTCGGCGGCGGCTTCTTGCGTTTGAGTGTTATCTTCATGCCATTCGAGGCAGGGCGGGATGAAGACGATGAGGATGCGATGGCGGCGCCGTTGCTGGCAGGTGAGGAAGCTGGCCCCTGTATTGAAAGTGCGGATGGCGTGCCATTGCGATGATGCTGCTGCTCATCGCCACCTGCCATATTGGCAGGCTGACTTGTTGGTGCCATGCTTTGCGTGCAACGTGAATCGACGAACGAGGTTACGAAGCGATGAAGCGTGGAGAGAGAGAGAGGCGAAGCAAAGGCCGCGGCGAGTGCGCTATTTCAGCGGCTCAAGCCAAGCAAGCCAAGCCAGCGACTGAAGCCAGAAAGAGTCAAAGGGGGGGCAGATACAGACACAAGAAAGAATGCGACGAGCGCACAAAGATGTTGTCGGGTGTCGAGGTTGGAGAGGGGATGAGGATGATGGGATGTCTGAGGTGCGATGCCGTTGCGGGCTGGGCTGAGTGAGACGACAACGACGAGCGACAGACTGCGCTTGCTTGGCTCTCCGTTCGCAAGTTGCCTCTCTTTGTGCGACTGCGACTGCAGGAGGGAGATCGCTTCGAGTTCGGTCGACGGGAGTGCCACGCGGTCCGCGGCTGCCTCTTCTGAACCCCTCTCACCACTCGACGAGAGCCGGAGCTTGACATTGAGCACCGGACCTTCACTGGATCGCGCTGAGAATCGATCTGAGGATGCAACAACAGTGACATCGGATGATATTGACTGGTCTGACCTTGCTGAGACTTTTGCTGGCGCCGCGTGCCTGGCTGAACAGCCTCGCAGCATCCGCGGAGCTTGGCTCAGAGTTCCAAGTAGCGCATAATCCTAGCCCGATCTCAGTCGTGGATATTGTAATGATCACGCACGCTCGTCGTCCCATCTTCATCGTTCTGATCATCTCATCACCTCCTGTTCTGTCAGGATGCCGCCTCGACGGCGTCTGCTGCGCCTGAGCGAACGAGTAGCGGAAATTAGCCTTGAGCCTGAAGCTGAGGCGGCTGTGGAGGACGAGGGCCAATCAAGTCAAGTGGGACAGGGTTCCGGTCGCCTGCCGGCGGTGAGCGAAGGCCGCTTCGCAGCTCCTACGACCAACAGCAGCAGCAGCAGCAGCTCGGCCGCCTCATCCTCATCCTCATCGCTTGGGTCTTGGCGCTTCTCCTAACGAGAGAAAACTCTCTTTGCCTTGTCGCTACCCTTACCGATGGACTAGGGTGGCGGCTGTCTTGTAGACATAGCCGCCGCAATGAGCACCCGTGATCGATTCTTCTCTTCCCTCTCGTCAGCTCAGGATCAACTCTTCTCGCGGTTGGACTCATTACAACAGCAGCACTTTCCGCAGGGAGCAGCCAACACCGCAGGATCATCCTCCTCGCATCAAGGCGTGCACGTTGCATCGCAACGTCAACAGCGAGAGGACGACGAGGAGAATCTCCCCACTTACGCGCCCGACCAACCACACAACGCAGCCCCCATCCCTCATTCGGTCCTCACAGCGCCACCTGGCCAAGCGCAGCAGGCGTACGATTCTATGCCACGCTCGCGCCTCGAGAATGCCTCTGCGCCGGACAGGGACAGGCGGAGAGCTGCGGAGGAGCTGAGGCGACATCAGGAGATGCTGCACAAGGGCGGTGCAGCCGGTGGCGGCGGGTTGACGCAGGAGCAGAGGGCGATGGGACTTAAGACGGTACATTCTTATGCTGCCGGGAATGGCAAGGTCATACTGGATATTCATACCTTGCCGCAACGAAGCCCGACTTTCATGGGCGGGAGCGCTGAGCGAGGGCGAGGAGCATTGCAGGGCCAGGCGGTCCTATTCACTCAGGACGCTGAGAGGATCACGGCGGTGAGATTGAAGGTGAGTCTCATATCGGCTGATGAGATGATGGGTAGCTGCAGGACTGACCATGTCCTCCTCCTCTTCCTGATCCCTTCGCCCCAGATCAAAGCCGTATCAAGCATCTCCCTCCCGCGGTCGCACCTGCCCCCGTCTAATGATCCCTCCCGACGTTCAGCCGGTCCTGCCCCTTCAGGCCCCGTAGTCCTCTCTGGTCGTTCTCCTCGCGCCGAACCCACCACAGCGAAAGAGCATCTCCTGCTTCAGCTCGAAAAGACTCTGTGGTCCGCCGACTCTGTAAATACAGGGCACAGTCGCAGCGCTTCAGCAGACGGCCGAGATCCCACGAGCTGGAAGGCTGGCCGGCACGTCTTTGACTTCAAGATCGACCTGCCATCGCAGAGCAAAGATGGAAAGGATTTACCACCCTCTTTCGTTTTTCTGGCCGATCCCACCGCTTCGGGCTCCTCCGTACCCCCAACGCGAGCCGGGCAGCAGGGCCTGGGGGACTCGTTGTCCATGGCAAAGAAATGGGTCGAGCAAGCTGGCGGCCTCTCAACAGGAGAGGGGGAGTGGGCATCCATCAAGTGGTACGTCAAGCTCACCGTGGAGCGACCAGGCCTCTTCAAGAGCAACGAGAGGATCTTTGCCCCCTTTGTGTATCTGCCACCGCCGAGTAGGAAGGTGCAGGAAAGGGTGTTGCCCAATAGGATCAGGCTATCACAGCAGGTCAGACAGAATCCGACCATGCCGGGCAACGCGCTGGCCGAGCCAATGGCATCGTGGGGTGGCAGCGAGCTCGACCTTAACGCGACAGGCGTCACAACGAAGCCGGGAAAGGGAGGGCTGGGCAAGGGCAAGGGCAAACAGTCTGCGAACGGCTCAGGAGGGGGTATGTGGTCTCGCTTCCTCAAAGGCCCCGCTCTTGCAGGCTCTTCCTCTTCCTCCTTGGACGGAGCAAGGTGGTCGATCTCTCTACCCAACCAGCCCTCCATTTGGCCGCTCAAGAGCAGCCTGCCCTACCAGATTTGCGTGGAGGGAGGACCAGGAGGGCTCAGGCCACCCATATTAGGGCTCTTTCTGCGTGTCACGCTGATGAATGCAGGCAAGGGATTGTTGAGCAGCAAGAACGCGCCACAGAGCGGGACGGAGACTCGCCTCATTGCCACTGGTCGTCTCTACGGAGGCGAGAGCCTTCGCTCGAATGGCTCATCCGCGCTAACCCAGACGTGGCGGGGCATCCTAGACCTACCCCCTCAAGCAACACCAGACTTCGAGTCACCCCTCGTCGACACGGAGTACTTCATCGGCGTGCAGAAGGAGCCCGGCAGCCGAATCGTTTGGGCGCAGAAGATTTTGCTGGTCTGCAACGTGCCAGCGGTTATTGTTAGGCGCAATACTACGGCTACGAATGGTGGTACAGTCCGAGGCGTGAGAAGGGTGCCGTCCGCATCCATGAGGAGAGGGAGTGCGGGACGTGTGAACGCAGGAGCGGGAGGCACGATTCGAGCTAGCAGTGGGAAGACGCCTCCGCCGATGCCGAGCAAGGGAGGAGGAGCAGCGGGAGGCAAAACGGCGATGGCAGGCTCGTCGTCGAATATCGCCAGGCGGCCGGACGAAGCTCCTCGTCGACCATCCTCGTATGCGGCAGCGGGCCCGTCCACCCCAGCCAAGCAACGTCTCAGTGCTCAGCAACAGGCACAAGCATCCTCCTCATCTTCCCCGCCTTCACGCCGCAATAGCCCACCATCAGGAACGTCACGCCTGCCACCGGGTAGCTCGACGGTTGCCGCGATCGTGCCGCCTCCTCCTGCCCATCCCTCGACCTCAGCCAGACGGCCCGACGCTGCGTCACGAAGAAGCAGCGCAGCCTCTACGAGCGTCATGCCTGGTGCTGGTCCAGGCTCTGCGTCCTCATCAGCCGTCGGTGTGGGCACCACCGCCTATCCACCGGAGAAGGTGCCTCCTCCTCCTCCCACGTCCTCCGCCGCGGCTCCTCCTCAGCCCGAGGAGAGAGAACCCACCTCTTCCCGCTCTCGTCGTCGGGAACATGAAGCTGCTTCGCAGGCCGCCTCTCGCTCTTCATCTCGTGCGCCATCGGAGGCCCACTCTGGCTCTGGCGGACACACTGTGGTCACGGATGACGGCAATGATGCTGATTGGGAGTTCCAAGACGGGGACGGGGCAGAGGGAGAGAATCTGGAGGACATGGGGATGGACATGCCGCCAAGCTATTGGGAGGCTGTGCGGGACGGACCAGGGGAGGACTAGAGTAGGCGGTGGAGTGGTGGAGTCACCATATGTGGGGAAGCGGGTCGAAAACCTTGTCTATACCAGCTCTTGTTGAGTCTTCGGAGCAGCGGATGTCTCATAGCCCGCGTATCATCACGTTGTATCGTGTGTCGTGACCATCTCGTCTCACAATATGAGACAAATCTTACTCAACTCGACGCGATACCATTCATGCCCGTCGAACCTGCGTCGCCTAAGCAGATGCAACGAGATGAAGCTTGAAGCGCTGAAGAGGTGTTGAGGCTAGGGCACTGATGAAGCGGGCAAATGATTTGCGGGGCAGAGGCGGCAACGGATGGGATGGGCACGGACTAGCCGCCGGCGGATCGTGTGGCCTTGAGTTCTTGGCAAAAGCGTGCGAGAGCCAGGCGAGGGCGAGCGACGCTTTGACTTCAGGTTCTCGCTCGGAGAGAGACGAGGCGGGCGTGGGCGGCGCCGGTGCGGGCGTTGAGTGGCTGCACGCACCAGAGAGGCAGAGGCAGACCGAGCGAGGGCCATTCGACGCCGATCCACACTTTCTTTGCACCACCCACTACTTGATCGTCACCATCGTATCGAAAGGGCAGCTGCGCAACTTCCATCGCCCTTGCTCACGCAGTACAAGGACCGCGATCCTCTGCCAAAGCCTCATTGCAGTCGCCTGACACTCCCTGACCGACGAGGACGCAACTCCCTTGGTCGTCGATCGCAGCCTCGTCAGCGGTTCACTCCGCTCGACAACCTCGTCCTCGTCCTCCTCGTCGTCCTCCCTTGCTTCTTGTAAGGGCTGCAATTACGTCCAGCATACCTTGGCGATGAGCGGCAGCACATATCGCCGTGTACCCACAGGGGAGAGTGGTCTGCCTGCTCCATCCACATCAGAAGGCCCACGCAGCGGCCTCAGCGCTCGAGGAGCAGCCGCCGCCTCTGCGTTAGCCAGTCCATTGCTCAACAGAATAGGTCATTCACCGCGGAGAAGATGGGCAGCACTAGCAGGAGCAGCTACACTGGTCGTCATCCTCTTTCTCACACTCACGCCGTCGAGTGAAGAGGGGCCCTCTAGACTGCGGACCGCAGCCTGGGGTAACAAGAATGCGAATCCATGGTTCAGACTAGGGGCCAAGGCACCTACAAATGGGCAGTGGAATGATCAAGCCTTTGAGGCAGGTGGATGGGTGCAGGGAAGTGGGAGGAAGAATTTGACCTACGACTCGCCCTTTAATCGAGAAGACTACTCGTTGACAGAGGACGAGTGCGATGCCTTCTTCCCAGGCTTGTGGAAGGAGATTGACAGAAGTGTCGAGTATTTCACTACAAAGCAAAAGTGAGTCAGCGCAGCCATATCATTGCTTAATTCCAGGGAGGAGGAGCTGACTTTCCTGAACACCCTCCCACGCCACGCCAGATTCGACAAGGAATACCTCGAATTCGTCTGCGACGATGGCATCTGGAGCAATGCACGCGTAGTCATCTACGAGAACCAAGTCTATCTCAAGCACTACAAGCAGTCTGACTTCACTCGTTCCCAAGCCGCTCTGCACCTCCTTCACCTCTCGGTCATGACCGCCCGCGAGAGATTGCCCAACGTCGAGTTCTGCGTCAACTTGGTCGACTGGGGATCCCGCGGCAAGTTTGGGCTTGACCGCAGTCCTGACTTGCAGGACGTCTGGCTCATGCCAGACTATGGTTGGTTCGCTTGGCCAGAGCATGTAGGCTCGTACAAGGACTATAGGCGACGAGCAGCAAAGGTGGAGCAGGAGGTTGGCTGGTCAGGAAAAGTGGACAAGCTCTTCTGGCGCGGCTCAATGCGCGTAGGTACGGCAGACAGGGAAAGTATGAAGCAGATGTCAGACGGTCACGCCTGGAGCGACGTAGAGGAAGTACGTTGGGGGGATGGAGCTACCAATGCAGTCACCATGGAGGATCACTGTCGCTGGAAGTTCCACGGCTTCCCTGAGGGCAACACCTACTCTGGGCGACTGCGTTACTTGCAGAACTGCAGAGTGGTCATCGTCACCCACCCGCCGAGATGGATTCAGCATTGGACCCATCTCTATAATGCTGACCCGAACTCGCCGGATCAGAACATCGTCTACGTGGACCCGCCTGCGCCAGATGCTCCCTCCGTCCTCGTCCACGACGAGAAGGGCAATGAGTTCCGCGACGCTACATGGCACAATCTGCCAGCAACGATGGACTGGCTGCTCCGCAATGACGAGCGAGCGAAGCTGATTGCGGACAATCAGTGGGACTTCTTCCGCGAGCGATACATTTCGCCTGCATCTGCGACGTGTTACTGGAGGAAGCTGATCAAAGGATTTGCGAGCGTTCAGCTCTACGATGTGGACTTGAGTGGGAGCGAGACACCGTATGAGACTTGGTTGTTGGGAGGCCATAGGCTGAAGGGCGAGAGTGGAATGCATTGAGGGAGCGAGAGGCGGGCAAGCAGCAATTTCTCTTATCGTCTGGGGCTCCTCATATCCATCTTGATTTCTTGTCACAGCTCGACGAGCCTACTTTTCCTCCTGCTGCGCTCTCGCTGGCTCTCGCTCTTCCCACATCACACACAAAGACATTACCGTATTGCAGACATTCCACTTTGTTCACTCTGAGATCGCGGGAAGAAACGATGAGGTATCTGAAATTCTCGAGACAAGAACGTAACGGAGCGAGACCGAGGCACAGAGCGATAGATGAGGATACAAGAGAGAGGCAAGAAAGGAAGAGAGGGAAGAGGCAGAAGCGATAAGAGGCAACGCATATCTCAAGACCGTGACTGTAACTGAAGACGAGGATGCAGCTGGCTGCTTGCGTTGCTGGCTGTACCGCATGGGATGCATGGCCGGCCCAGCCGGCTTGTCTACGCCTCTTTGCCCTATCTCGGCACTCTTTGCGCTCTCCACGATCTTACAGCGCCGACTTGCCGTGGCCTTCCACAGTGAGAGTGGCAGCCAGGAAAGCAGCCAGACAGAAGATGGCCGCCGAGGTGAAGACGGGTGCTGAAGGTGCTTTTGTGCCAGCGTAGATCTTGATGATGGGCGCCATGGAACCGAAGACACGGTTCAAGCTCGAGGCGACTCCGTCACCCGTTCCTCGTGCGGGAGCGGGGAAAGACTCGGGCGTCATGTGGTAGAGGACACCGTACATGCTGTTCTGGACGAGGGAGTTGGCGCAGTTCAGGCCAAGGTAGGCCGTGTCCGTCGATGCGCCGGTGACGGCGAAGACGAAGACTCCAGTCAAGAGAGTGGAGACGGCGAGGGCACCACGACGTCCTGAGCGGGGCAGCTCGACGAGCCAGGCAGCGATGATCGATCCGGGGACACCGCAGGCTGAGATGATGGCATAGTCGCGGTAGGTTGCGTCAGTGGATGCGGCCGTTGCTACTCCTGAGCCGACGAAGCGTTCGTTGAGGTAGGTGGGAAGGAAGGAGTTGTACAGCGGGTAGGCGAGACCGATGAAGCCCCAGATGAGCCAGAGAGTAATGGTGTTGTATGCCACCTTCTTAGTCGCGAACAAGGGGTTGATGTGAGCCATGTTGGGCTTGAATGACTGAGCGTTCATTCCCTTGACGGACTTGACGAGGTCGCTGGGGATGCGCATAAAGTCGCGAGCAACTGACTTGAGGCCATTGTCGACGACGGGGAGGGCGTCGTCTTCGGCCTCATTGTGCTCTTCACCAGCAGCGGCGCGAAGGATAGCGAGGGACATGACGTCCTCAGGAAGTTCTTTGCCGTTACGGCGGGCGATGTCACGGAGAACAGCGACGGCTTCAGCGTCGCGACCTTGCGAGAGGAGGTACTTGGGCGACTCGGGCAGCTGGAACATGAGGAAGCGCAAAAAGAAGCCGGTGAGGGTGATGGCGCCCAGAGTGTAGAAGGTGTAGCGCCAGCCGTTGTTGGTCGAGACGTCGCAGTATTGAGGGGCGACGGTCGGGTCGGGCTGCGGGTTTGAGTTAGAGCCGGTGCACGAGTAGTTGGCGATGAAGGCCCAAGCGAGAAGAGAGGAGATGAGCTGGCCGATAGCCCAGAAGACGGAGAGGAGCGTGAGGAGGTACTGGTGGGATCCCGGGATGAACTCGAGGAAGAGCATGCCGTCGACGGGCAGGGATCCACCGACACCGAAACCAAGAGCTGCGAGGAGACCGCCGAGAGCCGTGAATGAAGGGGCGGCACCTGCTGCTACACCGAAGACACCGCCGATGAAGAGCGTGGCGTTGAATGAGGGACGACGGCCGATGATGTCTGCGACGATTCCCCAGAGGGCGGCACCGGTGATGAGACCCATGTAGAGGGAGAAGGTCATCCATGGGGTGTGCTGGGCGTCGAAGAACTCGTTGCCTACTTGGGGAAGAATGATGGCGACACCTTGGAGCCAGATGTTGTCGACGAGCCAACCGTAGCCGGACAGGGCGAACAGTTGCCATTGGAACTGAGGAAGAGAGGGACGAGAGATCGAGTCAGTCTCGCAGCGATTTCAAATTACAGTGCCATGCAGCGCTCAAACTCACCTTGCCCATACCAATCTCCTCTTGCAGTACCTTGTTGACCAAGAAGATCTTTCGCTCGTATCCGGGGTCGAGACCAGATGCGTCAACGCGAGCGAGGTCGGCCTTGAGCTCATCGGAGAGATTCTCAGAAGAGTTGATAACAGCCATGTCGTCTTGCTGCTTCTTCTCGTCCAACTTCTCAGGGTCCGAGCCGTTGCTGACGTCGCGCTTCATCTTGGAGTCGTCAATGGGTGACGAGTTGCCCGAGACTTTCTCGACGGTAGGGGACGACATTGTGAGCGTTGGAGGGTGGTGGTGATGGATGGTTGGGCTGGGTGGGGAGATAAGCGTCCGAGGGCGCGATAGGGGGATGCGGGGGGTAAGGGACCTTGTCCTTTGGGATTAGGAATGCGGCACTGGTAGTGGTGGTCGCCGGGGGGGGAAGAGGCGTCTTGAGGACGAGTTGGTTTGTAAGGAAGGGGGGAAGATAGGAACGAAGAGGGCGATGGCGACCGTACTACTTAAACCAAGAGACCTGAATGAGCTCTCACTGTCCTCTACTACCGGCTCCCTGTTTGCCGCCGACCCAGCTCTCCCCTCGCTGCCCCCTCCCCGCGGCGGCGGGCAGTAGTATGCCACCAGTTGGAGTGCGAGAGCGAGCGAGAGATGCGGCGTCCGGACGTTGAGTGACGACGGTAGTGCTGCTCTCGAGTCGTCCGCACTCACTCCTCGGCTGCCCTGTCGAGCACTAAGCCGTGCCCTGCCAACCCAAACCTCAACTCGCTCATCGACGTCCGCCGTCCAGCCCCCCCGCTTGCCCGCCCGCCCGCCTGCCCACCCGCCCACATCTAGGCTCAGGCTCTTTGGTCGCTCCGCGTGGCCCAGTGCATATCAGTGCGCTTCCTCCTTCTCCCCGTCTCTTCCTCTTGGCCCGTACCCAGCCGAAGGGCCAGACAAAAAGACAATGGGCGACCACCTCATCTGGGCCCTGACATAGCCACCCCTTTTCCTGACTGCCCCTCTCCTCTGGTCAAGGCGACTTTGGTAGCTTCGAAGAGGCTCTTCTCTGGCTTAGATTGACTGCCCTTCTGCCTTCCGACGACGCCGCTCGCGCCTTGCAGCCCTTAGCGTGGGGTGCATCACGGGCAGCAAAAGAGCGCTTTATCGTGCATCTAGCTGCCAATCTGCCACAAAGCTCGCCCGACTGGCTCCACGAAAGCCTTCCGCACCGCGCCGGATCGGATCGATCTGAGAAGAGAGAGAGCACAGCAGCAAGCGGGCGGACGCAGTGGCAAGCACAGCCGCCGTCATTGTGCGGGCGACACAGCACCGCGCGGCGCGCAAAAGACAGGCCGGCAAGCAACATCGAGACCGACCGCTTCCGGCCTTGGCCCACCCCACCGCTGCTCTGTGCCACCACTCTTAGCACGGCCTAGAGCGTAGGGCCCAGAGCGTAAGAGAAGTGATCACGGAAATGGCCAGAGCGTGGGAAGTCTTCCTCTCCCTCTCTCTCTCTCTGCGCGCCGCTGCCATCCGCCATCACCGCACAGCTAGCTTCTGCCAACCATTACAGCGGAGGGCCGGCGTGAGCGGCGTCTACGGCAATTCCTGAAACCCTTCGTCGGTAGATCAATTTCGAAGTGGTCCCTGATCCAATTGGCCAACGGAAAATGGACCCAGCAAGCCTCGTCGAATCCTTTGTCCCGCCCGCGTGACTGTGGAAGCTCCGGCAGTTCCAGACCATGCCACACGACACAGACCAGACGAACGAGAGAACGAATCCTTCTTAGCCCGAACAGCCTTTGTGCGTAGAGTGTCAAGGATGTGTAACGCAACGACTGAGCGGACGAAAGTGGACGACGTACCACGCACGACGTCGGGACGCTTTGCAGTCGCAGGCGCCACTCCGAACTTGGCTTCACCCTTGGCGGCTTTGATTTGGTCGCTGAAAGGTCGGCACGCAGAGAGTGGTAGAGGGTAGCTCCGGTATCGGTGAGCCGGTCGGCTCGCGTGGGGAAAGCAAGCATACCGTAAAGCAAGGTCATGTTACGGTCCGCGCTTGCTAGCTGCGTACCCCACGCCCGCTGCTCGACATATCCATCATCGCCGAAGTCACCGGCATAGGATTACCTTGTTTGCTTGCTTGCTTGCTAGCCCCTGTCGTCCGCTTTGAGCCGCGAGAGACGACGACAGTTGGCAGGGTCATATGGGCACTACCGCGAGGCGAGCATTCCCATGCCAATGCTGCCCCCGTCACGGGACGAGCTTGAGCTCCTGCAGTCTGGCAGTACAGAGGGGTGCGGTCACGAGCGTCACCTTCAATGCCTAAGACGCCGCTGCTGCTCGTCCGAGAGACGCGGGTCTATTAGGAGAAGCCGACGAACGCACGGAGGCCGAAGGGCGGTGAGAAGATGGTTACGGTAAGGGGAGACATCCAGTGATTGCGAGGACGATGAAGGCGATGGGTCATGATCATCACAGTGGCGACGGGGCCCCACACCACCCATCTCTTTGTATCTTAATTCGACAGCTTGTCAAACGGGCATCATCGAATCTCCTAATGCCAGATCCAACTCCCGCCACTCGCACACCATCTCGATCGAGCGCACACGGCACGGGGCAAACGAACGATGACATGAGCAGGGCGTTGGGCCCAGAATTTCGCCCTATGGATCGCCCATTGATCATTTAGAGCTCATGATCCAGCGCGGAGATGGGCTCGAATCACTTTGGCGGCTTCGATGATGGTAGCGCTGCGACGCTCCAAGGAGCTACAAGTGGAAGGGAGCGCTGACGCTTCGCGGCGCCGGAAGGAGTTGCAAGCCGATGCCCGCGAGCAGAGCCGCGGCGGCGACGCGTTCGAAGGGGTCCAGCCCACAGCAGCGTCACTGAATTCGTATCAACTGGCTGAGCCTTCCTGACTTATGAATGGTGTGGCTGAGATGATCGTACCAGTGTGATCGATTGATTGCCCCGCAGAGCCAAGACACGGTGTACAAGAGTCGAAGGCGAGAAGTCATGGCCAGATCGAGGTAGGAAAGTCATGAGTTGACGCGATTGTATTCGAAGTGGTGCAAGTGCGACGGATGAGAAAGAGTGAGCCTCGACGACACTTCAGTATCGGAGGGTCAGAGACAGGGGTCTAAGGGTCGTACAGGAAACGCAAGTCATGGCGAGCGATACAGAGTCAGAGTCGAAAAGTCACAATGCGCAAGGAAGTTCACACCCATCACCCCACTCTACCTCCCCTCTCTAAAGCACCCCACGCACCTAACCTCACCATCCTCCCTAACCTTCGCAAAGCTATCCAACTGTTTGCCGCACACGCCTGCCCCGCTGCTGCTTGACACGGAGTACCTCTTGACCACCGCAGGCACGGCTGCGGTGCAGACCAAGCATTTGCGATGCCACGCGCTCCCTGCCGGTCCGGGTACGGACTCGAGTGAGGTAAGACGACCTGAGCACCCGGCGCAGGTGAGCATGCCGCCGTACCTGCTCGCTGGAGCGGCGTTGGCCGTGGTGGGAAGGGTGCCGGAGGATAGCGCTGAGCGTGATGGCGATGCAGGAGGCGAGATTGCGGAACCTGGCGCCCTGCTGAAGGGGGACGACGAGGAGGGCGACCCGCTGCTGGAACCGCTAGCGAAGAAGCCTCGTGCTGGGTTGACCCCACCTGACCCGCCACCAGGGCGGTGCACATTGAGCGTGCTACGGGTGGGAGGAGCTGCCCCTGTTGACGACTTGAACTGGCGAAGAGAAGGGGAGGTGCGTTGCGGCGAGGGAGGACGACGGGAGAGAGTGCGACCCAAGTTGGGCGAGGATGGGCTGGCGACCTTCTCCGCGGACGTCGTAGGAGTAGTCGCTGCCGCCGGAGCCGCAGTTCGATGAATGAACGAATGTACGGCGACCGGCTCGCGACTTTTCCGCTGCGCAGTTGCAGCGCCGACGATGGCGTCGTGAGATGACTCCGGAGTGGACGACAAGCTGCTCGGCCTCGGCAGCAGCTGCTGTGTTGCATGTGAGCGCCTGAGAGAGCTTACGCTAGTGGATGAAGGGAGACGTGCGCCCAATTCGCCTGCTACAGCCGGCGAGCGGGATCGACTGGTCCAATCCACCTTTGCTGGAGGGGGAGCACATGATGGATGAGCCCATGCTGGTAGCTTGCCGTCGTCTTGCTCGCCTTCAAGAGTGGTGCTGGGCATGCGTACAAAGCTCTTCGCTGCGTCAATGACCTGATGGCAGACTGCGCAAGTGAAGCATTCGGCGTGTAGCTGGTGAGAGGTGGGGAGAGTGATGAGGGAGACTTCACGCTGGCCACAAGGCGAAGAGGAGGAGGAGGAGGAGGAGGATGGGCCGTCGAAAGCGCCCTTCCCGCATGAGGCGCACTGCATGTCGTCGACGTTGACCGCAGGCTGTGTCTCACGCTGCCTTGCCTGTGCCTTGATCTCCCTTTGGGCTTTGCTATCAACGTCGTCGTCGTTGCTCTTGACTGGACTGGCACTCCTGCTCCTCGGCCCACCCGATAATGGGGTCCCAAATCGATTCGCCATCTCCGCAATTGTCGGATCCATCTTCTCATGTGCAGCCTTCTGTTTGTCCCTGACTGATGACGCATTGCTACCAGTCGCGCCAGGTGTCTCCTCCCTGCTTCTCTTTGGCCTCGCCCCCTTCGGAATCTTGCCAAAGCAATCCTCACAGCTTGGATTGCCGTTCAGGTCGAGCATGACGTCTTTGCCTCCCTGCTTGGCGCCTGCGCCAGCATCGCAGCCAAAGCACCTGAAGCAATGGCCATGAAAGATGGATCCTCCTACTCCTTTCACGTAGACGCCCGTCTCCTTGGTTGACCCGAGCACGGCTTTGCAACAGGCGCTGCATTCTCCAAGTGAGTACTTGGCCGTGTAGCACGCCTTGCAGAAGAAGCTCTCTTGTCCACCCTGTGCGCCGCACTGAACAGCACTTGCTGGCGGAACGTAGATTGTCGAATCCCTCGCAAAGACTTCGCCGCACTGCCCGCACGCCCACTTGTTCCGGCTTGCAGCAGGCTCAACAAGGGACCCAACGACTTTGCTTAGCCCACCGGATGAGTTGGGGACGACCGGTGAGGCGGGCGTGTGTGGGAGATGAGCCGGAACGTGGATGCCGCTAGAGAGGCTGCGCTGCTGTGATATTTGCGGGCGTTGTAGGTTGGCGGGCGGGGGAGTGGGCTTGGAGGTGCGCAGGTCCCGTGAGATGGAGGAGGGCATGCCTAGCCCGACTGAGGGTGCATTGCCAGACGTGGGAAAAGGTCGCAGCGGGCGAGAGTCTTCCGTGTGAGGGGAGGAAGGCCCATCTTCCTCTGTGGGGGAACCGGCGCCAATACCAGCCAGATACCTGTGCATGAGGAGGAAGGACGTCAGGTCACCTTGCTGGCCTGCTCGGGTGCCCACACTCACCTTGACACCCAAGGGTCCTTTGCTTTCGTGCCTTCATTCCTTCCAACGCTAGCCTTGACCTTTGGTGCCATCCCCAAACCAAAGCAGCGCGAGCATCGCGCCCGAGTAGCAGGAATTCGATCGCCGCACCGCACGCAGAAGGTGGGACCAGAGGCCGAGCTGGGTGAAGCTGCCGCTGTAGCCATCTTGCCACTGTTCCTCCGTCAGTGCAGAGAGAGAAGAGACGACGTAAATGAAGTTGAACAGTAGATGGGAGTCGCGTGAGTAGATGCAGCGTAGGAGGAAAAGGTGGGAACGCGATTGAGCAAACAAACATCTACGGAGGGCGGCGAGGCGGAAGCGCAGCCCCTGAGTCGAAATCTGAGCACGGGCCACCCTCAGAAGAATTCACCGGACGACATCAACATCAAAGATCGCAAGAGCGGGCAAAGCGATTGATGGGACGGAGCGGATAATACGAACATAATACAGAGCATGATACCGAGCGATTTGATGATACTCGAACACTGATCAAAACTCAACTTTCGTCCTGTGTCTATCCTTGGGAGGTCTCTCGCTCCGCCTCATCGTCTTCCTCATCTAGCCGTCCTGACCCAACCGTCCACATGGACGGGTCGACCAATGCGATATTGCGTGTCGCTTCGTACCAGGAGACTTGTCTTGATGCAAAGTCGGTCCCCGCTGCTATGCCTGTGCGCTGTGATCTGCTCTGCCTGGTCTCTACGCTTGCGGTGTCACCCCGGCTATGTCCCGGGGTGATGACCTGGCCTAGCGATGGAACTTGACGCAAGGCCCGAGGTGGAGGAGGAGGGAGTGGCCATTGGCAAGGATCTGGAGCAAGCTCATTCGGACGCGTGCTCACATGCTCAGATGCTGGAGTCGATGGTAGCGCGGTTGAAGATGGCAGAGCTGCCAAGCTGCTGCTCGCGCTGGGGTCAAGCTGATTGTTTCTCCCACAATATCTTGTCGATGGCAGTGGGCGCTGCTCAGTCTCGACGGTATGCGTCGTTTTCACCATGATCCGCAACGGGATAGTAGGCTGCTGAGTCGCTGACAGGCTGCTTCGCTTCCTTCCCAGTCTTCGCGCACGATGAGCCTGCCCTGTTACTGCTTGGTCTGACGCGTCTGAGCGGCTGCCTCGAGCTCGATGCCACTTCCGCACGATCAGGTAGCACGCAGCCCACAGCACTAGCGAGGCCACAAGGATGCTGAGTAGGACCCAGAGGGCCAGAAGAGCAGGAGGCTCAGCGTCGGAAGAGGACGACAGAGAAGGTGAGGGGCGCACAGTATGGGCGGTGGGCTGCGACATGGCGTAGCTGTGGGACTGACTCTGACCCGTGGGCCGACCGAATAGCCTCAGCAGATATGTATAGGTCAGGGAAGAGGGAGATGACAGAGAAATGCTCCGTATCCTGGCTGCTAAGGAAAGCTCTCGGCCTCGTTGACTCCTACTTCCGTCGTTGCTACGAAGACGCGTCAAGCTCACGTCGATACACTGGGCTGATCAGGGCCGACTGACGGCCTGGCTACCTGGGACGAGTCCGGAAGAGGGGTGCAGCCGCCGTTGAAGCTACTTTGATGAGCGCCCAGAGGCTGCTTTGTGCCAGTCAAGTGGGAGGGCCTCATCGAGGACAAAGCGCCTTCTTGCACCGCCTCAGCTCCATTTGTGCTGTCGAGTCAAGGTGAAGCGTGACCATTGTGCTGCCACCCAGCCACCGGGTGCCGAGTTGATGTCACGCTCCGACGAGGGGTTTTGTGATGAAGCGCCATGATGTCGCAGCAAAATCTTGTACGCGTCCGTGAGACAACGCGGTGCGGAGGCAAGGTTGCTGGGCGTCGAGGAGCGGCGGAAGGACGAGGCGTCTCCATCGACAGATCAGCCATCATCGTCAGGCGCTCCCTCACGAGCCGGTCGGCGCGCCTTTCTCAGCTTAGCATTCGACCGATCGTCGTACCCTTTCGCCCAGCGGCTCAGCATCACCGCTACTCCTCGTCCATCGAGCGATCTTCGTCAACCATGAGCCGTTTCAAGATCAAACTCCGCCTCCCTGAACAGGACTCCCCCGGCGCTGGATCAGCATCCATTGGGAGCACGAGCAGCCCTCCGTCGTCTTCAGCCAATCCAACAGCAGCTGCGCCTTTAGCTCCTTCTGCAGCAACGGCAGCAGCGACAGCAGCAAAGGGCTTGGATGCACCGACACCGTTGACTTCGCAAGCGATGAGAGATAACGATCGAGCCTCTTCGAGTAGCATACAGCCAGCAGGCATCACGCAAAGAGCTTCACAGGCCGCTTCGGGCGGCGAAGGGGACGTGAGCATGGCGGCTTCATCAAGTGAGTGAGGGCAATGGAGCTGCTCATCCCATCACACCTTCGTACTGACATCGCCACCCTCTCATCCTCGCCCCCCGCGTGCACAGTGGCCGACGAATCAGAAGACGAGCTTGCCTCTACCTCGTCCGCAGCCGGCGATGGCGACGAAGCTTCCGAAGCTGGTCGTGGCACCCCGTCCTCCTCAACCGCCGCTGGTCGCGCAGCCTTGTCGTCGTCTGCAGGTGATCACGAATCCCCTGCCGGACTCACCAAGCTCCAAAGGCAGAAGCGTTCCGCGAGACTGGCAGAGCTGGAGAAGATGACGGCAGAGGAGATCGATGCATTGCCCGCTGCAAAGAGGCGGGTGGGAGCCAAAGCGAGGGGAGCGTCTGGCCCTGGGAGAGGCTGGAGGAAGGGACTGAAGATGTGAGTGCAAGGACCAGTCGGTGTCGAGCGGCATTCGCTGATGAAGCTGTTTTCATCATTGCCATCGCAGGGGAGATAAGCCAAAGTACACCTTGCCAGATGCTACGCCCATTGCAGAAGGTCAGTCCACCCGCTCTCCTTTTGCACGACACACTCTGGGCCCGTACATGCTCACGATTTCCGTCCTCTTCCCTTGCTGACCCGCCTCTAGGAACACCGACCAGCTTCGATGATTCCCGTCGAGGCTCCCCTTTCTCTGCCATGTCAGGCTCACCGGAGCCCTCGACGGCCCTCCTCCGCGCAGGAAGCGGTCAAGGTTCTTCCTCCTCATATTCCGCAATGGGCGGTCGTCCTCCAGCCTCCTCCGCCTCGGGGCTCCCAGCCACGACAAGCGGCGGCACCCCACTTGTCTTTGCTGCCCCTGGTCAACGTGCAAAGAAAGGCGAGCTCTCCCACACGGCCGCCGCTGCCTTGGCTGGGAAATCGATTCTCCCCTCTGGTCGTGCTCCCGTAGCCGTCGCAGCCGCTATGGCCTTTGGTCCGCCGGTCAAGCCGCCAGTCAAGATAGTGAACGTGTTCCCTCCCGCGTACCCTGCTACGCTAAATCGGACTGAGGTGGGCAAGAGGACCCGCAAGTGGGTGAAGGGAGAGAGACAGTGGGTCAATCTGGCGGGAAGGGTTGTCAGCGTGGGTAGTGCGTGGTGGGGTGGGGAGGATGATGGGTTCGATCCGCAGGGCGATGCAGAAAGGGAACAGATGGCAACGACGGCTGCTGCTTCGGGCGGGGCTGCTATTGGGGGAGGAACAGGTCAGACGGCTGCGGGTACCGGCACGCCCAGCCTCATGGCCGGAGGTAATGCTGGATCGCCTGGTGCGTCTAGACATTCAACTCCGGTCGGTCCTCCTATTGCAACTTTGAGCAAAGCTGAGGCGGCTGTCCTGGGCGCGGCAAACGCGGCAACATCAACGGCGACGAGAGGAGGCAGAGGAGGCTCGACGTCTTCACGAGGAGGAAGGGGAGGATCAACCTCATCGCGGGGAGGCAAGAGCGGCGCTGCTGGATCACCTTCGCCATTCATTAGCGCAGGCTCACCGTCCGGGACAAGCACGCCTGCGATGGGGGCGCCAAGTGGCGCACAAGCTGGCTCGCCTTCGTCGTCTTTGCCCAAGCCCAAGTTCCAGCCTGGGGGAGGAGGAGCGGATTGGAAGAGTGGGGGAGGAGCGGGGGCGGGTAGCCCGGTGCCTGCGGGTACGAAGAAGTGAGCGGTGGACGGATGATCCTGATAGACATGTACCGTAGCCTAGCCCTCCTATTGTGCCACGCTGTACCAGATTACCTGAAGCACCAGCGATCTGGTACATTGTGGATGATGAGGAATCAATCCTGCCTGCCTGCCGCCTCCACAACCCTTGACGGTGTTTCCGCTGCAGGCGGACTGAGCCCTCGATGTCGAGCTTCGTTGCGGCTTCACATTGCCGCTCTTCACAATGAGCTCAGCTCAGCTTACCATTGCATCTCCTCCTTGAGCGCTCCCCGCTGTCACTCAAGAGCTGCAAGGCGTTCGACAGCCAAGAAGACGGCTCCCTGCACCAAAGTCGCGCCGCCATCGAATGGTCTGTCCCTCGCTGCGCCGAGTCGCCAATCTTTCTGCGACCTCAATTCGACGAAGCATCATGACGACCGCCTCGGCAGCCTCCTCTTCGCGCCACGATCCCAGGCTGACCTTCCAATCACCCGCCCAACCTCTCACCCCGCCGGCCTTCTATCGTCCTACCGGCCCCAATGCCCGCCCACCACACTGGCAGCGCCTAGAGCCTCGCGGCTTCAAATCTCCCTGGCCCTCCTCAAACCCACGCATCACAGGGCTATGGAGCTTCCTCCGTACACGCTACTACGACGCGCGAGACGAGTGGCAGGAGCCACCTCTCCCAAAGAAAGGGGAAGGGATGCCTGTAGTACGGGAGGCAAAGTGGCTCGAAGACGGCGGACGTGAGGAGGATGAGCGAGTGCGGCTCACCTGGCTTGGTCATGCGAGCTGCCACCTTCAACTTCCCTTACACGACTCGGCAAAGACGACCCTGAACATCCTTACCGACCCGGTACTCTCGCATCGTTGCTCGCCTGTGCAGTTCATGGGCCCCGCACGCTACACTGAGCCTTGCACGAGCGTCGAGGCTATGGCGCAGGACGATCGTGCTTGGCCACACGTTGTGGTCCTCTCGCACAACCATTATGATCATATGGACTATGGAACAATCAAGGCGCTACTTTCTCGGCCAAATGGGAGAGAGCAGCCCCTTTGGCTCGTGCCTTTGGGGCTGAAGAAATGGTTTGAGCAACATTGCAAGGAGCTGCCGAGCGAAAAGGTCGTCGAATTGGATTGGTGGGAGGAGACCATCGTGGCTGCAGGTGAAGGTCGGGCAGGCGTCAAGTTCACTTGCACACCTGCACAGCATTTCAGCGGGAGGTCGATCAATGATCGCAACCAGACGCTGTGGGCTTCATGGGCTATGCATGTCCTACCAAGCGACACGTCTGCGTCACGGCATCCCAGCGCTCGTATCTGGTTCTCTGGCGACTCAGGGTATCGTTCCCTCCCTCGCGGCTTCCCGACCGATGGTAGCGGCGACGAGTCCTCTCTGCCACACTGCCCCGCTTTTCGCGAAATTGGCCAGCTGCTCGGCCCATTCGACCTAGCACTGATAGCCTGCGGTGCCTATCAGCCACGCAGCATGTTCAGCGAGCTGCACATGAATCCTCGCGAGTCGGTTCAGGTGCACAAGGAGATTGGGGCGAGGAGGAGTGTGGGCATTCATCATAGTACTTTCAGGTTGACGAGCGAGGAGGTCAATGAGCCTGCGAACTGGTTCGTGGAGGAGGGCAGGAAGGCAGGACTGGGGGAAGGTGAGGTAGGGTGCTTGGGTATTGGAGAGACTAGTGTGGTCAAGGTGCATGGACAGGAGGAGATGGAGGGCCAGAAGGCGGCGCTGTAATACCCAGGCGGGCGATATTATGTCACAAACTCGTGCAATTAATAGAGAATGGTAATTCCTCCCTCGCCTGACGCGACCCTGGGGCCCAGCAGCACTTCTTCTTGCCTACGTGAGCGCACACCTAGGCAACCCTAGGCAATGGGAAAACGGGGAGAATCCCGATCTTCTCCTCCTGAAGCAACACCGACAAGCTGATGTACCAGCAGATAATCCCCGCGATCCAGAAGAAGGCTCCCGCGGCATACTGAATGGCCTTCTCGCCTCCCTGGAGCAGGTTAGCGCCCTGCAGAATGAAAGCCAGCACCATAAAGAGGGTGGTTGCCGAGATCGGGATGGAGGTGCGAACAGACCCAACCAGGAGGACAAAGATGGGGATCATAGCGATGAGGAAGAGCATTCCCTGCGCCTGCTGCAGCTGATCCAGCCCAGCCGATATGGGCTCGTTCATCATTTGGGCCGTCTCGATGTACGTGGCTGCAATCCCAGTCCAAGGGAGGAATGTCAAGCTGTACCCGCTCAGGATACCCGAGAGAGATCCTGCGAAGGTGGCGAGGAAAGTAGATCCCTCCGCAAAGGAGAACATTGACGCTGCCATGAGACCTGGGCCGCAGAGCGGGAGACCAATGTTGAGGATGATTTGCCAGTTGCGAAGCCCACGGACCTCGGTCAGGAGGGCGCCGTAGAGGATGAAGAAGGCACCGATGCAGATGAAGGTTAAAGGTACGGGGCTGCGCGAGTTTGAGGGATCAGGAGCAGGAGCGGTGGTCAGTGAGCCGGAGCGAGGCTGCGCTGGCGAATCTCTCGCCCGCACTCACTTTGCGATGCGGCGATGGTAGACGGGGAATCCAGGCTGGCTGCTCTCCATCTTGGTGACGGGAGCGCCCGAGGAGGAGACGGTGTGCTCCAGCTTATTAGGATCAGCCTCGAAGCCCAGCTGCTGGCGCAGCGTGAGCGATTGAGGGCCTGACTTATCTGTTGACATCCTGGTTACTGGCGAGAAGGTAGGGACCTAGAAAGGGGAGAGGAGAGAGATGATGAGAATGAAGGTGAGAGAAGAGGCTGGGATCGAACGCTGGGCGGGGTCGCCAGAGTGGATGAGGTCTTCGACAAGTGTGGGGATGAGAGACAGGCAGGCAAGCTCGACCGCATACACCTGGGCGTCCTCCTGCGCGGGTCAGACTGACATGGCCTGATGGGGTCCGCATCTCGCCTCCAAGATTGCAATGTTCGTCTTCCCTCCTCGTTGCCCCACGAAGGCATCTCATCCCTCGAAGGCGACCCCGCAATGATGACGACTGACGAGCGCAGCGCTCTTGTCTCGCAAAGACCAAACAACGGCATTTGGGCCCCCGTTCGTCTCTGTAAGTCTGAGAGCTGTCGTGCGCCTGCAAGTGATCCGACCGCCATGCCATCCCGCGTCCGTGGTTGCCGTTGGCCATATCCGCTGCACCCAGCCGAAGTTGGACCCGCATCCTCCTCCACCTCGCGACGTCTCCCCCGCACTCGACCTCTGTCAGAGTGGCTCAAACCCCGCACTTTACGGAAGACGAGGACGCGCTCACGTCAAGCGAAGGGAGAAGGGTGCAGCGGGGACTCGAGTGAAGCACGGCGCTTGATCGCGGGCTAAAGCAATGATTTGCCATTCCTGTCCTCTTCCTCTGGTCCCGCTTCTCGTCTCACCCACGGAGATGAAGATCGAGCCGGGGATGCGAACGACAGCAGATGAGAGTAAGAAGCGCTTCGCAGGCTGCCGTCATGGGCAGGTGAACAGAGCGCCGCGTACGTACGTAGCTTGCGGGGCAGGAGCGGCGCTGCATTGAGTCGAGCGTATACTTCGGCCATCGCATCGTACGAGTTGCGGAGGTGTGCGTCTGCGCTCGACATCTGTTCCGATCTCGACGTTGTCTCCCCTTCTCGTCTATCCTCCTCCTCTTCCTCCTCTCTGTTCTACCTATCACCACCAACCCTCTGCATCAAGATGTCAAACATAGCTGGGTCATACCAAGCAGCGGACGCCTCCAACCTCGAAGCAGGCGCAGGCCACCACGATGTCAATCATGGCGCTCACGCTGCCCTCCCCGGCAACCTGAACGGCAATGGCAACTCCACGCTCAACGGGCAAGACAAGGAGTATCACAAGTACAACGCTTCCCAGAACGGTAATGGGCAGTACAAGGGTGGTGCCGGTCTGCACCAAGCCGTCACGCCTGGCGGGCATGCGATCAATGATGAGCTCCTCGCTATCGGGACCGCCCCGAGGCGTATTGCCAATCCGCTGCCCCTTGGTGTGATGGCTTTCGCCACGACAACACTGCTGCTGAGTCTCTACAATGTGGGCGTCAGGGGCATTACGGTACCAAATCAGATTGTGACTTACGCGCTAGCATAGTGAGCACAGCGAGGCATGACGGGGATTAGCAGGACACTGACCTTGCGCTACTCTTCATCATTCCCAGCGGCGGTGGTACTCAATACCTCGCTGGCCTCTGGGAGTTTGCGAGTGGTAACACCTTTGGTGCCACGGTCTTTGTCGCCTTGTAAGTCCTGTCTGCCCACCCCCACTTTCACTCCAAGGCCCCACTCACATTCCCCTGACCTCCTACGCCACAGCGGATGCTTTTGGTGGGGCTTCTCTATGATATTCATCCCCTTCTTCGGCGAGATGGGCATGTACGACGGTGTCCCTGGCGTCTACTCGATGACAGGCGTGGCAGCCAGCGAGGCAGAGAGTGCTATTGGCCTCTACCTCTGGATCTGGTTCGGCATCACTACCGTCTTGCTGTTTGGCAGTGCTAGGTCTTCGATCACACTGATCTCGCTGCTCTTCTTCCTCGACCTAACCTTTGCGATGTTGGGGGCTTGTGAGTGGGAGCGAGGAGCGGGGAGTTGTAAGACTGAGCTGACCCTCATCCCCCCGCGCGGCGCGACCGCAGACTACTACACCGGACACAAGCCCTTTGAGACGGCTGGCGGAGCTCTGGGTATCATTACGGGCTTCAACGCCTTCTATCTCGCGGCGGGCTCGCTGTTGTCGAGGCACACTTCGTACGTTACTCTGCCACTCGGCTCGGTGGCTGTCAAGGACTAAAGGAGAGCGAGGCAGGGCCGAGGAGGAATGCGTGGACGAGTCGAGCTGCAGAGCGCTCGCCCATCTTGTGCTGTGACATCGAATAATCCATTCATTGCTTCGTGTCTCCTTCGCTCGCCTGCCTGGACGGCATTGTCCGCCTCAAATCAACCCCTGCCTCTTGAGCAGCTCATAATCCTTCCTCGAGTACGTGTTGCCACTCTCGTCTTCAACCTCTTCCACGTCCCTCGCCCCACCAACCGCACTGGGCCCTTGAGCCGCCTCCCCTCCCTCCTTGCCTTGCTTCTTCAACTTCTCCGCCAACTCCACGGCGTCCTCAATCTTCGTGACGCCCCAGAAATGCCTCGTGTTGGGCAACCCGAGAGCGCGCATGCCAAATGCGTGCCTAGACTCCTGAAAGTGTCGGTCAAAGTTCTTGCGTCCTTGGTAGACAAAGTCAGAGCAGATCTCGCACTTGTACTCCACGCCCAGCCCGTGCAACTTGTACAGCCACACGGGAATGGGTCGGCCGTCCCAGCCGAGGGGAAGCTTCTTCGGATTGTAGATCTTGTCGTCACCATCATCGTCAGAGCCTTCCCCATCAACACCTTCTGCGCCGCCGCCGCGCTCTTCCGCATCCCCGCCACCCTCGGCCAGACGAGCCATCTCCTCCGCTTCGGCCTGGCGCTCACGCTCAGTAAGAGCTGCGCGACGCTCCACGTTGGAGCGAGTATCGGCACGATGCGTTGCCAACGGGCCCTCAGCGAGGGCGACGATCACTGCCTCGTCGCGGGCGAGCTGCTTCGCCTTCGCTAGCAGTGCATCACGGGCCGCCGCGGCCTTCTTGCCTTCTTGTGAGCCTTTGTTGCCATTCGCGGCACTGCCGTTGGTACCCTGCCGTCTCGCAACAGCTTGCTTGTGCTTCTTCCCGCTCAGATGACCATCGAAGACCGTTTGCTTTGCAAAGGACTTTTGACAGGCGTCGCACCACACACCGCCGTCCTCTGCTGCGCCTGCATTTGGCGGCCGCGGGCCCGACGACGATGAAGCTTGTGGCTGGTCTGAGGAGGTTGCGAACGCATTCCCTTGGTCTGACCACCCTTCCGCCTCTCCCTGATCCCACTTGGCTGCGAATACGCCCTCCGCATCTGCCACCATCCCGTCCACATCGTCGAGTGGCCTTATTTTTCGGAGGAACTCAACAAGGTAGCTGCGCAACCCAGCTAGATAGGAGCGGTACCCGTCTTGTCGTTTCACGTCGACCTCAATCTCGGCCAGTACATGCATCTTATCCAGGTAGGTCAGATAGTTGACTCTCCTGACCCCCTTGAGATTGATATACCGCGAGTGATGCTCGTACACATCGATGTATCTCCCTGCTCCCTCTTCACCGGAGAAGAGTCGGTCGATTGCGTCCGTCGTGAATCCAGCGGCTGCTCCAGACTGAGAAGGAGCGATCAAACCCTCCATTGCTGGAAGATCGAGATTGAGCGTCTCTGGTGGTGCGGCTGGGTATTTCTCATGGTACTGCCGGATGTGGTTGAGTCGCGAGTAGAAGAGGGACATTGACGATTCCATACTGGATGATGATGATGATGACGCCTCAGCGTTTTGCACGCCTGAAGCGAGCGCAGTCAGCTCCTCCTTCTTGACGCCCGTCTCGTCTGCATAAAAGCCACGCAGCGTGTCATTGCGAGAGACGATGCGGTCTGCGAGGAGGGAGGCGAGGTGCGCATTCTTAATGCTCTGTCTGGTAGGAGGAGCCGTCGAAGATGATGGGAGGGTGTTGAGGATTGAAGCAAGAGCAGCCTCGTAGCGCTCTGCTTCTTCGTGTGTGGATCGCGCCACCTCGAAGGGGGAGGCGAGGGACATGGCCGCAGAGGATGGTTTGGATGAACGACGAGTCGTACGATGCTGAGGAGCAGCTGCCATCCGACGCTCCCTCGTCCGCTCTTCTCGATGCTGGTTCCGTCTTGTCTCGCGTGGTCCTGACTTGGATTTCCCAACTCCGCTCCGCCCTCGGCCTTGACTCGCGGCAGCCGGCTCTGGAGGAAGCTTAGCAATTGTCAACGTTCACCCTCCTTGACCTTGACTACCAACAGCTCAATCCACAGTCATGGCTTTCTTCAGACAAGCAACAGCGTCGCTGGTGAGACGCACTGTCGCTGATCAAGGCAAATAGCATACACTGACACCTCTTCTCGACCGCTCGCAGCGCCTCGCCACACGACCTTCGGTCACCTCATTGGCCACGCCCGCAACCACGTCCCACTTCCACTCCTCAGCCCTCCGTCTCGCCCTCTCAACAGACGCCCGCAAGAAGATTGACGCGGCTGTGTCTGCCAATCCCCTCGTCATCTTCATGAAGGGCACTCCCGACCTTCCCATGTGCGGATTCAGCCGCGCCGTCTGCCAGATCATGGAGGTTCAGGGCGTCAAGCCCGACAGCTTGAAGACGTACAACTGCCTTGATGACCCGGAGCTCAGGGAGGGGATCAAGGAGTACAGCAGCTGGCCGACCATCCCGCAGGTGTATGTGAACGGAGAATTCGTGGGTGGATGTGATATTATGCTGTCAAGTGAGTGCAGATTGAACACGGCGTATGGGCAGGGTCAGTCCGCTCATCCTCTTGCACCCCGCGCCATTAGTGCACCAATCAGGCGAACTCGAGCAGGTCTTGGAGAAGGCAGGCGTTCTCCAGCCTCTGCCCCCGCCGTCGCAGCAGCAAGCGCAGTCTTAGGCGGTCAGCTACGGCGGAAACAAAGGATGAAATCCAATCGCGGGTTGATGGACAGCCCACTTCGTCTGCCAGTCATGAATAGTGACATTTTCAGTGCTGGACAGCAGCCGCTCACACAGGGCAATGATTCATTGAGGCTTGATTGTTGAGGTCGATTCGGGGCGATGGCAGCAAGGGAGGAGATGACGCCTTCGCTCCCAGTGACTCATGAAGAGGCGCGCTGATGGTCGAATCATGTCGTCGGCTCATTCATTGTCTGCCACTCTTCCTGTCCCTTGCCATTGCAGATCCTCACCGACAATGACCACTCCTTCTCAGCCCTACCCCTCATTCCATCTGCCTAGCTCCGCAGTGCGGCCCTGTGCCCTCGCCTTCCCATCGATCACCACTTCAGAAGGACCGGTCGACCATTCTCCACTGCTCGCTTCCGCCCATCATCAACAACATCAAGAGCAACAGCGAGATAGGCAGTGCATAGACCCTCCATTCCTGTTTCCCACGACGTTGAGCCACCATCGATCATTGAGCACTTTGCGTGCGGGCAAGGCCAATGTAAGCTGGAAAGATGAGGAGGACCCAATCGAACGGATGCTGATCCAGCATAGCTGCCATCAGCGCTATCATCGGCGTCACGATCATCAACAGCAGTGGCTGGATCGCCATCGTGCCCTGCCTCAACATCGTTCCTCATCCTCTTTGTGCAACCTTTTCTCTGACCATTCTATTGCAGCTTACGATCCTTGCGACAACGAGGACTCGACAGGCAGCATGGAGACGTTGCTCACGCCATCGGACTTTGCACGCCGCTCAAGCACGCCCAGCAGCCGGGCTAGGACCTCGATCTCGCACTCCCATTCGGACAGACACAAGAGAGCCCTCTCTGGCGATGCGCCTCAATTGCCTCCTGCCTCTCTCAGCCACCCCTCTCCTCCCTCCTCTCAGTATCAAGCACCTACAACTCCGATCCTACGCAGGATCAATCTCTCAATCGCTCCTCCACGTCCGTCGGGCAGGTCTCTACGGCCACGACTAGCTCCCTCGATGCTGGAGGAAGCGGGTGTGGATCCTCGACATCGATCTCTCACAAAAGAAGTGCCGCGAGGGTCACATTTTCCTTTGCCCATTCCAATGCGCAGGCCAACACAACAAGGCTCAGAAATGGTAGCTGCAGCGGTCAGTCAGTCATGCTCCTACCAGCCACACGAGCAGAGCCCTCAGGCCGTGTCGATCACCATGCTATCGATGAAGACGACGAAGCTGAGGTCATTGAGGTCATTGATGAGGATGACAGCATCCCCTTCTCCGATTCTCTACCCACGTCCACACCAAGCGTACTCTCAAGGGGGCGAAAGAGGCGCCCTTCCCTTCTGACTGCCCTGAAGGATCGCTTGCCTAGCAAGGGTCGGGCCGAAAGAAGTAGAAAGTACAGCACATCAGCCGTGTCTCCGCAGGAGAGGCCAGAAATTTTGTCACTCAAGATGGAGTGGCCCTTGAGTGCGTACGCTTGCGTATATCTGACGGCGAAAAGCTTGACCTGACGCTCCCTCGCTTGTTCAGACTATCCAGGGTATAATGGGCCCCGCGGACAGCTCGCCCCTTCTGATCGTCGGGTGGGAGATATGGCGAGCCTGGTATGCTATCGCGAAATTCTCGACGGCAAGTGCAACGAGGCTACGGCAGAGGATGACGACTTCGTGAGCGAGGCCCTGGCTCACATGGGCCTGCTGCCAAGAGACGCTAGGAACGGCACTAATCCTGCTTCAGGAAAGGCAAGTACGAACAGCCCCCCTATGTCGAATGGTATGATCAATGGCACCAGCCTTGGCAGCAGGCGTGGCTCCTCCTCCACTTCGACGCACCGTACGACCAGCTCCTCTTCTCCCTCCTCCTGCTCATCCGAGCAAAGGCGCCTAGGTCGCGTCCTATTTACGACGCGATGCCTGCGTCCGTCTTGCACCACCTGTTCTGGGCTATACGAGGCACCGATCGAGATCATCGATGAGGAGGGACACAAATCGGAGTGGACTGCTGAGCCCACTGCAATTAGGAGTAAGGCTGGCAAGAGTAGTGGAAAAGTGATGAATCGCTGGGCTATCCACAGCGATGCGCTTCAGGATCGAGAGGTCGATGAGCGTACGAGAGAAGACTGGCAGGATGGGCCACAAGCGCTTCATCGTAGTCCTCCTGCTCTCTCGTTGGTGGAGCCCTGTCCCACCTCACCCGCTCCGGCCGCTCCCTCAAGCCGATGCTTTTCCCCCTTCTCGACCCGCCTCACCCCCCAAGACCTGACGCATACGAATCTCTCCCTCGGAGGGCCGCAGGGGCAAGTCTATCTCCTCCGACACGAGACTCTCGCCTTCACGCATCGAGTACTCCGACTGCTCTACAACCCGCCCTCGCGTTCGGCGAGCAAGGCGTACTTGGAACTGGCTCACTTTGTGTTTTCAGACTGTACGCTGCAGATCGATCTGGAGAGATGCAGACGAGCGAGGACTGATCTGGCTTTTGTGGTTGGGGCGATTGAGGCGGGCTTGGCTGTTCGGGAGGAGGGGAAGGGAGGCAGAAGTCAGGGAAGGGATGAGTGGGGACGGTTGGCTGGGGCAACGCCAGGTGGCGAGGGTGGTGTTGGACTGTTCTCGAGGCTATTTTCCTCTGACTGACAAAGATCACCCCTATAGCAGCTGGACTGTCTCTCTGATGATCCTCGTGCTGCTGCCATTCTAATCCATTCGATCTTGCCGCCGTTCAGTCCAATCGACCTGGCGAGACGCTCGGGCCATTTGGATTCGCGTCTCGATGGCGGCGGCCTTCGTCGGCGAGGTACGGCGGACCAAGGAGCGGCGCCTGAGTCTAACCTCTGTCCCTCCCTTTGCTCCCTACTACCACACACTTCGAACTTGTGCCCACGATGGCAGCTGCAGCTGCAGCCTCTTCGACGTCTACGGCTCCATCTGTGCCATCGTTCTCAGCTCCAGAGGGCGCATTTACCCAGACGTCACTCGCAGCCTCCTTCGGCGAGCTGCCATTGAGCGGTCATGCCCTCAACTCAACGGCAGAGTCCAACGCCAACAACAATAGCAACAGCACAGCAGCCTCGCCCTCACCACTTGGGGGTACATCCATGCTCCTCGGGCCAGGCGCGACGATACCAGCTGCCGTCTCCTCGCTATCACCATCCCCGTCCAATCAGACCAACAACCCTGACAGTGTAGCCGCTTCTGCCGGCCCTCCACCGATGCCAGTTAGCCACTTGCCTCTCTCGTGGCGCAAAGAAGTCGGACCGACCATAGAAGCTAGCATGAGTACATGCAGCGTGCCTTGGCCCGGTACGACTGCTCTGAACCCCGAGACCGGCGCCGCCTCCTCGTCGAAGCGTAAAGGAGGGCAGAACGAGTCTGCAGAGGGGAGCACAGCAGCTACTGCCTCCTCATCGGGGGGCAGCAGTACGAATGGTCGTCATTTACAGAGTAAAGGTACAGGCCTGCGTCACAATATCCCGGACCCTGTGATTGAGGGAGCCCTCGTCTCGCAAGGCATAGACGCACCTCCGGCCACGACGACCGGAGGTCAAGGCGGCATCCTCGGCATGTCCTCGCTCGCATCGTACGGATTTCTTCCTACTTCCAATGGTCAAGGCGGAGGGACACTCGATCTGGATCGCCAGCTTTCCATGCTCTCCGTTCGATCAGAGACTGGCCCGGCTTCGTTGTACAAGCCCCCCAAGAATCCGCCTAAGCCAAAGAATGCCGTCCGTCAGTCCAATTCGTCCTTCGTCGTCAAGACACAGATTCACCCTGATCTCAAGGACGTCCTGACTCAGCTGGAGAAGGCCGCTGGAGAAGGTAGCGAGCCCATGGTCTTCACGCAACGCGGCCGCACGCTCTTGTGGCTCGCAGACGCAACAGGGAAACGTGAGCCCCTCGGGCGATTCCTCTTCGCATCCCCACCCTCGGCGCACGATGTCAACCAACTCACCCGCTCCCCCTCCGTTTTGGACGTCATCATCGGTTTCCCCACCGGTGATATTCTGTGGTTAGATGCCCTCGGGCTGCGCTACTCCCGATTCAACAAGGGAGGGCTAGTGACCGACTCGGGCGTGACCAAGATTCGCTGGCTGCCAAGCGCGACCCATCAGGGTCTATTCGTGTCGGCGCATGCGGATGGGACCATGATCGTCTGGGACAGGGAGAGGGAGGATTGTGAGGTGCACAAGGGGTGGAGTCCTCGCAGTTGGAGCGTGAAGCCGAATAGGAGGCAGAGGGAGGCAGTCCAGCGGCTGAGGGAGGGGGCAGGAGGCATTGAGGAGGAAACGGAGGTACAGGCAGCAGCAGCAGCAGCAGCAGGTGCGGGAGCGCGTGGCTCGAGCGAGATGATGGAGGTCCTTGATGGCCCGCCAGACACGCCGACCTCGTCTACACCCGCGCGCAAGAGTACCTTGCCCTCGCTCAGCCTGCCGGCTAATGCCTGGGACCCGAAGCGGAGCATCCTTGTCAGTCGGCCGGGAGCGGACAATGCTACCGTCCTCGCGACATCAGCTGGCGGGATCGCTTCACCAAACAACGAACGCAACGCTATGCCGGGTCTGAGCGGGATGAGTACGCCTGGCTCCACGACTCACCCGGGCGGCGGGGACGAGCCGCCCTCGACTACAGGGTCAAGCCTGCTCAGCCGCGGCCTCGGGTCACAGAGACGCAGAGAGGCCTCTATCTCGCAATCTGGCGCGGGCCCTAACGCAGTTCCCTCTGTCTCCGTAACGGGAAGCGGGGATGAGCCATCCTCCTTGTCTGGCTCCACCACCTTTGAGGCGCCTACGTCCACCTCAACCTCCGCATCGACATGGACCAAGAATCCTCTCACCCACTGGCGCATCTCCGCCTCCTCCCGTCTAAACGACTTTGCCATCTCGCCCGATTTAGGGTGCATAGCTGTAGCTGGCGAGGATGGGCTTCTGAGGATCATCGACTTGACAACTGAGAAGCTGATCGCTTGCCACGCCAGCTACTTCGGGCCCTTCCTCTCCCTTGCATGGAGCCCGGATGGTCGCTTCCTGCTCGCTACGAGCTGCGACGATTTGGTCAGTATCTACCATCCTCGCGATTCTGGCGCGGCGGCTGCGGGAGGCGGGAGCGAGTCTCGTCTCGTTGCTCGATGCGTGGGCCACTCATCTTGGGTGAGGGATGTGGCGTTTGATCCGTACAGGTGGCGTGAGGGGGACAGGACGTATCGGTTCGGGAGCGTAGGTGAGGACGGCAAGGTGTTGCTTTGGGACTTTTCGGGGGCGAGCCTTGCCAGGCCAAAGGGGACGGCCGGCTCAGCGGGAAGAGGCAGGCCAGGTTCAGCCACGGGCGGGCATCACGCAAGTCCGCACGGAGCCCCGCTTCATCGACATGGTCGCAGTAGTAGAGGACACGACTCTCCCGCCGGTGCCGCCCCTCTCGGGGAGGATGATATGCCCGACTCGATCTACCACCCTGCCCCGCCTAGGCAGCAAGTCGCGCAACTCAACCCCATCAGCACTTACCAGGCATCTCAGCTCACGTCCTTGCTTGGGATCCGATTCAGGCCGAGCAACATGTTGCTCTTCTACTCTAACGGGATCATGCAGATCTTTGAGCGACCGACTGTTAAGCTGCTTAGGATAGGGAGCGGACAGACTGATGCGGAGGCGGCCGCAGCGGGAGGAGCTGAGGGTCAGCGATCCACGGATGATGACAAGGCGAAGGCTGGAAAGAAGAAGACTGGAGTCAGTTTTGGTGGGACTCTCAGTCGAGGTATGCGATGGGTGGGAGGGGGACAGGGTGGACCCGCCGGTCCTGACTCGCAGACTGGGAGGGCAGGGGCCAGTAATACCGCACCGGTGGCCATGCTTGGCTGAGCGTCGAGACGAAAGGGCGCATCACCTTGTACATCTTCAGCTCGCTTCATGATAGCACTCTCAATTGTGAGGGCCCGTGCGTGAGAGCGTGAGGGCGAAGCTCGACTCATTTCCCCGCGTTTGTCTGGTCTCGCTTCGCGTCTTCCCTTCCCTTTTTCCTTCCTTCCCCTGTCACGCACCTCCGGCCTTTCTCTCCAACTACATGGCCACGTCTCGAGTAACAGAGCCGCCACGCAGCAATGGCCAGCAGGATCGAGCCACCTCCGCTCTGACATGGGACAAGCTCGCCTTGCGACGCCCCGCGCCATTGACCTTCCGGTTGATACCCTCTGAGCGCTTGCTGCGAAGCCCAGCCTCGTCTCGTCGCTCTACCACCTCAGTGCACAAGCCACTGTACTATCTGACCCCTTGTCTCGCTCTTACGTCGCACACGCTACAAGCCAGTCAGGCTCCACTGCTCCGTCTAATCGACCCGACCCCTTTCTCTCAACCATTCATCTCCCTCTCCTCTCTCTGCCTGCTTCCCCCTCACTCCGCGTCTCCCTTGCGCGTCCTACTCGCTCTCGACCTGCGCAGAGGTCAGCACTGGGAGACTGGACTGCTGGGCGCTGAACCGCTCGAGCCTGGCGAGGTCAAGGCCGGCGGAGAGGTCTGGTTGAGATTGAGCGCCGCGAGGGAGGTGGCGCGACTGCTCGATGTTGAGCGCGAGGCTGAAGCGCTTCTGAGCGAGAGTAAGGCTTGGAGCTTGGATGAGGGGGCGAATCAGCAGATGGTACACAAGTGAGTCGGTCGGTCGGCCAGGCTTCGCAAAGCAAGAAGACGTTGCTGAATGCTCCCCCTCCTTGCCGTCAGCTGGCTTCCCTCCAACCCAACGTTGGCGGCTGCGAGCCTGTCAACGTCCACTCTGCTCTCGCATGACTTTTCGACTCTGTCTCTCATCAAGGCCAAGAATGTAGGCGAAGCGGCAACTTACAGCACGCTGATCTCGGAGGAGCAGCGGCGCGAACTGACAGAGCAATGGCTGGAGGAGGCGAGCAAAGGTGGTTGGAGAGACATCCGTCGAAGGCTGATGAAGTGGACGATCGAGCTGGTGGAGAGGGTGCAGGACGGTGACGAGGAGGAGCTTGATCATGGAGAAGTTCGGACAAGGGAGGGGACGTATGCGCACGCGCAAGAGGAAAGACAAGAACGGATCCTTGAGCTGCTGGTACCTTTGGTCGATGGCGAAGGACACGCCGCTCAACTAGATGAAGTTTCGCCGCTAGACCAGCTACTTTCGGGAGCCGCGCCGAGCCTTCAGAAGGAAGCACACCGTCTTGAGATGCTCTGGCGGCTCGTGGAAGGGACATGTGCGTTGCAGGCGCGACTACGGGCATCAGCGCCGACAGCATCAGCACCAACAGCATCAGCATTAGCAGAGGCTGGAGTGGCCGACTTACATGGCCATGATCACACAAGAGGCATTGAGACAGCCAGCTCGCAAGGGCATCCAGAGAAGGTCTCACCACCGCCAACAACGCCGCAGACCGTAGCAGAGGAGCTGCTTGCGGGGCAGCGGCGTATTGAGGAGCTTCTCAAAGACCTGACGCCGCCAATGCCACCGACATCCGCCATCAAATGCAGCGAGAAGGGCTCGTCGCTTCCAGCATCGAGCATCCCAGGCCCAGCTCAAATTCCAGCCCAATTCCTGCACGTCTCAGTCCCACTCCTCCCACCAGCGAGCATCTCAGGCATCGACGCAAGTATCAAACTCGATATCCATCTGGGTGACGGCGGCAGGGCCTTTGTCTTTGCATTAACCATCATCGCCTTGACAATAGCCCTGTTACACCCGCAGGGTGGCGGGCTTATGGTGACCTAGCCGGAGTGCTGATCCCAGTCTCCTCGCTCAAGCTCTACACATCGCGAACCCAGTCTCCACTCTTTCCGCCACTCTTCCTCACCACCGCGATCTCGCCAACTTCCATCTCCCTCCCCGCCACGCTCTTCAACATATCCCACGCCGTACAAGCCGCAACGCTCACCGCCGTGAGAGCCTCCATCTCCACTCCTGTCGGTCCACGCGTGCTGCACGTCGCCTCAATCAGCACATGAGGGCGAGGTGGTAGCTCCTCAGGGTCGAAATCGTACCCAGGTGGAAGGACGAGCGAGAAGGACAAGTCAACATTATCGAGGGGGACAGTGTGGCAGAGGGGAATCAATTCGGCTGTGCGCTTTGCTGCCAGGATGCCCGAGAGGCGAGCGGTACTGAAGACGGGGCCTTTGCCTGCTGGTGAGGCGATCTCGCCGTCAGAGCTGCTGGCGCCGTCTAGGAGGGGCAGGACGTGAAGAGGGAGGAAGACTTTGCCCATCGCCGTGGCTGTGCGATTCGTTGAGGGCTTGGAGGACACGTCAACCATGCGTGGCTGTGAGGTTGTGGGGTCGAGGTGGGTTAGGCGAGGCTGCGAGGCGGACGCCTCTGTCATTGCCTCAGAATAGCGTTGCTGCTGCGCGGCCGGCGGAGGATGATGAATGCGGGGTGTCGGCGAATAAGACGTCGAATTCATGGCCTGCGCTGCCTTTGTGGGAGGCTGATCGCCACTGAGGCGATCGAGCTTCGAGGTGAAGGCTTGAAGTAGCATCCGCTCCTCAGCGCTGAGGTCTTGGCCATCCACCGAGGACGAAATGGCGTTGGCGCTATCAGGGGAGGACGAGGGCGATGCAGGCGAGGCAGGCGAGGCGCGCGTGGCCTTTTCGCTCCAGCCCTCGACGGACTCGTCAAGCTCGGCCCATGGATTGACATCCTCGTCTTCTGGAGAGCTGCGTTGGAGCAAGGAGCTCGTGTGGAAGAGGCGTCGCCTGCTCGGTGTGGCTGCATGCGACAGCCGTGGCATAGTGCGGGGGCGGGGGCTCCATTGAGGCGAGATTGTCACCCTAGAGAAGTGTGTCATAGAGAGCCCCTCCCCTGGCCCCTAGCCACCGATCCTACTCATTTCCCTGCCCAACCCACCACCAAGACTCCGTCCCTCTGCTGCCTCCCAGATCTCCTTGGGGTCCCTCATCCCCGCGTGCTTGAAATGCTTCCTATCCAGCGCGCCAGAGATCAGCTTGCCCAGGCCCTCGTCATCCACCTGATCGCTCCGCATCGCATCGCGCAGGGAGACCTCCTTGTTCCCAAAGAGGCACACTTTGAGGTTGCCGTCCGCTAGTACTCGTACCCGATTGCAGGTCGAGCAGAAGTGGTCCGTCATGCTTGAGATGAATCCGAACCTGCCCTTGTACCCGCGGATGGCGTAGTGCCGCGTCGTATCGTTTGCCTCATCTACGTGCCGCTGCACTGAGCCCGGTGGATGAGCGGCCTGCACACGCTGTAGCAGCTCAGCAGCGGGGATGAGGGCTTGAGTGGACCAAGCGTTGCTGTTGAAGGGCATGTATTCGATGAAGCGCACATCCAAGTTGCGATGCCGGGTCATCTCGACGAAGGAGGCGACTTCGTCATCGTTCATCCCCTTGATGACTACGACGTTGAGCTTGACCTTGAGCTGCGGGGCGTAGCGGAGCGAGTCGTCGATTGTGGCGAGGACTCTCGCAAGGGTCTTGGGTGACTGGCGGGAGATGGAAGCGAATCGGTCCGGCAGGAGCGAGTCAATGGAGATGTTGACATGCGTGAGGCCGGCTGCCACCAATTCGGGAAGTGATCGAGCGAGAACCAGCCCGTTCGTCGTGATGCCGATACTCTCTAGTCCTTCGCCCCGCAGCGAGTCTAAGTAGCGGACAATGTCCACTAGATCCTTGCGGAGGGTCGGCTCCCCGCCCGTGAGACGGATCTTCTTGACTCCCATCTGAACAAAGACTCGAGCTATCCGCTTCACCTCCTCTGTGCTCAGTAATCGGTCGTCAGGCGTGAGCGGGACACCCTCAGCAGGCATGCAGTAGGTGCAGCGAAAGGAGCAACGCTCAGTGAGGGAGATGCGCAGGTAGCTGTGGTGCCGGGAGTGGGAGTCGACCAATGAAGGAGCAGACTTGGAGGACGATGCGTGAGGTGAGATGGGAGGTGGCAGTGGCGGACGCAGACTATTGCGGTGTTGAGGCTGCTCAGAGTCGATGTATGCTATGCGTTGCTGCGGGGATGATGCGATGGGTGAGCATTTGCAATGGAGAGGTGGAGAGCAAGGGGTAACTCACTTGTACCTTCTGTCGTAGTTGCTTTGCGTTGACTGTTGGAGGAAGTTGTCTTGCCAGTGAAGCTGTAGCGCCTCGTGACGACGAGGCCACGGCCAGCTGCGTTGCCGTCCGTGATGGTATCATGGTGGTGGTGGAGAGATGGGAGGAAGATAGCACGGCGAGTGGCCTAGCCGCCGGCAGCTTGCAGCTCGAGGCGGGGCACCGACAAAACGAGTAAGCTTGCTATATTGTGTACATTGATCTTTTCCGAGTAATGGGCATGTAGCTCAGTGGTAGAGTATGCGCTTCGCAGGTTTATTTTGTGATTCTGCGTGTGGCCATCGGTTCGACTCCGGTCTTGTCCATCTTTTTGCTTCGTCTGCGCTACGGCATGGCGAGGAATCTCCTTTGGTGCTTGCGATCATTGATGGCGAAGGGCAGAGCGCTCGAGCCGTCGTCAACGAGCTTCTGATATCGTAGGAAGGGGCCACACGGGGCGTCGCGCGCGCACGGCGAGGATGAATGCAATGCAGTGGATGAATTCAGAGCAGAGGTATGAACAACAGTGGGTGGAGAAGATGAAACGAGTGGACAAAAGCGGGGAGGGATGAGGGGGGGTATGGCGAGTCCTGCATACGAGGCGAGGCCTTTTCTTGTTGTAGGATTAGTCCGTGATGCGAGCATTATGCTTGGTGTGCTCGCTCACTTAGAGAACCATAGCGGCGCCGACGAGGGCAACGATACCCGCAGCGGCACCGACGACCATCGTAGAGGCAGCGCCAGAAGAAGCATTGTCCCTTGAAGAGCCAGTGGCGGCGGCATTGGCGCCGGAGCTAGCTCCCGTCTGCCTGCCGACGGTCTGCATTCCACTTGAAGATCCTGCAGCAGCAGAGCTGGAAGCAGGAGCGGCGCTGCTTGACGTCTGGAGGCTAGCAGCGAGGAGGAGACCACCGTTGCCGACTGACGACATGGAGGAGCAGCGCGAGCTAGACGGGGCCGGGTGGGGGGCAGGAGTGTTGGGCTGACCCTGGTAGAAGGTAGACCCGTCGTATACGCCTTGGATCATGGCGATGTCACCTTCGCACGACTCGAAGCCTTCGCCGTAGTTGGCGGGAATGTTCCAGGTGCAGCCGAGAACGTCGTACTATCGGGGAGTGGTGGCGAAAGTGGCAAGAAGGTCAGTATTGGATGGCGAGTCGATGTCATGGTCATGCTACTCACGATGTGCTGGCACTGCGCCCTAGCATTGGTACCCCAGCAGGCACGAAGACAGAACTGGTTCCAGCTCATGAAGTTGGTCCACTCGCCGAGTTGGTAGGGAGTGCCCTCATGGCCGGGCACAACAGTCGAGTAAACAACGCCACCGATGGGGTTCATCAGGTCGTCCTCGCCGTGAGGGTCCATCTCGCCTCCAGCGTCGCCCTCGGGGATACCGATGTTGGTGAAGTTACCCTGGCCCGTGACCTGAACGTAGTCCTTGGTCTTGACAAAGTGCACACCAGTGAGGGTGCCCTCGGGAATCAGGCGGGTGCCGTGGTTGCCCTTGGTGCAGTAGGCGACAGCCACGCGCTCGTAGCTGCCGACCTCGGTGCCGGCGACGGGCGGACCCCCTGTACGAGCAAGAGAAGAGTACATGCGTCAGCGTCTGAAGGGCAAATGTTCATGCTGTCTGCTAGGGGCTACGCACAGATACACCAGTCATCCACAGCGTTGATCCACGCCGTTTGGCAGGTGGCGTTGGCATTCCACGACCCATCTGCCTGCAAGCAGCGGTTGTAACCAGACTGGTCCCATTGGTATCCAGACTCGGTCGGCTTGCCACGGTCGTCGCCCATGTACCTGTCGGGGAGGGCGCTGTAGGCGTAGGTGGGCTTGGGTTGCCACTGCTCCCACGACTTGGTGGGCTGGTTGAACGACTGGCCCGACGCAGCAGAGGGGTTGCCCGTCTGCGCTGAGGCGCCACGGAGGGCTGCGCCCAGAGTGATGGCCGTGGCGATGATGGAGAGGGAGGAGTGGACCATGGTGAGTGAGGATGAGCGGGAGCGGGAGGAGGAAGAGAAGGTCGAGGGTGAGTAGGATGGGGAGGAAGTCAAGATGAGACGCCGACTTGGTTCGCACACGACCCTTTGAAGAGCGGGCCAAGGAGGGGTCCTCAGTGGGCGATGTTTGGGCGGACTCTCAACAAGTGGCCTACGATTACGACGGCCGTGACCACAGTTCGCCGAGGGGCTCCTCCTCACGACGTGGTGCTGCATCAAACTTCTCTCCTAATGCTCTCGGAAGCAAGTCGCCATGCCGCCAGAGGGGTTGAGCGCATCGCATCAAGTGCATGGTGGCTGCTGCTGGATCTCTTGGCGGTGGCACCGATTTGGAGGACGGAAGATCAACCTGGAGCACCGGGCAACAGATACTCCCGTCTATCGCCCACCGACTCCTCCTCTTTCCTCAGCCTTCGCGTCGGTCACCTGCTTGCATCGCATCTAGCTTGTGGCTAGCAGCACCCTCTCTGTTCCTCCTTCTCTGTCGTGTCTCTTCTCCTCGGAATTGCGCATCTCAGGCCCAGAATCGGGTGGTCAAGACATGGCTTGGCAGACGGCGACGGAGGTCTCATTGGCGTGTCTTGACAGCATCCATGTGCGCCTGTCGCTGGAATTCCAGCCAGGAGAGAAAGAAAGGAGGTGGCGAGGCACATCGAGCTTGCTGTGCTTGGTTGCGCGCGGGTCCAGCCAATCGTCCATGGCTTGTTGTCGTCTAGTGCTCTCGCGTCGCAGGCGCTTCTTTCTCCCCGACGCGGACCAGAAAAAGAAGAGCAGCAAGCGGCGAAGGGCGCGACCAAGCACGAGCAGCGCCATGGCGCGGGGCGTGAGCTCGAGCTTGCCTGAGTAGAGGCGATAATTTGGCTTGGCAACTATTCGCAGCAGCCAGCGGCGAGCGGCGAGCGGCGAGCGATTGAGGAGCACAAGGATAACGTGAGCAGCAGCTACGCAGCACTATACACTTGAACACTCTGGTAGACGAGCAGCGGAAGAAGGATGAGCAGAAGGATGAGGCACAGTAAGAGCAAGTGAGAGAAGAGAGAGCGGCGTGTTCCGGCCGGCCGGGATAGCGTTGAGCCACGGGCGCCACGGTCATGGCAACTCCCGACCGATGAGCGGCGATCGTCGCCCAGAGAGGCGAAGCATGACACTGGCCTGGCGACTAGAGTGCCGTCACGAGCTCGATGCCATCTCTGTCCACCGTGGCCGTTGGACATGGTGAGTCGGGCCCGCTGCGAGCCTCACCGTCGGCGACGTCGTCCCTTTAATCTAATCGCCTTTTGAAGAGTATGTGGAATGGAGCGGCTGCCATTCGCATTGACGTGTGCTGCTCAAAGTTTCATGCGTGGAAGGGTCAATGACACGACGCTAGAGGAGACTTTGGATCAGAGATCAATTGGGAGGTTGGAGTTCAGATAAAACCACGTGGCATGGCCATGGCCGCCCTTCCGCCCGTCAGCCCTCGCTCGCGTGGCGGCGGACGGACGGAGAGAGGGCGACAATCCACTTGGCCGTGGCCGCCGGCTTCGTCGCAACGTCGTGGTCTGTTCCGTCATCGAGCTCCTCCCTCCCTCCCTCATCGATCCTCGCTCACCAGCGGCGTTGCGCTTGCCATCCGCGACCTCTCGCCACCGAAGCGACTCGGCGTCTGGCATCTCCGCGCTGGCAAGCATTCGGCAAGAAGTCTGGCGCCATTGGCGCGAGATGGCCGCTCCGTCGTCGTCGACATTGACGCCGTCTCCTCGCGGCTTCACTGTCAGCCATCAAAAGGTCGCCCTCGAGCTCGGTCTCGATGATGGCGCTATCCTTGGCGGCTACACAGACATCACGATCATTCCAACCGATCGTAACCTGCGCACAGTCTATCTCAATTCGAGGCAATGCAGTGCGTTGGCGCAAGTGTCCCTTCATTTGAGTCCTGCTCAGCATCTGAACATCCTCTTTGTCCTCCCATCCGCTTCTCATCAGGAATCTCTGCCGTGACTTGTAGTGGTCACAAGGCTGACTTTGCTCTCCGAGATGACCTTACTGGCGTCGGCATCGCCGATTCGCGCGACGTGCATCTCTTTCCCTCGCTCAAGCGCAAGCTCTATGCCTTTGCAAGCGACGGACAGGGTGGAGAGCTGAGCATCGCCTTGCCTGCTGAAGTTCAGTCATCCCTCACTGGGACCATTGATGCTCCTACACCCGGTGGCGGTTCAACCCTCGACCTGGCGCCCATCAATCTTCGGATCCACTACACCTTGCACGACCCCATCGACGGCATACATCGCGTCACGCCCAGCGCCGAAGCGCCATGGAGGCAGGCTCATCTCTACACTAGCCCGACATGCTTCGATTTTTCGCGCTGCTGGGTCCCTTGCGTGGATAGCCTCTGGGAGAGGAATACGTGGGAGTTCGAGTTCGTCGTTCCGGCAAAGAAGGACGGCCAGGAGGTCGTGGTCGCCTGCGCGGGAGATCTCGTCGAAAGAGTGACCCATCCGCATCATTCTGGCAAGGTCATTTATAGCTTCGTACAAGCGGCGCCCACGTCGGTACACCACATCGCTTTTGCGGCTGGATGCTTCGAGGTTATCGACCTGGGGGCGGCAACGAAGCCGGTGACCACCGGCAGCAGTGGCGGAAGGAAGGCGGTTGCAGCAGCTACGGCGGTCGACGATGCGAGCGAGGTTCAGCTCCTTGCCTTCTGCTTGCCGGGGCGAGAGGCAGACGTACCCTCTTCATGTCGAGTGGTCAGACAGGCGCTAGACTTCTACAGTCGGGAGTTTGGGTGAGCAGCGCAGCCAAGAGCAGAATGAGAGATCAGAGCCACTCTTGCTGACCTTTCCCTTCCACTCGCACACAGTTCATACCCATTCGGCTCGTACAAGCTCATCTTCGTCGAAGACACAGTGACCGATGTGCACAATGCCGCGTCAATGGGCGTCTTTTCGTCAGACCTGCTTCACCCAGCCTCTGTCATCGACCAAGCCCTCGAGACTCGCCAACACCTCTCCCATGCCTTGGCTACCCAGTGGGTCGGCATCAACATCATTCAGCGGACGTGGTCGGATACTTGGCTCATCAATGGCCTCAATCTCTACATCGCCGGCCTGTTCTGGCGGCGTCTCATGGGCAATAATGAGTACCGCTTCCGCTTGCGCAAAGATTGCGATCGAGTCTGCGCCTGGGACATCGGCATGCCTCCTCTTTGTCAAACTGGCGCAATCGAGCCACCAGATGCCTCGCTCCTTCCCTTCATCAACCTCAAGGCGCCTTTGGTCCTTCATATCCTCGACCGCCGGCTGTGCAAGGCAGGAGCCTCCCTCGGCCTAGGTCGCGTCATACCCAAGGTCTTCCTGCAGGCCATTACGGGTGAGCTGCCCAACAACTCTCTCAGCACGTCGAGCTTCCTCCGTACTTGTCGCAAAGTCAGCGGTGTCGATCTCCGCATCTTTGTCGACCAGTGGATCTACGGCAGCGGATGCCCACGCTTCTTCATCAACTCGCACTTCAATCGCAAGAAGTTGACGATCGAGATCCATGTGCGGCAAGAGAGCCCCTCATGGCAATTTGCCCAATACCGGCCAGAGCTCGCTGCGGGGTCGAATCCGGTCAAGCTCTTCGATGGGCAGATGACGATTCGTATCCACGAAGCAGACGGCAGGCCATACGAGCACGTTCTCGATATACGCCAGCCGCAGAAGCGATTCGACGTCCCGTTCAATACCAAGTACAAGCGAGTGAGGAGGAATACCAAGCGATTTCAGGCCCGTCAAGCGGCGGCCGTAGCAGCAGCAGAGGTGAGTAGGCGCGGGACCTGCAAGCTGTTGAGAGATCGATCCACTGATATCAGGCCACATTCGTAGGGAGACCGCGATGCAGCCGAGGCTATTGGCATGATTGACCTCGGCTTCAGTCTTGCCCTCTGGGAGAATGAGGAGCAGCGCGAGACATGGAAGGTAGCCGACTGGACCGAAGACGACGAGGACATAATGTCTCAAGCCGCCTACGAGTGGATCCGCATGGACTCGGAATTTGAATGGATCGCCTCGCTACACGTCGACCAGCCGGACTTTATGTGGGTCTCGCAGCTTCAACGAGATCGCGACGTGGTTGCGCAGCTTCAGGCGGTGCAGGCGCTGGCGCAGATGCCCAACGCTATCTCGTCGTCGATGCTTACCAGAACGGTGCTCGTCCACAAGTACTTCTATCGGATCCGCACCGAAGCCTGCCATGCGCTCGTCAACTGCGCCATCCCTCAGCTGGGCTACCTCGGGCTCTTCCACCTGCTCATGCTCTTCCGCACCAGCTTCTGCATCGACGTGCCCGCCGACAAGACGGACGCTGGGAGTGGAGCGCTGGATATGGTCTGCATCCCTCGGGCGAATGACTTCTCTGATCCTGCAGAGTACTTTGTCAAGCGCGCAATGGTCCATGCCATCAGCCGAGTGCGCAACGAGCGAGGGAGGACGTTGCCTCAAGTCAAACGGCTCCTCGTCAACCTGCTGCGCTACAACGACAATTCCACGAACCGCTTCGCCGACGATCACTACGTCGCCGGGCTCATCTCAACGCTAGCATCAGCCTTTGTACCCGTCGAGTCACCCGCCTTCGGAGGCTTTGTTCCTGCAAACGAAGACCCAGATGCAAGAGATGACACCGTCCTATTCGAGTCGTCTTGCGCAGAAGTTGCCCGACTGCAAGAGCTCGACAAGCTCGTGCCATCATTTCACAACGTCGTCTCCCTGGCGTGCCTCGATTGGCATGCAGCCATGGTTCTCTCTCAGCAGCTGCCACTGGATCTCGCCCTCTTCCTCTCATATACGCAGCAGGGCTCCTTCACCCCACTCCGCATCGCTGCTCTCAATCACTTGCTCATACTCAGCGGCCTCAAGCATCGCGTCGTGGTGCGCTACCTCTTCTCTGTGCTACAGACGGACGAGAGTCGTCTTGTCAAGCGATCGCTGGCGAAGGCCATCTGCGAGGGGCTGGCCATTGCTGTTGCCCTCGGCGATGTCTCGGGCTCGTCCAGCAGTAGCAGCAGGACGGGCGATACGCTTCTCGAAGAGTCGTACGGCAGCGATGCGCAGGCTGCAGATCGAGCCAGGGAGAAGGAGATGGAGGGTGCGTTGCGCAGCCTGAGAAGGGAGGTGGGAAGATCAGCCGCGGTGCGAGAGGGCTTTCTTGGCGCGCTGCTCGCCGCAGACGTAGATTCGGAGGAGCGCTGGGCGTTGATCAAGCTCGCCGAGCTGCTCTTCAAGCCAGCTGAGGAGCAGGAGCTGCCACTAGAGCAAGAGCTCAAGGTACGAGCCAGAGTGGCGCCAGCGGTCACCAACAACGACACCAACAACGAGGACGGTGCTCCCTCAGCTGTGTCGAAGATCAAGCTCGTCAGCCGTACGGAACCGGCATCACCTGCCGCCGCCACGCCAGCTCGCGTCGCTTTCGAAGAGGCCGACCTACCGGCGGAGCCCGCACGCAAGCCCGCTCCAACGCTCAAGGTCAAGAAGCCCAAGCCTGTCGCTCAAGCCCAAGCAGCGGGCATGACCCACGCCGACCTCACCGCCTGCCGAAATGCTCTCAAGAAGCTTCAGACGAACAAGAATGCACCGCTTTTCGTCAATCCCGTCGATCCAGTGCGAGATGGTGCACCAGACTATCACAAGGTGATCCGCGACCCAATGGACCTTAGCACGATGGGAAACAAGCTCGAGGCTGGTCTCTACGCGGACCGCTTCGCCTTCGAGAAGGACTTTGAGCTCCTCGTCCGCAATGCAAAGACGTACACGCCCGACCCTCGGGCGTTTGTATGGAAGGCGGCAGACGCGCTCGAGAAGAGCTTCCAGGCGCTTTGGGCGAGGACGAACAAGACACTGGAGCAAGCGGCGGCTAAGGCGAGAGGAGAGGCACAAGAGACTACGCCCATTGAGGTTTCGGCCAGCGCGACGCCCAGTGCAGGCGACACGATGGCACCTCCTCCTGTGCCGGCGAGGAGCACTGCAATTGCGTCGCCGATTGCGCCGGTCGCTGTGGCATCGCCTGCTCCGGCGCCGGCACCGTCCTCCAGTGCTGCTGCCACCTCGACGCCCAAGCCGCTCGGCCTCAAGCTGAAGCTCAAGTCAAAGAGCAGCGCGGCCGATAGTCCATCAGCTGCTTCTAGCTCTCCTGCTCCGGCGGAGAAGAAGGCACCGCCAGCACCAAGGCCAGTTGCCCAGCTCAATGGCAGCGACAACGCCAATGTATCATCACCAGCCGCGGCAACTTCTTCTCCCGCATCCACCTCCTCATCCTACACGCCCATCGACCCAGGGCCAGACCCGATCCCACTCTCGCTCAACGAGCCGCTCCGTCCTCACCTCAAACAGTGCCGCACGCTTCTGGCCAACCTGCGCAAGATCCCTGAATCCATCCTCTTCGTCTCCCCAGTCGACGCAGCTATCGCTCCAGGGTACTACGACGTTGTCCACCATCCGATGGACCTGAGTACGATTGAGACGATGCTGAACGATGGGCAATACAAGACCATGGACGCATTCGCAAGGGATGTCGAGCAGGTCTGGAGCAATGCCTACATCTATGCGGATCTGACCGCCGTCAGCTACGCTGAGGTGCTGAGGGCCGCTTTCAGGAAGAGGGAGTGGCCGCGCGCGCTGATTAGGAGGCTGGATTACGCGGAGAAGAGGGCGCTTCAAGGATTGATGGGAAAGATGAAGACGAGAGCAGAAGCCGGACTCTTCTGGCAGTCCGTGGCGGATATCGTGGCCGTCCTCCCGCATTACTTTGATGTGGTGCCGAGGGAGAAGGCGAGAGACTTAGGCATGATAAGTGAGAAGATCAAGGCGAGCCCCACGCTTTCTGCGGCTTCGTCTGGAGATGCAGCTCCTGCTGACGGGGCGAACGCATCCGCTTACTACACGGGCGTGGCCGATGTGGCAGCGGACGTTGCCCTAATGCTGAGCAATGCGCGGGGCTTCAATGTGGGCAACGAGGCCGTGCTGGGCATGGTGGATGAGTTCGAAAAGACGTGGAATCGCGAATGGAAGAGTACCATGGCGCAGCTTGAGGCTGGACCAAGCGCGAGTGGTACGGGAGGTGCTGGGGGTAACAAGAAGAGGAAGGAGGAGAGGGCGGATAGCGCCGGTGCTGCGGGAAAGAAAGCCAAGAGCTAGCCGTGAATGCAGGTCAGCAAGGGAGCTCGAGATATGCTCAGCCACTGCATAATCAATATGAGGACTACAATCGGGCACTTTGCTCATCCATTATCGAGGTCTCTGCTCGTAGCGCGTTTCGTGAGCGGTTCCTCATCGTAGCCGGCTGAGCTTCGCTGTCTTCAGGATATCCCGCGGCACCCTCTTCACGTCGCGCTCCTTAATTGACGCGCCTCGACGCGACCTTGAACTCCGAAGGGACGCCGCGAAGGATCGTCGCCTCTGCCGTCCCCCAAGCTCCGCACCCCGCTGCCAGCACCGGCAGCTCGCTACGACTCTCGCGAGGCATTGAAAGGTCTAGGTCTCTCGTTGCTGCAAGGTCCTGTTCCCACCCGTAAGCAACACGCCGAGATAGCTGCGTGATGTGATGAGCGAGGAGCAGGGTGATGCAAGAAGTGACACAAACGAGGGCGGTTGAGAGCGAGAGCGAGACGAGCGAGGTAGGCAGAGACCCTGCTGAGACAGATTCCAGCTGCGAGCAGCGAACCCCTGGCGTAAACTACCCCGCAATGGCGAGCAATGGCAGCGAGTACAAGCGGGAACCTCTCGCCTCCCTCTTTGATCTTCTCACGAGATAGGGGGACTCGATGAGGGCAAGGCGAAGCTACCTCTTGACTTTCGTCGCTTCGATTAGGCGGAGGCCGGTCGCCTCTCTTTCGTCCCGCGCTCGGACCTTGGGGAGAGGTGAAATGAAAAGCTAAAACTGGTGGAGCACAATCGTTTCCCCGCTTGACTGGCGGATGTTCGGGAGGAAGCAGGGGATTGTAGCTGTCAAGGAGAAGAAGCACCCTTCGAACGGCTGTTCACCTCTCGGATCGAGGGATGGCCCAACCTTGCGGTGCATGCTGCTCGACACTCGCAATTGTCGATAGGTGCAGCGGCACGCGCTCATTGCCACATTGGCGTGGCGCTGAATGGCCGCGAAAGATTTACAGTAGCAGCTTGGCTTGCTCCGCCGTAGTTTGGCCGTCTAGTTGCCCGCCTCGTGACGGACAAGGCACGCCGAGAAGTTCTGGCCAGCCCCTCCCCAATCCTGGCATTCGTCTTCGTACGTATCGTCCGATGATCGGGCGGAGGCGGACGTCGCTACGGCTGCTCACACCGAGCGATGTGGGAATGAAGAGCTTATCCATCATTGCGCCGCCAGTGGCAGGGTGCGAGGTTGAGTCGAATGTCTGTCTACCGTACAGCGGCCTATCCGGGCGGGCGGCTTAGCTGCTGCAAGAGCGCGTATGTGTGGCTGCGCCTTTCAATTCAGGAAGGTCCGCCGACGGGACCCCCGCCTAGCCACCAGCCCAGCGAGAAGAGGCCGGCTTCTTTGTAGCTTGGACAGCGAGGCAAGGCGGGGCATCTCTCGGGAGCATCGTGGTGTAATTCGAATCGTCGGTCTTCTCATTCGTAGTCGCCTGAGGTTGAGTCTGGGCACCATCACAATCGCGCACCTCGGGACGCCCGGCACGCTCAGACGAGGAGAAGACGCTGGCTCCAAACTCAGACGACGCACGACTAGGCAAGCAGGCAGGCAGGGCAGGCAGGTCTCGCACGATCAGCACTGCGACCTCACACGCCTTGTCTCGAACACCTTCTTACCATCACCATCGTCCTCATCGATTGGCAACGACATCATCAGCACCGAGGTCCTGAAAAAGCAACCATCGACGCAATCTCGAGCCGCCTGCCTGCCTGCCTCGCTCGACTTGCATAGAGCGCCGCTTGGCTCCTCCCGCCGCCTCCGCCGCCGCTAGAGGAACTGGATCGCTTGCCGCTTTAGCCTGGCTAGGTGCCTCTGGCTGCTGCTTCCTCCTTTGTCCCGCCGTCCATTTCATTCTTTCTTTCACTCATTCGCTCGTTTCAAGCGCCCATCTCGACCACTGTTTCTCGTCACATCTTCAACCGGTCAAGCACTACGGCACTGCGACCACGGCTCCCTTCGCTCTGCACGAAGTTGCACCAACCCGCACCAGCACCCGCATTCTCGACCCTGATCTCCTTTGGGCTGTCACATTACGCCCAGCTTCAATCTCGACGCAGTCTTTGTTCGCTGCACCGGCCCGTCACTGCGCACGACTCTGCACGCACGCCCAGCTGCTACTTTCCAACACTACCGTCCTTCGCAACTTTTTCAATCCTCACTTCCCGACGAACAAAGCAGCAACGCCAACGGCCAAAAGACAACAACGGCATCGGCCTCTATCAGCTTGCTGAGTCCATCAAGGGCCGACGGCAGTCGAGACGCCTGTGCACAACCGCAGCTGCATCATTCGCCCAAAGAGCTTCGCAAGAGCATCGCAGCAAGGCTTCAGCCCTCCATAGCACCACCTTGACCTCCGTCTTCCTCCTCTTCCTCCTCACCAACGCACAATCCTCACTCACTGTCGCCTTAGCCTTTGCAGCCCTCTCTGCTCGCCTCGATGCAGACCTTTTACTCGCCGATGCCACCAAGTCACAAGTCAGCCGTCGCATCGAGATTAGCCAACAACAGCAGCCAAAAGCCATCAACAGTTCCCATGCAGCAATTCGATAACAAGGGGCCCTGCTCACCAACGAAGCGCTTCGACAATTTGCCGTCGGTAGGGGACGACCAGCAGCATGATGACCTCCTCCTCCTCAATGACGCAGCCGCTGTCCTCCAGACGCCAAGGCGTGGACGCAGGGTGGGAGGTGTCGAGATGGGCTGGCAGAGTCCTTCGCGCAATGTAGACGTGAACCAGCCGACGAGCGTCACGCCAAAGAAGCGCAGCAGGTCGTCCCTTGCCGGGCCTTCAGTGCCAAGACGATCACAAGGAGGATCCGCCGCACGCAACACCCTCTGCGACGATGCAGGCTATGCAAGCGTTGCCGTTCTAGGATCAGCAGCTGGTCATCATCGCAGCCCCTCGGCCGTCTCTTCTTCGCCCAGCTTTGCAGCACCACCCACCGCACCGGCACGGTACGACCACCTGGCTGCATTCAGAGACCCTCGTCCAGATGAAGCAGGGCCCTCTTCAGCACCGTACCGCCCTTCACATCAATCGCTCGTCGCCGTAGAAGTGCAAGGCATGGGAAGAGTGGCCGTCGAGCCCCACGTTGCGGTCCAACTGGGAGCACTCAGCGAGCAAGAGGTACGAGCATCGATGACTTCCTCGTCAGAGGGATCAAAGAACTCCAACGACGGCCTTTCATCGGACAGCCATTACTCGACGACCTCGTCCGCCACCAGCCTCGAGACGCCATCGTGCATCGACCCCAGCCCCAGCTTCTCCCTCGCCAGCCATTTCCCTGCAAGCGAGGATGGCTCGCCCTCATTACGCAACGCAGCCAAGTTTGGTCCCGCACTCATGCCCAGGAAGCCCAAGCTTCAGACAAGCAACGGCAAGTCAAGCGACGTCCCGCACGAGCTTCTGGATCGCATCAATTCCTTCAAGGACCGCATTCTCGCCACGCCGGCTCGCCCTTCGACATCTGCAACCATGCCTCTGATATGCGCAACAGCTCCACGTCTGGGCGGACACTCTCGCGCACTCGCACCGCGCCTCCCTCACCTTGACTGGCCCGATTCCCCCACTGGTCCCTGGGCCGCAGCAGCCAGCCACACCAAGAAGAGTGAAGATGCCCGCCTGGACGTGGTAAGCAGCTGGCTGGATGTGGTAGACGACGAGTACGCCTCAGACCCCGAGCTCTCTAAGCCCAGTGTCCGCGCTCTCCACCACCACCCCATGGTTGCCAAGGTGCTCAGGGAACGTGCCAGGAAAGAGGCAGCAGCGGCTGCGGCTGCACTGGAGGCTGCTGCACCGAAGCCGAAGAAGAGGGGCAGGAAGACCAACGCGGAGAGGGAGAGAATTCGCCTAGAAAAGCTGGAACAAGAACGTCGCCAGGCACGTAGAGAGCAGAGGATGTTGCTCAAGAACACCTCATCCTCCTCATCTCGTCGCCTGCATGCGACAACCGGAACGCACCACACCACTCCCTCGTCTCTCAGTCACTCCGTCGTACTCAGCTCTGGCGGCGCACTGTCCGATATCGGCTCCACGGCCTCGTCAGTCTTGGACTGCTCGTGTGGCCTACAGGACGAAGACACGCCTATGGTGCGCTGCGACTCGTGCCGGCGTTGGTACCATATGCAGTGCGCTGGAGTCGGACTCAACGAGGAATTGGGAGAGACGTGGTATTGTGTGGCTTGCGAGGCTGATGAGGCTAGTCTGATTGAGGGCTTTGGCTCGACTGTCCCCTCCTCTGCGTGGAGAAGGAGGAGTGTACTGGCCCCGGCGGACCTCTTCTCACCAGCCAGCGCAGCAGCTATGCGCACCGGTCGAGTTCGTGGTCCCCCCTCGACTGGGGGCAGCTTCGCTTCCTCTACCACTCCAACATTGCTCAGCGCCTCGGCCAGCCTTCCGGCCTTTCCCCGTACGTACGGCACACACGTTGGGGTCGAGACGCCCTCACTTCGCACGAGAGGCGGTGCAGCAGCAGCTGCTTCAGGCGACTCATCCTCCATCCCTGTGTTCACCCACCCACCCTCGGCCGGTGAATCGCCATCCGCCTTCGCCCTCGGAGCGGGAGCCAGATCCGCTTCTGGCCTGCCCTTCTCTTCGGCCCTTGCACTGGCGCCGAGCCCGCAGATGGATGCTGCTGCGGAGGGAATGGTTCGCCCGATTGCTGGTAGGGCGCGAGCGAGCAGGACGGGCTGCTATGCGGTGGAGCCCAGCTCGCCGCTTGATAGGAAGTCGACGGCGACGATGGCCCCCACTGCTCCTGCTACCACGGGCAGATGGAGGACGCCAAGCTACGGTGGAAGCGGTGCAGCCAGACTCTCTCACTCCCGCGGGCGCGCAGGCAAAGCTTCGGCTTCCGCAGCTCACGAAGGCGGCATTGTCTCCTCGGAGGATGAACAGGACGACAACGACGACGTCTCTCGCCACGTCCAATTCAGTCCCAGCATCTTCACCCACTCTTCAAAATCGGAGTGGGACCTGTCCTCGCTCCACGCGCGACGCAACAGCAATTGGTTGCATAATCCGCGTCACGCAGCTCCTGCCCGCACTCCTTCCCCTACGAGGCCATCGGCGCACCTTGTCACCACGCCCAGTCGTGGGGCGGCAAGGGACTCAGACGATGTTTTCTCTACTCCGTCGCGACACTTGCCAGGCAGTGCCTTCTGGGGTTCAAGGAACCCGGCCGCTGCGGCTGGTATCGGCGCCATTGGTGGACCCTCTACGCCTGGCTCCATGCTGGGCACGCCGCGCAACTCGGTTCATCACCAGCAGAGCCATGGAGCAGCGGCCGTTGGCCTGCAAACGCCCTCGCGCTCCACCCGCCGTAGAGAATCCTCAGCTTGGGGTCTCAGCTTGGCTACCACGCCCGGCAGTGTGGGCGGGCGCGGAGTTGACTCTCATCTTCTCGGCGTCGAGACCTCCGGCGGACTGCATGGGGGCGCTGGAAGCATGGTGTTCAGCAGCGTGGGCCGAGATGGCCAACACGGCGCACTTGTGGACCTGCTTGGCGGGATCGATTTCCCTCAAGCCCACTGGAATGCCGACTCTCCAGGCACTGGGAGCCCGACCTTGTCTGCTCGCAAGCCGACCACGTCGTCCCCTGCGAGGAAGAGGGACAATGCTGCTGGCGTGAGCATGCTGGGCTCACAGGCTTCCACCTCTTCCGTCCGCTCCACACCCACTCGCCAACAACCTCCTCGATCAGGAGGCAGTGCAAGGAAGCACGCTCATTTCATCTCTGGACCGGGGGCCGAGCTGAGGTCCTCTGACTTTGACGACGATGGAGATGGATTGGACGAGGACGACAATCAGGACATTCCGTCCAGCAGCCCATATCTCCGTACACCGTCGATGGAACTGTATCGACGCCCTTCTGGACCCAGCACCAGCGGAGGTGGAGCCCTATCGCCTGGTTCGCCCACTCCCAACCGAAAGGCAGCAGCCGCAAAGGGGTCGACCTCCTCTACGCGTCTTGCGCCTGGACCGATCCTCAAACATAGCGCAGCAGCGGCCGCAAAGCAAGGAGACAATGCCGTGGACGAGGTAAGCGGCGCTTCACCCTCACCGCAGCGTTTTCGCCAGGTATCGGCGAATACCGCATCGATGAATGCGGGCGATGCGCGCAACCTTGGGCTTGGGTTTAACATGGAGGAGATCAATGAGTATTACGATTTTGTGGAGTGAGCGGCTCGAGAGGGCAACAGGGCGTGCGGTAGGGGGATAGAGGGGGACCGAAGCACTGTCAGAGGTGACCAGGAAACGCCAGTAGGGCAACCAGGAAGCAGTAAGAACCAGTTAGAGCGGAAGTAGCAGCCGCGCTTGGCACGCATCGAGCATCGCAGTCAGCACGCACCAGCACCAGCACCCGTATCATCATCACTAAGCATCTCGTTGAGTTTCGCCCGCGATCTCTTTTCATCTTCAGCCTCGCACATCCCACCTTGTTGCATTCAGACACGCCATTCAACTTGTTCATTTAGCCTACTTTCTCTCTCACGTCAATGTTCATTAGCGTCTCGCGATTTTTTTCTATGACTTCTCAATCAACACCGTCAACTGGCGCTCGTCTACGTCTGCCGCGATCGGATCGGCGTGGTCAAAGATTGCGCTTAACTCCGCGACGCAGAGGTGTGATTTGAATGATCAATATTTCATTCCGCGTTCAGCGTCGTCCCTCTACCTGTCTATCTCTAGCCCTCTTCGCCGCTCTAGGGCGCCGAAGTGCTCGACAAGAAGAAGCTCTTGTCGACACTAGAGCTAATAGGTGCATCCGGCAGCGGGTTAGCGTGAGGAACCTGCTGAGCCGCGCTCGCACCCTCGGCGTGTCCCTTGCTACCCTGTACCGTAGCGTTGACGATGCTAACCTCTCCAGCGTCGGCCTGACCGCCTACGAGCCTCTTCCACGCCTCGTGGCACTCGTGGACCACCTCAGTAGCGTACTTGCGGTTCTTTGCTTCACCGCTGAAGGCAAACTGGTTCTCGGGCTTTCCGTCGGGGATCTTATAGATGCGGAACCACTCGTTGGTAGCACGGATCAGACCGGGAAGGTGACGCTCGACGTCCTCGATGTCGTTGAGCTTGCCGGCGAGGGGGTCGTTGATGTCAACGACGATGACCTTCCAGTCGGTCTCGCCTTCGTCGAGGAGAGCCATGACACCCAGGACCTTGACCTGCTTGATCTGACCCGGGTAGCCGACGGCCTCACCGATCTCGCAGACGTCGAGCGGGTCGTTGTCGCCCTTTGCCTTGGTGTCAGGGTGGGTGTGAGAGGGGTCCTCCCAGGTCTGAGGGAAAGCACCGTAGTTCCAGATGTAGCCGTGGTGCGGGAAGCAGTTGCGAACGAACCTGCGGAGCGGGGCACAAAGTGGTGGGTGAGCATATAGGCAGGGGATTGGGTCCTGTGTCGGTGCTCGGGGCCGCACTCACCTGAGCTTGCCCTTCTTGGTGTCCTGCTTGATGGGGTTGAAGGGCTCCTCCTTGCTGATCTCTTGCTTAGCGTTGGTCCACCTCGGGATCTCTACGATGAAGTTAAGGACGCTCTTGTCCTCATTTGCAAAGAGGGGCACATCGTGGAAGAGGGAGACGGGCTGTCCACTCTTTGCGTGCTCGAGGTAGACTCGGTACTCGAGAGTGTTCTTTGCGCCAATCTGGCGGACCTTGTAGTCGGTGTTTGCGCTGGCCATGATCGTTGATGCGATGGTCGACTTGGTCGTGTGGGAGAGATGGCGAGCTGTGTTTGCTAGTCGGGTCAATGGAGGTGACATGCGCGAGCAAGGGAAAGGAAAGAAGGAAGGTGGAAGAAGTGGCCGCCGCACGCCGGCACACCGGATGAGGCGGCGGCGAGGAGTGCAGGCCAGCAACGCAACACACGGATCAAGTGCCTGCCACCACCAAGCGCCCAATTCGACTAGCACGCAAGCCAGAGGCGCAAAAGAGGGGAGTTGACGAGGTGGAGAATAGAATAGCCACGAGTTAAGTCAAAGGTCAAAGGTATCATTGATACGATTGCAACGGAGCAAAAGCAAGTGCAAATCTATCAACATCTATGAAGAGGTAACCAAGGCAGGGCGTGCCGCCGAATCTACTCGGGTCTCACAGGCTCCTGCTCCTTTGGCTTCGTACTCGTCTGGCCCAAGGCATACTGGCCGCACTCGCTAGCGTACATCTTCGCATCCACATGCCCGACATTCAGCACAACACAGTCTCTGTGCCCGAAACCGTTTCCATCACCGATTGCCTTCAATCCGCTCTCTGTCAGGTTCTTCGCCCCGTAGTACGCCGTGACATTCGTGCTCGTACCGGCAAGGAGGTTTCGGTACGCCCACCACGCGTAGTTACGGTCACGCCTGTTGAGGCCGCCTTGAGCGAGGACGGAGCATGAGTCGTCACCGAAGTCGTACAAGCGGCGGATGTCCGTTGTGCCCGTACCGCTGTACAGATTGAGTCCGATGTAGCGCTTAAAGAGGGTGAGAGGAGAGGATCCACCGTGCGAGGCCACGTAGCGGGGCAGGGAGGAGGCGTATCCGTAGAGGTCTATGTGATGGAGAGAGGATGGATAGCGAAAATGTCAGTGTCTGGTACGCGGCGCAATCCTACACGCCTCGCCGTACTCACAGCTGTCATATCCTGAGCAATTATCGTAGCTGTCCGGGCGATGGCTCTCAAAGTACGGCAAAGACGCAGCATTGAATGCCACCCACTTGATGGGCACCCCGCTCCCACTCGTAGCCTTATCGCTGACTACAGCGTAGTGGTGCATCAAGCTCGCTCCGGCCGAATGTCCCACAAGGTAAATGACCTCGAGGGATGGGTACTTGCTCTTGTTGTTCAACAGGGTGACGAGCGAGTCCCAAACCTCGTACGTCGAGCATGCTCCAACGGTATAGTTGCTCGCAGACCCAGCTACAGCGTCGCTACCACCGATCCAAGCATTGGAAGAAGACCAAGCCAGGTTGATCTCTGGCTCAAACCAATTGCTTTGGCTCGCATTCTTGTACGTGGGCTTGTCGCTCGGGAGGTAGAAGTTGGGCGTCACGACGAGTGACGAGGACTGGTCCACATTACTCGAGATGGCGGCAAAGGCATTTTCGAAGTCGCGCCCTGCTCCGTGCTGTACTACGTAGGCACGCGTGGCACTCGAGACAGGGTGGGTCGAGTTGACCCAGTGACGGTTGGCGAAGATGGGGACGTAACCTGAGGTGCCGGCGCATTCAGTCGGTCGGTACTGATACAGGATGGCCCCCTTTGGGTTGGCAGGGGGATTGCGCCTCGGACGAGGTCCATCTGAGGAGAGGTCGCTTCGTGGAGGGATGACGAGTGTCGTTGTGGTGGTCGAAGCGGTTGATGTGGAAGTGGTCGTTGTGGTGGTCTTGCCCGACGTGATGGTGGAGTGGACCGTTGTGACAGAGGCTGAGGAGGTGGACTTGGTAGAGGTGGGCGTCGTCTTGGTGTAGGACGAGACCTTGGTAGTCGAAGGCACTGCTCGGGATGTAGTCGTAGAGCTCTTCGCGGGCTGACTGGACGCCAACTTGGCAGATGTCGAGGAGGTCTTGGACGAGGCGCTAGCCTCTCTGCCGTAGTTATACGCCACCACTACGCTCCCCGACTTGTTCTTCCTCGTCTTGTAAGTGGCCTCCGTCTTGCTCTTTACCGTAGAGTACAAGTTGCAATACACGTCCGCGGCTCCGGTTCCACCAGTGTACTGGACCAATTGGACATCGACGCAGGATGAGGAAGCCGAACACTTGGCCGTGCAGCTGTTGATTGAGGATTGTGTGATCTGGCTGCCAGACTCGGGGGACATGGAGATGTACCCCACTGCGACTGAGCCGATCTTTGCGCGGGTGCCGGAGGAGGTCCAGAGAAGAGAGTAGCTGTACGTGCAAGGTCAGAGCAGGCGTGAAGCGTCGGGATTGAGTGAGCAATACATTAGAGGCAGCGATCGAATCGGTTGCAATGCTCACCCATTAGGTACGCTGAACTTCGTCGTCGGGGCAGCAGCTCGCCTCTGCTGCTGCTGTGCTGAAGATGGGGCGCCATCCTCCGACACTCGTTGGGGGATAGAACGGGCAGCGCTGGTCAGTGAAAGGATAGCGATGAGTGCGGCGAGGACAGCCAGAGGCATAGTCCGGGGAGTGATCGTCATGCTGAGCGGGTCGAGAAGAGGAGAGCCGGAGTCGCAAAGGTGAGGAGGAATAAGGCGTGACCGCGACCAGAGATGTAGACCGAGGCGGGGGTATAAGAGCGATTGATGGATGGTAGGATGGAAGGATGGAAAAATGGGAGAAGAGAGAAGAGCAAGCTACGTATTGCTTGCTTGCTTTCCTCGCTCGTTCTCACGGCTGGATCTCGTCGTCCGCATGATGGGTGGTGCTGCAGCCTGGGGAACGGGCGAGACCTCACGGCTGACAACATGGTCGTTTCACTGATGCTGCTCCCAGTTGCTTTGCCGCCGGCTCAGACGAGCAAGGCTTTGTTGTTTGCCCAGAACAGGGAACCGATGAGGGTGAGGCAATGATTGCTTGGCCCCTTGGCTGTGATCCGGCTCTACGCCGCCTTGCCCAGCGACGTCCCGAGACGACGAGGCGCAGATGAGCCTTTCTGCGCCGATGCCCCGTTTTCCTACATCTTTCTGATCTCATGCTCAACGGAACGTGGCGCCATGTCCATATTGAAGGCTAAGTCTGGATGAAGGAGCGGCAAAGAGGACAACAAGCAGAGCTCGAAGGATGCACGTCGCGAGCATCTAGACTAGTCTATGCGAGGAGTTGCGGGACGTCCGACGCCACATCTTTTTCCCGTGACGCTGCTTTGACAGGTCAACCTCGGCTCATCGGCCGGATGGCCAGCGGCTGAGGCGACGCGTGGGAGAAGAGCAAGCTTGACTTGGGAAGTTGAGCCTTATGAGGGAGCCGGAAAAAGGGAGCGCTATATGTGGCTCTCTGCGCAGGGACTTGCCCGTCGATTCGTTTCAACCTCTTGCTCAACCTCGAGCTGCTTCTGCGCAGAAGGCGAATGCGGACGTTGCTTGCTTGCTTGTTAGCCTGTGAGGTAGCACCGGAAGAATGGGCATTGCGATGTGCAACGTTGGGCATTGCATCTTGCAAAGATGGACATTGCATCTTGCGAGGATGGGCATTGCATCTTGCAAGGATGGACATTGCATCTTGCAAGGACGGATATGAGATGACAAGATAAAGATGAATGATAACGAATCGTGAGACATGTGGCAAGTGAAGGAGCATTCTGGATGCGGATGAGGTGACGCTAGTGCTGAAGTCGGAGCGTGCAGAAGAGCAACGGAAGACACCGAGAGGTGTGGGAGTCGTCGATGACTGATCGAAGTAAAGAGTAATGGTGGTAGAGGCGGATAGTGGGAGAGAGGTCTGACGAGCTCGCGACTGTACGTCCTAGTGAGCCTGGGGAGGTAGCGGAGGAGGCAGCTTTCTTCTGACGGCAGGCAACGGGCCATTCTCTCCCACCACACCAACTCCTGCCGCCGATGGCTTGAACGAACTCGTGGGAGACGAGGCGCTCCTTCCTCCACCTCCCGCCATGGAGACAGAAGCGCGAGGTGTCGAATCGGTAGGCGTGCGACGTCCTCTCACCCCCGCTTGCGTCTGAGCCCGAGTCGCTCGCCTGGAAGCCCTCCAAGCCAGCTCTCCATCGATTGCGCTTGTTCCACGCACGAAGGCTTCTTTGCTTAGACCTCGCGTCTTCGCCTTGCCCTGACCTCGTGGGGTATTATCGTCGGCAGAGGGACTCAAAACAGCCATTGAGTCTCGATCGTACGCCATAGCCGCGGCCCAGATGTTCGCGAGCGTCGTAGAGGGGAGACGCGAGCGTGTCCAGATGTTGCGGACGAGGCCAGGTGGCATTTGTGACGATGATGGGACAGACACTCGCTTCTCTTGTCTCCTCTTGCAAAGAGCCGCCATCTCTCTGTCCCAAAGCGACTCGTAGAGGGCGCGATATGCGGCATTGCGTGGGGCCATGCTTCGTGTGGGCTTTGAGGCCACATTGGACTTGCCCGTGCTCGTGAGCGCTGACGTGCGCACGGGAGGAAGGCCGATGCCCAGCCCTTTAGCATTGCCTGAAGCTGCCGTCCCACGAGGCGTCCTTGGCGGTGTTCCAGGGGGCAAGGTCGTGGGCCCCATCTGTGGGGTCGTCGGATTCGACTCTGTACGAGATCGAGGCCGTGCGAGACCGTTACTGGGTCCGGTGCTGGATGCTCTCGTTCTCGTTGGAGGAGGTAGAAAGTGAGTGACTGCTGATTTGCTTGTCGGTGGGGAAGAAGAAGGGCTGAACGAGGAGGCGAGCCCTGTCGTTGGGCCTGTCGAGCGCGTGGGACGATGCCCGAGCCCGAGGGTTGCGCTGGCTGATGTAGTGGGGGATGAGCCTGTTGAGGCGGAAGGGGAGTGCCGGCCTCGGATTGGAGCTGGCACCGATGCTGATGCTGTGGGTGGAGGAGGAACTTTGCTTGCTACGGCAGATGTGACGGCAGTTGTAGCTCCTCCTGCGCCGCCTGCACTGGGAATACGAGGTTTGTAGCTGACGGGAGGCGCTGCTGGCATCCTGCGGGGCAAAGCCGGTGGCTGCTTGCCACTGCTGCTGCTACGGGCCGAATACGGCGATGTGGGTGAGGTGCTCGCCTGACTATCCTGCTCTCCACTGCTACGCCGAGGTGGCAAGTCCGGCGCCGCACCTCCCGCGGCTGCTCCACTGATTGCCCGCCTCTCCGGACTGGGCGTAGGCGGCTGCAATCGGATGTCTGCTCCAGGCGTCAAAGAGGCGTTCCCGTCGCCCGCGAGACGTCCCCTCGGCGCAGGCGAAGCTGTCGCTGAGCGATTGGACCCGCGGGAAGGGGCCCGCGACGAGGTCGGGCTTGACACAGGGTGCAGCATCGGGTGAAGGGAGAGCCCGTAGTTGTCCTCTTCATCGTCGAGCGGATTCTTGGATGAAGAGGAAGAGCCGAGCGAGCCGATAGATGAGCGATGCACAGGTGGCGGGAGGGGATCAAAGTTGCTGTGAGTCGTGGATGACCGTGCACGAGGAACAGGGGATGAATGCTGTCCAAATGCGGGACGAGGTGGTAGCGCAGGGGAGCCCTTGTATTGTGTAGTCGGCGAGACTGCGCCTGACCCTCCTGCTGAGGTGGAGTCGTCGCCACCTGGCGGAGGGAGCGGTACTTTGCCTGATACGCTGGATTGGCTGCTCGACTGCTGGCCAAAGGCTGTTCGCCCATTCCTTGCTCGCGGTAGAGAGGCCTCTGTAAAGTCACGTAGACTGGTCCCGCTGTTCGTTTTTCGCAGTGACGTAGCTGAGGCAAATGCATCAAAGGCTGGCGTAGGGCTGGAGGAGACTGTATGCGCGCTCGCAGCGAGGTTGCGGCTGCTTGATGATGAGGATGTCAAGGGGAGCGAGGAATACGCTGCGACGGCTGGTTTGGTCGGGAGGGCACCGAACTCTGCTAGCGGATCCACATCTGCTTGTGCAACGGACGGCGAGTAAAGCGGTGTTGATGATTCGCGGCTTCGAGGTACTGAGCTGGTTCGAGCAATGCCTGCTCCTCCTGAGAATGCAGGACCAGCAGACGTTGAGCTGGATGATGGCGGGCTGCTACCTGCTCCTAATCTCTCGAATGCCTTGACCCTGTCCCTTATAGCCACTGGCTTGGCCGGCGGCGACGAAGAGGGAGATGGCGACATGGCGGGCAGACCAGCTGCGATGCTGCGCTGCTACGATGGTATTTGTGGCAGGGACGTTTCGAAGTGGTGGTCGCTCGTTGGTCGTGAGATCAGGGTCGCCCTCTCTCTCTCCACAAAGACGAAGGCGACCAAAGGCGGGGAATGCCACGCGAGCGAGAGTGTTAGTCTCTCGAGTCTCAACCAACGGCCTCAGCTCAGCGGGGCGGGGCAAGCAAGCAAGGTCTCGTCTCGCGATTGGCGGGCTGAGCGAGCGAGCGGCTTTGACGGCAGCAAGTCTAACTTGACTCGCCCCGCTCCCATGCCGGCTTTGCCTTTCTGAGGCATGAGCTCTCACCCGCTCTCCCACCGCTGACGAGCCGGCAATTGATTTTCCCCACTTCTTCTAGCCCTCGCTTTGACTAACACTCGAGAACGTATCCCCCGACTCGCCCCCACCCTCTCCACCTACGATTGCCTCGTCCATCTATCCATGCGATCCATCGCTACTCAGTCACGCATCCTTGGTAGCGTTGCCGTGAAGCCCACCACACTCAGCTCAGTAGCACCTCGAGCAGCAGCCGCTTTCTCAACCAACAGCCGCCCTTCGGCTTCCACCTCATCCTTCTCGGCCACTCGTCGCGCAGCCACCCCCACTCGCGCCTCTCCTCAGCCCCTCGCCTTTGCCCGCACCTTTGCTACCTCCAAGATGGTTTCTGCTAGCAGGATCAAGGTTCAGAACCCCGTCGTCGAGATGGACGGCGACGAGATGACGGTGAGCAGCGGGCAGAAAGCCTCAGTCACTGATGAGTCCGTGCGCTCACAAATACTGTCCCATTCCTCGTTTATAGCGCATCATCTGGCACAAGATCCGTGAAGAGGTGAGTTCAAAGAGCTATGTCGCATCGAGCCCCGCAACGGATCTGACACCTCTCGCACCCCGCACACCGCACCCCGCACAGCTCATCCTGCCCTTCCTCGACGTGGAGCTCAAGTACTTTGACTTGAGCATGGAGAATCGCGACGCGACTGACGACCAGGTAACAGTCGACGCGGCCGAGGCGACGAAGAAGTACCAGGTAGCGGTCAAGTGCGCCACGATCACGCCCGACGAGGCCCGCGTCAAGGAGTTCAATCTCAAAAAAATGTGGCTCTCCCCTAACGGCACGATCCGCAACATCTTGGGCGGTACCGTCTTCCGCGAGCCTATCATCCTCGACTCTATCCCTCGCCCTGTTCCTGGGTGGACCAAGCCCATCTGCATTGGTCGTCACGCTTTCGGAGACCAGTACCGCTGCCAGAACTTTGTTGCCCCCGGCGCCGGCAAGTTCACGATGACCTACACCCCCACTGACGGTGGGGAGGAGAAGAAGTGGGACGTCTTCAACTTCCCTCAGGGTGGAGGAGTTGGCTTGGCGATGTACAACACCACCGAGTCCATCTCGGGCTTCGCGCACGCCTCGTTCAAGATGGCCATCCAGAAGCAAATGCCCCTCTACATGTCGACGAAGAACACCATCCTCAAAGCCTACGACGGCAAGTTCAAGGACACCTTCCAGGAGATCTTTGAGAAGGAGTACAAGAGCGAGTTTGAGAAGCTGGGCATCTGGTACGAGCACCGCCTCATCGACGACATGGTTGCGCAGATGATCAAGAGCGAGGGTGGATTCGTCCTTGCGCTCAAGAACTACGATGGTGACGTGCTGTCCGACATTTTGGCGCAGGGCTACGGCTCGCTGGGCATGATGACTTCAGAGCTTATTACTCCAGACGGGCAGATCCTCGAGTCCGAGGCTGCGCACGGAACGGTCACGCGCCACTACCGTGAGCACCAGAAGGGCAACGAGACGTCGACCAACTCGGTCGCCTCGATCTTTGCGTGGACTCGTGGTCTCAAGTTCCGCGGTAAGCTGGACAAGAACGAGGAGCTCGTCATCTTTGGTGACGAGCTCGAGAAGGCGTGCGTGGACGCCATTGACAAGGAGGGCATCATGACCAAGGACTTGGCGCTGGCGAGGAAGGGCAAGCAGATGAAGAGGGAGGACTACGTGACCACGACGGAGTTCCTGGACCATATTCGCGAGTCGCTGAAGAAGAGGCTGGCGAGCAAGGGCATCTCGGCGGGCAAGCTCTAAGCTTGCGGAGAAGCACGCGGAAAAGCAGGAGGGATGAGCGCGGTGCGCTGCGATGGAGCCTGTTGAGCGGGCTCTCGGGATGTTGTAGTACGTAGGGAGTCGTTTATACAATCGCAGACAAGTAAAACCGGCTCTGCCGCAGATTGCGTGAGAAGAAGCATGATGGCGAGCTGCGGAACGGGACAGTGGCTTTGCGTGGTCGCAGACATGCGCGGATTTCGCTTTCCTTCGTCTCTCGTTCTCGCTGCTGCTGCAATCATTCGAGACAGGGCCAAGTCTTGGATCGGATGAACGATGGGCATTGCAGCGATCTTCGCACGCGTTGCCACGTGGTGATGCCATCAGCTGGGAACCGGAGAGTGCCTCGCGATAGCGCAGGCGAGGAGGCCTACGTGCCGGCGCGAGATCAGGGTCAAAGAAGTCAAGGCTCGAGGGTCATATAAGGGTGCGAAGGAAGAGGGCGGAGTATCTTAGCTTCTCCTCCTCATCCATATTCTTGAGAGTACCTTCTGCAAAGACCAGAGCCCACGAGGTGCGGTCAGTGGGCGACGAGAGAGAACGACGAAAGCTAGACAAAGCAGCGGTTGTCGCAACAATGGCTCCTCCGAAGAATCTTCCAGCGCATCGCCGCACTCCTGCCCTCTTTTCCTATCCAGTCCCTCCAGCGTCACTCTCTAGCACGAGGTCCCCACCGGCACGCACGACGCACGATCAGGAGGACCCACTTCCTTCATCATCCTTCTTCGACCTCGTCATCATCGGCGCAGGCCCCGCAGCATTGGCCGTCGTGACTCGCATCCTCGAGACTCGCCCTGCTGCGCTGTACACCGAGGAAGAGCATCACCACCTGCACTGGCTGCGGAAGAAGGGAGGCGATGATGGCTTGTCACGCCGAGGCCCGCAGCGGCTTGGTGTCATCAAGACAAAGGCTAGCGGGCGAGGGGCAGAGAGAGTCGCTGCGGGCCGTAAGATGGTGGGTGCAAGCGGTGAGGGCGACTCGACCTGCGCCTGCCCCGGCGAAATGCGGATCCTGGTCATCGACAAGGTGGGCAAAGGATGGATGGCTCACTGGGATCGCATGTTTGCTGCACTCGAGATCAAGCGTGGGTATCTCACAGCGTGGCAACGACGACCGTATCGATTCGAGAGGCTCACCAATCACCATCGCCCTTTCTCGCCTGCAGACCTACGCTCGCCACTCTTCTTCCACCCATGCCCTGCAGACCTCGATAGTCTGCTTGCGTACGCCGAACGTGTGGGCAGGCTCAAGAAGGCAAATGCCGCCTACTCTACCGCCCCCGTCGATGCGCTCAAGAAGGCAGTCGCTGCAGCCGCGAATGTAGCCGCTAATGGATCGACAGCAAGCAAGAAGCGCTCACCTGCTTCTTCTACCTCCTCCAACTCTCCGCCTCCCTCCTCGACCGGCACATCCTCCTGCAAGCACCCCAATGGACGCGGTCGTGATCGCCAAGTCAAGCGCCTGGGCTGCTGTGCTGATCTCGATGGCGATGGTGACGAGGATCAGGAGGGGGATGGTGCCAAGACTCCCACGCCTCGACAACACGACCTCTCTGGTGAGCCGGACCTGGTCGAGATTCCCGGTGTAGTGGGTGCAGAGCAAAGCAAGCACAAGAAGCGCCAGCGCAACGGTGGTGCCGGCCGCATCATTGGACTGACGTCTACGGCTATCAATGAGAGGGAGCGCAAAGACTACTTCACGCCGAGTACGAGGCTGTTCCATGACTTTATTAGCGAGGACGTGGTGAGAAGGTACGGGCTGAACGATAGCAGGGAGTGGCCTGCGGCGGGTAAGGTGCTGCGCGTGGACGGGGAGGACGGTGAGGGTGGTGATGCCATGGCTAGCGCTGGTACCACACCGCTTGTAGTCAAAGGTGAGGTCGCCTCGATGCAGTGGCGCGATGAGCTGCTCGTACAAGGCTGGGACGCTCCGCTCGAAGGCTTCCTACTCGAGACCGGCGATGGAGCCAAGGTCGGGGCCAAGGCAGTCGTATCCGCCGTAGGACCAGCAGGACAGCCTTCCATCCCTGCGGCTCTCAAGGGTCAGACGAGCGCTGCCAAAGCGACCAAGACTGCTCCCGCGCCCAGAAATAGTGGACAGGCCGCCGGCATTTCAGCACCATCACCACCACCCGTTGGCGCGACCCCTCCTGGTCTGTACGGTCCCGGCTGGTGTCACAGTGCTGCCCTCGCCACTCGCCCCTTCCCGCGCCCGTTCACTCGCGACCCTTCGGGCAAGAAGACGCTCCTCATCGTAGGCGGCGGCCTCACCTCAGCGCAAGTAGCAGACGTCGCCCTCAAGCACGGTCACTTCGACCGAGTCGTCCTCATCATGCGCGGTCACCTCAAAGTCAAGCCCTTCGACGTCGGCCTCGACTGGATGGGCCGCTACTCCAACCTGCGCAAGATGCAATTTTGGCAAGAGGAGGACATCGCTGCTCGCCTGGCCATGCTTCGTGGTGCGCGCCAAGGAGGCAGTATGACGCAGCCCTATGCCAAGTTGATGAAGAAGTACGAGCAGGAGGGCAAGGTAGAGCTACTCACGCACACGGAGCTGAGTGAGGCGTATTACTCCGAGGCGGGCCAGATGTGGGATCTGCAGCTGAAGAGGAGCGCTCCGCTTGACAAGAGGGAGAGGGCTAGGCAGGCCTACGAGGAGGCCAAGAGGGATGCGGAGGAGGCGGCCAAGAAGGCTCTAGAGGCTGCGGAGAGGCTTGAGGAGGGAGAGGCGGACGGGTGTGACTGCGAGGATGGCGAGAAGGAGGAGGTGAAGCCTACGTCGGCTCTGCCACCAGGCGTAACGCTGCGCCGTCTCAACGCCAGCTACATCATCACTGCGTCTGCATTCACGCCAGACTACGCCCAGCTACCCTTCATGCGTAGCGTGGCCGAGCAGCACCCGGTCAGGCAGGAGGGAGGTCTGCCCGTGCTGACCGAGGACCTGCAGTACGGACGCTTGCCGCTCTTTGTCGTGGGCATGTACTGCGGACTACAGATTGGACCTGCTGCTGGGAATCTGGGAGGAATGCGGGAAGCTGCGGACCGAGTGGTGGGAAGATTGAGCGAGTTGATCGCACCGCCTCACAAAGACGGAGAGACGACTGAGGCGGCACCGACGCAGCCCGTGGTCACGCACAGCCACGATGGCGAGGAGGAAGAAGAGGTTGACGTGCACGACTCGCCGCGTCCTCCTGGCTTCACCCACTTTTCGTTTGGCGCTCTTGCTATCGAGGGGTGAACTAGCGGGGGGGGAAAGGGATTAGCTTATCTTGGGCGTCGGGAAACGCAATGCCGGGGAAGAGCAAGGAAGGGCGCTAACGCGCTGCGGATTGAAAATCATCACTTATCTATGAATGCGCGGCGCCGTTTGCCCCTATCGATGGCTGAGCGAGTTAGTCGTATCGATGTGGAAGCTTGCCTCATGACGAACGATGCTATCGCCGTGTGTATCGTCCGGAGCTGAGGTCTCGCCGCCTTTCTGACAAATCCGCGTCGCGACAGCCCCAGCCAGTCTTCATCCCAGATCTGACCTCCGATCCATGGTTCGGGTGTGCCATCAGGCACCATGCTCATCCGGCCGACCTCGCGCTGGTATGGCGAAGCTTCTCGGTCTCCGCTTGCGACTCTTCGCACCTTTCCCATCCTGTCATCCTGTCATCGACGGCCTACGCTCTGTTAGGCTCCGCTCTTCAAGCGTCGAGTCCGAATCGCCGGTGCGAGGAAGACGGAGTAGAAATCAGCCGGCACAAAGGCGAGGCTGAGGCTGGCTGGCTGGCAGGCAGACATTCTTCCTGACAGGGCAAGGACGAGCAGACGTCATCGTCGTTGCGTTGCTTTGTCACGAGATACGTACGCTCTGGTCCGTTCGAAGCGCGCCTGTTGGATGGCGTGCCTGGCAGGAAGAGAGCTAGTAGTGCAGAGCGCATTGCGGGGTACGGCGCTTCGTCCCCACAACTGCAAAGGAAGACTCGCCCAAACGTTATCTCGAGAGGCGCGCCAACGCTAGAGCGGGTCAACGCCAAAGCGAACAGGATTGAGGTTGCTCGTTAAGCTCGCGCTCTCATGCTGCTGCTGGTCTACGTCTGAGTTTCCCACCCCTTTCAGACATCATCCGAGCGCCGGTTGTGTCGCTTCCGCATCGCCCGCTTCGACCGCAGGGCTGGTGGCGGTCGAGACTCGAGGCCGCAGAGAAGAGTTGCTGTTGCAGCGGGCCTCGGTGTACTCGCCGTCTGAGTGGCTTGGAGCCGCCGGGCTGCCTGGGATGCCCAATTTTTTGCAGTGTGGCGCCTCGAGAGAGCCGCGGGCAGGGCGAGATACGCGCGAGTCGAGACAAAGGCGCAAGAGGAGACTACGGTTGAAGCGAGTGTTGCCAAGATGCGCGAGCGATGGCGCAAAAGAGAAGAGAGCGAGACGGTGAGAGGGCGGAAGTTCCACTCTTTCTGACCCACGGCACAGCGAAGGGGCTGCCCGCCCGCCCGCCCGCCCGCCCGCCCTCCTCGCGTGACTTTCGCAGGCTGAATACTCGGGTGCCTAGAGGAGACTAAGCCGCGACTGCTGCGAGTCGAGAGAGATAAAAAGAGCGCGAAGCACGACATGCTGCGACGACTCCCTCTCCTTCTCTCTTCTCTTCATCCAGTCCTTACCTTCCATCAACCCGTCTCTCCCCTCCCCCTTCATCAAGGAGCACAATGGGTGAGTAGTTCCAGTCGCGACAAACAGAGCGTAGACACGACATCTGACAACGCCTCCTATCGCGCCTACGCAGCTGCTACCGGCGCCCAGGATCACATGGACCTCGCCCTCGCTGAGGCTAATGCCGATGAGCATCGCGCCGAGACACGAATTGCCGGCCACGAAGATAAGGTCCACCCCCTCGCCCACATCGAGCACGGCGTTGACAATGAGAAGGCCGAGGTGACCGAGGACGAGTACGGCAACCAGTTCCCCACCGAGGAGGAGAAGAACACGCTTCGTAGACTGCCAGAGAGCATTCCTTGGACTGCGTGGACCGTCGCATTCTGTGAGCTTGCAGAGCGCTTCTCATACTACGGATCCGTTCAAGTCTTCCAGAACTTCATCCAGTACCCTCGACCTGGAGAGGGAGCCAACGTCCACCGTACGGGTGCCGCCAAGGACTTGAGGGTCTCTGGCGCCCTTGGCAAGGGACAACAGACGGCTACAGGACTTACCACCTTCAACTCCTTTTTCGTTTACCTCACGCCGTTGGTTGGAGCTTACATCGCCGACGCTCATCTCGGACGTTTCAAGACGATCTGCCTCGCCGTCGGCATCGCGACGGTCGGCCACGTCCTTCTCACGGGCGCTGCTGCTCCCGACATCCTCGACCACCCCAACGGCGCGTTGGGCATGTTCGTCGTCTCCATCATTATCATGGGCGTGGGCACCGGCTTCTTCAAGTCCAACTGCTCCACCCTCATCGCTGAGCAAGTCAAGGGCAAGCGTCCAACGGTCCAGACGCTCAAGTCGGGCGAGCGAGTCATCATCGACCCTGCTCTCACCATTGCGCGCCTCTTTATGTACTTTTACGCCGCCATCAACATCGGTGCCATCGTCGGGCAAGTCGCCATGGTTTACGCCGAGAAGCGCGTGGGCTTCTGGCTCTCCTTCCTCCTCCCTACCGTGGTGTTCCTCCTCTGTGTGCCCGTCCTCGCCGTCTGCGGCAAGTGGTACCAGAAGACTCCTCCCGCCGGCTCCGTCCTCAGCGACGCCTTGAAGTTCCTCAAGTTCGCCAGCAAGGGCAGGTGGTCGCTCAACCCCGTCCGCACCTACAAGCAGCTCACGGCCGGCAACTTCTGGGAGCAGGCCAAGCCCTCGAAGCAGACTGGTCCCCTCCCCGCCTGGATGACCTTTGACGACGTTTGGGTCGACGAGCTCCGCCGTGCAGTGAAGGCTTGCCAGGTCTTCCTCTTCTTCCCCGTCTACTGGCTGTGCTACAACCAGATCAACAACAACCTGACCTCTCAGGCTGCAGTCATGGAGCTACATGGCCTGCCCAACGACTTGATCTCCAACCTCGACCCGCTCGCCATCTTGATCTTCATCCCCGTCCTCGACCTCGGCGTCTACCCTCTGCTGCGCAAGTGGGGATTCAACTTTACGCCTCTCAAGCGTATCTGCGCTGGCTTCTTCCTCGCCTCCTTTGCCATGGTCTCCGCCGCTGTCGTCCAGGCCTACATCTACAAGCTCTCCCCGTGCGGCACCAACGCGGCCGAGTGCGAGACGCCCGAAGGCGATGTCCAACCGGCTCCCATCAACGTTGCGGCTCAGGTCCCATCGTACGTGCTCATCGCATTCTCTGAGCTGTTTGCCTCGGTCACTGGTCTCGAGTACGCCTTCACCAAGGCTCCCAAGTCGATGAAGTCGATGGTCATGGCTCTGTTCCTCTTCATGACGGCTATCTCGAACGCCGTCGGCGAGGCCTTCCTGCCCCTCTCGGAGGACCCGCTCCTGGTCTGGAACTACGGCGTGTTCGCCGTCGCCTCGTTCATTGCTGCCATTGTCTTTTGGATCTGCTTCAGGAAGCTCGACGCCGAGGAGGACGAGCTCAATGCGATTGGGGTGGGCAACAGGAACGCCGCTCCTCGCACAGGTGGTGCTACGGACGCGGCCCCTGGCAGCGAGTCGGCGTCGATGCGCGAGCGCGATGACAAGGCTTGAGCGGCGTGCTATCGACGCGCTATCATACCCACTCTTCTCTGCTCTCCACCGCTCTGGCTACGTTTATCGCTCCTATTGTATTCTCGACGTCTATCCCAGTGTACTCCAGGCGCTCGTCGCAGCGTTTCGAATGCCAATCCAGTCACCGTCACGCGAGCACCGAGACGTAACCCCGCTTGTCGCCCCCGCTCGTCGCCAAGTACAGACCAATCGCCTACCTTGACCATTCTCGCTCGTGCGGCGACCCGCTGTCCAGCGACCCTGCGTTCTCACCATCTGCGCTGAACGGAGAAGTCGAGGACAGCCACGTGAACGTCGAATCGCTGGCTCAGGCACAGAAAATCGACTCGGCCACACGCACGCAAGCAGTCAGCGCCGCGCCTCGGCGAGCGCGGCATCGAGGCTCTCTCAACGGCACCAAGCGAGTGTAAGACTCGGGCGGGGCTTCTGTCCATCCACGACAGGTCCGCGCGAGTCGTCATGTCTACGGCTGTGCTTGTCATCGTCATGCTCTTCGTATCGTGACCAGTTTAGTCGATTTCCGGTTGGGCTCGCCCTAGTGTGGCAACGTGTGAGCGAGCTTTTTGCGCCATCTGTCAGCTGGCGCCAATGGGCCGAGGATGCATCACGCCTTGAGGTCATTCGTGGGCGTCCGTCTTCTGTCGCTCGTTTTGTTCTGTCGTCGTCGGGCTTGCCTTGTCCTGCAGCCGGTAGTCGCAGCTAGTCGGGCCTTGGAGCGAGCGCTTGGCTGGAGCCAAACGATGAATGAGCGGGCGCAGCTAAGGCGGTGAGAGAGTGGATCGACGGGCGGGCCGCCCGCACTCCGAGGAGTCGTGCCTCCGCCCACCTGCCTGCCTGCCTGCCTCCGCTCTGCCTTGGCCGCCTTGCCTCCGATCTTGAATTCGACGACGAACAGGACCCTCTCCAAGCTTGGCGGTATCTCGAGCAGGCTGCGACACTCTGCCACCATTACGACCACCATTACCACCCCATCCCTCCGACTTCTTCTCCCCCTTCCTCATCATCCACCACTTTGCATCGTCTCGGGTCTTCTCCAGTCGTCCTTACCTTCCTTAGAGCTTTGCGTGCGTGACCCCAGCCTTGTCGAGACGGCAGCGACGACAACATCAACAACAACAACATCGTCGACACGCAGCAAGCTTCGCCACGATGTCCCTCCCCCTCGGCTTCTCGCCATTTGACGACTATGACAGCCCCTATGCCTCGACGAATGCTGCCATCCGCAACCGCGGTCGTCGAGAGAGCCAAACATCGCCCACTTCCTCGTTCCAGCAGCGACGAGAGAGCCATGGGTCTATGACGCCTGCCGGTGGCAGTACCGTAGGACTCGCGCAGCAGATGTCGACGCCCGGCCAGCGCACTTCTGCGATGGGAGATGTGGACTTGAGACGCAGCGAGGCTCCTCCTGAGATTCCGCAAGCGCAAGACTTTGGGAGCAGGAAGTTCCAGCGACCGTCTTCACAAGATGGCATCCGCGCCATTGCTCGACCGCAGCCCATGGGTGCGCAGCTGGCTTCGATTGCGCCCAGCTCGCCGCCGTCATCGCCTCCGCAAGCTACCTCTCCTGCTTCGCCTCAGACATCGCCCGTCCAGCGACGACCTGCCCCTCCTCCACCGGCTAGGGCTACCTCTCCTCCCGCGTCACCATCCGTGCGACCTCCCGTACCCATGTCGCCCCCTCGCAAAGCCGCGCCACCTCCAGCGCAAGCATCGATCCCCGAGCCCGCTGCTCCCCCTGCTGCCAGCTACGTACAGGCTTCTACTCCTGCGCACGAGGAGGAGCAGCCGCCGCGCACCAACGCAGCCGGCCCCCTAGCCGGAGCCGCCGCGCCCGCTATCGCCACGCCCTTTGCCAACGAGATGACACAGACCAACCGCAGCTTTGCCCCGCCCATTGCGGAGCACGCACCATCCTCTCCCTCGGACGATGGCGACGACGACATCGAGGTCGCCTCATCGCATCACGACGAGGTGCCACGTCGTCAGGCAACGCCACCTCCGCACACCGCATACGACATGGGCAACGCCGCCAGCTCAGATCACTTTGCCGAGAAGACGCCCGCTGCGGCTATTGCTGCCGCTGCCGCTGGCACTGGTGCCGCCGGCTCGTCGTGGAAGGTCAACAACGAAGGAAGCAGGTGGAGCGCAGGTAACGACGCCCCTCTCCTCAACGCTCGACGCGGCGGTGGCTCGGGTGGCTCAGGCGGCCTCGCTCGTTCATACCGCAACAACAAACGTAAGTGGTGGCTGGGCGGTGGCATCCTGCTCCTCGTCATTCTCATTGCGGCCATTGTCGGTGGCGTTGTGGGCGGCAAGTCCTCGAGCTCATCAGGCAGCGACAATAGCTCGTCGGACGACGGCACCTCTGGTAACGGCCGCAGCAAGGGCAATACCGGCAGCTCAGGCTCGCCAGACACCACAGGACCAGGTGGCACCAAGGTTCAGCCAGACTCGCGCCTGCACAACTCCTTCTACGGCATCAACTACGAGCCCTTCTCCACCGACCCGACTGCCGGGTGCGGCGCAAACATCACGGGCGTCATGGAGGATGTCAAGCTTCTTTCGCAGCTTACGACGCGTGTGCGTTTGGGCGGCTCGGCCTGCAACGAGACTGCGCTTGTACTGGACGCCATCTCGCGCACCAAGGTCGACTTGACCGTCTGGGCCGCCATCACTCTCGATCTCGACGGAACGGGCACCACGACGTTCACTGACCAGGTCAACAACTTGACGTACGCCTTTAACACCTTTGGCACGCAGCACGTCTCTGGCGTCGTGGTCGGCGAGGAGTATGTCACCAATGGCGGATCCGCCACCACTCTCATCGCCAACCTGCAACGCTGGCGCCAAGTCGTCACCGACAACTCGGCGTGGGGCTCTCTCCTCACCACCACGGCCGAGGTCACGTCCGTCTGGACGCAGGCCCTCGTCAACGCGGTGGACATCGTCTTCGCCAACAACCAAGCGTGGTACTCTGAGATTGCTGCGGAGGAAGCCGCGGGCTGGGCATACGGCTACGCGCAGGACACCGTCGTCCCTCTGGCCACGGATTCGACGCCTGCGAACAAGGACGTGGTGCAAAGCGAATTTGGCTGGCCCACCGGTGCATCGACGACCGCCGCAGCCACGCAGGGAGAGGCCGTCGCCTCGGTCGCCAACTTGCAGACCGTCCTCGACACGTACGTCTGCGCGAGCAACACGAACGGGAGCGCCTACTTCTGGTACGAGCTCTTTGACTTTGTCAGCTCGTCGAGGACGGACGGCGTCGCGCCCTTCTGGGGCTTGTTTGATGCGAACAAGCAGCTCAAGACGGGCATCACCATTCCTGACTGCAGCCACAGGTAGGCGCGGTGCGCGGCGCGCGGCAAGACCAATACAGAATCGTTCATGGACCCTCTATCTATCACGTCTCCTTCGCCTTCATCTCCTCCATACTGCATTCATGACTCTCGTTCCTCGACCACTGTACACTATGTCCTGCCTCTCGCGCGCGCTCGCCATGCCAAGAAGATGAAGAATCTCGAATGCGATGATCTTGCGTCACTCATGACTGAGCACGGCGGGCGTGATGTGAGAGCGAAGACGAAGAGGGGCTCCGCCTCGCCTCACAAATGTCCGTTGCCCCGAGGCGGAGGCGGACCAGCGAGCAAATATCAGGGGTGCTTGTGACAACGACGTGGACGGATTTGCCTCAACCATGACACTCGTCGTGCATCGTATCTATCTGAGCATTCTCTCCATGCGAGCTCTGCGTCACCAATGACTGTTGAAAGTGAGTCGGCCTTTGCGTTGACATCGATCAAAGCGGCTCCTTCGCCCGGACTTTACGCGCTCAAGCCCGTGCGCAGCGGAAGACCGAGGCCCTTAGACACGAGCGTACGCGTGAGACTTCGCTGAGCAGTCGTCAAAATAGCTCCTTGACCCTCATTCCCAGCCTCTCTGGTTCTCAGCTAAGCGGGGCGAACGAGGCGGCTGGTTATCGTTACACGACGTCGAGTCAGCTCAGCTCACGACGAGTCAGGCCATCGTGCCCTCAGCGCTGCCCTAGCGCCCGCCCCGCCCCCGGCGGAGCGGAAGCGCAGCTCAGGCGAGATCTTACCTCGCGTTGCACCGTGCGATTTTTAGTGCCCGATCCTCCTCAGCTTACTACGACCGAACCAACCGCAACATCAAGTCGAAGACGGCCCGCTCTGGCTTTGAAGTACAAAAGGGAGCGGCTCACTTCAAGCCAGAGGCAGAAAGCATCACCCACTCCCACATTCGCAGCTCGCCCCGCCTTACGCTCCACCCAACTACATCGCCAGCTCCTCCGCCAGCATGTCCCACGTAGACATTCCTGAGCACCGCGACGGCTCCACCGTAGGCGTCGAGGTCCTTCCTGCCACCACGGCCGGCGCCGCGCTGCAGCCCACCCTCCACGACGACACGCGAGTCGGCTCTCCAACCTCGGAGAAAGAGAAGAAGTCGCCTTCCAGCGTGGCCGCCGCCGAGGGTGACAAAGAGCAGACCCAGCTCGACGTCGAATATCCCAAGGGCCTCAAGTTTGCACTCATCAATCTCAGCGTCAATCTGGTGGTATTTTTGGTGGCCCTGGACCAGACGATCGTGTCTACGGCCGTGCCCGTCATCACCAACGAGTTCAATTCGTTCAGCGACGTGGGATGGTACGCCTCGGCCTACCTCCTCACTTCGACCGCCTTCCAGCCCCTCTTTGGCCGACTGTACGGTTCTTTCAGCATCAAGTACGTCTTCCTGGCCTCCTTCTTCATCTTTGAGATTGGCTCCCTCATCTGCGCTGTGGCACAGGACTCGCCTACCTTCATTGTAGGCCGAGCTATAGCTGGGCTGGGTCTTGCAGGCGCTTATTCCGGCTGCCTCATCATTATCAGCGTGGTGGCCCCTCTACACATTCGTCCCCTCCTGACGTCACTCACAGGTGCAACCTACGGCATTGGCGGCACGATTGGGCCAATCATCGGAGGCGCCTTCACTTCGAGAGTTACGTGGCGATGGAACTTCTACATCAACCTTTGCTTCATCCCGTTGCTTGTCCCCGTCATCCTGTTCTTCCTCAAGACGCCTCCTCGGAAGCAAGAGCGAACTGTCGCTCAGCGGATCCTGCGCATCGACTGGCTTGGTACGGTTCTGATCTTGGCATCCCTGATCTGCCTTCTCCTCGTCTTTCAAGATGCCGGCATCAAGTACGCTTGGTCCGACTCCAAAGCTATCGGCCTCCTTGTGGGCTTCGTGGTCATCTTGATCGCCTTCATCATAGACCAATGGTGGATGGGCGAGCGAGCGACGATCCCCTTCAGGATCCTCAAGAACCGCACGGTGTGGGGAGGCTCTATCGTCAACTTTACGGTAGCATCCTGCTACTTTGGGTTACTTTACTTCCTCCCAATCTACCACCAGACGGTAAAGGGCACATCGGCCATTCGCTCCGGGGTGCTAATGTTGCCCTTCATCGTTGGAGTGATTATCAGCGTAACCTTACAAGGAGGCTTCACGAATGCCACGGGCCACTACATTCCCCTCCTCCTCGGCGGTACGCTCATCATGACGGCCGGCTCCGCCGCCCTCTACGCGCTCTCCCCGACCTCGGACGTGGCCCGCATCGCTGGATTGGAGATCCTCGCTGGCATTGGCCCAGGCCTAAGTTTCATGGTGCCTTTTACAGCCGTATCATCAATTCTTGATGTGAAGGACATCGAGATAGGCGCTGCCATCGTCATTTTCTGGCAAACTGGCGGCGGCACCGTCGCAACGTCGATGGCCCAGTCCATCTTTCAGAACAAATTCGTCCTGTATGTTCGACAAGTCCCGGGGGCCGATGCGGCTGCAATTCTTTCTAAGGGAGTGAGCGCTTTTCGAGCGACAACTCCCGCTGAACTCCTGCCTACGATCATTGACGCTGCAAACAAGGCGCTTGGCAAGATCTGGATCATGACCGCCGTGCTCGGCGGCGTGGCCTTCTTGTCGGTATTTGCGATGGATCTGAAGGGTAGAGTCGATGTTGAGGCCTCGAAGGCGGCCGAGAAGAATAAGAAGGAGAAGAGGCGCGGCTCGACGGATCCCGAGGCCGTAGACGCGACTGCGGTGGCCGCCTAATACCCCTCCTCACACCTTCTTGGCGACTACCGTCCAAGCTTTTTCTCATCTAGACTACGACACCAGATACCTAATCCCGCCTCCCCTCGCTTCCGCGACGTTTCATTCATCTCTCGCTGTTGACCATTCTCCCGCGACCTGTATTCGGCGCAATATCAGACTAGAATCATGAGCACTCTTTCCCAGATATGCGACTCGTATGCCTTTTCGTCTCTACTCGTGCTGGTCATCATCGACGATGAGTCCTCGTGGTGGCCGTGACTTCACGCTGCGCAGCCCCGCGCCTCAGTCCTCTCCGCGTCGCGCCTTTGCCGACGAGGCGAGCCGGCGTGCTCTCCGTCCCGCGCCCGGCAGATCGACTTCGCTTCCTTCGCTTCCTTACCATCGATCTGAAGGCCCACCGCAGCTTAGCCATGAACGTCAAGCAGTCTTCTAGACACATAGCATACTCATGCTGAAAGTCTCACTAGCTCAAATCTCGTCGATCACACCGCCCCCGCCTGATGCTCAGTCGCAGATCTGAACAATGAGGGAGCAAACCACGTGGCCAAGCGCCCGCGTGCCTGGCCCAGGCCGCCGCTCGCTCAGCTTTGCCTTCACATCCACTCGCTCCGCACGCAATCTCATCTAGAGCCGCCCTCTGCTGCGCTGCCGGCCAGCATAGCACAGCCACAGGTCATCGCTGTTGGCTCGCTGGCAATCAACATCTCGCCCGCCCGCCCCGCTGCTCCCTCTCTCCCCTCCTCACCATTGCAATTTGGGTATTGCCCCACGACTCGCTCACCATCGCCAACCTTGCTCAGCATCGCTGAAACGAAAACCACAGCACGCACCCCATCTTCTACGCTCCAGTCAGGTCTACCGCGCACACCGTACCACTCGGGCCGGGTCGACTCTCTCCCATTCCGGGAGGGTCAATCTGGCCCCATCGCCCGCACCAAATTCTCCTGATCACCACGGCTGCGCATCAAGACGGCGAGGGCTGAATGATGCCTGCCACGGCGGCGAGGATAGAGTACAAGCTAAGCACCATCAAGCTTGCGCCTACTATCTGCTCTGAGGGAGGAGCCCGGATTTAGTGGCTTAAGAGGTGAGCTTGTTGACGAGCACTTTCGAGTCTCTCCTCGCCCACGCAACCTCCCTGACCTTTCCATCCCCCTGTCCCCTCGGCCCCGCCGCCCAGGCCCTCTATGCTCGTCGCAAGCCTTCGTGTGCACCATCAAGCCGGCAGGCGGGACCGCTGCGCACGGACGCCACCGGCCCTGTCAAGTCGAGCAAGTCCTTGTGCTCTAGACGAGGCGTACAGCAGCTCCCCGCAAGTCGAAGTCCTCGTCCAGCTCAGCATCGGCTCTTTCCTCGAGCCAAGTTCCGCAGCTGTGTCCTTCCCCGACCATGGCGACCGCCGGTGAGTCTTATCTCGCCTAATCTCGCATCCACTGCAGGTGCTGATCGTCGTCTTCCTCTCGAATCCTAGGCCGATCCTCCTCGCCTAGTATCGAGAGCGCTTCTTACGACGTTTCAGTGGCTTCGCTTCCCAAAGGGACCATCTAGACCGTAGCCAAGGATCCTCCCGACAGCAACCACATCGTCTCGATCCATGTTGCCAAGGGGAAGCGTCAGGCCTTGCTTAAGATGCCTCTCGCTTCCTTCACCGCGTATTGCATCCATTGCGGCCCCGGCCGTTGCTTTCTCGCCGAATCGCAAAAGTCGACGGAGCAAGTCAACAGCCAGCAAGGCTGCCACAGCGGCGCGAAAGGCGCGTGACATCCTCGCCAAGCTTACCAAGGCCCTCACTGCCGCGCAACAGCAGCGCGCCAATGACTAGAGGAGCAGGCAAGTACCATCGCAAGCCCAGCGTACGAGTCACGATGACAATGCGCGATCTTCAGCGGCTGCTACTGCCATCGCTGGTTCCAGCGAGGATCACGTCGCCACGCTGAAGCCATGCGCCAGTCTTGGACGGTTTTTGGGCGGTCCCCTCCTGCGAACCAAAGCTGGGGGATACCTCTCTGCCTCCCAGCTGGGCGAATCCTTTAAGGCAGCATGCAGAGCTGTTGGGCTTGGCAAGGTTGGCAGCCTTCACGCTTTTCGCCGAGACTTCGCCCATCAGCTCGAGATCGCTCGTGGCTCTGGCGCCGCTCGAACCGCTCTACATCACGAGCAGCAGCACGATGTGCTCCACAATGATTATACTGGAGGCATCACAAACATGGATGTCATCGGTCTACGCAGCGCGGAGGGCCTGACGGGCGGCGAGAGAAGCGCGCTCGCTCAGGCGGGCTACTGGGAGCGCAGCCTGCAGAACGCGGGCATTCAAGCTCTGACGGACAAAATTGCGGCTTGTGGCAATGCGGGAGTGGACGGCTTTGCGGGACAGAGCATCCCAAAGAGTCGTCAGAGGACAACTCGCAGAGTCCTGACTTGGAGTGAGCGCGTCGCTGAGGCTCAGGGCAACGATGCTGCTTTTGCCAAGGACCTGGAGGCACATGCCGACATGGCGGAGGAGACGCTGAACCTCACGCCGGAGGATATCAAGAATCGATTCAAGACGGATACGATTCTAACCTTCTCTGCTGCGAGTGGTCGTAGCCTCGCTCACCTCCACCGCAACTTAAAACAAGCAAGCACGACCCAGGCTGCCGTGGCGGCCGACAAGGGGCGCAAGATAGTCAAGAAGTTGACGGATGCGCTGACAGCAGCCCAGAAGCGACATGCCCGACAAGCGTCATCGAGTATGGCTCGCCCCGCGACTGACCATGCAGATGATTAGGGACCACCCGCGGCTGGCCCGTCCTATGCCAATTCCAGCCCGAGCTGCTAGAGCAGGCGAGCCACTTCGTCAATGCGCTGGAGGGAGAGGGGATTGCTGCCCTGTCGAGGCAGATGGCGGGAGGGACAATCGAGCCTGACGGCTCACTGTCCTTCGAGGCCCGACCTCACCGCAACAAGCGCCTCCCTGTTCCCGCCTGGGAGGAACGAACCTCTGCCGCGCTTCAGGCCAACGAGGACGATTTTGCCGCCAAGCACAAGGCATGGGAGGCAGCAGCCGAGGAAATGCTCGCTACTGTCCCGACCGATATGCCGTTTGGCCGGCACCACGTTTCATCCTTCACGAAAGACACCGTCAAAGTCCTGAGGGGTCTGCAGAAGAAGCTCGTGGGGAGGTCCGACGGCGATGCTCGCCGCAGCACCGAGCGCGCCCTCAGCCTCGCCGAGAAGTTGAGCGCGCAGGTGGTACAAAAGCTGCGCAAGGACCGCGCGAAGGCACAATCGGGGCAGGGACCGCAGAGCAAGCGGGCAAGGCAAGAGCTGGGAGAGGACGATGTCGAGGCTCACACAAGCGAGTCTCACATCAAGGCGCGCAGAGCCCTCAAGGCGCTGCGCAAGGGGACGACGGGGTTCATCCACAACGTCGCCATGTGCCCAACGAGAACTCAAGCAAGTCTCACGTAGCCGCTCAACGCTTGCTCCGCAACTTCAGGCGCGCCAATGCCCAGCGAGTCGCCAGCATCGCGCACACCTACGGCGGAAGAAGCACCGGAGGCGACACGTCGAGAACCGGCGCCGCGCCGTCTCCTTTCGACGAAGAGCAGAGTGACGCCGAGGAGCTGAGAAGCGATGGCGAGGAGATGGTGAGCGACGGCGAGGAGATGGGGAGCGACGGCGCGGAGGAAAGCAGCGAGGACGATTTCGAGCCAGACGCCAATGTAGATCGTCAGACCATGGGTCGACGAGCTGCACGAGAGCCCACCAACTGCAACCCTCTCGGAGATGGATCGAGTGGCAGCGAAGGCAGCGAGGCTCATTCAACCTTCAAGCTAATCACGGATGCAGGGTTTGGCGATCAGTCCCCGTTTGTGACTGCGGCGGCACGCCGCGGCATGATCGCGTACCTGGTTGCCCTGCGGGAAGGTCCAGAAGGTTTGGAAAAGGTCGTCGATATCATCCACTTCCTTTGCCACTGCACCTTCTGCGAGTGGACGGCCAATTTCGGCCCCCCGCGCCACGGAGCCTGGTCCCGCCTGCTCGACCCTGATGCTGCGTCCGTCAACTAAAGGCGCTACGCCATCAGGCAGCACATCAGGCAGCAGCATCCGGACCTCTACGCCGCCATCAGGATGGGCCGTCAGATCAGCGAGCGTGCCTTCGCCGGTCCAGGCTTGCCCGTTCCCATGCCCAGCCTCGTCGATCATCACGCTCCAGACGTGGCGGCGCAATTTGCCGTGCCGTTGGAGCCGGGGCAGAAGGGAACAGTCGAGGCAGCGAAGGCCATTCAATGGGCGACGCCGATGCTCTCCCTTCTCAAGCCAGAGGCGGATGGGCATCAAAGGTAGAGGGAGGTAGCAGAGGAAGTGTTGGTGAGAGAGACGGCGGGCCTGACTTTCGGGCATGACCTGGGTGACAAGGGGCACCACTTCACGGGTGCCGCTCGCTGGGCTCAAGGGCGCGAATGGCCCGTGGCTCCGCCCAGGAGGACGATCACCAAGGTCATAATTGAACGCCTGATCACTCAGCATTTCGCCCAGGAGAAGAGGTTCCGAGAAGGTGGGCCGATCCCTCTGGTGGCGACGGTCTGCACTGCACCCTCGGGCACCACGACGACTGACCGCAGCAATATGGTAAATGCGATTACGCCGCGTCTAGACTCCAAAGCCAACGTCCTTCTTACTCTGATTGGAGCCGCTCTGTACGCTCAACCGTTCGCTGCAGGGCATGAGAAGCCCATCGAAGAATGCATCGCCTCACTGCTCGTGCAGGCGAGTCTGCCACCTGCTTCAACGGCACTCACCATCCTCGGCACCGCTCATCTCGCAAGTCACAAAGCGTCCGAGAATATCAAAGAGGCTACGACAAAGGCCGTCAAGGATATCGCAGAGGCCTTCCCGGCAATGAGCACTGCTGCGTCTCGCCGCCAGCGCGATGTACTGTAGCCGCCGATCTATCACGGAAGGCTGACTACGAGCGGGAGACCGACCAGGAGAGGACCGGCCGGATTGAGCCGCTCTGGTGCGGTCGGACAGAAGACCATCGACTTCATGGACAGGGTACGCGGGAGCAGCGCGGCGTGCTCTCGCTTCTCCCTCCCCTTCCATCCGCTCCTCTCACTCGCTGTTCCGCTCAAATTCTCCTTCCTCCGGCCTCTCACGCGAAGACAGATGTACACGCCGCCGTCATGTCCTCATCGCGACGCCCACGAACTGCGAGCAATTACCCACCACTCCTGAATGAAGACGTCACAAAAGACATGTCGGACAAACAGCCAACCGAAAGCCCCGAAGCTTCGCCCCGCAAGTCGAGGCCCGCCAAGGGCAAGGGCAAGGCGACGTCGCCAAACGGCGGAAAGGAGATGAGCGATGCTGACCGCGTCGCCTTCCAAGCGCTTCATCGCGTGAGTGTCGCTCGGCACTCACCATCTCGTCACTGCAGTCCGCTCACCATGACATGCTCCGCTTCTCCCACCTGCAGAGCGCACCTGCGATGACCAACCAGACGATGACAATGTTTGGTTGGGCCCAGCTGGAGGGCACGGTCCAGCAGACGACCCTCCTTGGCCTTGGCGTCAAGCTCCTCGCGGCGAGGGCCAAGGCTGAGATCACAGGAGAGCCCCTCAGCAGCCACATCGACGTTGCCCAAGTCGATGCGATCCAGGTCAAGGCCGACGAGATCCTCGCGGCGATGCGAGAGGAAGAGCGACGTCTGACGACGCACTCGCCTCGCACGCATGCCCTGCGCCTCTGGCAGCGCATCTTGGACTCCGGCCTTTTCAAGTCCTCTGTGGCCGCTCTGGACAAGGTCGGTGACAAGGTCGCCAGCACCTTCACTCGCCCTTCCCCCCCTCCTTCTCCTGCCGGCCGCAACGCCGACGCTGGCCCCTCAAAGCCAGCGAAAGCGCACAAGAGGCGCCGCCAGAGCGACGAGTGGGTCCGCATAGAGCAAAGCCAGGAAGTGAAAAAAGTGGGATGGTTCTGGGAGTCGACGAGAGTTGCGCGTTGCGCCCGAAGTAGCAAGTCAGGTCGTAATGGGCCAGCTGTACCCTTAAGTGGTACGCTGCACGGCCAATCCGATGCTACGAAAGAAGGGAGCAAGCCAGAATAGAAAAGAGGCTCGCTCTGCAATGAAATGTCAATCGCTTGTTGCTTTCCCTCCATCCTATTACATCTCTGCCTTGAACGTCGGTCCCCGCTGATCTGCCAGCCCTTGACAGCAGGTAGCTGGGCCTCGTTCTGCGTGAGCGTGTGTAGAGCTCTGGTGACGTGATACAGTGGAGTTGGTGACCTCACCGGGGGATGTCACTGCATCACATCGTTACTGCCGTTCGGAAGAGTCGCGAGTGAGAGTGATGTTGTACGGTGAGCGATTGCGCAGTAGTGCAGGCAATGCATCACGGTCAACGAGCCAGGCACAGCAGACAAGCCAGAGACTGCAGCAAGAGAGGAGGAGAAGCTATGATGATTGGAGACGTCCTGCAAGAGCGTAGGGACAAGACATCGGACGAAGACAAGCTGTAAAAGGACATGACTATGAGCGTGCATGCTGACGAGATGAGGTATGGGTGTGAGGATCTGTGGTATGGCTAGTGACGCAAGAAATGTTGACGGACGGACCGTTGCGAGACCGAGGAAGGGACTTGGCGATGCCTTACTGCTTGTCAAGATGCCTTGCGCAGGATTTCGTCGACGGCGCAGCTCTCACTGAAGGCAACGACTGTGCACCATTCGTCCCGGATCGCTCCTTGCTGTCCGAGATGCTGGAGGAACGGGCCTTGCCAGGCTTGGCAACCCTGAAGACAGCAACGATCGACTTGACGGGTCGGGTGCCAATCAACCGCTTCCACAGTCGAGAGGCGAACTTTGGTAGGCCAAAGCGTCGGTGGCGACGTCGCCTCTCGACAAAGCGACGGGAGGGAGCGCTGTTCATGGTGGCCAAGGCTTCAACCTCTTGAGCGCTAAGGAGGTTGAGCACCGGTTCCCGGCTCAGTCCAGCCGTCGCCAAGGCCTGCAGCACCATGGACGTGCCGGCAACGCGAGCATTGAACGCCAACTCAGCCTCCGACCGGGCCCAGGCGAACGCAAAAGCAATTTCTTCGGCCGTGAGAGGCTCCTCCTGCCGGAGCGAAGAGGCATCGAGCGGGGTCAGTAGGGTTCACCGTAGAGTCCGTCGCTGAGCCCGAGCACTCACTTGCTGGCCGGTGTGGACGCTGCTGCCCTCCGTGTCAGTGTCAACAGTTGGGGTAGACGCCTGATCAGACGACGACGGCAAGATGCGGGCCATGATGATTGCAGTAGAGCTTTGTAGATTATCCTGAGTCGTGATAGCGTGGAACAGGAGAAGAAGATCGGGTGGGAGAAAAAGAAAGAAGCGGGCCGCCGCCTTTCGCTCATCAAGGCCGCAACAACGGACTGGAGCCACGACGCGAGCCCGCCGTACGACCTGGGTGCTCCATGTGCAGCGCATGCTCTGATGATGCTCTCGAGAAATTTTGTTTCCTAGCGAATTAGCACCTGCTTCATCACCGCACAGTGCTGCTGAGCATGCAAATGGAAGCTGCTCTGCTGACACAGGTGCGACGGGGTCTTCGTTCTCAGAAATGGAGGGGTGTGTGCTGAATCCCACGCTTAGCTGTTGCTTCAACTCAAGTCAACGAGACTGCGGTCAAGGGACCAGATCTAGACGGCGGTGAAGCAGATCAGACTACCTCCGATGGATCTGACGTACAATGGCGGCGGGAGGGCGCCTTGGAAGTTCGTCGAGAAGGATGGAGAATGAACAAAGACGCTTGCCAGTGATTGGCTACGGGAAGAAAAGGGTGGAGTGTATGCTGCAATGGCTCGGAGGACAGGACGAGAGGATGTCCAGGGAAAAAGGAGGCGTCTCGATAAGGAATATCGAATGAGTAAGGAGGCGTCGTGCCGCCCTGACCAAGAAGCTGACGCTTTTGTTCGTCTTGGCTTCTGCGACGAAGTCCGAGAGCGAGGCGACGCGAGGTCTTCCTTGAGTCATCGAGCACTTCGACCAAAGTAGAGCACTATTTTCAGCGCGGATGGCCGCCCTGCTATCATTGCTGTACGTCGCAGCCATCGATTCCAACCATAGGATGGTCTGAGGGAGACAGAGGCTGGCCAATTGTACGCATGTTTGAGGGGCGCAGCATCTCATTGGGCATGAGCAGCGGACGTGTTTTCGGAATCGCCGGGAGCCAGAGCTTGAGGTAAGTGAGGACCGCCTGATTCAGAGGGGTGCTGATCGTCTGTGCGCATATGTGCGAGGCCAAAACGGCGGCGAAGACGATCCCATGCACGAAGCAGGCGGGAGCGTGGCGAGTAGTCACGAAGACGGCAGCCTTCGTCCTCGTACTTCTCCACAAGAGCTTGGCAATGATTGAACCGGGCCTCTAGCACCGAGAGCGGAATGATCTCTTGAAGAGGTCTCTGCTGTATCTCGGCAAGGGCTCGAGCACACTGCAGCTCACAGTCCATGGCCAGCAGGTAATTGGCGTCGGACGAGCTCTCGAACCGTGCCATCGCCAACAGAGCTCGCTCACCGGCACGGGTAAAGGGTAGGCTCTGGAGCGAGGACGGTCAAGAGTAAGCAGAGAGCAGCGAGGGACTGGTCTGGGCTGGCGAAGAGCATTACCTACATTGTGCAGTCGCCCTGCTCCAGCAGACGGACTTCGCACCGCGTTCATAGCGGCAGCGGTGGCTGAGCTGAGGGCGGCGGTGGTCGACGTCTGGCTCGCTTGAGCGGCCATTGGCTGGCCACGAGGTGCTGCAGACATCGAGAAGTGAGGTCGGCTCAATCTAGGTGTGTATATGCTGACGATTAGAAGGTCGGATGTACGAGAATAGGCAGAGAGTGAAGGAACAGGAATGATGGATGCGAATCGCCCCAAGTCGACTGATCATGGGCCGAAACGCGGCTCGAAATGCGCCTCGTGAAAAAGTGCCGATAAGCGGCGGAGCATTGGGAAGAGAAGTCGGTATGATTATCGTAAACGACCAAAGGGACAAAGAGAATCAATGTCGTTAGCTCATTGAGCGTGAATGGCCGCTCCACTGGCCCACCCCCCTCACACCCTCTGAATCGGCTTGATAACTGCTCCCGGCTTGGTCGCAAGCACCTTGGGCATCGTGAGCCTCTGGTTCTGCGTGAGCGTATTCCACTCCCTGCCCAAGGGTTGCTCGCGGGCAGCATTGTACTGCTTCGCTGACGTGTAGGGGTAGGGCCTGTGCGCGGCGAGAAGAGGAGGCGGTCAGCGACAGTCACGACTGAGTGCCACGCCGGTACGTACAAGTCTTTCACCTGATACTTCTCCGCCTTCTTGTCCTTTCGCTCATTAATGATCACGTTCGCCATGCCCGCATCTTTGCGCTTCTCCTTGTCCAAACCCGGCGTAACCGTCTTCTTCGCCGCGCGTGAGGCGGCCGTACCGCTCTTTCGATTCTTCTTGATCCCCTTGCCACCCCACGATCCCCAGCCAGGCAGGCTCGCGGTCTCCTGCTCTTGCGGTGCATCCTCATCTTCTACGCGTGCCTTTTGCGCAGCAAAGTCTGCCGCAACGTCGTCTCCGGCAAAGGCCTCGGCGATGAGGTCGCGTTGCGTGAAGGCGGTGCGCGGGGCACGACGGCCAGGAGCGGACATCTCCACGGGCTGATCCTCGTCGCTGTCACTGCCGTCCTCGTCGGGCTGCTGCACAGCCTTCTTCGCCGACTTGGGCGCCGCAGCACCCAGCATTGCTTCCGGATCAATATCGAGGCGTCGATCGTCTTCGTCTGCCTCTTTGCGTGTGGCATCGTGCTTGCTCTTGCGCTTCTCGAGCTTGGAGGCAGACTTTGCTGCAAAGGTGGAGGTCGAAGAGGTGGCGGTGGGCTTGTGGGCGCGCTTTGTGGTATCTGCGACGAGCCAAGGGTTGGATGCTGGAGTGGCGTCTTCGCGCGCGGGAGGGGGCGGAGAGGGGCTGCGAGATGGTGAACGAGCGGGGGCGGGCTCGACGGCAGGCGCTGCCTTCGCCGCTGCCTTGCCCGCTGGCTGGGCGATTGTTTTGCTCTTGCCCTCCGTAGGCGCAGCCTTGAAGACGCGGCGACCGACCACTGCTTGATCGCCCAAATCGTCCTCATCCTCATCGCTGCCGTCCTGCCCCGCCATCTTGCGCAGGTCCGACTCAAGGTCATCTCGCACCTGCTGCGTAGCCTTGTCCTCCCTATTCCTCGCATCCTGCATAAACTTCATGTTCCAGACGCCCTTCTTGCTGCCCTCGGCCCCCGCATCTCGCTCCTCTTTGGCGTCGAGAGTGCGCAGCTCGTCGTATGCCGCACGAGCAGGATCTGCGTTGCTCTCAGCGTCGCTGCCACTCTCACCCTCGCTACTCTCATCACCGCGCCCCTCCATCCTTCGCCTGAGCTGCTGAGCCTTTTGCAACTGCTCATTCAAGGCCTCGCGTGAGTAGTCATCACCGCCACGCTTGCCCAGCTGCTGCTTTGCCCACTTTCCCGTGTTCTTGTGCTTGAGCGTCGCGCGTTCTTGTGCCCTCTCACGTTCGTGCTTCAAGCGTTCCTCATCATCCTCGCCGTCTTCGCTCTCACCCTCTAACAGCCCCGCCTCACGCAGCTTGGCCCTCTCCCTCTCTCGATCCTTGCGCGCAATCTTTCTAAATGTCTTGCTCTTGATCTTGCTTACTCGCTTAGCCTTTTGCTCCTGCCTGAACATGAGGTCGCGCATCTTCCTGAGCTCATCGCGACGCTTCTGCTGCTCCTGCGGTGTGAGGTGGCGCATGGCGAGCTCCTCATTCTTGGCGATCTGAGCCTCGGACATGCCTTCGGCCTGCAGCAAGGCGTCGACGTCCTGCTCGAGGGCGTTGGATGGCTTGAAGGATGCGGCGAGCTGGGCAGTCGAAGGTTTGGAAGGGCGGGACGTGTCCGGTTGGAGTGGGAATGAAAGGTGCTCAGCCTCGCGCAGTCGCTTGATGGTTGGCTGCCACTTTTCTGCCTCCTGGCGTGAGAGATCGTACCCTGCTGAGCGCTGCAAGCGATCCTTGACTACGTCGGGCAGAGGGGCGGAGAGGGCACCACCACCGCGCTTAGAGGCTACGGGCTGCTTGTCGTTGCGTGCGGTGCCGCGCAGAGCCTTGGTGCTGTTGAGCAGGGCGCTGTGATCGCCAGCCTGAGCTCCAGAAGAGAGTGGGGCAAGAAGGTCGTCCAAGGCGAGGTTGCCGCGTGAAGGGGCGGCATACTCTGATTCGGGGCCAGCTTCGGTGCGCGATGAGAGGACACGACGGCGCCGCTTGGTGGGTAGCGCGTCGTCCCGATCTTCGTCGTCTCCTGCGCGCTTAGACGGCTGGGCGTACGAGGTGGCGAGGCTGGACAGGTCGCCATGCTCTCCATCTTCGGACTCGTCATCGTCCTCGCCGCTCTCTTCGTCCTCGGAGCCACTCGCGCCGCCATCCCCGCCGAGCATCGTGCTGAGGTCGACCATGCCAGCGTCCTCGTCGTCCTCGCCCTCGTCCTCCTCTGCTCCTCTTCTACGATCTGAGGCAAACGTATAGTTGCCGTACTGTTCGTCATCGCTCTCCCCAAACGCTTCGTCACTCTCAATGTCCGAATCTTCGTCATCGCTGCCCAGCTCCTCGTCTGTGCCAATGACTCCACCTCGAGCGTCATCCGAATCCTCGCTATCGTCGTCTGACCCTGCTGGACGTCTTCGCCTGCCCATCTCTTCGTCTTGGTCCTGATCGGTTGCTTGCTGTGCTCTCGCAGCCACTCTCCCCTGCTTCCCTCTACGCTTTGCATCCTCTTGATCCACCGCATAATCGTAGACGTCGTGAATGGTGCGCGGCTTGGATGGTCCAGCCTCGTTGCGCGGGCGTCTGTTATTCGCCTCGCCCTTGAAGTTGTTCGTCGCCTTTGCTGGCGCTCTACCGTTGCGGCGGGCCATGATTGCGATGCTGCGTGACGATGGAGTGGTTGGAGGAAGTGCAAAGGTGGATTCAGCTCGCGCTTCCGTCGACGCCCTCGACGACTGAAATTTGCCACTGGGCCCGCGGCAGGCAAGACGGACGGATGTCGCATTCAATTGGCGGCATTCATTCAGGATTGCTTCCTGCGCTTCTCGCACTCCTCGCCATCTTGCAATGGCAGACCCAGCTGCGGCCACGACAGAGTATCTCTCACAGCTTCAGGCCGCGCTTCAGCCACCCACGAAGCTAGCCTCCCAGCTGCCAGCCGCAGAGGATGTCGCTTTCCATCGCTCAATCGACAAGAAGGTGGCAGCTGCGTATGATCAGGAGAGCTCAAATCTATTGGACACGATCAACAGGCTGACGGCGTGGGCTGGCAAAAGTCTCAAGGCGCAGGGCAAGCAGCGAGCAGAGAGCGAGGATGACGATGAAGAGGAACAGGGTCACGCGCCCTTTGCTCGCATCTCGGACATCGTTGACAATTTGCTCGAACGAGCAGACGTGGCAATGGATGAATACTCAGCCCCGCCTCAGTCCTCAATGCCCTCCCGTGGCCCACTCTCGCATATGTCAACATCGACATCAGCATTGCCAAAGGTCGGCAAGCTCCCCGCCAACATTCTCAATGCGCCCATGGATCCCCCGCAGCGCACATTTACTCTCCAACCAGACAACAGCGCTGATACGATGTGGGATCGCCCGCTCACGATGGGCAAGCCAAACGCCCTCCCACGCTCGCGCTCTCCTACTCCACCGTCATCCTCAGCAGCCTCGACAGCCATCGTCCGTCAAGGGATGTACTGTGCAGAGGGGGATCCTCAGCTAAACCCTTATTACCACGAGATCTTCAATCAGCCGCTACCCACATTCATCTACCAGCCACCAAGCGAGGATGAGCTCAAGGCGCCACCACCCATCGATCCGGAGGTGCCGCAGGGAACGGCGGGCGTGCCATTCACTTGGATCGATACGGCCGAGGGAGTTGCCGCTTTGGCCGCCCACTTGAACGAAGACCGCGTCAAGGAGATTGCAATCGACCTTGAAGCGCATGCGTACCGCTCATATCAGGGCATCGCCTGCTTGATGCAGCTCTCCACGCGATGGGGAGACTACGTTCTCGACCTAGTCAATGACTCCGTGCGCACATCCATCGAGTCCTTCAACACCTCCTTCACCCACCCTGACAAAATCAAGATCCTCCACGGCGCAGAGCACGACGTCCTCTGGCTTCAGCGAGACTGCAACCTCTACCTGGTGAACCTCTTCGACACCTACCACGCTACCAATGTTCTTGGGTTTCCCGGCCACAGCCTTGCCTTCCTGCTAAGCAAGTACTACGACTTTGAAGCGGACAAGCGCTACCAGTTGGCCGATTGGAGGTTGCGACCCATGCCGAAAGAAATGGTATACTATGCGCGCAGCGACACGCACTCGCTCATCTACGTGTATCAGCGATTGAGAGGCGAGCTCCTTGCCGCGGGTGGGAAACAGGCGATGGATGAAGTGTTTAGACGGTCGAAAATCACGGCTGCGCGCCGTTATGCCAAGGAGGTTTGGGACGAAGAGGGAGACAGCCGTGATGGATGGCGAAGTATTTGGTCGCGCATGGGTGGGTTGGAAGCTGTAGGGACGTGGGAGAGGAGAGAGGTTGCTAAGATGGGCAGGACAGAACGCCTCTTCCGCCGATTGCATCGCTGGAGGGATGGAGTGGCGCGCGTGGAGGATGAGAGCCCAAAATACGTGCTGCCCACGCAAGCATTGCTCAACTTGGCGTCGCGCGCTCCGATGACGAAGAGCGAGGCGTTGGCGGTGTTCACTCCGGGAACACCCGCTGTCAGGAAGAGGAGCGGCGAGGCCGCCAACATCATCAAGGAGGAGGTACTCGCATGGGAGCAGGCGCAGAAGGAGTTGCGAGAGCAGAGGGAGAAGGAGTTGCAGGAGGGCGCGGCGCCGGTTGCGCAAGATGGCAGCGACGCAGAGGATGTGGGGATGAGCATAGACGAGCCAGCGCCGCAGCCGCAGCCCGAGCCCGCACCCGCACCCACCCCAGCCGCCGCAGTGGCACCAGCTTCGCCGGTCATTGAGTCGCTCTGGTCATCGCCGAGCGGCTCGTCGACCTCTTCACCGCTGAGAAGGAAGCAATCTGGCCTCTTCGGCGCCACGCTCCGCCGGCAAGAGCAGGCCCACGCGCCGTCCCCTCTACGCGACTACGTCTCGAGCAGCTTGAGGAGCATTCTTGGCGGGCAGGCTCAGGCGTCAAGCAGCGCGGTGGCAGCAGAGCCGGCCGCGGAGGATGTCATGATCGAAGAGGCACCTGCTGCTGCCCCTGTCCCATCGGCGGCGAGCCCCTCAGCGGACGCTACGCCCGAGTCTGAGGACGACGCCACCGAAGTGCAAGTCAAGCGCAAGAAGGACAAGACCAAGAAGCCCAAGTGGTCAGCAGAGGAGAAGCGGAAAGCGCGAGAAGGGCGTGAAGCTGCTGCTGCTGCTGCCGATGGAGATGCGCCTGCTGTCAAGAAGCGTCGCACGGGCGCCGATGAGGCTGCCGAGGTGAAGCCCTTCGACTATTCCAGCTCTACGTCACTCCTTGATGCCCCTCGTACGCCATTAAGTGGCAGCGCTGCGGCTGACAAGAGGGCGAAGAAGCAGCAAAAGAAGAAGGACGAGGCTGCCGCTCGAGCGGCGGGTGCGGCATCCAAGGGGCCGGAGCGGTTTGCGGACGCTAGGCAGCCGAGGGATAGGAGTACGCTGGGCAACGGTGTGGGCAAGAGTGTAACATTTAGTTGAGTATGCAATGTGTGGGGCGAGACCATCCAATGTGACGTTATGGACATGTAATCAAGCATAGACATTGTTGACGTCCACCTCGAATGAAGGTAGCGCGGACGGCGACCAAGAGGCCGACGTGCTGCACCCCGCGCTCCCCGCTCGGCGTCCAAACGCCGGACGATGTGGGGGTGGGGTACGGGTGCAAAGTGAAGTGAAATGAAATCGTGTTTCAGACATGACATGTGACCCCTTTGCCCTCTCTTTCTTGCCCTCACAACCACCATCATCATCCAGCCCAAAGCTTACGCCATGCTCGCTCGAGCGATCAGGCCCACATCTCTGGCTTCACGCGGCCTCACACGCTCTAGCGCCACATCCAGCCTTCGCAGCATCAACACAGCCGCGCAATCGGCGCCTACGCCCGCGTCGAGTGGCTCAATAGCAGACGTCTTCGCAACCCTCTCTGGCGGCTCACTCGAAGATGCTCTCCCCCCACGCTTCTCCCAGCTCAAACGCCAGATAGTGAATAGCGAGCCGGGCTTTCAAGCTCACCTTGAGCAGTCATGGCGTACATTACTACCGCGTCTCTCCTCGGAGCTAGACGACATCTCACGTCTGCAGCAGCAAGTCTTCCCTAGCATCGAAGCAGGGCAGGAGCTCGACCCTTCTGCAGTGGCCGAGGTCAAGAAAAGGGGGGTCGTAGTAGTCCGGAACGTCGTCCCTTCCTCTCAAGCTCTCGAGTGGAAAGACTCGATCCGTCGCTACGCCTCCTCCAACCATGCCACGGGATTCCCAGCCGATGATCCTCAGGTGTACGAGCTCTACTGGTCACGCGCTCAAGTGGCCGCTCGCTCCCATTCGGAGGTGTTGAGGGCCTCGAGAGAGATGCTCAAGATGTGGCATCGTCCTGCAGGAGAGGAGGAGGGGGAGGAGCTGGGAGTGGAACAGTTGGCTGATATGGAGACGCCGTTGTGTTATGCTGACAGGCTGAGGATACGACATCCGGGTGATGCCAAGTTTGCCCTAGGCCCACACATCGATGGTGGAGGAGTGGAGAGGTGGGGTAAGTCCTGCGCGTTCCTAGCTTCGGCCAGGCCGTACAACCATACTGACTCGTTGCTCCTCCCCCCACTCCCCCCCCCCCCCCCATCCTTCCCTCGCCACTCACACGCAGAGGACCCAACCTTCCTCTCCATCTGGCGGGACATTCTCTCCCCTCGCGGCCAAGGGTGGACTCGATTCGACAACTGGTCTTTGGGCCCCCGAGGTGAACGCATGACGGCTCGAACGGCAATGTATAATGGACCTGGGCAATGCTCCGTCTTCAGACCATGGCAAGGCTGGCTTTCCCTCTCGCACACCGGCCCCAATGAAGGTACTCTGCGCGTGCTTCCCAACCTGAAGGAGGCCACGGCGTACATTGTGATGCGTCCCTTCTTCGAGGCAGTACGACCGCGCGAGGCGTGTGGGTCTACTGAGGAGTACCTCGACGCTGGCAATTGGCGCTTCGATGGGCAGTCGGCCCGATTCCCAGGCTGCTCCCTTGGACATAATATCGAGCTCTCCTCAGCCACGCACCCTCATCTACGCCTGGATTCCTCCATGATTTCGCTCTGCGACGTGCAGCCAGGTGACATGGTGCTATGGTCGTGTGACGCGGTTCACGCCGTTGAGAGCAGGCATGCAGGACGGGGAGATTCGTCAGTAATGTACATCCCAGCTATCCCGCTCACCGCCAACAACTGGCGATACGTCCGCGCTCAGGCTGACTGCTTCAAGCAGGGAAAACCACCGAGCGACTTCCCTCAGGGGCAGGGGGAGAGCAACTTCACACAAGCAGGGGGGAGGGCCAAGCCCCAGGACGTCAGCAATGACATAGCCCGCACAGCGATGGGACTGGAAACGCCTCCAAATGTCGAAACGGCAGACGAGGGGACGAAGAAGCTTCGAGCATGGTGTGCTGGAGAATAAATGTGAAAATGTAATTCCGTGAGCAAAGCAGGCAGTGATGCTAGGCAAAAGCTGAGTGACTAATGGATATCAGAGCTGGGTGAAAGAAGACGAAGAGAAAGAGCAAAGACAGTGTTCGTGGTTCGTGGACTCGCGCATGCCAACTGCACCGACGCCCGCTTAGTTGACCTCAATGAGACCGGGGCCGGCGACGGTCTTGTCAGCGACGGCGGCGGCGCTGTCGAAGGGACCGGCCGAGGTGGTGAGGGCGGCGAGGGTGAGACCGTTGGAGAAGCCGGCGTCGAAGGGGAACTCAGCCTGGAAGGTAGCCGAGTCGCCCTTCTTGCTGACCGACTTGATGGGGACGACGACGGGCTTGTTGACACCGCTGATGTAGACGATGTGGTTGGCCTGGGCCGAGGCGTCAGAGTAAGTGGTAGTGTAGTCAAGAGTCATGTTCTTGGCCTGAGGAGTAGTGGTGGGGGTGAGGAGCTTGAAGCTGGGCAGGCCAATCTCCGAGACGTTGGACGAGGCCGAGCACGAGTTGGGAACGAGGAAGTTCTGCGCAACAGCGTTGAAGGCAAAGGCGCCCGAGGAGTAGGTGAGGAAGGGAGCGGCAGAGGGAGTCTTGCGCTGGATGAGGCGGAAGGCACCGTCCTGCTCGCCCTCCTGGGCGATAATGGAGCCTACGAGGGGGACGAGGCCCGAAGCGGCCTGGCCACCGTCGAGAGCAAAGGTCTGCTGAGCCTCAGAGAGGGTGCCGAGGACGACGTCGGTGAAGGTGGCAGCAAGAGCGATGGCCGACTTGACTGCAAGCGCGAAGCGTTGGGAGGGGTGGCGTCAGTTCAACTCTGAGAAGACTTTGCTGCGTCACGGGGTCGCATAAACTCACAGTCGGTGGCGGGGAACTTGTAGTTGCAGGCGCCAATCGTAGAGGCACCAGCGCTCTTCAAGATGGCGTTGGCACCAGCTGCGTGGAGCTCCTCCTGCGCACGGATGGCAGCGAGCGACTTGACGACGTAGTCCTTGTCGAGACCACCGAAGTCGGTGTAGCCCTCCTTGCCGGCGACAACGTTGTCATAGAGGGTCGAGAAGTAGGAGACCTCGAAGATCTCGTTGACGGCAATGAGCTGCAGAGTGGCGATGGCGTCCTTCTTGAGGTCGGTGGGAAGGGCCGTGTTGGGGAGGGTGCCACCAGCCGTCTTCTGCGTGTGGGCGAGGTTTCCAGGCTTGATGTTGGGGAAGCCGTTGGGCAGCGAGAAGGGGGCGGCAGCGGCGAGGCCGGCGGCGGCGATGGAGAAGAGGGCGGCGAAGTGCATGCTGGGCGTTGAAGAGCTTGACGAGAGGGAGAGAGTGGGCTAGGTGAGAAAGGTAAGAGTGTTAAGAGAGGGGGGAAGAGAAGGAAGTGGCGACCAAGCATCTGGTCTTATAACCAACTTCGAGGGCAGCGCAGCGCACGGTGCCCGCCCGGGTACGAGGGAAGGGTCTTGGAGAATTCCCTTCACGACCCCATGACGGCGAGGGAGCACGAGGCGGCGCGTCCCCTCCTACGAGACGAGAAACGGCAGGCGGAATGGCAGGCGGAATGACAGGCAGGTACGCACGCACGCACGCACGCACGCACGCAACGCAATGAGGGCGTGACGAGTGAAACGAGAACCAGGCGAAACGAGGCTCAAGACGGCGACTGCGCAACGATGATGGAGGTGAAGTGAGGTTGGGCCGACCCTTGGACGTTGGCACTCCAGCTGAGCCGGCTACCAGGTCCGGCCGATTATTATTGCACTCCGCACTTTGCTCCAATTCCGCGATTCTGTGGAAGCTTACTTACCCCACCTGTGCCCACACGCCTGCGTCGCGACAATGCATCAACATGCCAGCCCAAACTCGCCTAGCTGGGGGGCGGCTAACGTTGGCCGGCGGAGCCACGCAGCGGCGACTGCTTCTCGCAGGGCAAGCACGAGGTTCGATTCGATTGAACCCTGTTCACTGGCGCAGAGCTAGATGCCGTCACGTCTCGGCCCTGCTTGACGCTTCCTTCGCGGGGTCTGATCGCATACGACGATGTGCATCGACAAGTGAGCGGGTCCTCAAGGCCGGTGAGGACAAGTCGAATGTCGACGTCGTCTTTCGTCGTCGACGCCGCCAACGCCGCCAACGCCGCCAGCATGCTCCGTAGCGGTGAATGAATGGTCACGTCACGCCATCTTTCGGTGAAGGCGGCTAGCATGTCAGTTGGCAGCCACGCGCGATGGTGACGACCAGCTCGCGCGCCAATCACTCTTGAGCGAGGAGCACTGAATGCACGGAACAGTGGAAGAAATTGGCTGGGGCTCGATCGATTGAGTGCACGGCCGCCCTGGCACATGGACCCCGATTCAGTCAACGTCCGACCACGCGTCGAGACATTTGATCTTGTTGACTGGTTCAGATGATGATGGGTCTCCGCTCCGTCGGGAACGTTCGCGGTACGTCAAACGCCAGTGCTCAACCTCACAACGCACGGCCGCCACTGCAATGCACCGTACCTCGCCCTGCCCCACTCTTACTCATCTTTCCCACGTTCCTCTCCACCCTCTCTCCTTCCTCCAAGCAGGGATAGCAACCCTCGTAACAGCACCTGCGAATCCTCTCCATCCACACCCTTCCCAATGACATCAATTGCTCCTTCCACCGCCGCCTCTACGTCTCTCTGAATACCAGCTTCGACATCCGTATCCTGATGGCCGGATGAGGCGAGGAGGAGCTGCGTGACGCACAGGCAGAGACATTCCTCGAGAGTGGCCGCGAGCATCGAGGGATCCAGCGAGCTAGAAGATCCATCGTTGCCGTTGCGTAGCGCCTCGACACAGAACGCGCCTGCGTCCAGTAGAGTACCAATACTTGCCGGATCGCTGGGAGAGGTGCGCATTGTCGGCCTAACAATCAGGACAGGTTGCTGCTGTTGCCTCGAAGTAGCGCCCCCCGCAGCCGACTGGCTGAGCACCACAGATCCGCGAGTGTAGTGCCACAAGGCAGAGATGGTGGACATGGCGATGCGCACCAGCTGGGAGAGAGCGTGACGCTCCCATGCCTCCTCACCTCCCGTAGCCGGCACCCTGCCGTCCTCACCTCCGCCGCTGCCACGCAGGAGAGCAGCCAGCTGTCTTGGCCTCTGAGCCAGGTAGACCACCTGCTGCAACATCGGCCCTTGCGTGACACGGGACGCAAACGTGCTCAAGATTTCTGCGAGACCTGCAGAGCCTACGTCGTCCTGAGTACGACGTGACTGATCCTCGCCATTGGCATCTGCAGCCGCCATGACGAGGAAGAGGCGGGAGACCACTTCTGCTTCTTCGAGTTGCGCGTGCGTGACGATTTGAGCCTGCTGATGCTGCCCTTGGGTCTGCCCCTCGAGGCTGAAGGGCTTGAAAGTGCTACGTCGTAGACTGCTCGCTGAGGAGGTGGAGAACTTGCCGACCGGCGCGAATTCCAGACTGCGGGCTAGCTGAGCACCGTACAGCCGCACGAAGCCCACCACCTCCGTGACCACAAATCGTCTTGAAGCCGAAGGGGCCCAAGACCTGCCCGTAGCCATGCCCTCGTCGTCCACTGCTGTTCCGTCTAAATTGTCCACCGCGGCAATGACCAGACGCAGCATGTTCAGCCAGCTAGCATGCGCGGCATTGCCCGCCGTGGGTGCGAGTCCTCCCGACTCCAGAATCGGAGTGAGGGCGTTGCTCGTGAGCGCAGACATGAGACCGGAGAGGACCAGCTGCTCGGTCGCTTGAGGGCGGGCTGCTAGAGATAGAAAGAGGGAGAGGAGCGAGGGCAGGAAGGCCGGAACGCCAGGCTGGGCATGGCTTGGTCCACTTGCGACTGGCGCTCGTCGAAAGAGCGACACCAGAGCCGGAAGTAGCCTTACCTCCTGGAATTGGGCGAGCCAAAAGTGGGGTTCGAGCGTCACGTCCTGCCTGACTAGGAGCTCGACTAGGCTGCTGATCAGGGCAAGCTCTTCCTCAATTGATGTCAGGTCCTGCTTGTCCGTCGCGCCGCTGCTGCTGAGTCGCACGGCTGCTGCATCCACGACGTGCCTGAGCGCGACAATAGCATGGCTTGTGAAGACGTCAATCGCGTGATGAATGGTCTTGTGCGTCGCGGCGTCTCCTGAGCTTGGCGTCACGACCTGTCGACAGCGTCTGGCAGCGAGGAGCGTTATGCTGAAGACGGCCCGATGGAAGGGCGGACTCAGCTGTCCCTGCACGCTCGCATGAACGCTGAAGACGTCGTGCGTGATGAGACGCTTTACCTCTTCCACCACCTGGCGTACCGTCTCCACACTCGGCTTGCTGCTGTCTTGCCCGCCCCAAGCAGCCTGCAGCAGCACCTCGAGCAGGGCAGCCCTCTCAGCGTGCAGCCCTACCATTACGGCCCCCTCGCGGCGCTCCTCGCCTACGATTTTTACTGCGACAGGCCAAGCGCGCAGGCAGGCATCGCGCACTTGCTGATGCTTGCTCTCCTGCCCTTGTCCGCGGTACTCTGCTCGTGTACGTCGCGCGAAATTGTCGAGGAAGGTGCGCCAGCCGCGCAGCAGCGAGGTGCGGGAATCAATGAGCGACCAGTCGAGGTTGACACTCGCCACCATGGTCAGCACACGGGAGATGACCGCTTCGTCGATCACCGTAGCGGAATCATCTGCATCGTCTGCATCCGTGCTGCCACCACAAAGCCCAAGGAGCCTGGTCTTGAGAGCCGCCAAATTGTAGATATAGTCTCGCCCGTACTCTCTCTCCCCATCCCACTCGTCCCGCCTCTTGGCATGGCGAAGCGCCTCCAACCTGATCTCGGGAAAGGTAGCCGCCATTCTTGCCATCACGTCGCCGTGCAGTTCCGGGTTGCAGGGAACGGCGAGCGCTGATTGTAGGAGTTCCGTGAATGAGGGACTAGAAGTTACGAGATGAAAGGCGCTTTCAATGCTAGCCGTTTTGGAGCCTTGCCGCTGAAGACGAGGAGAAGCTTCCAAGTCGGTCGAGAGGAGAAGGAGGGCACGAGTCTTGCTGATAAGACGGTGCGAGCGGGCGCTAATTTTCTCGTGATCTTGCTCCGCGTCCGAGTCTATCGCGCTCTCATGCTCGTCTTCGTCCATCGAGGCGCCGATCAACGCGGTGACAGACGACCAGAATCTCCCATCGCTTCTCACCTCATCCAAAGCCAGCACACGGGCCGACCATGCGCAGCAGAGGAAGTGCAGAACAGCGCTGAGCAGCTGAGGGTCGTGATCCCAGAGCGTTTGCCAGATGGTAAGCGAGTCGACCGCAACGCGTAGGATGGTGCGCTGCGATGCCTGTCCTTCTTGCCCTCCTTCATCGCCCGCAAGCAGCAGTCGTGCAACTGTCGATCTCGTCTCGACAAGCAAGGCGGCGAGCGTCCAGCAAGCGACGCGTAGTGAGACGTCCTGCTGCGTATTGTCGAGTATGTCGAGGAGAGCGGGTACTGCCAGCTGCAGCTCATCGCTGAGCGCCAATGTCTTGCCACTTGAGATGGCCAGGGCCGTGAGGAAGCGAGCCGCTTCGCGTGAGAGGGAGACGGAGATGTTCGTGCGGAGGTAGCCTACTATTGCTACGGCTGCGGAGCTTCGAGTCTTCCCGCCGGTGGAAGCCGCTAAGTTGCTGCTTGACGTGGCGCCGCCAAGGAACAGCCGTTCGACAGGGCCCAATCTACCCTTGGGCAGCTGACCCTTTGCAGCTAGCTCCTGCCTGCGGTACACCACGCTCGTCGCAAGCTGCAACGAAGCTTCGACGTATCCATGCGCCGTCTCCGCCTCAGCATGCTTGCCCGCGCGATGCAAGCGCAGCAGCATCTGCTGACCAGCCCCAATCGTGCTCACAAGGGAGTTGAGGTGCACGAGTGAGGCGTGCGAGACAAGCAAGCTCTCCACAGCCTTGCCGAGCTCACCCAGGGGAGACTGAGCATCGACCGCACGATCATTGAACACGCCTTGAAGGAGCTGCGTGCACAAGGCTCCGATACGGATCTTATCCCCCGCCTCGTTGAATCTCCAGCTCCCATGCTCCGGCCAAACATTCTCCACCATCCAACCCATTGCTCGCAGCAGCACGTCGACTTTGATGCGGAGCAGGTCCGGAGAGACGGCACACTGTGATCGCTGCAGCTCTGCGAGAAGGCTACATTGGAAGCTGAGGAGCGATTGGGTGCCGAGGAAGTTTCCGGTTGCCATTTCTGACGAGAGGAGTGCGGACGAGGAGGAGGAGCTGCTGCTCGCGGATTGCCCGAGCAAACCGGAATGCGATGCCCAGATGGCAGGACCGCTGCTTCCCACCACGAGGTTGGAGGATCGCATGACCATCCAGATTTCGGAGGGGCGATGCTGCAATAGCAAGCCGAGAAGGCGGAAAGCTGCGGTGACCAGCTTGATTGGAATCTCGTAAGCACCCAGTCCTTGCTCTAGCACGCGACGCAAGATGCTGACCAGTGTAGGAGCGTTAGGCTCCTCCTCGAGGTGGCTGAGCAGCGCGCCGGCCTTAGATGGGGCTCCGACAAGGACGGATGAGAAGAGGTCCAGTAGCTCTGTCGCCACCACGGCTGGATCGCCTGCACTAGGTGCGAAGCTATCAAAGCCTGGTCCTTTGCCATTCCCGTTCGCAAAGACATTGTCTTGCTCGTCCTTTGGCACCAGGGCCGTAGGATCGGGAAGGAGGTGCACAAAGTCTGCCAGAACGTCACGCGCAACGCGCCAGCCACTGATGCTCTGCTCCTCGTCCAGGTTCCACACCACAACGATGGGCGTCTGGTCCACCTCCGACACCATTCGCCCCACCGTACCAGGTGGAATGACGAGGCGTGACCCGAACACAGGGATGGGACGTGTAGCTTTGTAGTCTAGGACGGAGTAATCTGGGCTCTCAAATACCTCCCAGGGTGGCCGAAGCGCAGCGCTTGTAGGTGGGAGGACTTGAGCAATCGTTGTGATAGACTCGAAACTACGCAGCACGGCCAGTGCAGCATCCTCCGTGTCCGACGCCTCGCTGCGACCACATACGCCATTGAGGGCTTTGAGAAGCCGGATGAGAGGGCGAAAGGAGACAGGCCAGCGACGCTGCGCCGTCTCAAGGGTAGCACGGCGTGTTTCGAATTGGCTGTCGTAGCTCCAGAATTGCTGGCAAAGCGCCCCGACGCCAATAGCCGCTTCTTCAGAGGTGTCTCCTGTCCTGCTTGCGTCGAAGGTGACCTCCCACAACCCGACAAGATCATCAAAGCTTGCGACGTACTCAGGACGGACCACCTCTGTGATGCCGAGTAGCAGTCCTTTGAATACCGATCGGAAAGCGAGGGAAGAAGCTACTGTGACCTCAAAGTGCGCCGAAGAGGAGTCTGGTGCCAGGAAGGGGGAGAGAGCCATGGACTTCATTGCTGGGAAGAGGCCCATCGCCGGTGTGAAGGCTGCAGAGGCTAATCGAGTCCAAATGGGGGGGCCGCCGTCTTCTGGTGTGATGACTTGCGCAAGGTCGCTCAGGTGAGGCGGAACGTCATCTTCTAGAGCGTCGTCGAGCTTATGGAGGACGAGAGCCCAGGCGAGGAGGATGGGCGCTTTTGCTGGGTCTGCGGAGGAGGTTGACTCGAGAATCTCTAGCGCTTGATTGAGGTGTTCGGCACTCTGCCAGATGGAGCGCTGCTCTGCTGCGCTGGTATCGTCTGGTGAAGGGAGTTGATAGCCGCCCATTGCCGCTTCGAGTTCCAGCGACTCCACAGCGATGAACGCAAGCATCTGCTGTACGCATCCGAGTAGCTCCACGGATTGCGAGTCAAAGAATGCTTCGTTGGCCTGCTGTTGTCCCATGCTCGTCTCTTGTAGTAGAGTGAGCACCGCAACCACTACATCTGCGGACGGGCTGAGTCGCGAGTAGTAGAGGAGGAAGACCACTTCCAGTAATGCGAGCTGCTGACGAAGGCCATGTTTCGCCCAGTAAGGCGAGTAGCGAGGCGAGTCGCGTATCAAGGATGGAAGAGGCGTAGAGGTGTGAACCTTGATCCGCGAGAGGCATTCCCGGCCAAAGGTGGGCGTCGCAATCGAGGGTAGCAAATCCTGCGCGACACGATAGTAATCGTGTTCGGCATCGTCTGCAATGCGCAGCAGAGCAGCGACGCAGCGAGTGATGTGTAGCTCCTCTTCGAACAAGAAGACGGTGAAGGCATCCAGAAGCTCGGCGACGGCTTCGTCCGCGAGGGAGGAGCGGCCTTTGCGCTTGGAAGAGGAGGAAGGTGCTCGCGAGGCTACAAGAACGTCTAGGCTGCGATCCTCGCTGTCAAGGAAAGAGCGCAGGAAGGTGAGAGCGACCACCTCGTCGAGGTCGTGACGGCTGCTGATATGCTCGACGAGATCGCGGATATCATCATCGATGCTGAGTTGCTGGCCTGAGACGGTGATGGACTGGCCCGCCAGCTTGGATTTTGATGCTGCAGATGCCTTTGGAAATGCCTCACCGCACCTTGACAGTTGATCGGATCGAGAGCGCAGGATTGCGTGAATCTCGGCACTAGATTGCGCTTGTCTCGTAGCATCGAGGTGCTCGAAGAGGTGACGATATGAGCTGCGCGTGAGACGAGGAGAGGAGCAGTAGGTGGGTCAGCAAGAGCGAAGCTGGTAGCCAGGACCGATTCGGATTCGCGACTCACTAGGTAGCCAGGTCAGGAACCTCTGGCCGTGATGAAGGGCCAGCCTCGGTGGACTCAGGCATCGCGGCGTGACTGTATGCGATGAATGGATCGGCACGATGTTCTCGAGTTGTGGGTGTTGCTTTTCTGGCGCGGACAGAGACAGACAGTCGCCAAGACGGAACGGACTCAGCCAAGTCGACCTCGACGACGAGGGCGGACAGAGCAGCGTGCGTCTCGAGTCGAGTCTTTGAGGTGAATCCGAATGTCGTGAGCCGCTTCATCCTTCCTAGCCATCGTATATGCTCGCGAGGACCATCAAAAGAGCGATCCACACTCCCAGACGACGATATCCCACCACCCTTTGCATCTATCCTACATCTCACAGGCTCGTCGCCTCGTTTCACTCGACTGCGTTTCCCTCCCTCGCAGCGTGCTCCTCGTCTTCCCTCAGGATGGCCGTCGCCAACCCGCCCGTCGACGGCCAGCCGGCTAGAGCTCAGCAGCCGCCATGGCACATTCCTGAAAAGATCGAAAAGGAGCCGCAGCTGATGGTCTACAACTCGTTGACGCGGACCAAGGTACCCTTTGTGCCTATGAAAGGGCGACATGTCACCTGTGAGAGCGAGATACGAGATGCGATTGCAAAGATCTGAGTCCTTCTGACCGACAGGCCTGACCCCTCTGTGCCTTCTTCCACTTGCTCAGGGTACAACTGTGGGCCCACTGTATACGACGCCTCACATATGGGACATGCCCGCAACTACGTCTCGCAAGACATCATGAGGAGGATCCTCGAGCATCTCGTGCGTTAGCAACTTGCCCCGATCCACACCTGTCAAAGACTCATCCTGACCTCATTTCCCTCTCCGTTCCATCACTCGCAGGGCTACAGCATCCACTTCGTCATGAACATCACGGACATTGACGACAAGATCATCGTCCGAGCACGACAGAATCACCTGGTCAAGGAGTTCCGCTCACAACATCCTCACCTCACCCCAGCCCTCCTGTCCGAAGTCAAGACCTCCTGGTCAGCGTACTTCGACAAGACGCTCCGTCGCTTCGCCCCTCCTCCACCACCGGAAGAGGTCAAGCAGCTGCCAGGTGGCAAGGTACCAGAAGAGGCAGCGTGGGAGGAAGTGAGCAGGCGGTACATCTCAGACGAGAAGTGGCGCCAGGAGACGTCGATGCAAGAGCCAAAGCTGGGAATGTGGTATTCTGCCCTCGACAAGTCACGGCAGGCGATCATTGCTGCAACCATGTCAACCACAGCGTCATCCCTCGACTCGTCAGCACCAAAGGAGTCCACCGCTGCGCTCGTCGACGCGTCACTCGATCTCCTCTCCTCGTCGCTCGACGCTGCGCACGGCCATGCGGTCACCGACCCCTCAATCTTCCGCAGCCTCGCCGCATACTGGGAAGAGGCCTACTTCAAGGACATGCGAAAGCTCGGCGTGCTCAAGCCTGACCAGCTCACGCGCGTGAGCGAATATGTGCCAGAGATTGTCGAGTTTACAGAGAAGATCATGGCGAATGGCTTTGCGTACAAGGATGAGAGGGGCAATGTGTGGTTCGATACGAGGGCTTTCGATGGAGCGCCTACGGGGGAGAAGGAGAAGCACTCGTATGCGAAGCTGGCGCCTTGGAGTAAGGGCAATCGGGAGCTGCTCGAGGAAGGAGAAGGCGAGTAGACGCGGCGCCAGCGCAACCACTATGCTGTCATTACTGACATCCCCCTTCTCAATCCCCACGCGCTAGGCTCACTCTCCACCTCCTCGGCCACCACCTCGGGCAAACGCAGCCCTAGCGACTTCGCGCTCTGGAAGACGTCCAAGCCCGGCGAGCCCAGCTGGCCCTCACCCTGGGGCTCCGGCCGCCCAGGCTGGCACATCGAATGCAGTGTAATGGCCTCCTCCGTCCTCGGCACCCGCATCGACGTCCACTCTGGCGGGGTAGACCTCATGTTCCCTCATCACGACAACGAGCTGGCCCAATCTGAGGCATGCCATGGATGTGCGCCTTGGATCAACTACTTTTTGCATACGGGTCATCTCCACATTGAAGGCTTGAAGATGAGCAAGAGCTTGAAGAACTTCATCAGCATCGAGGAGGCCCTACAGCGCTTCACCGCACGGCAGCTACGCATGGCCTTCTTGATGCAGCAGTGGAGTAGCCGCATGGACTTCAGGGAGGCGAGCATGAACGAGGTTCGAAACGCCGAGGAGCGTTTCAACAACTTCTTTGCGACTTGCAAAGCACACGCTCGTCAGGCGGCAACGAGAGGACCGGCCTTTTCGGATGGGCACCACCATTACGCCGAGGGGGAAAAGGCGCTCGTTTCTCAGCTTGGCGAGGCGAAGCTTGCTTTTCATGCGGCACTCTGCGACTCGTTCGACACGCCGACCGCCGTCAGCGTACTGCTGGACGTGGTTTCGAGGGCAAACACCTACGAGAAGGAGGCGCGAAAGGCTGGGGTCAACGCCGAGGTGCTGGATATGGTTGGGCGATGGGTCGGGGACATGCTGAGGATGTTTGGGCTGGGGCACGGCCCTGTGTTCGAGGGACAGGTAGGGTGGGGAGAAGATGGAGCAGGAGTCGCGGATCAAGCTTCAGCAGCAGCAGACTCGAGTGCGGCTGGTGGAGTGGACCGAGAGTCTTTGCTCATGCCCTACCTCGAGGCCTTGTCCGACTTCCGTTCCTCAGTGCGTCGTCTGGCACGACAGGGCGCTCCTCACTCTGAGCTGCTCGCTCTGGCGGACAGGTTGCGAGACGAGGACCTCGTCGACCTAGGCGTCGCACTGGAAGATGCGGCCGAGGGCAGCAGCAGCGCAAATGGTACCGAGGGGGAGCAATCACAACAAAAGGCAATGGTCAAGCTCGTTCCCGCAGCGCAGCTGAGAGCCGCTCGCGAAGAGAAGCAGCGTATCGTCCGCGAGAAGGCTGCTCGCAAGGAGGAGGCAGCAAAGAAGGCTGCAGCTGCCCGTCTCGAGAAGCTGGAGCGTGGTCGTGTTTCTCCTGCCCTCATGTTCAGGCCGGTGAGCGAGGGCGGGCTCAAAGCGCACGATGGGCTCTGGAAAGAATGGGACGAGCAGACGGGTCTGCCGACGAAGGATGCTGCAACGGGGGCTGAAGTGGGGAAGAGTAGAAGGAAGGGCCTGGAGAAGGAGAGGGCTACGCAGGTTAAGTTGCATGAGGAGTACCTCAAGGCGAAGGAGAAGGGTGAGGTGGAGTAGGTGGTTTGGAGACGAGCGAGAGGTGGATGGTGATCTGCGTATGTCATTGCCTGCCAGGGTCACCTCAATAAAATCCTTCGTCCGATTAGAAGAGCGTGTCTTCATCTCTCAGATATTCTCCCACGTCTCTGCAAAGCGGTCAAGGATCAGTCGCACGTTAGCTCTCATCTATCTCTCGCCTCTTGTCTCGTCTCGCTCGCCGCACTCACGCCTGATGAAACACAATGATACTCGTCGGGTCCAGCTTCCTTGTGTCGACCGTACTCCTCGCCGTTACACCGAATCCAAGTGGGGTCCCACTCATGCTCAGCACCACGACGCCCGCATGCTCGGGCGTGTCGTCCGTAATACGACCCAGGTGGGCCTTGACGACGTGGCCGCCGTAGAGGAAGGGGAGCTCTCCGTTCGGCTTGATCCAGACTTTGTGCTTTGCGTAAGTGGATAGGTAGTCCAGAGCCGTGATGTGTAGCCGAAATCTGTCGAGTGAAGCAAGAATTCAGCAACGAGGAGTGGGAGCATGAAGACAGGCGAAATCCAGGTACTCACTTATTCCCGCTCTTACTGAACTTGCCCAAACAAGTGCCTAGACTACAAAGCTTCTCCCTACTGACCGCACCTGCAAGCTTCATTGCCATCTCATCCACGTAATACACCCTATCCCTGTGCAGACGGAAGACGAATTGGCCCTTGCCCTCGCTGGCATCATCGTCGTCGTTTTCGTGTGCGCGAGAGGAAGAGGAGGCCTCGCCTGTAGAGTCGACTAGGTGGACGACATTGTTGCCGATGTAGTGAGCGAGCTTTGAGAAGACGAGACGTGTCTCGTCGTCTGTCAGGGGACGCATGGCGGGAGATGAGGGGGAGAGGAGGAGGACGGAGGAAGCGAGATGCTACTAGTGGTTGGAGGAGCTGCAAAGGGGTGAAGGCAGCGATCAAGGAGGAAGCAGAGGCCAGAGACTGCCGCTGCTGGGTATGAAAAGAACAAAGACTAGGAGCCTGCTCTTCGCTGACTGTATGCAGCAGAAAGCGGTGGGGGCTGCGTCTGGTACAACGGCGATGACGAGGAGCAAAGTAGTGGACAGATGCGAGAAGGAAGTGGCTGTCCCGTCCCGCCTTGTCGCCAAAATTCAACCAAGACGGAACAAGAAGTGAGCCGAGCGACGGGCAAACCACGTGGCTTTCGGTCAGGCGCAGGCGAAGGGGTGAGAGTAGCGCGTCGTTCGAATTCAAAGGCGTCTAGCTGAAGAAAGGTCAGAAGGAGGTAGTGGGTGAGGACGAGGCCAGAGAACCTCAGTACCTCGTTCAGGTCAAGGCAATCGGAGAATCAGGGGAGAAGAGGTGGAATTGGGGCGAAGCCCTCCTAGCCGGCTTGTAATGTGAGGATGTCGCTACTGCTGATCCTAGCCTTGATGACGTGCGCTTCAAGGGCAATACCAGCTTCACGCTGGAAGCTCAGTACCTGTCGCACCCAGACCTAGCTACCACAAGCCTCCCTGCAGAGGCCCAACTTGCTCCATGCTCGGCCTGCCGGCATGATGCCCCTGCTCGCTCCGTTTAATGACCTCAACTTCCTTCCCGCCGTGGTCGTAGCGATGACCCTCGTACTCGAGGCGATGCAGCTGAAGGTCCTTGGGAACTTTGAAGCCCTCCGCTTCGAGGTATCGTCGGATCGTTTCGAGCCAGTCTGAGATGAAGCAAGCGAGAAAGTGTGAGCGAACGGAACAAGCAAGTCACGCCTACGTCGCTGGGAGTCTCCGCGACGCTCACTTTTGTAATTGAACTCGAACCCATCATCACCGCTGGTATGGCCGCCAGTGATGTTCTCTGATAGCAAATGAGGGGAGAGACACATCGAGTCAGCCCCAACCCGCTTCTTCATCTCGCCGCATACACTGACCGAAAGGAGGGGGAAGGGAGCTCTCCTTCTTGCTGGCAAAGCTGTCCCCTCTCTTGGCCGTATCCTTTCTGGGTGGCATCTTAGCCTCAAAACTGCTACTGGTCAGCTCGACTTTCATTGGACCGCCACCTTTGCCCCCTTCATTCAGCGTGTTGTCAAGGGCATCGCTGTCACCGGGCCCCTTCTGGTTGACGTAGTCCCCGTTGCTCATCGTGTAGCGTACAGCTTTGTACACCTCACCGTCATGATGCCACGCCGTGCCGTCTGCGAATTTGTTTGAGCCCGTACGTCCGTCGGTGAGGCATTCCTGAAGAGCGTCGCTGATGCGGTCCCAGCAGTTGGGCAGGTTGCCCTGGGAGTCAGAGCCAAAGTAGATCCCGATGGGGCCGGGGCAGTTGGTGACCCAGGTGGCATGGGGACGACCAGCGTTGAAACCGAAGGAGGAGGGAGAGCTGCAGACGCGCTTGCGAACTGGCGGTGCCGCGATGAGGTGGTGATAATGATGATAGCGCAAGCGAAGCGGTAGATGGCGAGGGAGTCAGCATTCAGCTCGTCTGAAGTCAAGATGCTTTTCTCTTGCACGGAGGATCACTCACGATCCCAAAGTCTGTCCCAGCTCAAAAAGCACTGTCCTGAGTTCCCAGCATTGGGATGGTGGCAGTAGACGCCCTCTCTGGCCCTGGGAGCGAGTTTTACATCTGTACCATTGATGTCCTGAGAACGCTTAGCGACATGCCCGCTGTCACCATCGCTGCGGTCGTCGACAACGGCGGAGTCAAAGTTGCCTGCGGTAGGCTCATACTGTTGGGTGGGAAGGGCGAGAGCGACGCTGGGGATGCAGACTGCCAGGCTGAGTAGGAGGGTGACGGAGAGGAGAAGGGAAAGCCAAGGAGTGAACAGGGAAGAGCGACAGGTGAGACGCATGGTAGGCCAACGTGGTTTGGACAGCGGGTAGCCTAGTAGTGTAGTGTGGTGGCGGGAAGGGGCAGTGCTCGACGTGGTGCGAGCGAGCGAGCGACAGAGGAAGATGCGGTGGCGGCTCGATAGCGATGAGTCGTCGAATCCCGCGTCGGCTGGTGAGGGGTGATGTCAGAGGGGGTGATGTCAGAGGTCAAGTTGGGGACCAGGCGGGATGGTAGTGGTGGTGTCGATGAAGATTGGGTGATCTTCAGTATAGTCTGACAAAGTGGGAGCCGTAGTGCGGCGCGTTGTAGCAGGGTTTGAGCCGTGTGTCGTGGGAGCGACAGGCCAGAAGGGGCTCGGTGCTGGTAGGGGCTGGTAGAGTGGGATGGGAGCGAAAGGGCGGTTGTTGTGAATAGAAGGGAGGAAAGAAGGCGAGAAAGGCAAAGCAAGCGAAGTGATCAGCCGTTGAAATCGAGCGGACCCCACGACGGCGCCATCGAGTATTCGGCCGGTCAGCAGCGAGAAGAGCTCGAGCAAAGGGACAGGCGCGCCGTTGCGCGAGTGACGCCCCGCCAATGGAGTCTGCATTCACTTAGGTTGCGCTTGCTTATCGAGCTTCACTGGAGCCAGGGACGATGATTGAGACGCTGTACCTTTGAAGCTGCTCGGTACGGTCCAATCATTCAATGGCATTGGCAGAGCCATCAAGAAGCAGGCGCGGCGAGGCGAGCGGCCGCCGCGAAAGGCGAAGCCGCGAGCGCATGAACTGTCCCTGCCGGCAAGAGTGTGCCTGACTCGATTCACGGAGCGTGATCAGCGGCTGTGAAGAAGCAGACCGATTGTCTATCGACAGCCATCTCGCGATGATGAAAGGTAGGATATCAAGTCTTCATATTCACTGCGAAATGACGGAAAGGACCTCGCGGTAGATGAGGGCAGGGATGTGAGGTGCGTGTAGACAGGGGCCACTTGAGCTGCAAGAGTTGAAGAATGTTCGCCGAACGATAGGGAGGTGAGGAGACGCGAAGCACCGTCCACGGCTGAACTACGAGGCTACGGTCTTCTCCTGAGCCCCCTTCGTCGTTGCGCTTTGCTCTTGCGGCGCTGTTGTCTGTCCAGTCAAGCCATTCTGAGCAGCGTCTTGGACAAGCTTGTCCTCCTTCTTGTTATCCTCGGCATATTGGGGAGCCAAGGCAGGAGCAGGCGTTGCGCCATTGCTGCGATCCCCGTCACCGTCACCGAGGCGCTGCGCCTCAGCCGTCTTCTCCTCATTAACAAACCCGTTGTGCTTATCCTTGTTGGCATCATCGCCAGTACCGCCTGACTTGAGCTTCTCTGCGCCGCCTGAAGCCGCAGTCGCGGCCCCTCCTCCACCGCCTGCTGCCCCTCCCTTTTCACGCGGCTCGTCCTTCCCCGTATCGGCCACCTCCCTCCCACTTCGCCCTCTCCAGATACCATCCTCGTCCACCCTTCCATAGACGCCCGTGCTCTGGTTGCGCCTGAGTGCGCGGTCCCACTCGTCCACAATCTGCCTCGAGTCCACACAGACGTTGATCTCCTGCGAGTGGAACCAGCTCTGCGTGTCCATATTCCCTGACCCAAGGATAGCCACTTGCCCATCAAATGCAGCGTACTTGACATGGCAGTTCCTCTGCTTGCGCACAGCATTAAGAGGACGGGTCATGTCTTTGCCCGTGTACCAGAAGACTTCGAGGTACTTCTCGTCTCCCTTGCCCTCACGCCTCAGCTGGCGATAGAGACGCGTGACGACTTGCTCATTTGTGCCTCCTTGGAAAGGCATGGACTCGGACTTGTCGTTGAATCCCAAGTCGAGCCAAAGCTCTACGCGTACGTGCCTCCGCGCCGCAGCGAGCACGGCGGCCTTGATCGGCGTGGCGTTGAGGGTTGGAGATTGGATGAAGATGTGGTGCTTTGCGTAGCGGAAACCTGCAAGCCAGGCGGCATCCTGTGGATTGCGAATGTCCGAATGTCCCGGAGTACCGTGTGGTCTGCGGTTCATAAGCGCCATGGGGACGGGCTGGTGCGGGGCGTGGAAGACATAAGGGCGGAAGTCAAGCACGTCTGCCGCTCCCTCGGCGAAAGCCTCAATGTCGGCCGTCGTGGCGGAGGGCATCGTGGTGAGGTCATTCTTGCTTTCTGGGGTGGGAGGGACCGCAGACGAGGGAGGAGAAGGCGCTGCTGCAGCCGTTGACTTGCTGGCGCTGCTCTTCTTGCCACCCATACGGTTGCCCATCGCAAATGCCAACCCACTAGCTCGTCCTCCACCTTCTTTTCCACCATTCGCCTCGCTAGCTGCAGTCTTCGAGTACTTGCTCAGCTGCTCAGCCTTAATCTCCCCCTTCACCTGGCTCAAATTCGCAAAGTCCAGCGACTTGGTAATCTGCGCCAGGCGCTGAGTTGCCGAAGAGCGCGAGAGATTTGAGAGAGTGCGCTTGTGCTGCTGGCGGTAGCCTACGCTTCCTGGTGCCCCTTCATTCGGGTCGGGCACAGCCAGCTTGGTGGCCATGGGTTCTCGGTCCCCTTGCTTGGCCTCGATTGCAACTTCCTTCTCTTGCTCGGCGCGAGACGCTTCCTTTTGAAGGTCCTTTGGTGGAGAGGAGGGGGAGGAGGGAGACGTGGCGGCGTCGTGTTCTTGATCGCCGACGACGGTGTTGCTGCGCTCGGAGGGCTCTGCGACTCCATTGAAGGACGTCGTCTCCTCAGTGACGACTCGAGGGATGGAGATGTCTCTGCGGCCGGTGGGCGGGGCGCTGACAGGCGGAGCAGCTTGACGTTGCCTGCTCTCTCTGCTTCTGTGCACCTCTTCGGCTACGTTGCGGCTGGAGGAAGGGCCAAGGCCAAGGGTATCGAGAGCACCTTCTGCCCAGAGCGCAGGCTTGATGCCTTCCTTCTTCATGTACGCCTCGACATAGTCGGCGAGATGGCGACTTCGCTGTCCCTGCATACCAGCGCTCGAGGACGCAGGCATCGAAGGCGATGTAGGTGCGCTGCTACTGCTGCCGCCGCCCGCCGTCTGTCCCATCTTGACGGGAGGCGCAGCATCTGCAACGGCCGTCTGCGTAGAGCTGGCTTCTGAGGGTTCCGCGCCAGCAGACGGGCCATGCCATCGATCGCCAAGCACCTTTGCCGCCCACTTCGCACCAGCCATCCTTGCAGCCCTCTCAGAGTCTTCACCCCCTCCTGCGGCGCTGCCCGACTTGTTGACTGCATTTGCGTCCGCGCTAGCTCGTCGTCCCATGAGCGCTTGGACAGCACTGCCGCCACCACCGCTGCTGTTGGGTCCACCCTCGCCTGCGTTGCTCTCTGCACGCTGCTTCATCATGCCCTCGACGACGTCTGCAAAGCTCATACGACGTCCGCCAGAGAGACCTAGGCCATGCGCCTGGTGATGTCTCTCCTCCTCGGTCTCCTCGTCTTCCTCATGAAGCCTTTGCCTAGCCTGGCGAGCGAGGAGGCGTAGCTTCTCCTCTGACATTTCTGGGAGGCTCCCCTCTGTGCCCTGCACGAATGCCGAAGGTGATGGCTCCTTTGGCGAAGGGGTATTGAGGCAGGGGAGGGGCGGCTGAAGTGCATTCCCCCAGGAGATGAGGGCGTGGTCGTAGATGGAATTGACAATGTCTCCCTCCAGCCTCGTGCAAGCTTCCACATTGGGACGATCCTGGATATTGTTCGAGTTGATGAGGGCCACTTGCCGGTCAACGAGAAGTAGTTTCGCGTGGAAAGTGCCCATGAGCGGTCGGTGATAGTTGAGAATTTCCATGTCGAGGTGGGGGATCTCATCTTTGCGGGGTAGACCATTGCTCTCCCACATGCTGGGCGGCACAGGCTTACGACAACGAAAGAGATCGGCGAGAGTCTGCGGTCCTCGATCCCACATGACCTTGACCACGATCTTCTCCAGCGGAGCAGCCTGCGTCGTCGCCGTGCCCACGGGCAGATCCTTCTCGCTGGCCTTCTTTGTCTGGCCTGCCTGAATCCTCTCTCCCACACGCTTGCTCAGCTCGCGAAGGGCGTCGGCGATGCGTTGAACATTCTTACCGCCTTGCCAGTAGTTTGTGAGGAGGATGACTTCGCGCTTGGCGGCGACGATGCAGTCGCAGTAGTGCTCGATGATGTCTGGTCCAGTAGAGAAGATGGAGCAGGGAACGATACCTGTTGTGGCTAGTAGAGGAGGCGAGACGACACCTGACATGGGGTTGCGGGGAAGGGGCAGGATGGCATCTGCCAGAATCTGTGCCGGGAATGAAGGGTCGAGAAGGGTTTAACAAGAGGTCTCGACGTGCTCGTCTGACTCTCCCTCGTCTGCTCACCATCAAATACAGCCTACTCGGCCCACCCTCACTCTCTTTCTTGTACCCAAATCTCTTCCTTACAGCCTCCAACTCCTCATCATCCGGCTCCTGATTCTTGACATGCGTCGCGCCATTATGCCAGTTCCAGCTGGTCCCTCGACCCTCCTCGAGCTCAGCCTTGATCTTGAAGCGTAGAATACCACGACGATATGCGCGAGGCAGAGGAAAGAGGCGCGCAGCTGCGATTGTAGGCGGCAGTGTTGGGTCGGCAGCTACAGCAGAGGTGATGGTGGGCTGTGCTTGTGCAGCGACTGTCGAGGACGCAGCCGCATGGGCCTCGGCGCCTTCTCGCGTCGCCTTGTTGTGGCCGCCGAGCGTCATTGCGGCGATAGCGTTGACGTGGTGATGATGATGATGATGGCGCCTGAGCTAGATTGTGATTGGAGTGATGGTAGACAGTAACAATGCTACTCCGCCTTGTGGTTCTCAGTCTCAGTAACCTCCGAGACGCGCACGGTGGTGGAGCGAGGCTAGATCCTAGGAGTGGAGCGATGGCTAAGATCGACGAGCTCGATGTCGACGTCCGCGAGTAAAGAGGAGCCTGGGCTCGTATTGACAGGGGCACGAGGGTAGCGTACGATTGGCGGAGAGATATGATAGTAGTTTAGAATGGAATGAATGAATGGACCCTCGCGCTCGCTCGCGGTTCGTCCTGTCGATCCATTCCCGTCCATCCTCGACTCTCAACTCGAAAGCGGTGCAGTCACTCGGACTTGCCCGCCCACGCCCACGCCCACGACTTGCTGCTTGCTGCTCCTCGCCCCTCTCCGCGTAGACCCACTCGACCATCGAGGCTCGACGCCGGATGGACGCCCCGTTCTTCGCTTTTGGCTTCATGCAGGGCCGCTCCAAGCGGCAGGCTCGCGGGCCCCGGGCCGCCGGTGAAGAGAGGCTGGCCTAGTCAGTCGCGCACGACCGACGCGACGTCATGATAGCCTCGTCACAGCCATTCCTCCTCGATTCAGGAGATCTCAAAAGCTGTCACGGGATGAGTGATCAACGAAGGGGGAAAAGGCAGTTTCAAATATAGAGTGGGATCGTGGAGTAAATCATGGTCTAGTCGAATGGGACATTTTGAAGGGCAAGAGGACAGATAACTCTGATGAACAGTGAAAGAGGTGGATGTAGACGAGGGCCAGGACGAAGACGATTGCGGAGGATGAGATGTGGAGGTGTTGGTTCGTGAGATGAAGTGAAACTGAAAGGAACTGTCCTACAACAAGCTAGCTAGAAGCGGTGACAAAACACATTGAATGCGGGAAGGGGCGTTGCCCAGCAGCGCACCTCCTCTACTTCCAGGCCTCTGGCTCTGAGCTCGCAGCTGTGGCATCTTTTCTCTCTGACGGACGCACGCCTAAGCCGAAATGCTAGCCTTGTCGACGCCCTCGGTCGCCTCTGCCACAGCCGCGTCGCTGCCGCCGTTCGTCGTTGATGCCCCATTGGCAGGCGCAGCACCGCCCGCAGCGAGAGCGCCGCTAGCCTTCCTTCCACCACCCCAAGCGCCAGTCGGCGGAGGGCTCTTGGCCTTGGCGGGAGCAGCAGCAGCGGGGGCGGCAGGAGCAGCCTCAGTGCTGGCCGCGGTTTCAGCACCCGTAGCAGCAGCGATCGCGTTGCCTGCAGGCGGCGAGGTAGGTCCAGTCCTATCCCGGTCAACCCTGGGCCCCTTGGGCACATCCTTCATCGCCTTTTCCTTTTCTGCCTTGACCTTCTCCTGCTCAGCAGCCCTCTGCTCCCTTTCCTTCCTCAGTCGCTCATCAATAGCACGCTCCCTCTCAGCATTGTCCACAGGCTTGGCCGTCCCGAAGGGGTTTGACTTGCTGCTTGATGACGGGGTCTCCGTTGCGGGCGTGGCAGAAGCAGCGGAACGAGGCTTGAGGTCGAGCTTGCGGCGCTCAGTAGGGGCTGGAGGGCTCATAGGAGCCGCAGACGGGGAGGGAGCGGCACGAGCGCTTCGCCACGAGTCGGCACCGTCACCAGGTCCCGCAGAGAGGGGAGCAGCGCCGCTCGCCTTTCGCTCGAAGCCACCACGGGGCCCACGAGGCGTGTTGTTGCTCATTGCGGGGCTCTCTGGAGGTGTAGCCTGGAACTTGGAGCCGAAGCCCATGCGCTCCTGAGAGGCGTACTTCTCGTCGACGTTGGTTGCGTCGCCGCGCATTGAAGGGGAGCGGTTGGCGCCAGAAGATGAGGGTGCACCGTCCGCTGCGGGACCGAAGCCGGGGCGACGGGATGGAGGACCTTCCATGGGCTTGCCAGTGCGCCAGTCTGAGGCGACTTCACCGCGAGTAGGCTCGAGAGGTTCAACGGGTGGGCGGGGACCCATACGAGATGAAGGACCGTCACGAGGGCCGGCTCCAGCGCCGAAGCCACCGGGGCCACTGCCAGCACCAGCGGGCGAAGCCTGGAAACGGCTGCCGAAGCCTGATCGTCCACCTGCTCCGACCTCCATGTTATCAAACCCACTCGGTCCATCACCACGAGGGGCGCCGAAGCCAGAGCGCTCACGTCCTCCCATACCCGGTCGAGAGGAGGCAGCAGGCTCAGAGGGAGGGAGAGGGCCTGCTCGCCTCCATTGCGATGCCTCTTCGGCAGCGCTTGAAGGGAATCCACCGCCAGGGCCGCCGGACTTGGGCGGCTCGGCCACGCCTACGCGAATGTTACGGCCTGCGAGGGACCCGCCGCTGCGGACGAGAGCTTCTTTGAGACCGTCGAGCTCTTCGAATTCAATGTAGCCGAAGCCCTTGGGCTTGCCGTCGCGGTCGCTAACGAGGCGGATGCTGACAGCCTGCGGGGGCGAGCATGGGGGGAAGGGAGAGGCGATGTCAGTCAGTCGCGGCGCTTCTGCATCCATCCGCATCCTCGTCGCCGCACCTTGTGAGGAGCAAAGTAGTCGGCAATGTCTCCCTCAGTGACATCGTACGATAGACTGCCGAGGAAGGCAGTGTAGGGTGGCCTGTCAGGCAGGGGAAGATCAGGACGAGGGGCGCGGTCCATCCCAGCACCGCCAAATCCACCGCCGCCGGCAGCCATCATCCTGTCACGCTCGGCGCGGTCGGGCACAGAGGCGAGGTAGTCTCCGCCGCGGCGAGCGCCTCCTCCGTAGCGATCATCTCTTGGGGCGGCTGCAAGCGTGAACGCATGAACGGGAAGAAGGATGATGAGCTGACTACTTCGCAGGGGGCGCGTAGATTAGGAGCGCGTCCGCTTCCGCATCCACTCACGGGCGATGGGGAGATCATCCATATCGTCTGCCCAATTTCCTGTAGACTCATCCTGGAGAAAGTCCGTAAGGGCCATCTTCTGTCCTTTCTTGGGAGCTGCGCAGCGATGGACGCGAGGAGGGAGGGCATGTGAGTGAGGACTGAGCCTCGACGCGGAGGACGAAGGAGAAGAAGAAGAAGGTGGCGCTTTCCTTGTCATCGTCTCCTCGCTGATGCAACTCACGCATGATGGGCAAAGAGATACACGAGCGTGTGTTGAGCTGCGTGAGTAGTCTTTTCTGGTTTGATGTAGTAGGCAGAGGTGCTGAATCCTTGCCTGGTGATTGATGGTAAGGTGAACAAAGCCTTCGTCCCTCGTCGTCTGGCCTTGGAAATTGTGTCCTCCTCCCTCGTGTGCGGTCGCCGCCGCCTTCCTGCTGCTCGCCCCGCCGCGCTCGCCGCGCAGATGGATTAGCGTCGCGAGCGAGGGAGCGAGCGGACCGTCCACTCGAGGTCAACTGGACCTCATCAAAAGCCGGGGCCGACGTGGAGCCACGAGCCAGACGAGAGGCGGCCGCGATGCAAGAGGCGAGTAGCCAACCAACACCTGCCTCCTTCCTTCGCAGCATCATCATCAGCTCATCGTAGCACAGCATCGCAGTCATGTCACTGCGCCCAGGCAAGGGCAAGGAGTCCCTCAAAGGCAACGACGAGCAAAGCAGCAGCAGCAGCAGCAGCGGTAGCGAGTGGGCGGCGCGAACAGCAGCCCTGCCTCAGGAGGACCGCATCTACGTCGACAATTCAAACCTCTCGGAGCTCAAGTCTACCTGTGATGATGCAGTCGAGAGGGTGAGACGGGCACAGAGACGCAATGCAAAGCCACATGCCAGCGTACTCACCTGCATCCTGTCACGCCCACGCCTACGCAGATCCTAACCCGACAAGCCAACTCCCTAGCCCCAGCCCCGACCCCCTCTCCCGTGCCAGGCGCTTCACCCACAAGTTCCACCACAAACTTACACGATGACGCTGCTAGTGGGGACTCATACCTCGACGGCAGCTCAGATGGAGCTGCGGCCTTCCCACCCTTCAAGGCTTCTCACCTGCACGCCGACTTGCGACTTGCATTGGGATATCTGGCCTCAACGATCATCATTGCCGTCTCGGCTTGGTCGTACCTTGTCGAGAAGGATTGGCAGAAGAACAAGGGCTGGACAGCTGTGGCTGTCGTCGCGTAAGTGGGCGCTAGACCGCTTTCATCAGACTGCTCGAGGTATAGAGAAGCTCACACCCATCCTCATCTCCCGTTGCGACAGATACATAGCCCTCTCCTCCTTGCAAGCCCTAGACGCCTATCTCCAAGGCGATCGCATCTTCACCGGTCGCCGCAAGCTCCTCTCGCATCGCATCGAAACCGAGTCCCTGATCATCTCCTCCCCTGCCCTCCCCAAGCCGACACTATCGTCCAACGTCGACTCGACGACGGGAAAGCATTGGATTATCCCGCCCACGTACTCGTTGGACTTCCAGTATGCGCGGAGGAGCAATGGTGGAAAGAGCTTGCTCAGACGGGTGGAGGACAGGGTGACTCTGGGACATTTGGGCGAGTGGTTCACTGGGGAAGGGGAATTCGTTGAGGCTGTCTTTGAAGAGAGATTGGTAGGGATGCTGCAGAAGGCGTGGGGATTGGAGGAGGGCGAAGGGGCGGAGCGGTGAACAAGTCATTGAGGGGGATTCGAGAGTGGTCAATTGCCATGTCACCATCAAGACTCGCAGCGCCTGTGGGCTATCGTGTATGCAGGCGCGGTCCGCTCGTGCGTGAAGAGGTCGATATTGCAGTCTCGCCCCCCTTCTTGAAGTACATATGTGTCGTCCCTCTGCTTGTCACCAAGCTGCTTCCTCATCTCTCACTATCTCCACATCAGTCCACCTCGACCACACCACCTGCGGCCTCAATCGCGGCCTTCAACTTCTCCAAGTCTTCCTTGTTCAGGCCCTCCTTGAGCGTCTGCGGTGCGCTCTCGACGAACTTCTTTGCCTCGACCAGGTTCATCGCCGGGTTGATCGCCTTGACCTCCTTGATGACCTTGGCCTTCGCCGAGGGGTCCTTGAGGGCCTTGAGCTTCAGGTTGAAAGTGGTCTTCTCCTTGGGCTTCTCCTCCTCTGCCTCGGCGGGGGCAGCGGCGGCGGCAGGAGCAGCAGGGCCCGCCGAGCCAGCTGCGGGGAGAGCGATGTCCTGGATATTAAGGCGTGTCTTCGAGCGAGAAAGAAAAGGCAGGATCGATATCATGTGTGTCAGAAGGATTCAATTTGTACTACGTCGGTGCTCGGGGAGTCTCGCTCACCTTCAAAAGCGACACGAGCTCGCTCGCCTGAAGAAGAGTCAGACCCTCAATCTGGTCGACGATGCCCGAGATTCTGGGATCTGAAGCTGGTGCTGCTGACGATGACGAGGCAGAAGCACCACCGGCAGGCGGCGGCGGTGTGGCAGGGTCCGAAGCAGGCGAGACGGCGGCTGAGGGCTCAGCACCCGTAGCGTAGGAGCGCGGCTTGAAGACCGGGGCAGCGGCGGCGGCGGTGCTGCGAAGTACTTGGCGGCTCGAGCTTGCGAGGGGCGTGGTGGCCGCTCGAAGGGATGAAAATGCTAGGCGGGCGGACATGATGAGGTGTCTGTGGTGGTGGTGGTAGTGACGGACGGATCGAGGGTTGAGTGACCGGGCGGAGAAGGAGCTGCTCGACTCGACTTGACGATATTCGCGCCTCAAGTCGCTCGGCACCGACACCCTGTTCCGAGCCACTCGGCCTGGAGGGTGAGATGAGGGCAGCTTTCTGCTTAGTCATCCAACAGTGGAGATGAGCCCCGACTTGAAGCCGGTCGATGACAATCCTCGCGTCGACCCCATTTTCCCTTGAATCCTTCATCCTTTTCGTCGCTACCCCACTGCGATGGGCCCTCGGTCGCTCACTGGGCCATCTTCGCCCCTCGTGGCAGCCAGTAGGTCCGCCTTGGCCGCCGGATCCTCCTCAGCCTCACTACCACGCCGTCTCGTCGTCATCGATCAGCAGCAACGCCGTACCTTCTTCGGACGCCTCTTTGGAAAGTCCAAAGCCAAGCAACAACAAGACGTAGACTCAGCCAACTTCCTTGGAGGACGCTCCAGTACACCCTCCAAACCTATCCTCGAGCAAGACAACCTCTTCCATCCTCTCTCCTCCTCTCCCATCCCCGCTCTTCGCCAAAGAGCAGAACGAATCAAACGCCTGGCGCCCTGCCCCGTTCATCTCCGTCGCGGTCAGCGCGTAGCAGTCAACTTTGACTGCCCAGAGTGTGGCTGGCCGACACACTACTCGGAGAAGGAGTGGGCCCAGGACTCCGAGCACGGCAGATATATCCTGCGGTTGCGCGAGGCCAACGAGGATGAGCACGACCTTCGCTCAGGGAGGGAGATGACCGAGTTCCGCATGCCTGGGCCGCAAGGATTCGAGGAGGCCATCAATATGAGTTCGTGGGACGTCTTCTTTTACACGAGGAACTTCCCTTCCATCGAGACGGAGCGATCAAGGAGGCACGTGAGCAAGTTGTTGACGTTCCCAACCACAGTGGGGGCGGTCCTGCACGAGAATAGTCCGTACACGACGAGGAACAGGCGATTGACGAGGGAGGGCATGCGAAGTTTTTTGGCTCTGAGGCAGATGCTGCACCCCAAGTTGGGGGCGAGGCCGAGCTTGGACTCGGTGAGGGTCTTTGTGGTGGGAGCGAGGGCGGAGAGCACGCTGCCGCCCAACATCTGGGATCAGCTACGCTTCATGTTCCCCGGAGTCAACTTCCACCTCTACTTGATCGGGCCAGAGGTCACGTTGCCACAAGATTCGATGACTTCCTCTTTCACTGCTGGCGCGGCGTCACCCGGCTCCTCCTCCTCATCATCCCCAGCCGTTACAGAGGAGCGACCGCATCGCACCCGCACCTCCAACTACGGCCCCAATGCACCAAGTCGCACGTTGGTCATCTCTGAGGGTCTGACTATGACCTTCATTCAATGCAACTACGAAGAGGTCCACCACCAGATGGAGCCCTTCGACCCGTACACGGACGTATTCTTTGCCTTTTCGCCAGGCTTTGGATTCCCGTCGCAGAGGGCATACGACCGACCGGTCAGCGAGGAGGACGATGCCGCAGTGTCGAGCAGCTCCTCTTCAACAGAAGCAGCGTCAGCATCAGCAGCATCAGCGAAGTCAGCACAGCAGCCAACAGAAGGCGGTCGCCTCGACCCGGTCGCTGCGCAATTCGAGTCGAGCCAGGAGACGGATACGGCTGCGGCCGCAGAGGCGCCACGCTCAGCGACCGAGAGGCTACCAAAGGCGGACGCGACTGTGTCTTATCAACAGCAAAAGGAGGAGCAGCGGGCGCGAGACCAAGAGGCAAAGGCAGCAGAACAAGACACATCGGCCTCATCCTCAACAGAGCCAGAGACGCCAGGCGCCCGCCCTTACTCCTCTCTTCCCACTCTTCCACCCCTCCTCCAAGCCCAATCCGAATGGGCGTCCGCCCTGACCTCAATGCTTTCCACCAAGTGCCCTCTAATCATGACGGGCTTCTCCCCCGCCGACGTGCGCAGGGACGTGGAGGCCTTCGAATCGGTAGAGGGGATCAGGGGAGAGTTTGAGTGGCTGATTACGCCTGGAGAGAATGTGTTCGGCAGCTTGAGTTGGAGTGTGGCCGACTTTGACACGAGGGTAGCTGTGAGGGCCAACTGGGGCGTGTGGGCCGTCAGAGGGAAGAGGTACGACTTGGAAGGGCCAGGGGCGTATGTGAACCTGAATCCATTCGTTGCCAAGCCAGCGGAGGAGGGGCAAGAGTAAGGGCGACTAGAGGGACGTAGTGGGCTGAGCTGAGCCTGAGCAGTTGCGGTAGCATGTCAATTCATCTGGTAACACTACGGCGGCTTGATCTTGATGATGTTCCATTAGAGTGGATAGGGAATTGACCACGTGGATGTAGCACTAGCGCTTCCTCGGTAGCCGGCGTCCCTGGCACGCCGATGGAGCGGCAGCGGCTCTTTTGGCCTTGTTTCCTTTCCTTCCCCGCACTCGCACTCGCTTTCGTCCGTTCGCCGCTTCTACGATGCAGCCGCCTCCCCCGCCTGCCCCGCCATATTACGGCGATCGTGGAGGCATGGCATACAGTGGACCTAGCGAAGCAGCATCGAGAGCATCGACCCAAGCTCAACAGCGAGGGGAGAATCAGGCGGGCCCTTCCTCATCCTCTGCATCACCGAGCTCATCTAGCAAGCCAGTGCCAAAGGTGTCTTGTCTCGAGTGTCGTGCGAGTAAGGTCAGTTCACGCGTGCCGCGATTCTAGCATGACGCCGATCCCAAATGACTCTCACAGCCTGATATATTCCAATATTGATGCTTCTCGTAATGCCACACGCTCGCAGGTGAAATGCCTTCCCCAGACAGCGCAAGATCCCCCCGGCTATCCCTGCGCGCGATGCAATCGCCTGTCCAAATCGTGCGTCTACGAGAAACACAAGCGCGGTCGCAAGCCAGACTCGGTCAAGTACGGCAAGCTAGAAAAACAGCTCGAGACGCTTTTGCAGGAGCTGAGGGCTGAAAAGGAGCGAGCGTCCAGCAGAGGAGGATCATCAGCCGGGCGTAAAGCGGAGCAGAAGGGCGGCAATGGCCAAGGCAGTGTAGGCCAAGGGGAAGGAGACGAGGATCTTGAAGACGAAGACGAAGACGATGACGACGACGAAGGTCCAGTAGCCAAGCGTCTTCGTACCGAGACGGCCGAGATTCTCACCAATTGGGGATCTTCGTCGTCCTCGCCTTCGCCGTCCACGCGATTGGCTGTCCCCCCAATCTCGACCAAGCCAAGGTTGACCTCCAAAGCAGGCCGCAGATCAGGTGGATCTACAGCAGGAGACGATGGCGAGGCGGGACGAGGTGAAGAGGACAGTCTACCCGAACCAGGAGCTCCACTGCTCAGCAACCCCTTGAAGCTCCTCGCCCAAGCCTCAGCAGGGGAAGACGATGAGGACGTTGTCACCGCCGCGGCTACACCAACGAGCGGCTCAGCCGCAGTCGCGCGCGGGCAGACTGGCTCGCACACCACCTCGCCGCCTCCATTTCACACCGCCGCTTCAAGCAGCGCTGCTCCCCGTCGCCCGCGGGATCGCCTAGGTCTCTACGATGCCAAGCCAGAGATCGGCCCGGATCTCGACCCCATCACTCTCAACCTCATCACACTCCCCGCGGCAAAACAGCTCTGGGCGTTCTTCCTCGAGAAGCTGAGTCACCCGCTCATTTTGCTCGACAGGTCCATCTACACGTTCGAGTACACAAGGCCACGCTCTGCCTTTCTCCTCTCCGTCGGCCTTGCTCTCGCAGCACGCCTTCACCTATCCAGCTCCAGCCTGCGCACGGCAGAGATTGCGGACAAGCTCGACGAGCACGTCCTCAAGGTGATCATCCCCGTGGTTCTCTTGGAAGGGAAGCGCTCGATCCATTGCGTCAAGGCCTTCCTCCTTCTCGCAGGCTACAACGGGCAATCCATCCCCCTCACACAGGACCGCTCCTTCAGCTACGTGACCCACGCCTTCAGCATGTGCGTCGAGCTCGACCTGAACTGCAAGATGGTCTCCACTTCCGCGGATCCCAACGACGAGGAGTTGCAACGCAAGCTCCGCGAGAGGGAGCGCACCTACTTCCTCGCTTGGACGTACTTCTTCTCCATCTGTCTCCATCACGGACGACATTGCTCGCTCAGCATTCACGATCGGGTCGTGGCGGCAAGTAATGATTGGCATCTGTCCAAGTTCGCTTTGCCGGAGGATGCAGGGTTGGTCTCCAATCTGCAACTACGCAAATTGATCAGCAGGAATCTCGACTACTACCATCAGCATGTGGCGCCACTAATGCCACAGGCGGGCGCCGCAGGTGGCAAGGGGAGCAGCGAGCCGGATGAGGCTTGCCGGCTACTCCTGGAGTTCCATCGCAAGAGCATCAATGAGGACCTCGATGCCTGGCACGCACAATGGGTGCTACCCCAGGTGGCTGCGGCATCGGCGGCCGCGGCGGCCGCTGGGAGTAGCAGCAAGAAGCAAGGCAGCACAGACAGCGTCACGGACACCGCCAGTGCTCCACTCCGCCTCCAATCCACAGCCTTCTACCACAGCTACGCGACCCTCATCCTCCACTCCCTCCCGCTCCGCTCCAACCACGCAGGCGGGCGAAGCACCTCAGCCTCCCCATCAGCGGACGAGGTCCTGGCCCCTTTTCGTCGAAAGGCAGATGAAGCTGCCCTCTCCTGCGTTGCCCTCTTCCTGCGCTTGCCCCGCGACCAGCTCGTCTATGGCCACAACTCTGCGTATGTCACCGTGGGATTCGCGGCCGTTCATGCGCTTCGAGCTCCGCATGGGACTTTACTTGGTGCAGAGGCGGGTGGGAGTGGGACGGCTAGCGCGGCGAATGCGGATGTGGATGTGGACGATGATCAGGTGCTGGGCATGGTGAAACGTGTAGTGGAGACGATGGAGGAGGCAGGAAGGGTGACGGAGCACAGGAAGGCCTTCGCTACCGGGTATGCCGTGTTTCTGAGGAAGCTAATTGCTATTCACGAGATGAGAAGGGCGAGGAAGGGTGGTAGGGCGGCACTGGCTGGAGGAGAGCACCACAAGGCGGGCCCAGCGTCGCAAAAGGAGGCAGTCTCAGGCCCCCAGCAACATCGACGCGACACAGTGATCTCTCGTCCCTCGGGCGCCTACGACGCGATGCAGCCTGCCGCAGGCCCCTCTTCTGCTCCCTCATCCGCCCCACCTGTCATGGGCCCCGCCAACCAGTTTGCAGCGGGCACGGAGCAGCACTTTGGCACTTCTACGGGGCAAGACTCATTCGATCATTCACGAATGGCATCCTACAATGGTAGCGGGCAGGGACACGGGCGTGGCCCAGGTAGTGGCGGTAGTCTCACCCCCTACTCGAGTGTCAGCAGCCACCAAGGGCAAGGGCAAGGGCAGGGCTATTTCCCGCAGCACCACCATCACCCAAATGCAAGCGCCCGAGTCGGGTCTCCCTCGCAACACTTCTTCAACAACTCCTCTTCATTCAACTTCGATCCCTCCACACTCGCCCCGGCCTCTTCTTCATCTGCCAATCTTCTCGACGAGCTCCTCATGGCACAACCGCTGGGCTTGCAATTCGACTCGTGGCTCGATGATTTGGGCGGGCTGGCAGCTGGTGCCGGAGGAGGAGGGATGGCCGGCACTGGATTCGGTGGCGGAAATGGGGAAGAGGGAGGCGCTGCCCCCAACGGCGGGCAGGCGGGGTACAATGGAGGCGGGATGTGACACTCTGAGAGCAGAGAGCAAGAGAAAGATCGACACCATACCCGCGCCTATTGAAGGCGCGTAGAGGCTACCGAGCAGGCGATTCTCGTCGTGCACGCTGTATTGCAGAGGCTCCACATCATCATTAGCAATGCAGAATTACCCGTCTTACATCTCGCCATTAGCACTTCCGTTCTGCTGCCCGTCCATCTTCATGGCCTTCTTCGGCGGCTCACCTCCCGCCACCGTGCCGGTCTCACACTCGTCTACGATCCACTGACACCATTTCTCCCACTCGCGCTCAAAGAGAGCCTCGTGCTTCCGTCGCGATCCGTCTCCGTGCGAATCGTCATCGTCGTCGTCGAGGCAGGCGTGCCGCAGCGAGGCGCGAACGAGGGAATAGAGCGAGGCGAGGGAGGCGGAGTAGGATGACGTGAAGTATTGATAAATGTCCTGCGAGCGGGCGAGTAGGCGACGCGAAAGGTCAGCAGCTCATCGATGCAACACGACTGCCCTCTAAATCTTCTCGCTCACGTAAGTCAACCCCTCATTCCCAAATTGAGTCGCATCATCATTGCTGAGCGCAACGTCCACGCCGCTGTTCAGCAGCACGGGCAGGGGATGTCCCGCCATGCATCCCGTATAGCCCAGCGCCTCGTTGCTCACGGGGCAGACCTCGATGCACACCCCTCTCTCTTTGCAGAGCTGGATCAAGTGTGGGTGACGAGCAAGGGAAAAGCCGTGACCTATACGTCTCGTGCCAAGGAGGAGAGCATCGTACAGATTGGAGTCGGCGGGGGAGCCGTCGAGGAGGGTCTCGCCTGCGTGAAAGAGGAAGGGAATCGAGAGACCGGTGGTGCGACACTGCTGCTGGAAGCGAAGTAGTCTGGGCGAGGAGATGGTCTGTAAGTAGCGAGATACCATAATCAATGACTCACGGCACTCACTCTGGCGCATACTCCTTCAGCGTCACTCCCGGGTCCTCATGTCCTACCAGATCGAACCCTACGATCAATCGCCCAAATTCCCGCTTGAGAGCTATGCAGTCATCAAGGTACCAGCGCAGCCTCTCTGGCGTGATGATTCGCACAGTGCAGTAGATGATCCTTGCATCGAGGAAGGTCTCGATCCCCTCTTCCTCTCTCAGTTCTCTACGCGCTTCTTGCATTGCCTCTTTGAAGACACGACACCATTCCGCGTGAGCCACTGGCGTCTTGCCATCCTCTGCAATATAATGCTCCTCGAAGAAGTTGGTGCGAGCCTCCATGTACTGCACGCCGTCCCTCGCATGCACCTTGCACATCTGCTTGAGGTAAGAGCGCAAGAGCGGCAGGTAGGAGACGAAACCTCCAATGATGCCAAAGGTGGAGAGGAAGCGGCTCCATGCTTGGCGGGAGGTGGCAGTCGAAGGGGAGCCGGTGGCTGGGCTGAGGGTCATGAGGGAGTGAAGGTACGAATCAAAAGCGGCGGCATTGCGGCTAGAGTTGGCGGACGAAGGGATGTCGATGCCTCGCGTATAGCCGGTAGGTGGCACTTCGTACACGTCTGCAAAGGGGAAGGTGGCTCGCGCCTCGTTGAGACTCATCCACTGTGTCGTCCCGTCATAATGGGGTGAGTAGACGTCCCCCGCCACCACGTCCTCCTTGGCCTTTGTCTGGAACTGCACACCGGCAGAGTAAAGCTTCTCCACCTTATCCAGAGCCTGATCCGCCCTCATGTGAATCACATCCCCGTACCTCTGTACCGCTTCCATGATAAGCCAAGGAGCAGGAACAGTCCCGTCCATATGGCAGTGCAGAGCTGCTCCCTTTGGCATGCGGGAGAGGATTCGCCAGGTCGACGTAGACCGCATTCCGCGAGCGAGGGCACCCCGAAAAGACATGCCTGGGTGGGCAGATGGGTCGTCGGGATTGTCATAGATGCTGGTACGCTCCGAGTCACGAATCGAGGAGAGGAGGGACGACGCCTTTTGCTCCAGGGGTGTAAGGGACGACGACTTGACCGAATCGAAGCGCAGTGACTGTTCTTGGGCGATTAGGGTGGAGCGCGATGCCCAGTATGAATGAAGTGCTTCATCCTTGACACCCTGAGATGATGATGAGGCTGCTGCGTTGCCATCTGCTGTCACGCTCGCTGCTGTGACCATACTGATCTCTTTGACAGCTGCTTGATAAGCGATGGATAGGAGAGGAAAAGGCAGGGAGGGAAAGAAGCGAGGGACTAGCGGAGGCGCTGCACGGCCTGGCAATGGGTCACACGACAGCAGGCCGGCCAAGGCGATCAATTGTCGATATCATCGACTTCGCAGGGAGCCAGCATCTTGTCATCGGGATGATTGTCAGGACTACTTACGACTGTTGCACTTTCAGGAACACCAAAATGTATCAATTAGCTCAGTGCGGGGACAGACTCAGGGAAAGCAATTTAACTCGTCAGCCCGGCCTGTTGGACTCGTGCCGCGTCGCGTCTTCGCGGGCGGAACCAGGCCGGAAACGTTGTTCTGACTTGAATCGCAACACCCACCTTGGCTTCTCGCCTCCTCACACCAGTCATTACCACCATGTCACAATCCCAATCACAGCCAACTCTGGTCCCAGATACGCCACCCGTACCATCTGTCCACTCACAGCCCCTAGTTGGCTCATACACATGGCGCAGCGCTATTCCCAAGGAGGCGAGAGGCGTGCCTTGTATCCTCGGCGTCGATGAGGCTGGACGAGGGCCTGTATTGGGTATGTAGCGGCCACGTCGGCACGAATTTTTCGTGACTTTCATCTGAACTATGCGCTCTTTGCAGGCCCGCTCGTGTACGGCATAGCCTACTGTCCCGCAAGCTTCTCCGACTCGCTCAAGTCAGTAGGCTTTGCAGACTCAAAAGCCCTAACAGCAGAAAGGAGAGACGCCCTCCTTGCGGCGCTCATCGACAACCCGGACAACCTGGGCTGGGCAACCCAGTCCATGTCCCCGCAAGACATCTCAGCGGGAATGCTGCGACGCCGTCCGCACAACCTCAATGCGCAGAGTACTGAAGCGACCGTGCAGCTCATTTCGGGGGTGCTGGAGGCAGGTGTGGATGTAGCCGAGGTGAGAGCGCCATCATACTGTCCAAGAGTCTCTCTTCTTAAGCTAACGTCGCTTCTCGCCTTTTCGCTCTCAGATATTCGTAGACACGGTTGGCGACCCCGCCACATACGCCAAAACGCTTCGCAGCTACTTCCCGCAGGCCAAATACAAGCACATAGAATGGACCGTCTGCTCCAAGGCCGACGCCATTTACCCAATCGTAGGGGCGGCTTCGATTGCGGCAAAGGTGACGCGCGACCGATGGGTCGAGGACTGGAGGTATGCAGAGCACGTGGAGGGGCCGCAGGGTGAAGAAGAGGGAGCGATAAAGAACGAGACTCAGGAAGATGAGGATGACGCCCTGAGGGAGGTGCTTCAGGGCCAGGCATCTGCTTCGTCGTCACGCTCGCCCTCCCCCACGAAGAAGGCTGCACCAACCAGCAAGAAACGCAAGCGACCTTCACCTACAGACCTTGCCGCTACCTCTTCCGATTCCATATCCTCTCGCGATCACTGGCACACTTTTGGCTCAGGCTACCCCTCGGACCCAAACACGGTTGCGTACCTGCATCGCACGCTGGACCCCGTCTTTGGCTGGCCGGGTATTGTGCGCTTCAGCTGGGCGACGGTGAAAACGCTTCTGGAGGAGAGGGTCAGAGCACCAGGCGCTGCGGGGGCAAAGAAGGCCGCAGCAGGTGGCAAGAGGGCATCAAGGTCTGCCTCGAGCAAGGCGCCAAAGCAGGAAGAAGGAGAGGAAGACACGCCAGATGGCGGCCCTGCTACTTTGACGACATCTGCGCTAAGCGCTACTGGCTCTTTGAATCCGCCACCTGGCCAGCCAAAGGGGTTTCGCGTCAAGTGGGCAGACGAGCCAGCTCAGATCACCAGCTTCTTTACAAAGGCGAAGGGAGGTTCATCAAGCACCGCGACTCCGGGTTCGTTCAGCATTGTTTCTGGGGGCGCAGCTGGAGCGAACAAGGCGGGGAGCACAGGAGGAGCCGGAGGCGCAGCAGCAGCTGGTCCTAGCGCAGCGACGAGTAGGGAAGACCATCTGTTGCGCCTGACCTGGAGGGCGGACGATGATGCGCTGCGTGGCTCTGCGAGGGTAGGCTCAAGTCTGCGCAGCATTGGGCCAGGAGTGCTGGGCTTGTGATGACAATGTGTTTTGCTTGCATTTGACCATCGACTTTAATTCTATGCACCCTCTCCCTTTTAAAGCCCAGCTGCCCTCCTCCTCATCTGCTCTACGCCTTCCCAGCGCCCAGCTCACCCTGAATACGCTCCACCTGCTCCAGCACAGCCCTCTTGCTCGTCCCGCCCGTCGCGTCGCGTCGTTCAACACTCTCATCAAAGGACCAGACGGCCTGCACGTCCTCCTCAAAGGCGGGCGAGAGGGTTTGGAGATCGGCGAGGGTGAGCGAGGATAGGGGCACCTTGCGCTGCTCTGAGAGGCGTACGGCTGAGCCGGAGATGTGGTGCGTCTCGCGGAAGGGGATCTGTGCATGAGGGCAGGGAGGTGGCGGTCAGCAAGGGCTTGTCAAAGTCCACGTCACCGCGCACGCTACTCACTCCCTTCCTAACCAGGTACTCCGCAAGGTCCGTAGCAAGCATATCCGGCGTGAGGGCCGCCCTCATCTTCTCCGGGAAGATGTTCATCGTAGCCAAGACTCCATTGGCGATCTGCAATGACCTCGAGACGGTGTCGACTGCATCGAAGAGGGGTTCCTTGTCCTCCTGAAGGTCCTTGTTGTACGTGCTTGGGATACCCTTGATGGTCATCATCAGGCCGGACATTTGGCCGAAGACACGTCCGGACTTGCCGCGGAGGAGCTCAAGAGAGTCAGGGTTCTTCTTCTGTGGCATGATGGAAGAGCCGGTGCTGCGGCACGGGTGACGACGTGAAGCGAGTGGTGAGTCGGATGACGGTCGCTGCTCTGCTCCGCGCTTGCTCACCTGTACGCATCACTCAACTGCACAAACCCAAACTCGCTCGTCGAGTAGATGATGAGGTCCTCCGCCAGCTTACTGATATGGATCATCGTGAGGCTTGCCCAGAAGAGGAACTCAACAATGAAGTCACGGTCGGAGACGCTGTGCATCGAGTTCATGCCTACGGTCTTGAATCCGAGCTCATTGGCCATAGCCTGGCGGTCCAATCCTGAGAAGGGATTGCCCGCCAATGGTCCTGAGCCGAGGGGCAGGACAGAGATGCGTGGACGCATGTCACGGAGACGAGAGAGGTCGGTGAGGAGGGAGGAGGCATGGGAAAGGAGAAAGTGCGACCAACGGATAGGCTGGGCGCGTTGCAGGTGGGTGTAGCCCTGCGTGATGGCGAGTGAGCTCAAGTTTGTCAGCGACGCTAGACTGTCTGCTTGCAGTCGCTGTTGCGCACCGGCATCACTGCGTCAACCTCGACCTTTGCCCTGGCAGTCATCACCTGGATCAAGTCGACGAGGATCTCCTCGATCTTCTTTGTCTCCTCCTCGACATACAATCTCACATCCGTCGCAACTTGATCGTTCCTGCTTCTACCGGTGTGCAGCTTCCCTGCCACAGGTCCAATCAGCTCTGTCAATCTACGCTCATTGGCAGTATGGATGTCCTCGTCGTCGGGAGCGGGGACGAATGTGCCCGCCTCCCACTCCTTTGCGACCTGCTGCAATCCCGAGATGATCTGGTCCCGCTCGGAGGGAGTGAGGATCTTGGTTGCTACTTGCGCATTGGCATAGGCGATGGAGCCACGGATATCATGCTTCCATAGGACGCGGTCGTAGGAGAGGGACTCGTTGAATTTGTGCATCACTGTATGCGGGACGAAGGCAGCGTTATCAGCTGGCGAAGTCCGGTCGAGGAGCATATAGTCCGGCTCCTAGAAGCTGCCTCGTGCTCACAAGGGTCAGTCTGCGACTCGAAGCGGCCACCCCATAGCTTGGCCTTGCGGAACGTGTCTTGTGATGCCATTGCTGCGATCTCTGATCGAATGTCTAGGTGTTGGGTGTTGGACAAGGTGGGCGAGTCATCTTCCCCACTCTCAACTCGTCCTTTCCCGGCCGCTTCTTCCTATCCACTCACCACTCAGTTAGATTAGGCCGTCTCCGTCGGCGATTGCCCTTCCGGTCCGATGGATGGCTCCTCTCGAGATGACTTGACCACCCCGCTCGAGCCCTGCCCAACCGCCCCGCCTGCCTCCTGGCTGCACCCGTCTGTCTGTCTGTCTGTCGGCTGTGCTGCTGCTTGCTCTCAAGTCGCCGTCCGGCCGGCAGCTGGGCGTCGTTGCGTCGTTCAACGTCCACGACGTCGAAACGCAACGCACACAACGCACGCATCGTCGTCGACTCACGCATCTCGGTGTGCGTTTGAGCTGCTGCTATTCTCAACACAGACGTCCGATCCATCATCGTGCTTCTTTCCCTCCCTTCCTACCATCATGTCTTACCCATTCTCAGGGAATCGCCAATCTCAGAGCGATTACAGAAGCCACGATTACTCCACACGGCAGCCGCCTCATCAGGGCGGCCAATATTACGACGACGACTATTACAACGCCGCTCAGTCTTCGGGTGCATATCCAATGAGCGGAGGCGAGCAATACCGGGACAACTACTATCCTTCCAACCACCAACACCAGCACTCCATGAGCGGCAACGACGCAGCAGACGACACGCTTCGCGATCACGGCGCACAGGGCTACAGCGAGAAGGCAGCCGTGGCCGCCACTCCAGGTGGCGGCACCACGCCTGGTAGCACCGACGCTTACGCCAACTACGGCAGCCGTGGAAATGCCAACCGCAACTCCATCTTCTCACAGCAAGACCGCCACGTCTTCTTCAAGCGCTCAGTCCCCGTCAGGGCGCTCCGCTCCATCTTCTGCATCGTCCTCTGGACGATCATCATCATCATCACCGTCATCCTCCTTGTGGTCCTCTTTGCCCGACCACCCAACATTGCCCTCCTCTCCGTCGACCCGCCTACTGCCCAGGACTTCGATGTGAGCGGGACGAGCTTCACGGCCAATGGCTCGGTCAACTTTGCCGTCTCCAACCCCAACAGCTTCTCGGCGACGATTACGCATTTGAATGCGCAGCTCTTTGATGCGAATCTGCCTAATGATGTACAGATTGGCAACGGCACGCTCAAGGATCAGAAGATCAAGGCCAACGACAACACGACGATCGTCTTCCCATTCACGCTGGGCATCAACTTGCAGAACGGGGCTGAGGCCTTGATTCAGGACGTCGTCTCATCGTGCGGGTTAGACCCTAGCAGCAGCTCGAAGGCGTCGGGTAACCTCAATGTACGTACGCCACACCAAGCTCTCCTACTTTCTGCACCACCTCTACCCGCTAGCAGTGACTGACCTCTCTCTGCTCCTCGTCCCTCCCCACTTCGCCCCCTGCAGGTCCGTCTAGCAATCGACGCCCACATCTCCGTTCTCTCCATCGGGGTCAGCGTCCCCGTCAACCGCAACATCTCCGTCGAGTGTCCTACCAATCAGCTCGCAGACGTCATCAAGAGCATCACAGGGGCGGTCGGTGACATTGGGTCGGCGGTCCAGAGCATCCTCGGCGGTGGCAGCAAGAGGAGTTTCGCTACACCGCTTCCTCTGGACGGATCGTCGATGCTGGAGCGTGACGGTGCTGGCCAAGACGACTTGCCGGCACAGCTGGATTTGTTGAGTCGGCGTGAAGTCCTCGGCAAGATCGTCGAGGCGTGGCTCCCGCGTAGCGCTGCTGGTAGCAAGCCCCTCGCTATTCGCGCGCCAGGCGACATCGAGCTCTGAGAGCTCCTCGTACTTCTCTTTGACCTGGTCCCTCACACCACTGTACATACCGTCGTCGCGGCGGCATACAACCGAGATACACTACCCTCGACCTCAATGTAACGACTCTACTCTCACATCCGACCCACATTGTACATCTCACCAATCCTTCGAGTCCTCGCTCCCACCTTCACGCTCTCCTGTCCTCGCCTCTCCTCACCTAGTAGACTCACCAAGATCATGATCATTCGAGCCCGAAAAGACAAATATATGGACAATTTCACGCTTTCGCTCGTCACTCTCCTTGCTCCTCGACCCAGCCCTCTTTGAACTCACAGACTGCTCCCCGTCTCTCCCAGCTCGAGGTGATGATCACCCTCCTCCCTTCCTCATCGACCGCTACGCCCGTCGGTGCTCCAGGGAGGTAGCCTGCGCTAGCAGCTGGTGAAGTGAGGCCAAGCCTGTACACGACGGTGCTGAAGAACTGTTTGGGCAGCCAGATGCCCCTCTTCTTGGCTCGGGCGAGACGCTCTACCTCCCACGGATGGCCGATAGCCGCGCCTAGTCGGTGAACGTACGTCGTCTGACGGACTAGGGCGCCTGGTGATGGGCTCAGCTCTGCATCGTCCTTGTCCTCCTCTTCGACTCCACGGCGCCTTCTGAGCTCCTCGATCCTCTTCACTACTCTCCCCATGCTCAATGGGCCAACAGTCCACACTCTCCCAAACGAGTCCACATCCATCCCGAGTACGGGTGCTCCCGCCGAAGCCCCATCTTCTTCACCTCCAGAACCACGCAATGGCGCGCTCCAAAAAGTTACAAAGCTGCCCCACCTGGCCAGGACATCCCTGTACGTCCTACCATCCGGGATTAGCTCAGCCCCTGCCGCTGGGCCTTTGACCCAATGTTGGTCCCATTGTTCGAGAAGGGCCATCTTTGCTGAGTTGACCCCGACGTAGATGTGAGGCAGTGACGTGTTGCTCCCGCCTGCAACACCTCCGCCGTCCCAGGCTCGGAGGAGGGGTGGAGCAGACGGGTGCGAGGCCAGCGTGTCAAATATCGGGCGCGTCGAATGGGAGAGGGCGACGTATTGGCTGATGGTGCGAGGTGGGCTTGGGGAATAGGGGGAAGAGGAACGGATGAAGGATGGGAGCGGCAGGACGTCCAGGAGGTATTGAGGCAGCGAAGGAGAGGTACTGCGACCGGGACGCCGTGGGCAAGCTGGCGCGGCTGAAGATATCTTGCCTCCTCGTTCCTTCTCTTCCTCCTCAGGCCCTGCCGCTACGCATTCGGGCGTGGCCAAGCTTGTAAAGATGAAGCTGGGCACCTCCATCGGCCCCAGCGGCAACGGTGCGGGCTCATCGTCGCTCGCTACCTCTCCACGTACATCCTTGGGCGCCTCCACCGGCAAGCTCCATTGCTCCCTCACCGCGTCGATTCGGTATGGATTCATTGACTTGAGCGCATGACCAGAGATTCGGTCGTACTGTACCGCATGGTACAAGTTTACATCGTGACGGTACACGTCTACCACTCCCGCTGAGCGGGCATGGGGATGATTCGAGACGAGCAGCACGTTTGTTGCTGGATCGTTCTTTGATGAGACGACGGAGAGGGAGAGAGGATGGATCACCTCTCCTTGACGAGAAGTGGGTTGGTGAAGCTCGAGCTGCTTTGGCTGACTTGTCGAGTCCTTGAGATCCCAAACCCAAATTGATCCTCCCTTCTTGCCCTGCGGTAGCGCTTCCCACGTCTGGCTCGGTGGGTCCCACCAAGGCCGCGAGTCATCGCAGTGGAAGTAGGCCAGGCGCGATGCACTGTGGATGACTGGTTCGGCGCACCATTCCGGCCCCGAAGGGAGAGGTCGGCAAGAGTCGAGATTGAGGTGTGAAGATGCGGACGAGGCAAACGAGGATGGCTCAGGTGGATGGAAGAAGGCGACGTGTGTGGACCAGGGGAGCCACAGGAAGAAGGACGATATGGGCAAGAGGAGGAGAGAGAAGAGGAGCGGGACGCTTGCCATCTCGGATCAGCCTTGCCAGGCGATCGATCCGCTGAATGATGTCTGTACCTCTCTGCGCCTGCTTAAAGCTGGCCGTCTCGGAGTGAGAGTCGCGCAAGGTGGTTCAAAGGACGAATTGACCAACCGCGGAAGATATCAAGAAACGCACGAGCCACCAGCGCAGCCGGCCGCCGGAGAGTCGTTTCGTCTCGCGTCGTTGGCGGACCTGATTTGACCTTGCCGCCGCTGCCTCCGCCCGCCCGCTCGCGGCAATGAATGGTGCCTGGGGTTAGTGACTCACGACGATTCAGGCAGTGGCGATTGGCACGGGACGCCATGTCACTGTCTCTTGCATCACGAGGTGTCGCGATGCTTCAATGTTGCTGCTGTCCTATCAGCAGACGCTAGCTCTGACGCTCTGCTGCGTCGAAGCTGTTGCGGCATTGCGTCGCATTTGCTGCGTCGTTCGCTGCGTCTCGTCGATATTGAGCGCCATTGCATGCCTCGTCTCAAAGTTCGTCTTGGTCTTGGTCGGTCGGTTCAGGTCCGCGTCGTCGGCCCTCCTTGATCTCGATTCTCGCTCGTGAGTCGACTGACTCGCCTGGAGCCCCCGCGGCGTCTTTGTCTGCGTCTGTGCGAGAAGGGCGAGGCAATCCAGGCAAGGCATGCGGGGAGGAAAAGAGCGAAGGCTGATTGCAGCAGCCAACGACATTGAGAGTCAGATGGGAGGGCGAGGGAGAGGAGGGACCCTTGGACGAGCTTCACGGCAACGGGCACCGCCTTCTTCCTTCTCACCATCCCATTCCCGTGATCCATCGCCACCATCCAATCTTAGCCTCTCAGGAGATTCATCGACGCGAGATGTCGCGCAAATACAAAGGCAAGCTGCGCCTCGTAGACCCGGCCGATCAGGACGACATCAGCGAGATTGATATGAGCGACGAGAGCAGCAGCGATGAAGGACAGCCTGCCTCAGAGACTGCACCAGCCGCTACATCGACAAGGCGGCGTCGAGGATCAGACGCAGCTCAGAAGCAGACGCAGCCCAGCAAGAAAACAGCAGCAGCTCCCCCTCCTCCACCAAGCAATGGCGCACGTCGTCCAGATGCCGCGCAGCCTCGACGGGCATCGAAATCGGGCGGCCTGCTGGGCAGATTAAGGAACATGCGAAGGAGGGAGGATATGGGAAAGAAGACGCCACCGAAGCTGTCAATCAACACTGCTACCGCGACAGCTGGTGCGAAGAATGATTCGCCAGCATCTGGCAGGGGCAGCCCTTCCATCGTCCCAGTCGGCAGGGCCAGTCTTGCAGGCCCACGCGAGACGTTGGGCATCGATGCCTTCAGCAAACCGCATCGTTCCAGCACAGCGAACTCCCTCATGACCAGCGAACTGCTCGGTTCTAGCTCATCCTCCCCATCCGCAGCTTCACCCGACGTCGTCCTCAAAGACTACGGTGTCGAGCGACAGCCTGACGTCATGCAGGCCAACCTCAAGCGAGAGAGCACGGCAAGATACTCCATCGCGCACAGCGTTGAAGCTTCACTTGTCGACAGCTGGAGCATTGCTGAGCGACATGTGGATGGGAGCGATGACGATGATGAGTCGATGGTCAGTCGAGCAGCGGGCGAGAATGATTGGATGAGGACGGGCGAGGCACCAATGGTGGACGATTACAGTGAGGTCGGCGCGCCCGTGCAGAGAGCTTCCAACGCACCTAGCGATATCACTGAGGAGGACGACGACGACGAAGAGGACGACGATGATGATGATGCGAGCACAGAGTCTGAAGGACCAGGGCGAAGGACGCCCACCCGCGGTGCAGCCGCAGCGGCCGTAGCTGTCCCAGCCGTCGCTGCTGTTAAGCCTCCCATCTCTCGCACAGTGACAGGTCGTAGCACCACCACCGCCGACTTCTACGATGCAGAGTCTGAGCGTGGCAGCACAGCGGGAAGCACGGCATCTCGTGCAGCCGCTCGTCGCTCGGATGTCGATCGCCTCCTCCTTCAACTTGGCGATACCGGTGCGGCCGGAGCCGGTGGTTCCACTGCGGCGAGCACGGTCAGCAGTAGCCATCGTTCCGAGCCTTCGAGCTCGGCGAGCTCGTACGTGCCCGACTTGTCCGTCGCCTACGGCACGGAGTACGACGAGTCCGAATCCGCCATCGTGCCCGATGACTCGGTCTCCGTCAGAGCCATGCAGAGAGTCACGCACGAAGACATAGGAGAGGACGAGGGCACTCGAACGCCCACTGGCAAGACCGCGAAGCAGTCCACGGACCCTGAAAAGCTGGCTGTCATGCTTGCTGATATGGAGCCGGCCTTCCAGTCGAGCTCGGAGGATGAGGATGAGTTAGAGGAGGAAGACGAAGAGGACGAAGATGACGAGGACGAGGAGGATCAGGACGAGGACGAGCAGACAGAGGGACCGGTCATGATCACCACTCGTACGCCCGCAGCCTCAACTCGCTCCGTCGCAAGATCAGCGAAAGAAGCCCGGCGACGACGTAGAGTAAAGCGAAAGAAGGTCGAGAAGGGCGCCAACCGCTGGCTGGCAGACAGCGCTCTTACGCCGGAGCAGATGCACTACTTCATCAAGGCTATGGTTGGCCGTGAGCTCGAGTGGGAGATGTCTCGCGCATTCGCCTTCGATCCCTCGGAACGGCCGCCTTTGCTCGACTCAGCAACGTCACCTTCTTCGCCCGTGGCGTCGTCGAGTCGTCCTGCGCGAGAGTATGACATCTTCAAGAAGAGCAAAGCCGACACTGCAACGCTCCCTAAATTCCCGCTACTGCGCTTCCTCTACGACTCCGCGTTCTGCATGCTGCCCATCTTCGGACACGGCACTACCACGTATGCAAAGCGACAGAAGCGAGCAGAAGCCTACTGGGCACGCGGTGTCGCCCCCCTGCTTCGTATCCTGCAGAATCGGTCCTTCAGCCACAGGGTAGATCGCTGCGGTGAGGGAGATGGAAGTGCATTCAGCTCAGAAGCTACCTCCGACGTGCTCAAGGGCGCGTTCGCTCGCGCCGCTGTGCGATTCATCACTGCGACGATCAACGTAGGCGGCAAGCGAGACATCAAAGCCGGCTGGCCCTGGCCCTCTGCCAAGCTCATGAAGCTTCCCGCTTTCCTTCCCTACCGTATGCCCTTGGCACAGCAGACTCGCGGCGCATTTGAGGTGGACGTAGTGGTGATGCGGCCGCTGGGCAAGGAGCCGTCCTACATCTTGCGACTGCGAAGGCAATTTGGCCATCCGTCGATCTTCGTCATCAGGTCTGAGGCACAGTTCCAGGAATACGCAGCAGCGCTCAACGAGGCTTTGCCGCGGGCTTGCATTAAGCGGCCACCTCCTGTCGAGATGGCAATGGTGTTCGGTTCCTCAGCGGACGCTGCGGCGCCCGCTTCGCCGAAGGTACGCTCTCCCTCCGAGATGGGATCAAGCACGGCCGTGGGCAGCACTCGCTCGAGACCGCCGCTGCGTTCCAAGCTCAGCAGTGACTCAAAGAACGGCCTGACAGGCTCGCAAAGCAAGGCATCGAATAGTCCCGCCGAGCCAGAAAAGCATCAGCAGCATCGCGGTCTTGCTGGTCTATTTGGCAGCTTCGGAAAGAGCAGTGGGACATCAGTAGCCGCAGCCAGCAGCAAGGGAGAGAAGGAAGCTGCTGCAGCTCAAAGGCCGACAGCTGGCGCTGATCGAACTCTGCTTGAGCTGAGGGAGAACAAGCGTCGCTCTGTCCTTGGCAGTCGTTCGAGCCTTCCGCTCTCGCCGAGCTCGCCGACCGTCGACGATGACGGCAGCAACGTCAGCAGCACGCGCTCATCAACCTTGGGTCCCTCAGCAGCGGGCGTGGGCTCAAAGAAGGGGGGCACAGCGGCGGCAGCGGCAGCGCCGTCGTCGTCGATCGCCTCATCCAGTAGCACAGGCGGAGCGGGAGGCCTCCTTCTCAACATGGGCAAAGGTGTGCCGAAGAAAGCCAAGCCAGCATCGCTCCCACCCATCGACTACAACCTCCGTCGTCTCCAGCTCCGCGATTGGCTGCGCGACACCCTCTCCGCCCGTGGTGCGGGTCATCATCACGAGACCCGCGAGTTCCTGACTGCTGGCTTCTTTACGGACAAGGACCTCAAGTCCTCCACCAAGGCCAAGATTGCCGCCAACGAAGAAGCTGACCGCGTTAGCACCAAACAGCGCGAGGAGGTCGCCCTCTCCGCTGGTGAGGAAGTGTTGGAGCTACGCGACCAAATTGAGTCGATGTGGGAGGAATGCAAGCATGGTCAAGGCTTCCTGCAGGCACGCGCCGTCTTCGAAAAGGCTTCTTCCTTCTCTGAGCTACCGGAGGACTATCAACGGCTCGTCTCCTTCCTACACCTGAAGGTTGCACGCTTCCTCCTCGGTACTTTCGTCACGGGCGATGAATCACTTTCCAACCTGCGACGGGCTCGCTCAGCCTTTGCTGCCATTCCATGGAAGCTGCTCAGCCTCGTTCTCTCCGAGCCTACAGGGGTGATGGTGGCCGATCTGCGGAGAGCATTGACTGCGCCCAAGTTCGTCTCGGGGATGATCTCTATCCTCTTTGATGACGATTCTCGGAAGGTCGGCCAGGATCTTGAAGAGCTCAAGCGTCGCCTCCCCTCGGACTACCTTCGCAAAATCCGTCGCTTTGTTGAAGCCACCTCCGACCACACGAAGCGACTCATTCGTGATCAGGCGAAGCGCAACGGCATTCCACTCGTGTCAGCCATCGAGCGTGGATCTGACGAGCCTCTCTTGGAGGGCAAGGAGCTCGCCCGCATCATACAAGCCACGCGCGGCTATGTCACCTTCATGGAGACGCAGCCCAACTTCATCGACGTTGAAGTCGAGGCGAGGATCAACAAGGACGTGGCGCTCATCATCGACCTGCAAGCAGCGCTGCGCCTCTATTCTGCGCGACGAGACGGCCAGAACCTGCGCGAGCTTACACGGTCAGAGACCTTCCGCTCTGCGCTGGGTCACGTCGTGCAGCCTATCCTCGACCATCTGGCCAGACAGCATCACCGCAAACGAGGCTCAAAGCTCAAGGGAGCCCTGAGGCTCATCGAGGTCCGTGGATTCGCCTTGCTCGAGTTGCTGGAGGCGCTCAGGACTCGAGTGCAAGACCCGGCAAAGAGTATAGATGCTCTGACGACCTTCCTAGACTCGCACGCACACGACACCGTTGGGCTCCTCTCGCATGTGGCGAGCCCGCTGTTCACTTGGTTACACAATGTAGCTCGAACAGTGGCGGAAGGCTCGGACGATCTGGCTCGCGAATGGCCACTCCCCGTCAAGAAGGATGGTGCGGCCGCTAATCCTCTCAGCGACGATGAAGCGCTTGATAATGTACGTCGTCTGACTGAACGCGCTTGGTTGGCAAGGCTTAGGGACATGGAGCTGGCATCGCGCTGGATTGCGGGCGATGTCGAGGCGGATCTGAGTGTGCAGGTGCTGGGGAGTGGTGGGGGAGGGGAGAAGACGAGGACGCTACCTATTCTGCCTGAGGAGCCTAAGAGGCCTGAGCTGGATAGGAAGACGTTTGACGGCGTGCTGCCGGGCTTTAGAAAAGCGCTGGGGAGGGTTTTGGAGAGTAGAATCGATTGAGGGCAGGAGGCCGGGGTAGGCTGATCGCATTGTCACGATGACACACGGATTCGTTGTTGCTTTGGATTGCTCACCGAATAATGATGTCTATTGCTTCTTCTTGACGTCACGATCCCTCAGCGCCTTGAGCTTCCCCTCCAATGGCTCCCACAGCCGTCCCCTCCACGCCTCCTCGAACGCCGTCGCATTGAAAACCTGTTGAGCCCGCCGTCTTGCCCTCCCCCTCATCTCGTCCCTCTCTCCCTCAGACATTCTGCACAGGACATGCTGAGCTTTCTTCGCAAAGTCGTCCACGTCCGTGGCGTGAAAGCCCGTCGCCCTCCCTTTCTCGTCGGGTACGACGATGTCGAGTAGAGGGCCGGCGCTGGCATGGGAGAGGGTGATGAGTCCTGCAGCCATGAACTCCACGACATTCATACCGAAGTGCTCATCTACCATCGTGCTCAGCCCTACGCTTGCGGTAGAGAGGTGTGAGACGACCGTAGGCCAAGGAGCGTTTACTACGAATTCGACTTGCGAAGCTATGTCAAGCTCACTGGCCAGCCGACGCAGGGAGGCGACGCGAGCTTCGTCCGAGGGATTGCGACTGCTCCCCATCACGATAAGCCGAACTCCATCGTCGCGCAGTGAGGGGCGAAGATCAAAGAGAGCCCGTAAGAGGCGCAGCTGAGTTGCCTGTTCTTTCTCTGGGCGAAATTGTGCTAGACTGACGAGGGTGGGCTTGCGGCCGGATAGGGGGAAGCCCTCCAAGCTTCGCGTGTCGCATGGTGGGTAGACGGTCGTCGCACTTCTACCGTGCCCACCGAGGAGGGTATTGAGGTGACGCATCGTCCAAGTCCCGTTTGCGACGAGAACATCTGCCCTCCGAAGCGCCCATGCGTAGACCTTTGCGAAGAGGCGATAGTAGACCAACTTGATTTGGCTGCGCAGCATACTCTTTGCAACCTTTGCGTCATTCGTATGCCCTGTCGCTCTCCCTTTGACTCTCGCCAGCATATCTGCGCTAACTGTGGGGTAGTGTACGTACGCCCCAACAGGCGTCGAAGGCCGAAAGAGCCGCACGACGGGGTAAGCGAAGGCGTAGCCCATCGTATCGATGAAAACGTCTGGGAGGAGCTCCTCGCATGCTTCTTTCGCCAAGATGGCCCCACCAAAGGATTGGCCGAGGATAGTAAGGCGAGACCAGTACGAATCTGACACAAGCAGTCGTGATCGGAGAGGGAGGAAGGCGAGGCGTGATGATGAATGGGGGGAGGTGAGGTCGATGCTGAAACGATCTCGCGCTTTGATGAGGATCTCCGATTTGGTGGCCGAGCCGCCTCCGTCTGCTACTGAGGATGCGCCGGAAATGAAAGGACCAGGACCTCTTCTCGGCCTGCCTGATTTGGGCTCATCGCCAAGCTGCAAGCTCTGTGACGCCGTTGCGTCTCCTGTGTAGACGACGCAGACTGTGTGCTTGTCCGCGGCGAGGTGGTACCGTATTGCTTCGTAGAGGACGCGCTCGCCTCCTCCGCCGGCATTGCAGTATGGATGGAAAAAGCCAATGACGGTTTGTCGAGCTGCCGCGTTCTCTGCGGGGAGGTTAAGCTGCTTGAGGAGACGCTGGCGTCTTGTTGAGTTGGTCTTGCGGACGCGACGAAGGTAAGAGGTCAAGGCTCGAAGGGTGAGGAGGGTGAGGGAGAGGATGAGGAGGCAAAGCGTGACGCCGATACGAATGTGCCATGGCGGAGGGGAATGACGTGCTTCCATCGTCTTCCTCGACGCCGACGCTGGACAACAGTCGAATGATCGTGGTGAGGATGAGAAGAAAGGAGGGCAGCATACAAGCAACTACTCCCGTCTCGCTTTGGCGGGAGTGGAGCCAGTCGAGTGTTGTTCTCGCCACGTGGTGAACCTTGTCTCTCCGCTCTCTCCGCTCTCGAGCTCAAAGTTGGCGGCGCACGACACTTTTGATTTCTCGCAGCTTCGCAGCTTCCGCCTTCTTTTCGTACTCACTTCATCTCTACGCACTCTTTCACATCCCCCACCCTTTGCCAGCATGACCATCTGCACTCGCCCCTCATGTGGCGCTGACCATCCCCCGAGCTCCTCAGCCTTTCTCACCTCGGAATGCTCGCACCACCCTGGCGAGCCCGTATTCCACGAAGGGCAGAAATCCTGGTCGTGCTGCAAAGAGGTCAACAAGCCCGTCCTCGACTTTGATGACTTTGTGCAAATTGCAGGATGCACGACTGTCAAGGGGCATAGTGCTGAGAAGAGGACAAAGAAGGCGGATGAGAATGGGGACAAGGCGGCCGTGCAGGGGGAGGAGCCAAAGGTAGATCAGAATGGCAAGGAGGTCTACGGCAATGGAGCGGCTGCTTCGTCTTCGATGTCAGCGAGCTCAAGCAAGACTCCAGCATCGAAGTCCGCTGCAGCAGCTCCAGCTCCACCCAAGCCATCAGCTCCCCAGCCCTACGTCGAGCCTCGCGATCCAGAAGGCGCGACCATTCCGGTAGGATCCATCTGCAAGAGGCCAGGCTGCGGAGCCAAGTATGACGATACTACACCGAGAGATCCGGCCAAGGAGCAATGCAAGTATCACAAGGGAGCGCCGCTCTTCCATGAGGGAACCAAAGGCTACACATGCTGTAAGCGTCGTGTCCTCGAGTTCAATGAGTTCCTCAAGATCGAGCCGTGCACCGCTGCAGAGAGCGGGCATCTCTTCCTCCAACCGCCCAAGCCCTCTGCGCCCTCATCTAGCGACTCAACAGCATCCAACCTGGCATCGGAGGACCCGCTCTTTACCTCCAACGGTCTTGCTATCCTTCCCGGCGAGTCAGCAGTCGACGTACGAATGGACCACTACGAGACGCGAGACTCTGTTCACCTCACTTTCTACTGCCGAGGACTTGATGTCGAGAAATCGCGCATCGTCATCCTTACCGACGATTTGCTCCTCTCGCTCAGCATGGGTTGTGGAACCAAGCGCCACTTGCTACATTTGCGCTTGTACGGCAGCGTAGAGCCGGCGACAGAGACGGAGATCGCCAAGGGTGGGGGTGAGGGGCAAGGAGGATCTACATGGACCGTCAGCCCTTCGAAGATCAAGTTGGACGTGGTGCTCCAGAAGAGGGACAAGGGACGCAGTTGGCCTACACTGCAGAGAGGAGAGGGAGGTGGAGGGTATGGGTTGACTTTTGGAACAAGATGAGGAGCGATTGATCAGGTATAGATCACGCGCAATAGATGCGATGCAAAACGATGTATTATGATGTTGTGCGTGTGCGCGTGTGCGTGTGCGCGTGTGCGTGTGCGTGTGCATGTGTAGATGGAGGTACAATGCCGGGTGAGTGGATCAAGATGTATATAAAAAGACGGTGAGTGTAGTAGTAAAGGAATGAGCGTAGACTGGGTATCTATTAGTACAGAGTGGCGGAAGGATCAGAAGAAGTCATAGGAAGACGGGCTCTTAGTACCCTGCCCTGCGTAACGTGGGCTAGCGGCGTACGAAGGGCTGTTCAAGTACGGCCAGCCGCGCGCGCTGCTGAGGCTTTCGTCTTCTTCCGCGTCTTTTGCTCTTACGAGACCGACGGGCGACCGGGGAGCTTGGGCAGGGGAAGGCGGCAAAGGTTGGCTGGGCGCGTCGGGCCTCTGGGGCAGTCGCTCTCCATTAGCTAGCCTGGTCCTCCAAGATCCCAAAGAGGGCGAGGAAGGCGAGCCAGGGTTGACGCGTTGCAGCGACCCATGTCTCCTCGGTGTGCGCTGCTGTGTAGGCGAGGAAGGGACCACACCGGGCTGCCTCGTTGGGCTGGCAGGCTCCAGCAATGGCAGACGCCTGTTCGCGCGCGAAGGTGATGCGCCGGCAAACGCGTAGACTTGTGTTGAGGGAGGGTACATCATGTCACGCGGTACGCCTGACGATGACGAGGAAGAGGCAGAGGCGGGCAGACCAGAAAGATTAGGCGTCGCTGGCCATCCACTAGTGTGCGATGGGTAGACGCCAGCGGACTGAGCTACGATCGGTTGCGCGAGGCCCATGGGTGAAATGCGACGGCTGCGCTGGTCGTTGGCTTGCAAGGGTGATGGTACTGCTGAGGCTGTACCGGATCGCGGTGGGCTGTCGAGCTTCACAGAAGGACCGAGAGCTGGCGCGACCGTGTCAACGAAGTGTCGGTCCGTATGTCTTGGTGATGTGAGTGAAGCTGCGTCGGAGCTCAGAAGCTCTTGCGACTCTGTTGGCGGGGAGGAAACGTCCGCCGCATGGGAGGCGGCCAGAGCAGGAACGTCGAGCATGATAAACTCGGCAGGCCGGCTACTGCTTCCTCCACCTCCCATGCTCATCTCTTGAGACATGATGGTGCCCTGCGTGACATCCTCAGGGACACCCCGCGCCAGGCCCCTCGAGGGACCGCCATACCTGCCCATCAGACCGCGCCAAGATCGCTTCGAGGTTGTCTGCGAATCTTCACCGACGCCACCGAAGCCCATCCCACGACCAGATCTTGTCGATCTGGTCTGGTCCTCTGGATTGGCGTATGAAGTCGTTTCACTGCCCACCGGCATAATGACGATGGCATCCGGGCGGCGTTGGCTCTTGCGCAGCTGGAAATTCATGCCGGGCGAAGGAGGTTCCTTGGCTTGGTGTGCAGCGCGACCGCCGATACCTGCGCCACCGTCACGGGAGAGGAGCTGCTGACTGACAGTCGGAATAGCGCCTTCACTCTCCGGCACAGCGGGCAAGGAGCGAGAGAGCACCTGCCCCTCTCCACCAGGCCGAGGGTTCGACCTCCCCCTGGCTCCCGCACCATCGCCACGGCCGCGACCCGCTGCGCTGCCTGACGACTGCTGCGACCTACGAGAGATGGTGCGATCCCCCACCGGCGAATCCATGAAGCGGAAGAAGACGGCGCCAAGGGTCAAGGAGCCGAAGAAGACGGCCGTCCATGCGGTAGGCTGGTGGGAAGTAGCGACAACGTAGCTTGCCGCGTCTGGGCCAACGAGGAAGGAGCCGTAAAGGCTGACCGCCAAGCGGGCCGCGATGACGAGATAGATGGTTGCAGCTGCGATAATGCCGACGTAGAGGATGAGCAACGAGCGGAAGCAACGTCGCAGATACTTCCATCGCGTCACGGGCGCGGCATCACTGGAGAGTTGAAACTGTTCGCGCTTGCGTACAGCTGCGCGCAGAGGAGGAAAGAAGACGTCTCCGCCGCTGGGGCTGCTACTGTCGTCGCGGCCAGACTCGCTGGCGGTGCGAGGACGGCCGGAGGCGGCGCGAGATGCATGGATGTCTGGCTGAGGGGAGACGGGAGAGTCACTCGAGGTAAGAGCGATAGAGCTGCTTCTGTTCTTGTGGGAATCAGGGTCCGTGACATCTGCAAGGTCCTCGTCGCCGTCAGCTGAAGGAGCTTGTTGCTCAACGAGCGGCTGAAAGAGGAGAGGGTCGTTGGCGTGGCGTACGCGGCTGGCTCTTGTACTGGCCGCGCCCGCCGTAGCTTCGCGCTGTTCCTTTTCCCTTTGCAGTCGCTCAGCCTCCAGCATCTCCTCCTGCTGCCGCTCGATCTTGTGCACCTGATCATGCTGCGTCTGGGCCTGAGCATTGACGAGCTTGAGCATGTAGCCACCCGCAGGAATGTAGAAGAGGAGCAGCAGGGCAGCAAAGGCAGTCCAAATGGCGTAGCCGATGCTCAACCAGCGCTTCCCATCGCCTACGTCGTTCCAGATGTTGCTGGCCTGCTCGAGGAAAGCTTGTGACTGAGCCGCAGAGACGGTCCCTCCAGCGGTGGCCGCGAGGACCTGTCCTGAAAATGCTTGGTAGTGTTCGTAATTCCTTGAGAGAGCATTCTGGGCGTACACGGCGCAGGGGATGAGGCAGGCCGCAAGGACAAGAGGCGTGCCGAGGGAGATGGAGTTGATTATCCAGGGTCGACGAATGATACGGTGGAAGGCCCCTGCGGGAGGAAGAGGTTTGCTCTGTCAACGAAAGTGATATCGCGCTTTGGTGCTGTGTACTCACATTGCTTCTGCAGTCGACCGCTGTCAAGAGCTCCGGGCGCCGTGTAGAAGGACCCTACAGCGGCGTAGAGGGCTCCGAGGTACAGGGGAATCCACACAAGCATGTTGAAGGCATCGGCGCTGTGGTGAAGGGCAGGGCGATTTTTGCCGTACGCATAGATAAGGACCCATACGTACGCGAACCAGAGAGCACCGAAAGAACCCTCGAGCAGCGTGAAGGCGTTGAGGGCGTTGGGTACGACGTAGATGCCTTCAAGGCAGGGTCGAGGTCAGCGACATGGTCCTCGCATCGTAATTCGCGACGTCCAGCTTACCTTCAGACCGTCTCATGAAGCGGACAACCCAGAACTTGCCATTCCAAATGCGATACATGATGACGACGGCTGGTTTCGGATGCGGGGGCAGGAAGGTCAGCGAGCCGTACGCCACGGCTATATCCAGCGCGCCGCACTCACATCCTACAACGACGAGCAGAGCAAGAAAGCATGCTGCAGTGAGCAGCGCGATGAAGAAAGCCCTGCTGAACTTGAATGTGAAGAGGTCTAAGATGAATGCCTCGAGCCTGACAAGCCCTTGGGCCCTGTCCTCTGCAGATCCATTGAGGAGCGTCGTGATGGCCTCTGGGAAGGGGCCATGGACAGCAGGCGCTGACAGCACGATACTAGAGCTCGGGTGCCCCGCAGGGACGCTCATCGTGCGAGCCTACTCGGACAGGTCAGGCAGACCCGACGTGCGATCGTTGTGTCGGAGAGGTGGAGGACGAGGATGGACGAGAATGCTGCAAAGCTTAGGCTTAGACTGCCGGAGAATGCTGGTGCATCGTCGTAGTGAAGAAGAGGATGCTAGGGTGTGAATGGGACGAAAGACACACAAAGAGGGCCTCTATCAGTCGGATCTCTATGGATCGCGGTGAAGGGCGGGCCTTTGTGAAGTGGTGGCGTCGGCGTTGATGTTGAGCGCCTTGAAGCTTTTGAGGCCCAGAATACGACGGGAACGATGATGCACCGTGGTACGACACGACGCGGCCACCTGCAGCTTAGTTGGCGCTAGCGGGGCTAGCGATGATCACTGATCGCACGAGAAAGAGATCGCGGGCGAGGTGGGCTAGGAGCTAGACCGGATGAGGTTGCAGCAGCAGGGTGCGCCGTGACGGAAGGGGAATCTGAGGGAGCTGCAAAGCCAAGAGCGGAGAGCGAGGCTGTGTTTGTGATGAGTGAAATGAAGTGGGAGGTAGAGCTGCAAAGAAGCGGGTCCCAAGTGAATGGTAGGAGTTAAAGATCATGAATCACCGACCTCCTCGCTGGGCGAAGGGGACTACCACTTGGGGATGGCTCTAACGCAGCCGGCGAGACGCGTGCGGTGGTCCTACGGCTATTCCTCCAGTCGCCGCCCAATCTTGGCTGTCATCTTCTCAATGCATCAGAGACGTTGTGGCTTGCCTTTGCCTCCCCTCCTCTTCCCTTTTTCTGTACGAGAGAGAGTGTGAATCGATGCGATGCTGCAATACCACCAGTCTACCCCGACGTGACACAGCAAAGTCTGGAATGCTGCACGCAACGACATGACTGTGCCCTCATGAGCTGAGGCGGTAGGGCAAGACGAGATCAAAGGGCTTGGGAATTTGGGTGGCGCTCCGCCGCTGTGACGCGTCGGCATCGATGGAGACGCATCAGCGGGGAGCACGCACAGAGGAGAGAGCGGCGCGGGCAGCGGCGGGGGCAGGCACGGCCGCGATGGGGTGAGTCGAGCTTGGACGAGCCGTGAGACAGAGGCATGGGAAAAGCCTGATTCGCAGCAAAAGGGCCCAGGTGAGCTCTCTTCGCCAGACTCACAGCATCGCAGAAACCGGACCAACTCTGGGCCGAGCCAGTAGTTGCCGCTTGCCGGGCCAAGCCAGGCAGTCAGCCAGCCAGCCAGGAAGCCGCATTCAGCTCGCAGAGACGAGCTCGAGTATTCACACTACATCTCTCACAACTCTCACCGAAGTGCACCGAGATGGACCACAGGCGAAGAGGAGCATCTCTCAAACGCGTGCAGGGTAAGCAGCTCGGCTTCGATGCCTCTTGGATTTTGGCTCGCGAGGCGAGGGAGATACAGTAGCACAGAGACTGGGAGAGAGAGAGAGAGAGAGGTCCTTGCGAGAAGCAAGGACTGGTCTGTTGATCGTACCAATTCTCGCACGACGGTGCAGGATGACTGAGTCAGGACCGATCCGCCCTTGCTACTCACTGTCGGACAGCGCGACAGCACGACCTGACTTGTAGCCAAGCTCAAAGCCGATGCTCGACTTACATATGGAGGACATGGTAGTACAAGTACAGTCGACTCATCGTCGAGCCTTAGCGGCGTGCCGAACGCGCCGAACGGGATTGGCGAAAAGACCAAATGAATGCAAGGAGGAGCGGTGGCAATGATACAGGCCACAGACGCCGGAGTGGCGTGGCGAGGGGGAGACGAACAAAGGAAGACATGCGTGTGTGTGTACGTTGCTCTCTCTATCAATCACGAATCATTCCTGGACTGCTTCGACGAGTTCCACCGTGCGAGAGACCCAGGGTACGGTGAGAGCAATCCCAGAATCTTAAACGTCGGTACACGAATGTCTCGCCTCCGCCAGGATAGGAAGGCCACGCTCAATGGTACCGCGATGCTCGCGATGCTGAGGACCGGATTTTGTGTGGCGACCAAAGGGGCAAGACACCCAGTTGGCATTCCATGAGCTTGCGTTCCTCTGGCCGAGGTTCAACCGCACCTGGGTAGCGTAATGTCGCGTCAGACGTTGTTACTTCTAGAGCCCAAGATCGGCACTCGACGTCGCAGGCAATTGGGCGCTTTCATGCTCGCGATACAAAGAGACCCCTTGCTCCTTGCTCCTCTCTATCGAGGTCGGCACTCATCATGTCATCTACACGCTTGACGCCAAGCGCACGGACGCTTGCATCTCTGCTCGCGAGCTTCGGTGCAAGCTACGGCTGAGTAGCATGGCTGTTGGGCGCGGCTCACGATCTGAATACGCTCGGGCCTGTCTCGAACCCCTCTCGAGATCCGGCGCATCCCCCTCAGAGGCGCCGATTTGGCGGTCGCTCTCGAACATCGTGGCTCCTATGTCATCTCAGTCGCGCCGAGAAAGGGCTCTCGAGGGCATCAGTAACAGCCATGACTGATCAATGACATTCAGGAGACTGAGGGGTAAGAAGAGGTGCTGGCTTTGAGGCGGTGGAAGTGACTGCGCCAATGCATCTTCTATAGCCAGAGCGAGCCCAGCAAGGATAGAAAAGACAGAGATGCTTCTCGCCATCATCTACGCATTCGCCTTCAGAAAGCTCCGACCATCATGTCTTCACGCCGTATTCTCGTCTGTTCTCTCCTTCCTGTACTCGTGCTCCTTGCCACGTTGACCCAGCCAGTCGCAGCAGCTCTCCAGCTAGGCAATTGCACAACAACCCACAGCGGTCTCTGCGACGACCAAGCTCACGCAGGAAGACATGCTGCCGCTACGGACGTTCGGCCGCGTTCTCTGAGCGGAGACATTCTAGCCTCTCAAGTGGGTAGCTCGATGTCCATCTCAAGCGATTTGCGATGCTCACCCTCGACTTGCTTCCGACCTTTGCTAACGCCGCGCAGCCGCCCACCGCCTTTGTTCAGCACATAATCGGCATCTCATCCATCGTTGCTGAGGAGGACCGTAAGCGCCAGAGGCTTGCGGCGCCAAACGTGCCAAGCAGTGGCTCTATGCTCTGGAGGGGGTCTGGCCAGCAGGGAAGACAAGTACGCTTCCAGACGGGCTGGCACTGAGAGTGCGAGGCACCCTCGCTAAGAGCCTGTACTGGACACTTTCTTGAACCAATTTGATACCCGCGATCTCGACGAAGGCCCTTTGCCCGCCTTGTCTGCTTCTGCGCCCGATGCTTGCTGCTCTTGCGGCTGTCTCTGCTGAGGAGGGAGAGGTGCCAGCCCTCTCTGGTGCGCCGAACTGGCATCCTCAACGTACGATACGGAGAGTAGCCCATCGTCTCCCGATTCAGAGGGTGTTACCACCGCACGAAGCGGTATGCAGGCGAGCTCGTGCAATAGAGCGTCTGCCGTCTCCTCGAGGCTGGTGGTGCGGGTGCGCTCCACCTCAAGCAGTGTACGGCGAGGAAGCGGCCGCCCACGATCTCCGCCTGTGCTATTGCTCGACGTTGCCATGGGCAGGCGCAGCTCCGCTTTTCTCAGTCCAAAATTGATAGAGACGTCCTGCGCTCTCACCCTGCTCTCCCCCGTCTGGGTAACTCGTTCCACCAAATGTCCACTCATCGTCCCACGCTGAGCAATCAAGTCCTCCAGCCTAGCTCGGGGCTGGTGAAGGTCGAAGAGGTTCCCCATGCCAGGTTGCTCAAGTAAGTCGCTCTCAAAGTGCTCAGAGTCGCGCTTCGTTTCGGCGGCTACGTAGAGGTCGAGGACACGGGTTTCCCTGCATGAACCGTATTTCGGGGAGAAGGAGGAAGAGGATGACGAGGCGGGCCAAGGGTCTGTCGTGAAAGGTGGGCATACTTGTCGAATGTATGCAGGCAGATAGTGTGTACGCAGGAGGGACATGCTGGCTGCGAGGGACGAAAAGAGGTCAAGTCAGTCGGTGTTGCGAACTTAGATCTCGAACTTCTTGCTCACCGATATACATATTGCGACACACGAACCTCATCTCCCGGTGCAAGACTCCCCTCCCTGCCGCTTTGGTCTCTTGATCCCCAGTCAAGGCGAGAAAGCCGAGCACCTTTAGCCACAGGACCGCGGGGAGCTTCGCGTTGCGGTCCTCGGCGCTGCTCATGGCCGCCTTGTCGCCGGCTCCTCGGCCAGGATAGGCCGGAGGTGGGGCCGAGTCTAGTATCTCGTTGATGAGGATCATCGCGGAGGATTGGAAGGGAGAGAAGAGCAACTTGACGATTGCTCTCTCAACGGGCTGAATCTGAGTCCGAGTCCGACGCGGGGGTGGAGGCTTGGCAGATGAGCTCGACCTCGCGCGACGCAACGCTTCTTGACCTCCAACCAAGCCTTCACAAAGCAGCACGTTGAGGTGACTTTTATTCATGCTAGAAGAGCAAAGAGCCTCGAAGGCATGTTCTGATGAAGTGGTATACGGTGTGAAAATGGAGGAAAAGGAAGGTAGCCGACAATGCAGGTCGGATCTGGTTGGACTGACGAAGGCGGGTTCACAGATGGATCTTGCGACCACCACCCGTCTAGGGTTCTAGCGCGGCTTCCACCAGCGCTTAATACCACCACTGCTACTTCGGCCACCGCTGCGAGAAGTGCTGCCACTCTCATCCCTCCCACTACCTTCCCGAGGCGCAGCAGAAGCCTCTTCGCCAACGTCGCCTTGACGCCCCTTCTGCTCTGCCTCCCCTGCCTTCGCCCCTCCCCCCTCCCCCTGCCCTCTATGCGGAGCCATCTCCCCACGACTCCTGATCGACCTCAGCCTCTGCAAGAACAGATTGTCTCCAACCACATCCTCCCTGTCGGCATCCCACAGCTCATACGCCGCAGAGCCGGTACCGCGACTGATACTCGAGGCAGCCGAATGGCTCACAACACCGCCGCCGCCACTACTGTCCTGGCGGCGTCCACGAGGGTTTCGCTCGGTCGGGCGAGGCTCCTCCTCCTCTGCATCTTCGGTGAGTAGCGAATGACGAGATGATGGAGAGGCCGAGTACAGCCCTGGCTGGCCGTCAAGGACTCCCAGCTGTTGGTGAGGAGATGGGGTAGTCCCACTGTCAGTCGGCGTGAAGACGAGGATCTCCCTTCCCCCTCGCTCTGAGCCAGTCTGAACAGCCATGTCCGATCGGTGCCTTCTCAGCCACATTCCGGGCCTTTGCGTCGCACTTCGAAGCACAGGAAGCGATTCGCCCGAAGAGGAAGCAAGACGCGGCTCGCCGGCATCGGCGTGCAATACCCACTCGGCCGTGCTGCTTCCAGATGTGTGCATGGTCGTCGACGTTGGGAGGCCAGCAGAATGTGGCGTCGTGCTGAGCGTGGTATCCCTCGACCCGAGGTCACGCTCCAACGGCACGCTTCTACTCGAGCTCGGCCCTGCCAGGACAAAGTCCTGCCCCTCGATGTGCAGAGCAGGTACAGGCTTGCGACGGATGGGGGAAGTTGGGGAAGGGAGTGTTGTGGAGCGCAGAGCCGGATTGGATGGGCTGGACTTGTGAAGTCGTAGTGGTGGAGGTGTTGAGGAAAGGAGCTTTGAATCGCCTGACGTAGCTGCGCCGGAAATTGCAAGGCCGAGTGCTGGCGGTGGCGAGGGAGTGGCTTGCTGACTAGCCGCAGCGGCCGCGAATGAGGGAAGGGCAGGCAGAGGCGCATCTGGAGGCGGGTGTGGCGGTGGAGGAGAGGAAGGCCTCGAGCTCCCACCAAGGCCATGCCTGCGTCGTGCCCCGGCACTACTACTTGTCGACCCTCTACGGCTAGACGAAAATCCGAGCGAAGGGCGCCTCAACGGTGATGGAGGGGTAGGCGTCGACTCCGAGCGTCGTTTCTCATCGCTGCTCGACCCTCTGCCGACGCCACTGGCACTACCGCTGTTACGCAGAGCAAGTCGGCGTGGATCGTCCTGGCTCGCTGTGGACTTGTGCGATGGAGTGGCAGCAGCGTCACGAGTCGCATCAGCCGTCGCAGTCGTCGGCGCAGCCTCTTGTGGAGGCGCAGCAGCGATGACTACGGGCTGTGGCGTGACCAGATTAGCGCTTCGTCGCTCCGCTGCTGTTGGCGTCGCTGTGGTCTCCGACCCCAAAGCTGGACTGCGGAGCTGGCGCGTATTACTCTTCAAGCTTGTGAGGCGCTCCCGCGTCGACCTTTGCGTAGGTGTACCGTGAGCTCCGTCTGATGAGTCCTCAAAATGGCTCTGCAGGGGCTCGAGCGGTGGAAGTTTCGGTGCTGCTTGCTGAGACGGAGAGACCGTAGTCTTTGGTCGGCGAGACGGGCTGTCTTGGCTTTCCGGCTCCAGAATGGTAACCTTCTTCTTCTGCTCCTTGGCCTTCTCCCTCATCTGCGGAGAACTTTTGCTTGATCTCAAGAACCTTTTCCTTGTACTCGAACCGTTACTCTCCTGCTGTTCATCTGGTGAGCGTCGTGGCGGGCTACCCTGCACGGGCTCGTGGAGCCCACTGTGCCTCCCGCCACCCACACCTAGCAGGCGGGAAGAAGCTCTAGTGAATCGCTTCTTCGCCCCGGTCTCACTCACCGGTCCGGCCTGGAAAAGCTCGTACCGAGACATGAGGTCTCTTGCTCGTGGGGACGGGAGAGTCGGGGACGAAGAATGCGCTTCGCCTCCGCCGAGACAGGAGGGAGAACGACCTCCGCTCCCCGTACCACTGACTGTGCCTCGCCCTTCGATACTCTGGTCAAACTCTCGGCGCCAGGCTTGTCGCTCCTCCTCCAACTCGCGACCTTGACGCAGCACCGTATCCAGGTCGAGGGAGGAACGAAGGCTGCTCTCCTCTGAAGACAGGGACGAGCCGCTGGTGCTTGGGTCGAGAGCTGGTGTTCGGGGCCCACCCTGAGCGTCGTCGCTGGGACCCTGCACCGAGAGGAGTTGGGTGGGGGAAGGAGGCTCACTATTACTGCGAGCACGCCCGCTGGCGCCGCTTTCTGCCGATGAGCGCCCCACCGAGCCAGCGATGATGGGCAGCGGTGGTGGAGGGCGATGGTGCCCGGTGAAGCGTCGGCGTCCCTTGCTACCCTGAGCCCCCGCCGTGCTCCGCAAGTCAGGCGTGCTTGCCGTTGCCAGGGCCGAGAGGCTTTTGTTGGGTCGCCTGTTCCTCTCAAACGAGATTGCCCTAGGCGTCTTCCTGCCTTCGCCACCTTCCATGTCGCTGTCCCTGCCAAGGCACCCCGACGTACTCGACCTCCTGCTTTCGTCGTAGCGCTGCACGCTCAGAGAGGGTTTGGGCATGAACACCTGCTCACACCCATTCTTTGCCGTGAGCACGCCCTCCTGCTCAAACACCCGATCGTAGTCCCGAAGCTCGGCGAGATGGAGCGCCTGAAGCTCGAGGTATTTGGCGCGCGCCGAGGCCACAAAGGCGTCGCGATGTCGCTCTTCGCTGGCCGTGCTAGTTGTGGAAACGCTGAACTCGCTCATGTGGGGGGAGGGTTGGGGTTGGCGAAGGGAGTTGACGCTGGGCCCTTGAGTCGAGACTGCTGACGTGCTGGGCAGATTGGGCTTGCGAGTCGGGGTTGGGGTCGGGAGTGCAAGATTGTCACTGCCGGAGATGGAGCCGGGGATCGGCGAGAGTGGTGGTCTTTCCTGGCTTGACCTGGATGGCGGCTGCGGCACGGCAGAAATCTGAGAAGTTGGAGTAGACGTCGGCTTGAGATGGTCGTCGGTCTCTTCCAGCATTTCCACCGCAGCTGACACCGATCTGGGAGGGGATGGGTGCAGCTGAACGATCGGTGGGGATGGGTGCAGCTGAACCTCAACCTGCGCAGAGCGATCCCCATCTGACGTACGAGGTAGCTCTGAGAAGGAGCCGAAGCTCGGGCTCACTGGGACATCCGGCCCAGTCGAAGTGCGCGGCTCCGCTCCTGCCGCGAGCAACGTCGCCGCAGCTGATGGCGTTCCGCTGTTCTCATCAGTATTGGGTGATCCAGCCGATGAGGCGGTGTCCGCCACGTTGACATTGCGTCCCTCGTGCAGCTTCAAGAGCATCATCGATGGGCTCGGGTGGGAGGGCAATGACGTTTGCGAACTCTTCTGGCTACGCGCCCAAGTCCCCGTTGTCCCCGCCGTAGATGACACGGTGCCGTGCCCAGTGCCAGAGTCGGAGCTGAGCGTCGCCGTAGACGGAGGACGATAGGCGCGGCCATGTGCGGAATGCGGCGGAATGTTGTACGTGTGCGATGAGCCGGATGAGGCCGAAGATTGCATCTGATGACCGCTTGTCGATGTTGTTGCTGGACCTTGATAGAGGCTGCCGAGAATAGCGCGATTGCTACTGCTGTTGTTGTCACGCTCGCGAAGGATGCTTTGCCATGAGTGCCATGAAGGAGAAGAAGGACTAATGCTTGATTCGCCGAAGGAAGACGATGAAGAAGGGGGCAGACCCGGGTTCATCGATGCTGGTAAGCCATACGGATTGGCAGATGCCGACGTGGGCGGCGATGAATGTGCGAATGTAGAAGCTTTGCGCTCATGAGAGTACGAGGTGGGTAACCCTCCGCCAAAAGCGAGAGGGGGCCAGGGAAAGGCTGAGCTCGTCCTGTTTGGCGGCACAGGCGAAGTGCCGTGCTCTTGTCGCCACGTAGAGGATGAGGCTCGCTGCGGCAGCGTGCGGTCGCGATCGCGATCGCCGTCGCGTTCTGGCTGGTCTGAAGACATGTTGTCGAGCGAGACCTATTGCCTTCCTTCCTGCCTGCCTGCCGCGCGGCGAGAACTGCTCGATTCGATGGGTGTAGAGTAGAGAGCAAAGAGGATGGAGCGCGAGGTAGGAGAGACTCGAAGAAAGGCCGAAGAGGGAGAGGGGCTTTGCGATGCCTGCTGATTAGTGATGCGCTTGCGGCTCCTGAGGCGGGCTAATCACCTGCAACTTTCAGGGCGACATGAGTCGGGGCTGGGCCGGGGGCGCCGTGGGTTGCGAGGATGCGACAATCCGGGAAGGAAACAAAGGATGAAAGGATGCGTCGCTGTTGAGGATCGATGAGTGAACAAATGGATCAAGGTACCAATGAGCATTCGAGTAGGGACCAAAGAGGACTTGCTAAGGTTGAAGAGTAAGTCGTCGCTGAGCTTTGACCGTGGGCGTTGGGCGCTCCTCGCTACTTTGCGAGCTGGGCGTCGCAACGAGTCGTCGTCAAATGAGTGGGCGTGCGTTCGTGAAGTGCAGGCGGGGCAACCACCCCGTCGCTGCTCTGATTCCTAGCAAGGTAAGTTGCAACTCTGCTGTCGAGGAGAGATACGAGGCGAATAGGTGAGGCGACGGCGACGATTGAAGCCGAGGGCGCTACAGTGTCGTCGGGCGTGGCGATAGGAGGGCGGGCCAAAGCGGAGTGACTTGCAAGATGCAAGACTTGTGAAGCTGAGTCAATGTACCCTAGGTCAGTCCCTGCCATGCTTAGGGAAACGTCCCGTCTCTACCTTAGCGTCTAAGTCGTTCCGATGTGATCGCTGATGGTGCTTCTGTGAAGAAGGTCTAGTGCTGACCCGACTTCTGTCAGAGGAGAGAGTGAGTGGCGAAGGGGCACTGGCTTTGAGCGAATGCCCGAGCCCCTTGGCGCGGGTGGCCCGCTGCATGAAAGGCAAGAGTGGGCGCGAAGCCTGAGCCAGCCCAGCCTGCCTGCAGTCATTCTCAGCAAGGCGACTGGGCCGATCAGATCTGCGCCCTCGCGTCTGCCGTAGATGCTAACAAACAAATGCCACACGCGCCTTGCGGGGGAAGCGAGCTTTGATGGTGAGCTGATGGGCTTCTATGCAGACGTCGAAGGGGAGACAATTCGTGCCGCTGGAGCAGGAAATTGCCGCATATAGGCAGGATGATTCATTACTGCTTGGTGATATGCACAAGTGGGCGTGTCTCGCTACACATACCTCTCCCCCCTCAATTCTTGCTTTCTTCCTATTTGCCGTCGACAGCATGACATGACAGGTCGCCAAGGCAAGCCACTCTAGGCTCTGCCTTGACGTGCAACAAATCCTGCGACGTCTCCCATGGATACCCCGGCATTGCCTCACTTTGCTCCTCCATTCCACCGTCACCATCACGACGGCGCAACCCAAAAGCTCAGTGCCGCCACGGCGTAAAGCGCGAGCAGCATCGCCCCCTCCATGTAGTTGCTCCTGCCATCCTGAAGCAAGCTGTTGATGAGCACGACTGCACTGACCGAGATGACGACCTCGAACGTCTGGAAGTACAAGGTCAGAGGCTGCCCGATCGCCCAGCCGATGATGACCAGCGTGGGGAGCAGACCCATTGCGATCTGGATTGACGAGCCGACCGAGACGCCGATTGCGATTTCCATCTTGCCCTTGTAGGCCATCACACAGCTCGTAACGTGCTCTGCCGCGTTGCCCACAACGGGGAGGAGGATGGTAGAGATGAAGGCCTTGGGGATTGAGTACTCTTGCGCCGTCTCGTCGATTGCGCCTACGAGGTAGTCGGCGGAGAAGGATGTGATGACCGTGATGAGGGCCAGGGCTGCAACAGCTGCGGGAGGCGTCATCTCGGGGATTTCGGGCTCCTCCTCTTGGTCTTCTTCGGCGTCGTAAAGGAAAGAGTGGGTGCGCAGCTGGAATACGAGGTATAGGCAGTAGACGAGGACGAGGACGACGGATGTACCGCGCGAGATGAAGATGATGCCATGCTCTGCGGGGTCCTCCTTGAGGAGGGCGAGAGCGCGCTCACTGCCGGCGTCAGGGCCGAAGAGGGCCTGCGCGTTTGGAGAGAATGAGATGTTGGTCAGCTATGAACGGCTTGCCGCCATCCGGGCTCTCGATGCTCGCACTCACGTTCATTCTGATGCCTCCTTGGTAAGCAGCGGGGAGCGCAACAGCGACAACGCTGAGCATCATGATACTAGCGGATGCCTGAGCAGCCGTCTGCTGGAAGGTGCTCTCGGCGTGATGGATACCTCCGCAAACGAAAGACATGCCGAGGACGAGGAGCAGATTCGACAGGATAGAACCAATCAAAGATTGCTGAACAATGCGCAGCTGACCCTGGATGAGCGCGACGATGCCCACGATGAGCTCGACGGCGTTGCCGAATGTAGCATTGAGTAGGCCGCCGAGCGTGGGGCCCAGCTTGAGCGCTGATTGCTCAGTGGCATCACCGAGGAGCTTCGCCAATGGGATGATGGCGAGGAAGTTGAGAGAGAAGATCCAGACTGCAGGCCAGTGCAGCTTCTCAGCTACGATTCCCATGGGTACGAAGACGAGAAGGAGGTTTAGCCACGAGTTGGTCAAGAGCCACCAGAAGGACGAGAGCGTGTTGGGATGACCCTCGGGTGGGTTCAGGATGCTGTTGCCCGACGGATAGGACTGAGGGCGCTGCGGGTGCGAGGCGGAGGAGGCAACGATTGAGTGACGAGAGCCTGACTACCTGTCTACGCTGCGATGCTCACGTGCATGGGTAGCCCGTTGTCATTGGAGTCGTTGTTGCCCACAAGGGGCGTCCTTTCGTTGGCTGGCATTGTGAGGCAGCTGGTTGAGATGCAAGATCCTGACGTCTGGCGTGAGACAAGGTTCTGTCAAGCTGCAGAGCCGGCTAAGAGGCTCAGAGGCTGCCTTTATAGAGTGCCGAAGGATTGCGGGTGCGAGGTGTCGTAGCAGACCAAGATGCTCGTGCGCTTTAAGGAGCCTTCTGTCGCGCAATTGCTCTAGCTTAGATTGAAGCACAGCTTGGATGGGTCAAGTGGTAAAGCAAGGAAGGAGCGAGGAAGCCGGTCGACCGAACAAGGGGGGCCAAGCAAGGCGGTGTTGCCAATCTCGTCGCGGGGGGACCTCGGTCTGAGAAAGCGGCTTCGCTGCTCGTTGATCGACGATGCGGTCATGCGTCACTCAAGTCGCTCCGGTCTGTCGCGTGGGCTGCAGCGGACCTGCCGGTCTCTGTCTTGGCAAGGGCAGGGCGATTTTAGAATTGGCCTCGAGCGAGCGCGACGAGAGCGACTCACGACGATGCGATCCAGGGCAAAGTGGACGGCGGCGGTTGGCGGGGCGCAACTCACCACGCAACGTGGCCCTCTGTTCCCGCGTTTTGAGAGCGCGAGCCAGGCAGGTGAGGTTGAGTGAGATGGAGCCACGGGCCACCACTCCGCGCCTCTCAAGACAACCTCCGGCGGCCGCCCGTTGCCCCCTTTGCAGCGGCCAGACCAACACCTGCTGACGTCCATCTCTGACACAACTCAACCAAGCAACATCAACTCGCATCTGACGCCCAGATTACCATCCGCAGCAGCTCGATGGCGATTGCTTTCGCTCTTTGTCATCGACGCTTTACGCAACGACCATCATACGTTCCTGATACCACAAAGGCCTCAGTCCCGCTCGTCCCGCCCGCCCGCCGGCCCGTACGTGCGCCCTGACCCGAGCCCACACTTCACTTTGCTGCGAGACTTCGACAACATGGACCGCCAGTCAGCGGCAACGCCGCCGCCGCCGTCACAGGCTCCTCAGTCGCCTCCATCATCGTATCACCGCGATCGCGCATTGAGGGCGACAAGCAGCAGCGGCAGCAGCAGCAACGGTAGCAGACCAGGCTCGCCCCCGATTTCAGGCTCCCAGACATCATCGTTAGGCGCGGGAGGCAGCAGCCTCTTTGGCTGGGTGAAATCGGCATTCTCTGCCCCCAATCGCGCTGGCTCTTCTTCGCCGAGATCAGCAACTCCTAAGCAGCTCGATACGGCGCCGACGACGTCAGCAACTCCCGCTGCGTCAGGCAGGACGATGTCAGGTCTGTCAGGCAAATCGTCGCTGCCATCACGACACCTCGAGGCTGAGTTTCAGCGACGGGGATCAAATGTCTCTGGGTCGTCGATTGGAGACGGCTCGTCGCTTGGACATGGCTCCATCGATGAAGATGAAACTGCAGTCACAGACTCGGACGAGGACGAGGAGCTCTACATTCCCTTTTCTTCGTCAGACCCAGTCGACATAGCGGCAAACGCGGCGGCGAAACCAGCTGGGAACGACGATGCGGGCGCATCTGCCCCTACTGGCGTCGTCCGTCCGACTGCAAGGCGGACAGTGAGCTTGGATCATGGAGACAAGGAGGAGCTCGACGCAGAAGTCGCTCGATTGAGCCTGGCAGCAAGAGACAAATCGCGTCGACGCCCACAGGACGGAGTACGCCCGACCACAAGCCGCGCATTGACAGTCGATGAAGGTGAGCCGCGACAAGCTAGGCTGCAACCCGGACAACCGTCTGACGCTAGCTCTCCTACTCCGTTAGCGCAAACGGGTGCCGTCGTCTCGGACGCTCGCGCCGCAATGGAGCCTCCGAGCCTTGTGCTTACTCCACCAGATAGCAGAAGCTCTGAAGAGATCACTTCGCCCCTCGTTGCCGGCTGGTCAAGCTCGGACTCGTCCTCTGATGCGCAAACATATGAAAGAAGTGCTGCCGCAGGTGACGGCGAGAGCATAGAGGCAGCCACAGGAGAAGTCCCGCGCCCAACGAAGGAGATGGTCGTTTTGGGCAGCAGAGCAGCTGCGATGCGGTCGATGAAGGAAGAGGACGAGGACGAGGACGACGCCGAGACAAGTCCCATCGCTGCGGCCTCGGCGGAAGAGTGGGACGAATCGAGAAGCAAAACGCCGAGAGTACTCGCAGACATTCTGGGCCAGCCACCTGCCGCGCCACGCCTACCCTCAAACATGCCTGCATACAAGGGTGGAGATGACCTTGAAGACGTAACAACGCCGACGGACGAGTTCCCCCAGCAACAACGCGATCTCAGCGCTGTTGCTCAGGAGATCAGTGACTCGGCAGCGCCGACGCCAAAGCCAGATCAAGGAGGAAGAAACTTCTCGACCGGACAGGAGAGTGGCCATCAGCGCTGGTCGGCAAGCGAGCCAGGCTACGACGCTTCGATCCTCAAGGCACCCAAGGCAGTTGCTCCGGCTCGTCGACGATTCTTTGGCGGCGGGCGACGACGTGCCGACAGCGCCGAGAAATCCTTCGAGTCTGTCACTGCTGGAGACGATGCTGCGCAGGCAGATGACAGCGGCAGTGGAGCTGATGCTGTGCCGCGGAGAAACAGAGTTCTCTCAGGCTCATCCTCAGCTGCGTCCTTCTGGCGTAGGGCAAGGAAGCCTTCCGAAACCAGCCCACGTCCAAGCACGAGCTACCACTCCATGTCGGCGTCCTCAAGCGCTGCGTCCGGTATGAGCATCGAGATCCCAGACTCAGAGACGGCCAACTCGTCAGTCTCTGGCAGTCGTGCGCCCTCTATCGCTGCAAGCAGCACGAGCGCATCTTGGGCGCCAGCTCCGACGAAAAAGGTCAAAATCAAAGCCTCAGGCGGCGGCCTATGCGGTGGTCTCAACCCGCGCAAAATCAAAAGCAGAGCAAAGGGCAAGTCGAGCGTCGATCGCCAATTCAGCCGTCTCTATCTCGCGCAAGAGCTCGATCTCGGCTTGCTTTCACCAGAAGAGAGCAGTGTAGCGCCCAGCGCTTCTTCCTCGAGCACACGCGTCGACGAGCCGCTCAATGCCTCTGTCAGCGGCGAATTTGGCCAGCTCAAACGCGATGCCGCTGCCCCGCCAAACGAGCGTCCGCGTCTAGGCTCAGCGAACAGCCAATCAAGCATGCAATCCTCCCTCTCCACGTCTAGCACGACAGCGGCCTTCTCCACTACGTCGCATAGCACCACGGGATCATACGGCGCGCATGGCAAGAAAAAGGCGACTTGGGCGCTCAAATTCAGCTTGGACGGCAAGTATCTCGCTGTAGCAGGGCAGGACGCTGTTGTGCGGGTATTCCAGGTACTGGACAATGTGGAGAAGAGAGATGCGGAGCTGAGGGAGAGCAGGGCGAGGGCGGAAGCATTGATCTACGCTGAGGGCAGCTTCTCGGCCAGCCACGACTCCTTCGGGTCGCTTCGCAGCAAGAACTCTGCAGGCGCACCCTCCTCATCCGCCTCAGGTCCCGCCGGAAGCTTCGGCCGCAGTAAAAGGGGCAGCACCAAGGAAGACCCCTCCCTCCTGCCCCTACGGCACATCCCCGTCTTCGCGTCCAAGCCCGTCCGCGAGTTTCGCGGCCACACATCCGACGTGCTTAGCTTGGACTGGAGCAAGAACAACTTCCTTCTCTCCAGCTCAATGGACAAGACAGTCAAAGTGTGGCATCTCAGCAAGCCAGACTGCCTGATCACGTTCGGGCATGGCGACTTTGTGACCTCGGCGGTATTCCATCCCAAAGATGACAGATTCTTCCTCAGCGGGTCGCTGGACGGGAAGCTGCGACTGTGGAACATTGCGGCGAAGCGTGTTCAAGCATCAGCGGACGTGCCTGGGCTCATCACCGCGACAAGCTTTTCTGCTTCAGGCAGTACGGCAATAGCGGGCACCTTCTCAGGCGCTTTGCTCTTCTACGGCACGGAGGACCTTACTTACCAGTCATCGATTGCCGTCCGCAGTTCATCTGGCAAGAATGCTCGAGGTCGCAAGATTACCGGAATTGAAGCAGTCGGCGCTCCTCAGCACCCGACCACCTCTGGCTCATCGTCCTCATCGTCGCGCGTAGAAGAGAAGATCCTGATCAGCAGCAATGACTCTCGCATTCGGGTCTATTCCCTCACGGACAAGAGACTCACGGCGAAATATCGTGGCTCTACGTACCTGAACCGCACGAGCCAGATCAGGGCAAGCACGGCGGATGATGCGTATGTGGTTGCCGGCTCAGAGTCTGGGGAAGTGTACATCTGGGATGTCACGAGGGATGATGTTGGCGGCGGTGGAGCGCGAGAGAGTAGTCGCAACGATGGAAGCTCCAGCGGCGGCGGTGGAGGGCTGTCGAGTCTTCTCGCCCGCCGTTCCAACAAGGGAGCAAGCAGTAGCGGGGCAAGCGTAAAGTCGTCTTCCAGCAGCGCTAACGTCGCTTCTGCCTCCTTGCGCAGCTCGGAGGTGTGCGAGTACTGGACGGCCGCGGAAGGCGCGAGGCCGGTCACCGTAGCACTGCTGGCGCCTTTGAAAACACATGCGTACTTGTGCGAATGCGAGGACCCCGTGGAGCTGCACAGGGCGACTGTCGATGCTGCGGGAGGGAGAGAAACGGGCGCCACGACGGCCCTCTCTGCGCTAGGTCTCGCAAGCGCCTTGGGAGCTGCGATGCCTACTCCACTCCGCTCTCAATCACCAACAAGCAGCAGTGACGGCGGGCATCCCCGCGGCGGCGGCCAGAATGGCAGCACCACCAGCCTTGGCAGTACCAAAGGGGGCTCCTCCTCACCTCAGCCTCCAGGCTGGAATCCCAGGGAGAATCGTATCGTGGTCAGCGTGGATGAGAGTCAGGTGCTCAGGGTATGGAGGGCACTGAGGGATGAGAAGGCTGTTGTTGAGTGATGCGATGGAGGACAAGGGAGGCGTTGGGCGATCGGCTCGGTATGGAGCCATGCTCCGGATTCGGCGTTTCTTGGGCGCGTCATCATTTCGGCTCGACTCTACCTTATGCCTCTTTCGTCACCTTGCCTGCCGTTCTCTTGTGCTTCAGCCTGCTCGACGAAACGCATCACATTGCATCGGGCGCTCTTGCCCACACTTACTTCCACGCCGCCTGCCCGTAGCATGGCTCACTTGACGTTCAGTTTGTCGTTTGCCATTTCCAATCGCGCAGATACCTGGAGCAAAGCCTGGCTATTGAAGATAGAGGTCTCAGTGGATATAAGCTACAATTCGGGTGGTGGGGAAGCGAGAAAAGAGGGAAAGCGGCGACCAAATGAAGAGAACAAATGTTGCGGGAGGAATGTGGCGGCGCAACGCGACTCCAGCCGTGAGGTAGCGAGCGTGAGGGGGTGCATAGACGTGTGTGTGTGCGCTGTTGTGAGATGACGAGATGAGGGGCGCGAGGCAGAGTGCAGCAGTAGATCGTGTATGCCGCCGCTCAGCTAACCGGACGCTCGTCGGATGTGGTGACCCCATCTTGCTTCTCGGTGATGCTGATGGCTCGTGCGGTGACGGGGCCTTTTATTGATTGGAGGCGTGAGGATGTTGAGGATATCATGTTGTAGGTGCCGCTCGCTCTATTCTTCTGTGCTTGGTTTCATCGCGAGAGTCTCGCTCATGGTATCTGCGCCTATGCGCCTCAATGCCTTGCCTGATCGATGCCCCCTCGCCCAGTCAGCGTCGCATCCCGCGAGCCCAGATCGCTCCCAATGGCAAACCAGTCGGACGACGTATTGAGGTGGCTACCCATGCGCTCCAGGCCTCCATCTCCTGATTCGCCATCCAGTGTCATGTGGATGCGAGGAGTGAGTCGACCCGTTTGCTGCAGAGTAGGCGACGCCAAGGTTGTGCTCGTGGGCTGCTGTTGGTCATGACGCATCAGGTGGCTCATCGAGTCCGAAGAGAGGAACTGCGAGGGGGCGTCTGACTCGCGTTCCAAGTGCGAGAACTGCTTTGGTAGCGGTGGACGAGAGCGTCGGCGGTCATTCTGCTGCTCAGCCCCATCTTGACGGGAAGGCGACATGGTGGAGGCAGAGGAGGAGGGGACGACTTGCTGCGTCGCGCTGCTGCTCTTTTCCTGCGACTTTTCTCCCGTCCTTCTCCTGCTGAGTGATGGCATGCGAGCGGGTGGTGGCATCGAGTTGCGAATGCCGTGCTCGCTGTCATTGAAGTCGGGCAGGGGAACGTCCTTCATGAAGAAGCATGCTATGACGCCCACAGCGCACAGAGGGATGAAGAAGAGGAAGGAGGAGCGCAACGCCGAAGCAAAGGCTGGCTTTACGGCGGCTTGCAGCTCAGGCGGCAGCTTCTTGAGTTCGGTAGCGAACCCGAGCGCCGTCTGGCCTGTGAGACCAACTTCCTTCGCTCCAGGGATGGCAGCGAGCTTGGGCGAGACCTTGGAGGTGAAGATGGCCGTGGCGATCGCAATGCCCCAGACGCTGCCGAAGGAGCGCGAGAAGGCGAAAGTGGCCGTCGCATGGGCGATCTCTGATACGGGGAGGCAGGCTTGGATCGGAGGGAGTGTGAGGGCAAAGATTGCTCCAATGGCAATTCCGGCAATGAGCTGGAATATGACCCACTCCCACTTGGGCGTGTCGATGTCGAAAAGGTAGATCAAGCCGAACCCGACGGTCATGAGCATCCACCAGAGGATCATCTGGATCTTGTACTTGCCGGTGATGGCCATGATGAGACCAGCGACAACAGCAGCTGGAGCTGCGGGCGAGGTCGAGGGCAGGATGTCGAAAGCCGACTGAAGAGGGCTCGCATCCTTGATCGACTGAAAGTAGATGGGCATCACGTACACAGCGCCGTAAAAGACGATGCCGTGCAGAAAAGTGAGGAAGAAGGAGATGGCGGCCGTCGGGTGAACAAAGAGGCGCAGTGGCAGAATCGGGTCCTTTGCCAGAGGATTGGGCAGGAATTCGATGAGAAAGAAGGCAATGAGGCCGATGATGCCGACGACAAGCGGCACGTAAATGCGAGTGCTGCTCCACGGGTGCTCGATGCCTCCCTCGGTGACGGCGATGAGGATCGAAACGACACTGCCGAAGAGGACGAAGTTTCCGAAGATGTCCATGCGGTGGAACTGGGCCTTGAGATCCATGGGAGGACGCCTGAGCTTGAGGAAGGGCACGCAAAGGATGCTGGCAAAGCCGCCGATGGGTAGGCTTCACGCGGGAGGAGGAAGGGGAGGAAAGTGTCAGCACCGTGTTGCATATATGCTCTCGTCGTGTCGAGCCAGACTCACTTGAGCCAAAAGATCCAGCGCCAGTCGTGCTTGCTGAAGACGCCGCCGAGGATAGGAGCAACGAGGGACGAGATAGCGAATACGAGACCCATTGCGCCCATGTACAGACCTCTTTCTCGCAGCGTCGTGATGTCGGAGATGATGATCTCGACGATGGCCTGAATTCCACCGCCTCCGACTCCCTGCACGCCACGGCCAACGACGAGAATGAGCATGTCCTTTGCGAGAGCGCAGATGACGGATCCGCCGAGGAAGAAGAAGATGGAGAGGAGGAGCGAGTTACGACGACCAAGAACGTCGGCAAGACCGCCCATGAGAGGCTGAAAGGCCGTGACGGTAAGGAGGAAGGAAGAGGTGACCCACGTACCCGAAATGGAGCTACGTGGCAATTCTTCGATGATGGTAGGCAAGGCCGTGCTGATGATGGTGAGATCAATAGCGGAGAGGAACATGACGACCATGAGTGTGGTCATGATGAGCCAAAAGCGCATGCCCTTCTTGTTGCCCGCCTGCATGGTAGGCTGTGCATCCTGCTGATGCCGCTGAACTCCAGTCTCATCTGCGTTGCTGCTTGAGTGATCGAATGAGGAAGAGTGGTTGTGGTGGTGTCGCGCCTCGCCGTATGTCAGGACGCGCCCGTCAACGTTTCCTGTACTGGAGAAGCGCTTGGAGTCGGAGAAGCGATATGAGGGGCTGGTGTTGTGGTGATCCTTCATCTGGGGGCTACCGACGAGGGTGTGAGCCGGCGAGTAAGGAGCATCAAAGGGCCCCTTGGCCTCGTCTTCGGCCGCGATGGGTGAGCTCGGAGGCATGGCCCTGATAGGACGATGGTAGCCGATCGTTGCGCCAGCACCTGGACTGACTGGTGTTGGTGGGGGAGGGTACTGGTGTAGAAAGTAGTCGAAGCCGTCAGGTCCAGCTACGGATTCTTCGAGGTACGGATGGGTGTTGTAGGAGACTGAAGACTGAGGTTGAGATTGTGACTGAGCGTAAGGGTGAGGTTGACGGGGAGTTGAGGAAGGCAAGAAGCGCCTCATGTCCGCGGCATCGTGCTCGTAGAGCGAGCCAGTCGAGTCCATTCTGAGCCACAAGCAGCCAATGTGGGGAAAGTGACTAGCCTGTCAGCTGGGAACGAATCGTGGGTGGGCCTTGGCACTGCCTCGCACTCAATGCGATGCAGTCTTGGTGATCACACGGCAAGTCGGGCGAACTTGGTACCTGCAACGATGCGGCCAAGCTCAAACTCTGGCGAGGGAGCGAGAGCGCGAGGTTACTATGGGCCTACCAGCGTGGTGAGAACAGAGTAGGCGTCCTTTCGGCTCAATACCACGGCACGATGACGGCCAGCTCAGCGAGGGCGGCGGCGGGTGGGCTGCTAGTGGTACGCCTGTTCGTCGATGCGAGTTGAGCTCGGGTGTCGTTGCTGAGAGCGACTTGTGAAAGAGTGTGAAGCGCGGTAATCTCGAAGAGGAAGGGAGAGGGAGGAGAAGGAGGAGTAGCAGCAAGAGGAGAGAGAGGGAGCTCAAGGTTCGGTTTCTCCTCCTGTGCTGCTGTCGTCGCTGTCTGCCGTGCCGTACGTTTGACTTCGCGTGTGTGTGTGCGGTGCGTTGATGAGCTGCTACTCGGATCTCAACGTCAATTAGAGTACGAGGTGCGTCGCGAGCAGACGAGTGGGAGGGGGCGTGGTGATGCGAAGAGGGGGAGACGAGGGCACGATAGGAGAGGAGCGTGAGGAGAGGAGAGGAGGTGAAGGATCGAGGTGCGTACCCCCAATCCCTTCCTTGGCTCTGCCTCCTGAATCTGAGCCAAGCTTCCGTCGTCGTCCCGCTCGACACTCGACACGCTCCGGCTTGTGTGTGCGTCGTCGATCATTGATTGCTGTTTTGGCTGGCTCGCTTGACATGAATTGGTTTCTGTTGCGTTGCATCTGCCTTCTCTCTCGGGCGGGGACCAACTCCGCCGCCTGCGCCCTTGGCCGCCCGCCGCTGCGCCCAACACTCACGTACGGCAAGGCAAGGCGAGGCTGGCCGGCGTGAATGCGCCTTTGACCCGCACGCCGCCCCGCCAACCAACGCACGCACGCCGCTCGAGATGGAGCGAGGCGCAAGGGATGAGCGGGCACGCGCCAAGCTGGAGTCCGGGCGGCTGCCACAACGAGCATTTCTGGGTAGAAGAGGCTAGCAGTCGTCGTCCGAATTAGCAGCGCCTTCGAAAGACGCCGTACCATGAGCGACAAAGGGGGGATAGAAGCCTCGTAGCAACGACAGCAACGACTTTAGGGGCGCGATGTTGACGCCAAAGAGCATGAGCGATACGTGTCTCGCAATGGCTTGGCAGCATTGAGGGGGCGATCGAAGGGGCTCGAGCTTTGTTCGGGAGGCACGAGCGTCGACCAGGCACAGGGGGGTCCGAGCTCGGCCACGAGCAGGGGCCGTAGCATGCTCTTGCGCAGGTAGGCACAGAAGATGGCCTGATCCACAGCAAGTCTTGCAATCGTGCTACAGGTCTCGAAAGTTTCTCGGTTTGTTGAGCGTGAGAAGCTCGTATGGATAATCGTATCTTTAATATGGCAGGCATGAGTGGTGGCCGTGCGAGCGAGGGCGTGGCGCGAAGGAGATCATAACTGGGCAGGCGACCAGAGGCGCGAGGGTTCGTGTCAAACGATAACAATGGATGAGGTATCCATCCTCATGACGGCGATCAAGTGTCCTTCAACGAATCCATTGAGCAGTGATAGACGACGGCGAGGGCAATTTGACTCGACGATGACTAGAGCTGCGGGTGGTACGGGCGCCAACAGCCTTCTGACTGCAGCGCAGCAATTCCTCTGACGAGCGCCAGATAGCTCGTATCAGTCACGACATCAGTCACGACATCGCTCAGTCGTGCTCATTCGTTCGACGTCGTTTCAGGTCATCGATGATGATTCGAGAGCATCAAAGGTGACCACCTTCATCGCCGCTTCCAAGCCTTAACTCCGTGGGTGCGGCCTGCCTCTGCTGGCAGACGGACAGCGCCGGCCTCCACCGCGCGCGAGAAGAGTTGACGCGGCGAATGGTGCGACGGACGTCGTCGTCTCACTCATCACCGCACCCTCCTCATTAGCATCCTCAACTCAGCTTTACTACAAGAGGTGCGCGGACGAAAGAGGCCTGATTGACTTCTACACCAGCTTATCATCGCTCTGCAACCCTTCACAGCTTCCATCATGGGCGTCACTGAGATCAAGTCATTCGAACAATTCAAGGAGGTCATCGGCGGCTCCAAGCCCACGATCATCGACTTCTGGGCAACCTGGTGCGTTCACATTCGCCACCCGCGCTGGCTGAGATAGGCAGCTGCTCACTAACCCCTCGCAATCCTTTGCTTTCCCTTGGCTCACACAGGTGTGGTCCCTGCAAGATGATCTCTCCCATCTTTGAGAAGATTTCAGACACGCCCGTCGGCGAGAAGCTCGGTTTCTACAAGGTCGACGTAGACGACCAGGAGCAAATCACCCAGGAGCTGGGTATTCGTGCCATGCCCACGTTCGTCGTCTTCAAGGACGGAGACAAGATTGACACCGTCGTCGGCGCTGATCCCGCTAAGCTTCAGGTGAGTTTGCGGCGATGATAATTGGCCCGGGATGGGAAAGCGTTGGGGAGGCAAGATAGGACGCTCGGTCCACAGTAGCCGTGATGCGCGGCGAGGCCAGGCAGGTCAGCGCAGCTGAGCGGAGAGGGAGCGAAGTCACGGAGCAAGCAGCATGCGTACGGTAGCATCGCACTCGTCGAGCACAGTTTAGCTGACCTGCTCATGGCCCACTTCCCTCCATCGTCTCGACCCTGTTCGCTGCACAGGCCGCCATCAGCAAGTACGGCGCATAAAGTTGACACTCACTTGACAAGCTGGTATCTTCGGGTAGCGAATGCCCACTTTCTCAACTCGAAACCCTCGATGCACTTTAATCAGAATGACCTTGTCGGGCACGCGTGGGTGTATCAAGGCCCTCAGAAAGTGATAACGGGAAATCTTGGAAAGTTTTGAGGGTGCAGTTCACTCATCACTGGGAAGTTCTGGCAGATCTTCGCGAAACCTGCGTCGCCGCCGCCGGTAGTATTGCGTATGATGGCTTCGCAACCTCCGATTACCACAAACGATGGTATCGTCGCTGTGCATGAAGCAGCCGTACGAGCTTGAGATTATCGAACTCGTGCGACTTTCGCTGTGTCCGAAACTTGGTGCACCTGAGGACTTTCAGAGGTCTTAGAGTCGCACGTGAGCGCAGGTATGATACGCTCATCGTTGCATCATCGGAGCACCGCCGAGACGCCACGTTCGTTCCCAACAAGGATGTCGCGGCCTTGACAATGGGAGGGTGACAAGCCATAGCCAAGCTCTCCCACCGGCAACGCGGACACACTGTCGCCGTATTGGCGAGCAATGTGAGCGGGTACATGATCGAGATTGAGCGGTGACCCTTGCTACTTTGTCCCTGCGACCAGCAGGCAATGAATGTCGTTCATCGCCCCGTAGGCGGGAGGCTGAAGCGAAGGGCGGGGACGGCATTCGTGTCCAAACCTTCACCAGCTTTCACGAAGATCAGTATCAGAGGCTCGAGAGTTAAGCTCCAGAGCTTGCAATGATCTCAATGTCATCAGCAAGAGGGTGACATGCGAGTCACCGAAGAATAGGCAGGCGTAGCCCTTGCCGGGCGAGAGAAGTTTTGAATGCAGGACCATGGTAGCTCTCGACGCCTGCAGGCAACGCTCAAACTCGCTATGTCTAGCATTCTTGCGCCATCGTCTCATCGAGGAGCTACTGCAGTCCACGCAGGACGCCAAAACTCGAGGGTTGAGTGAGCCCAACGTCACACCAGGCTGGACGTCAATTTGGAGGCAGGCCACGAATACGCATCGGGACGTCGACAGTCGAGTGAAGTTCATTGGATGAGCAGGGTAGTCAATGAAGTTGTCGCTGTCGCTCGGTCGGGCAAGCTTTGGCCGCTCTTTGCCTCTGCGGCCGTACCCAACATCTCGACGACATTAATTTTCCGGCCACTCATTTCACACCCAGGTCTTGGGGGGTCCACCGACGGCCAATTAACCAAGCTCAAGCATCGCATCCCATCGCGTCCGTCCGATCATCCTCCGCTTGAGAGCACTGGTCGTCGCATGAGTTTGCCGGCTAGCTGGCCTAGGTAGGCCAAGCACGCAGAGCCCGCCGAGCAGGCAAGATCAACGATCGACGCCCATCGAGCAAACATCGGATGACCTGGCGCGTAGAGTGCCTGCAAGGCCGCAGCCGAAGGACAGAAGCGCGTGAATGTTTCAAGGGAGCGAGGGAACGGAACGTTGAGGCAATCGTCGACGGCGCGAGCAGAGAGCGATGTTCGCTCGAATGATGACGAGGACGACAACATCAGACGAGCAAACGAGTAGGGCGAAGTCTTCGCTTTGAGCTCTTGTACCCCACTCGCTCGCCCTCCGATCTCTCGTCAAAGACACTTGCTTGCTTGGATGACAAGAGCGTGCGCGCGGCCACCATTCCTTCTCATTGCCTGCGATTGCCTCAGCGACTGGCGCCGCCGCACCCCGCACCGCACGAAAGGTGACGCCCACTCACATGGTATCGTATGCGACAGCAACGACGAGACCAATCAACGCACGACCTAAGCTCGCGAAACCCACACTCTCTGCTACCTGTCGATCGACAAACGATTTCATTAGCGCATCATGGACTGTACCCCAGAGCCGTACGACAGAGTGGTAATGAAGGTAGAGTAGGCGAGCTCACACGCCTGACCGCTTCGATCACCCAGCTTCTTGTTGTCTCTGAAGTCTTCAACTATGATTCGTGCGTTTGATGCTGTGCTGCGAGCGATGTGATTGTGTCGAGGAAGGAAGATTTGCACGCAGCGACGAGGCTTGGTGATTACGAGGGTGAGCAAAGGTCTCTTCGCAGCCCGCTCGTCTTTTTCACCCTTGATAGGAGATTCAAGCAGAGAAAAGAAGGGAGGCGTCTTCGTCGAGAAAAGAGCGGGCTGTGAGCGGGCTGGGAGAGGGGCCAGGTGATTGGAGCGGGGCGCTGGAGCGGGAGGGCGTAACCTGAATCACCGCTGCAGAGAAGCAGGTGGCATTTCACCTCCGCACTGCGAGCTCGACCTCCTGACTCCTCGACTGCTCGTTGCCAACGGCGGATCTCTCGACGTTGCTGCCGCTGCCGCCTCGCTTCGGCGGGCCACATCAACACATCCAGGCTGAGCGTCAGGCCACTGTGGCCGAGTATTTCGAGCGTACGAGAGGCAAGCAGACCCCTTCGTTAGAATCGCAATCGAGGCGACGAAAGAGGGCCGATCCCTCACCCTCCGACGCCCTCCTTCGCTCATTCATCACGTCGTAGATTAGCTTGGCTCAGGGCAAACTGGCCAACTAGGTGTAATGCGATGCAGTCTCTGTCCATGCATTCGCACGAGCAAAGCAGTCGAACCAAGCGTGCGAGACGGCGGAGGTAGCGGCGGCGACGGCGGCGGCAGCGACAGGGACAGGGACGAGGGACGGCAACGAAGATGAAGCCGTGGTGCAACGTAGTCGTGTCGTCGTTGCGAGGCGGGCAATTGACAGGCGGGCAAGCTGACTCCCACCCCACGTCAGAGAGAGAGCAAGCGACAGCCAAGCCTGCCGCTCGCTCAGCTACAGCTATTGGCTGGCCTCGCTCAATACAAGATGAAATGACCCTCGACTCCAGACCCGAGCTCGACTTCCCTTCCCTCCTTACCCTCACTACCATCCCTCACCACTCAAAACCACCACCACTCCTCCCCTCCCCTCCCCTCCCCTCGATCTCCTCTCACCCTCCCGCCCTCTCTGGACCAAACTCCAACACTCGACGACACGCTCAGCTAGCTGCTACCTCAGGGCCGCCTCCAACGTCGCCACACCCTATCAACCCGTACGCCGCCGCTACCAAGCCAGCCGCTACCCGCCGGTGATTGGTATCTTTGTCGTCCTCTTCCGTGCCGCCCACACCTCTCTTGAGATACCATCCCGCTCACACCGCCCCGCCGAGCCGCTCCGCCGCTACCTGCCGGCCCGCATTTCATACCGCCCCTGAGCTGCGTAGCGCTTACCCCCTGGCTCCTCAGCAAGGCGGGCGTAAATACCAACGGACCGCCCCTCTCTCGAGCGAGCAAGCATCGGGCCTCCTCTTGCCAGCAAGCAAGCAAGCAAGACCAAGCGGCTCCTTAGTCGTCGGCATTCGCTCATCATTTGGCTCATAACGGTCTCCTCTTCATCATCGGCCGCCCCACTTCTTTGATTGCACAGCGGCGTCGATTACCATCATCTTCCTCCTTCCTCTCACTTCTCCTCCATCGTCATACACAAACGCGCAATGGCTACCGCAATCGGATCCACCCTCGGCGCTGTCAAGCAGACCTTCTGGGAAGTTTGGGGCGAGCCCGCTCTCACTGCCACTGGTCTGTACGAGCCTCAAGATCGCACTTACGGACGATATGCTATCCCTTTCTCACCCATGGAGCAGCGACTACACGCCAACGCCGACGTCACCGTGTGGTTTGGCAAGGCCATGATGCCCAATGGCAAGGACTTCACATGGTACCAAGTTTGGGAAGACCACGCTGCTCAGAAGCGCACTGGTCGTAAGGCAGATATCCTTTTCGTTCACGGAACCGGTGTCCATGGTGAGCACGTGCCAAAGTCAATATGGTGATGGGCTCGTAAACTGACCTCCTCCACGCTCCTTGGTGGGTGCACCTTCATAGGCGGAACCCTCGCATCGCACTCTCGCCGCTACCTCGACGCTGGATTCCGTGTCATTGTCCCCGATCTTCCCTCTCACGGCTACTCGACGGGCGTTCACGTCTTCCAGCACGAGATCCGTGGCTACACCTCTGGCCTCCATGCCGTGCTTCACGACATTGGTGCTCGCGATGACAACCTCTACAACAATGGCGAGCTTCTCCTCAAGGGCCAGCGCCGTGACTGCTTCCTCTTGGGTCTGTCCTTTGGTGGCCTCGTCGCTCTCTCCTACGCCCTTCACTACCCAACGTCGCTGCGCTCCGCTGAGGCAGATGACTGGGAGATGCCCGTAGACGGCATCGTCGCTGTAGGCCCCATGATCGGCTACTCGGTCCAGAACTGCTCCATCTCACCGACGGCTGAGAAGCTCATCTCGATGGCCAACCATTACCTGCACCTCTCGCGCCTAGAGCTCGTTGTCCCCCACAAGAAGTGCCTCGACAAGGACCCGAAGGTCTACAAGACGCTCGTCACCGAGGACAAGCGCTCTCACCAGGGCGCCTTCCGCATCGGTCACCTCGCCGCTCTCCACTACGGCATGATTGAGCTGCGCAAACGCGCGCACGAGATCGTCCACCCCATCTTCGTCCAGCAAGGTGGCCAGGACCGAGTCGTCGACTTCAACTACTGCGTCGACTTTGTGCGCGACATCAACTCAACGGACAAGCGTTGCGTCGTCTACCCGGTCTGCCAACACGTCATCTACCGCAAGGCAAAGACAGAGGAGGAGGACCAAGCTGGGCGTGTAGCCTGCATCGAGGACAACGTCGAGTGGATGTGCGAGCGATCCCGCGTGCCTACGATGCACCGCCAGCTCTCCGCCATCTCGATGCAATCAGACGTCACCATGTACGACGAGGGCGTCCCGATCCACCCGCTTGCCATGGGAGAGGACGGCTTCAACAAGCGCAACCCTCTCTCATCGGCCCTCCTGACGCCTATCCAGCCCTCAACGCCCAGCTTCCCGCAGACCAGCGAGGCCTTCTTCGATCCGTCGAAGCCCATCCCCACCTACGCAGAGTCAGAAAGCGGAGACAGCGACGACAGCAACGAGGAGGACAACGCTCACCCGCTCCTCGCCAAGGCTCATCCAACTACCCTGCCCTTACTGGCTAAGATCGCTGCGGAGCGAGCGTACAGGGCAAACTGGAGCTTGCACGAGCAGCTCAGGCCGTACGACATCTCGTGCGAGCACAAGAAGAAGTAAAGGGAGCAAGTGAGCGCAATACCAAGTAGCAGCACCTCGCAGTCCATTCACCTTCACGCTCGACAAAGTCTCTCGCACGCAAGCGCACACATCCGTCCCCTCGTACTCGACAAGCTGTCCTCAACCTTAATACCAAGCACGCTGCCTCTACGCGCGTGTCCTCCCGCACTCGTCACCACGACTACCATTACCGCGCGACCACCCTCTACTTCTGCGCTACTCCCCGATTCGGCACGACGTGACTCAATCCTAGACTTCAACATGCATCCGACCCGGCCCAGACTCAGACTCAGCCTCAGACTCGGCGACCATTTCCTCATCTTCTTCAATTGCTCAGGTCTCCCCTTTGACCTCCTCTCTCTCTCGGTCGATTGTACGCGCGCGAGCGACGAGGCCGCTGCTGCGACGTCGACTGCCACACGCTCTCTTCCAGCCTACGCATCCATCAAAACGGCGACGGCCACTACGTCCAATTTCTTCTTCGCCTATCACCCTAATCACCTATCTTTACCCTCGCCTTTGTCTCTCCTCTCTCCCAGATTTCAGTCTCTTTGTCTTACCTATCATAGTAGTAGCAGTTAGTCGCATCAATAGCTCAGCAGCACAGCTTGCTTTGAGCGAAAGAGCGCAAATGTGATGTGAAACCTTATCCCCATTCTGATCGTGAGCACGAGTGATTGGCTACGGCGAGCTGGTCTGACTACTTGATACCATTGACGTCCTCGTTGCGTCTTCTGCCTAGAAACGTCCTCCGAGGCCTAGGCCTGAGCCTTATCTCCATGCGCTCGTTGGTGATGCTCCCTTGTTACTCCCAGCCCTCCTCCCGCCTCGCCCTCCTCCGGCGCCTCATCCTTCCATCATCCTCTCTGCCCCTCGATCCTATCACGAACGGTGTCCCTTGATCCATCCCCCCCAGAGGGCCGGCGAACCAGCGTGAAAGAACGCCGTGAGAGGTGAATGCAGCCTTGCGGAAGATGAAATCGATCCCGTAGTCGCAAAGTCGATTCTGGCCACACTGACGCTCAGGCCTCCCGATCGGCAGGTCCGAGCCTGCTGGGCGATCATTGCGTGGCAGACGCAGGTACGCACGATGCATCGTGGGTGGGCTCGAGCGTGCTTGCATGGTGTAAGGGACGAACGTGATGATGAAGTGATTGTGGCGTTCTTACCTCTGACGGAAGCTTCTTCGCTTGACAATGTTGGGGATCACCGACGATCCTCGCCGAGGTGCCGGCCATCTTCGTCCTTGGCCTTCTGCACGAGGTTCGAGCTCTCCTCTACCTGATATCATCTCATCCTACAGCCGCTACACCTCACACACTACCCGTTCGCGTTCCCTCCGTGTTCGTCGGCAGCCAGAAAGCCAGTGCATCGCCTGCGCTTGCCAGTAAAGCCGTCCTCGGACTGAAGCCCAATGCCCTGACTGGTCCGGCATGCCCTTCTAGCCTAGCCGCAGGATGAAGCGTGGCCATCTTTTCCGGAGATGATCGCCCCATCTCACCAGGGGCAGACTGTGGCTGCGTGTCCTTGTCTGGGATCTGCCATACGAGGATGGAGCCATCTGCACTTCCCGCCAGGACGTACTTGCCATCTGGGGTCCAGGTGAGCTCCTGGCCTGATGAGCCGCTCTCTGCAAGACTCGCGGCGCTCGGCTTTGATGACGGCGAGGATTTCTCTTCCTCCTCGTCCGCAGGACGTCGCTGTATCGTTTCGAGCCCCTTGTGTCCCACCAATCTCCATGCATACGCCCCGCTGTACGAGTCGACAACGTAGTGCTGGTCCCCGGCCGTGCCCACCAGCAGGTGCCCCGAGGAGGAGCTAGGGCTGAAGGAGAGAGACGTGATGACTGGCTGGCGGGGAGGCATCGAGAAGCGAGAGAGGTAGGCGTCATCATCCATCGAGATGGTGAGGAATGGGCTGTCGGAGAATTTGCGAGCGTCGTAGAGGAGGATGCTTCGGCGTTCGGAGATGGAGAGGGCGAACACTTGTCCCGAGGGGTCGTAGGAGAGGCAGGGGTGGCCGTGGATTGGTGTGGAGCCCTACAGTGGGTGCGAGGGGTGTTAGGAGGGTGTGTTAGGAGGCTGTATGCTGGCATCTAGGGAGGATGCTCACCTGCGGAGTCGGGCTCCTCAAGTCCCAAACCTTTACACTTTCATCCACCGCTCCACTCAAGAATGTATCATCCACCGGATTCATCTGCAATATAGTCACCCTTTTTTCATGGCCGCGAAAGTACTGGATGTATCGATTGTCATGTAACGAGTGGTACCGAATCGTGTCGTCCCCCTTTGTACTCGCATACAGCACCGTACTCGATCGATGGGTGAAAGTGACGAGATCGACGCCGTACTTCTTAGAGTGGAGCACCTTTTGATGCCTTCCTGTACGAGTGTCGTATAGGTGAATGCTCTCGTCGGTAGATGAGGTTACGCAGTGCGAGCCCGCATCGTCAAAGGAGAGGGAGGTGAAGTGGTGAGGTGGTGCTGAAGGAGATGCAGGGGCGGAGATGTAGTCGGGCGTCGAGAAGACTTTCGAGGGGCGAAATGAGCTGATTAGAGGGGTGGCGAGGGTGAGCTTGCTGCTACTAGCCGCAGATGAGGCAGAAGGGGCTGGAGCTTTGAAGGCCATGCTGGGTGGTCGGGGGAGGCGCGGGCGACAACTTGGTAGTGTTGGACGAAGAAGCGGTCAACGAGCAACGAGCAACCGGACTCGCGGACGGGCGGATAGAGAACAAAGCGGCTTGTCCGCGTCGACCCACGTGGCTCTTCTGGATCGACCACCCAAGCCCCCCCCGCATCTCGTTGGCTTGTCTTGGACTGACCCGCGCCCATCAACGCTCGCTCCCTTCTCCTCTCCTCAACCTAAGTCCCACCACCTCAATTCGTCATCGCGATGAACTCGAATCGTCACCACAAGCAATCCATGTCCGAGCTTAAGCTCCGCAGATTGACGGAGCATAACGAGCGCCTGAGGGAGGATCTTAACCGTCCCAGGATCAAGGTCTCCGAGGCTGCTGCGAGGTGAGCGCGCGAAACCCGCGAGAGACGAGGAGGCGATTCACTGCGAACTGAAACTGATCGCAATTGTCTCTGATGTTCTTCTCGCATCATGCCCAGCCTTATCAACTACACCAAGTCGACGAGGGATGTACTGGTGCCTTCGGTCTGGGGACCGGTCACCAAGGGGGAGGACCCGTACGCGCCTGGTGGGGGTGGGTGCGAGTGCATCGTTATGTGAGGGTGGAGAGCAAGCAGCATCGAGACTAGACCCGAGCAGACAAGCACATCAGGCTATCAGTGGGACGCATGGCATGATCGTGAGACGACGAAGGCAGAAGGCAAGAGTGCTGGACATAGGAGGGCCGGGAGCGTAGCAGAGACAGGATCAGGAAGGACGGCCATCAGCGATATAGGTGACAACCCGGCAGGCCTCGACACTATCCATCAGCCGCACAAAGGTGTCAGATCCCGACGTCTATCCGCGTATCGCAACAGCGCGATTCGAGATCAGCCTCGCCCGCTGCCGATCCGCCTACCTCCTCCCGTCGCCCTCCTCAAGCTCGTTTGCGGTGCAATGCGTCTTGCCGGCTCCCCATCGAATCACTGCACCCTCCTCCTCGACCTCTTCTCTCAATAAAATCACCACGACGACAAGCTGACGGGACGACAAGATCTCTTCTATATACCCACCGCCTCCTCAACTCTCGCACCTCCTCCCATTCCCAATCAGCCTCACCCCACTTCTTCAGCATCACCATGTAGGGCTGCGAATCCCCTCTAATCCCCTGCCGCGGGTAGTCATTCTCGCGTTGCAATGGTAACGGCCTTTCTTCATCTCATCTTCTCACTGTTGCAGCACAGTGGCGAGCTCACATAGCTGTGGTCATTCTCGTCCCCCTCTCTACGGAGACGCGGGGCTGGCAAGGACGACGAAGGTGACAATGATGTATCAATTCTCGTGCGCATCCCCCACTACTTCTCAAAGCACTGCTCCCACCTGACCCTCTCCATCCTCCCCTCCTGACTGCGCAAGAAGTTCTTCAAAGTGCACATCCCATCTTCCCTCGCCTCGCTATCACATCCGCTGCCCTTGAGCTGCTTGAGCGGCACGATAGCGTCGTTCAAGAGCATCCTAATCAGCGGCTCCTGTCCGCCACCGCACTGAATCTTCTCAAAGACGAGCCGAGCAGCAAAGGGGACAATCTCGCTACTCTTGTATCTCCTCCCCTCGTCCAGCCTGCTAGGCATCGGGTCCAGCGCGGCCGCGAACTCGGGCAGATTCAAGGCGGCAAGGACGTTAGCGATAACGCTATCGTGTGTGAAGTCGACGTAGAACTTCCTGTCTACGGGGAAGGTCCTCGCATAGCTATCCAGCGTGGCATTTTCGCTTGTCTGTAGCTTCGGGTCCCACTTCTGTCCCTCAAGGCGGGAGAGGAACTCGTTCACCCAGCCTACTCCTTGGGCTGGGCCGAGCGGGGAGCCAGAGCCGTACGAGCCGTAGAAGGAGAGGTCCCAGGCGTACTCGTAGGCCTGCCAGTCAGAAGTGCTGAAGAGTGAGCAGATGGAGCGAGCATCGTAGCCGGCGACCGTGTCGTAGCTGCAGAGCTGTTGGAGCCCGTTGATCAAGCGGGGAGTCTGGGCGAGGAGAAGTGGAGCATGTCAGAGAGCTCTGCAGCAGCGGTACCATCCTTCGCATAGTCGACGCGACTCACAATCTCTACTCCCTTCGCATACTGTCCTAACCTCTTCGCCGCATCAATGGCGTAGTGCTCGATCCAGTCCTTGTTCCACTGCCAACCAGGCTCCCATTTCCCACCCTTGTCTGCGTTTGGGCAGGCAAAGTTCGGCGCCATCGTCGTGTTGAAGCCGACGTCCTCGATCTGGATCTCCAGCTCTGCCTCTCTTTCCCAATCCGCGGCACCCAGCGCTCCAGCAAGCCAGTTGCGTCCACTCTCTACGATGCGATGCTGGGACCCAGCCCGAGCGAATAGCTTGCCATGCTTTTGCACATCTTCGTAGATTAGCTTGCCGTAGCGGATTACTGCGGCCACGCCCGAGTCGTAGAGCTGCTGACGACCCAGCGGGACCAGCAATTCCTTGCCCAGTCGGTACTCGTACGTGTTGAGGAAGTCGAGGGGTCCACTGAACGTGGGGCGAGGTTTGGCTGCGAGCATCTTCTGGATCTCGATGGCCGGTGAGTAGGAGGTGGGGTATCGACTGCCATGCCTGTGGAGCATATGGACTTGCTCGATCTTGCACGAGGCGGGGAGGGCGTGGTACTTGGCATCATCCACTCCAAAGCCGTCTGAGGGCTTGTAAGGGGTGAGAGGGCCCATGTGGTCGAAGGGCTTGAAGGAGCCGTACTGGCTGGTCGGGAGGTGGGTCTCTACGGGGATCTCTGGCGATGGCCGAGTGCCAGTCAGCTTATCCTCCTCCTCGAGCTGGCCAGGGGCGCCCGTAGCCGTCGGACCAGGGTGGCCCACATCACCGGGAAAGGTGTAAGGGACAGACCCGCCCTTCCACACCTCGCCACCGTACGACCAGATCTTTTTTGCTCCACCCTGCAATGCCTCTGAGTCGCCCAGTGCGAAGTAGAAGACCCCACCCAGGAGGAAGAGGGCGATGGCGATGACCAGTCCACGGATGAGGGGCGGTGAACGGCGAAAGGTCTTTGTTCCCTCGACGAGCCAGGGTGGTCGCCCAGTCGTGGGGTCCGCATTGGAAGATGCGGTAGCGTCTGCAACTGCTCGCTTGGCCAAGGCCTTGATACGGCGTTTCTCGAGCATCTCGTCGGACTGTCCTTCGATGTCGCTGCCGGCGTCGTCATTGTCGTCGTCGTCGTGCTGCGCCGAGGGGATTGTGTGGACTCTAGGTCGACCGCTCTTGGGGTCTGTGTCTAATCTATGGAGGATGAGAGCCTCTGACTCGGCTTCCTCGTCGGCCGCTTCGTCGTAGCGGGGCGGAGCCATGATGCTGGTTGTAATGCTCGAGTGATGATCGTGGTGACGGAGCGAAGGCAAGCCGACAAGGTTGCTCCTCGTGCCCTTGATTCCTTGATGCCCTCGCCGCCCGTCGATCCGTCGTCCGTGCGGAGAGGCACAGACCAGACGAGTGCAGGTCCAGGTCCAGACGCCGCTTCTTGCTCGACCTCGCAGCCAAGAGGCGCAGCTTCGTGGCTTGGCCCGCTAAGGCCAGCCTCATTACATCCTTCTCTCTCACCACCACTACCACCACCACCCGCTCACCCGGTGATGGACCGCAGAGTCATCCACGACTGGCTGCGCTCCATCCTTACGCCCTATGCCGACTCTCAGCGAACATTCGCCGACGTGACCTCACTCCTCGACGGCTATCCCTCCTTGTCTCCGCGTACGGACCTGTACATCTCCAACGTCGGCCAGTCCTCCCTCCTACTTCAGCTGCATGGTACGCTGCCTATTCAGTACCGAAATGCCACCTACAATATCCCTGTGCAGCTATGGGTGACTAGGGCCTACCCGAGAGAGCCGCCAATAGGGTTCGTCACGCCTACGAGCACCATGCTGGTCAGGAAGACAGGGGATGTTGAACTCGATGGTGGGATTGAGACGGAGTATGCCAAGCAGTGGGGCCGAAAGTGGGAGGTCAGTATATGCGCGAACATTGCGGTGGCCTACAATGACGCTGACTCGGCATCACCTCTGGCTCGCCGCGCAGACGAAGAACCTCGTAGCATACGTCCAAGCTGCACAGGAAGCCTTCTCACAGCAGCCGCCCGTCTACGCCAAGCCCGCAACATCAGCAGCAGCAGCAGCGCCGGCCTCGACACCGCCACCTGCAAGATCAGCGACAGAGCCGAAATCTTCCTCTGCAAAAGCGGCGCCAGCGCCGGCACCAGCATCAAGTAGCTCCCCAGCACCCGCAGCATCAACTCCCGGAGGAGGAGGGAAGCCTCCACCGCCGCTGCCAGGTCAGGCTAGTAGGGCGGCTACGACTCCCCCAGGACAGTCTCCTCGCGAAGGAAGCGCCGTACCGCCGCTTCGTCCCCCAAAGCCAGGCCAAGCCGAACACTCCTTTTCCTCTCCACTCCAATCACCCAGGGTCGTCTCAACGCCAGGCCCCTTTCATCCCACACAGCCCTTGGCCCCTCGTGAGCAGCATCAGTACGGAAATCACGGCGGTGCTGGGGGTGCGTACCACCCGCAAAGAGCGTTCACTGTGGATGTCAACAGCGGTGCGGGAGGCTACTCGCCGCAGCGTTACGCTGCCCAACAGCCGCTCCCACAGAGCCCTGCGCTTCATCAGCAGCAGCAAGGCGGCTGGCAGCCACCGACGCAAGGGCATGGATACGGTCAAGGCGACCATGCTCATACAGAGCAGCAGCAATATCAACAACAGCATCAAGGCCCGCAGAGAAGATTCTCAGCCCACCACGGGGACAGCGGTCCAGCTCACTACTATCAGCAGCAGGACGCGGTCGGAAGTAGTAGCAGCGGACATCACTCATACGGCCCACCACCGCACAGCAACGGCTATGCATCACCCGCACCTCGCCCACCTCCGCCTGCTGCAGAGTACGCTGCAGGACCAGGAGCAGGGCAAGCCCCTGCGCCAGTTCTGACAGCGCCACCCCCGCCAGCGAAACCGCGCGACCTCCTGGCCGAGGACGACGATGAAGGAGCCAGCAACAGTGGCCCCCGCAGCAATGGAGGAGGCCCGCCTGGATCCTCTGTCAGCTCAGCAGCGACTTCAGGCCCCGCACCTCCTCTGCCTCCCAACCCTCACCTACAGTCCCTCCATGCGCAGCTACACCATCATCTCACCTCACGCGTCCACGGGATCCACTCCCACTTCCAGCAAAAAAACGACTCTCTCCGCCTCCTCTCCAGCGACCTCGATTCTGCACCCGATAGGATCAAGGACGAGGTTGCTCGCCTCGAAGTAGTGCGAGACCTCTGCCGCGTAGCTGCTGAGAAGTGGGAAGGGGCTCTAGGGGAGGCCCGTTCCCAAACTGCAGAGCTGGCCCGTCGGACAAGGGAGAGGGAGCAGGACGACGGCTCAGAACGTGATCTTATCCTGGCTGACTCCATCGTGGGGTCGCAGCTCATGTCCTTGATCTCGCAGGATATGGCCCTCACTGACGTGCTGTACCATTTGGCGCGAGCTCAGGAGGTTCATGCTAGTGTACCTGGGGCTGTACTGGGTGACCTGGAGCGCTATCTCAAGTGGGTGCGCAACTTGGCGAGAGAGCAGTTCTTGAAGAGAGGGTTGGGTGGAAAGATTGTAGGGGGTTTGGAGATGGGAGGGGGTTAGTGGGACGAGAGAAACGAGGGAGTACAAAGCGGAGCGCAGTGAGAGAGCGAGTTGGTTCGCAATCGCATGTCTTGCATAGTGGTGATGTACAGTGAGCTGCTGTGAGCCTGTGATGTGGAGTGAGAGACCGTCTCGAGTATCGACCCTAATCGCATCGACCCCGTCCATCTTGCTTCCTTATATCTTCCTTCTTCTCTTCAAGCCAGCGGCGAGATGAGCCTGCACGGATCGCAAGGGAGACAGAGAGCAAGGGTCAGACATACTCTCAGCTCCAGCTTCTGCTATCTCTGCTCGCTCACTTGATCAGGCTAGGCTGCGGGCTACTCCTCGTGTACCCAACGTAGAGGACAAAGGGTACCCATCCGTAGTGAACCACATTGTGGCCGATGGCAATGATGCGGTTGATGCGCTCACGCGAGTCTTCTGAGAGAGGGAAGAAGAGGGGCATGACTAGTGTAGTGATGGGTTGGTGTGGTGGTGATGGTAACGATGACGAGAAGGCGGACGGGAACAAGGTAGGCGTCGACGGAGCGGTTTGACCAGCCACGCGGACCCGATCCGATGGTCGCTGCCTGCCTCGAGTCGAGTCGACTGTGAGCGCGGGTGGAGTGCAGGCGGCCGAGCAATTTGAGTCCTGCGCTCCTCGTCGTTGCTCTCTCGCTCGCAGCTTCACCATCACTCCCATCACTGACCAACACCATGCCGGCCACGTTGGGCACCCCAGCACCAGATGCCGATGGCAAGCTGACAGAGAAGCTCGCTGGCGCCTCCTTGGCCAACCAGGACGCTCTGGCCGCTTCCAAGAACGGCAATGGCAACGACGCAGCTGCTGATGACGACGACGACGATGATGCTGAGGACGGTGAGGATGGTGACGCCGCAGCTGGAGGGGACGGAGCTGCCAAGAAGAAGAAAAAGAAGGGAAAGAAGTCGGGAGCAGCGAAAAAGAAGGCCAAAGCCCTCAAGGAGAAGCAGGCAAATGGCATCGGCCTCACGCAGACGTCTCCTGAACCCACGCTCGGCCTGTCCAAGATCTGGCCTAGTGGGGACTATCCTGAGGGGGAGAACTGCCCTTACGACGAGGAGAAGTTCACAGACGACACGCGATCTCGCCGCACACCAGAGGAGCTTCGTGAGCGCGAGAGGTTGGCGCAGGAGGGAGAGGGAAACTCGTTCAGCCATATCCGTAAAGCGGCTGAGGTGCATCGCCAAGTCAGAAAGTACGCAAGGGGAGCTATTCAGCCGGGGATGAGCATGACCGAGATTGCCAACTTGATCGAGGACAAGGTCAGGCTCTTGAGCGAGCACGACCCTGAGAATCCCTTCAAGGCTGGCATGGGCTTCCCGACTGGACTGAGCTTGAACGAGTGTGCGGCGCACTACACCCCCAACGCTGGAGACAAGAGGAGTGAGTGTGGGAGCGAACACGAGAGCCGACGTTAAAAAAGGAAGAGCGATATGCTGACGACTGCGATGAATACCTCTCTCCACCCTCGCCCGCCAGTCCTCCAAAAGTCGGACGTGCTCAAGGTGGACATCGGCGTGCAGTGCAACGGCCGTATCTGCGATTCAGCCTTCACTCTCAACTTTGAACCCACGCACGACCCGCTCCTCGAAGCCGTCAAGGCTGCTACGGCCGAAGGTGTCAAGCAAGCGGGCATCGACTCCATCCTCGGCGAAATTGGCGCCTCGATTCAAGAGGTCATGGAGTCGCACGAATACGACTATAACGGCAAGACGCACCAGGTCAAGTGTGTGCAGAACCTGAACGGGCACAACATTCAGCATTACTCTATCCATGGAGACAAGAGCGTGCCCATTGTTGCGATGCCGAACCTCAAGACGAGGATGGAGGAAGGAGAGTACTTTGCCATCGAGACTTTCGGGTCTACGGGCAAGGGCTACGTCGTCGACTCTGGGGACTGTTCGCATTATGCTCGTAGCAAGCACGTCAGCGCCAACCCTACATTGAGGGTCGCGAGTGCCAGGCCGTTGTTGCATGCGATCAACAAGAACTTTGTGAGTAGCCGAGCGAGGACATCGACCTTGCGCTGGCCTCTTCTTCTGACCACCACTTGAATACTCTGCTTGTCTCTCCTCACTAGGGCACGCTCCCCTTCTGCCGACGCTACCTGGACCGAGTGGGCGAGAAGAACTATCTCTTGGGCCTCAAGCACCTTGTCTCGCAGGGCATCGTGCAGGACTACCCGCCACTCTCAGACATTGCTGGCGTTGGTGCCTACACGGCGCAATTTGAGCACACGATTCTGCTTAAGCCAACGGGCAAGGAGATTGTGAGCAAGGGCGAGGATTACTGAGCGAAAGGCATAGAGAAGGGAGGGAGCTGAGGAGAAAGAAGAGGGGTCACATTCATAATGTCGCTCGATCCAAAGAACAGGAGGATCTATGCAGTCTGTCATACGATGAATCATCTTTCGCTACTCATCGACCTGAAAGGTGAACGCTGCTGCCGTTATTAGTCTTCTGTTGCTTCTATCTCCTTGATGCGCGAAGAAGTCGAGCATCCGCGCCCAAAAGTCCAGTCCGCCTTCTTGGACTGACGCGGGTGGAGTCAGGTTGTCGCCGACTTTTCCTTGAACCACATCCCTGCGCTTGCTTGTATGCTGAGAGCGAGCCTCGTGACAGCATTACAATCCCCGCCTGTCACCACGCAGTCGCTGCTCGCAATCTTGAGGAATCTTGGTCTTCATTCCGCAGCATCAGCCTCCCCTCTTCACCCGCGCCCATTCAGCAGCATGCCCGACCTCTCAGGCGCACCTCCCACCCTTGGCTCTTCCAAAGGAGGGGGCAACTTCCAATCTCAGCGAGGAGGACGAGGACGATTTGATCCTACTGGCAGAGGAGGGCGAGGCGGTGGTGACGGTGGTGGTGGCGGACGAGGCAGGGGAGGCGGTGGCGGTAGAGGCGGTGGCTATCGACCTCAACGAGGAGGACGCGGAGGCGGCGGCGGCAGTGGTGGTGGCAGGGATGCCGGCCCCTCGTCAGCATCAGAGAAAAATGTGCAGCATCCAGGTCATATCCCCGGATCGATCGCATCACGTCCCTTGAACGGCGTCTTCGCCATTGACAAGCCTAGTGGACCGCCTTGCATGGTGAGCCGCTCTTTCCCCGACGAGGTACCTGAGACACCGCGCTAACAATTCTGCTCCCTCCTGCCTCGCACAAAGGACCTCCTCGAGGTCCTCAAAGACCTCTTCGCACACTCTCCGCTCTTTCGCAACCCGAACGGCTCCATTCCGGAGGGGCATGGCGGCAAAGCTTGGCGACCGCAAGACAAGCGTTGGCGCAATAAAGCTGCACCTCCCAAAGTGGGTCAGGGAGGTACCCTCGACCCCTTGGCTAGCGGTGTGCTGGTCATCGGTGTGGGTACGGGAACAAAGGCGCTACAGGGCTTCTTGGATTGCGCAAAGACGTACGAAACGGTTGGCCTTCTTGGCGCGAGCACCACCTCGTACGACTCACAGGACCCAATCATGCTGCGCAAGCCCCACTCTCACGTTACCTCGGACATGATCACCTCGTTCCTCCCCTACTTCACCGGTCCGCTCCTCCAATACCCGCCCCTCTTCTCCGCAGTAAAGATGGACGGAAAACGCCTCATGGACTATGCGAGGCAGAACCTCCCCTTGCCCCGACCTATCGATCCCAGGGAGATTGAAGTGGTCAGGCTGGAGTTGCAGAATTGGCACGATGCAGGGCAGCATTCGTGGAAGTGGCCCGAGAAGGAGATCCCCGAAGAGGACAAGAAGTTGATTGGCAGGGTCAAGGAGTTGGCGGGCCAGAAGGAGGGAGAGACAGAGACTGTGTACAACAAGGGCGAAGAGGCGGAGAAGGCGACAAAGGAGGCCGAAGCCGCTGCCCACGCCACAGAGGGCCAGAGTGAGGTCGCTGCGGACCCTGCTGTCTCCGAGGACCAGGCCGCTGCTGCGACCACGGCAGCGGAGGATGCAGCCGCCTCCAAGTCAGTGGATCCTGCCGCCTTCAGGCTTCGCATGACAGTCTCCTCTGGCACGTACGTGCGGTCCATTGTGCATGACGTTGGGCTTGCTTGCTCGAGTGCGGCGCATGTCGTGGAGCTCAGGCGCACGAGGCAAGGAGAGTGGGTGACGACGGATGACAAGAATGATGACGAGTCGGCTGCGGCACCGATCGAGGGCGACCAGACCATGGAGGGAGGAGCAGCGGTTGAGGCTGGTCAGGGAGACGCTTCAACATCAGAGGCGAAGACGCAGGGCGAAGCATCAGCTGAAGCGCCAGCAGCGACTGGCGGGCTCGACCTCGAGCTCCGCGACGACTTCCTCATGGGCGCAGAGGAGCCCACCACAACCGCAGCCCCGGAGGCGGCCGCCGCCAGTACATCAAACAGTGCACCTGTCGCAGCTTCAGAAGAGACACCTCGTGAAGGAACGGCTCTCTGCCTCCCCTGGTCCCTCTTCGCCGACGCTCATGCTGAGCAGCAGCGCGTTTTGGCAGATGTCAAGGACGTGAATAGCGTCAAGCTCAGAGGGGAGGATGGGACTGAGTTGAAGGTGTGGGAGAAGGAGTTGCTGAGGGTGCTCAGGCCGGTATGATTCGATGAGGGGAAGTGGATGGGTGATAGAAGCGCTTTTTGTCTGCAATTGCATCTAGATGTTAATTGACTTGTACCTTACGATGACTTCTTCCCATCGCCAGCACCACTTCCGGCCTCTCCTCTGAGATCAAGCAGAACGCTCGTCCCCGGCAAACGCCACATGCTCGTCCTCCGCTCAACATCGCTGCTGAGCTTACCCTCTTCCCCTTTCACCATTGTGCCGGCGCTGTTGCCGCCTCCCTCACGCTTCAATATGGACCCACCGCCTCCATCCTCGGCGTCACTACCTCCTGCAGTGGAAGAGGGGGCGCCGGAGCTAGGCAGCAGGAAGACGTTGGGGAGGGCGTGGACGCGTGCCTTCTGTTGCTTCGCGCCTGCCTCGGGAGCTGACGCTGCTGCTGATGTGGGGGCCGCAGCCTCAGTAGCAAGCGCTGCAACGAATAAGAAGCGCGGGAGGGCCCACGCCCCCAGATCTGAGCCGGGAACGTCGATGACGTGGTGCTGACCACGCTCATCTCCCACCTGTTTGAAGAACTGGATCCAGAGCTCTCCCCTCTTTGTACCCAGCCCGGCTATAGGATCCTCCATCGCGCCACCCTCTGAAAGATCGAGGTCCGTCTCCAAGGACAGAGTGCCCCTGCCAGGATGACCCGACAAGATTCTGCTCACCAGCACAGGCCTTGGGGTCTTTTCCTCCGCATCTCGGGGTGAACGGTATACTGCCGCCCAGAATTGCTCCTCTTTCCCCACGCGAGAGGAAAGATTACGCTGCTCTTCTGGAGTCATGTTGTTCTTGCTCGCTGTGGCGGCCGCTTCTGAGCTAGCGGTGATACTGGATTTGCGCCCCTCGGCTACGTCGCGGAGGAAAGCTTGACAGGCGTTGCGACCTTCGGGCGGGGAGAAGTCGTCCTGCTCAGCGAGGAGTGAGACAATGTTGCCTTTGGCACGGGTGATGCGGCGCAGCGTTGGCTTTGCCGTTGAGTCACGGCCTTGCGGTAGGGCCTCGAGACGTTGCCATGGCGTCTTTGTCTCCAGGCTGGGTTTGCTGCTCCCACTGCGGCTGCCGCTGCTCGCCTCCGCCGCCGCCTGAGACTGTGAAGCAAAGACGAGGCCTACTGCTCCCTTGTCCCTCAGCTCTGCCTCGGTCTTACTGCTCGCCCTGTAGAACATACACCGATCACGTCCGCCAGTCTCAAAGAAGATATTACTCGCCAATGACCCAACGAGGGGTGCTCCTCCACTTGCATGTCTCGCGTCCAGCCCCTCCAACAGCCCTTGAGGAGCATCATCGCTCCCGACTACCAGAGTTGCCAGGACATCCTCTGCTTTCATTCCCTCCAAGACAGTAGGCAGGGCATTTGCGGCATTCTCCCGACCCCAGAGGTCCCGCCAATCTTTGCCCTCCGTCTCGGCCAGAGCGTCGACTCGTGAATGGCTGTCATCGAAGGCTGCCTTTCCCGTCGCCCAGCGGCCAGCTTTGATAGGGGCTGAGCCGGGGATGGTGGAGGCAAAGGGCGTTACGAGGGTTGAGGGAAGAAGGGAGAGGGAAACGAGATGCAGCAGTGGGGATTGCGAGGATGAAGCTGAAGAAGACGAGGAGGAAGCCGCCTCCCCCAACGCAGCGGGTGGCAACCATGCCTCTGGCAATGGATCGCACAAGACGCCAACGTGCGGCATGGCTACATCTCTCAGCATCTGAGTTGCTCCTCCTAACACCTCCTTGGGCAATGTCTTGTCAATTGCGAATACCAAGGTGAAGCTGTCTTGGTCTTGCTTGCCCTGTTCACCTGCGGGGGTCGTCTTCTCTATCGCCTTGATTGCTCCTTGCAGGGATTGCTCGAGTGCGAAGAGAAGGGCACGCGAGGAGCTGCTGAGTAGCGTGAGCGTCTGAGCTGAGCCAAGGGGCCGTCGCCAGGGAGAGTTTGCGTATTGATTTGATGACGAGGATGAAGGCGACTTGGACGATGATGGGCGCGGTGGTGGATCCGCCGCCGTTGCAAAGCATCTCCATGGCTGCGAGCGAAGAAACGATCTATTGACTGGCCGCCTGCATGGTGTTGTCGTCGTCGTCGTCCACGCTATTGCCCTTTGCATGGTTAGGACGTAAATGAATGCTTGCTGACGAAAGAAGTGAAGGAGGCAAGTCGCCGCCCTCGCCTTTGCTCCCCTGCCGCCGGCGAAGGTCTGTGCGGCGGACGGGAGGAGAGTTGTGCTTACGTCATCCATCCGATGGGCTTCCGTCCATCCGTCTTGGCTGCGAAATGGGCGCGTCTTGGCTTCTAGAGCTTGTTGCCGTCCCTTCGTATAGTCACCCTACGACGCCTCTTCACTACGATGGCGTCGTCATCCCAGCCCTCTGCCTCCTCCGCCCCACCACAGGGCGACGTACCACGCTCCATCTTTGGCACTGATCCTCTAGACGACTTCCTCCTCAGCATCTCCTCGTGGATCTACCACACTTCACAAGGCGGCCATCTCCTTGGCCCAGACGTCGATGGCGAGATCGAGATCGAGGCCAAGCTGGGCACCCTCATTGACACGCGCACAAATCAGCGCATCGTCCACCCTGTAGCTCACGATGTCGTTCTGTCAAATCCGAGCAACACCCGCTTCGTGAGCGGAATGAGTCAGGAGGCGCATCGCCATTTCAATGGACTCCTCAACGGCCTCTGCCAGCCTGCTCAAGGGAGGCCGAGGGTGCAGTACAAGCGTCACAATGAGATTGACTATTTCCACGGCACTGGGCGGGGGGAGAGATTGCGCGTTACCAAGGAGGCGGAGAGTCTTCGCACGAAGCCGAGGGGTTGTATCGTCAAGCATCGACTGGGCAATCTCGAGGTGCACTGCCCGGGTAGACATTTCGATTTCAGGATATCGGTCAATCTCGAAGTGCAAGCTACCGAGCCCGGCCCAGACCAATCCACCGACTTCTATCGCGAGAAGAATCGACTGTCCTATACGCACGAAGGTGGCATGCGCATCGACCTCACGCAAGTGACTGTTCCCCCCTCTGGCTCCGGCGAGGCTACTCTCCAACACGAGCTGGAAGTAGAGCTCTCCACGCCTCCCAACTGTCGCACCGTCTTTGACCTGGTGACAGAGGGGAGCTCCACCTTGGCAGCTATCAAGGCGGGCACCTTCTCGCAGGCATTGGGAATTGAGATACCGGGAGGTAATTGGGGTGGGGAGGAGACGACACTGAACGGGGAGAAGGGCGGGCATGACTGGACAGAGTATGAGGATATGGTGGCGAGGTTTGTCAACGATGTGAGGCTATTGATCAGGAACGCACAGGGGAGATAGCGCGCTGAGAAGGGGGAGATAATGCATCACACGATATCCAAGTCAAGCAGGCGCGCGAGCATGGTGAGGCACGGCAATGCAAGATATTCACTGAACAACGGATATGAAGAAGGGAAACAGTAGACAATCCTTCGCTACGGGTATAACATGGCACTGCGAATTTCTCCTTCTCCCTTTCAGGTCCAATTCGTCTGCAAGCTCGTCGATCCCTCAGCAGAAGCGCCATTCCTCTCTGGTCGGGATTGGCTGGTCCGCTTACTGCCGTTTCCCGTCATCCCCTTGTGCTCCGCGTACTGATGCTTCTGCTCCTGCACCAGATTCCTGAAGCTCTCTTTTGCCTTCTCCTTGTCTTCTACATCGTCACCGTCGGCGTCATGGGACGCTTCGTCAATGAGGTCGTCAACATCCTCCAGCTCGTCGTCCTGGAAAAAGGAATCGATCGATGCTCGAGGCTTGGCCGTAGAAGACGAAGAAGATCCTCTCTTGGTTGGCGTGGCTGACTCCACCGTCTGCGAGACGGTCTTTGACTCCCGCTTCACGTCCGTTGGCTCAGCGCTCTTCTCCTTCCCCTGCCCATCCGTGGACTTTACGCTCTCCTCCTTTTCTGCCGTCTCCTCCTCTTCTCCGGCCTTTTCATCATCGTGTCTCTCAATGCGTCCCGCGCCAGAACTCAAGGCTCCACTACTAGCAATCGCACTGGGCGTGCCCACCTCTGGCTCACTAGTCGCAGCAGTAGGCGCAGACCAAGAGGGCTGCGACCACTTGGAAGTCGCGCTCGATGATGAGGGTGCGTGACGCAGGTGGCCCACCAGGGCAGAGATAGCTGGACGGGGCTGAGTGGTGGGTGGAGCAGGTGGCGTGCGAGGCGATGCGAGAGGAGAGGCAGACGCAAGTGCTTCGTCCACTGTTGTGGAAGAAGCTGCTTCACCGCGCTTGTATGGCGCAGCGGGTGAGGACAGTGGTGTGGTCGAGGGAGCTCGCGACTGCGAAGGAGATACACGAGCTCCCGTCGGTGTCTTCGAGGTCTCGCTGGACTTGGTCTTGCCTACGTACGGTCGGTCGACTGAAGCATCACGGGCCTTGGCCTCAAACTTGTCGCGGACCGCCGAGGCTTGCGAGTCTGCTTGACCACCACCGTCTCTCATCGCTCCTGCTGGAGTTCCGTCGACTTCTGGTTTGGGAGCTACGGCCGTCGTAGGTGTGGTCGGGCCGCTACTCTTCAGCGCTGCTGAGGAGGCCATAGAGGAGCAAGATCCTAGATCACCGCCATTGCCGCCACCGCTGCCGATCTTGTCCGAACTGATGCGCCGATGCCTACTTGGGCGCATCTGCTTGACGAGTTCGAGAGACAGCTCCTCTCGTTGAGACTGAAGCTGCGGGCGGGAACGAGGAGGTGTCTGTGCTTGCTGAGGCGGTTGAGTACCAAAGGTCGGCGTGAGGACAGGATTGGTGTCGAAGGTCGGGACAGTATCGGCACTGCCTTCTGAAGGGGCCGTCTCAGTTGAGGTATCGCGCTCCGTCAGGCTGGCGGAGGGCGTGGCCATGTGCGAAGCATTGTCTATCGATTCATGGCCGCCGCTGGGCTCATCTGGCAGCATCGGCTCCATCTCCTTCTCCACAACCGGCGATGGCTGGGAGTGCTCGTGCTGCTGCTGGATCAGGGAAGCTCTCTCCCTCTGCCTCTTCTCGACGGTCGTCTTCACATCACCAGACAATCTCTTGACCCTCTCCGCCTGCTTGCGCAGCTCCGTCTGCAGCTCTTCGTGCGCCTCATCCTCTCGGCCGTTGAGTTGGGCGAGGAGCTCGGTCTCCCGCTCTTTGAGCTTGTGGAGCTCAGCAAGGAGCGAAAGGAGCGCGGTAGATGAGGAGGAGGACGAGGATCCTTGCTGCGAATGAGAGGCAGAGAGAGCGGGGTCGACCCGATTTGGTGCAGGTGAGATGGGCCGTACGGGTGATGAGGTGGCGCCGAAGGTGCTGGAGGACAGCATGCGATTGTCATGCGCCGGTCGCGAGGCCTGGGCATGAGCCGCTTCACCGTCCGCGACAGACATGTCATCAGCTGCATCTGGAGCTACGCCCTCGTCCTTCAATCGCTCCTCGAGCTCCTCAACAGAGACAACAGAGCGATCCTTGAGACTGGTCGCTCTCTTCCTCATGCGGGCGAGACTCGACTCCCTCTCCGGCAGAGAAGGCTGCTGCTGCTGGTGCGACGCGTCGATCGAGGTCAATGGTGACGTGATACCGAGTCCATGAGCCTGCTGCCAGGCCCCAGGAGCGGTTGCTGGGCTGCCAAGTGCAATCATGCTTCCGCGAAGGGAGTTGCGGTCCATCGCGTTTGACTCCTCGAGCGTCTCGGTCACTGGCGTGAGAAGAGGAGCAACGACCCGCGAGAAGCTTGGAGTGAGGGCACCGCTACTCGCGGAAGTTGAGTGAGCAGATTGCTCATCAATGGCTCTGTGATCGTCTGTTCCTTCGTCGTCCGCATCACCGTCGATCGAGGTAGCGGTAGGTTGAGACAAGAAACCATTGCTGACAAGAGGTGCATCGACTGTCGTTGATGATGTGCTGCGCCTTCGATCATCACCTTGCCCGTCGACGACCCACGAAAGAGGACGTGCGCTGCTCGAGGGCGATGTGGCTCCGCCGATGCCGCTCGTGACGGGACGCGAGTCACCGGCGGCCTTTGGTCGCCTCGAGCCGCCATTGATAGGAGGTAGAAGACCGCCGTAAGTCGACGGGCTGGAGACGACAGAGTCGGTGTCGTTGAATCGGCCTCGATCAGCCAGTTCATCGTAGACTTGACGAAGCGCACGGTCGATCGTGCCGTCACTGAGGTTGCTGGAGTGGCGTGAGCCGCGAGGTGAGGCGTAAGAATTGGGCTTGGGAGGGGGTGGCGGAGGAGGAAGATCGTTGAAGGTGCTTGCACCAGGTGAGACAGGTCCAGAGCCCGATTGCGACGAAGCTCGTACAATCGAGATCGTGCTTTGACCCCACGAAGGTTTTTGCACAACAGTGCCGCCTCGTGTCCTCGTAGTCGCGGCACTGTCATTGTCGCTGCCTCTCCTCTGATTGACAGGTCGTAACAGCATGGAGAGAGACATCGGAGGAGGTGCTGGCTGGCTCACCGCCCTGACACGATGAAGGCCTGTAGTCGAAGAGGGGGTCGTGTGCACGTTGGAGGCTGCATTCGTGGGGACTAAGTCCATGCTGGCTTTACGCAACCTGCTAATCATGTCCGGCATCGAGACCTTTCTCTGAGGTAGGCCCATGGAATCTGCCGTTCGTTGCGACCGATAAGAGCCATGACCATCCATAGAAGCAGCGGAGCGCACAGCAACATCGGCGCTCCTTCTCTCATTGGACTGCAATGAATTCTTGCGGGCGGTGGTGGCCACCTCTGCTGCAACCAGAAGTGGATTCCTTCCCGGCACGTAGCCAAGCGCGGCTCGAGCTCGCTCTGCCCTAGGCTGGGAGCGACGTGGGTCGACAGGCGACGAGTGGTTGACATTGGAGGCGTAGTGGATATGCTTCGCCGCGGTGCTAGCTCGCGGACTCAGTGCGGAGCTAGCCAGAGGACTGCTTGGACTGGCAGAGGAGACGCTGTGCGCTCGCTGAAGCGAAGTGGGCGAGGTCATGGCGGCTTGGCCTCCGGGGCTACGCACGACAGGACTGCGCACACCGCCGCTTGTGCCGGACAAACGCTGCCCGCTGCTGCCGCTGGTAGTTGCGATCGTCGTGCCGGTGCCAGGATTGCTGGGCGTCGAGAAGCTGAGCGGGTCACTATGGTCGCGTAAGTCTGCAGCCACGAATGGTCGAAGCGGTTGCGATGGGACCATAGGCCGCGTGCTTTGCAGTGTGGTCGGGCTCGGCCTCGGCATAGAGGTGGGCACCTCCATAGGGCTGGATATCGAGCGGCGAAGTATCTCACGTTGCGCCGAAGTCCGCTTGCCTGCGACCGGACTGGAGACAGGCGTCTCATATCCTTGAAGGTCGCGGCGGATAAGTGGGTCTCGGTCGAGCGAGAGCACAAGCAAGCGGCCGTTCTCAATGGACAAGTTGGCACTGGGTCGTCTACGTCGGGTGGGCACTACGGTGCTCTCCGAGGCTCCACGTTCGCGCGTCTCACCCTCTCCTTCACCGGCCTTCGAGGCTTTTGGCGTCTCTGGCGAGCCGGGACGACGATGGCTAGGGTCATCCGGGTCGCCGTAGTCGGTTGCTTGAGAAACCGTCGAGCCTCTGGCGCTGCCATGATTGCTGGCACTGTGGAGGCTGAGAGTACTGAGCTTTGCGAGAGTCAGCGATATGCTGTGGCGGAGCTTGTTGCTGCCTGACCTCTGTCGCTGGTAGCCTTGCGGGTGTACAACCTCAAAATACCAGTTGAAGATCGTCGGCGGGACCTAAGGCCGAGTCGAGAAGTAAGTATACTAGCTACGGCGCCACAATGACATCGTGGACTCACAGAAGGCGGAGGCGAGCCATGTACAGGGCTTGCACGCGAGGCCGGCATTAGATGAGCAACATCCGAATGAGCTCGACCTTTGAGCGCACGCCGCAGCACCTCTCGAGAGCGATGAAGCGTCAATGTCAGACGTCCGTTGCGCATGACCAAGGGTAGAGGAACGGTACCCGTGGCCTCTAGCTCGAAGACGAGCGGACGGCCCATGACTTCGGGGGATGCGGCGATGCGATCCAGCGTAGGCTGGTCTCGTTGATGCGAGACATCAGACACTAGGCCTTCACCCAGTACTTCGCCGTTGATTGTCAAAGTCGTCCAGGAGCAGGTCGCGAGCTGGTCTTGCGTGTCGGGTGTCAGGTGCGACCAGGCTGGGAGGCGACGCCATTTGAGCACGTACTACGAGAACAAGACAGGTGCTGTCGTGAGCTGCCAAAAGATACATGCTGACCACGGCTCGATCGCGACTCACTTTGATGCCCGCCGTGAGCGACAACGCAGCACGTCCATGCCTAGACCCATCAGATAGACGTCGCACGAGCGGCACCGGCTTCTCTTGCACCTGCGTGCCGCTCTGGATCGCCTCGAGCCAGCATTCGTAGTCCTTGTGTCGCATTGTGATGGCCACAAAGGATTGGTAAAGTGGTAGGAAGGCAAGAATGAGCAGCTCTTTGAGCGTTATTGAGTTCATCATGTCGTCGATGCATCGATGAGGTCAATGATGTGAGCGAGGGTCCGACCGCCAGAGGATCGTGCGAGAAGCGCGTCAGGGACCCTACAGAGAGCCGATGCTCTTCGCGACCACGCTCGGGCCTCCTCAAGCACTTCGTCGCGAGATCAGCATCATGATCGACGCACCAACGCTCAGATCGCCACTCATCTCGCAATGCGATCTTCTTTGCTCTTCACTGCGAACTTGGATATAGATTGCTTTGTTTGAGTGGGCGTGATTGAATGCTGCACCTTCGCAATGCGAGGTCCGTCTCTTGTCATGATGTTGCGTACTGTCTCGTCTCGATCCCCTCGACGCGGCTCGATTCACCCGCGTCGACTCATCGTCCAGATTTCTAGCTTCTTGAGCAAGCCCTTGAGATTCTTTCCCCCTTTCATGCAATTTTCCTCGAGCCAGCCCTCCATGTCCGCCCTGACTGCCATCGCCTCTGCCTTGGCGTTTCCCCTCGCATCAGAAGCCGTACCGGCGCCACTGTTGAGAAGCACATCGAACAGGCGACTCCACAACTCGCCCTGCCAGTAGCGCTTGAGGGTTGCTCTGATCTTCTGTCTTCCGTCCTGTCCCACCTCCGTCTCGATGTAGCGTCCGAACAGCAGACAGAAGGCAATGCTCGCAACGCCATGGTAGTCCACCTCGTACGTCCATGACTTGCCCTCGCGCATCTCTAGGCAATCACGCTCGTCCGTCTGCCAGTCAGCAACAAAGCGTTGCCCCTCAGGAAAGACGGAGAGGTCGATCGCGCGCCCAAAGTCGACCAAGTAGAGGCCCTTGCTCGTCCAGCCTTGCGACCCATCGCGCTTGTACGAGTTGGACCAAGTCGTACCGGATGGCGCGTCATCGAGGCGCAGCAGGCAGTTGTCGATCTTGAGGTCTCCATGGATGAGCTGAGCGTCGTGCAGTCCCTCGACAAGTCGGAGCAGCTCGATCGTGAAGAACATCGCCAGCACCTCCTCGACGCCGCTCGTCGCACCGGCCGGAGCTACGCCAGCGCTTGAGGCCTGGTTGACAATCTCAAGAAGATTGCCCTTCTCTCCCCATTCGAGGAGGAGGAAGCTCTCGTCCTGATAAGCATAGAAGCGACGTGCTCCGATGATGCTCTGAAGGTCGCGCTCAGCAGAGAGACGAGCACGAAGTTGGCCTAGAAGGTAGAACTCCCAGCGATTCGCGGGCGACTCGACCTTGATAGCTACCATACGCTTGCGCTCCGCTTCGTCTTCGTCTTCCTCGTCCTCGTCCTCTTCCTCCTCTTGCGCAGAAAGGTCGAACGAGGAATCGCCCAGAATGCCTCCTAGCGCCTTCTTGTGACGAGGTGGGGCGACATTGTTAACATCCTCGGCCAGGAAGACGGAGCCGTAAGCTCCCTCGCCGAGCTTCTCCCGGATGGAAAAGGGGTTGCCATCGATCTCCAGCCACCAGTCCTTTGCACCGCCAACAAGTCCGGTGGCAGAAGTGTTCCCAACGGACTTGCGCGTCTGGGCCTTCGCTTGTCGTTGCAGAGTGGCGAGCTTGCCCGAAGAGATGTTGGAGAAGTCGAAGAAGTCGGGCGAAGTCTCGACGGAGAGCGGGAGCGAGGACAAAAGGACGGAGAGGACGTCCGCATCGGTCGGTGAGCAAGGATTGGGGATGCTTGTTGAGGTCACTGCGCTTGAAGCAGCCAGAGCCTTGCGCGACAAGGAGGGAGAAGTCGCCTCGCTCGTCCAGTCTTCGCGCTTCTCAATGGTATAGCCAGGGCTCATCTCGAACTTCGCTCTTCCGCCACCGAAGCGGCCCGTGTGGCCCGCAGAAGTCTCGCGTTGCTCGCTACTCTCGGAGGCGAAAGAGCGCTCCTGCGAGGGGGTACCGGCGACTTGCTGCTTTTCCTGCTGCTGCTTGGATACGTCCTCGTTCTCCTCTTCTTCCTCCTCGTCCTCCTCCGTATTGGTAGGCATGTATACGCTGCGACTCCTCCCCGGCGTATTCATACCCCACCGCGTCTCAAATTCGGTTCGCTCAGAGATGGTTGTGAGCTGATCAAAGCGAGCTCCACCCTCGAGGAGGTCTTGCCCATCGCCATAGTTGTACTGGCGCTGCTCCTCCTCATCGGGGTCCGACTCCTCATCATCTTCCTCGTGAGCGACAGGAAGGATGCGCTGAGCCGTAGGACGGGGGCGCTCCTCTTCCGGCTCTTCATCCTCATCTTCCTCAACATAAATGGGCTTTTTACCGATCCCGCCAAGGGGAGTGGCGGCAACGGCGCCCAGTGGCTTGCGCATCGGCGTTGCGGCTGCCGTGGGACCTCGAGTTTTGAGTCCGAGCGGCTGACCATGGCTGCTAGGCCGGAGCGGTGTTGCTTCCACGCCGGCGTTCTCATCGTCGCGACTTGCTGCGGGCGGAGAGGGTCTTGCGGGCTTCTGCTGCTCTTCTTCTTCCTCCTCGTCTGAGGACTCCTCGTCAGAGTCTTCATCCTCCTCTTCATCGCTGTCCTCGTCGCCGCCGTTGAAGAGGGCGCGAACCTCGGCCTCCGCTGCTTTAGTCATAACTGTCGGGCTCGATGGCTTCATGCCCGTCCTTGTTGGCTCACGAGGCGGAGTCTTTGCTGCCGGGGCGGCTATACGGCCGGACTGGGTTGGCGTTGATGACGCTTCGCGCTCGGCACCAACTGTCGCTCGTGTGGGCGTTGAGCTTGAGCTAGCCATAGGCTCTGGCCCCTGGTCGTCCTCTTCCATGGCAGGCTCAGGCTGCTCCACCTCCATCGGCTCATCAAGGTATGCCCACGGGTCCTCGTCCTCGTCGCCATCAAAATTGAGCTTGAACCCAAGCCTTGCCGCAATGATCTGCTCAACGCAGCGCTCTATACTTCCCGTTGTGGGTCGAGGGCCGTTCGCCTGCTCGATGTCGAGGCCAGGGTAGAAGAGTGACTCGGGGAGGGCAAGACGCTCGGGACGCTTCGCGCCGCTTGGCGGAGCAGAAGGCTTGGAGGACGAGGATCGTGAGCTGGAGCTTGCTGATGAGGTATTCTTTGACTTGCCAGACGAGGAGCGAGATGGCTCAGGAGCTCTCCTAGAATTGGTCGCTGCAGGCGCTGCGTGCTGAGCAACACTTTCCACGTCACCGAGCTGCAAACCTTTCAAGGCAGTCACTTGAGCTCGCTCGTCCTGCGACCATCGACTGAACGGGTCGCGCTTGAGTAAGTCCACCTCAGGGTGTGACGAGCCCAGCATTGGCTTCGTATTTGAGAGTTGACGCCCCTTGCTGGGTGATCGCTGCTCCTCCGCTTCCTCATCGTCCGAATCTGCAAAGACCTTGAGCGTCTTCTTGCCGGGGGTGAGTGCAGAAGAACCTCCAAGACGCGCCTTCTGAGGGAGTCGTTCCCCGTTCCACCCCTTAGCCTCCTTTGCATTCTCCTGCCTCCTCACATCGCGGCTGCCCAACTCGGATGCCTCCGGTCCCTTGCCATCTGCGCCAGACAGGCTACCCTCGGAGTCACGGAAGACGTTGAGCTTGCGTCCATTGTTGACCGTGTTTGCGGATCCCAGCCCGGCGCTTTTGCCAGCGCCACGCATGACGTTGGCATGGACACTCTTACCCGTCTTCTCATCCTTGTTTCCCAGCATTGTTCTCCTGCTCTCACGCATAGCCCGAGCGAGGGCCGAAGCATAGTCAAGGCCCCTCTCAGCAGCGGACTGATTGCGTACAAGGCGCTCCTTGAATTCTTCGAAGCGCTTGCGGAGGCGTGAATTGGGCTGGGCGTTGCGGCGGATGCCGAGCTTGAAGAGGGAGTCGGCCGACTCGTACAATCCCCGCGTCTCTGCCACAGCAGCTGCTTTCTCGTACAGCTCTGCGCATGCTGTCCCGACGTCGTTGGCCAAGAGCCAGTTGAGGATGAGCTCTGGGCTCTCGACGTTCTCCGAGTAGAGTGTCCAGAGCTTGAGGTAGCGTGGCTCGTGTGGGTTGCAGTATCTGGCGTCGCTGCGGAGGGATCTCGTCGCCCTCTCGAGTACAGTAATTAAGCCAGAGTCGGCGGACGCGCCACTTGGATAGCTGACGATGGTCCATTGTACATAGTCGCACCAGTCTGCGAGCGGGTCGTCGCTCTCTGCCAGCTTGTCAGGCTGGACTTTGCTCTCGTACTCTTGGCGCTTTACTGCGAGCTCCTCTGCTCTTTCCTTGTGCTTGAGAGCGAGCGTCTGGCTGAGCGAGTGCGCCGAGCGGCCCTTTGACATCGGCTGTACATTTTCTTTTTGGTACTCGATGAGGTCGAAGTCGACAACTGGTGTTTGGGATGTTTGCTCGCCTGGCGTACGCAGAGGCGTCTTGAAGGGTGTTGTCGCTGAGGGTCCTGGGCGGCGGGGCGTCTGAAACGGCGGTGCCATAGACGACGACATTGCGGCTCCGAAGGGCGCACGAGCGCTTGATGAGGAGGGAGGGGGAGAAGGGGGGAAAAGATGAGGATGATCAGGGTGAAGTTTGGTTGTGATGTCGAGATTGAATCCTGTGGTGCGGGCTGCATGAGTTGTGTTGGTTGCCCGCGAGTCGCGAGCCTGGCGTGCCTGTCCGTCGGTCACGTGGGGGACGGGCTCGTCGACGATCGAGCGCTCGCAACTTCACACAAACAGCTCCGAGATGCCTCGCGCTACGATGCTCTGTCAAAGCTTGAGAGACGTCATAAATGTACCGCAAAGATTCTTGGTATTTTCGAACCAAGGGTGAAAGAGAGAGTCCCATAATCACATACATCAGTTGTTTGTTCCCTTCTTCGTCTCCTTTGTTTTCCTTCTTGTTCCCTCGCGCGAAGCTTTGTACAACAGTGACGAGGATGAGATTGGGGGAAAAGGGATGGAGGGCAAGCTAGCGGAGAGCGGGCGTGCAAGGGGGAGGGCAATGGGGTTGGCTGGTGCAGGAGAAGCCCTTGAGTGTGACCGACGAGCATCTGAACCGGAGCAAGCGAGCATTGAGGGAAGCGAAGCAGCGTGTGCGTGCCGACCGTACGGTATCGCTGGCCGGCCTACACCTACTGTCATTCCTCCATGTCCATCTCCGCGACCGCGTCCTCGTGCAAGCCCCACATCTTCTTCTCCTTGGCGCCCTCCCCGCCCGGCGAGTCGTCCTCGTCATCGTCCTCTGTCGTCTCGGCCGAGCCAGAGCGGTCACGACTGTCCGTACGATCGTCCGAGTTGTCGGTCGACGTAGTCGTAGTACGCTCATCAGACTCATCGAGAACGAGGTGCTGGATGTCCGAGTTGAGTCGGTGAGTCCCACCGAGGGAGCCGTACGAGTAGGGCGTAAAGGAGTTGCTGTAGGAGGTGCCAAGTGCGGGACGAGCCGAGTGTGAGCCCGGCGTTCCGCCAGAGAGGCCAAGCTTGCTGAAGCTGTTGAGCGGGCTCATGCCGGCACTCGATGAGCGGGAGAGCGACGAGGGGCGGGCGCCGCCTACGGTGGAGGCGGCGTCGTAGTCACTTGTGGCGGAGCTAGACGATCGACCTCGTCGTGCGACCTTGCGTTGCATCATCTTGTCAAAGTTGACCTTGTCTGAGCCGAGCAGCCCCGAAGTGGCAGGGGACACAGCTGCGGGCCAGAGAGCCTTTTCATCGGGCAGGCTGGTAGAGTCGCCATCCATGTTGACAAGGATAGCGGCGGCTTCAAGGAGCTGAACCTGCTGGTGCTTGGACATGAGGAACTTGGACGCCTCTTTCCAGTAGACGGTGTGCTCCCAGCGGTGCTTGACGAGGCAGCTCGGGTGGCGGTAGACCTTGTTGCAGCTCTCACAGCGGTGAATGGGAAGTTCTTTGCCGTTGCGCCCACTGCCGCCACCATTGCCGCCAGATACGGACGAGGCGTCGTCGTCGCCGGCGTTGGATGACTCTGCGATCGAGCCTCTACGAGCGGCTGCGGCTGCAGCAAGGAGCGCAGACGAGTTGGGCAGAGACCCTGAGCTGCCGTCAGGAGCTGACGATGGCAATGATCCATTCTTGGTCAGATGGGCAGGAGGGTTGGGGATGGCGGGCTCATCTGGCTCAGGGCCGAAGCACTCTTGGCCAAAATGCGTGTGACCTGTTGAGCGACCCGACTTTGCGCCGCTATTAAGGACCGAGGCTGGTAAGGAGATGGCCTCGGCGGCGGATCCCAAAGACGTCGAGAAGGGAGCATCGGACGTGGGACCCGACCTTGGACTAGTTGAGAATCCTCGAATGGCGGATCTGCCAACGGGGATCGGCTGGCCTCGACTACCGTTGTTGTTGTTGGCAAAGGCGAGGCCGATACCTCCGGCGGAGGCTGCTGCAGTTGCTGAATCTGAGGCTTTTCTCCTCATCTGACCAATGGACTCTCGACGGGGTCGTCCCACGCTGCTCGCATTGCCGCGTGCTCCATCAGCGCCAGCATCGACGGCCGTCGTTGCCTTTGTTGGCGCGGGGTTGAAGAAGCCCTTGGGAGGCGGGTTCTGCGAGCGCGATGGTAGCGAGCAACAGGCAAGGCGTGAGCTTTCAGTCTAGGAAGGGTCGTGGTAGCAAGTGCATGCTGCGATGCTCTGTGCCCCGCTTCCGTCATTGGCAGATAAGCATGCTGCGATGCTGCGGACCATTCGATGCCCTCAGCCCCACTCGTGTCTTTTGCCCCGCTCTTCGAAAAAAAGGTCTAGAGCCAAGCTTGGCTTCGACGCTGCGACGCTGCGAGCGAATCCCCACGCTAAGGGGCCGCGGTGATCCCCCGCGTCTGCCGCGCATGAGAAAGATATCTCTGCAGATGGCCGATTCCTCTGGCAAAGTGCCCAACTCTAGGCCTCAACTCGCGCAACCCTCGCGCAGCACGCAGCGGCAAATCGGCCCCAGCGAGGGCCCTGCTTTCTGGCGGCAGCTTTGCGTGCGAGCGCGTGCTCACCAACAAAAGGGCCTGAGATGGGGGGTCGAGGCCTTCGACACTACTACCAGGACGTTGTCGACGAATGCGAAGCAAAGCTAGAGAAAGGGAACGGCCACGAGAAGCGCTTGTGGGAACGGTGCGCAGCATTGAGTGCAGCTCTGGACTGCATAACCAGGCCGAGGCTTGCCTTGCCTGCTTGCGCGCCATTCAATTCGAACGGTCTTGCTTGCTTGCCTGCCTGCTTGCTTGCTTGCCTCGGATCGCCCGCGAGTCAGGGCCTGACCAGCCCTTGCTGCGCTGCCCCGGAGACCGCGGCAAGATCGATCATCGCTAGCTGGCAGCAGCGAACCAGGAAAGCGGGCGCGGACGACAAGGCAGAGAGCACAGAGCATGAGAAGGGCGGCGTCAAGGCCGGCCGGCGCCCCATTTCCGTCGAGGTCCGGTCACCACCAAAATGTCTCTCGACGAGACGCACATGATGGTGAACGGACGACGAGATGACGACCTAAGGTATGCTGCTAGGCCGTCGACCCCGATGCAACCATATCTACCACGACGATGTACAATGCAAGCATGCTGCAGCAGCCGCAGGGTCTCATCTCGGTCTTGGCTTTCCTCTCTAACCTTGTTCTCGAAGCTTGCCAGAGAGAGAGAGAGAAACGTGGAACTCACCGACGTAGTAGTAGCTGTGCCGTTGGTTGAGATACGGCCGCTAGGCATCGAGGCCGCGGACCCTGCGGCAGCTCCTCTGTGATGAGCTGCTTCAAAGGTGGTCATGATGTCCCTTGCGTGATCGCCTTGCTCTCGTTGCTCTCGTCTCTTTGAACGGACGGAGAGCTCAAGCCCGGCGAAGGGACTCGGAGGCTAGGGGGCGAGAAGTGAGAAGTGGGTGTGTTGTCGAGGCCTGTGGCAGCAGCAGTCACTCGTGGTAGAGAGACTGGCGAGGGCGACGATGAAGGCGCTGTCGGTGACGTGCGAAGCGGGTGACACGAAGTGTGAAATGTCCAAGTCGCGAGAAGCTAGACGAGCGTCAAGTGAATGAGCCGTCCGTCCTCAAGGCTAGGTAGTGGGAGAGGGGGAGGGGGAGGGGGAGCAACGAGGGGGGCCGAAGAGGGTGAGTCCGCGGTGCTTGAGTATTGCGCTGAGCTATCGTGGTTGATAGACTAACCCGAGTGCAATGTCGCAAGGCGCGCAAAGGTGGAAAGGACAAGGGAGAGGACTCGAAGGTGGGGGAGTGTGCGTAGCGACGGAGACCCAAAAGGGGGGAGGTTGACGGGGGGGGGGTTGATGAAGATTTAGTCGTGGGAGGTTCGGGTGTGAAAGAAATTTGGGTCTCGTCGAGGAGTGGGGAGGAGTGGTGGTGGTGGTGGTGGTGGTGTTTGGTGGGTAGTGGTGGTAAAGAAGGCTAGGAGTGCTTGGTCTGGTGGGAAAGGGGAGCCTCGCGCCTGACCGCCAAATCTTTTTGGAGAGTGAGGTTGAGTGAGGTGCGAGGGCGGACGGCAGTGGCTGCAGCGCTCCCCGCGCTGCGCTCTCTCCCTCCCTGACTGCTTGCTTGCTTGCTTGCTGCCTGCTGCCTGGCTGGGCCCTCAAGTCGCTCATCCGCCCGCCCAGCTGCTCGCTCGCTCTCTCTCTCTCTCTCGCCGCTGCTCACAGCCCAGCCAATCGCCGAGTCGTCGACGACACGAAAGCTGCAGCCTGCCTGCTTGCTCGTGCTTAGCGCGGCCCTAATCACCCACAGCCACGTCCGACGGACGCTCTCAAAGTCCAAGGCTCAGAGACTAATCACCGTCTTTTCGGGCCGAGGCCACGAGCTGCAACCTCGTGATTATCAGGCTGCTGCCAGTCCGCGGTGTGTAGACCAACCAACACTTATCCGCCGAGGACGCCGCTTCTTCGCGAGAATATCCCATCCTCCATCCGCAAGAATGTCTTCTGCTGGAGCTGTGGCTCCCTCAGCCGGTGGTGGTAACGCGGGAGGGGATCAACAGCAGGCAACAGACTGGAAGCGGACGATCTTGAAGGGTCTGGCCATCTACTTTTTCATCAATACGGCAACGCAGCTCCTAGCGCCTAAGCCACCACAGTCAGCAAAGACGGGTGACGCGACCGCACCTCGGCCAGCGCAGGAGCCGCCCGCTTGGCTTCAGAAGCTCGGAGCACCAGCAGGACCACCTCCTGTCCTCACGCCTCCATTGCTGAGAGTGCCAAAGAATGCTTCATCGCAGCCCTTGTGGCCTTCGACCAGCGAGCTCGACTTCTACGTCTTCCTCTCGCATTCGGCGGCGCCCAGTGTGGAGGACATTGGCACTCAACTCTCCCCTTTGGCGCCAGGAAGCCATCGCGCTCCTGCTCTTGACCAAGTCGTTTCGTTCGACCTGTACCCCACGTTGCATGACAGCTACGCGGCGCCTGGACAGCATACAGTCGTGACGTCGATTCGAGAGGGAGCCCTGCCCATCATCAAGTTCGGGTCGCTCGCGCTCAATGATACTCGCCTGAATGCCGGGCTGGTCGCCGACATCAACATCGCAACGCCGCCCGAGGTCATGTACAACAATGGCTCGCTGTGGGCGGACGTCGTTGCCGTGGGCAGCGGCATGGATGTACGCACGACGGAGCATAAAACCCGGATGAGGAAGCTACTCACCCGTCTCTACCCCGCGCGTAAGCATCGCGAGGGAAGAAGACTGCTGGGCAGCGAGGCAGGCAAGGACAGCAGCGAGGAGCACGACGAGGATCTGATGATGGGCGAGGACGGCGTGCTTCGCAACGAGACTTCGTCCAAGCAGATCATCACCTACTGGCATCGCAACCTGACCCTGGCTCTACCGCACCAAGACGTCACACCCGGCATACAAGTAGGCGCTATCCCCCCGCCTCTCCTCCAGCACGTTCACCTCGCCACCAATCCAGACGGCAGCGTCATGCACTCGCAAACCGTCGACGGTCGAGTAGACGAGACTCGGATGTGGAACTATCCAGTCATCTTCGCCAACACATTCTGGGACTTGCGCGAGGACATGAACCCGATCAATGCTACAACGCCTGTGCTGCCATTGCACATCTCGCTGTACTCGACGTCATGGTTCAAGTTCCAGCTACTGGCCGCCATGAGCGATTCTTTCGAAAAGCAGCCGGGCATGGCGAGTGGGGAGATCGACATCATCAAGCATACGCTGCAGAACACGAGTCCGTGGTACCTCGCCCTGACGCTAATTGTCACTTTGACCCACGCCTTGTTCGAATATTTGGCGTTTGCAGGCGAGGTCCAGTTCTACAGAAAAAAGGTGAGCCCCGAGACCCCAGCCATCGCCACGACGTGCTATTCGCTTACCACTCTTCCCCTTGCGATCCGCAGGAGAACTTCGTCGGCGTATCTCTGGGCTCAATCATGACCAACATCGTGACACAAACGATTATCCTGCTCTACCTCTTTGACTCATCCGAAGAGACATCTTACATGATCCTCGGCTCCCAAGCGGTGGGAGTAGTCATAGAGGCCTGGAAGCTCACCAAAGCAGTCACCGTCACACTCGTTCGCTCGCCACCGGGCAGTCGGCTGCCGTATCGTCTCGAGGTGAGGGACAAGTACGTCCCAACGCCGGACGATCTCAAGACAAAGGAGTACGACAGACAAGCTTTCAAACTCGTCTCATACTTCACTGGCCCGCTCCTTGTGGGGTACACGATCTACTCTGCCTACTATGAGACGCACAGAGGATGGTGGAGCTTCGTCATCGGGACACTCACCTCATTTGTCTACGCCTTTGGTTTCATCGCGCTGGTGCCGCAGCTCATTATCAACTACCGCCTCAAGAGCGTCGCAGGGATGCCGCCAAAGACGCTTGTGTACAAGATTCTCAACACCTTTGTGGACGATCTGTTCGCATGGGGGATCGTCAAGATGCCGATTCTGCATCGCTTGGCTACTTTGAGAGATGATGTAGTCTTCTTCATCTACCTCTACCAGTGGTGGGCGTATGGCGTCGACAAGAAGAGAGTCAACGAGTTCGGACAGAAGCTCGATGATGGCGAGACGGATGAGGGTGAGAAGGCAGGAGACCGAAAGGCCATCGAGAGCAAGTCGGAGACGAAGAAGGATCAGTAGCGCTCCGGAAGCCGTGAGTAAGGCGACGATACCTTGAAGGAGACAGAAGAAAGACGCAGACTCGCAGGCCGTACCACTTGAAGCTCAAATAGATAGCGTGGCGTCATTAGCAGATCTTGCACTACGGCTGACACCTGCAAGGCGAAGACGTCGAATACGACGATCAAGCGCATGACGGATGGGCCTGAATTTGTGACAGCGCTATTGTTCGATCGCGCAGCTGTCAAATGTTCACTCACACCGGGGTGGCTTGTTCGTGCTCTCACGTCACGACGTCGACTTTCGAAGGTCCGCTCCTTCATGTTCGCCCTACCACGGCCGTGACGACGGTCCCGTCTACCAGCTTCTCATGAAGCGCTGAAGCCGAAGCCAGGTCTGGTCGGGCTGCGAAGGAGTGCAAATCAAGCTGTCGATCTTTGCTCCTCACTCGAGAGATGTGACGAGATCGCTATGCAGCATCATCGCTTCGCTGTCTACTCAACCTTACTTTGTCTGTGTCGTGCATGCGCATGTGTTCTTCTCGACATGGGAAGCTCGCTGATCAGCTCATCGTCAGATCTCATGGGGGTAAAAGACGACCTGTTGACTACCGAAGGCATCGCTTGCTAGGAGTGAGCCCCACGCAGGGGCGTATGATGGCAAAGACATGGCGAATGGCGAATAAGGTGGCTTGTCCTGATCGTCCCGTGTGTGCGAGGGAGCTTCTTCTCTTCGCCTGCCGTGTGAACCAGCGTCGAGTCGCTGTGCGCCAAGGACGAGAGAGCGCGGACGAGGACGACGTCCGTGCGAGCTGCGAAGCCGGCCTGCCCGCATGAGACCGAGTCCAGACTGCATCGCATCGCCCCACGCTTCATCGGGCATTCTCTGAGGAAGAAGAGCAGCATTAAGGCACGAGGCGACGGGCAGTCGGAGACGCTGCACGGCTCCATCGAGCAAGGACATCGCGGCCGTGCATGCTGATGAGATGCCTTTCTTTCCCTACTGACCCATCAACTCATGCACGCAGGGACCAAGACCCACGACGCACGATGATGGGACGGGCTGCCCCCGCGGATACACTGTCTGTGACTCTCAGACTCTCATCAAAGTTGCCCAGACTCAGCTCCGTGCTTAAAGAGCCTGACATTCAGCTTCGGCAGCCTTTGCCATCCCCTCTTGTCTCTCTACACATCCCTACATCTACCGCCCAACTCGCAGCTCAATCGTCCGCCCATCCTCCAAGATGAAGACCACCGCATCTATCGCCCTCCTCGTAGCCACCGCTGCCTGCGCCTCTGCCGCTGCTCTTGAGCCTCAGGCTACTGCCGCCCCTCTCGTAAGTCTCAACGAAGGACCAAGGGTCGGCGCCTCGGGCGAAAGCCATGGCTGTTGCTGCTTGCTAACACGTTGACTCGTTGATTATTTGATCCGCGGCTCGTCAGGAGAAGCGTCAGGACGCCGGAGCCTTCCAATCGGCACTGCAGCAATACTCTGCACTCCTCACCATCCCGGCCTTCCAGTCCATCGCGGCCTCCATTGCCATGGACTCGGCCGCCCTCTCCGCCGCTGCCGCTGCCCAGACGGGCGATGTCGCTCCCTTCCAGTCGTACGTCAACTCCCTGCAGGCCAACCCGACCCTCTCGCAGGCCATCGTTTCCGCTCTGGGCACTAGCTCGGCAGCCGCCATCTACTCCTCCATCCAGGCTGGGCAGTCTTCCCTCTCGCAGATCCAAACGTCTGCAAGCGCTTCGGGGGCTTCGGGAGCTTCATCGGGGGGTTCGGGCGCGTCGTCGTCTGCCGCATCGTCACCTTCAGGGTCGACGACTAGCAGCGGCTCCAACGCTGCTCCTTCCATGCAGGCTCCTTTGGCTGCTGGGCTCGGCCTCATTGGTGCTACGGCTTTCGTTCTTGCCCTCATCTAATCGTGTCGAGATCGGACCTGCAGGATCATTTGTCACTTGTCTCAAGAGGGTGACCTTTTCAATGACCATCGGGTGCAGGCCATCGAGCTCCATGCCCCTTTATGCCTCTCATTGCCCCGTCGTTTTGAAGGAAGGTCACTTTGTCTTTCGCTCCTTGACACGTCGACCATGAGAGAGGCGTCTTTCTCCTTGACTCTGCTTGCTTAGTAACTCGCTGGAGTATCTCCAACAGACTGAGGAACAGCCACGTCACTTTCGATCACCCTTCTTATACGGTCGCATAAGGTTCTATCATGGGAACGCTTTCAGAGCCTCGTCGACTTCGCTGGTTGCCTTTTGAGCTAGCGTTGATGGCCCTGTCTCACCGTTGTGCCTACGGCGGGTGAAGCGAGCGCAAAACAATGTCCGAGCAAGCGGAAAGGGTGAAAGTGGATCGCATCAACGCCTCGAGCTTTCTTGCTCTGGATCCGACAAGCACACTAGCGCCGGAGTCTGCAGTCGATTATCTCGTCGTTCTGCGCACCGTCAAGAACCTGAAGGCTGCGTAGTGATGAGAGGCCTGCCCGTACCTACCTTCCGAGCGTGGTCTACGCGCTGACGATGAAATACTGCCGAAGGGAGCTGGCCTAGTCTCGTCTACCTGGTATAAAGGGGACTTCACAATGAGACGCAGCTGTGTCTTTGTGTCCATCCCTTGCCCTCGCCCTCTATCGATTGTCCACTTGCAACGTCTTCATCTGCATCCAGCCCCTCTCAAGCCCTCTATCGCTACCCCAAAACTTATCACGACTAGGATGCAGGTCTTTGCTCAGCTCTCCTTTCTGCTGGCCACCATCGTCGTCGGCGCTTCTGCCGCTGCCGTCGAGCCCAGAGCCACTACCGCGCCCCTTGTGAGTCTGTTGCCTCATGAAGGTTGGAACATTATGAATGACATCGCCGTCGCTTACTCGTACATTTCCCCTTGCCACTTTCCCTAGGAGAAACGCCAGACGGACCTCGGAGGTGTTGAATCGATCTTCGATTCCAACACTGCTCTGGCCCAGAATCCTGTCTACCAATCCTTCCGCGATCACTTCCTCAACAACCCTGAGCTTACCTCCGCTGTGGAGAAAGGTGGCGCTGCTTCCCTCTCGTACTTCGCAGGCCCTGCGTCGGATCCAACGCTCTCGCAGGCCGTCTACTCTGCGCTTGGGACCAGCTCGGCCGACGCCCTCTACTCTGCCTACAAGCAGGCTGTAACATCCGCTGAATCGTCCCTCAAGTCGTCTCCCACCGGGTCTTCCGGAAGTAACGCCGCCACTGCGGCTATGCAGGCTCCTCTCGCCGCTGTTCTTAGTCTGATCGGTGCTACAGCTTTCGTGCTGGCCCTCATCTAAGTGGGTGCGACTGACAGGGATGCCCAGATCGGAATCGCTTCTGTCCATCAGCACCTTGACCTTGTGTACGGTAGCACGGCACGCTCCGTCATCTTCACTTTTCTTTCCCTATGTCAGAGTCAGCGAAGGGGGTCGGAGGCTGCCTTGCTCGCTCTTCTGTCTTCAGCGGGCTCCTTGCTCAATAGCACCTGCTTTGTGAATGACCTCTTCTCTCTCGTCGTCGGCGTCTGCTGCAAGTCATCCCGCCTTCACGTCCAGGCTGCCAACTGCGAAAAGGGACGAGACGCCGTTGGTATCGTTCGGCCATCGTCGGGCTGGCTTGTGCGTGGAAGTCGTCCAGTGCCGAGCTGAATAGATATGAGCAGCGGACGGAAACGAACGAACAAGGACCGAGGGAGGGCCTCGACCAAGGGTAGGAATCGCTGAGCAGCTATTGAGGCGAGGCGAAGGACGAAGGACGCTAACGCGCTTGTTCTCATCAGAGTTCTCAGCGTCTCTGGGCGTCGCTCCCTCGTCGCGCACTTTCAAGCGAGGGCGCATCAACCTCCGTACGAGCGTCCGGCTGCATCGCGGGGACGGCAAGCCTGATCGGGGCAGCCTTCCACTCAAGACCGGATCCACTAGCGCATCAGAAAGCAGCCTTGAGAGGCTGCATCATGCTTGATGGAACACCATCCCGTCTCGAGCAGCATGCTGAAGCTGCTAATAGAGTCGCAGGCTGTCCAGATGCCTGCTTTTCCCCACGCTCGACGCATGACCCACACACAAACAAGACGAGATGCCCTCTCACGCTCTCTCGTCTACCTGCCACACCCTATAAGACCAGATAAGGCTCCGTATCCTCCATCTCATTCTCTGTATAGTACACCTACACCTACCGCCCATCTCCCAACTCCCAATTCTCTCGCCCTCCTCTGCTCTCAACAACACGAACATGAAGATCACCATTGCCGCATCTCTGCTCCTCACCATCGTCGCGTGCGTCTCTGCGGCTGCCGTTCAGCCTCAGGCCACAGCTGCCCCTCTTGTGAGTCGAGTGCCATGGCATCGTGGATCAGATCTGACCGTAGCGTGATCACTGACTGCTTTGGCCTGCGTCACGTCACCCTCATCCTACAGGAGAGGCGCCAGGACAACAGCTACTTCTCATCGCTGTTCGCCAACAATCCCGTCTTCAACACCGGCCTGCAGGTCATTCAATCGGCCCAGGCGTCGGCTTTGAGGGATCCGCAGTTCCGCTCCGACTACCTACAGGCCCAAACAGGTGGCGACCCCGGCCCTTTCATCTCGCGGGTCAGCTCCGCCTACGCAAACCCCACATATTCGTCGGCCGTCTACCAGAGGTATGGCACGTCCACTGCAGACGCTGTCTGGTCCTTGCTCTCAGGCCTCGAGAAGACCTACGCCGCACAGTCTACGTCGCGTGCGGGGTCCTCGAGCAGCGGCGGCTCGAATGCTGCACCTTCTGCGATGCAAGCCCCTCTTGCCGCCGGGATCACTCTCCTCGGCGCCACGGCATTCGTACTTGCCATGATCTGAGCCTTGCGAGCGGCAAGCGAGGGAGGATCTTCATGGTCAGCAGAGACCTGTTCCACGGCGAGCAAAGCGTTCCCCCTGCCGTGGCCTGCGGTGGGCTTCCTGCATCACCATCCTGCTCAGTCCTCTTGCTGCCTCACACTTCATCGACACAGCCTGAGAGCCGAGTCGCTCTCCTGTCATATTGCTGCCATTCACCAGTGCCATGTGCGATTGTCTTTGCCCGTTTATGATTTGAGTGCATGCATGCCCTTCGATCGCATCTTCAACCAGCCCATCATCCCATCGTCGCGTCTTGGGAGCGCGAACCAACTCGAGACGCGGGTGCGTCCATTTGGCTGGTCCGCGAGCGAGAAGCGGCGCGCCGCCCGCTCCCTGGTTCTGCCTCGTGTCCCTCCGCATGAGAAGCGCTGGGCCAGTCACAGAGTCGAGTCTGTGCGCGTGTCGTTGCCTCGTCTGTTCTCGCTCCTCTGCTTTGCATCCACTCATACCGACTGACTCTGCGCATCATATCGTGAGTATGAGACGAGGAACAAAGCGATTGAGCACACATTGGCGTGGCCAACGGGCGGTACCCTTGAGCCAGGCTGGCAGAACAGTCGGGTGAACGGCCGTTGCGATATCGCCATCCGCTGCTGCGCGTACATCCAGATGGTGGCCAGGGGGACGGTCTCACTCTGGCCATTTACGAGCAGCGCTGAGCCCAACTCAATGGCAGCTCGTCCAATATCGCTCGACGGGGCAGGAGCACGTTTGACTCGCCAGCCGCGATGGATTCTCTTTCGCCTACAGGAAGGCCATCGTCACGCTAACCTCTTCATCCTCCCTCTCGCCCAGCAATATGCTTTCCGCCATCCGATCCTCCTTGGCGCCTCGCCAGGCCGTCAACATGGCTGCTCGAGTGAGTTTGACACCCCCTCATGGACAGTGTCTCATCTGCCGGCCGCCGCTCACACCTCCCCCCGCCCATCTCACGCTCTTAGTCCTTCAGCACCACCCCCTCTGCTAGCGACTTCGCCCGCATGCAACTCCTGGGTCGCCTCGTCGCAGACCCCGAGGTCCGCACTACCCGCTCGGGCAAGGAGTATGTCCGCTACACCCTCGCTACAAACGACCCCGCCGGCCCTCCCGGCGAAGACGGGGAGCGTGGGCCCGACACGTCTAGCTTTCACTCCATCTTTGGGTTTGGCGAGCAAGCCGTTCAGCGTCTCACGGCCATTCCCAAGGGCACCTTGATGCAGGTTGAGGCTGATTTCAGGATCCAGCGCAACCCTGGAGAGGACGGTAGCCCGGCGAGCTCATCGTACCTGGTGCAGCACAGGAGCTGCCACGTTGTGCTGAAGCCCAAGGGCGAGAGGGAGGGGCAGTGAGCGTGACGTGCGCTCGATGGACCGCGGAGGGTGTGAAGGCAGGCGGAAGGCAGGCAGGCATGGTAGGCTTGATGCTGATGCGATGTTATTGGCAGGACATACCGACAATTCGATCCACTGCTTCATCTCGTCCCCCGCTCGATTAAAAGAAGTGACTGGCCTGCGTCATAGGCAGCTTCGTCGCTGCCTCGACGGTGCATATCCTCCCGTCCGCCTTCACCTCATACGTCTCCGGATCGACCTCGATCTTCGGCAGAGCTGTATTGAGCTTCATATCCCTCTTCGTGATTCCTCTACACCCTCTTACCGCTTCCACCCGTTTGTTGAGTCCGTAGGCCCCCACGATCCCTTCGTCGATGGACACCTTCGATACGAAGCAGAACGAGTTGTGGTGTGCCGCCTTGGGTAGGGCGCCGTACATTTTGCGGCCATACATGGGCTGCACAGTCGGGATCGAGGCATTCGCGTCACCCATCTGCGCCCAAGCTACTTGCCCGCCCTTCAGCACCATCTCTGGCTTAGTGCCAAAGTGGGCCGGCTTGTAGAGCACCAGGTCGGCCAGCTTGCCCACCTCGACCGATCCAACAACGTGGGAAAGGCCGTGCACGATTGCCGGGTTGATCGTGTACTTGGCCACGTACCGCTTCGCTCTCTCATTGTCTTTGCTCGGCGCACTCGCCGTCTCCCCGGCTTCATCCCCCTCCGTCTCAAGGGGCCCCGTCATGCTCCTCATCTTGGCCGCCGTTCTCCATGTCCTGCTGACCACCTCCCCAATCCTGCCCATAGCCTGCGAATCACTCGAGATCATGCTAATAGCCCCCTGGTCCTGCAGCACATCCTCTGCCGCTACGGTCTCTGCTCGGATGCGAGAGTCGGCAAAGGAGACGTCCTCTGCGATGTCGCGCGAGAGGTGGTGGCAGACCATGAGCATGTCGAGGTGCTCGTCGAGGGTGTTGGCCGTGTAGGGCCGGGTAGGGTTGGTCGACGAGGGGAGGACATTGGGGACTGAGCAAACCGTGATGATATCGGGGGCATGACCTCCCCCTGCCCCTTCGGAGTGGTATGTGTGGATTGTGCGGCCTCGGAAGGCGGAGATGGTGCCTTCGACGAAGGAGCTGCGTGCGCAAAGGGCGAAGACGAGTCAGTGCCATTCATCACGACCCCAAGCCTCCCGTTGTTCCTACGCACGACTCATTGAGGGTGTCCGTGTGAATATTGCACTGCACGTCAAACTCGTCACAGACGGTGAGGCAGCTGTCAATCGTCGCCGGAGTCGTTCCCCAGTCCCTGCGACGGAACAAATCAATCAGTCGTCAGCGTCAAAACAACGGCATTCGGACAGGGTCTGCGGCACTCACTCATGCAACTTCAATCCCGCGCAACCCGCCTTGACTTGGTCCACCAACCCCTGTCGCGCCGAATCGTTACCCTTGCCCGTGAACGCAAAGTTGAGCGGCACATCATCCGTCGCTCTCATCATGAAGCGGACATTGTCGAGCCCAGGGGTACAGGTCGTGGCGGATGTACCCGATGTGGGGCCCGTCCCACCGCCGATGAGTGTGGTGATGCCCGTGGAGAGGGCTTCCTCGCATAAGTCCGGGCAGATGTAGTGCACGTGGGCGTCGATGGCGCCTGCGGTCAGGATCTGATTTTGAGCTGCGATGACCTCAGTACAGGAGCCGATGATCCTGCGGGGGAAAAGAAGCGATGGGTGGTCAGGGCAGCTGCGCTGGCAAGGTCGTCGCACACCGTCGCCCACTCACATGCCTGGCGTCACCCTGTCCATGATGTCTGGATTCCCCGCTTTACCCACTCCCACAATGCGCCCTTCCTTGATTCCCACATCCGCCTTGACCACTCCCCACCAGTCCAAGATCAGCGCATTGATGATCACTACATCCAAAGTCTCTTCGTCGCTCCTCCCCGTTGCCTGGCCCATTCCATCTCTGAGCACCTTGCCTCCCCCGAACATGCACTCGTCTCCGTACGACGTGAAGTCGCGCTCCACCTCGACCCACAAGTCCGTATCCGCCAGTCGGACACGATCACCGGTCGTGGGGCCGTAGAGGGCCGCATAGGCTGGGCGGCTGAGCGTGTATGCTGGCGGCGCGGGGAGGGGAGCAGACGGCGAGGGCTCGTTGCAGAACTTGCCGGCCTGCAAACGTTGCAGTATCTCGTCATGGGAGCCCTGAGAGGTGAGATCGGCGACGAGGCCTTTCGCAATGCAGTTGCCCGCCTGTGCGAGTCGCTTCTGCCCGCCAATACTGACGAGGCTGACCGACTTGACGTCTCCCGGCTCAAACCGCACGGCTGTACCGGCAGCGATGTCCAGGCGCATACCAATGGCAGAAAGACGAGGGAAGGAAAGGGCCGGGTTGGTTTCGACGAAGGGATAGTGCGACCCAACTTGGATCGGCCGATCCCCCGTGTTTGTTACTCGTAGCGTGACGCGCTTCCTGTCCGGGCAGAGGGTGATATCCGCAGCTTTGCGTACAGTGACGACTGCTCCCGGGAGATGTTCCAGCGGCTCTGGCTCAGGTCCAAAGAGGTCGTCGCTTGGAATGGGGAGGAAGGACCCGTACAGTGCCTCCCTTAGATCGCCCTTCTCTGTACAGACGGGGTCGTGCACAGTCACTAAGAATGTTCCGTCAGGAAAGGTACCTTCTACCATGACTTCGTGGAAGAGCGTCGCTACGCCTGACTGAACATGCCGTGTACCCAGCATCGTCTTGCCCAATTGCATCAGGTCGGCAACGGAATGGGTGCCATCCCGTATGCGCTCCTGGAGGACAGAGGCAACGAGAGCCGTCGCTTCGGCCACATTGAGCCTGACGCCGCGAGCGAGGCGTCGCTGTGCTAGTGAGCCGGCCTGAGAGAGGAGAAGCTTGTCCCTTTCGCGGGGCAGGAGGTGCATCGTGAAGCTGAATTGTGCACTGCGGCCTGGAAGAGGAGACGTAATGTGTGGGGTATATGCAGATGCAGAGAGATAAGAAGGTCGAGCGGAGAAGGCGAGGCGAGCTAGTCTAATTCCAATTTGCATGGCTCGAGCGCCCAGAAAACCACGTGGTTGTGAGCCGCTGCGACTTGGCAGAGCCAACCAACACTGTTCTCGCTGCGTTGGGACTCACTTTCTCTCCTCGTCTTCGTTACCAATCGCACGCCCAACCGCCTTCAGTGATGTCGGCGCAGGCAAGTGGTCAGCAGCGGCACCACTCGCACAGTCATGCGTCACCAACGGTGCCCGATCCGCGGCAGAGAGGCAGAGTAGCCTTCACAACTCCAATCCCAGCCGCCTCCTTTTCGACGTCCCCGACGTCCTCCTCCATCCCGACCGACTTGGTCCTCGCTCTTCTCCTTACCAAGACGGCATTAGCATCATCAGCCCTCCTCGCACGACACTGGCTGCTCGTACCTCACTCGGAGCGCATACACTCGCCATATTCCCGAGCAACGCCTTCATCATCAGGCCAAGATGAGCATTCCGTCTCCTCTCTGGCAGTAGCGGCCCTCACACTCTTTCTCGCTGCGGCCGCTCAGTTGGCTTGGTTCAGACCATGGCAATGGCTGCCTGCGCTGAGGCGATCAGACCCGGAACTCAAGGTCGTGCCAAAGAAGCTGGCCATGCTCGGGCTAGTGTTCTTCGCGCACCTCCTCGTCTGGCTAATGGCGCTCCGACACCTCGGGGCTCTCACGGTGATCGTATTTACGCAGTTCTGCGAAGTTTGGGCATCGGACCTTGCACGATCTATCAAAGCGCGCAGCTACGGAGGCTACACTATCCTGCTGGCCCTCGCCGGCTCGTTCCTGTACAGTCTCATTGCTGGCCTGGCTACTCCTGCTGGCTCCTCCTCGGGCGGCTCAATCGCTCATGGGCTGGCAGGAGCAGACGACGTCGACCTACCAGCGTCTCTAAAGCACATGCGCCCAGGTGGACTTGCTTCTCCCTCCTCGCAGCGACTGGCAGCACAGGCTCAGCAGTTGGACGCGGCCAACTTCTCCGCTACAGGCATCCTCGCGGGCCATCTCTGGCTGCTGGGTTATGCGCTGCTCACCTTGCTCAAGCAACGAGCCACAATCGAGGCGGCAAGGCATTGTAGCGGCCGCAGGCGAGCGACAGTCCTCGCCGGTATTCTGGCCGCAGGGATGGCGGTTCCGCTTTGCCTGTTTGCGAACGTGATGGGAATGGCAAAGCTGCCCCCGCTCAAGTCGCTCGCTCCCTCAAGTACTACGACGCACCTCCCTGCCTATTTGCTGCTGGCAGGCGCCTTCCTTGTCCTCGAACCCTTGCTCTCCGCCACGCTGGAGGGGCATGCGACCCTGCAGGTGCGCGTGGCCCAGGGATGGCCAATGGCTGTGGTGGCCTGCGCGATCGTAGGCTTCGTAGGCTTCGGCGTGCATGTGGGATGGGGGCTCTGCGTCGTCGCCGGTACTGTGGGATACGGACTGCGCTCTATCCTCCGCAACTCGCCACACCTCCAGCCAGAGGCCACCACTGCCCCTCCTGCAAATGGCCATGCCCACGGGCATAAGCGCCAACCCTCAGACGGGACTGCCCTCTCTGAGCTCGTCAAGACTACCAAGGACATCGCCTACTCCACTCGCCGTGTCCTATCTGCCATATTGGCCCACTCCGATTCGCGCAAGATCTTCCAATTCCTCTGCCTCAACCTAGCATTTATGGTCGTCCAACTCCTTTGGGGTGTCTGGACCAACTCCCTCGGCCTGGTGAGCGACGCTATCCACATGTTTTTCGATTGTGCCGCGATCGGCATGGGCCTGTTCGCCAGCGTCATGAGCAATTGGGGTAGGGATGAGGTGTTCACCTACGGGTATGGGAGAGTAGAGACGCTGAGTGGGTTCGCGAACGGGGTGTTCCTCGTGCTCATCAGCGTGTTCATTGTTTTCGAGGCGGTGCAGCGTATTGTCGAACCGCCTGTGATGCACAACACGCGGCAGTTGTTGGTGGTTAGTAGCATGGGATTGGGAGTCAATCTGTTTGGCATGTTTGCGATGGGTCATCATCACCACGGTCATAGCCATGGGCATGGCCACGACCACCATCATCACCACGGGCATGGACATAGCCATGGCCACGATCACGGACATGACCACGGGCACGGCCACTCGCACAACATGATGGGCGTCTACCTCCACGTCATGGCCGACACTCTAGGCTCAGTGGGTGTGATCGTCTCGACTCTCCTCATCCAATACTACGGATGGACAGGCTTCGACCCGATTGCCTCCCTCTTCATTGCGGCCTTGATCGTCGCGTCGGTCATCCCTCTCCTAGTCGAGTCGGGCCGGGTGCTCTGCCTCGACTTGGGGCAGGAAAGGATCGACACGATCCTGGAGGCGTTGGATGAGGTAGTGGACAAGGTGGAAGGGGTGGAGGGGTACAGCTTCCCGAGGTTTTGGCCAAAAGACTCGGAAAGTGTGGTCGGGTCGATCAGACTTCAGGTTAGCTTGCGAGGGAGCAAGGCTGCTGCGGGTGGTGGGATGAGGAACAGGACGGTCTCTTCAGCCTCGACCGTAGGCACTACCACATCGGATACGTGGGGTACGATGGCCTCGAATGGCTCGTGGCGGACACTGAACGACGCGACAGCGACAGGGGACAGTGACAAATCATCCTCCAGCGTTACACCCGAAGCCCTCGCAGCACAAGTAGAAGACCTGCTGCGTGCCAAGATCCCCGGTCTGGAGTCACTCAGCATACAACTCGAGGACGCTTTAGCCGCAGCGCCTAACGCGGCGGGCATCGGTCCTTCAGTAGGAGGAGCACAAGCATTTGGCGAATTCTTACATGGGCAGAGCCCTCCGCGTGAATCGATGGGTGGAGGGGGAATGACCAAGAGTAGTAGCCAGGATTTGCCAGGCGTGACGCCTAGGAAGATGAGATAGGACGGAGGCGACAAGGCGGACGCTTTACCTTCTCTCTTCGAACTACAGCATACGCTTCATGACGTTCGTTGTGACGTGTGCATTGCTATGATATCTTCGCCGCGACTGTATGCTCTGCCTCCCCTCTCCCCGACGGCCAACCCCTCCCTCTCACTACCTCAACGACGCACTCGGCCCGCCCTGGACAGCATGCGCCGCCTGCTCTATCTTTGCCTTGACGTCCTCCGCTGTCCTCAGGCTAAGGTGCTCCGCCTTGTTTGCAAGATCGCTGCCGCTGCTGCTGCCACTATTCGAAGCAGAGGAGGCAGCATTGCCTACTGCGCTGGTCGCATTCTGTGTTAACTGTGAGGTCCGGGAGATGAGACGGTCGACAACCTCATCCCATCGCACGGCGTTGATCGACTCGCTCAGTGAGACGAGATGGTGCTGCGGGACGATGAAAGCGAAGATGAGTGAGTATATGCTACCATTCTTCAAAGTCTCCGCGTCTCGCCCATTCTGGCACTCACATTCCACCTCGACTTCAATTGCTCGCCGATACTCTCATACCTCGGCCTACTCTGATTCCATCGACTTTCCCTCCAGCCCTCATCTTCGGCCAACTTGCCCTTGGTCTCGCGCAAGCGATCCTTGAGCTTTCCCTTGACCTCATCCAAGGCCTCGTCGGCCCTGGCGGCTGCGTGCGAGAGGTGCCGCGTGCTCGATGTTGAGGACTGCTGGTAGAGGGCGACGAGGGAGAGGGAGACAATGCTGCCCGCGAGGGGGGCAAGGATGAGGCGCGAGGTGAGGAGGCGGGCCATTGCTGAAGAGGAGGGACCAGGCTGGTGGGCGTGGAGGTTGAAGATGTGGTATCCGAGGGCGGACAAGGACAACGGTCAAGAGTTGCATGCCGCTTTGTCGACGGAACGGGATTCGTCGGCCAAGTCAAGGAGCCGCTCGACCCTCGAGCGCTCAGGCCAGCCCGACACACGAGGCATCGACTGGGACTTGGACTTGGCCAAGCAACACTTTCATTCCAATCCTGTTCCTACATTCTGGTCACACCGCAGCCGACGTCATGTCTCGGCCATCGGTCGATGCTGACGACCCCGGCTCGGACACAGAGTCTGTACTCTCATCGTCACAGGCCCCTTCTGCGACCACTCGATCCCTGGCAGCTGGCGGCCTCAACTTCGCAAATGCTTCAACGCTCAACCTGTCCGTCTTTGCTGGTAGCCCAGCCAACGCCAACACCAACGCCAATGCATCGACTTCATCCTCGTCATCCACAGCTGGTCTTCTTGGCGGCTTCAATGCCCTCTCGACCGTACTGAACAGTCCTCACAAGCGGCAGCATCCCATCGACCCCAGCTCGAGTCGCTATCCTCCCCTCCCAACGCATAAGGACGCTGAAATAAGGCGGCCAAAGAAGGAAAGCGTCAAGGCTTACATCGATGAGGTGTCGACTGAGTGGGACAGATACACCAAGAGCAAAAGTCTCGGTGCCAAAGGGAGCGCAAAGACCAGGCTGTCGCAGCAGCAGGAAGGCAGCGACGATGCAGCTTCGTCCTCGACGGCTACGACCGCCGTTGCCAAGGGCAAGCTCCCACCGCTCAGTGCCGTGCCGCAGGTTTTCTTCGAAGAAGACTTCAACCTCGGCAACCCATACACCTTCGACATAGTCACGGAGCGGTACGGGGCCGTCAATGCGTCCGGCTCCAACAGCGCCGAGCCTGCGATATCAGACACAGTCGCACCTCAAGCCAATTCTGGCCCAACGCCAAACTCAAATGCTCACCTCGACAAGCTCAGCCATTACTCTGACATAGTTGAGCAGCATCTTCTGCATGAGATTTCACTCCGTTCCTCCTCCTTCTTCTCCGCCCTGGGCACATTGCAAGACCTCTCCCAGTCCTCGAGCTCATGCCTCTCCGTCATCCACTCGCTGCGCAGCGAACTCATAGCCGTGGAAGAGTCGCACGTGAAGACAGGGCTGAGGGCAGTGCGCAAGCAGGATGAGAGGAGGGTATTGCTGAGACGGATAAGGGGTGTGGAGAGGATACAGAGGTGGTGTGAGGCGAAGAGGATGGTCGAGTTGATGGTCGGCCAGGGGGAGTATGAGGAGGCGCTGCTTGTCATTGAGGGCTTGAGGGACGATCTGCAGCCAAGAGCAAGAGGCGATCAAGACAGGACACTGTCACCGTTGCGATCACCTTCGACAGGAGAAAGGTCCTTCCAAGCGCCCAATGGCGGCGAACATGATGCGAACGGAGTCACGGATGAGGAACAAGAGGATAGCGGCGAAGAGGTTGACCTCTCGCAGATCCCGGCGATTGCCGCGCTCGTACCCGACCTCGACGATTTGGAAGCCGCTATCTCAGGCCAGCTGGAAGCAGAGCTCGTAGGCGTGCTGGGACAGGGTCTCGAGCAACCGCCAGAAACATCCCCAACATCAAGCGACGCGGAATGGCCTCTGCAGGATCGTGTCCGCCCCCTCGTCCACGGTCTTGTGCGTACCTCCGGCCTCGAGCAAGCGATAACCTCTTCATACCGCCCTCTTGCGCTCCTCTCCATCCGGCAGTCCCTCAAGCGCGCCCTGCAGTCTGCTCCAGGTGGAGAGGACCCCGTACTGTCATCCCTCTTCGATCTGCTTGACGACGATCTTGCCGCCTCGGGTAAGGGGGAGAGTAGGACGGGCGAGGCAGGCGCTTATGCGGCCAAGAGGCTGAGGGAGATGAGCACGGAGGAGTTCTCACCTCTTCTGTCGGCGGCTTGCGAAGGGATGGAGGCCGCGGTTGGCAGGATTGAAAAGCAGGAGCGAGGAGTACTAGGTCTTCTCGACCGGCTTGCCCGACAGGAGAAGATTGGCCTGGATGACACCCGTGAGGAGGCCTCGGCCTCGCAATACCTGATGCCCCCGACAGTCTCATACGGCCTGCCAAATATCCTCGCCTCCCAACTCCACGCAAGCATCGAAGTGGCACACATCCTCATTGCGCGCCTCGTCTCCCTTCGCGCAATAGCGCACGCTCAGCTGTCCATGCAAGAGTTTCTGGCCTTCTTCGATCCGCTCATGGCGTTCGTAGAAAGGACGGAGAGGATGGAAATCCGTCCTCGCTCGACCGAGGGCACAGCCACAGCCACAGGCAGCAGTAACAGTACAGTGGGCATGCGTCGCTTGATCCCACTACGCTCCACACTCCTCAACCAAAGCAAAGATTGGCTGCGCGCCTTTCATCGCGTGAGGCTGGAGAAAGCGGCACGATGGGTGGAAGAGGAGACATGGAGCCAGGCGGAAGTGCCGCTCAACTCAGTTGAGCTGGTGCGCAAGCTTGTGCAATGCGCCAGCGAGGATCCGGAGGGCTGGGGGCCGGATGCGGCTCCATCAGGAGAAGAGGAGAAAGCAGAAGGGCAGGCGAGAGAGATGTCAAGCACTCTACCCATCCCGTCAGAAGCGCCCTCTTCTGCCGGTGGCACTGCGGTCGATGCTGGGGACAAGAAGTCCTTCTACGTTGTTCCGGCTACACTGCGCGTACTGGACCTCACAAGGGAGTACACGCAAGCCGTCATCGGAATGAGCCGCGTCACGGGGACGATGGAGATCATGAGTCGCGAGGTTGAGTTCCTCAAGGTGAGTTGCGCGATTCAAGATCGCCGTCGCAGGTGAACACAGTCTGATCTCTCATCCTCCCTTGCCCGCAGCAATTCAACTCCCGCACCTGCCAAGTAGTACTCGGCGCAGGTGCCATGCGCTCAGCCGGTCTCAAAAACATCACTGCTAAGCACCTCGCCCTGGCCTCACAGTCCCTCTCGCTCTTCATTCACTTGATCCCGTACCTCAGGGAGTGTGTCCGCCGCCATCTTCCCGACGAGCGCCAAGCCGTGATGCTCGTGGAGTTCGACAAGCTCAAGCGCGATTTCCAGGAACACATGTTCGAGATTCATGCCAAGCTGGTCGCGATTATGGGAGATAGATTGGGGGTGCATTGTCGCTCTCTTGCGGTGACGAATTGGAATGCGCCCCTCCCCGCAAAGGGCGACGATGAGAAGGAAAGTGACAGTACTTCGCCAGCTGTTCAGCCAAATAAGGCCATCGTGGACCTGGTGAAAGAGACAAGCACTCTTCACAAAGTGCTGAGCAAGTACCTGGCGCCAAGCGTCGTCGAGGGAATCACCGCGCAGGTCCTTTCGTCGATCACGCAGCGTGTGGGAACGGAGTTTGCCAAGGTCGAGGTCACGCGTGAAGGCGGGGAGAGTGCGATGAAGCGTATGCAGGCGGACGTCGACTATCTCGACGCAAGGCTGGGAAGTCTAAAAGGAATGTCCGAGGGCGGATGGGATACGAAGGGCTTGAGGGCGGTCGTTAGCTCCAAAACCCCTCCCGCACCGCCAGCGCAGCAGCCGGCAAGCAAGTCTTCCACCGCTCCTGCTGCCGGGAAAGCTGCCCCACCACCCGCAGTGAATACCAACAGCCCTGGTTCACCGGCGCCTTCATCCCCCGTCGGCGGCGGAGCTGCTTCCTCTCCCCGCTCGGGTCCTGCAGCCTACCGAAGCAAAATGTTCCCCTTCGGCCGTCGAGGCGCTTCTGCGAATGCTCAGCAGCAGCAACAACAACAACAACAACAACAGCAACAGCAGGGTACCCCGCCCAGGTCTGCGGCCAGTCCTGCGGGCCAAGGGTCGCCGATGTCACAGGCGCAAGCGCAAGGTGCTCGCCCGCCGATGAGCGCAGCAAGCGGGGGCGTGGACGAGCTGGCCCCTCCTGCGAGGACGAGCAGTGCAAGTAGCTCTGGTCGCCCTTCAATGGAAGCGGTTGCCCTGCCACCGTCAGTCGTCGAGGGCGATGAGCCATCCAAGTCGTCAGGAAGCCAAAATGCAGCTCCTCCGACTGAGCCGCAAGAGGTCGCTGAGCATACCAAAACGGTCGTCGATGAGGAGGGCGGACCTGGGCTAGTGGCCGATGGAGCTGCGAAGGGCTCTGTGGAAGCTCAAGGCCAGCAGGAAGCCCAGCCTTCCGAAGCCATCGAGAGCATCGCTCAGGAAGATCAGCAGCAGCAGCAGCAGCAGCAGCAGCAGGCAGAGCTAGATGTCAAGCCTACAGCTGAAGTCGCGGACGCATCAGTGCCTCCAGCCGCAGCACCTTCACCGGCGCCCCATCAGCCCTCCTCATCTCGCGACCAATCTCCCAACGGTCGTTCGTCTCCTGCGGAGGCCAACCACACAGGACCGCCGACCCCAACGACTCCAGCTCGTCCCTCAGCTGAGGCATCCGCAGCCGTGGAGCCTGCAATCTCTTCACCAGCTCCTACCCCACCAGCTTCGACATCAGCTTCGGGCAGCGCCACTCCTACACGCCCGCCACGTCAAACCCTGCAACAACGTTTGGCAGAGGCGGCTAGGAAGAGATCGGCCGCGGCTGCTGCTGCTGCCGGTGCGGCAACCACTATGGTAGACACAGCGCGCCCGTCGACGCCGACTCAAGATGAGAAAGAGGTCCCGCCGCCGCCTACGCCGGAAAAGGACATGAGTGTCCGGGGTAGCTTGGAGATTGTGGCGGCAGATGACAAGCAGATGGAGAAGCCTGAGGCTATCGCAGGGCCTGCTACGCCTACTGATGCGTCCGCGCAAGGAGCAGCGAAGGAAGAGCCGCAGACAGATGCACAGGAGACTGAGGCTGTACCATCTACAGAGGAGGAGACGGTACTGAAGCCGGCATCATCAAAGGCAGCAAACAACGACGAGGCGCCTGAGGCGCCTGAGACTGTGGCGTCAGTCGACGCCATCGCTGCTCAAAAGGAGAGCGGCGCTTCGGTCCCCACTGAAGCAATGCAGGAGAGTAGCGAGGCGAAGGAGGCTGTCGTGTCCGACAGTGCAGTTGTACAAGAAGCTGCTCCAGCTCCGTCGGCCGTACCGAGTGACCCGGCTCCGGCAGAAGCTGTCGACGCCGGCGTCGCTGCTGATCCAGCTCCCGCGACTGCTGACACACCATCTGCTGAGGCTACTCCCTCCGGCGCGACCACCCCCTCTAGGGGCGATGATGTTGCCTCTCAGCGCGGCGATGAAGATGCGGATGGGGATGACGACGAGGGCGAAGGGTCCGGCGACAAGACGGGCGATGCAGAGGCGGGCGCGGCCCCATCGAGTGGCGCTGGCGGAGGGTCGTCGAACAGCAAGAAGAACAAGAAGAAGAAGAACAAGAAGAAGGGCAAGAAGTGAAGCGTGGATCTGTGAGCAGGGAAGGCTGTTGCAAATAGAACTATTGCATTGCTTGGCTTTCCTCCTGCTGAAGCAATGGAAGCATTCTTCCAAGCACCCCTTCTCTATCACGCCTCCCGAAAGTCCGTATGCCCAGTCTCCATGGCGTGCCGACTCGCCCCCTTCTCCCCCACCAAGGCACTCCCACACGTCCCGCACCTGAGATCGAACGTCGCTGTGTCCGTATGGTAATGCCGCGCCTTCAATTTCGCCACCATCTCCTTTGCCGCAGCGTCCAGTGGCTGCTGCTCATCCCGAGAGAAGAGCGTGCGGGCAAAGTCCAGGGGCACTTGGCCGGGCGAAGGCTCCACCTCGGCCGGGAGGAGGACAAGGGAGTCGTAGTGAATCCCGCTGTGGATCAGATACCCGATCTGAGAGTGGGGAGGGGAGGCACTTTCGCCGAATCGATAGGTCACGCCTGTTGATACGTCGAGAGAGACGAGCTCTGTGTTGAAGTGGTTGGAGAGGAGTGAAAGCTCAATTGCTCCTCCCCAAGTCTTCTCCTCTGAGATCTTGCGCGCGTATTCGTGAGGCGGCATGCCCAGGACGACTTCTGGGTAGTCTTCTGGGTTGGCTAGAATCCCTTGTGACACGACTGGGCATTAGTGATGAGAAGACGGGTAAGTTCAGGAGGAGGGTATGGACAAGAGGCAAGGCGAGGCGAACTCACCTTGTCGCAGCCCCTTACAGACGTCGAGGCCGGTCTTTTGATGGAAGAGAACGGCGATTGCGTGAAAGAGACTGCAAAGCGGGGCAAGATGGTCAGCCCTAGTCGAGGTCTGTTGATAACGGACGCCGCGTTCACTAACCAGCTATTATCATCCGGCACAACTTTGAGCGTCAGATGCTCCCCCGTGGACGGCAGGCGGACGTACACCTCGCCATCCTGTACTGATCCCTTCGATCCAGCGGCGGAACCAGCTGAAGTCTTGGGCTGACTGTTGCTGCCTGGCGAAGACGCTGATGCCGCCGCGGCGCTCGACTCAGCACAAGCCCTCATCGCCACCTGCTGGCTGCGTGACATTCCTCCAACTCCATCTGTACCACTCCCCGCCCGATGCTGTGGCGGCGCCCCTCGCACTGCCGTCGCGCTACTCGTATTGAAGCTCGGTACATTGGATGGTTGCGACTTGCTGGAAGAGGACGATGCGAAGGCAAGAGGGGAGAATTGGTTTGGTCGCGATGAGGGTGCCACGCCGCCGTTTGGCAATGCTTTTGGGGCGAGGATCAACTGGTCGCCCCGCTTGATGGACAGAGGCGGTTGTGAAAGGAGGGAAGACGGAGTGAGGGAGGAAGTGTCGATGGGTTTGGGTGGATAGCCTGTGCGAACTTTTGGCGGGAGAGGGCGAGAGTTGCGTCAGTGAGGTGCGGGGCGAATGTATGCTGCGAGCGTTGGCCACGCACGCTCATAATCTTCCACCTTGACCAGGCCGGAGAGGAAGCTTTCGAGCTGATGCCATGCTGTGGTGTCGTCAATTTGAAAGCTCGAAGCGCCCTGAGGATGTCGTATGCGGATCATCGAGATATGAGTGGATGGTGGTGCAGTGGAAATCAAAGTGTTGGTTGAACGAACGACTCGCGTCCTGTCCCATCGGATCAAGATCAAGCGGACCGGCGGATTTGTGGAGGCATCGACTCCATCGACGGCGGAGCTGCATCGACGCCAAGTTGGGCTCCTTCTACGCTAGACGCCGGGGCTTGCTGTGCTCCTCAAGGTTAACTGCTTCTCATCACCATCACGCTCTTACATCCATGTCATCCACGTCAGAAAATATCGCAGCTGCTCAGACATCGAGCCAGACGCAGGCCCAAGGCGAGGCTCAGGCGCTAGGCGGTCAACAGCAGGAGATGACGGAGACTGAATTGGCCGAGTTGCAGACTGGTGAGTGTGCGCCCATGATCTCTTTCTATTGAGATTCATTGCATCCTCACCGACCGCACAATGCCACGCACGCAGGCACCGCCCCTATCCCACGCACCATGGACACATCGCCCTCGCAGCTAGACCCACGATTCGACCCGGATGACCTTCGCCAAGGTAAAGCCCCTCCCGCAGCCCGCAAAGGCGGAGTCCTGGGCACGGTGAACCAGCATCGTCCTCACCTGCGCAAGAACGTGAAGAAGGTCAAGAAGCTTGTTCCTAAGCGCAGCCTGGTGCCCGGCTTCAAGGGGAGCACTAAGAGGGAAGGAAACGAGGAAATGGTCGAGGTCGAGGAGGACGTCGAGGAGTCGCCATCTCCGGGCGAGGAGGAGGGTCACGCAGTCGGAGAGGAAGGGGAAGGAGAGGCAGAGAAGAAGCATGGTTTGATGGGCAAAATCTTCCATCATAAGAGCTGATCAGCTGACCGCTGAATGCAAATTGCAAATCGCATCTAGACTATGGCATTGCGCACGCTTAATGACCCCACGGACTGCCCGCCTCCCAGAAGCCTTGCTCGTAGTAGACGCATGCCTTCCACACTGCCTCGAGTCCTGTAGGGCAACAATGAAGGAGGGTAGAGGATGTCAGCGTGAAGCGCATCAGAAGGCGCGAGGCCAGTTTCCAACTCACTCTCCCTCTTCTCCCCGTCCCTCTTCCATTCCTCGTCAATGCCCTCAACTAGCTCTGCGATCTCTTCCACGAACACCTCGAACTCCCTGCTCGTCCAGTTGGGAATCAGCTCCGATAGAGCCGAGACTGCAGGCGAAGGCTGGGCCGGTTGTGAGAGGGCCTTCTGTGTAGACAGTGCGAAGCGCCAAGCCGTGAGGTAGAGGTGCTCCATTGACCAGAGGAGGACCAGAGCTTCTTCAAAGGTGGCCGTCGAGGCGATGGTGGCCACTGTGAGCAAGAATGATATAAGGCAGTGAGGTCAGTGTGAGAATCAGAGATCTCTTGGGGCCATATCTGTCACGCACTGTAGTCAATGTAGCCTCGCGTAGTCGGGGCAAGCAGGCCAAGTAGCGGCTCGTCGTTGCCCTTGACGCTAGTAGCAGACGAAGCAGATGGCGGCTGTACATCGAGGGGAAGCCCATTCTTCCTCGCCACATCCTCAAAGAAGGCCATCTCACGAGTGATGTTCTACGATGCGCATCGTCAAGGCAAACTGGATCAGCTCTCGTCGTCTTGCCTCTGCTCGAGGCTCTGCCCGCCTGTATGCTCGCTCACACTCATCGCGCCACCCAACACTCTCAGCCTCTTCCAGTACAGATCTGACTTCGGGTGCCCAGGAGGCACATCGAATGAAGGGCAGCGCTGAAGCAGCCCACCGAGCAGCTTTGTGTAGCCCATCAAACCGTACAGGCGATCCTGCGTCAGCCATGCTGCTAGCCTGTCGGCGGAAAGGGTTCCCTTGCCTGCTTCCAGTAGGAAAGGATGCTCCGTAGCTACCTTGAGGGAAGAAGGAGTGAGAGAGATCAGATGCTCTGTCAGAGAGGGTGCCATGCTTGATCCTTGATTGAAAGCAGTGGTTGACAAGGGTCTTTCTCTTCTCATGACGCACGGACTTCTTTCCACGAGTTGTGTGAGCTCAGGTCAAGTCGGGCTGGGCCTCGGTCCGCGTTGATCGACTTGGCGCGGCGGCGACGGGCGATGCGTGCGAGAAGAAGAGCGACTGAACGCGGCGCTGACTGCATCTTCACTTGTCCTCCTCACGACACAACTTACTCGTCACAATGGCCTTCCTAGGCCCGCCGGTCAGGTGGCCAGACGCCCTACCAATCGACAATGATGCCTCTCCCTTCTATCCTCTGGCCTCCTCCCTTCGCAGGATCCTACCTGGCCCCTTGGCGACGCTTCCCTCTTCGATCCTCGTCTCTATCACTCTCACCTTCCTCCTCATCACGGGGATTGCCATCTTCTCTGCTGTACTCAACGCGAGGCGTTCCTCTCTCCTCGTGTCAGAGAAGGCTGTCCCGGCTTCATCATCAGCAACGCAGCGTCGCAAATCTGGCCAGCCTATCACTGCCCTCCTAGTAGGCCCAGAGCAGACGGGCAAGTCTTCCATCTTCTCCGCCCTCGTCTTTCAGGCCGTGCCAGAGACTCAGACTTCTCAGCATGAGAATGAAAGTCGCATCACGCTTCGTGCGGAAGGGCATGGGGAGAAGGCAGTGGAACAGCCCGTGCAGCTTGTGGATCTGCCTGGCCACCCAAGGTTGAGGGGCAGAGTCGGCGACTTTTTAAGTGTTGCCGATAAGATTGTGAGCCGGCAGGACAAATAGAGAGATGGTTGCCAGAAGACTGAGGGCTAATAGTCTGCTTCACTTCCGCCCAGGTCTTTTGCGTCGACACCACCACCGCGATCCGAGGCGCCTCGACCAAGAACGATACCCTCATTGAGGCAGTCGAGTGAGTAGCTTCCTACTAGCGTTCGCTTTCCTCAACCCCCTTCTTCCGTCCTCCCCCTATGCATCTCACCCGCGACCATGTCAAATTCCGTTCATCCTTTTCAATGGGTCGCAACGTGCCGAAGTGTCGCGAAAATTGAGCGCAAGCAGCTGGTACGCTCACCCTTCACGGGGTTTGAGCACCCATCGAACAGACGGGAGCCGCTGTTTCGAGCATCTTAATGCCCGGTGTCTGCGACGAGTGCTTTACTCGAGCAGGCGGGCTGGTAGCTCTCACATGCCTTTACTGCTTCATTACGATGCGATGTGCGTGCGGTCGGTCGCTGACTTCTTGTGCCTTCTCATCCTGCTCCTAGCCAACTGCACTCGACTCTCACCTCCCTCGCACGACTACGCCTTTCACGCTCTGCATCACGCTCCCTTCCTCCACCACCTTCTCTGCTCGTCCTCTTCACCCGTGGTGACCTATCACCTCTCCTATCCGCCTCGCCATACGATACCAAACGCCAATCTCAGGTCGTAGCACGCGCGAGGGCGGCATTTGAACAGGAGCTGGGCCGGAGACGAGCGGGCATGGGACTGGGACGGGGCGCGGCTGGGGGACAGAGGAGGGCCAAGGTTGGGGGGATGAGTGAGGTGGTGGGTGGTGGCAGCGCGCAGGGCAGTGGAGGTTTCTTCGGTGCCATCAAGTCTCTACTAGGCTTGAGTGGATCCAAATCAGCTGCCTCAAGCGCCAAACCTGGCCTCGACGAGGAGGACGATGACGAGGATGCCGAATCAGCAGACTACGTCGACTGGTCCTGGTCAGAGCGAAACGCCACCTCCCCGGACTCTGGCGGGTCCGGAGCAACCTCCTTTAGCCTTGATCGCCTCGACGCAGATGTCGTCTCGGGCGGTAAGGCTTCCTTTGCTGTCGCTTGCCTGGGCAAGGAGCGCGGATGGGCTATGAGCGCGCTACAGGATGAAAAGGCGGCCGAGGGTAGCGAGGAGGGATTCCAGGGGCTCAAGACTGTAAGAGAGTGGCTAGCCGACAGCGCTGTATGATCTGTATGACGAGTGTTTCAATGTCACTGGACCTAACTGGTAGCTCATTGAATGCGCCAACGAGTGATGAGGCCAGCTCGAAAATCACGCGGCCCGTGCGTACCGTCGATTGAGTCGAGCGTTGATGCGTGCATCCACTTGGTGAACCGGACTGAGCTGCTCGTTGCCATTCCTACCATCCTATTGCCATCTCATCCTCTCCAATCTTTCGTCATGGATCCTTTTCAACCGGACGAGGATGACTATCAGCATCAGTCAAGCGGGAGCGCGCCCCCGCAAGCCTCGGGCTCGACCACCTCTCGTCCTCCAGCGCAACTCGCAGCATCCGTATCAGCATCCATCGCCGATCCCTTTGCGCAAGACGATGTCGCCGCGAGTGGCATGCAGCCAGAAGCTCGACCATCCGAAACGCTCTCATCTTCACCGCCGTCTCGATCCGCTGCGCAAGTAGAGAGTCGTCGTCCTCCACCAGCAGCCGTCAACTCCACAAGTGCCTCCCTGCTCTTGTCTTCAAACCCAGCTGGGCCTTCAAGTCCAAGGCGGACACCCTCGCAAGGCGCAGCAGATCATGTTGCGCTGAAGATGGGAGACGTTTCAGCTTCGACTTCAGGTTCGGCCGCCTCATATCGGGATATATCAGACGAAGACGAGCCTGAGCGCGATGATTATGACGTCGATGAGGAAGAAGGGGGCGAAGTGTCTGGCCTCCTTGGCGGCAGAGGACAAGGAGGGCCATCGCGTCGTGAGGAGCGGCATAAGCGCTCATCTTCATCAGCATCAGGCGCCACAGCTTCTACATCGTCTACGCGTCGTCGTCGCCGGCCCCGTCAAAACGGCGCGCTAGCCACCCTCCAGGCCCTCGGCCGCCGTATTGTCGCAGCCGCCCGTCTCGCCCAACAGCAGGACGCCTCATCCCGCTCAGGAGGTACGATCCACCTCAATAGTAGCACGGCCCCTTCTACTCACTCTCCCGCAACCTCTCACCTCTCACACCGCGAACAAGCCCTCTGGCTCTGGGCCAACATAGAGGACTTCGACTCCTTCCTCACGGAGCTCTACGCCTACTACACTGGCAAGGGGGCAACATGCATCGCCCTATCTCGACTGGCTGGGCTGGGCACTGTGGCTTTTGTCTTGGGATTTTCCACCTTTCTGTTCGGGTGCCTAGACTACACAAGGATACAACATGATGGGAAGTTGGGGGACATCGTAACGCCGCAGTGCAAGAGAGGGTTGAGCCCTGCAGGTCTGTCCTTGGGGACCTTACTGCTTGCTGTGGCCCTCTTGGGACTGTATGGTATGCAAGTCGTGAGGGTGGGCCTAGGCTTGAAGAGATTGAGGAGCATGCGCTACTTTTATGAGTATCTGCTCGAGGTACCAGAGAGGGATGTCCAGACTATCCCATGGCATGATGTCGTGGAGAGATTGAGCCGGTTGCTGGAGAGTCACCCATTGCCTTGTCTGGCGCCAGCGCTGCCAGACGAGCGAGGAGGACATGCTGGAGATGGAAGGCCCGAGGCACAGAGCATTGATGTCCACGAGGTCGCCAATCGACTCATGCGACAGGACAATTACTTGGTCGCGCTCCTGGATCAGGACTTGCTGCCGTTGGGGCTGCCAAACCCGTTTGGCATCTTGAGTGTCGGTGGGGATGGAGCGCAACAGCAACCTCTCCTTACTCGGTCACTCCAGTGGAACCTCGAATTCTGTAAGTCCAGGTCATTCTCAAGCTCTTCGCCCAGCTTCCGTCTGACCATCCTCCTTCCCCTCGCGCCAGGCATTCTCGGCTACCTATTCGACGCCCGCGGCCGTGTGCGACGCGCCTTCCTCTCCGATTCACATAGACTCGACCTCATCGACGGCCTGAAGCGACGCTTTGTGTTCATGGCCTGCTTGAACGCCGTGTTCGCGCCCTTCATCGTGTTGTACACACTGGTCTACAGCTTCTTTAGGTACTTTGAGGAGTATCACAAGAATCCGGGTACACTTGGGGCGAGACAGTGAGTGCATGTAGGACGGAGGGGGCGGGAAGAAGCTCCTTCGATCACAGCTGAGCTCACGACTTCCCGCTATTCTATGCCGCAGGTACACAGAGCTGGTGAGCACCATCATCCTGCCCCTTTCTTTCAAGACTCATCGCTCACCTCGCTCCTTCCCTCACGTTCGTCAGGCCCGCTGGAAGTTCCGTGAATACAACGAGCTCCCGCACCTATTCCGCCGGAGGTGCCACTCTTCCTACCCCTTTGCAGATCGGTACCTTGCTCAGTTCCCTCGGGAATCCCAAGCCATCCTCGCCCGCTTCGTCAGCTTCATCGCAGGTTCGATAGCCGGGGTACTCCTCCTCGCCTCACTGGCGGACCCCGATCTCTTTCTGCACTTCGAGCTCACACCCGGTCGTAACACCCTCTTCTACATCGGTGTCTTCGGAGCCGTCCTAGCCGTGGCGCGTGGCATGGTACCCGATGAACGACTGGTCTTCGAGCCCGAGGTCCTACTCGAGGCTGTAGTGCATCATACTCACTACTGCCCGCCGGAGTGGTCGGAGAGGGGCTTCCATTCTGCGGAGGTTAACGTGGAGTTTGCGAAATTGTACGACTTGAAGCTGGCCATCTTCGTCAGAGAGGTGCTCAGTGTCCTGGTCACGCCATTCGTACTGGCGTGGGCGCTGCCGAGGAGTGCGGAGGACGTGGTCGACTTCTTCAGGGAGGTGAGTGTGCGTAGAAGGAAGAGATGGAGGAGCTTGCTGACTGAATATCTCGATTACTCTTCGCTCGACAGCACACTGTTCACGTCGATCGACTTGGGTACGTGTGCAGCTACGCGGTCTTCGACTTCGGCGCTTCGCAAGGGGACGATGCTGCAGCCGAAAATGAGGACCAGAGTGGACGGCAGCAACGGCGTCCTGCGAACATATCGCCCATTGCGACCCGCAACGGCGTTCAGGGCCTCGCAGTCTCCACTCTGGAAAGCGACAACGAGGACGAAGCGGACAGCCCTCCTCGCGGGAAGCCCGGGAGCTCGTCTCACCGACGTCGTAGGGACCTTGACACTGGCGCGACAGACAAGATGGCTCAGTCCGCCTTGCACTTTGCGGCAACCAACGCATGGCAGCCTGACCATCCTGCCGCCTCGATCTACCTTGAGAAGCTGCAAAGGCACCACGATAAGCAGCACGACCGGCGCCAAGGGATAGGGATGGACCGCCCGTCAAGCCAGGCGTCGAGGATGTTGCTCAGCCCGAAGGCCGCAGCGATGGAGACTGAGGATCTACTGCTGTTCTCGCAGCCGCAGGCTAGTGGTGCGGTCAGGACGAGGAGGGTAGGGAAGAGCAAAACAGGGAGAGAAGCTCCAAAGTCGTCAGCGAGTGCGAGCGCGGGTACCAGCCTAGCGACATCGGCAGCAACGAACCCCGGCAACAAGAGAAGGGCAACTACATCAAGCCGCGACGCGGCCCATCTGCGCGAGCTCGACGAGGCCTCCGCGGAGGAACAGGATCATGAACACTTCGAGACCAGCTCTGCTACTACGACAGGTTCGGCCGCAGGACCGCCACGCTCGCTACTCGAGCATGTTGGGCGACGCATCTTGCCTTGATGAATGACGAAGACGATGTTGTCATGTATGATTATCTATGGAATGATAATGCAACACGCAATACTGCATGCATAAGAAAAGATGTTTCCATTGTGATTGCAGCAAGAGAGAAAGGGAAGACCAAATTAATCAAGTCTACGAGCTACGAGGGGCGGCTGCTTGCCGAAAGAGGAAGGGGAAGAGGAAGCAAGGGACGGAATATCAATCAGTGAGCTCTTCAGCTCAAAGCTTGACCCTACCCGCAGCGAGCTCTTGCAGGTCCTGCGGCAAGAAGGGTCTGTACGCCTCTGCATTTGGCGGAAGCCACCAGATGGCGTCTCCCTTGACCATCGAGTGATCAATGCCCTCTTTACGCAGTGCGACTTTGAGATGCTTGACAGTTCCCGTCTGCTCCATCGTGGGCACGATCCTCAAGAAGAAGGGTACAGCATACTTGGGCAGCGTCTTGCGCGCATGTGCTGCGAGGTGGGCAGGGTCGAAGACGACGTCCGAGGGGATGGCAGCACAGCCTGCTCGACCGTCTGAGCCGGGGACCTCGACACCATACACGTTTGCTTCGCCGATGACCTGGCCAAGGGCTTGCGCCACCTCCGCTGTAGAGACGTTCTCGCCGCGCCAGCGGAAGGTGTCGCCTAGGCGATCTTGGAACCAGAAGAAGCCTGAGTGAGGTTGAGCAGGGAGGAAGTCAGTTCACTGGTACACTTGCAGTAGACTCATATCTCGATCTTGCGACTCACCATCCGCATCCCTTTTCATCAGATCGCCACTCCTGAACCACCTGTCCCCCTTCTTGAAGACATCGCTCAAGATCTTCTTCTGCGTCGCCTCCGGGTTATCCGCATAACCCTGGAAGTCACCAGAGGGTTTCGAAGAATCAATGACCATGAGGAACTCCCCGCTCTCCTCTGGCTCGCACTCGACACAAAAGCCCGTCTTGGGATCGCGATAGATGTCTTCTGTGATGGCATCAACGCGAGCAATCTTGAAGTCTGGACGGGCGCGCCTAGCGACGGGGCCGAAGCGGCCGATGGCGCCTGCGCCGAAGGGCCCGGTGTTGTAGTTGATCAAGGCGCCGTTGCCCTCAGAGGACGCGTAGAATTCTGAGACCTCCTTGACGCCGTAGCGTTCACGGAACTTGGTCCAGACGTCTGGACGCATGCCGTTGCCGTAGGCCATGCGGACGCGATGTTGCTTGTCGAGCGGGCTTGGCGGCACGGCGAGGAGATAACGTGCAATCTCACCAATGTACTGGACGACGGTCGCGTCGTACTTGCGCACTTCGTCCCAGTATCTGCTGGCGGAGAACCTGCGGCCGATGATGACTGTGGAGCCTGCAGGCCAGGCGGTTGCGATGCAGAGGAAGGCGGCAGAGGAGTGATAGAGAGGCATAGGCGTATAGATGCGGTCGGACGTCTTGAAGTTGTTGACCGTACCGAAGATGACGAGGGCGAAGCCAATGCGGCCGTGCGAGCAGAGCGCTGCTTTGGGCAGTCCCGTGGTGCCCGAAGTGTAGATGAGGCAGGCGGGCGTCTTCTCTGTGACGTCTTTGCGGTAGGTAGGATCGATGGGCTTGGGGCTGGGGGAGGAGGCTCGCAGCTGGGGCAGGCTGAGGGTGACCGAGTTCTGGATGGAACCTGAAGCGCCGCTGCCTGACTTCTCCCCTGTGGACAATGGGATGCCGTCCTCGATGCAAACGTACTGGCGGACATTTGAGCCTTGAAGCTGTGATTGGATGGCGGCGATATTCTCTTCGAAGCCGGGCTCGTAGAGGACGACTTGACCGCGCGAGACCTTAATGCAGTGCTCGAGACCTTGACCGGTGAGGCCGTGGTTGATGAAGGCCGGGGCGACATTGATAGACATGCAGGCAAGCCAGATGGTAACGAATGCGACCGAGTTGCCCGAGACGAGGGCAATGCGGTCTCCAGGCTTGAGGCCGAGGCTCAAGAGATAGTTGGCGACTCGGAAGACGTCTGCGGGCGATGGCACGGGATGCAGAGTCAGCTCACTGATGGAAAGAAAGAGGATGACCTCGGCGGGAATCTTGCTCCTTCATCTTCCTTCTCACGCCCACATCTCAGTTCAAGTGTAGTTTTTGGGGTCAAAGTCGACACAGGATGCTCCGGGTGGACGAATCGTGAATGCAGTCTTTCCCTCTTGAAGCTCCCTCAATACGCTATCTATTCTTGCTGGCTCATCTTTGAATGCCACCAATCCATGCTTTGCTTCCTCATTACTCGGCGGCAGTACTCACCCTTCTGAATCTGGCTCCAGGTCCACGTCTGCCCTTCGTAGACGTATGCGACATTGTCTGGCGTCGACTGCACTCTGGCAGCAAATCGCTCGTAGAGAGAGATCTTTCCCTTCCAGCTGTTGAGGCGGTGGGTCAAGTTACCACGAGCTGCAGCCCTGCCCAATCGCGAGTCGGATCGAAGTCCGTACTTTGCGTCGAGGTAAGCCCAGGTGGCCAGGCCGCCAAGGGCCTTCATCGCCGGCGTGAGGGACATGGCTGGCGGGGAGACGAGAAGGATGTGTGGTTGGTAGTGGGTGGATGGATGGATTGAGGAAGAATTCAACGAAGGAGCGATGCTATGCTATCCAGCGAGTGGAGATTCGGAGAGAACCATCGTCTATGCGAGTCCAGCGAGCGCTGCGTGAAATGAGGCGGGCCACAGTGTGGGGAAATCGCTCGACAGCCTTTCACGCACGGTAGAGAGAGAGCCACCTCCACGTGGAGTTCGAGCCACACACCTGACACCGTACGAGAGCCGCCGCCTATTCGCTGCGACCATCACAAGCCGCACTCATGCATCCGGAAAAGCAGACATTGGGGTGAGGCAAGAGGATGATGATGATGATGATGATGAGAAGGCGGCTATCTCATCTTCCGGCTCCGCAGGTGGTGAACCTCAGGGCGAGAGCTCACGAGGGTCGTCACTCGTCACAGCATCGCAGCAACGCAGACCGGCTGCGCTCAGATGTGTTCTCGATGACAGCTCGATAGCACTGAGACCGAGGACAATGGCCACGTCGGCGTCTGCTGCGTCTCTTTCGACGCTGATCATCTCGAGCTGCCATCGTCTGAAGCTGGCCTCGGCGAATTGACGTCCCCTCCCTGGTGCGAGTGTGCTTTGTGCTGCACAGCCGCCGGATTGACTTTGGTCCGCGGCGGGGCGTCGAGTCGCAGGCGCACGGCAGGGGGCGTTGCCATCTCGTCTGGCTGCATTGCCAAGTCACACTCAACTGTCCATCCAACCAATCTGCACTTCGCCTCATTGCTCTTCATCACAAGTCCATCTCAAAACTGCAACGCGATGGGCATCTTCAGCAAAAAGTCATCTTCATCAGGCGGCAAGATCCCGCCAGTCGATGCCAACATCCCTCGTCAGTCGCCCTTTGGCGGGGGTGGGCCGACGCCAGGCCCCTATGGATCTAGGGAGACGGCGGGCATGTATGGCCAGCAACCGCCGCCCGGTCAGCAGCAAGGTGGTGGATTGAGCGGCTACGGGCAGCAGGGAGGCCAAGGTGGAAGTTACTACCCTCAGCAGCAGCAACGCCAGCAGTACGGCCAACCACCCCAATACGGCGGCGGCGGCGGCGGTTACCAGCAGTCCAACACCTTCCGCGATGCTAAAGCCCCTTCAGCCAACTTTGGCTCTGGCTACGATGCAGCCTACGGTGGCGGCTCACAAGGTGGCGGTCGCAATCAACAGCTCTCGCGCAACATGGCCTCAGCCCAGGACGACGCCGAAGCGGAATATGGCGCAGGATCTGCTGCCAGCTATTCCAACAACAACGGCGCCTACGATGGGGTCGAGCAACAAGCTCAAGAGCAAGACGAGGAAGACGACGAAGTCGAAGCGGTCAAACAGCAACTCCGCTTTACCAAGCAAGAGTCCCTTTCTTCCACCCGCAACGCGCTGCGCATCGCCCGAGAGACCGAGGAGACTGCTACGGGCACAGTGCTCAAACTTGGAGAGCAGTCCGACAAGATTGCGAATACGGAGCGTCATTTGGACATGAGCAAGGCGCATAGCAGCAGGGCGGATGATAATGCCAAGGAGATCGTGGCGCTCAATCGGTCCATCTTCCGCCCGAACATCCAATTCAACAAGAAGGCAAAGAGGGATGCGGAGGAGGCTAGAATTCTCAACCGACACATCGAGGAACGCGAGGAACGTGAAGCCGTCAGGAGTGAAGCGCTCAAGGCTCAAGTGAGGGCAGATCAGGCACTCACGGGCGCAGGTACGGGCACGGGACGTTTCGCCGATCGTTTTGGCGGAGGACGCTTCGGAGGATCTTCGTCCAAAGCCCTCTCGCCAGAAGAGCAACAAAAGCAGCGCCTCCAACAGCGCTCTCGCTACCAATTCGAGGCGACAGAGAGCGACGACGAGCTCGAGGGGGAGCTCGAGGACAATCTGGACGAAATTGGAGCCCTTGCTGGACGGCTCAACCAGTTGGGCAAGAGCATGGGTGCAGAGCTGACTAGCCAGAACGAGCGATTGACGAGGCTGAATGATAAGGCCAATCGTTTGGATACGAGGGTTTACGGGAGCGCGCAAAGGCTCGATGCGATCGGGAAGAAGTAATCACGAGAGCAGAGCTGGAAGCCGTGTACATAAGGTCGAGGCAGTCGCGAACTGCAATTACTCATCACACTTTGCTGATTGGGATACGAGCCATCGATATTGCATCTATACGAGAAAATAGAGACCGGAAAGCCAAGGTACAATCGACGCGAGTCGCGGCCGTCACAGATGAAACAAAGGGGGTATCTGGGGATGCTCAAAGCGCCGGAGCGCCTCACTGCTCATCCAGGAACCTCTCTCATTCAGCTCCCCTCTGCAGCTACGCCTTCTTCTTTTTGGCGGCGGCAGCGTCCTGTCCCTTCTTGGCCCACTGCTCAAAGGTGAGCAAGAAGGGGAACTGCTTCCTCACAGCCTGCAGATCGCCATGGTAGCCATCGCTGACGAACCACTTGAACATCTGCGACAAGTCGTAGGGCAAGATCTTGAAGAGGATAAACGGCGGGATGTACATCTTCCACGCTCCGCCGGGGATGGCCTTCTGAATGTCAGCCGTGCTGAGGTGTTGCGAAGCGAGCTCGATTGTCTGGCCGTGGAACTTCTGAGGAGACTGAAGGGCAAGAGCGGCTACGCGGCCGATGTCCTCCACGGCGATGAAGTCGACCTTGGTGTTGCCGAGCAGCGATCCGAAGAAGGAGAGGGCGCCAAAGCGGGCCATTCCAGGGTTGGGGTCGAAGTTATCGAAGAAGGCGACAGGACGGACGATAGTCCAAGTGCGATTCTCGCCCTTCCATTGGGCTTTGAGGTAGTCCTCAATCTTGGCCTTGGAGGCAAAGTGTGGGACTGAAGGGGCAGACGACGCCGATCCGACAGAGGAGAAGACAATGTGCTTGACGGAGGGAGATGCGAGCGCGGCATCGACGAAGATCTTGCCCTTCTCAACTTCACCGTCCGTTCCCTTGGCATCGTCGAAGGTGGTGACGAGGAAGGCGGCAGAGGCGCCGGACATGGCCGACTGGAGCGATGCCTTGTCATTGAGGTCGCCCTTGACTGGTTGAGCATTGTAATCCTGCGAGAGGGCTTGGCCGCGGGGCCCGGAAGGGTTGCGGGTAAGAGCCTTGACGTTGGCTACTTGGGCCTGAGCGAGGGCGGCCAGGGTGGCTTGGCCTTGCTTGCCAGTAGCACCGGTGACGAGGATGGAAGACATTGCGGTGCGAGTGTGAGGAGTTGGTGTGGAGTTGTTGGTGTGCAGGCTGCTGCGAAGGCGAGTTGGTAGTAGTAGTAGTTGCTGATGAGGAGAGGGACGGATGGAAGGAGCTTGGTCTCACCGCCCTTTTATGTTCTTCTTCGCGGTCTGATCAGGATGACAGACAGGGATCACTGATATCAATCAAGTGGAGCGAACCTGAGCTCGTCGCCGTTTGTCTTGCTTCTCACTCACTCATCAGCGCAGCGAGGTTGTGGCTGCAGATCGGGCTGCGCCTAACGGACGAAGCAAGAGTGAGCTGACGGGGCCCCTAGTTCCGGCCCTTAGAGCCGCCCTGAATAGTAAGCGCCGCCTTGGGGGCCACGCGACCGGCGCCTTTGAACCGCTCCCACGTTCACAGCCCAAAATCAGGGTCCGGCGCTGAGCACGCAAGCGCTGCGTCGTCGCCGTCATTGACGGCCAAGAGACGGCGGCGAATGCGACAGCGATGGCGCTCAGCACAAGACGTGAATGGATGGAGGTCTCACCTCGAATAGAATCGACAGGAGCAGCGAGCGCCGGCCGTAGCGCATAATGTCGTCTCCTCGCACCGGGTAATTCGAGGCGAGTAGAACTTCCCCACTTTGTTCCACCCTTTCTTCCTAGGACAGACCCAGACGACATCCTTCCACCCATCAACTTCCTTCCACTTCATCAGCTTACCAGCATAGACTACGACCGTTGACCAGCATGTCCGCAGCCGTGGTTGCAGAACAGCACCCACCACCGTCATCATGGACGAAAGCGCGGCGCTTCTTCTCCGGAGGCAAGCGATCGAGTCGCGCCGGTAGTTCAGTCAGGGGCGGCGAAGCTGATGGGGCTGCCCAGCCTTACCACCTCGAGGACGATGATGCAAAGGATCAGGGAGGTCGCTCAAGTCCTGCGCCCGCCACTACGGCCGGCGGTGGTAAGGGCAAAGAGCCTGCAGCCGCCGCAGCTGTGACGGACGCAGCGACTCAGCCGGCAGAGCAGGACAAGCAAGACGCTGCGCTTGCTTCTCAGCCAGAACGGGGCGACGCAACTCCAGCCGCTGAGGGATCAACTGCGCAGAAATCTCGTCGCAATTCGCAAGCATCCGCTGTGAGCGCTCCTGCTGGTGAAGGCGAGAGGGATCAGCCTGCTATAGAGCAAGAAGAAGACGATGGGACTGGGGACGCACCGGCAGTAATTGAGTTCCTCCACAAAGGAGCGCCCTACTTTTGGTTGAGCAATCACTTCCTGATTCCCATTTACTACGATGGAATCAGGTACTCCTCAGCAGGTGAGCAAGCGGCACAGACATTGAGATGACGATGCTGCAGGACTAACTCCTACTTATCCCACCGCAGAGCATCTCTTCCAATCGCTCAAATTCCCGCATCGTCCGGACCTGGCAAAAGCCGTTCGCCGAGCAGAGACGCCTTCCGAGGCTGTGAGGGTGGCACGCAAGCATGCGCCTGATGTGCGAAAGGGCTGGAGGGCGGAGGGGCTCAATGTCATCGCAATGAGAGAAGTCTTGTAAGTGCCAGCAGAGTCAGGTAGCGAGGTTGGGAGAGAACCACAACTGATCACTGCATCACCATTTTTCTCCGCAGACTGCTCAAATTCACGCAGCATGGCGCCTTGCGCTCAAGGCTGCTACAGACGGGGGAGTGAGTATCAGCTGCCCAAAGAGTAAAGTGAAGGCCAAGGCTGACTGTTCCGTTGCCCACCTTCCCCGCTTCGCAGCGCCGACCTCATCAATGCTTCGCCTACCGACGTCTTCTGGGGCGCTGGTCGAGGCATTGGAGCCTCCAAACCTGGCGTTGGGCGCAATGAGCTGGGCAAGGCGCTCAAGGCTACTCGCAACCTGCTGGCCGAGTCTGCTGGCCTTGGCTGGGGCTCGGGCGCAAAGACTGTATGACCCGTTTCTCGTATATAGAAGCCGCTCTTCAAGATCGCTGTGCTCTCTTCGTTTCTCGCCGATTATACGCAATCCAGCATGCCATTGTTTTCAGCTTTACGTCGAGAAGGGCTGCTTTGCTCACCCACTCTCATCGTAAAGGGCACGGGCCATCAACTTTTCTGCCCGCCCTGACCTTGCCCCCGAACTCGACTCAACTCCGAGCACCGGTTCGGCCGGCCTCGACTTGCTTGCTGAGACGCCAAATTTACGAGCCTGTGGTTGTTGCCTGGTCATCACAAAGTCACCTTTCTCTCCTACTTTGACTATCGAATCCTCATCGCCCGCTTTGATCGCGCTCTCCTATTCGCTTCTGCCATTCGCCCTCAAACCCACCCTGCTGTCCGTGTTGCTTAGGCCGCCTCGAGCGTCCTGTTCGTCGCTCGCCCGCCCACGTCAGCCTGTTGCTTGGCTTGCTGCACATTGCGTCGACCGCTCGCCTAGCCTCCGTACATTGTGCGAGCCCCGCTCGCAGGCCACGACGACGGCGGGGATCCAACACTGGAAAGAGCACCGAGCTCAGCAGCAACAAGTGAATGGACACGACCCCTCGCTCCACCTTTGCCTTATCTTTACTACCACGACCATCATCATCGCCATTGCCGTTGTCTTCCTCATCGTCTTCATCATCAACATCGTTCGCAGCAGCATCCTCATCGTCTGAGGCGCACGCAGACGCCGGATCAGCGTTGGATCCTCCACTACCACCACCACCAACAGCATTGTCGGCTCCCTCCTCGCATCCACCTACACATCTATTCGACCAGCATCCTGAAACAACAACTGGCAACGTCGTCGACCCTAGCATCAACACAAACACCGGCTCAACATCCGCTCTTCAGCTGCTGAATATTAGCGGCACTCAGCTGGACGACACCCTCCGATCCTCCTCCACACCCGCACCGCCGCAAGCCATCACGACGTCTGACTCAGAGGACCGTATTCAGTCGTCTCGCCCTCCAAAGAGGGTGCGCCTGTCCCTGGAGGAAGACTCATCGCCATCATCGCCCTCGTCATCGCTATCAGTAGACCCGCAATCGGCCATCTCGCCGGACAGTCAACGTGAGTGGGGCGTCGCAGCAATCGGTGACAACCGTCGTTCCCAGTCGCTTAACATTCAACCCCTCTCCCCCTCACAGCATCGCATTCTCGAATGTCGCGAGCATACAGGGGCTCATCAGCCTCGTCATCGCATCATACGAATGGAGGTGGCAGCAGCATCAGTAATGGACACGGCAATGGCGCCAGCAGTATGGACATCGAAGCAGGACCGAGTAGCAACGGTCATAGCCATCATAGACATGGCAGCACCAGGTTCAGCAACGGCAAAGATACCAACGGCTCGACGTCGGCATCACTGCCACCGCCCGAGACGGCCGACTATGCAGGCTTTCGCCCACTCTATGAGGGCAGCAGAGTCGATCGAAGAGAGCTTGTGCGCCTGACTGTGCAATCGCTGCGTGAGATGGGATACGAGTGAGTGCAGCCGCCAAGTGGACCAGCATATAGAGAGTCCAGCTGATCTGAGGCCCCCTTTTTCCATCACTCAGATCATCTGCAAAGTCGCTAGAGGCAGAAGCAGGCGTCATCCTTGAGCACCCGTCCATCACCGCCTTTCGCTCAGCTGTCCTCGATGGCGACTGGCGCAACGCTGAGCGACTACTCATAGACGGTCTCACCTATGCGGCAGCACGCAAAGCGCCAGGTTCCAAGGACTCGGTCGTGGCAGGATCACACACCGCATCGACATCAGCTTCGTCCAATGGCGCATCTTCGTACTCTACCGCTGCGGACCTCGACATCGTGCTACGTGACCCCGGCAGCCAGTCGCTCGACTCGATCCGCTTCCTCTTGCAACAGCAGCGCTACCTAGAGCTTGTTGAGGGTGGCCATACCAAGAAGGCTCTCTCTGTCCTCCGAGACCGCCTCACGCCGCTCAGCCACGGATCAGATCGTCTCCACCTCCTGTCGAGCCTCGTAATGTCTAGCTCACCGGAAGAGCTCAAGAGTCGCGCCCAGTGGGCAGGCACCGGCGAGCTTTCACGGCGAAAGCTTCTGGAGGACATCGAGTTTGCCGTATCGCCCAATGTGATGCTGCCCAGTCGCCGTCTACCACATCTCCTCGAGCAAGCACAGATGCATCAAAAGCAGCTCGATCCCTTCTTCAACCTGCCCTCGTCGTCGCACATCTCCCTCTACACCGACCATCGCTCTGACCGGACCATCTTCCCCTCGACTACAACGCACATTCTACGTGGCCACGAGGATCAGGTATGGGTCATGGCCTTCTCGCACGACGGGCGGTGGCTTGCCACGGGCGGGAAGGACAAGGTAGTCATCGTGTGGAGCATCACGAGTGAACGTTGCGAGATGGTCACGAAGCTTGGCCCCCATAGCCACGAGGTTTCGACCGTGGCTTGGTCACCGGATGATGCGACGCTGCTCGTTGCGTCGGACACGGACGTGTACCAGTGGCAGTGGCGCACTAGCGAGCAAAGCGTGATCAGGCGCGCGCACAAGTACACGATCTATGCCGCCGAGTGGCATCCAAGTGGAGACAGCTTCGTGACTGCTGGCATGGACGGAGACATTACCTGGTGGAGCCTAGGGAAGCAGCGTATCGCTGAGTGCAGAACATGGCCATCTCGCGTTCTAGCGTTGCGCTTCACTCCGGATGGCAGGTATCTTGTTGGCGTCAGTTGGAGATCAGCACCTCTCAAGCAAGGCGGCCAATCAGCTTCAATCTCAAGCTCGACTACAACGGGCGGCAATGGCGGCTTGGCGAGGCTCTCTGCAGGTCATCGCGGCTCTGCCTCAACCAATCGCTCCTCGCAGAACTCTTGGTCGCCGTCTGAAAGCCCCTCGCCCGTACACATCTTCCGGACGTCGACCGATTCAGGGGCAGCATCTGGCTCTCAGTCATCCCAACCAGGCGTGATAGGCGTCGGTGGAGGGTCGCGAACATTCAACGAGGACCAGCGTGGCGCCCTCCATTTCTGGGGGGTACCTTCTACTCTCTCCGCTGCCGGCAGCAGCGAGCCGGCCAAGCTGACAGACCTAGGTACGATCTACACCGAGCAGGAAATGGTCTCTCTCTACCCATCCATCGACTCGCAACACATCTTGGTCAATCGAAGGCCTAACGAGCTGCAGCTCTGGGACATTCATGAGCAGCAATTGGTTCGCACCTTCCAGGCCGGTCACCGAATGGAGCAGGACATGATCCGCTGTTGCTTCGGTGGGAACGAGGATAATTTCGTAGCGACAGGAAGCGAGGATGGAGCCGTCTACGTTTATCACCGGGGCACAGGAAAGATGCTCGGCAGACTGGTAGGCCACGATGAGCGTGAAGGGCAGAGAAGCGTCAATGCCGTGGCCTGGCACCCAAGGCTGTGCAGTCTCCTCGCGTCCTGCGGGGATGATGGAACGATCCGCATTTGGCAACCAGAAGCCGTGGCTGCTGCGGTCAGCAGTGCTGGAGGAGACGTTGACTACAGCGGCGGAAGGGATCGAGCGAATAGCTTCATCGACCCAGCTGTTGGAGGGCCGAGACCGGGCTCGACCCTCTTCTCCACGGGCAGCGGCGTCCCTTCATCAATGTCTGCCGCAGCATCCTTCAACGCGGCTTCCACGGGCCCAATGCCCTTCCCGTGGTCTATGAGCCCTATGCGACCTTCTTCCCCAGAAGATCCGGAGGCTGCTGCTGCTGCTGCTGGCGAGGGCCCACATGCTACGAGCCTAGTCGCGAGGATGCACGCGCAGAGGGCGAGCAGGATGGCGGCGGGTGGGGCAAGTAGCTCTAGCGGTGCAGGTTCGGGTGGATTAGTAGGCGATGATGCAGAGATGGCCGAAAATGACGAGGGCGAGGATGAAGACGAGGAAGATGAAGATGATGATGAGGAGGATGAAGATGAGGAGCTGGAAGAGGAGGAGGAGGACGAAGACGATGAGGAGGACGACGTGGAGGAGGACATTGAGGAGGACGTCGAGGTTCCTGGCATCCTGTAGGCGGGGCAGTGCGTCTACGGTACACGTGCGGTACGTCCTTCCTCTTCTGCGCATCCAACACGACAAGCATATGGCTTGAAGCATTGTCAATGATCACGACTCTTTTCATTAGCATCTGACTGACTATTGCAAGGCCCATTGAAGTGAACAAAGCATGATGATTAGGCTGGCAATGCCCTCGTATTTTCTCATTTCCGCGATTTGAATCAATCCACCTTTTTGCCGCCTCCACCGCCTCCTCTCGCAGGCCCCTTTGGTGGTGGCCCGACCTTGATCGGCGAGCCGCCATGCGCGCCCATACCACCAGCGTGAGCGTACGTAGCATGCTGAGGCGCCGCTCCTGGGCTGGGACCTGCGCCGTTGAGCAGCACTGCACCAATCTGCACGTCAGGCGACTCGCTCCGCGCTTGCTGCGGCAAATGTACTTGCTGAGTTCGTCTCGCTGGTGTCGCAGCTGAAGACGAGGCGGCTCCCGTCTGTTGAGCGGCAGTAAAGGCTGCGTATGGCTGCTGAGCCTGCTGAGCCGCACCGTTGGGGCCCGCTCCCCACCTTGATGCTTGTTGCGCTTGGCCCTGCCCCTGCCACACACCACCTACGAATTGCGCGGCCGTTCTGCGACCGAGCGCTGGTCCTCCTGACGCCGCGCCTCCATTGCCCATCGTGCCAGCCGCTCCACCCGCCCAACCATTGATGGTCGAGGCGTCCTGCCCGTAGCCCATCCCATTCACAGAGCCCTGCCCGCCATAAGCTGGTCCTCCAGAATAGAAGCCCGCTGCTCCTCCAGTACCACCGCCATATGCCGCGACGCCTGGCGTCTTGCCCGCCATAGCAGCACCAAAGCTCTGATGCGGAGCCCCTCGACCGCCGTACCGTGAAGCGCTCTGCTCGAGGTAAGCCACGTCACTGCCAGCTGGAGGGGCGAAACGCATGGCGATCCTATAAAGTATCGCTGTGGGAAGGAAGAGGGGTATCCTTGCCGGCAGGAAGGCCGACTTGGGTGTTCCCGCTGCTGAGCCGCCCTTGCTTCCTTCTGAGGAGCGCGGCAGCGGATTTGCGAGGAGGGCGAGGACGGTACAGAAGGGGTAGATGGCCATGAAAAGGAATAGATTGACTAGCCCTGAGGGATGGAAGTAGGATACCGCGGTCGGCAGTAGGCCGAAGGTGGTCATGTATGCCCACCGGCTCTCTACGTATCGTAATCTGCGCTCGATCGGCCAACCCCTACTCGCCATCACTGGATCAAAGCAGTAGAAGGCATCTACCGCACTGATGAGCCCGAAGGCCAGCGCTGGCCCAACAAAGGGCACGTAGTTGCGTACGAGCAGAGCGAGGAGGGCGTAATTGATGAAGAGGAGCGGTTGATACGACTGGAGCAGGATGCGCCGTCTGAGGTTGGCGGAAGGCGCAAAAGATGAGGCGCTGAACGAGGTGGAAAAGGCGCGACGATGCGCTTGCAGCTGATAGGCCGTCTTTGCTACGTCGAGCGTCCAGGACGAGGCCATATAGTATGAGATGGCGATTACCGGGTAGAGCCAGAGGACGCTGCTTGTTTCGCTCCATGTCCCAGCTGCATCACGTTTGGTCGATGATGATGAAGGAGAGCTGCGTGGGTAGAGCTGCGCAGGGAAAAATGCGAGCTCAAAGAAGAAGATGATGAGAACGACTGCCGAAGAAAGGATGAGACCCTTGATCATGCTCAGCCGCACAGCCGAAGATTCGACGACCAGGTGCGCAACCTGTCGCCATCGTAGCGAATCTGTCCATCCCGCTCTTGCGTAGCCCAGATGCTGCCGCACGCTAGCACCTAGTGCTTGGAGGGACAATGTTGAAGCTGCAGATGCTGATGAAGAGGACGCATATGACGCTGGCCCAGCCGCAGTCCAGGGTAGATCGGCCTGGTGCGAAGAAGAGAGAAGCGGCAAGCCGACGAAATAATCATCGTCTAGTCGTGCTGCCCCTGGCCCGCCTTCGACATCTACTGACGTGAGGTCGAGGGAGGAGAGGCCGCGGAAGTGAGCCATCGCTGGCGAGTCGAGTGAAGCTGTATGCTATGAGCGGTAGTGAAGAGAAGAAAAGCGGAGCGAGGGCGAGAGAGAGCAACACAAGCACAAGACAGCAGCGCCGAGTTCAAATGCAAGGGCGGAGCGACGACAGACCATCGAGCCGCGCCCGGGCCACGGCAAAATTGAGCAGCCACTCTCCACGTCAACGTCCGATCTTCGCTCCCTCGCCGATGCAGCCAAGCAGACGACATTCGTGATGATCAGAAATTGAGAGAATCGAGGCAAAGAGGAGTCTTCTGCCTCGATGATGATGTATTTGTCTTCCCGCCAACGTCATTAATCTATCACTTCTCGCCCTTCGCTCTCTCGCCATCGTCATCCCGCGATGAGTTGCTCCCTTCACCTGACTCGCCCGACTCGCCGCCAAGCAGGTCAGCCTGCTTTTCCCTCTCCTCCTGCTGTTGTCGCCCCTCTGCCGTAACAGGCGTCTTCTCTGAGTCTCCAATAGTGAACCTCTGATCGCCATCCTCGTCATCATCCACATCGTCGTGATACGCTCCCGCGCCGCCCTTCTCCTTTGAACGCAGCAACGCCTCATCGTCGCCCGAATCGTCGTCCTCATCATCGCTGCCTGGACGGAAAGCGTCATAGATCTCTCTCGTCCTCCTTCCACTTGCACCATCGATGCCACGTCCACCAGGCCCTCTGGCCCCACCTAGGCGCGACATCTGCATCTCGTCCTCGTCCTCCGGCACAAACTCGTAGTCGCCCGCATTCGCCCTCCTCTTGCGGCTGCGACGTCGCAGCACAAAGAAGGCGACGGTGCTTCCCGCAAAGATGATGACGATACCTGCAGCAACAAAGAGCCAGGTCGAGTTCTTCTTGAGCCCAGTGAGATAGCCCGTGTCCCCCTCTGGCTTCGAGCCGGTCCAATCCTGGTGCGACTCTCCCGGCTGAGAGCCGTGGTCGGAAGGCAGATGGTCTGTTGGTTTGGGGCGTTGCGAGGTCGGGCCACTACCAGCCGCGCCGCCCGCAGGCGTCTGTGCTGCTCCTTCTCCTTGCACCAGCGTAGTGGAAGGCGCAGCGGCCAGCGTCTCGTGGAACTCGGCCGAGTCCTCGGGGAAGTTCCAGACCTTTGCCAGCTTAGCATCAATCGCCTGACCCCAAAGCGTCATACTCCACGCCCAGAAGTTGCCCGTCGTCTTCGGATTCGCGCGGTCGTACACCACCATTGTCCAATCGCCTACGGGTGACTCATCCCAGTGTTTGAGGGTCATGAAGCCCCAACCGGGGAAGCCGGTGGTCGCATCATCGAAGCGGCGTGGGCGGGCAAGGACGGACTTGGTTCCGTGAGGCGAGATGAGCTCAACTTCGACATCGCCGCGACGCTCGTGCGTAATCCAGACGCGGACAGTGACATGTTCGATGCTCTCGAGATTATCCCGCTTGAGCATCTCAGGCGTGACCTTGAAGACCGACTTGACGCCCTCTTTGCCGACCAGCGTGCTGTCCTTGGGGATGGTCAAATTGCCCGAGTTCGACCAGGCCTGCGGCTTGACGAGCTTGTGACGCTTGGTCTCCTCGATGAACTGCCAGGCATCGATGATCCCGTACCCATACTTATGATTGTAGTGACGACCAGCTTGGGTCTGCTGCCAGTCCTTGTCGTTTGGGTTGACCATTTGCGCGCTGTGCACTGCGATGTGCTGCATGTCTCGCCAGGTCAGTTCGGGCCTGATCTGCAGAGCAAGAGCAGCCACGCCTGCTACGAGGGGAGCTGCTGCGCTCGTTCCGCCGTGGTTCGAAGTGCAGCGATTGACCCCGTTCCACGCCACATCCGTCGTATGAATGTGGTCATTGGATCCCGAGCTCCACCCCGAGGCCAGGTTGGATGAGCACATCTCCGAGTAGTACGGGTGCAAGTTCTCGCGATCCACCGCAGCGATGGTCATAGTGTAGATGGAATTGGTGTAGCCATCGAAGTTGCACTGGTCGTCTGAAGCGCCACCATTCCCGCCGGCAAAGACGTAGATGCTTCCCTTGCCGTTGCGGCCGTTCTGCACGCCATTCAAGATGGCCTTGGCAATCAGACCCTTGGGCGCGTCCATGCTTCGTCCATCGTCTGGCGGACCCCACGAGCAGCTGTAGATGTGGTTGTCGTGGTAGGCGTAGTTGAGAGCAGCGGCTTCGTCAACGTCGGATATGGGCCCGGAGAGGATGCGCAGACCGGCGACGTGGGCATCGTAGGCTACCCCGACACCGCAGACGTCGTTCTTGATTGCCGCAATCTCGCCTGCGCAGCGCGTGCCGTGCTGGTCGTCTGCTTCGCGGGGCTCGGGCAGGGCGGTGTGAGCATTGAAGTCGTATGAGCCGCCGGCAAACTAGCGCGGGTGGGAAAAGGCAGGGGGGTCAGCTTCTCTGCATTTGCGTGTGATCTAGCAGCTACTCACGAAGTTCTCCTTGAGATCTGGCGAGTGCATGTCCACTCCGTCGTCGATAAGCGCGACAGTCACTCCCCTTCCCGTAATATTCTGCGCCCAGACCCCGGTCAAGTTGAGGTCATTTCCGATTCTCTTGTCGTTCACCAGATGCCACTGCGTAGGAAAAGTAGGATCGCGAATGCCAAACTGGTTGGCAACTTTGAAGATCTTGTCCGTAGTCAAAGCAGGCGGACGAGGTAGAGGGTCTGGGTAAGGCTGCGGCTCTGGACCAGGAATGGGATCCCTCTGCTCTGGGTAAAGGTGAGGCGTATCCCACGGTGAGTAGATGACATCGCGCTTGTGTCTTCGTCTGACTTCTTGGCGCTCCACGGCCTTGATGGAGAGGGCAGCGGCATGATGACGTTTGGCTAGGCCGTGGGAGTTGGTGTGGCGCGAGCGAAGCAGCTCAGTCCAGCGTCTGAGGACGGCGTCTGAGTGTGCAGTCTCGGCGTCTCTTGCTCTCAAGGGCTTTTCTGATCGTACCAGCCAGTGATGCTGCAGCTCGCCAACTCGCTCTACGAACTCTGCTCCCAGCAGCTCTGCAACCTCGCGTGGGTCGATGTCGGACGACGCGCGAGTCTCGACGGCGTAATAGTGATGTGTGTCGTATGATCTTCTGGCAGGTAGAGGCGTGCGACGGACACTTGTCTCGAGCAACTCAGCTTCGCCAGCATATACTGAGCTGAAGAGGGCAAGGGCGAGGACGACGAGGGACAAGAGTGCGGTCCGCCGCCTTGCTGCTGAGAGAGGGCGGGACATGGTAGGCGGCGATGGAGGTTGAAGAGAGGTCGATCGATACGCTAACTGGGTGACCACGCTAGCTGGTGACGAGATAAAGTATCGCTGTCGAGATGAGGTAGCGGATGTCCAGCGCTGCTAGCTGCGGTTGCTCTCACGGCAAGCGGTTGGACCCCGTACGGAGTGGCCTTGGAGCGGCAGTCGTGCCGGTTGCGATGCTGCTCTGGGACTCGATCGTCGAGCGCGGTGAATCTTGGAACCAAGGTAGCGCGAATTTGGTGAAAGATGGACGAGGCCTGCCTCTGATCAAGGACGGTAGTGAAGAGGAACGAAAGAGGCGCAGAGCTGGCCGGATGAAACGAAGTGCCTGTCTGCCTGCCCCGTACGCCCCGCCGCATCATCCCTTGCCGCTCGTCTCACTCTTGCCGCTCCGCTGCTTGCTCGCCTGTCGCTCGCTCGCGTGGTCGTGGATTCACGGTGGCCCGAGCGTCAATCTGCTCGCTCCCCTCGAGCAGCACGCTACTTGTGTCCGTTCCTCGCCTTGTCCTCACTCATGCGCCCTTGGAATGGCAGCTATGCTGTACGCCTCCCCAGTTCTCACGGACTTCGATTGAACCCCATGTTCTCAAGCTAGCGCGGAGCAACGAGCTCCCTCTCCACTAACGAGAAGCTGCCCGTCGAGGTCCTCGAGCAAATCTTCGCACACCTCAACGTCTCTGAGCTTTACCGCTGTCAAGTCGTCTGTCAAGGTGAGTGCAAAGTAAGTCGAGACACGATCAGGCCTTTCTGATCCTGGTCACCGCGTCTGCACGCTATAGTTTGGCGCAAGGCCGCCCGCAATGACTCTCTCTTGCGCCTCATTTGCTGGAAGGAGGGGTATCTGCCGTGGGGACAGCATCTCGACCAACTACTGGCGCCTCAACGCACGACGGGATGTAGCGATGGCAGCAAGTACTCTGCATATCGTCTCAGTGGTCGCGACGAGAAGCATGCTTCTACGCTCGAACATTTGCTCAAGACCAGTCATCTTCTACGCACCATCAAGTCGCCGCCTCCCCTCCAGAATCTCAACATCGGGCCTTCAAAGCCCAATCTGACAGGCGTAGTCAGGTGCTTCTTCTCGAGCTGGGACGAACAAAGGATCAGCAATATCGGACCCTTCCACGTTGAGTGAGCTCCGCAGTGAAGATGGGCCGGACTGTTGAACGAAGAAGCTTACGGTCCCTGACTGCATCGCAGCCCGGTCGACAATGTCATCATCGCAATCAACTCGTACGGAGAATTAGATGTGATTGATCAAGATAGCGGAGCCGTGCTCTGGAAGGATGCAGAAGCCAGAGCAAGCAGTCATCTGGATTTCAGCGAGGGCTGGGTAGTGCATGACAGCCGCGATGAAGACGGTGTCGGTGTCCACCTTCAGGTGAGTCGCATGATTGAGCACCGGCCGAAGAGCAAGCTGAGGCGATCATCTCTCTTTCCCTCCTTCTCTAGCTGAGGAAATTTGACAGGCTCGACCCGCAGCAAAGCCAGCCGCGCCGAGGCATCTTGTTACCAGCCGCCTCCATCCGCTGTCCCGACACTCCTTCTGCTGTCCGCCTCGTCTGGCCTCATCTGGTCTTCTTTGCGCATGCTAACATATTCATCTACGATGTCAGCACGCTGAAGCTAGTAGAGCTGATCCCTTTCAGCCCGCGTCGTCGGGACAACTGGCGCGTGCACTACATCAGCTTCGACGAGGACTTTGTCTTCCTTCTGGCCTTGCACACGGGCGTGCTCGACGATTCGGGTTTACACGTGCTTGATCGAAAGAACAAGGGAAAGAGCGTATATCGCCCTACCCGCTGCAGCTTGCGCTATGCTACGGGGTGGCAAGTGGATGGCCACGGGATGGGCGAGCTCTGTTTCGATGGGCGACCGATCAAGGACTGCCCCGTTAATGGCATCACGACGGAGCTGATACCCAGCAATGGGCATGGAGGGGACCGATACGTCAAGACAAATCGCTGCTGCGCCGTCCATCCGGACCCCAAAACGGGCAGTCTCTGTCTCAGTGGTGCTGGCGCACTCGTCGTCATCCCGGAGTACAAGGACGTCTTTCGAAGGCTACGCGGGCGAGATAAGATGGGAAATCCATTACGAGAGATTCAGGTCGTCGGTGTCGGGGAAGCCGCCAAAGCGGGCACAATGACCGATCTTGCCCTCGCTGACGGCGTGGCAGCTTTTGTTTCATCTGTGAGCAGCTCGTGGTCAGCAATCGTCGTCTAACAGAGCTGAGTATGTGACCTCGTCCTTCATCGCAGGCGCACTCTCTACCTGTTTGGATCGACCTCGCAGCACTTATCCGATGGCGCCCTATGACACCCAAGCCCCGTATCACCACCTTCTACCCTGGAGATCCAATCCTCTACGACGCCACTGGTCTCGCCTTTTACGGTGCGGGCGGCATCAGGCTTAATGCAGCGCAGCTCTACGTTGCCCTTCGGCTACTCAGGCCCCACGCGTCCGACGGTTGGTCCGACACTCCCTCATGCGGTGTCCTCAAGATCGACTTCGGGGCCATTGTTCAAGCTCAGCTTGCCTTCGCAGATCGCAGTTTCTATGACGAGCCACCGGGGACAACCATTCTTTTCCCAATGCCAACGACTGCACAGGGGCTAACTCGCGCACAGCAGCGCGAACCTGGTCTCTTGCAGCATTTAAGTCAGGGCTCCACCCGCGAGCTCGTCTTTCCAAATGGGACTCGTAGGACACGGAGCGAGTGGCTGCGCGAAAATTCGTCGCCTAGACTTGACGAAGAGAGACTCGGCGGTTGAGTGCTGTGAGGCCTGAAGGGCTGATGAAAGGAGCGGACGGCAGTAAGAGCTACTGTAGTTGACAAGGATGGGGTAAGGCGGAGCTCGTCGCGCCTGAGATGACCGCGACAGAATGCAGCAAGGCTGCGGGCTATGTCGATATGTCTTGTCTCAGCATTTAAGTAGTCACCAGTTTTTCTTACCTTTTAGCCCAAAATGCCGAAGCCTTGCACTTTGGACTGCATCCTGCGTTGCCACTCTCCTTCACGTTGGCTGCCCTTCCCACCCTCATAGAGCTTGCTCAGTCGCGCGACACTCGCGACACTCGCGTGGCTCTTTTCCCCGCTTCGAGTCCAAAATCCGCCTGGCTTGGGCGTGCATGGGCGCTAGCCTTCGTTGCCATCCCAGATTCCCCTCGACGCCTTGATGCGCGGTATTGCTTCCACATAAGACCGCACTATCCCACCATCGTCATCGGCCTTTGCTCTCGCACTCAGCCTTAGGCTACTCAAGCGCCCTCAGCGGGCTGTCTTCCGCTCGAAGCCCCCATCTGAGAAGCCAGAGTGCCCTCGACTACTTCCTCTCAATCAAACTCGTCAGACGCACTCTTCATCAGACTCGCCAGTCTCACGCTGGAGAGCGATGCTGGTCGATCAGCTCCCGGACGAGGTACTGTCCTTGATTCTCTCGAATCTCGAGCTTGCTACCTTGTACCGCTGCCATCTTGTTTGCAAGCGTGAGTATCGAGATTGCAATTGCGAAACCAGCATGCGGTTGACGTTTTCGACATCTTCCATCCTCGTACTTATTCGCAGACTGGCGCGAAGTGGGTCGCACGGATGCCCTACTACGAAGGGCCTGCGTAAATTTGGGCTTGCTCGAGGCTAACTCGTACTTAGGAGACCTTGCTACCACGTCGCGCCTGCCTCCTCCGACGGACGAAAGGCGGCTGGGCGATGGCCATCGACATTCTGCCTTCGAGCTGTCGGGTCGAGACGCGAGCGATGCTGCCTCCTACGAGCAGCTCCTAAAGAGTAGCCTGATACTCCGCAAGATCAAGTCACCTCCGGAGCTGACGTCTGTTGACCTCGAGCCTGCGCCGCCATGTCTTCAAGGCGTGGTCAAAGGCTATTCAAACCATGCAGACGAATCAGAGAGCGACATCTGGCGAATCAAGCTCGACCCAATCGACAACGTCTTGATCACGTCAGGCGCAAAGGGCGGCCTTACGGTACTGGACCTCGAGAGCGGCCAAGAGCTCTGGCGAGAGGCAGATGTGAAGCAGTATGCCCACGTGGAGTTCAGCGAGGGCTACGTGGTTCACGACCGAGACGGCCTTGATGAGCAAGGGCGAGAGACTCATTTTCAGGTGAGCGAAGCGGACGCAGCAGAGTCCATGACAGAGGCATGGGGAGCTCATTCACTTCACTGATCACATACAGGTCTGGAAACTCGAACGCCTGGTCAAGGACCCTGATGAAGCTCGCCGTGGGGTGCTCGTCCCGGCCGGGACCATCACTTCTCCTTTCTCACCACGAGCGTTTCGCCTCATCTGGCCTCACCTCGCAGTCGCAAGCGCAACAAGAGTCGCCGTTTTTGACGTCACGACGGGCGAGCTCGTCGAGCAATTCGAGATGTCTCAACCTACTCAGCCAGACTGGGGAGTCTTATACATCGAAATGGACGAGCAGCACATCTTTGTATTGCGCGCTACTGTCCGTGGCGGCCAGCGCGACGGTCTATACGTGTACGAGCGTATGAAGGGGGGGCGCGAGCTCTGGAGCCCACTGGCACCTCCGTTCCTGCGATCACAGATCATTTGGACCGCTGAGGGACGTCAAATGGACTTTCTGCGGTACGACGGCGAGCCGCTACAGTCCTGCTCGACGCTCGGCTTTGCGCAACAGCTCATGCCAGCAACTTGTGAAGATCAAGACCTCTACGAGCGCACAGATTGGTGTAATGCCGTACACGTCGATACGCGCACTGGAAGTTTATGTCTCGCCGGTGATCAAGGAGGCTTGATGGTCATTCCAGACTACAAGGAGGCTTTCAGGCGACCTTGCCCTGCCTCGAGCCCATCAGAAGAGGAGCCTCAGCCGGGCATCCCAACCATTGGCGTTGGAGCGGACATTAGCAGATCGATATACCCCTACCTGGCCGTCGCTGACGGCATAGCTGCATTCACTTGCGCTGCAGATAGTCTGCCTGTCTGGATCGACCTGGAAAAGTTGATTTGCTCAAGACACAACGAGGATATCGATTGCGAAGCAAGCGAGGTCATTTTGCCAACGTTGAGCACCTTCTATCCTGGTGATCCCCTACTGATGGACTGCTGCGGTTACGATTTCACCGGTGCACAATGCATGCAGATTGACGCCCGCCAACTTGTCATGACCTGCAGAACGATGACCGACGTCGAAACAGGCAGGTTTGGCGGCTTTAGATATCAATCACGCAGCATTGCCCTTCGGCTGGACCTGGGTGACATACTGAAGGCAAAGCTCGCTCAGCCGTCTCAACCATTTGAGAGACAGGCATACCAGACTCGCGTTCATTTCCCGAGGCGTACCGCTGCCCAAGAGGCAGAGAAGGCGAGCTGGCGCCGTCTTCAAGACCAAGACCCAGAGGTGAAGCTTCACTTGCCCTCCTCGGACTTTATCAGCCGAGCTGATTGGCTGGCCGGAAGAATGCCCATCGGCATGGAGGTTGAGAGGGAGGTGGAGGAGGAGGAGGAGGAGGAGGAGGATGAAGAGGGGGACGAAGAGGACGAAGGCGAGGCGGGAGAGTCGGGAGATTCGGAAGGAGATTCAGACGCAGGAAGAGATACGGACAGTCGCGAGGAAGAGTAACAGGGGAAGGGGACAGCTGCGAGCTTCGAGTCGTGGAAAGATAGCTGCTACCACTGCCACACTATCACAGTAGACGACGAGGTCAGAGCAAGCGGGCTCGGTCAGATCATACTCGACGAGTTCCTATCGTCCTCAGCAGCTCGGCCACCTGCAAGAGTCTCATGATGGTGGATGCCACGCTCCGGGGAGCTTCCCAACGTCCTACCAGGAGCACGTCTGACCTGTCGAGCGCGATCAACAGCGTATGTCTCGCGGGCGAAGGGTGGAGGACCGTAGTCCTCATGCACCTCATCCGTCTCCTCATGCCCGTCAATTGTATTCCGAAGAAGCGATGCAGTTGATCTCTACCATCATCAGGCTCATCATTGTCAATATATCGATACCTTCCTCATCGCTTTCGTCCTCCTACTAGCTCTCAACTCCTGCCCAATCGTCCGCGGATCCATCTTCGGCTTCACTTTTCGTCCAGCCCGTGGCACTGCTGTTGTCCTCTTGGTTCTCGAGCCCGTCAAAGCTATCCGAGTCATCCTCCCTTACCTATTCCATGTCGCCGGACCGCCAGCCGATGCCGACAGGAGGCTTAGGTCCAGCTTAGGTCCACCCCAATACATGGTACGCCCACCGAAGCGAGAAGTCGTTTACGAAAAGCGATTTGTCATCCAGTAGGATGGCGAGGGCCGAGGTCAGGTGGTGGTTTCAGCATCAAGCACGATTGACAAATAAGAGCGAATGCTCCAAGCGTTGAGCCTTCACGAGGCGGCAACGTGATCCATTCAATCTGCTGAAGCGCCATCTTTCTTCAGTCGTCATCAATGCACAGCCTTGCGGGTATCGTCGTCACAGTTGCTGTAAGCGTCATAAAGCTCATCTCTCCCTTCCCATCGACAAAACGCCCTGCCTTCCTGCTTCATTCATTCCCATCATCCCCCTCCGTGTCCCGCCCGTGTTCCCCGCTCCTCCATCCCCACGCATCGCGCCCTGCATCATACTTGCCTTCACGCTATCCGTAGCATAGTGCCTCGCCGAACAGCTCTGGCATCCGCAGATGTCTGAGTGACGCGGAGGGGCTGGCGAAGAAGCAGCCGCGTAGGCCCCGCGGTGCTGCTGATCGTAAGGTGAGACCGGCCTGCGGTCTTGATCGCGATCGCGATATTGTCCGAACTCTCCTGGTGACACTGAAGGGGCGACAGGCATGGTAGCGCGTCTGTTCTGTTGCTGTGGTCTCTTCAAGTGATCCCTGTCGTCATGCGCGTCCTGCCCAGCGCCTCTCCTGCCGAAACCACTCGAAGGAGCCGTAGAGGTTGTGGCAAATTTCTCGGCCTGGTAATGAGCCTTCATCCTCGCAACGAAGGAGCGCTCCGACTCTGTAGAAGATTGGCGACGACGCTGCGGCTGTTGCTGTAGAGGCGGACGTTCGAAGGCGGCAGAGTGGCGCGGATAGGGGCCGTCCACCGAGGAAGGAGCTTCTTGGCGGTACAGCTGAGAAGTGGGCCTTGACGGTGGTTGTAGCTGCTGGCGCGCAGCATCACGAGAACGATCGTCGTACCGATCAAACGTCCTCGGTGACCTCGGCGCCTGGCTGGACGACTCGTACGAAGATGGAGACATCCTCCCCTGATCCCTCGCTGACGGCGCGACCAGCGCGCCACCTCCACCTCTGCTACTCTCAGCCGGCGGTGGATTTGCCCTTTCCACAAAACGCAGCCTGTCCTCGGCCTGCTGCAGGCGACGCTCCAGCTCCGTCTCTCTCTGCCTTGCAAGGGCGCGCTCCCGCTCTTGTTCCCAGCGGTGCTTGACAGAGGGGGAAGGGCTGAGTGTTTCGCCCGGTTTCTTTGCGACTGGCTTGGTCGGTGTCACGGCGGGCGAGGGGCGCAGAGGCTTGGGTGAGGCCATACGAGGCATGCTTGGCGATGAGGTAGAGGTGGAAAGCGGCGCCTCGCTTTCTTCGGGAACGGCAGGTGGGACCTGCAAGCCGCCAAGGGCAGCTGTTGATGAAGGCAACGGATCGCCCTCGTCCGGTGTCCGCGGGTAGGGCGAGGCTGGCGCTGTCGAGGAGGAAGAAGACGAGATGGCAGATCCGGTGCCGCTTGGCCCGCTGCTGCTGCCATTCGCTGAGCCGCTCGTTTGCGATGAGTCGCGCTGCAGTGAGGAGGATAGAGGTGAGGACGAAGAGGACGAGACCGCTTCGGCTGGCGTGCTCTTTCTGGGGACGGGCTGGCCATCCCTGATTGCCGTCGAAGCTGGCCCGTGGTCAATCATTGTGGGCTCGGCGGCCTGTGAGTGCTGACTGTGCGCTGAGGCTTTACGCTGCACTCCCTGCCCGACATCTTTGATCACTCGGAGGCCGTTCTCAATCTCCCCCTCTGCCCCCTCCTCCTCTTTTTCCTCCACGATGACCCTTTCAGCCTGCTCGGACTGTTTCGGGGCTTCGTCGTTGTACGAAGCCCCGAGCCGAAAATCCCGCTTCTCTTTGGCCGCGTCCACCTCTTTTCCGCTCGAATCCAGTCGGGGTAAGGCAGCGGCCAACATCGTCTGCTGCTGCGGGTTTGGCTTATCGCTGAAGGCGAACGAAGGGTCCAGCCCTTGATGCCCGCCGACCTGCGGTGAGCCAAGCAGCGATTGAGCAGCCAAGGCAGCGTACTGCTGCTGTTGTTCCTGCTGCTGATGCTTCCACTCGCCCACGGCCTGGCTTCTCACTTGATGGAGTGCCGCCTCTTTGGCAAGACGTTGCGCCTCAGCAGCCTGCGCCTCAGCGACAGCAAAGTGCGCCGCCACGCCGACCTCTTCCTCACTGAGCTCTATCGGAGCATTAGAGGGCATGGCCTCGCTTGAGCAGAAGTTGACCCACTGAGCCAGTGGCCCGACGTTGGGGCCTGACCGGCGCACCGTCTCGCATTGAGCGCGGAACGAGGCTTCTGCTAGCCCGCCGACTGCAGAGGCGACGAGCAGCGCCGTGCTGTGTGACTTGACGCCGATGCTCGACGCGTGCGTGGTCTTGGCCTTGGCGATATCGTTTGTAAGAGAGGACATGGTGGCGATGTACCGGTCGTGAGCCTCGAGGGCGCGCGGGCCTGACTGCGCCTTCTTCCCATCGTAAGTCGACTGGACTTTGCGCACTTTGATCTCAAGGCCCTGTACCAAGTCCTCGTGCGTACGCTCCTCCTTGGCTACTTTCTTGAAGTACTTGGCACACGCCTCATTGAGTGCTTCGTACTCTTTCTGAACCATCTTGGCGTGCTTGCTCGTGACCTCGTGCTGCGCCTCAAAGATGGCAGCAGAATGCTGTAAAGCTGACGCCGGCGCAGCGGCGACGACAGCCTTGTTGTTCTTGGCCAGCTCAGCACATGACTTGAAGAGCTTCTTTTCGCATTTGGCGAGGGCGGCCTGAAGGTCGCGATATTCGTCGAGCTGGGCGAGGAGGGTCTCGAGTGATTTGAGAGATCTGTGGAGATCGGCACGGTCGACGGGATTGGGATCTGGAGAAGAAGAAGAGGACGCTGTGCGCTGACCCTGAGCTGCTTGTACAGGAGCCGCGAGGTACTGGACAGCGCCCATCTGCCCCACGGACTGCGGGCCAGCACTCTGGCTCATCGTTGTCTGGCCCGTAGGGTGGGGACTGAGGAAGGCCATTGGCGTTCGCGGTGCAGCCGAATACATGGGCAGTGTGCCACTGGTGGGAAGGTCGAAGTAGGCCTGCTGTCGTGATTCTGGGATTGTCGCCAAATTGCCAGCCGCGGCCGATCCAGGTGCGGGGGACGCGCCTCGCTGCACGCCAAAGCTCTGCTCGCTCGGGGATGAGGAGCCCGCGAGTTCCAGGCGTTGACCGTCGTCTGATTTGCGACCAGCTACGGCGGGCGTGACAGGCGTCGAAGCAGTGGCAGGTCTGCTCTTGTCCGAAGACAGGAAGTTGGTCATGCGCTTCATCGGAAGCGCGTCGTGAAGTCAAAGTCGTGGAAGTCCTTTAAACAGCTGTAGGGTATCACGAGTCGTAAGTCGTCAGGGGTCGTCGTCTGTTCACAGCCACCTCATGAGCTGGCAGAAGGCCGTATGGTCGTGCAATGAGGGTTGAATGTCAGGAAGGAAGCCGGTGCACGATCCTCTTGTTCCCCTTGGGCCCCCTGTACAAGTGGACGACAGGAATTAGTGCCAATTAGGGGCTCGGGGCAGCCGATCCCTTTCCGTCTCGGCGAGAGCCACGTGGCTTTGCGCTCCCAGCATCGGCGGACGTCGGCGGCCAGAGCCACGAGGGAGGAAGCGCTGCGTCGTCGTCGCTCGGTGCGAGGGCCATTGCAAATGCGCCTCGGCCTCATCCGTGTCCTTCTCCGTCCTCAGCAACACCATCCCCAGACCTTTCACCACCTCGTAGCATCAGCAGCAAGCAAAGATGGGCCTCTCCTCGACAATCTACCAGACCATCTTCAAGAGGAACTCCGTCTTGTGAGTGCGCGGCACACGATAAACAGCAGATCAGCAAACTGCTCGCCTTGGCAATTGTGAGAGATCGAAATGCTCACCGCCGCCATCATTCCCACCCTGCTCTTATGTTTCCAGCGTCGGATCCATCTTCTTCGGCGCCTTTGCTTTCGGCCTTGGCTTCGACACTGCCACCAACAAGCTCTGGGAGAACCACAACAAGGGGGTGAGTAGGCGCACGGTAGCTTTTGATGACCGGGCAGCTTGATTCAAGGATTGCAGCTGGTCGGGGATGGGCGACTGGCTGCAGATAGGCAGAAGGAAGGGAGGGCAGGTACACTCTCTGGGAGAGGTATCGTGCAATCTGGTCGCGCTGCTCGACCTTGATGTGGGCCAGAGTGAATGAGGATGGGGACAATACGACCCCCCTGAAGACTTGGAAGACCGGCCCTCCAGTGTCTGTTGCTTCAGTCAACCTTCCATCGAGAGACAGATCGTGTTCTCTCCAGCAAGGCGGGGTCAACGCTCCCTTTGCTCTGAATCCGCATCTCAGAAGAATTCAGCTCGACGATGGAGCTCAAGAGCGTACGACTGACCACCCGCATACATTCTGTCCCCCTCCTTGCGCTCAAACCCCTCGCAGAAGCTCTGGGCTGACATTCGTGACAAGGTCGGCGGCTCAGAGGAGGAGTAGAGAGCAAATGTCACAAGTTTTGGGCGTCTGAAGGAAGCATATCCGAGCTGCATGCAAGCGACGGAGAAGGGGGTGACGATGGTAGCGGCTGCGTAGGAATGAGCATCCCTTTTCGTAGTCGACCTTCCGGCTGATCGCCGACAAAGGAGTGGAAGACTGGAGCAGATTCAGAGCCAGCTGCCGCGCTCACATTGAGTCGTCAAGCGACAGAGCAGCAGGATGGCTGCCCCGTCGTGGTGGCTTCGCACTGCGAGCCACGTACTGATCAGGGTAGCAGCCAAAGAGAGAGTGCAGCGATGGCCAGGACGCAGATCAAAGACGACAATTGCCGCTGACAGAGAGTAATCAGCCATTCGGCCGCATCGCGAGGATGAGGCTGCCTTGTGTGAGAAGAAGAAGAGATCGGCATTGAAGCCAGCTATCATGAACAAAGGGCGACTCCTCAGCACAGCGGTCTCTCTATGGCCTCTGTCCTCCCTCAGGCCTCTCCCCCTTCGGGATACTCCAGTTGACGCTCAAGATCAAGTTGTCGTAGCCCTTGCCATCGACCCTCTGCCTGGCACGATCGGCATCTTCCCTACTCTCAAACGATACAAAGGCGAAGCCCTTGCACGCGCCCGTCTCTCTGTCCCTGCCCACGTAGACACGAATGACCCGCCCGAATCGCGAGAAGAGCATGCGCAGGTCCTCATCGTCCGCATCTTCGCTGAGGTTGGTGACACGAAGTGTGGGGAGATCGTCGCGGGAGAGACCGCCACCAGGGGGGCCGCCCATTCGCTCTCCTGTGCGGTTGGCTCCGGCACGCATTGAGGGTGGGACGTACTTGCCGCCTGCTCCACCTGCTCCTGCTCCACTTGATGGTCCAGCGAGGCCAGCAGCCGCGACTGCAGGGTTGGAAGGGTCCACTGCCGCAGCCGTAAGGTTCCCCTCCTCCGGTCCTCCCTCGGCACCAGGGATCGTCTCCAGCGTGTCCCTGTAGGGGCACTTGGAAGTGAAATGCCCGCCCTTGCACAAACGACAGCTGATAGCCTTGTTGGCCAGCTGCTGCCTCATGCTCTCCATTTCGTCCTTCTCCTCCTCCTTTGCCGCCCCGTCGCCGCGCGAAGCTTGGAGCTTGAGTTGCACATTCTCACCCACCGTGGTGGTGGAGGAATGAGGGCCAGCAGCACGGTTCTTCTCGGCGCCAAACTTGACCCACTTCTGCTTACGCTCCGCCTCGGCGGCGTTGACTGTCGTCTTGACGGTGGTGCGGCGCACACGGCGGGTGACCTTGACGCGCTTGCCTTCGGGATTCGTACGGTACTCGACTGTGACGCGAATCCCATTGGGCTCCTCACGCTCTTCGACCTTGGGGGCGTCACCGGCGACTGAAGGGCAGGGAGAGGGAGCAAGGAGGGAGTTGCGCTTCAGCGGCCACTCGTAGTTGCCACTTGGCTGCGCTCGTCCGACTCACCATCGTCGTCGATGTCGTCTGCCCAAGACATTTGGGCCTTAGCCTGTGCCGCTGACGGGGTGCTGACAGCGAGAAAGTGAGAGAAATGGTCAGTTGAGAGATCCACGTCATCTCTTGTCATCACTGCGACGCACGCTTCTTGAACGGATGGCGACATGATGATGGTTGAGATACCAAAGTGGTAGCAATGGGCGCTCAGCTGATGCCTTGTCCAAGTCTCGTCCGCGGGCTCAGCTGCAATTCGCTCCGTTCTCCTCGTCTTGTCTGACCTCCGCCGGCGCCTGCCTCTTCTCTCTCTCCCTCTCGCGGAGCCGCGCGCTGACTGAATCTCAGCTCAGGCGACCAATCCACAGACGAAAGCCTGTCCGGGCGGGCGGGGCTCGACGGACCACACGGCTCGCCTTCTTCTTTTCCCAGGCAAGTTACCAGGCTGATCATCACATCTCACTCATCTCCTTGCGTCACGATGGCAGCATTGCGTGGCTGCGTCGCCTCTTCGTCGAGGTCGGCCATCAGCACCTCGAACATGCTGCGCTCTGCCACCACTTCCTCAGCCCGAGCTACGACCTCTTCTTCTTCCTCCTCCGCAAAGCGGCTTGCCCGCTTCTCTACCTCTTCACCACCGAGGCAGGCAGCCGCTCAGGCGCAGCGTAGCTCCTCATCATCAGACGCTACGCCGTCATCCCCGTCAGATTCGTCAGCTGCACCTCCACTCTCATCTACTGGCTCTAACCCAGCTCTGAGCCCCTACGACACGACCGAAGAGATGCAACAATGGTACCGCCGACAATACCCCGCTTCTCTTGCACTCCCCGACGACGTCCTCCTTCAAACATTCACGCATGAGTCATACGACCAAGGCATGGGGAAGTCAGGCCATAATAGACGGCTGGCCTTCTTGGGACGAAGAGCAATGTATCTCTACCTTTCCCTTTTCCTGCACTCGCAGATGGCACAGGCTGCTGCGACATCCTCCTCCTCTTCAGCATCATCAGCATCGGCCGCGGCTTCCTCCTTCCTGTCCTCCACCGACCAACTTGAGAAACTTCTCCAGACCTCTCGCCTAGGTGACTCGGTGGGTCGCTCATTGAAGCTCGAGCAGGTAATGCGCTGGCGCCCAGCCGTCTCGGACGGTCAAGCAGGCCCCAAAGAGATCGGCCTCTTCAAGATCCGTGGGACGACCGTAGAGGCACTGATCGGCGCCATCTACCACCAGCATGGGGCTGCTGCCGCTCAAGCCTTCTTCGGCTCCAAAGTCTTGCCGGAGCTCGGGACCTGGGGGGAAAAGCATGGGTCATTGAGTGCAGCAATCGACCAAGAGGCGAGGAGAGGAGGGGAATTCCTCGAGGCAATGAGCGCACAAGGGGCTGGGGACGCTGTGCCGGAGAGCGAAGTGCAGGCGGCGGCTACGGCGGATGCGCAGGCCGCTGAGTCGCATGATGGTAGCAGGGCATTCGATGGTGCAGGAGCAGCCGCGGCGAGGGGCTTTTCGACTCGTAGTAGCAGCAGCAGCAACAGCGCCGCTGGTGCGATGAGGAGGACAGCGGGTGCGAAAGCAGGCAATGTAGTCTTTGAGGAGGGTTCGGGCGAGGCAGCTACATCGGCTCGAGCTGCAGAGGGCAGAGCATGAGCTTGAAGGAGGGTACGAAAGAACGATCAAGTCAGCGGTGCGCATCAATTCTCATTCGCATAGCATATACGTTCCTCTGCGTTGGATCGTGGTTGCCGTGAGAGGTCCATTTGCTTGCAAAGCCGCGTCTCGACAGGCGGACTGAGACGACATCGACGGACTGAGAGCACTTGAGCTCGCACTGTTCTTCTTGACTTTCTCCCAACACCTCGACCCCGCATCATGAGGCTCAAAGACTCATAGCATTGCTCCACACCCACTCGAAAGACTCTTTGACTGCAGGTTCGCCATGCCAGAGCAGATGCCCCAGCCACTGAGCTGGCGGCAAGTCCAATCTCAGGTGCGCAGCACCCAGCTGGCCGGGCCGCTCCCAAACGTTGAGTCCGTGCTGGACATCCTTCTCCCCACGTTGCACATTCTCGATCTTGTCCCCTCTACGGTACCTCCGCATATAGCTCACAAACATACTCCTCAACGCGTCTTCGGCCTTCTCATCAATGGTTATCCCTTCGAGGCCGATGCGGAACTGTGGAGTGAGGAGGAGGGGCAAGAGTGGCTCAGAGCGTTTCGCAGCCAAGCCTGGCTTGGGGATGTGCAGAGAGCGCTGCTCGTGGGCTCGATTGCAACGACGTGGGATCATGAGATGAGGCAAAGGGAAGGCGAGATGTGGGAGGCTCTGAAGAGGGCTTGGCTTATACCGGCAGAAGAAGAGGTCCACCCGCAGACATCTACTTCAGGAAGCAAGCTCATCATGATTCAGGATGAAGTCGAGACAGATTCTTCGGGCAAACGACAACGGCGCAAGCAGTCAGCAGCAGCCGTGACCCTCTCCGGTATTCAAGCCCTGAGCTCAGCCCTCTCAGCCGTCAGCTCCACCCGCAGCGAGCACGCCCATCAGCCTCACCCGCTCCTCACCTTCACCCTGCAGATAGCCGAATGGTATGCCTCCTTCCCTTCTCTCCTCTCTCGCCTCATAGAGGCCACCTGCATGGAGAACAACGCAGCGAAGCGTGCCCTTCTTTGGGGTGAGGTCGTCAAGATTTTGGCGAGTCTGCCAGACAGGGCGGCTAATGCTGAGGGTTCAGGCAAGGATGTCGGCCGCTTCGCAGGGCAATGGTGGATGGCGATGCAGAGGCAGATTGTTGAGCTGGTCTTCCCAGACAATGCGGATGGGGATGAAGTGGGGGTGAGACTTCTGGCCGAGCTTCTCTCCAAGCTGGTGAGGACACGGCCGGAGATGCTTGCTGATGCGGGTAGCGCCTCGAGCATGGATTGCCCTTGCTTCTGGGAGATTCTGCTCCGCCACCTATTCTCCCTCTCTTCCTTAAGCAAAGGGCTCTCAATTCCAGCCAGCCTTCGCAAGCGATGGCATTTGCTCCTTGCGCCTCTCGACACCCGAGACAGGCACAACGTGGACCTCTCCCTCGCCAACTTCTTCCATCGTCGCTTCTTACAAGTAGATGTGGTGGAGTCAAAGGAGCGCGGTAGGCCTGCTGCGGTAGGCAAGAGCTTCCTGGGCGATGAGACAGGGAGGACAGCTGAGCTGGTTGGCAGATTGTTGTACGGCCTTTGGACGCCGCCTGTGGGCGTATCTGAAAAAGAGGCGTCTGACTCAGACTCGGATGACGAGGAGGACGGACAGGCCGCAGCCGTCAGTAGGCTGCTGACGCAGATCGTGCTGCCAGCACAGCGCTCCTCCTCTGCTCTACTCTGGACAGCAGGAATGGCTCGCGCCTACGTCTGTTCCTTCGCCAGCCCGCACCTCCCCGCCACGACACAAGAGCAACAGCTCGCATCCTTACTCGAATGCTCGATCAACCTTTGGGGCAACTCAGAGCGCGTCAGACGGACAACTGCGCAAGAGGAGCAATACCTCGTCACCCTCATCCTGGGGAGCCTTGCGGAGCTCACCAGCCGTAGCGGGAGCTCAGCAGGCAGGACAACATCGCGGTCTGGTCCTTTCATCCAAGGTGTCTCTGCCCATCTTGACCACCCCGATCCAGACATTCGTCGTATGGGCATGCTCCTTGCCGAGCTTGTGAGCGAGGCGGCGCAGCGTGAGGTCAATGCCAAAACTGGTATGGAGACGGGAACCGAGGTCAAGAAACCCCTCGACTTTGGATCTAGCATGTGGGATGGAGTAGGAGAGGGAAAGGAGGAGGCGAGAGTGTTGAGGACGATGTGGTATTCGTGGGTCCGGATGCGCGACCAGGCGAGACAGGAGATTCAGGACAAAAGCGGAGAGGACATGCTTGAGATGCTTGGGTTCGCGAGGCAGGAGGAAAGGGCTGCAGTCGTCGCTCCTTCTCCGTCACGGAATGCTGCGAGGACGCCTCGTCGAGGAAACCCTAAGACTCGACAACTACCGCAGCGGACACCAGTGCAAGGCAAGAATGGCAAAAAGCAAGCAGCTCCTCGCTCTCTCATTGTGGACCTGGACGAGGGAGAAGAGGAGCTTGCAGACGATACACCTGCCAGGAAAGATCCGATCGAGTCGGACAACGAGTCCTCCTCCTCAGAGAGTGGCACCTCATCAGACGATGAAGCTGGCCCCTCTACCGGCCCGAATCTTGACCTTGACATCCACGGCTCAACTCAATCCGCCTCGAAGGGCAAGCCATCTGCTGCTGCAAACGACAACGACGAGCTGCTCGGTCTAGGAATCGACAAGAAGAAGCGTCGCGCCCCTCCTGTATACATCAGTGACCTGACTTCCCTGCTTCGCGACACAAAAGAGCGGGACTCGATTCGCTTAGCATTGAAACACGGTGAAACCCTCTTGCCGCGCAAGGGACAGCTGGCGGCTCACGCTTCATCGTCAATGTCGATGGCCGTTGGCTTCTCCACGCTCTCTTTGGCAGCAAAGGGGCAGTCTCGCGCTCCACGAGGGGAGATAGACGAGCACTGTGTCGACCTTCTGCTCCTTCTCTGCGCCTTGCAGAACAACTATCGCATCCGCAACTTCGAGGTTCGTAGAAGAGGAGCCCTACGCGCACTTGTGGTCTCTGCGCCTCGCATCGCCGTCCCCGCCCTCGTGGAGCAGGTGTTCACGCCCAACTACTCGATCGTCCAGCGGCTGGGTATGCTAGAGGCTTTAGGGAAAGGGGCGAGGGAGCTATGCTCGTGCGAGGAGATGGGCGTTGACGGGATGGAGGGATGGACAGAGGAAGCCATCAGGAGGGCAAGGAAAGAGGGAGAGGAACGCGTACCTGAGATCAAGAAGCAGAGAAACCTTGAAAGGTTGACGGACGTTGGAAGCAAGACGAGATTACTTCGCCCGCAGGGAGCGGCCGGCACTGGTCGAGGCATACAGGAGATTGGGCAAGGGTCTAGTGGTCAATCGATCACCCATCGCCAGCCATCCCGGTTCGACGCCGCCTCTACCAGCCAACAGGGTACTGCTGGCTCTCCACCCTTGGCTTCAAGTCTCTTCCTCTTCCCGCTGATCACTCGCCTACATTCCCACCTGAGCGACGCAGCCTCGCGTCTGTCAAGGGCGCGTTCCATCTCCTCCACCCTTACGAGCACATCGCTAGGTCTCACCACTCCGGACCTCTTCACTGCCTCGCCGCCCTTGCTTCTCCCGGCTATACTGGACACATTGTCCCTCCTGATCACGACGTACGTGAGAGAGCAACGACCTACACCCCTCGATGCGTACGGGGTTGTATTGCCGGAGATGCTCGACCTCGCCATGCACGTGGTGAGGGAGGGACTCCCCCTGCTCGCCTTTGCTGCGAGGGACGAAGTCGGACCTGGGAAGACCGATGCGTCGTCTGGCGAGAGTGGCAGCGGCAATGTCGTCACAGCCATTGCCTCCCTTCTCCTCACCACCCTCGACCTCGCCCTAGAGGCTCCTACAGGTGAAGCGTCCCGCCTGCTCGTGTCCACAGAGCGTGGAAGCGCCATATTGGAGGACGCGTTGCGCTTTGCTGCGGGGGTGTTTGAGACTGAGGATGGAAAGACCGCTGCTAACGGGTCAGGGGCAGGAGGGTCGGGGATCAGCAGAGTGGGAAGGATCTGCGCTGCGATTGTGGTGAGGATTGAGGAATTGAGAAGCAGGGAAAGGGAAAGGTGGCTGAGTGGGGTCAATGTGCGATGATAATGTAGCGGGCGCGATCAGGTCATTGGGACGCATTGGAATTATGTTATGAGTGACGAGAGAAAACAAGAGGCTGGGGCGCATGAAAGCCAAGTGAAAATAGATGATCTTCTCAAGAAGCAACGAGTCTGGAAGGAAGCGCACAGAGTCCCGCACTGGAATTGTCCTCCCACTTCTATGCTGCAGTGTGAGCATCACCCGCCATGTCATCACGAGGCGCTTCACCCTTAGCAGCATTGCTATGTTCTGCCTCTTTGACCGCAGATGTGTCCACAGCAGCGCTGCCGTCCGTCGGCTCTGCCATGTCCGCATCACCATCCTCTTTCGCCGGCTCAGAAATCTTTGTACCATCTTGACCATCAGCGTCGCTAGGTACGGGCAGCACTGCGACATCAGCTGGTGCGTGCGCCCCCGCTGCAGCCGCAGCCGCCACCTCGAGATCGTTCGTCGGCGCAGAGCTCTCAGCAGGAGCCGACAGAGCCTCATCGCTCGCGTCATGCTGCGCTGTCGCTATGTCTCCGCCTTCATTCTGCTTGAGATCTGGAACGCTCTTCTTCGAGGAGTCGGCCTCAACAGTCGCAGCACTGTCGCCCTGCTCTTTCGCCTCGTGACCACCGCTGCTGCTGTTGACTCTCTCGCCTGCGCCGTTGGACTTGCCTTGAAACTGCGACGACGACGACGCCTCCGTCCCTGCTTTGGCCTTCTTCGCAGACGATGGCGACGATGACGCCGCTGCACTCACGCTGCGACGCGGAGAAGGGGTCACCGCAGCCGCCGCCGCGCTCGCCTTGGCTCTTTGCGCAAGCAGTTGCGCTTGCTGCTTCTCCTTCTGCTGCTTCTCGAGGACCTCTTTGCACTGCGAGCGCGGAGGCGGATGGGGGTGTCTTGGTTAGCGGGAGAAGATCAGAACAAAAGCATGTGATGGAGCGCAGGACTTACCATGCCATCGAGCGCGCGACTGATAAGGTTCGGCGGCATGCTCATCAGGAGGCCATCGATGCGTTGCGAGAACTCGTCGCTCCCGCTACTGCTGGCGGCCTGGCTGGTGCTGCGAGCTTTGCCCTTTCCCTGCTTCTTGGACTGCGACTCGGACTCAATCATCTCCGGCTCTTCTTTCGCTGTCTCCCCGATCTTACCAGCGTACTCCTCCGCCAGCCCGAACAAGGCCAAGACAGCAAGAGAGAGATGCGTCTGATGACTAGAAAACTTTGACCTCTTTGCCGCCTTGGCCAGCTCCGACGTTCCACTCTCACCGGTTGCCAAACCCCAATTTGTGGCAGGAGCGCTCCTTTCTCCCCTCACCAGGCGACACAGAATCTCAATCTGACCTCGAGGAGTCTGAAGATACTCGCTGATGAACCTGCGGCGATCACGCCCTGTTCCGAGAACAGAGCGGGAAGACCAATCGGAAAAGACGTCCTGCATCGTCGGAGGCGGGTCCGGATCGAGAACGTACAGCTTGGAGGACCAGGCGTGCACTCCGTCAGCAGACGTCGACGAAGCAGCGGCCGGGGCGAAGCCAGCAATCGCGTACAACCACTCGTCGACGTCGCCCGTCTTGATCCATTTGGCCTCAGGTTGCGCGGAGAAGCGATCCAGGTGGATGATGAGGGTCGTCGTGCAAGTGATGAAATCAGCGTTGCCGCCATCGCCGCCACTATCCTTATTTGCGTCTTCTGCATTCGCCTCGCTCTTGATCTTCTCAGTCGCACCGTCGCGACGGTCGCCGCCATCACCGCTCGCCTCCATGCGGTGCAGCGGTGGTAGCGAACAGTACGACGCCGACGGGTCCGTCTCTGCTTGCCCTTCGCTCTGCATCACAGCATCTTGATCTCCGTCATCAAGAGTCTTCGAGGCAGCTTCGGAGTCATTGGCCCAAGCAAGCTCAAGATCGGATCGACTCTGCACCGCAAAGTTATCCGTCGTGTTCTCCCTTGCCTCAACCTGTACGTGCGCATGGAGGAAAGGCTCAATCAGTAGACGCTCATGTAGCTCTTCTTCTGCGCCTCGGTCAAACTCACCAACACTCCCTTCCAAGTCTGCCACTCCTTCACCTCTCTTTCCTTGGCATCCGAGACCTTCTTTCTCGCCCCGTCACTGGGCCTCGTCACCGTCACATCCACTTCCACCCTGCCTCGCGCACGATCGATCCGCACCTGCTCGACGACGGATACATCTATGCCCAGCCGCCTAACACTGCCAGCGCGAGAGCTGTAAGTGATCGTGAGTCGGTTTGCGGAGGACTGCGGGATAGCGGAGCTGAAAGGATTCCAGCCTTCCGAGTCTACGAGAGCGATTGACGACGGACCAGACTTCTGGCTGGGCTGTGCGCCCTCTATCGCGTCTTCTGCGACATTCTCCAAATCTGCCTCTGCTTTGACTGCCTTGGTCTGCGAATCTTCTGGAGCCGCCGAGTCTTTGGAAGCATGTGCCTGATTTTCGCCCTCCTTCTGTTGCGTAGCGCTGACCTCGCCCTCGACTGCTCCTTGCGAAGCGTCAGGATTAGCAGGCTGCGCTTTCGCCGCATCGCTAGCTCCTTCGCCCTCTTCTTCTTTGATACGAGTCATGTTCACGGACGCAGTGTCTTTCTCTGGAACGTCTGGAGCAGATGCAGGCTCACCGCTCGTGTCTTTGTTCGCCTCCGCTGTCTCATCCTCGGGGCCTTGCTCCGCTGCCGGCTGCTGCTGTGGTTGCTGCTGTTGCTTATTGCCCTTCCCTTTCTTCTTCTTTGGCTTGCGCTCCGCACTGGGACCAGTGGGGGCTCCAGCGGGAGGCTTGATGGCCGGAGAAGCAAAGCAGATGCGCAGCTTGCAGTTGGCGTCTTGCTGCTGACTGTTGTTGCCATTCTGCCGTCCTCGCTGCTGTTGTTTGTTGCGTTGAAATGCTGGCGCCCTTGGTGTGCGAGCGCGAGGCTCGTTGTTGGCGGTTGTGGTGGTTCCAGCCTCAGAAGCTGCTTCTGTTGCTGCATCGTCGTCGTCCTCGCCTTTCTCAGCTGCGTCATCGTCGTCCTCTTCATCGTTTGACTCATCATCGCTGCCTTCAGCAGCAGCAGCAGCAGCGGCGGCAGCAGCCGCCGCCTCCGCAGCGGCACGCTCCTCCTCTTCTGCCTGTGCCTCGGCCTCCTCTCTCGCAGCATTTGCAGCCCGCGCCTCGGCCAGATCCCATCTCCACTGAATGTCTGGAATCTCGATTCTTGTGATACGAAAGTCAGTAGATGTCTTCTTCGCCGGTGCGATCACGGGCGAATCAGATGCGGTGCTGCCTGCGCGGACAGTCTGGGCGGCCGGAAGCTTGTTGCGGGAGGACGAAGCCGGTGCAGAGGGGAGTGTCGGCGTGCCATGTCTACTGGAAGGGGCAGAGCTTCCGCTGGGACCAGAGGGAGCTTTGATTCCGCCACTGCCGGGGATGACGCTCTGTTGGGGGAGGTTGAAGCGATTCTTGTTGCCTGTAGGGATCGAGTTCTGCGAGCTGAAACCGCCTCGACTGGAGCTGGACGAGCGTGAGGCGTTGCCGCCACCACGACTGGGTCCGCTTGGGGCAGACATCATTGCGCCTCCTCGACCTGATCCGGGCATATGCGCGCCGCCGCGCCCTCGCCCAGTTGGGCCGGCTTGCTGGTGGCCCATCTGCTGCTGTTGCTGGGGACCTTGCATGTGCTGAGGGGGGCGAGCAGCCGCAAAACCGCCCATTGGTCCTCCTCTTCCGGGACCTCCAGTCGCCCCTCCTCGCGGCGGGCCAGTCATGGGTCGAGGGGGTAGGCCTGCGGGCGCTGCGCCCTGTGCGCCTGGCCAGCCAAAAGATGATGAGGGAGAGTTGTTGATGTTGAATTGATTGGGGTCAACTTGTTGCTGCTGCTGCTGCATCTGCATAGACTGAGCAGGGTAGGTCTGCGGTCCAGCGAAGGGCGCGGGGGCAGCATCGAAGCGTTGACGCTTGGCTGGAGGTGGGGTGGGGCCAGGCTGACCGCCAGGGTAGAAGCCTTGCTGAGGGGGCTGTTGCTGATGTTGTGGTGCATAATGAGGATTGATGTGTGGTCTAGGTGCGGGAGGTGCAGGCGCTGCATTGTATGGAGCTGGTTGTTGAGGATATCCTGCATATGGCTGGCCGTACTGGACCTGAGTCTGCTGATTGTATGCAGGCGGTCTTGCCTGGCCAGGCTGAGGATACTGCGGCCCCGCTTGCTGCTGATAAGGCTGCTGAGGATACTGCTGCTGCGGTTGAGGCTGCTGTTGAGGGTATTGAGGTCCGGCAAATTGCTGTTGAGGCTGCTGCTGCTGCTGCTGCTGCTGCTGTTGAGCAAGTTGAGGAGCAGTTTGTCCTGCTCCCCCTGCGGCTGCCGCTGCTGCCTGCTGGGCATAATATTGCTGCCATTGCTGATGCCACTGAGCTTGCTGCTCTTCGTTGGTCATAGGCTTGGCCGGCTGCTGCTGCTGCTGTTGTTGTTGTTGCTGAGCAGCTGTCCCGCCATAGCCGTAGTTAGAATAGTCGATTGGGCCAGCGATAGCAGGAGTCGCTTGGCCTGGCTGAGGAGTGGCCGGCGTGGCAGAGGACCCCGGCCCTGTGTAAGGGTAAGGTCTGCATTGGCGAAGACGGAAGACGGATGTCAGCTATGCGCAGAGCACGTTGCCTTGATTGCGCTCACCTCTTCATGATACCACGGTCGGGAAGATGTATGTGGATGTAGGATAAGAAGGCCATCGATCCGCATCTTGCGCGTCGAGCGGACGAGGTCGAAAACGCTGTGGTCTACTCTAGTTCCGCCCGTTGACCCAGAGTCACGCCGACGAAAGGGAAAGTCGGCTACGGCCACTCAGCTCCACTCTTCCTTCCTCACCCTCACGTTCTCTTCCAGCCGGCTAGCATGTATAACGGCATTGGCCTCGCCACGCCGAGAGGCTCGTGAGTAGCAGCAGTCAATGATTCATCCGCATCCTCGTCCATCCACTAACCTACCCCGTTCCTCCACCCAGCGGCACCTCCGGCTACATCACAAAGAATGTCTCGCACTATCGCCCGCGCGAAGACTACCGCAATGTCCAGGAGAAACCCACCCTCAACCGCCAGCCAGATGCAGGCATTCTCGAGCATGATCGCAAGAGGCGCGTAGAGGTGAAATGCATGGAGCTGCGCGACCAGCTCGAGGATCGCGGCCTGCCCGACGCAGAGATCGAGCAACAAGTTGGGGAGCTGAGGAAGAGCTTGCTTGCTGCTTCGCAAGGACCGGGGCCAGCGAGGGGTGGGCCGAGTCATCAAGAGATCAAGAATCTCCGCCCTTCAGACGTACACGCCCGCGGTGTAGCTAAGCAGAGGGAAGTCGAGTCCTTTGGCCGGGCGTTGCGCATCGATCCCGAATATCAGGAGGGTCAAGCTTGGGACAAGGAGCTACAGGAGCGGCGCAAGCAGGAGAGATTTGAGGCAAAGAGACGCAAGCTGGAAGAAGAGGAGGAGCGAAAGCGCGAGTGGGCAGAGAAGCGTGAGAGATTGGCGAGGGAGAGGGATGAGTTTGAGAGGGAGATGAGGAGAAATCGCGAAGAGAGGGGCAGGAGAGGATACGAGAATGAGGAGCGCAGAGACGCCAGAGATGGACCGCCGGGCAAGAGGCCACGCCGCTCTCCTTCGCCTGCACCGAGAAGCGGACGGCGCTACGACAGCGCCTCTCGTTCGCCTTCCCCACCTCCACGACGCCGCCGATCAGACGACGAGGACGACCGAGACTACCGTCGTCGCTCCCTTTCTCCACCGCCTCGTCGACGACAGCCCAGCTTCACTCCCTCCGACGATAGTCGCGGTCGCGGCCCGGGTCGTGGACGCAGAGACAGCTACTCGAGCCGAGGACGCAGCTACAGCTACAGTCGCAGTCGCAGCCGGAGCTATAGCCGATCACCAAGCCGCAGTCGCAGCCCTCCACCAGACGGTCGCCGTCGTCGCACTCCACTCAGCGAGGCCAGTCGCTCGCCCTCGCCTCCTTCCGGACGTCGTGAAGCACCGCCGCCGCGAAGACAGCGCAGGGACTCTCGTGATGCAAGCCTTAGCGAGAGTAGGAGCTCCTCGTTGCCCCCTTCTCCTCGCCGTCGTGCTGCGGAAGAGGATGCGAGGAGGAGTGGTCGTGGCGCGAGACGAGATGATAGCAGGGGAAGGAGCAGAAGCCGGAGCAGGAGCGTCGATAGTAGTAGTAGCTACTCTGGTAGCAGTCGCTCGAGTAGGAGCCCTTCGCCTCGACGTTGAAGAAGCTCAAGAGCAGGACGAAGCTTGTTTCCGACTATCAATGATCATCATATCCAATCGCAGAAGCTTCAGGTAGACCAGACTGCAACTCATCTCTCTCACTCTTCTTGGCCTGTTCCTTCGCACCTGGTTCTCGAGGAAAAGACTTGGCATTGACGTTTTCATGTTACGCACAGACTTGTTGATAGATTATCGAGACACAAAAAGAGAGCGGAAGGTAAAAGGAGCGAGGAGCAACATTTGGGCGTGAACGAAGGACGTTCGGTAGTCGAGCCTGCTCGACTGAATTTGAAGACCAAGGGGGGGGGGGGGGGGGGGGGGGGGTTGGTGCTGAGGAGGGGTAGTCTAGGTGAGGGAGTGTTGCTGAGCTGATGCTGAGTCTTGTTCATTAGGGAAGGTAGTACCCCAGTGCTTGATGCCAATCGTGCTGGCCTAGGGGAGCTCAGGCGGGCGATTGAAGATAGAATCGGCTCCAGTGTAGAGGAGGAGGTCTACCAGCCCTGCACCGACGAGGCCGCCAAGAATATTGGCTGCCCAGATGCCGTGGAGCCTGTCGCGGCACGCGAGAGAGCAAGAGAGGTTAGCTTGGCAATCGTGAGCGGTGGTGCTGAGTCGCGGTGATCGAGCTCACCAGTAGCCCGAGTTATGCCCAAATAGGTCCTTGATTGGGTAGCCCAGAGTAGCGAGCGCTAGCCTAGGTCCAAAGTCCCTAGCCGGATTGATGGCCGCGCCAGTCTGAGCACCGACACCGTTGGCGATGGCGAGGAGCAAGAAGAAGATGGCAAAGGCCAGTGCGTGGCCAGGCAGAGCTGGGTTGGTAAAGGCAAAGATACCGCCTACGAGGAGAGCCGTGCCGAGGAACTCGTCGTGGAAGGCTGACCAGAGAGAGATGCCCGGAGCGGGGATGCTGATGAAATTGCCTGCTGTGGCGTTGGTGCCGAAGACTGCGCGGCCACCGTTGGGCTCGAAGTGGTCGATGGCCTCGCTGTAGTTGGTGTAGATGATCCAAGCGGCGATGAAGCATCCGAGAGTCTGAGCGAGGAGGTAGCCGGGCACCTAGGTGGGCGAGCAAGAGGGAAGGATCAGGGTGAGTGTGAGTGTGAGTGGCGAGGCACAAGTGGCAAGGTGACGCCAGCGGCGATGAGTAGGGCTCACCTTCCTCAGAGGGAAGCGACGGAAGACGGCTTGAGCGATGGTGACTGCCGGGTTGATGTGGCCGCCACTGATGGGTCCGGCTACGTAGGCACCGAGGCCGACACCGATGGCCCACCCTGGCGTGCAAGGAGGGGTAGAACAGGGATGAAATGGATCAGTGGGTGAACATTCGGTCATGACGCTCGTCCCATCTCGTGCCCACCAAGGTGAGCGGTCAGCACATCGCCGGCGCCGTAAAGCTGAAGCTGAAGGCTTGCACCCGACCCAAAGAGAACGATTGTACCGGCTCCAATAGCCTCGGCTACGTAGTCACCCCAGTTGGCCTTGAAGCGCTGGAAGACGGTAGGAGGAGACGAAGGGGGAGCAGAGTCGGCACCGGTTTCGGGGTCCATGTTGACGACTACGGTGGTGGTGGTGATTGTGGTGTTGGTTGTGACAAGGTCGGCGGGAGAAGGTGGGCGACTCGAGGTGAGAGAGACCAGGAGAACGACGCTTGTGTTGTCGTGATTGGGGCTAGAGAGAGAGGTTGAGGAAGACGTCGTGGTGGTAAGGAAGGGAGAGGGCAGTAGAGGTTGGTCAGGAGGGAAGGGAGGCAAGGATGCAACGAGGGCGAGCGCGGCCTTTTGGTTTGCTCTGTTGCTCTTTTGCTCTTTTGCTCTTTTGCTCTGGCTCTCCTTGCCTGTCATCGCGTCGCTTCATTCGAAGGCTGGTGGGTCAGATCGAGTCGAGGGCCAGGGCTACGCCGTCAGCGGCAAGACAGGCTCGCTTGACGTGGCGCGAGTGAAGAGCGAGGGCGGCGTAGGATTGCCCTCAAGGCGGAGGCAAGCAACGAAGCCGACTTGTTCATTGCGCTCAACGCCGCTGGTTCTGTTCATGACCTTGGCGCTCAGGCGCGGTTGGGACTGCTAGAGGATCGCTGCTCGTCCTGCTCATGACTATGTTCGTCAGTACCGGAGGTGATGTAGGGCAACCTCACTTCACTGACAGCTTCCTTTGCCGCACGGTGAGGCGTATGGCTTGATTTGGCGCCAAACCCCCTCCTCCTGTTGGCAACTTGAGCGTGCGCGATTCCCGCTTGCGTGGGCCGGCCAATGTCACCGATATTGAAGTCTGTCTTTTGAGGTCGAGGGCGTGCAGCGCGCGAGCGAGCTTCCACAACCTGCTTCTTCTAGAGGACGCCTACTTCCAGCCCGGAAAAATGGATCCGGATTCGTGACATCCGTCAGGATCATCGCCATCGCCGTCGATGTGCGGTGAGCTTACCGTCCAATTTCAATGGAAACAGAAGCGCAGTCTGTTACTGAGCAACGCAGGCAACCAACGGCGCTCAAGTTCGGGGCAGCCGATTCGGCACGCGGCCTCCGGCGTGCGAGGGAGATTTCACCGCTCAGCGAAACGAGGCGACGACGAAAGTGTCAGACAGGAGCGGTCAAGCGGCACTCCTGCAGCACCCAGCACCTCCACGCACGCTGCCTGGATGCACGGACGCAACCTCAGCCTGCCCGGCCTTTGAGATTTGCCTACATTAACCCAAGAATTCGCAACGGTCATTCTGGTCTAGCCCTCCTCTTTCATCTCTTGTCCCCACACCATATCTCAGACTATACGCCTTCAACATGCCGCAGACGCTCTCTGCAATGTACGCCGAGCTCTTCCCGGGCAAGAAGTCCGGATGGAACCCTTCGGACATGCCCCCTCTCACAGGCAAGGTCGCTGTAGTCACGGGAGGATACACTGGCATCGGCCTTGAAACAGTGCACGCCCTGCTGCAACATGATGCTGCCAAGGTCATCGTCGCGGGGCGCAGCCAAACGAAATACGATGAGGCAGTCAAGAAGTTGGAGGCCAGGGGAGACGTCAGCGGGACGTTGAACAGAATGGAGTTCCTTGAGCTTGACTTGGCTAGCTTGAAGGGCATTCAGAAGGCAGGCAAGGAGCTCCATGGGAAGACTGATAAGTTGCACATGCTCTTTGCTAGCGCTGGAGTCATGGTCCCTCCCGTGAGTAGGCGCGCGAGCTCGAGATGCTGCAGGCTTGCAACTCCTCGCTCACTCATCCACCCATCACAATGTCTTCCCACTCTCTCAGCTCGGCTCCCGCTCGGCAGACGACATTGAGCTCCAATTGGCCACCAACACGCTCGGACACCACTACCTCATCCAGCTCTCCCTACCTCTTCTTCTCGCCGCCCGCTCCAAGGACTTCTCACCTCGAGTCTGTCTCACCTCCTCTTCAGGTCACAACGCCATCATGGGTCCCCCTGCCTTCAGCAAGGCCGATCCCGAGATCAAAAATCGCGGCAAGGCGTGGTATCTGCCCTCCGACACGCGTCGTCAACTCCTGTACGGCAACTCCAAGATGGGCAACATCCTCACTGCAAACAAGTTCCACCGCCTCTATGCTTCACAGGGCCTCGTCTTTGCGTCGTGCAACCCGGGAAACCTCAAGACGGAGCTAGCCAGACACGTCCCCTCGCTGACCAAGAGGATGATCCAGTTCCTTCTCTTTCCCCCCGAGTACGGAGCGCTCAATCAGCTGTACATCTGCACGAGTCAGGATGGGGAGAAGTTGGGCGGACAATACGTTGCGCCGTGGACTAGAGTGGTCAGTCCCTCCCACGAGGCGAAGGACCAGAAGAGCGAGGATGAGTTGTACGAGTGGTGCGAGGAGACGATTAAGAGGGTGGTCGGATAGAGGGGGGCGTGGCGGGCCTTCAGTCGCGGCTTCGCGGCGAATTTTCTTTGTTCCTTTCGATACTACTGCAGTCTTTTCGATACCAATCGTGAGCTAATTATGCGTGATGAGAAGGCAAAAGGCCATCCGTCTTCGTAGCCGGGGTTAGCAACATCGCTGTGCTTGAATGGAGGGAGGTCACACGAGCTGTCACTCCTGCAGCTAGGCGTTTAGGGCCATCTCCTCCCTTTCGCTGTGGGACCAACGCTGCAACTGTCGACAGCATCTGGTGAGAAGCAGAGGATACGTTGCCGTCGTAGTGATCACGTTATCACTGCCCTTGTCGATGGTATCGCCTCCACTGCCCCGCAGTCAATCGGCGAATTCCGTACCTGAGCGTGGGGTCGGAGTAGCCGGTTGGATTGAACTAACTTGTCTTGGGCTGCTGGGCGCGGACGCGGATCTCACGCCGAGCCAAATTCTCTCGTGCGCCGTGCGGACAAGTCAGGCTCGGCGTTAGCTCCGCGAAGTCCAGAACAGGAAGAAAATAGTCTTCACGACTAGCCATCACTTGCTGCAAGGCCAAGAAGGAGTGAGCCATCGTCGCAGCGCTGCAGAGACTCGAAGAGGACGTGGACGTGGACGTGGACTCATCACCCTCGTATCTCCTTCCTTCCCCGCATTTCCCCTTCATCGACTCGCATCACGTCGCGTGACTTCTCCTCTGCCTTCATCGACGTTTCTCCCACTTCTTGATTCTCTTCTTCTCTTCCCTCCTTCAACCTCTCCCTCGGCGTCCGCAGCGCCAGCTCATCATGGTCGCCTCCTCTCACCCGTCGACGCCCCAGGAGCGCCCCATCGATGATGAAGCTCCTCATCACACCCACTCTGTCGACTCCCATCGCCCACATGATGTCTTCGCCCCCGCCGAGGGGGGCATCAACTTCCGCACCCTCACCTGGCCTCATGCAAGCGTAATCGTTGCCAAGCTGCAAATCGGTATCGGTATTCTGGGCATTCCAGGGACGTTCGATACGCTAGGCTTTGCGCCCGGCCTTATCTCGCTCCTCATCATCTGCATGATCACAACGTACTGCGGTCTGCTGGCTGGTCGGATTAGGTTGATCCACCCTGAGCTGCACAGCGCTCAAGACCTTGGATCCCTTTTCTTTGGCGGCTCGCGCATCGGCATGGCTCTATTCGGATTCTTCTACTGGGTGCTTCTCGTCATGATCGCCGGCTCAGGTATCCTCTCCACCACCATCGCCTTGAACGCCATTTCCTCCCACGCTCTCTGCACCATGGCTTTCGCCGGGATCGTAGTGGCCGCCTGCCTCCTCATCGGTGGAGGATGCCGTCAGCTGATGAAGGTTGCCTGGCTAGGCTGGGCAGGCATCATCTGCGTCATGATCTCCATCTGGACCTTGACCATCGCCATGCTCACCAAGGACTACCCCATGGCCAGCCTTGGCCAGACGGGACGCGTGCAGGTCAAAGCGGGAAACAGTAGCTCGACGTTTGCAGAAGCCATGTCTGCCGTTACGACCCAGCTGTTTGCTATTCTGGGGAATGTGGCCTTCTATTCCATCTCAGCAGAGATGAAGCGACCGAGAGAATTCGAAAAGGCGGTCTACGTCGGACAGCTCTTCGTAATCGCAAACTACATCATCGTGGGATGCATCGTCTACGGCAAGGCGGGGCAGTTCCTCACCTCTCCTGCCCTCGGGTCGGCAGGACCGCTCATCAAGAAGATCTGCTACGGTTTCTCGCTCCCCGCAGTACTGATTACGGCGATTATGTACTCTCACTTGGCCACCAAGCAGGTCTTTGTGACTGCCTTGCGCTCCTCTCGCCACTTGACCACGCCCACTGTTATCCACTGGGGAGTGTGGATTGGCTCGACGATTCTGGCCGTTGCCATCGGCTTCGTTCTTGCGGCATCCATCCCGGTGTTCGACGATCTGCTCAGCCTTATCGGCGCCACTGTGGGGTGCTTCTTCTCGATCGTCGTCGGAGGCATGACGCTGCTCTACATGGTCAGCCACGAGGACACGCAAGGCAGCGTTGCAGGAGACGACAGCAGCAGCAGCAGCGGTGAGGGTGCAGAGGCGGAAAAAGCTGTTGTTGATAGTCAGGCGCAACAGGGCAAGGCAGGCCAGACAGCAGCGAGGGTAACGTCACGAGCGCATGTAGCGCCGAGCTTGGGAGCAGACCGAGCCTGGCTCGTACGAGCCTACCTGGTCGCCTTCAAGTCGCACACCACGACGAGAAGCCGCAAGGTGCGTTTCGGCCTCGGTGTACTGCTGCTGATGATCGGCGGCTTCATCATTGTCGGTGGAACGTACGGCGCTGCCGTGTCCATCTCGAACGCGTACAGCTCAGGAGCCGTCCAGCAAGCCTTCAGCTGTGCGGACAATTCGGTCTGATGGCGGGCGCTCTCTTCTCTGTTTCAATGTATTCGTAGTCAGCATAGCATCGTAGAATGTATGGAAAGGACTGTGATCATCATCCGCGCGAGCAGACTGTGTGGCGGTAACACATTCTCGCCGCTTTGTCAAGGTGTACAAAGCAAATTGATGATCGTAGATGAAGATGACAAGCTGCGTGGCTACGAATTTGCGTGGCGGCGTACAATGCTGGTCGAAAGCTGCGGAGATGGAGAGTCATCACCATGACCGCCTCTGGATCGTCGGTATCCCAGTTCGGATTACCCAGTGGTGCTGCGAGAACCTGCTCGCCTTCCCTCTTTCCCTCGCCTGTCCGCTCACAAGATCAAGCACTTCCTGTCCTTCCCACTACCCCCGCCGGCGCCTCCTCCGCCTCTTCTCCTGCTCCATCTCTTCTTGGTTGCCTCCCGCAACGCTGCATCAAATACCTCCTGCACTCCCTGCTTAGTCCTCGCGCTACATTCGACGTATCTGGCCGCTCCAATCTCCTTTGCCACTGCTGCTCCTTGCTCTGGTGAGACTGGGCGCAAACCTTGTGCTGACAGCATCGAGTTGGAGTGCGGGTCATTGCGCAAGTCTGTCTTGAGGCCGACTAGGAGGATTGGAACTGGTGGTGCGAGCAGACGAGCGGAGAGGGCCGGTCAGTGCGGCCGAGCAGGGGTGGATCGTCTCGCCGCTCGCAGACTCACCTCCTTCGCAGAAGTGATTGATCTCCGGGTACCACTGCAGGGATGAGATAGCATCTAGTCAGCCTCTGCGCCCTCGCCAGCATTATCGCGCCTCTCAAAGCTCTTCCCTCCTGCGCCTCACCTTATCCTGCACATTCGCCAGACTAGTCGGGAAGTCCACTGCAAAGCAAATGAGGATGATATCGCTTTCCGGATAGCTCAATGGTCGCAGCCTATCGTACTCTTCCTGTCCTGCTGTGTCCCATAGCGCGAGCTCGATCGTCTTGCCCTCGAAGCGTACGATGGGTACATAGTTCTCAAAGACGGTCGGAATGTACGTCTCTGGGAAGCGATTCTCCGAGTAGACGATCTGCGAAGGCGAGGCAAGGGGAAAAGCAGGTCAGCGATGCATGCTCCTGGCGCCATGCTGAGATCACCCGGTTGCCATGTACCCACCAAGAGGCAGGTCTTGCCGCATCCACCATCTCCCACAACTACCAGCTTCTTCTTTGCATCGATGTGCGGTCTGCCAGGCTGCGTGGGCAACCCGGACGAGGGTCCCTGGCCGGGGGGCGCCGAGTTGAGACTGCTCTGTGTGTTGAAGGAGCTCTGCATGTGCGCAGACGGGTGGGCGGATGTGTCGTAGGATGAATGGAGGAAGAATGAGGCAAGTCAAGGCAAGGCAACGGAATGAGGGATTGGATGGACTGGTGGAGGTGATGGTCGTCGTGGTAGAGAAGTGAGGTGCCCCTCGCTCCCCGCCGCCTGCCGCTCGGACATCGAGAAGTCAAGCGAGCGGGCGATGGCTGGTCGAGGCAAAGCAACACCAAGCTCGAGCCAAACGCGTGCATTCGTCGCGTGGCGTCGGCCTGAGGCGCGGGAGGCGGACAGAGGTGCAGAGGGCGGAAGTAGCACGAGGTAAGCCACGCTACGACGGATGGTCCACTCTTTCATTCAGTACTACCGCAAGCATTTCGACGACGACGACGACGATGGAGGGTCGGGGTAACGAGTCTCGAGGAAGGTAAGTCAGGTATTCAGCAGCTGCCATCTCTTACCGCTTCAGCTGACTTCCGATCCATTCGAAACCTCAGCTCCTCGCGGCTCACCCTCGACGACCTCGAGCGCATAGAGGCAGCACAGCAGCAGCGGAGCAACGAAGCCTTCGACGACTACAGGCGGCTAGCATCCGGGCTCAGGGAGGCAGCAAAAGAGAAAGAAGAGCTTTACAGCAAGGTCGTCAGCTCATCGAAAAGAGCAGAGCAGGCTACCGCTCAAGAAGCCATAGCCACCACCAAGCTCAGCAACGCCCAGCAGTCTCTTTCCTCCGTTCGCGCAGAAGTTGAAGCGCTTCGAGCGCGCAACAAAGAGCTAGAAGCGCACCTCTGCAGCGTCAAGGCCGAGCACGAGAAGGAGCGTGAGACATGGAAGCGCTTCAGGGAGTGGTGGAACGGTACACTGGCCGCCAATGAGGCAAAGGCATCGTCCTCGGGCAAGAAACCGCGAATCGACGATCGAGGCAAAGCCCTGTTGCACGAGGTGGGCCTGGCTACACCTCGGCAGCGAGCAGACCAGGACGACGGCAGCAGTAGCGACGCATCGCATAGAGAGGCACCAGCGTCGAGATTGAGCAGCGGGCCAAGCGCCGCCGCTCCTACGACCAAGACTAGAGAAGCTGCCAGCGGTCGTACTTCTGCGTCCGCGATGGCAACTCCGAGAACACCGCAGAGACACGGGATCAGGGAGTCGACAAATGCGCAGCGAGGCTCAGCGCTGAATCCGAATGCTCGCGCGACCGCATCCACCACAAGGCAAAGGCCACTGGAGGCAGCTGCAGGTGTTCAATCTACCTCCATCCGTCCTCAGCAGGGCACCACTAAAGATGGTCAAGCAGGTCAGGCAAGAGCCCTTCATAAGGAACCAACTCACGGTCTTCAGCCACCTGCTGAATCATCAAATGATAAGGCTGCTTCAGCTCATGGCTCAGCAGAATCACCACCCGCCCTTCCGACTCGCGATTCCTCAGCAGGGCAAGCGAAGAAAGTCCGTGCTCCTGCTCACATCGAGAATTCGGACACGCGAGTACGCGATTGGCTCAGCAGCTCGCGAGAAACGCCTATCTCAGCCGTTGCCGCTGAAGAGATTGCCGTTGCTCGTGCCGCTATTGCATCCCCGAAGGTCGGCCCTTCAACTTCTAGTCGAACTCTCGCCGACAAAGTCAGCTCACCGCTGCAGCCCCCTCAGTCTCAAGCCCACGCTCCACGAAAACATTCAGAGTCGACGAGCAAAGCTGCCTTGCAGCGCCGCTCTCACTCGCCGCAGCTGCAGGGATCCATTCTCCCGCCTCGTCAAGTCCTTAATCCCATCTCTGCTCCTAACTCGCAAGAAGAGCCCGCTCCTCCTCTGGCCGGCGCAAGGGAAAAGGTCATGTCGCCCCCTTCGGCTCCTCTCCGTCGCTCGAGCAAGACGCCACAACCGCGACCCAGCCAGCGTCCTTCTGGTCCCGCGCAAGGCTGCGCGTCTTCGAGCCAAGAAGTTCTGTGGAGCGATCCGCCCGCCACAAGCCGCAGCCAGCTCCCCATCGTCAAGGCCGAGAGCGACGACGAGGCCGAAAGAGAGGTGGCACTCACGCGCGTGCCGACGAGGCGCCGATCGATGGAAGATGAGGGTGACAAGGACGCGGCTAGTAGCGAGGAGCAGCAGGACATGCGTGCAGGTCGTTCGAGGGAGGAAGATGCAAGCGCAGAGAAGCTCCTCCGCGAGCGCCGTCGCGCTGAACTCGCTGAGCTCGCCCGCGACCCTACTACATATCGACTGCACAGACGTCAGGCGCTAGGGCGATACGCCTCAGAATGGTCACCTCGCCATCTTCCCTCTGCCGTGTCCACCGCGACGACTCCAGCGCGCGGCAACATCTCCTCCGTCTATCAGCTCGTTCCCGAGCTCAACGGCGGGCTAGATCACGAGCACGTCTCCGTCGCGCGTGATAAGGAGACGAGGAGCAGGATGCACGCGTACGATTGTCCGTGCTGTAAGGGTTATTGGGATATCACGCTGAGGCAGGAGGAAGAGAGAGCGGATGCTACGGCAGCTGGCGAGGGTGAGGCGGAGGCAAATAAGGCGAAAAAGAGACCAAGACATTCCGAGCCGTCACGCAAGACGGGCGCCGACGTGTTTGAGGAGATGAGAGCTCTCGGTCGCGCAGAAGCAGCAGGGATCGCCTCGACTACCCGCCGCACCACAGGTGACCCCTACGAAGAGAATCTAGAGCAAACTCGACTAGCGCAGGAGCGTCGCAAGGCCCTGCAGAAAGCCGGCCGCCATCGTGCGTGGGGTGGTCCTCCTGCTACGCCCGAGGGCTACTGGGAGATTGGTTTCCCTAGCACGCCGCGGCAGGAGCAGATCAACGAGGCTGCTGAGAGGGAGAGGGAGAGAAGGTGGAGGGAGGTGGAGGGTGATCCTAGGTACAGGAAGAGAAGGAGGGCTTGAGTGGGCGGGTCAGCAGAGGTCAGGAGCCTAGCATAGGCGATAATACCATTGTCTTAAGCGTCAGAGATCAAGCTGCGATTAATCCATGTCAGTTAATCAGAAGATCCTCGCGCTGCCGCCGCTCCTCATGGTCTCTACTTGTGATGAATTGGATATGAATGTACAGATGAAAAGACCAGGCGGTCTCGTCGCGGTCATGCTTCTTTGTTTGTCACCGTCATCCCGTCTCTTTCTCCGACGAAGAGGCTGGTCTTTCTCATCGCCTGGCTGACGTGCTACTGCTTCCTGCAGCAGTGTCGCCCTGTCCGCTGCTCCCTGACCCCCCTCCACTCGTCTCGAATCCCCTCTCCCTCAACACCTCATCTCTTCTCCTCCTCTCTATCTCCAGCACATCAGCATCCACGTCAGCGCGTGAAGCCTCCAATCGCGCATGCTCAGGTCGTACACGAGACTCGAGGAGGAGCTGCTTACGGCTGAGCTCTGCTTCGATTCGAGCGCGCATCCGATAGAGGGAGGCGCGCAGAGGTGCGGTGTATGACGTGGGAGCAGTGGACGAAGAGGATGAGGGGGTGGCAGCATTCGTGGTGCTGCTCTTCGGCTTGCGACCCCTCTTCTTTCCAGAATAGGCGGAGCCGCTTGCTGCCGGAGGAGCGCCACGGCCGCGAGGAGGGCGACGGCCATCGTCTGGATCTTCGTCGCCGTTGCCTGATCCACCGCCGGGGCCTGAAGGGACGGCGCTGCCGTTGCCGCTGCTACTGCCTGCATTGATGGGTGCAGAAGCAGCTTGGCTGCCTGACGGCGCTTCATTGCCGCCGTTGGAGCCGCTCGAGCCAGAGGGGCCCGGCTGCTGAGTCGAGGGATCGGCATCTCGTTGCTCTTGCTGAGCTGCGTGCTGCGGCTGAAGCTGCCCGTCCGGCATGGAGACCCAGAGCTGGCGCGGCTTCCATTGCGTGGGCAAAGGCTTAGTGGCGGGTGCAGACGGCGATGACACCGACGCCATGGCGGCAGCAGAAGGGCCTGACTGCTTTTGCTTTCTTCGCCGCGCTGCAAACCGACTTCGAGAAGGCTTCCTTGCATCCTTCCTGACATCTGACTTGCGTAGACGGTGTGTGACGAGGGATGGCAGGGGAACAATGCGTCGTCCTACACTTGGTTTGCGGAGCCTTGCCAGGTCTCGCCCTGCGCGTCGGTACAGGACATAGGCTTCTGGAACAAGCAAGACTCGAAGGGCCTCTGCTTGACTTCGTGTCCTGACAGCATTTGGTAGGGTCAGCGGTGCGAGACGGTCATGCAGCGGCTCGGGTCGGCAGACTTTGACGAGTGAGCGGCCAGCGGTTTGGTAGATGGCGAGCGCCTGAGGAACTGGTCCGATGGGCCTGGAAGTCAGGCCGGGGCACGTGGGCTCGGGCTGAGGCAGTGTAGGCTGACCATGGCTCTGTTGTCCCTCTGCTTCGGCTGGCTGCGGTGGTGGCAGGCCTGGCGAGACCGCCTTCAAGTCGGATGGGGTACGATGCGAACAGGGGTCGAAGCAAGGCGAAAGCAGTGCCGACCCGTGGGGAGGCAGCTGGTCTTCAGGTATTGGCGGCGAGGGTGAGGAGCCCTGGATAGCGGATGACGAGATGGATGCTGACATTTCCGGTAAGACCAGTGAATCCGAGGTCTTCATCGGCGCCTCATGGGAGGTTGCGGCTCCAGTCGACTTCTTTGCTAGGCTGCGTCCCCGAACCAGCCCTCTCCCCGCAGCTTGCGCCGACACGAGGTCCTCCCTAGTAGGCACGACCAGGTAGTCCAAGTGACCGAAGCGAACGATACGCTCGACGATGGCGCGCGGGGCATTGGCTAGCGTCAACTGTCCCGGGACCAGTCGATGGCCCTTTCCAGGTCCCCCATTGGCGAGCCTTTTGGTAGCAGACTTGACCGCTTGCTTCTTCTTTCCCTGCGGAGCATTCTCATTGCCCGCCTTGACTCGCGTCCTGCCCTTCTCTTCTCCGGCTTGGCTGCCCCTGTCAGTGACAGGACGTCGGATTATGCTCTTGACGGCTGAAGTCTCCTGCGTGGCCTCCGAGGGTGAAAAGTCGGTGACAGCTGATATTTGTGGCCGAGCGTCCAAGGCATCGTCGGGGAGGAGAGGCAAATCATCGTTGACGAGCAAAGGAGGTGGGGCAGCTTCGAAAGGTACAGCAAGCGACACGGCATCGTCCCCGTTTAATTGCGTGGGCGTCACAGCTCTGCAAGGTGTTGATCCACATCGTGGCGTTGTTGCAGGGGTTTGCGCAGGCGACAGCCAGTTAGAAAGTAGGTTCTCGTGTGGTACTAGTTCTGACGCGTTCTCTTGGTGGACGGGGCTGATCTGTTGCATCGCGTCAGAGCTGGGAGAAGGGGCTGCTTCGAGCGCAGGAGTGCTCGACTGCGCCCTGCTCGGTGACCTTCCGGCGCAGCCTATGCTCTCGTCTTGATCAGGCGTTCTCCGCATCGGCATTGACTGCACGGCATCCGTCTCACTTTCCTCGCTGCCCCTGCTGCCCCTGTCAGCAAGCCAAGGCACCAGGGCTCCCGACGCTGCAGCAGCAGCTGCTGCTGCCTCTTCTTCTGAGGAGTCGATCGTCACGTCCGGAAGTCTCTTGCAGTTCGTCGAGGCGGTGATAAGAGGTCGTATAGGAGAGGCTGACGCCACTCTTCGTGAATCTCCGCCTTCCTCCGGCTCGGATTCCGAAGATGACGTGTACACAATGGTGCGGCGAGGGGCGCGTACACGAGCCGTAATGGCAGAATCCGAGGCTCTGCGTGGAGGAGCACGAGGACGAGGGGGGCTGTCTTTGGATGCGAGGAGGGTTGGCGCCGCTCTCAAGGGCATACTGAATCCATCCTCATCTGAGCTGACCCGATCCACGTAGACGGCCGAAACCGATGCTCGACGACGCTCTCTACCTGTAGGAGATCTCTGCAAAACGACGACTTCTCCCTGCAACTCCGATGACTCTGGGATTGCTGGGTCAGGCTGCGCCTTGCGCGGACGTCCGGTTCTTCGCTGAGGAATGGCTGATGCCCGTGCCGCTGCTTGCTCTGCGGGTGAGCGATTCTTGGAACCAAGCGGACGAGCGCGCTTTCGCTTCGGCGGCGCTACGTCTGGACCAGCAGTCTCGCTGGTCGTGTCGACCGGTGTGGAAGAGAAGGGAGCGGTCGGGACAGCCGATGCCGATGCCACGGTGTCCTCGAGAGGCTGGCCAGGCGCTGGAATAGATGCGTCTTGTCGCTGCTGCTTCGTCGCAAGTACTTTGACAGCTGCTGCGCCTTTGCCTGGGCCTCGGTACTCGCCTGCAGGCTGTGACGATGATGCTGCGATAGCGTCGCGTAGAGACATTTGGCTGCTGCTTTGCTCCTTGCGAGGTCGCCCTGGCTTACGCTTGGGTGTAGCCGGGTCCGGTGCTGCGCGTGTGCGAGGGCGGCCAGGCTTGCCCTTGCCCTTGGCGTCTCCTAGGTTGGGCTGAGATGCAGAGACCTGCAGTCGGCCGGCCGTCCTTGACTGTCCATGGTCGTGTGATGTAGCCGGCTGTGAAGCGTAGACTCCGACACCGGCCAGGCTTCGTGACGCCACCGTTGTCTCATCGCCTTGACTGTCTAACGACCACTCATCCAATGAATGGCCAGTGAGGCCAGGCAAAGTCTTACCGCGACGTAGTGCAGGCGCCGAGGAGGCAGTAGTAGGTCGCGGCGATTCTATGCTTCGCTCGCCCTCTTTCTCTGAGAACGCGGCGGTTGCTGCCCTCAAGGTCTCCACTTCAGCGCCGCTACTATTGTGATGCTCGCCGTCGCTGGAGGGCTGCAATCCGATGTCGAAGAGATTGTTGATCTCAACCTCGCGCTCGTCTTCTCCATTCTTGTCTGGGGCCATGTTGGTTGATGACTGGGCATTGTTGCGATCACGGGACTGCTTTTGAGCTGCCCGAGGATTTGCTCCGGCACGAAATATCCTTTCGTCCTCGTCATCCTCGCTGCTTGAGGTGGTGTTGTCGGTCTCGTTGCGCAGGCTCGACGTGGCAGCCGTTGTTGGTGGCTGAGCTGGCGTCGACTCGATAGCGGCAGATGACGATGCTGTAGCTGCGCATCGTGATGTTGCAGATGGCCGCGAGGGAACAGGGGGCGCGAATTGCTGCAATGACTCCTTCTGCTGCGTCGGCGGATCAGCCGGTCGTAGGCACTCCGAGGCAGCTCCGCCACCTGTGAGGATAGGAACGAGCGGCTGCTGCGAGGTACTAGCATTATCCTCGGCTTGGAGAAATCTCGCTGCACTCAAAGTCGACTCGTCATCCTCGGTAAGGTCGATTGCTGACTGTGACGCTCGAGAGGTGCTAGCCCCCGATGTGGCGCTTGCCCCTCTATCTCTGCTGCGGCTACCTCCCGAAGCTCGACTTGTACGGCGCCCGCGATCTTGACCCTGGCTTCGAGCTCGAATAGGCGTTGCTGGTGCGCTGGGATCTGTCGTTGCGCTACCACGGCTGCTTGTCGGCTGCGATTCCTGCGATTGTGCTCGCGAGGGGCCCGGAGACAGCCACGAGAAGGTAGCCAGCGTATTCTTCGAGGCCACTTCCGCGACGACTGCTGCATCGACGTTCCATCGGGGCTTGGCGGCGGCGGCTGCAGCTGCCTCAGCTGCCTCACGCTGTAGCTTGTCCTTCTCCCTTTGCTCCCTCTTTTCCGCTCTCTTCGCCCTTGCCCAAGCAGCTTGCCTCTCCTTCCTCACGCGCTTGGCCTCGTCCTCGATCTCCTCCTCCGTCTGAGCCAATTGACCCGATGCTGCATTACTTTGGGAGCTGGCAACCTTTCTCTTACGCTTTTTTCGCCCGGTGCTGTCTTCCTTCGGGGTGGTCGCGGTTGCTGTGGCTGCGTTGCTGTCGCCCGAGTTGCCGCTTACCTCTTTGGCATTGCTTGAGGAGTCACTAGTATATCGTGCTCTTACCTCATTCGCATTTGCGGATGCGTCGCTGGGGCGATAGGGAGCATAGAATGAATGATGATGAAACTGACTGGCAAGTTCAGGGTCGCTCACGGCCTGCTGTTCCGCCGTTGGAGGCGTCGTACTTGCGCCAGTGGAAGCAGGTCCACGTCCTACCGGGAGGATGAGGCCTGAACTCGAAGATATTGAAGCGCGTGGTGGGATGGAGAGCAACGGCGAATGGAATGAGGACGAGGCGGATTGCGGTGAGAATGCATCCATGGGCGAGGTACGGCGGCTGTTGGTGTTGGTGGATGTCGTCTCCTCAAACGTGCCCTCGTCGTCGAAGAGATTATCTCCGAAAAGGTCATCCGCGACGTCATACTCATGACTTCTTCTTCCTGGCCAGTCCAAACCGCTGCTGCTATGCGACAGAATGTGCTCGAGGCTGTTACCTTCAGCCTCGAATCCGGGAGTAAAGATGTCGACTAGGCCGCTACTGCTCTTGCCCTGCGGCTGTTGATCTCGCGATGGGGCTGCCACCCCTGGCTGAATGAGCGACGCCCCTTCCATGATCGGATATGCGCTCGAATGACTTCGTCGTCAGCTCAGCGTGGCATGACAAATGGCTTGAATGGAGTGATGAGAAGGACCTGTTGCTCAGCGCGAGCTCAGCCGTCGACCAACTCGAACGACAATTGAGCTCAGGCCAAAAAGGGCGGACTGGAACACGTGGTTGGCAGTGGCAGGGCGAGGCGCGTCATTTCAACTGGCTTTCCGTCGAAGCCAACACTTTAGTCGTCAACTCATCAATCATCCTTGCTGAGCAGCATCATCACCATCTGCGCCAACACTCGTTCTCAGCAGAGCTGCCTCGACATCATGGTCGTATAAGAGCTCAACTGCCAGCATCGCACCTCACGACGAGATGGCCTCGAAGTCTAGCTCGCCCACTCCACCTTCCTCGTCCAAATCTCGACGCGACTCGACGCGACCCGTCATGACAGGTGATGATGGCCGCGACGACGACGGCAGCGTCCGCAATGCCCAAGAAGAAGATAGCTTCGAGGGAAGCGCTACAGCTCAAGGTAGTAACAAGGAGAATGACGCGAGTCAGGTCAAGAGCATTGCCTCGAGTGGCACTCGCAGAATCGTCAAGCCAGATCCAGACGATGACGACGACGACATAGTGTTCCGTGAGTCGAGAGCGAATCAGCAATAGCATATATCCATGCTCATCCCCACGCATACCTTACAGAAGTGATCGCTACGCCCCCTGCTCGCCCTGAGACGTCACGCGCCAGCGAGAATCAGCCTCCTTCTGCCGTCAACGCTGCTAGCTCCAGCAGAGTCGTCGTGGGAAGACTCAATGGCAATGGTCCATCGTCTTCTTCATCTGACTCGCGCTCCTCTAATCCTCCTTCCAGTGGTATGATGCCACCAGCGAGCGTCACGTCGTCCGGCGATTTTCTCGAGGACAAATCGACCGATGACCTCAACGCCATGCTCATGGCCAACCTTCAGCGCAAGGACAAGGTCAACGAGCAGCTCATAGAGCTCATGGAGGGCAATGCTCCGCCTGGTACAGATCCAGAGTGGCTCAAGTCTTCGAGACAATTTCTCACTGCTCGCATCGAGCATATAAAGAAGATTCTCGCTGAGCGCGGGTCGGCCAGCTTTCCAGGATCATCTCAGCCGCCTCAGCCCGCACAGCCTCCTCGCGAGCTCTCCCCGCCACAAATCTCGGCGGCAGCTCCCATCCATCGCAGCCAGCAGCAACGCAGCACATCGTCGATGAATCGCCATCATACCTTCGACCGACCGACGGAGCAACGGCCTTCGCCTTCTCCTCCCACACCGCCACCACCTGCATCTGCTCGTCGTACAGGCTCTTCAGCAAAGCGCTTCGTTCCTAGCCTGCCGAGTGCGGGACCTGTTCGCAGCCCGCAGCCTCGTGCGCCTGTCGAGCGAATCAGAGCTGCAGACTATTCCCACCACGAGAAGGGATTGGGGCCCGACGAACAGGGTGACGATGCAGACTTTACCAATCTCGACTCTGCCTTCTTCGACGATGATGAGGAAGCACTCATGGCGGAAATACAAGGAGAAGAGGAAGCCTTGAATCGAGCCTCGACGTCTCGCGTCCAATTCGACTCTAGACGGCCACAGCCTGGCAGCTCTGGCTCCGGAGCAGGACCGGCAGCAGCGGCCGGGGCGGCGAGGAGTCCAGTCAGCCACCGTACCACACTGAAGCGCCATCACGAGGGCAACGCTGAGGTGGCAAAGAAGCGCGTGAGCATGCGCGAGCAGATGAACTACGTCTGGTCACGCGATGTCGCCAAAGCGCTGCGTCGCACCTTCAAGCTGCATGAATTCCGCAACAACCAGCTCGAAGCAATCAATGCTACTCTCAACGGTGAAGACGTATTCTGCCTCATGCCCACGGGCGGGGGCAAGTCACTCTGCTACCAGCTACCCGCACTCATCGACTCTGGTCGCACACAAGGAGTCACCATCGTTATATCCCCACTCCTCTCCCTCATCCACGACCAAGTCCGGCACCTTCTCGACAAGACGATTCCCGCCCTCATGCTTACGGGGGACATGGCCGTCTCAAAGCGCGAGTTCGCGTTGCAGGAGCTCTTCTCGAAGCAGGTGACCACACGTCTCCTCTACCTCACGCCCGAGTTCGTGGGTAGATCAAGACAAGCAACGGACATCTTCACTAGTCTCCACCGCAAGAAGCTCCTGGCTCGCTTCGTCATCGATGAGGCGCACTGTGTCTCTCAGTGGGGCCATGACTTTCGCCCAGATTACCAGACGTTGGGCAAGCTTAGGCAGGACTACCCAGGGATCCCCGTGATGGCTATGACAGCAACAGCGAATGATCGCGTCAAGACAGACGTCGTGTCTAGTCTGGGGATCAAGGGCTGTAGGGTGCTCGAGCAATCCTTCAATCGTGCAAATTTGCGGTACGAGGTGCGCGACAAGAATGCCAAGTGAGTGCGCACTGAGTCGCCGTGAGACGATGTGCACGTACTGACGACTATGTCTGACCCTCTCTCTCTCTCTCGCCTTCCAGGACGGTCATTGCCGACATAGCCAAGTTCATCCAAACTTCTCATCGCAACCAATGCGGCATCGTGTACTGCCTTTCTCGCCGTGCTTGCGAGGAAGTAGCAGAGCGGCTCAAGCGTGACCACAATCTGCAAGCGCAGCACTACCACGCCGCCTTGAGCAAGCAGGATCGCCTCGCCATCCAGGAGTCGTGGCAGGCAGGGGAATTCCGCATCATCGTCGCCACCATCGCGTTCGGCATGGGCATCGACAAGGGAGACGTGCGCTTCGTTGTTCACCATACCCTACCGCAGTCCCTCGAGGGATACTATCAGGAGACGGGAAGAGCAGGAAGAGACGGGAAGAGCTCGACATGTGTTCTCTTCTTCAATCATCGGGATACGAACTCGATCAAGCAGATGATTGACAAGGATGAGAAGACGAAGGAGCAGAAGGTGCGTACGCGCGCGATGGTACAGGGGCTGTCGATTCTGCATCGAGTGCTCACATCAACCTCTTCCCTTGCCTCTTGCCCTCCACTCAGGAGCAACAACACTCCAATCTGCGCCGAGTCGTAGCCTACTGCATGAACAAATCAGACTGTCGTCGATCTCAAGTCCTCCAGTACTTTGGCGAAGTCTTCCCCTCCGAGTCCTGCCACCACACGTGCGACAACTGTTGCAATGCGGCCAAGAACCACCAGGCCGCCATGCTGCAAGACTTGACTGATCAGGCTCGTCAAGCAGCGGAGATGGTTCGAGATCTCAATCAGCGGAGCAGGTCGGGAGCGAAGAGTGGGTGGACGATGTTGCACTTCGTTGATGTGTTTCGGGGCAGTCAGAGTAGGGCAGTCAGAGACAGTGGGCATCACAGCCATAAGTGGGCTGGTGCCGGGAGCACGATGAATAGAGGAGACGTGGAACGGCTTTTCCAGCATCTGACGGTGCGCGAAGTCTTCAACGAGCGATCAGAGGTCAACGCAATGGGCTTTGCCAACGCCTATCTCGAGTTGGGGCCAGGTGCGGAGGCACTGTTCAAAGGGGAGACCAAGGTGGAGCTGAGCGTCCAGAGACCTACGGCCCCGGTGACTGCAACGCTGCAAGCTGCTAATCGCAAGGCCGCCGCCAACTCGAGGGGGACGGCGCCCATGGCTAGGGGACGGGTCGGGGACGATTTTGATTTCGAAGACGAAGAGGAGGAGCAACCCTACGATGCATGGGATATCACCAACGTGGACCTATCGCCTAGTCCGGGTCCGCCTGCTGGCGGCGGTGGTGGGAATGACCGTCTTTTCCCGCCGCGAGGCATGCTCGAGCGCTCTGCAAGCTTCGAGGCTCTCCATCCCCGTGGGTTGACCAGGCCTAGTAGAACGAATGCAGCTTCAGGACTGGCATGGGCCAATGCCGGTGGAGCGAGGAGCAACAATATCAGAGACCTCAATCGGACCACGACGAGCAATGCGGTCGGGCGCGCCATGGCCATCGAGATTGCCGACGAAGAGGAAGATGATGTGGTTTTCGACGATGACTTCGAACCCGACTGTCAGCCGCCGCAGCAGAGGGGTCGGCTGAACATTGCGTCGACGACCTCTCGTAATGGCGTTCGCAATGGTGGCAACGATGTCGACCTCAGTCGCTTTGCCAATCATGACGTGGATACCAACGGCACTACCAGAGCGGCGAAAAGAGGACGAGCGTCCGACCCTTCACCCTCGAATGGTCGTCATGCCACTGGTGGGGGTGGAGCGAGCATTGCGCATATGCCGCTACCAGGGAGAGGGAGAGCGGGAGGACCGGCCAAGAGGTCGGCTGCATTCTGAGGTTGGGTGGGAGATGATGGCGATCAAAGGTGTGTTGGATCTTCCAGATGACGAGTTTTCCCTTCTTGTACTGCTAGTCAACCATCAATCAAAGCGATTGCGCTGCCCTCTTCGCGCGCTGTTTCGCTCTCAACTACCATGGCTTGAATCGTCTCGTTGGATTAGCGCGACTACACCATCATGCTGCCCGTTTACGACAGTTCCGCGTCTACTGTCGATCCACTTTCACGTAGTCCCCCTCCCCCTCGGCAGCATTGCCATTCGTCACACCCGGCGTAGCCCCGTCCTTTGGCTTCGTCTCAACAAAGACGCTCCCCACAATACCGAGAGCCGTAGCTCGCAATCTCTGCGTCTCCTTACTCAGAGCTGCCTCACCTCCCGCTCCCTCCTCACCTTGGGCCGCCCCCGTGCCATAAAGGACCCTATCACAGACATCGCGAATAACGCTCTCCACCTCGAGACTCGCTCCCTTGAATAGAGCCTCCATTCCCTTTTGCGCAGCCTTCTCCTCCAACTCGCGCTTGCGCTCTTCACTCAATCCACCCGGAGCCTGTTCCGCCTTCTGCAGCTCGGCAAAAACGCTCTTGAGCTCCAGGGCTGCTCGTACGGTGGAGACTGTGGAGGAGACAATGTGTGCCGAGGAAGAGAGGGAGTGATACATTCCTCCCAGGGTACCGAGCGGGGATGAAATGAGGTAGGAGAGGGTTGATGTGCCTGAAGAGGAGGAAAGCGGGGCGTGGTGCGATGCGAGGTAGTGGCGGGATTTGGATAGGTAGATGTACCCTACGACGTGTAGAAGCTCGGTACCATAGCTGTGCGGGCGGATGGGAAGATCAGGAGGTCAGCTATGACCATCTTTGAGGTCGATGTTTCGTCACCACTACGGCTAACACACCTCTCCTGCTTTAATTCCTCCGCCTCCAACCTCGTAATCTCCCTGAAGCTCCTCTTTACCTCAGCCTTGAGTTCCTCCTCCCCTGTTCCAATGCCGCGCACACTCTCTGTGTACACGCTCAGTTTTCTCACCAGCTTTTCAGTAAGCATGGCCACCCGCTCCTCCCTCTGTCGCGCTCGCTCTTCGTTGCGCTTCTTCTCTCGCGCTTCCTTTGCCGCCTTTGCTTCGGGGGACAGTCCGGCACTGTTACTTGAGGACGAAGAGGCAGCGGCCTTGGAAGGGTCGCTCTGTCCGTTTGCCTGTCTCTCCAGCTCCTCCTCGTCTTGCTGTAACGCCTCCTTCATCTCCCTGCCAATGCTGACCTTGCCAATGACATCGGCAAACCTGGCCCCGCCGAACAAGCTGCCGAAGACCTCCTCTGGGTCGACGAAGCCATCCTCTGGTACCAGGCCAGGTGTCGAGGCGCCAAACTCGTTGTACTTGTGTCGTGTGACTGGATCCGATAGGATGGAGTAGGCCGTGGCTAGCTGTTTGAACTTTTCTGCCGCTTCAGCATCGTCTGGGTTCTTGTCTGGGTGAAGCTTGATGGCTAGCTTGCGGTAAGATTTCTTGATCTCTTCTTGGGTCGCGGTGGCAGGAAGCGATAGGATGTCGTAGCTGTGCAAACCGGTGTAAAGAGTGAGAGATCGTAAGCACGATGTATGCGAGCTGCGGAGCATGGCCGTCGATATGCTCACTAGGTCATGTCCAATGGCCGCTCATCAGTGCCAATCCTCCTCTTCGTCGCCGGCTTGGACGTCGATCCGGACGACGATGAGGAGGTCCCTGCCCCATTAGCACCTTGGCCGCTCCTTGCGTCCCTCATGTACTTTCCAGCATTGGGCGGCTCAAACCTTTGCTTACATTTGAAGCAAGCCACCCGAAAGCTGTTATCACTGCGATGCTTTTCGTGGTTGGCCTGTTGAGCTGTGGGGGGCAGGTACTCTAGTGTGGTGCGACATGATGGGTAAGGGCAGGATATGCTGATATATGGCTCTTTTGGGCGAGACTCGAGGATGAGGGTGGACATCCTGCCGTGCCGGGTGGTGATGATGTCGAATGACAGTCAGTGTCAGGAGAGAGACGAGGCAAAGGAATTGCACGTCGCTCTCGGCAGGCAGTCCAAGATTGCGGTCCACTCTCGACTGGTTGAAATCGACTTGACTTGCAGGACCCCGCCTGCAGCTCCGAGGTCGAGCTCCACCCCCGCTTCCCGTCCAAGAGCAACGCAGTCACTCGTTGCTGCTCCTCTCCTCCTCATCTTGCAACTCGAGTCAAGTCAAGCTCCGTCGAGACAAGAAAAGCAGTCCAGTTCGCTACTGCGCTCGTCTCATCACAGCTGCCATGTCTTGGCTAGGCGCAGTTGTCCCCTCCCCACTCTCCCACCCTGTACCCCTCCTCCTCGCCCTCCTCCTCTCAGCCCACGGCCTCCGCAAGGGATCCCTATCCACCTCTGGCAGCATCGCAGCCTTCTTCGTAGGCTACCTCAGCTTGGCAGTCGAAGGAAACAAGACCTTTGGTGTCGTACTGCTCTGCTTTTACTTGGCGGGCAGTAGGGCTACCAAGGTCAAGAGCGAGTTCAAGGCAAAGTGTGAACGTGAGGAAGGGACGGGGCAGCATAAGAGTGCGGGAGGTGGAGGGAGAGATGCTTGGCAGGTAGCCAGTAATGGTCTCACAGGCGAGTCAGTGGTTAGGTGAATGTCAGGCGACACAGCTTGCTCATAGACTTCTCGCTCCTCCCCACATGCTGCGCCTTTACAGGCACATTCGCAGCCGTCGCGTATCGCATTGTTCTCTCCTCCCTCTCCAGCAATGCATCAACCTCCTCTTTTCTACCGTCATGGCTCTCCCCAACATCCTCCACTCTGGGTGCCTGCCCTCTCACCCATCCGACGCTGCGCTTCCTCGCTAACCTCTCCCTAGCCCACTACGCCGCCTGCATGGGAGATGTCCTCGCCTCTGAGCTAGGCATCTTGTCAAGGGGGGAGCCCTGGTTGCTTTTCACCTTGAGGCCCAGAAGGGTGCCTAGAGGTAATTACGGCCAAGACTCAGGCGAGCGAGCGGCTTTGACTGACTTCAGGCTCCCTCTCACACCACCATTCGCAGGAACAAACGGCGCCCTCTCCCCTTGGGGCACATTTTGCTCTTTCCTCGGCGGCCTCTTCATTGGCATCGTGTACCTAGTCACGCTCCACATCTCGATGCCTGCTTGTCGTCCGGCCCCACTACGCCCTGGTCAATCTGTCTGGGAGCCTTCGCCTACGCTTGCTCCCTCTGGCGGGGCAGTCAGTATCGCCTGTATGGCGGGCTTTGGGGGAAGCATGCTCGACTCCTTCTTGGGAGCGGTATGTCAGAGGACGTGGTATCATCGAGGGACGAAGCAGGTACTTGTTGGAGGCAGTTTGAAGGAGTCGTCGATCATCGACGAAAAGAAGGTCGACGGGAAGCCAGCAGCTGCAGATTTACCAAAGGGTGACGCGGTAGGCTGGACCATCATTAGCGGGTATGACATCCTGTCCAATGGGCAGGTCAACTTCATCTCCTCAGCTGCCGTGGCGCTGACCCTTGCATCCTTTAATTATGTAGTCACCAGGGGTAAATTGTAATTCACACTGACGGATCGACGTTGCAGATAGACATCGATTGTCGCACAAAGCTTGCTAGTTATACACGAATGGAGTGCAGAGAAGTGACCAGTAGAGAAGAAGCGAGGAGGAGGACGCCCGAGGCACGTAAGAGACAGGATTGCGACGCCGGTGTCGCACTCAAAACGAGACGAGACGAGACGAGCAGAGCAGCTGCGGCGTTGGGATATACAGAAAGTGACAGCAGCTGCGCTTGCGAACTGGGCAACGCGCTCCCTTTTATAAGGCCTTGTTCAGCCTCTCCCCTAAGTCGTGCACCTTGTCCTTGAGACCACCTCCATCCGCAGCAGCTGAGGACTGAGACCGTCTCTTCTCATCACTGCTATGCTCCCCATCCGGCGTCTGCCACCCACTCGCATCCTCGTCATCGTCGTCATCGTGCTCGTCCTCCGAGTAGAGCTCCGACCTCGAAGGCGGTGATTTGCTCTTCGTCGGCTTGCCCTTGACAGGAGCCTCTCCAGCTTTGGTACCATCGTTGTCCTGCTCTGCGCCATCCACGACAAGACCACTACTTTGGCTACTCTCTACGCTACTGATGTTGCTCGAATCTCCAGGCGTGTCATTGCCGCCAAGAGACGCCTGTCGCCCATCTGCTGCAGCCAAGGCAGCGAAAGTACGGAACTTGGTGCTCGCTCGCACAGCGTTGATGGCCGTCTTCCATCTCTTGCGGTAGTTCTCTCGCAGGCCGACAGAAATGTCGTGCTTCCCAGCCTCTTCGCTCGTGGGAGGTTCTTGCATCCAACTGCGCGAACGAGGGGGATGGCAAGGGACACGATAAATGTCAGAAGACTGATCGCTACGACTACGACCTATGCCCACACGCCGCCCACACGCCTTCCACTCACGCATGATTCATCGCCTCGTCTGCCGTTATTCTCTTTCCCGGCTCGACGGTCAGACAAGCCTTGACAAAGTCCTTTGCCTCCTGGCTGATGTTCTTCCAGTACCGATCATGGAAGTCGATCCTTCCCCTCTGCGTTTCTGCCGCCAACTTTGCAGGGTCGTCGCTCCTGAAGGGTGTGTACCCGCACAGCATCGTGTATGTGATCACCCCTAAACTCCAGACGTCAACGGGCTTGCCGTGCCCTTTCTTGGCCAAGATCTCTGGCGCAGCATACCCGTACGACCCGCAGACGTTGGTGAGGAGCTCATCCTCCGTCTCGAGGTGTTGGGCAATGCCAAAGTCCACCAGGACGACATTGGCATCCTCTGCTGCAGTGCGGTAGAGGATATTCTCTGGCTTGACATCGCGGTGGACGATGTTGTGATGGTGGAGGTATTGGATCGCTGAAAGGACTGCACGTATCGTGCGACGTGCGTCGAGCTCTGTGAAACGGCCGCGGGAGAGGATCCTTTCGAAGAGCTCGCCGCCGGTAGCTTCTTCGAAGACGAGGTAGTACTGCACGCGAGGTGGGGTGGGCTCGGGTGAGCTCAGGGGAGAGAGAGCATATCGCTGTCATGCTGCGTAGAGCGTGCTCACCTTGTCTTTTGACTCGAACCAGTCGAGGAACTTGACGACGTGCGGTTGATCGAGGCCCTGAGAGGGGTGCGATGCGAGCGATGCGAGCGACGCGATACATGCGACAGTAGACGATCAGCATATATGGCTTCCAAATCACCAAGACTACTCCTCGCGCGTACCTTCAAGACATCCATCTCTCCCTGCACAACCTCATCGTGTCCCTTTAATATCCGCTTCGAGATGACCTTGACCGCCACCCCGATGGGCGGATCAGCCGCCTTCCACACTGCGCTGCGCACGATACCGAAAGTGCCTTCGCCCAGTGTCGACTTGAATTGATACTCCTTCTTCTTGTGATAGCTCTCCGGTTGGCGAGCGAGAGGGTTGTGAAGCCCCATCTTGCTTCGTCGTGTGTGCGGGATAGAGATGGGTATGGAACAACGGGATGATTGGATCACAGGAGTGGAGTGTCAACCAGGGTGCGACCCACTGTCGAGAGATGTCGGCAGCCCACAGCCGGACAGACAGACACAGAGGCTGCACCGCACAGACGGGCAGCCGCCAACGGACGGAGACGACACAGGCGCACGGGCGAGGCGAGGGAGCGAGATGAGCGACCTTTGGTCTGTGCGACAGCTGCGCGACTCAACTTGACTTGACTCTTCTTTCTGCTCACCACTACCACCCACCATGCCGCCTTCCTCTTCGTCACCGCAGGCTGTGAGACATCTGTTACAATCAGCAGCAAGAGCGACAACTACTCGACGGCATCCACGCAGCATTCAAGCCCGCTGCCTAGCCACAAGTCGCAATCAAGACTCGTACCCGCCGCCCAACTCATCCTACTACGACGACAATGCAGCCGCCTCCTCTTCCTCTTCCTCCTCGTCGCAACCCTTCGTCCCACCTACCTTCTCCTCGCTCCCGTCCGCCGTCTCGACATTTGGCGCTCCAGCTCATCTCCTGGCTCAGTACACCTCTCAACCACCCACCAATCTCTCCCTCAAAAAACTCCTCTCCCTCAGCCCTACGACTACCACTCCACCCTCGCAGGCTCAGGTGCACGAGTCTGCTCTCTTCACCTCGCAGGAACTGCCCATACGAATGGCGAGACGAGTAGCATCTTTTCGATCCCTACCCTTCATCGTGGGCGCTAACCCGCACATAGGTCGCGTGGCCCGCTTGTACGCCGAGAGCTTTGAGATTCTCGCAAATTGGTCGGATCGACTTCGCAAAGGAGGAGAAGGAGAGGAGGAACGCTTCGTCGAGCTGCTTCGCCAGTTGGTGGAGCGTCATCGCGATAATATTCCAGACCTTGCCCGCGGTTTCCTCGAGTGCAAAAAGTACATGTCCCCAGCAGCACTTAGCGCCTTCCTGGACGAGGCCATCCACTCTCGCATCGGCATCCGACTCATCGCTGAACAGCATCTGGCACTTGCGTCAAACTATTTCAGACAAGGGGTCAGCTACCAGGCGACGGGATACAATCCATCCCGCTCGTCCATCGCCGCTTCCACCTCCAGGCTGACGGCCATGACCAGCGCAGGTGGGACGATTCACACCGACCTCTCGCCATACGACGTCCTCAAGCACGTCGAGAAGGGCGTGTCGGCTCTCTGCCAGTCCACTCTTGGGCAGGCACCACAGCTGCTCATTGAGGGTCACATTGATGCAACCTACGTCGGCGTGCCTGTGCACCTCGAGTACGTCCTCACCGAGCTGCTCAAGAACTCGTTCAGGGCTAATGTGGAGCGCAGCCAGAAGCTGCGTGAGGAGGAGGTTCGACCAGTCAAGGTGACGATTGCCAAGAGTCGCAGGCATATCTCGTTGAGGATAAGGGACAGGGGCGGGGGCATTCATCCGAGAGACTTGGATAGGGTATTCAGCTACGCCTTTACTACCGCTGGCCGTGAGCCGGGCAGCGATGAAGCCAATTCAGTGGATGAGGCGGGTCCCTATTCCATTCAAGCGACCGCCGGTGGTGGTGGAGGTGCGGGTGGAGCCGATTCGAGCATCGCAGGCTTGACAGCTCTGGGCGCTTCAGGGTTGCAGAGTAGCTTAGGCACTCTCGCGGGTCTGGGCTATGGTTTGCCGATGGCAAGGATCTATGCGACGTATTTCGGTGGTGGGTCGGAGATGGCTGTTGTGAGCTTGTGGGGGGAGGGATGTGATGCGTTTGTCAGGCTGCCGAGGGATCCCAGAGGGGAAGGGGGAATGCCGTGACGCGCGCACGGACGAGGAGTTGGCACAAGCAGAGGCGGGAGACAAGGAAGGAAGAGCGAAGGGCGGCGGGCGGCAGGCGGCGGGCGTTGGTTCATCTCTTCTTGACTTCGTTCTCCTCGACTCCCACGACCCAACGACCCTTTTCCTCTTGTAACCATATGTAACACTACAATCAAAGCAGCATCGACAACGAACTCTCAGGCGCCTTTGCCATTCGCCATGACCTCTTCCACCACCACGGCCCCACCAAGCGGCCATGCCAGCGGGGCTGCCTCTCCTGTCCCTCCGCCAGCAGAAGAGGCTCCAACCAGCACCGGCCCAACCAATCTCAGCATCTCAGCTCTTGCCTCCCTGTCTAGTCGCCTCTTTCTCTCCCTCCTTTCCTCCATCCCCTCGTCCAAGACGCTTATCCTCGACCCCTCCCTCGCAGGTCCCCTGGGATTGGTCGTGGATACGGCCAGTCTCAAGTCGGTTGGGGTCGAGAGGATGTTTTGGATGCAGGAGGGTGCATCACCTAGGGATGCTGAGGATGAGGCAAGACAGGAGGAGAGGGTGAACGTCAATGCGCCGACCAAGGCGGTTGTGTATGTTTGTCGAGCTGAGGAGAGGTGGATGAGGGTCATCAAATGTGAGTATCAGAGCGCAGACCAGACATCCTCGATCCTCCACGCCATTGGACCATATTAGCCCGTGTCTCTCAAACTTCTTCAACGAGACTGTCGGGTCAGTCAGCGTCCATAGATAAATCGACACTCCCATTCGCTGCTTTGCAGCTCGTTGGCCATTCCCTCGTCCTCTTGCAGGGCATTGTAAAGGAAGGGTCGCTTTCAAGAGAATCGTACATCCCTAGACCCCTCCCCTGCCCGCTCAAGCTGACCGCATACACAAAGAAGAGGAACTGACTTATTCGCTTCTACGTGTGTAGCTCACATCAATTTCGACCTCTACAACGCCAAGTCATCATCCAGCGGTCTAGCACACGACTACCATGCCCTCCTTACCCCTCATCGAACCGAGCTTTCCCTCCTCTCCCTCTCCCCAAATCACCTCCCGCACATCACCTTGCACGATTTTGGCCTCGAGCTCGTTCCCCTCGACGGCGACTTGCTCTCCCTCGAAGAACCCTCACTGGCAGGATGGAGGCCCCTCTATCTCGAAGGGGACCAAACGGTACTCCATCGCGCTAGTATGGCACTCATGACTTGCCAAATGGTTTGGGGATGCTTTCCGCGGATTTCGGGTAAAGGCGACCTCAGTAGACGATTAGCAGACTTGCTTGTCAGGCAGAGGAGAGAGCATCTCGTGGGGGATCCGGGCAATCCGAGCCTCAATGGCGTAAGTGGGCTTATTGACGGATTGGTCATCGTGGAGCGTAGCACGGACTTGGTTACGCCCCTGTGCAACCAATTGACGTATGCCGGGTTGGTGGATGACGTAATTGGGATTAAGAGTGGACATGTCGAGTTCGACGTTGCTGCGGCTGCGGGCGCGTCTGGGCCGAGCAATACGGCTTCCTCCTCATCATCGCCTCTGGTCTCTCCCTCCTCCTCCTCCAAGGGCAAACCCTCTACCCAAGCCAAGAAACATCGTCTCTCCTCCTCCAACGACCCCCTCTACTCGCACATTCGCGACCTCAATTTCTCCATCGTCGGCTCACGCTTACACGGCTATGCCGTCCGTCTCTCCACCTCCTATGAGGACCGACACAGCGCAAAGACGGTCAGCGAGATGCGCGCCTTCGTTGGTCGTCTTGGAGGGCTACAGAGCGAGCATGGCAGTCTGAGGCTGCACACGGCGCTTACGGAGAGACTGGTGAGAGAGACAAATAGCGAGACATTCAATCGCTGTCTCGAAGTGCAGCAGAATCTGGTCGCAGGCCTGGAGATGGGCGCGCAGTGGGATCAGATCGAGCAGATGGTGGAACAGGGATTGGTGGGGGTGGAGACGGTGCTTCGGTTGGCGTGCTTGTATTGCCGAGTAGGAGGTCAGCTGAAGGCCAAGCAGCTGGAAGGGTTCAAGAGGCTAGTGTGCCAGGCATACGGGTATGAGCAGCTAGTCACGATGCTCAGACTGGAGAAGCTGGGAATGCTCTACGCTACTGCCGGGCCAGCATCATCAGCAGCGACGAGCGCAGCTGCGTCGTCGTCGTCGTCATCTTCGTACTTCGAGCGGGTCCGCCAACCCCTTCGCTTGATCAACGACGACGTCTCCGAATCGGAGCCGCAGGACGTGGCCTACGTTTACTCAGGATACGCGCCGCTGTCCGTGAGGCTCGTGCAGGCCGTGGGTCAGAAGGAGGCGCTCGTAGGGGCAAGAGCAGCCGGCGCTACTACTGGAGCGACAGGTGGCACAAAACAGAAACCGCGGGCCCACCCTCTCGTTGGCTGGCGCGGATTCGAAGACGTACTCGAGGCCATCCCCGGTGAGACGTTCGACTTTGCTCAGCAGGCCAATCCTTCTTCGAGCAACGCCGGTCATCACAGCGCGGATGAGGACGTAACTGCCCCTCTAGACTCCGCCAATGGCACCACTTCAGCGAACGGATCACGTCGTCCATCGGCGTCCGACTCATCTCCCTGGTCAAGTGCTGACCCGGATCGTCCACGCACAACGATGGTCTTCTTTATCGGCGGCTGCACGCAAGCCGAAGTGAGTGCATTGAGGTTCATGGGCTCGCAGAGCCGGAACAGAAGGTGGTTGGTGGCCACAACGGGCATGATTACGGGGGAAGAGATGATGAGGGAAGTGATGCCAGGAAAGGCAAGGGTAGCATGACAAACGATGATTCAGATATGGCCTGCTGAGGATTGTTGATACCATTTGGCGACGCAATGAGAGCTATCCGCTCGTCCGACTCAAAGGCGTGAAGAGCTCTATCCCCTCTGCCTACCTGAAGCGCGCATACCACCTCTCCTCGTCCATTCTCTTCCCCCACATCCGTCTCGCCTCCTCTCCCCACACCTCGACCGGGCTTCGTCCACGTTTGAGAACCTCATCTGTATGCACCTTTGCCTGCTCCTTCGTAAATAGGGCCACGTTACCGAATGAGAGCGGGAGTGTCGAGTCCCACCGGAGCAGACAGGCGGACGCGGCTGAGATGGAGTGGAAGGGGGGCACGACGCTGCGAGAGTGAAAGACTTCGACTATCAGGTAGAAGACGTCGTCCAGGAGGAAAGGAACAGATCGACCTGGTGCGCGAGTAACCGAGGTGCCTGCCGAAGCTGCTGAGGCGATGCTGTTGGACGAGGTGCCGCGTTTGAGCGTACTTCCCTTTGCGGCCCCTTTCTTATCGCTCGTACCCGTCGAGCTGGTAGACGCAGGGCTCGGGCACATCCTCTCCACCCCCTCCAACTCCTTCAAAGCCCTCTCAGCACTCTTGCGCTTCACCTTTCCAGCTAATGGCTCCATCATCAATTCTTCCCTCCCGCCCACGTCGCACAACACGTAGGCAGCGATGCTCAATCCGAATATGGCCGGCAGGGGCCCGAGTACGGGAAGAGTGCGCACACGCCAATCGTTCCCATCTTCGAGGGCGCGCAGCATCTCAATGCCCCCGTCGCCTTGTACATCTGACTCGTTCAAGGGGACGAGCTTGGCGCTAGGCTTCTCGGTGCTGAAGATGCATGGGATGATATACTGCGGATTGTGGGATGTCCAGCCGCTGGACGACGAGGAGGCGGGCCCGCGTTTTGAATTGCTATTTGAAGGCGCCTTCTGGGGTGACCGCGTTGGCAAGGGTGGAGTTGATGATGATGATGGCGCGACGTCGACTGTGCTTTGCGTGATCGTCTCGTTGCCATCGGTGGATGAAGCTCGTGAAGATGCTGGCGGTCTCAGCAGCTCGCCATCAACCTCCTGACGACGTCGTGGGCTTTGGCTGCGACTGCTCTTGCCACTGCTGCCACCCCGGCTGGCGCTCCCACTGCTGAGACCCCCTTCCGCAGGGCCCAGCAGCTCCACCTCGCCCTGGCTCTTCTCCACCATTGGGCTAGCCTCCAGACTCTCCAGACCAGAAGAAGCGCGATGCAGCTTCTCCAGATCGGGCCTCTTCTTTTCATCTTGCGTCTCCTCCCCCTCACTTCCCTCGTCCAGCTTGAAAGCCGGTGGTTGTTCCCTCTGCTCGTCGGTGGACCATTCTGCCTCCTCTTCTCTGGGCGTCCCCTCTGGCGTGAAGAAGGCTCCTTCACCTGAGCCAAAGGAGGACATGGAGCTTGCACGGCTAACGCGTCGCGACTCTGAGATGCGGCGGGAGGATTGAGGGGTAGAGGGAGCCGGTGGGAGGGGTAAGGACGGCTTCTGCTCGTCGCTGTTGTTGACCTTTTGAGGTGGGCGAGGCGTGTTCTGCGCTGACTTCGGGGCAAGGCCACCCTTCTTTGGCGTCGTCTGCGCGGCCTTGCCTGCCGAATCGTCTTTCCTCCCACCCTTGGGTCCCAGTTGTCTGCTCCTCTCCTTCCTCTCCTCCTTCTCCCTCATCACCACCTCGGCACTTTTTCCTTTCTCCTTCTCCTCCAATCGCGGGATGCCTCTCTCCCTCAATCGTCTCCTGACACTCTTTGCCAGTGGATCCTCCTCTGTATCAGTCAGATCCCCGATGCAGATCCTCGTCGGATCACATTTCGCTCCCGCGCCCATGGACGAGAAGACTTTGATATTGTGATGGTGACAGTAAGCGAGGAGGCCGACTTTGGTGTTGAGGTTGTCGATGCAGTCGATGACGTAGGTGGGGGGAATCTCTTTGGATGCAGAGGCGGGAAAGGGAGAGAGGAGCCTATCGGCGTCGCTCTCGTTGAAAATGTCGACCCATGCCTGAATTTGGACCCAAGGCGCGATCCTCCTGAAATGCTCCTGGCATACGATGACCTTGGGCCGTCCTACATCATCCAGATTGGCGACTGCATGCCTATTGAGGGAGCTGAGGCTCACCTGATCAAAGTCGATCAAGCGTACGTGGCCCACGCCCGAGCGGATCAGACTGAGCGCTACGTGCGATCCAACGCCGCCGAGCCCCACGACGATGATGAATGCCTCGCGCAACCGCTTCATAGCTTCGTCGCCTACAAAGGAAAAGTTGCGGCTGAGCTGTTCCCGAACGAGGGACTCGTCGTAGGGTGCATTGCTGCGGGAGGAGGATGTCATTGTTGCCGGAACGAGGGAGGTACGCGAGTTCTGCCTTCGAAGGGGCGATGCAGCTCGTGCAGCTGGTGAGCTGGCACCATGACCGTGGTTGTGGTGAGCACCGTAGCTCCTCGAAGGGGTCAAGTGCGCCAAATGATCCAAGTAACGCGGCGTTCCCCCATCGATGGATTCCTCATCGTCCTCTGCTCCTGCCGCTCCTGCACCTCCATGGTGGGATGACCTGCTCTTCTCGACAAACGAGTCGCGATGTGTAGCCTTATCGACTCTCCTGGCCAGATCCTTCCTCTTTGCCAATCGAATGGCAGCCTGGTACGAGAAGATGGAGGCGGCAGTCGCAGCGCACGATGCTGTGGCTGTTAGGATCAGCCGGCCAGACTGCGTCGTTGCTAGCTGCGTCAGGTAGTTGAGCCATGATTGTTGTGACGGTGGTGAAGAGGATGAGCCAGCCGATGTCGATGAAGACGACATGGCGGCGGCGGTGGTGGCGACGGCGAGGATGGCTTGGCTTGCGGGAAGTTGGCCGTTTGGAGGTGCGAAGCAAAGAGGCAAAAGAAAGCTGCAGCCGTGCGAGGCAGAGACGGACGGACAGAGCCAACCACGGACAGACGGACAAGCGGCTGCGCGAGGCCGAGCGTGGCGTAAGAAGGCGGCAGCGCAGCTACGCTCCCGGTATGGCGGCGATACCTCAGCCCATGGCAGAGAGCCTCACTCGACCTGGAAAAGCGATTATGGAGCACGGTTCGAAAACAATGTACATTACGAGAAGTGTCAGAGATAGCGACGCTACATGGGCTGGGGACGCCCTGGATGAACATGGTCCTCTAAAGCGTCGTCCTACGAGATCGAGTCCTTTTGATCATCGGTACCAGTCATCACCGACGATGAAGCTGCGGGCAGCTTGTTCGCGCCTACACCGTTGCTGCCATCAGCGCCGGCGCTTTCACTTGCGCCCTCCCCCGCATTGACGAATGTCTTGGCAAAGCGCAGCATAGACCTCAAGTCAGGGATAGATGCCTTGTCTCCCGTCTGCTTGCCGTCCTTTTCTTCGCCCTTGCTGGCGGGCATACCTGGTGCAGAGACCTTGCGCCCGCTGGCGTGCCCGAGAAGGACGTGGCTCAGCCAGTAGAATGGTAGAGCGTCCTCGCAGAGCGGTGTCGCGCCAGAGGCAGTCTTGCTAGTAAAGACGGGTGGTGAGGCAGCAACATCCTTGTTGGCTGCTGGTACTGCTCTCTCGCCATTCTCCTTCTCGCCTTCTTTTTCCGCTTCTTTAGCCGCAGCCAGCTTAGCAGCCTGCTCCTTCGCTCTCGCCTCAGCCTCGGCCTTAGCCTGCGCAACAGGGCTAGAAGCATGCAGGCAGAGATTATCGGCATCCCAGGCTGAACGCCAACGCCTCAGCGCACGCTCGAAGACGGCGACGTCGTCTTTGCTCGAGTGGGTGCTGGGAAGCCAGGAGGAGATTGGGGAGACCTTGGCGTCGGAGGATGACGAGTCTTTGGCGTCTGCGCCCGCTTTGGCAGCGCGACGGTGTAGGAGGTGAACAATCCCACGGAGGATAGGTAGAATCATCATCAGGCGGGCAAAGGGGCCATACGCGCCTCCGATGATGCTTCTGGCCTTCGCGTCGGATTCGGCTGGTGCATTGGCTCCTTCGTCGTCGACTTCCATGTGATTGCCTTGGCTGCCGTTGGCTTTGCTGGCGGCCTTGTCATCCGCAAAGATGGCCTGCGTTGCCTCGTCGAAACTGAGCCCGTGATACGCATCCAATACCCCCTTCCAAGCAGCCGCGTCGCTAGCCCTCCAAATCGTATCGGGTACGGGCAGCGGCAGATGCCTCACTTCCTCCAACTCTACAAGCGTATCTAATCCCGCATCGAGCGCCGCGACTGTGTCCATGAGAAAGAGGAGCCAGGCCGTCCGCCTCCGCCCCTCGAAATCGCACCACTGCCTCCAGACCTTCTCCTCATCTGGGCAGCCCGGCAAGTAAGAAGGCAGGTAGCTGAACCCGAAACAAAGGTCATTCTTCTCCTCTGCCACACCCTTCGCCACGTCAGCCGCAGTATACGACACTTCCTGCGTGGCATGCTTGGCCTCAATATCGAAGAATCCTGCCTTCCTCGCCGCAGAAACGAGCGAGCCATGCGCCATGCAAGCAATTCCGCGAGTGGTAGAGTCGGCAGACAGGAAGGAGTGTGTCTGATGAACCATCAAGGCCTGGATGACGGAGATCCTGTCCTTTTCTGATTGAGCTCGTCCGGAGGTGAAAGAGCGAGTGAGCATGTCCACTTTCTCTGTCATGACTATGGGCTTGACCAGGTCAAGGCCGTCAGATTCGTCGATGAGAGGTTTGCTGCTGGTGGTGGATGTGGATTGCTCAAGTGTAGCCTTGGACTCATCACTCACGTCTTCCTTCTTGATCTGGGAGTCGCCGGTCTTGAAAGTGTGCGGGGGCGGAACGACCTCTTCACCTGCCCACCAGCGCCTTCCGGCCTCGTGACATCCAAGCATACAAGCAGCGAAAGCCAGACACCCGGGCGTGGTATCGAGGCGGAAAGTAGGCTCGTGGAGGATGGGCACATGCTTGAGCAAGTTTTGCTGCGCATGCATGGCTAGGACGCTCAAGCGCGTGAGGGGTGGGAGGTCCCAGTGCGGAATGTTGTAACAGGGGCGGAACATGGACTTAGGAAGGTAGAAGGGGTTGTTCGCGTCCTCGAGTGCGCGTTCTAGGGCTAGATTGCCGATGCGAGAGGCTTCGGAGGTGCCATTGGTCGTGAGCGCCGATTGGCTATTGCCATTTGTCGCAGCGAGTGTCGGTGCCGGTGCTACTGCAGCAGCCGCATTGGTGGATGAAGGCGTCGTGACTCCCGTCTCCGGCTGAGCAACCGATTCCTTGGAGCTCGTTCGCTCAAGACTCTGCGACCCCGGCGTCTCCATGGCCAGAGCCGCGCTGCCCTCCTTGTCTTTAAATACCTCGTTGAGTCCACTCGTACGCCTCGACATTGGGAAGTAACTCCCTCCCTCACCAGGGCCGTGCGGTGTGCCGCCAGCAAACGAGGAGATGAGCGTCTGCACGGAAGGGCTCAACAACCAGCCCACGCTGCTTGACTGCCCATGTGAGCTCGTCACGCCACCAAAGTCCCAAGGCGCGAGGCCGGGTGTGTCGAATAAGTTCGCGCTGGGCGGCAGCGAGGATGCGATGTGGGTACCGTTGCTGCCGCTGCCATTTGCGATAGACGTTACGCTGGGGTTGCCATTTGCATTGCTTGACGACGATGAGCCGTTGCCATTCGTCGAACCCAGCAGTCCTGCCCTTCGATCTTGCTCGCCACCTTGAAGGCGCAAAAGAAATGCCTCCGGGCCGGAAGTGACGGCACCTGGGAGCAAGAGAGCGAACAGAGGCGGCCATGTCAGTCATGCTATACCTCGCACTGCTCCGGGCCCTCACTATGTCTACCCACTCTCAAAAAAAGGATTAGACGAAGGGTTAGCAGAGGTAGTCCCCGGATTGTTGTCCATGGCGTTGTTGCCACCCGCACCAGCGCGATTGCGATTCGATGAATCGTTGTTTCCTCCGGCCTCACTACGAACGAAGCGGGACGGGGTCTCCTGACCTCCCCCGCCGAGCAGGGTGAGCAAGCCATTGGCGGCCGTGCGCTGCTGATCATCGATGAAGTCGGCGAGGGCAGGCAGAGCTCCGGACTCAGAGGTGGACATGCTGACTGACGCGGAGGGAGTCTCAGGGTCATCCTTCTCGGAGAGGTCTTTGCGCTTCAATCCTGCGGCTGCCGAGGCCGGGATGCCAATGCTAGAGGGCTTCTCTGATGTACCACCAGCAGCACTAGCGCCGCTCCCCGAGCCTGACTTGCCCGGCGTTGTGCTACTCGCTGGCTTAGCGGGAGGGCGCATCGTGTAGTCAAAGACGTTGCCACTTATCGAAGACGTCGGCGTGCCGGGGGCGATCCCGCGGCCGGGGCTGGCGACGAGAGGGGTGTCGCGTGCGTTGGAGAAGGCGCTGAGGTAAGGGCTCATCGAGTTGAGGCCCATGCCTGAGAAGGGGGAGAGCGGGCCTGTTGAAAGAGCGGCGAATCGGCTCGTGTCGCCTGCGTTAGGGCCAGAGGTTCCGCCAGAGCCGCTGTTGTTGCGGGATGAATCGTTTGCAGCGACGAGCGTTTGATTAGAAGGCCCGCTCGAGCTGGAAGAGCCTGCGCCCCCAAACTCGTTGGCTGGGTAAGAAAAGGCTGGAGCGGCGGTCGTTGATGCACCGCTGTTGTTAGCGGCGGCAGCATTGATGGCGGCGCTGACGGCAGCCGCAGTTGAATTGGCCTGTGACGTACGCGAGCTCGACCCGCCATAGACGGAGCCTGGGCGGGAGCCAGGCGCTGACCCTGGTGCGGGTGAACCACGGTTGCCTGCGTCGTGCGACTCTGCCCACTGCGCCGCATTGTGGTAGAGGTCCAACGTGGGCTTGCGGAGCGAGCTCTGACGCGATGCGCCTGCGCCACCAGAGCGCTGCGTGTACGGGATGGCATCACGATACGGCAGGCGAGGGGACGAGTTGCGCGAGTTGTTGAGGCTTGCGCTCGACTCGGGGCTTGGCGGATAATTTGCTGCGTTGGAGTTGCTCTGCTTTGGCGATAAGGGCGAAAAGAGTATTAGCATCTGAATCATGGCGAGTGGTCTGCTTCGTCGGTGTGCTCACAAAATTGTTGAGGGCCTGAGAGATGGCAGACATGAAGCCGCTCTGACGAGCAAAGTCATTCGGCGCCGTGTTCTGCGGGTTCGGGGCGTGGCTTGCGGCGGATGCCCCTTGATTGTAGAATGGCGGTGGGGGAGGTAATCCACTGCGCAGGGGACAAGGGACATGGTCAGCGACAGATTCTTCTACAATGTATGCGGTTTCGCCCACTCACATTGACCCTGGTCCGCTCGAGTGAGGTAAGAGCGGAGGAGGTGCGCCTGGCTGAGACGCAGTGGCATACACGCCCGGCTGGTTGATCATCGATGATGCAGGCGGCGAATCCCTCGTCTTTATCTGCGATGCTCCCTTGCGTGGCGTAGCCATCGAAGACGACGAGGTAGACGCGCCAGGTGAAGCATCATCTGGTCCATTGTTCTTCCTCGCCTTTGCCTTTGCCGCTGATGGCTTGCGAGCCTTCTTTGCTGCTGCGGCGTCGACTGCCTCTGCGGATGGCTTCTCGCCCGTGAGATGAAACTGGCATTGACGCTTGTGACGCGAGAGGACGTCACTGCGGGAGAAGCTCTTGCCGCATTCGCAGACGAAGGGGCGGATGTCTTGGTCTGCAAAGGGCGACAGTATGTCAGTGAATGAAGGCTATATGCTTCCAACTTGCCTCATCCCACTCACGTCTTCGCTCGTGACGCCTCAGGTACTCGAGTCTCGAATAGCTCGTCTGACAGGTCGGGCAGAGGTATGGCGGACCACTCGGCGGTGCATCCGTTGAAGTGGATGGCGATGAAGCAGAGGCGTGTGACTGATTTGCAGTAGCAGTCGACGATCTACGCTGCGCCTTGCGCGGTGGCTGGTCGTTTTCTTCTCCTCCTCCTCCTTGCTGCTGCTGCTGCTGCGCGTCATTCACCGATGATCGAGGAGGCGGTGGCTGCTGAAGATGTTGCTGCTGTTGCTGTTGTTGATGAGAGCGCTGCAGCTCAGACAAGAAGGCAGCATTCTGCTCATCGGATGACATGGACATGATGATGGTGAAAGGCTACGGTGGGCGGTCCGCGTTGGACGACGCGACCACAGAGAGCGGATGGCGTGTGCCGTGTGCCAAACGACGGGCTGCTGTCTTGCTTGCTCAGCTGTCTTCCAAGACGTCGATCAGAAGGATGATCGGCGTCGAATGACCCTCAATGTGAGCGCCCTGCGGCGTCTGAGTGCGCTATCGCCAGGGTCCACGAGAAGAAGTCGACGTCGACTTGACTTGACTTGACTTGGGTTGCTCGTTGCTTGCTGGAGGTGGAGACGACACGACGACGGGGAGAAGGAGATGAAGGGGCGAAGGGGGAGAGTGGAGGGAGCAAATCGACAAAGGGCGACGGACGGCGCGGGCGGAGGCAGCCAAGCAGCAGCCCTCGCCGTCTTGCCGCGACTCGCTCGACTCGACGTCTGTCAGCCAGTTCCCACTCTCTCGCCGTGCCCACGCCACGAGGGCGGCCCCGTCCCTCTTTTTGGCCGTCGTCTCAGAGCGAAATGACGTTTCGCGCGCTCCGCCGGCACCCACCCACGAGCGTCGCATCGCCACGGCGACCACGACGATGAGCGTCACGGCTGGGGACCATCAAGGAGCACCACGATGGCGCCGCTGTGACGTGCGTGCGCTGAGATGGAAGAAGACAGGTGGCTCATTGTTGCCATCCTGCGCAATGGCTTACTCTGAATGATCTGACGGCTCTGCAGCTGGGTTGTGGAATAGCGCCGACAGATCGTGATCTTTCAATGTCACAAATGGCCTTGAGCCTCGATCAGGCCTAAAGCAGCCACTCACATTGCTTCATAAAGAAGATGGTGCTGTCCGATCAGCTGTAGGACCGAGCTATGAGTCTCTCCGCTCACTGTCGTCGGTCAGAGTCCCATTTCTGCGCTTCACGACATTCCGTGGCTGCTACTAGCACATTGGCAATTCGTCATCAGCCCCCGGTGTACGAACACCTGAGGTAGGACTGCGAGGATTCTTCTGCTGTCCTTCTGACGAGTCGAGAGCTTCAGTACGCCTCGCGGGCTCTCGACATGTCTTCCACGCTCGATGTTGTTGCGGGTGTGCGGTGAGGGAATGCTCACACCACGTGAGATGAACGTCGCCGTATCAGTCTGTCCCCTCGCTGCACCGCCGATCGATAGCATTGACGGGCAGCTTGCGCCTCCAATCGACCTTCAAAGCCATTGAATGCCGATACTTGTGCCAGCATGTTAGCTACGCCTTCGGCGATACACCATTGATGCAGCACGCGACCACCATTGAGCCACGACCCCGTCGGCGACGATTGCAATGCCTCTGTTCGAAAAGTGCACACAACACGTCGCGCTGACGGCTTCAGAGGCCGTCGAGAAGTTGCACACCCTGTCTGCAAAGCCAGAAAGGGCCTGCCCATTTCACGTTGTCCACGAATACGATCATCTTGGACCGTGACGATGTGATGGGAGCTCCCTCCGCCACGTGACCCGGTGCGGGGCTCCAACATCGCGACGACGGACTGCCGGGACGAGCCAGAGACCGGCCAAAAGTGAGCCGGGTCAAGGAATCCCTGCTCCAGCAACCGCTTCCATCGGCCAAGATACCCACCAGCTCATTATCATCATGGCTTCCTCTCTCCCCTTTACCCCAACGCGCTCTCCCCCCATCACGTCCTCCTCTTCCCCTATCAGTCTTCACTTCCCCCTCCCTTCCAATACGCCCTCCGAGCACGTCGCCGATGTGCAAGGCCGCATAGCGGTCCTGACCCTGTCCAACCCCTCAAAACTGAACGCCGTCGGTCTGCAAGACGTCTTCACTCTCATCGAGACGCTCACATGGCTCGGCGAGCAAGATCGTGTCACTATAGTCGTGGTAACGGGTGAAGGGCGCTTCTTCTCTTCCGGAGCAATGCTGGACGATAAATCCCGCGACTCTGGCTTGCCCGCTGAGGCGCATACCTCGGGAAAGCCAGAGGACGTCAAGCGTATTAACGAGCATTACATTTCGCGGATCACTCTAGGCAACGGCAGGCTCGCGAGGGTATTGACCGAATTCCCCAAGGTGCTCGTGGGGGCCATGAATGGGCCTGCCGTTGGGATCATGGCTGCCTTTGTGGGGCACTGTGACCTACTGTATGCGTATGAGAACTTCTGGTTGAACGTGCCTTTTAGCCAGCTTGGACTGGTGTGTGAGGGATTGGCTAGCCAGTGAGTGCGCGCACAGAAGGGGTGCAAGGTCGCGTGACGGTGAGAGGCTGACTCCGCTTCGTCCGTGCTCACTCAACGCAGGACGTTTGTTGCCAAGATGGGACTGGGCAGGGCACAAGAGTGCTTGCTGGAAGGCAAACGCATGGACGCTCAAACACTAGCGGCTACAGGCTTTATCACCCGCCTTCTCCCAACACCAGCATCAGCCTCGACAGCGGACAAGGCTTCCACTCTACCGATCCTGCAGGAGGTGCTCACCCACATTGGGGAGCGACTGATGCCCCCCAATGCCGACGCCTACGCCCTCACATACTCCAAGCGTCTGATCCAGCGCGTGACGTACGATCACCTGACGCGCGAGGAGGCCAACCAGGCTGAGCTGCGCGGTGCAGAGCAGGTGTTCACTTCGGGGGTCCCATTGAGACAATTTGCGCGGATGGCGCAGAGCAAGAAATCGAAGATGTAGACGGCACGTAAAGGAGGAACGTATGTATACTCTCAGCGACGAGCGATGGCAATTGCAAATAGCATCGATGGCAATTCGCATTCGAGCGCGTCGCGGCATGGTAATGAGGCGGAGTCTTGTTCAGTCTGGCCTTATCGTGGCGTGTCGTGTGGAGTCGGGGCGGGCGAGGGGCAGGGCGGGAAGGGCACAGCAATGTGGGCGCAGGGCGGGGGAAGAATTGAGCTCGGCGGCTGCTGATTGCTTGATTGACTCGCCGGCTGAAATTGATTCTCAAGCTGGCCTCTTGATCGATAGCATACAACCACCTACAATCGCGAAGATGCTTGTGCCACGCCCCAGCTCATCATCATCATCATCAGCCTTGCGTCAATTGCTACGCACATCCTCATCAACAGTGCCGTCATCATCATGTCGCCCGTTCAGCACCTCGGCCTCCTGCCTCGCTCGCAGCGCCCCCTGTAGCGAGTACATGGCCGTCTCTCATCCGGACTCTAGCGCTTCACCAGACTCTGTTGTGGCCAAGACTCTGGCTAGATTCGACAAGGCTACACTCGCTACGTATGCTCGCCCGACCGTGCTGCTGACTAGGGGCAAGGGGCTGGATCTTTGGGTGAGATCGAGAAGACGTAGAGATTCTGCGAATGTTTCGACTGCTGACTGGAGCCCCGCCTCGCTATCACGTTAGGCCAAGATCGATCCTTCCAGCTCTCCTACCTCTTCTTCAGAGCGACACTACCTCGACTTCTCCTCGGGCATCGCTGTCAACTCGCTCGGTCACGCGGACGATGAGATTGCCCGAATCGCAGGCGAGCAGGCTGGCCAACTCGTTCACTCGAGCAATCTGTATCACAATGAGTGGAGTGGAGAACTGGCGAATCGCATGGTAGACATGACTCGGGAGCATGGTGGACTGGGTCTTACGAAGGGAACCAAGGAGGGGGAGGGCGATGAGATGAAGGTCTTCTTGGCGAACAGTGGGACAGAGGCTAATGAGGGTGAGCGCGTTGCTGAGGATATTCGCAAGCTTGGTGCGATTGCTGACCATGCACTTCCTTCGACAGCCGCTCTCAAATTCGCACGCAAGTACGCAATGGTTACGGCAGGCACTGGTCCAGGCGAGAAGAGCGTGAGTACCGCCAACGCCCCTCGTCCTCAATGATCGTCCGGGATAGGGTCTGACCCCCCCCCCCCCCCCCCTCCCCCGCGCTACTTGACCCCTCTCCGCACCAGGGCCTCATCTCCTTCCGCAACGCCTTCCACGGACGCACAATGGGAGCCCTCTCCATGACGCCCAACCCTAAATACCAAGCCCCCTTCGCACCGCTCATCGGCGACGTGCACTACGGGGACTACAACTGCCCACCCTCTGCCCTCGAGTCCCTGATCACCGACAAGACGGCAGGCGTCATCGTCGAGCCCATCCAGGGTGAAGGTGGCATCTATCCGGCGAACACAGAATGGTTGATGGCGCTGAGGAAGAGATGCGATGAGGTTGGCGCCTTGCTTATCTACGATGAGATCCAGTGTGGCCTCTTCCGAACTGGAACCCTTTGGGCTCACTCGAGCCTGCCCGTTGAGGCACACCCGGATGTGGTCACCATGGCCAAGCCCCTGGCCAATGGGTTTCCCATCGGAGCCGTGCTGATGAGAGGAAGGGTGGGGGAGGCAATCAAGGTTGGAGACCATGGTACCACATTCGGGGGAGGGCCGCTCACCTCGCGCGTGGCGCACCATGTGCTTGGCCGCCTCGCTGAGCCGGGTTTGAGGGAGCGTCAGAGCCGTGCGTCACAACACCTCTTTGGGCGCTTGGAGAAGTTGAGGGACTGGTTTCCCGATCTGGTCGCTCATGAGGCTGGGTCCTCAGATGTGACCAAGCTCTCACCCCGTGGAAGGGGTCTGCTGGTTGGAATGAGCATGAAGGAGGCAAGCGATGCGGGAAAGGTGGTGAGGATGGCGAGGGAGAGGGGGCTCATTGTGCTTAGCGCTGGCAGCGATGCGTTGCGATTCACGCCCAGCTTGACGGTCACTATCGAGCAGGTGGATCGGGCGATGGATGTTCTGGAGAGCTGTTTCCTTGTACTGAGGGAGGAGAAGCAGGGCAACAAGTAGGCGAAGCGGCCGTTGGTATGACTGATAGACATTGAAGTGGCGCGGTGCACGAACGACGACCGAAAATAGACGATACACTACATAACCCTTCTCTCCCTCATGGAGCGCTCAGAGCCAGCTCGAGGAATTGATCGTAGTTGAGCTGTGCCCAGCCTGACCTCTGCGTGTCAAATCGCTGGAATCCCTCAGTGAGCGACTTGATGACCACGCAGGCTCGTACAAAGCGGTCGAAAGTGATGCCAGTCGTGGGTCCACCGCCGATTGTGCCTGTGGAAGGGGCGGGAGTGGTGCCAGGGGCGGAGGAGGACGAAGAGGAAGAGACAACTGAGGATGGTTAGATAAGATAGATGGTACGAGAGCAGCAGTAGCGAAGGGGGAGGGAAGAGGGAGGGATGGCGGATGCGGCGTAAGCGTCAGAGCCACGAATGGGTGATGACGCAATGAATGAAATGAATGCGCTCCTCCTCTCCCCTGCCCCTGCGGCGCCTGACCTTTGTTTCAAAGGACTCCTCGCCTCGTCACCGTACTCACTGTACTTCTGCGACACAATGTGGATAAGCTTGGGGCTCAAGTTGTACCCAAAGCCTCGCAGTGCGTTGCCCAGCTCATTCTGGTCGATGGAGCCTGCGCAGCGACGGGACGACAGGTCAGCTACTCATTTCGACACCATCCCGCTGATACGCGCGCACTCACCACTCCTGTCCGAATCGAATCTCTGGAAGACCTCCCTCCACTGCTGGACATACCCAAAGAGGCCGACAAACTCGTTAAAGGTGATCTCCCCGGACCTGTCGGTATCAAAGATGCTCATGAGCATCTTGACTGTGTCCAAGTCAAAATGAGAGTTGTCGCCGTTTACGAGGGCGGATTGCAATTCGCGAGCGGAAATGCGACCGGAGCGATCGCCGTCTACTGCGATGAACCAGGACCAGAGTTGCGGGTCAGCTCCGGGCGGTGGTCCAGTAGATTGGGTGAAGGCTTGCGGGCGTGACTGCTGTTGGCCGGGATAGGTCGACCCGCCGCCGCCGCCGTATCCTCCACCTTGCTGCGGAGGGGGCGCACCGTGGGGAGCACCGTAGCCGCCGCCCTGTGCACCGTAGCCACCCTGTTGAGGAGGAGGAGGAGGAGCGCCATAGCCTCCACCCTGCTGAGGAGGTGGCGCACCATACCCTCCCTGCTGGCTACCGCCATAGTAGCCGCCTTGCTGCTGTTGGGGAGGCGCTGTACGTGAGGTGAGAGAATGATTATGAGCACACTGAGTGGCATTGGCACGACCCTCACAGCTACGCGTCTTACTACTCACCACCATATCCTCCCCCTCCTCCATACGAGTACTGTTGAGACATGGCTGTGTGACTACGAGTGTGATGTGTGAAAGATGAGATGTTCTGTCGATGAGATCAAACCCAGATGAATGGTACAGAGTGGAGAGAAGGAGAGATTGGCGCATTCATCGATGAGGTCGGTTCAGTCTTGTGATTCCCCTCGACGTCGACGAAGCATCTCAGTCTGCGTCTGTGCGTTGCGCCCCGACGTTGCGCCTCCACCACAGCCACTCGAGTCTCAACCTCCGGCTGTGCATGAGAGCAACGAGCGGCTCGCTCACTAAGATTTCTCACGACTGCACGAGCACGATACCGATTAGACGACGTTTTATACATCCCTGCATCTGCCTCGTGTGGCTATCGATCACTCTTGACCTCGCCCCTCGTCCTCCCTGATCCCTCCACCTCATCCACTCTGCTCCTCAGCACGGCGAATCCAGGCGTGACCCATGCGCCACAAGCGCATTGTACACCTGCCCAGTCCCATGACCCAAGCTTGGACCTACACGACTGATTTGGACAGAGCAATTTGCCTGCCAAAGACGAATGAGACCCATCTGTCGGAAGAGACATCCAGCTGAGCGGCTCGAGGAAGTACGAGGTGCAGTGTGGGGAGGGCAGCAGAGGTGGGAGAGAGGGGCGACTTGACGAAGCCGGCTTCGACGGTCCGTCCTGCTGAGTAGTAGAGGCGCTATTGTCCCCGTTCACGCCTGGTGGTCGTGCTCGGGCACCACCCAGACCAAGCTTCTCTCGCAATGCCGCCGATCCTCCACCAGCAGCGCCGCCACCGCCGCCACTCCTCGCCCTGCTTTGCCGCAGTGCTTCATCTTGTGCGACCTGCGCGCCTGGTGGAGCTCGACCTGCTCGTAGAGCCGCGAGATGAGGTGGAAGAGATGCCGTGAGAGAGGCAGCGGATTGCAAGATTGGCCGTCGCCCACCATCAACGGTTGTCTCGTCGTCTTCGTCCATAGGAGCTGTACCGCTCGCCTCGCCATCTTGACGACTCTGCTGCTCCTGATCCTGCCCACTCGACAGCGCCCGCATCGCCTCGTCATCCGGCGGCATCGTCTTCGCTGCCCCTCCCGCCGCCGATTGCCCAACCGCCACGCTTCTCTTCTCATTGCGCGCATCCTTGCCCCTCTTCTTGACATCAAATGCCCCCTTTCCCACTCCAACGTCATGTTCAACGACGTGATCGCGCGCCGCAATCTCTCGCCTGCACATGCGACAACGCAGCCGTGTGGCACCTTCGGCTACGTAGTCTGGCTTGGGGAGGGATCCCCGATTGAAGGCTGATTCGTGGCCACGGAGGGATGAGGGGGGAACGTTGAACGGCGTACGCGAGGATGAAGACGATGAGGAGGCATCAACAGAGCTCGATGATGACGCTTGCTGTTCGGCGAGGTTCTTTGTCACCAAGACCTCATGCGGCGAGCTGAGTGATGTAGCCCACGAGTTAACGCCTCTTCTTCTCTGCTCTTCCTCCTCTTGATCCTTGCGGAGCTGCTCCTGATCTCTCGCAAACAATTGATCCGTATCCTTGGGCATGGCAGGAGAGACGCCTAGATCAACTGATTCGCTCCTCGTGAGCGCCATGCCGCTCCTCTCCCCTACACTCGAGCGGGACGCCCTCCTGACCATGCCTGGCGGCGCGGCCTGCCCATCAGCCAGGTCCAGCGAGCTCATGGCAGGTATGACGCTGGAATGTCTTCCTGATGAAGAGGCAGCCGAAGAAGGCGGGCTTGCTGCTGGGCTGGGGAAGTAGCTCACGAGTAGATCTTCTGCTCGTCCGCCTCTTTGCAGGTCTGTCTTGCTCATCAGGAAACGACGGATTGGGGCGTGACGAAGGTCCACTTTGCAGCCTGCTCGCTCGTAAAGGTCCAGTCTTGACGGGAGGGAGGAGAGAAAGCGTGTCAGCGCAAGTCTTGATTCGCTGTATGCTACCACCCGGCACACTCACTGTTCCATAAATCCCTCATTAGGCTCAGCTTGACTTCGTCTCGCCCTGATCAGCTCAAGCGCAGCATCCCTTCCAATACCTCTGGTAGCCATGACATATGCCACTACTAGCGCCACACTCCTGCTACATCCAGCCTGACAATGGACGAGCACCGTCCCCTCTCCCGTAGTCTCCCAATGTCCCCACTCGTGCGTCGCTTCCCTCCACTCATCAATCTCCCCTCCTTGCTCTCCCTTGACCCATTGCTCCTGCAATGCTTCATTAATGACCTCGTTGACTCGTGGGAAATGCACCAGCAGATTCTCCGACTCTTCATCGTCGCACTTGACATGATAGCAGCGCGAGGCCGGGATTGTGCGTCCGCAGGGTAAAGGAGACTTGGGAGCTGGGAGCCTTTGGCCTAGCGCGGTGATGATGTGCGTTATCCCGGCGATGCTCAGGTATTCGGGAGAGAGGGCACATGCGAGGTCACCGATCCAAAGGCCGGGGAGAACCTCGTCCATCGTGGTAGAGACAGGAAAGGACAAGGACGGTAGCGGTTGGATGAGAAGAAGAGCTAATGACGGAACGATGGACGGAACGCCGTTTGCCGCGTTCCTGGCCCAATTGAGATTTTGGTCTGAGTGGTGCGGGGTCAGGGCGCGGAACAGGCCAGGCGAGTCGAATTGAAATAGGCGCCTCAAGCGAATCATTCACACGACACGACAAATGACAGACCAAAGCTTCGTGGTATTATTTGCTCTCTCTCTGCTCAATCGTCCAACAGGCTCTTCTGCTCTCTCCCGACGACGTCTGCCCCACCGTAGCTGGTGCTGCGAGCCAGCATAGCCGGCCGCCGAGGAGGGACAGAGGGCTTATTTCTGGCGCCCTCTGTATCGCTGACCTGTACCCCTGCAGGCAATGCTGAGGTCATCGGCGCTGGATTTGTGCCCGTCGAAAGGTAAAAATCATCCTGTGACTTGCGAGGGTTCATCGTTACGGAGGCTGGCTTGGGCGGGCGTGGCGGTGGCGGTGCACGGCCGCTCGTCGAGGTCGATGACCGAGGAGAGGAGGAGGAGGTGGCCATGGCCTCCTCTATGCGACGGCGCGCGTCGAGGCCTACCCCGCCAGCGAGGAAAGGGTTGCCATCCTCATCGTCGCCGCTCTTCTCGTCCTCGTCCTCGCCATCGTCAACTTCCGACGTCCCGCTCGCCGCACGTGAGTCAAACCAATTCGCCCTACCGCTGCTTGAAGTGATTGGCGAGCTGGGGTCGGGCAGGTCCAGCTCGTCGTCATCGTCGTCATCGTCGTCATCATCATCACCGCGATGCTGCCCATTGGTCCCTCTGCCGGCCATGCTTCCCTTGGACGCCCTCATCAGGATCTCCTTTCGCATCCTGTTACGCTTCTCCTTGTCAAATACCCTCACCTCCGCCCTGAATATCGCATAGACCGGCCGATGGTCGGACGTCTTGAGCTCAGCGCGGTCGTAGACCATCTGACGCAGCTGATGCCCCTCGCCTCCTCCAGCTGACCCGACATTGTTGACCGAATAGAGCACCCGATCCGTCCACGCCGGCACACGTTGCTTCTCGGATGAGTCGTAATTCTCCGTGCCCACGTCGTACTTGTATGTCGGCAGGAAACGAATCGGCCCCTCTTCGAATCCAGTAAAGACTAATCCACGACTCCTGTGCAGCTGATCGTGCTCGTAAAGCGTGCCTATGTCCCTTTGGCGGGCGAGATAGCGTGCCCGCTCATTGGGCATATCAATGCGGTAGTTGAAGTCACCGAGCCAAAAGACGTGGTCGTGGCCCTGTAATGTTCGACCGCGCTGGAAGGTCAAGCCGCGCGAGATGGTCCAGTAGTCGTCGTTGCGCTCGTCGACATTCGAATGGCCAGCGGCGAGATGAGCCGTGACAAAACACAGCGTCGAGTCGTTGAAATTGAGTCGGATGGCTACACCGCCCTTGTTTCCTGACATGCCTTTCAAGCCAGTCTTGCGGCTCGTGGCTTCGACGCTGCGGATCTTATTGAGGTGTGTGCTCTTGACGAGGAGCACGAGGGCAGTACCAACCAGCTGCTCGCTGCGCACTATCACATACTCGCCCTTCTTCTCTTTGCTGCTGCTTGCACGCCGTTCCAGTGCATCCATGATGACCCCCTCCCAGACGCGCAATTTCGCCGGGTCGGTAAGCAAGATCTGCTGCGGTGAGAGGGGCACGATCTCCTGGAAGCCGAGTGCGTAGATGTCCGGTTCCACCTCTTCACCGCTAGGGCAGAGCCAAGGGAGCAACGATTCATTACCAGGTGGCCGAGCGTTGAGATTCCATGTACCTGTGAAGACGGTAATCTCCTCCTTTGTCGCAAACTCATCCAGCCTCGAGTTCAGCTCCGCAGCTACGCCGTCATGCAGTGGATCATACACCTCCACGGACCGCTGGTTGGCCATGTTCCCCAGCAAGGCATCAATGACGTTCTGTTTGCCCCTATCCTGGAAATTGTTGATATACATACGACCAGCACTCTTCGCTGCGTCACTGAGGAAGGAGCCTAGAGTCTTCTTTGCGTTCCCTGTGCGGGTATAGGTCGTGTTGAGCGCGCCCGTGCCGGCGTAGATGCGAGACAGCGCATCCCCATTCTCGGCCCAGAGGACGCGATGGTGCGACCAAATTGGATGGGCAGGGCCTGTGAAAGGTTGGAAAGTGTCGCGCATGCGAGAAGCGCGGTCGAAGAAGTCTCTGCGTGTGCAGGCAGGGAGCAAGGATGAATCAGTCGATGTGAGCGGGGGCGACGCTGCCGCAGCCACTCACTCGAGCAATGTCTCGGAGAGGAGAGCTTGGACGACATTGGTGCGGTCGAGGCTGCCGGTGATGGCGGAATCGAGTCAGTCATGAACCACAATGATCATCTCGGTACTTCGTCCTCGCTCACCAGTCAAGACAATTAGTCCTGAACACCCCCCTCTGCCTTCTCCTGACATCTCCCGCGCTATCAACAATGGTGCAACTAAATGCCTCCCTCTTCAGCCTCACGGGCCCCAAGAGTTTCAGCTCTCCCCTCAATCCGTCCAGGCCGCCAGCATTCCGACTGACAGTATGGAAGTCGAAGTTGGTGATGGATAATCGCTCTGTATCGTCTCCAAAGCTCGCGGCGGCCGCTGCTACGTCTTCAGGATCTTGTTCCGGAGGAGCGGCCGAATCTACGGCAGAGGAATGGCGCATGTGCTCAGCATAGGCCGAGGAAAGGACTTGCTCGGCGTCCCTTGTTCCTAGCAAGTTCAAAGCGTGCACCCGCGAGTAGTGGGAGAGTAGATCGGCAAAGTGCCTATCGTAGGCTGGCTGCGAGGCTTGACGGGAGCGAGTGATCTGAATGCGAGGCGAGAAGGCTTGGAGACCTTGTTGCTCCCAGAACAATGGGATCGACCCTCGTAGCTGTACGTAGCTTGTTGTGACTCCCTCGTGACAGAATATGGTCTCACTCTCGACAAAATTGGCCACATTTCCATCATCGTCGACCCCTCGCGTGTAGAATCGAGTGCCGGCGCGTTTCCAGCTGAGGCGACTGACGATTGCTAAACTGGTCGTGGGGTGCTTCTCGTCTGCTGACAGGCCTGTTGTTGTCGACTCTGCTGGCGTATTGACCAGCACCGGCTTCGACATGTCGAAGACGGCGACGTACCCCTGAATGGCGAGGAGGAAGAAGCCGTGCCCATCCAACCGCGCCCGCTCGTCTGCGTCCAGTCGACTGCGGAAGTCCATGAGTGGCTCGATCATGAACGTGTTCCAGACAAAGCGCCCATCGTACCGAGAAATATCGTGCGTCGCCACGTTCCTCCCCACACGCCGATCCAATCGGGTAGAGAGGTCGAAGGCACCCTCTGCCGCGTAGTAGAATGAGCCTGCGCTTAGCAGTCTCTTGAGGCTAGTGCAAGGATGCTCAGCTGCTCCAGGGGTGGTATTGCCTGCTGCTGCGGGTGTCTGAGAAGGGAGGATGGCGTCGTACGGGTCGAGGGTGGATCCCGATGTAGAGGTGCCGATGCCCGGGTGTTGCAGGTCAGGAGGGGCGTCCAGGCCGTCCCAGGTTGGACGATTGACGCAATAGAAGGCTACGCCACTGATCGACATGACTTTCTCCTCTGGTCGAATAGCGCCGATAGGTGAAGCGCGTGTGACGACGGCGACGAAGAGGTCTGCAGGTGGCATTGGGGGCGACAGTATCAGCATATATGCACTGGAAGGGCAGGAGCTGGCAGTGGAACTGGGGGACTCGCCGCTACTCACCATTCCCGACGTTGATCAGCCCTAGACAACCCGCCGCCTCTTGATACCCCTCTGTCAGCCTAACGCATGAATCCAAGTCTACCTCTGCGAGTGTATGCAAGTGGACAGTGGCCCTCGCTGGGCTCGTCGATGAGGAAGCTTCATGACTGGCAGCCGCTGTCGAAATGACGAGGGCCGATGCTGAGGCTGGATGTCCCTTGTTGTTGTTGTTGACGAGGACGATGGCTCGTGGGGATGATCTGAGCCAGACGTGCATGATCGCCGCTCCTGCGAAGAGGATGAGGAGCCACGAAGAGAGTAACGTCGAGATGCGAGATTCAAAGGTGGCCAAAGCGCATCTCGACTCTCGTTCCCTGTTCCAGTCGCTCGACCCAGAGTCCAACTCGAGCGGGTCAGTCAGTCAGTCCACTTGGAAGCGCGTCTCATGTCGCCGTCCCGCGCTTCCGTGTTCTCTCGCGCTTGAGCTTCTCAGCCAACAACTCTTGGTTCCTCTCCACGCGCGACATCATGGCCGACATCTGGGCCGCTGATGCCAACAAGGCACTCTCAATCAGGCTAGTGGGCGCACCATCTCCTGCTGACAAGCCATTCTCGCCCGAATTCACGTATCAGGTGAGCGCCTAGCGCCTAGTTCCACTCTGCTGTACAGCTTCTTCTAACGATCCTTACACCCTGCGCAGGTCGGTTTCGGCCAAGAAGAGACAATCTTCGGCTACACAAACCTCTCCATCCTTCTCACCTTCTCGGCTTCCTCTCTGCTCCCCCTCCTGTCCGTCAACTTTTCAACAGTAAACGAGGCGACGACTGCCAAGATCGATGACATCCCTGCCATTCTGAGCGAGTTTCTCCCGCCGGACCATACCATTGACGCCGAGGAGCATGCAAAGAAGCTGGAGGAGGATATCAAGGGATGGAAACCGCTGGGTGACAAGGTAGGGGAATACAGTAGGCCAGGTGGGGCCTCCAAGGGGAAGGGGAAAGCAGGGAGTAAGAGACCTGCGCCGGGGACTTCGGCCAATGGAGCTGCATCCTCCTCATCGTCCTCGTCAGCAGGCGCAGCTGCTGGCGATAGCGATGCCCTGCATTTCGAGATCTATCGCAGCAATTGGCAAACTCCAGGCTGGCGAGACTTCCATCGTCGTATGCAGATCTTCGCCCTCTTCTTCATCGAAGGGGCGAGCTATATCCATGAGGATGAGGGGAACTGGGAGTGGTTGACTACCTGGCAGCGCTGGGTCGATGACGAGGGAAGGACGCGATGGGCTTTCGTGGGCTACACCAGGTGAGCGTGCACCGAGTCCAGGCTGAAGCCACATTGCTCTATGGCTGATCATTCTGCCTCTCGTCGTCGCCACGCACAGCCTTTACCGCTTCTGGCACTACCCTTCCTCAGCCCGTCTGCGCCTCTCACAGTTCATCATCCTCCCGCCCTATCACAAGCAAGGGCACGGCTCCCGCCTCTACGCACACGTCTACGCTCAAGCGCAAGCAGACGAAGCCGTCACCGAGCTGACAATCGAGGATCCCAACGAGGCATTCGACCAACTGCGCGATACGTGCGATCTCAAGACACTCTTGCAGCCTGGAGGCATCGTTGCGCAGATGAAAGAGGAGCAGCCGGAGAGGGGAGGCATTGGAGCACCACTGGGAAAGGCAAGGAGCGAGCGATGGAGATTGAAGGCAAAGATTGCAAAGAGGCAGTGGAGTCGGTTGATTGAGATGCTCCAACTCATGGAGCTCGACCCTTCAGACCGGGCCGCTATCAAGGCGTACAGGCTGCAAGTCAAGGCAAGGCTGTACCGCTTCAACAAGGTGCGTTGGCGCACGTACGCTACAAGAGTTCTCCTTCATCGCTGACCTGCAAATCCTCTCCCCGCGTTTTTTCCCCCTCGCAGGACGTTCTGACCGACCTTCCGCTCTCGGAGCGTCATCAAAAGCTGCAAGAGACGTACGAGAATCTTCTCGAGGCAGAGTATGGGGAGTTGGTTGGTGTGGATGTTGAGCCCTTTCTCGATGGTCCGGACAGTAGTAGTAGCGATGGGATGGGGAACGGGGTAAAGAGATTCAAGGGGGATGATGATGAGTGAGAGAGGGGAGAAGCGGCGTGGGCATTTACCCCGCAGGCCGTCGTCAGTCTGCTCGTCTCATCACTCTGTGTCAACACCATCGAGATCTGTACGCGCGCTTGCCAAAGTAACAGCCTTTCTTTAATGTTGTTAAGGTCGAATCGTGGAATGACGAGGGTTGAACTTGCGAGGGAGGAGCGAATGAACGGAACCTTTCCCACTTCCGCGCCACTTTCCTGTCCGTCCCGCCGGCGACTTTCTTTTTGGTTCAACTTGACCTCGAATCCGCTCCATCAATTTCCCAAGATCGCAACGTTGCAAGCATGAGCGGCTCAGCAGGCCCTTCAACGCCGCTAACAAGCGCGGTGCCGACTACTGCAGCGGCAAGATATCTTCTGGCCGCTGCTATTGGCGCATCGACTCTCTTGGCGGCCCAGCACATCAGTCAGAAGAGCGGGGGGAAGAAGAAGAAGGGAAAGAGCAAACCTCAGGGGAGGATCATCGAGGGTGACAACGACGAAGCTGGACCGTCAAGCTCAGAGCCACGAGCGACGATAGCCAGACCGGGCGTCGTCAGAGGCGTAGCAGGCTTGATCGGCAACACGCCACTCATGCGAATCGAGAGTCTGTCTGAGCTAACGGGATGCGAGATCCTGGTGAGCGTCAAAACGTCTGGAGAGCAAGCTTGCCCTCGACCTTGGCAACTGACTTCTCCTTCCCCTACCCTTCTCCTGCAGGGCAAAGCAGAGTATCTCAATCCCGCTGGCTCGCCGAAGGACCGTGTAGCGCTGCAGATCCTACTCGATGCCGAGAGCTCCAACCTCCTTATCCCGCACAGCGGCGACACGGTCTTTGAAGGCACCGTCGGATCCACTGGAATTTCTTTGGCCACCTTGTGTCGCGCCAAGGGGTACAAGTGCGCCATAGTCCTACCGGACGATGTAGCTACGGAAAAGGCTCAGCTGCTCGAGAAGCTTGGAGCACAAGTCAAGAAGGTCAGGCCGAGGGGGATTGTGGACCCAAGGCATTTCGTCAACGAGGCGAGGGCGAATGCGATTGCATTCGAAGATGAAGAGGCTGAGAGGGAGAGGGACGGTCAGGAAGGGACGAGACGGCCGAGAGGCTTCTTCGCTGACCAGTTCGAGACGACCTCCAACTTCACTGCTCATTATCGTGGCACGGGACCGGAGATCTGGGCTCAATGCGGAGGTGGGAGCGACGATACGAGGCGACCGCAGCTCGATGCATTCGTTGCAGGGGCGGGAACAGGTGGCACACTGAGCGGAGTAGCGGCTGCACTGAGGGAGAGAGAGGTCAAGGTGGCTACAAGGGAAGCGATACGGGAGCAGAAGGCAAAATCATGGTGGTGGCCCCTTCGATGGCTCGGCAGCACGGATGATGACGAGCCACAAGCCTCTCGTGAAGCAGCTCTTGAAGAGCATGCTAGCATTCGCATCGTCCTAGCCGATCCTCATGGCTCAGGCCTCTTCAACAAGGTGCGCATGTACGATCCGGGCTGAGTACACCTCTGCCACGCTCACTCTCCTTCAATCTCTCGCTTTCTCACTCGCGCAGGTCCACCATGGCGTCATGTACTCCTCGACCGAAGCCGAAGGTACGCGGCGTCGTCACCAAGTAGACAGCATTGTCGAGGGAATAGGCATGAACCGCATCACACGCAATCTTTCCTTCGGCGTCCACCTGGTAGACGACGCCGTGCGCGTGCAAGATGAGGAGGCGGTCCGCATCAGTCGATGGCTCAGCGTACGTGACGGGCTCTTCGTCGGGTCAAGCAGCTGCGTCAATGTGGTTGCCGCGGTGAGGACTGCATTGAGGTTGAAAAAGGAATGGGAGGAGAAGGGAAAGGAGGGGAGGCCGACCGTCGTGACCATTCTGTGCGATTCGGGCGTGAGGCACTTGTCCAAGTTTCATAATGTGAGTGGGTGCGGCAATGAAGGTCGAGGGTATAACGCTGACGCTTCTACTTCCCTGCCGCATGCAGGACGAGATCTTGGCTAGGGACTACGGCATCCAAGTACCAGCTGATGCGATGGATGTGGACATCTCCGACATCCTGCGGCCTTAAAGCCATCGCGCTGCGCAACGCCAATGCCAATACACGATGTGACTTTCGGTTTCATTTCTCTTGTCTGGCCTAACTGCTACTTGCCGCCTCGCCACTGCGCCTCCTTGGGTGCGATGACGATCTTCTGGAAGGCGATGAGGCCGATCGACAGGAGTGAGAAGCTGCGCGGCGGATCGAGTGGATGGAGGACATCGAGTGAGATGATGATGAGAAGGGCGGAATGAACCTTGCTACTCCTTGCACTCACGCAAGACTCATGTAGGGCCCACCTGTCGAGTCGGACGAGTTCTTTCGTACGCTCAGTGGCTTGTGGTGGGCGAGATGTGCGAGGGCGACTGCGATTGCGATGACGCCCAAGGTCAGATTGAACAGACTCTCGCTCTCGCATCTACCGCCTCAGCTCACTCACAGATCAGTCCAATGTACGCCAACTGAGGCAACCTTGTAATGATCGCTCCACCGGAAATCATGCTCGCCGAACCGAGAACGCTACCATAGATGTCGAAGGACTCCTCCCTCCACGCGCGAGGCAGGGTGAAGGGCCTCACACGATCGAAGCGGCGTGGATCTGAAGTGTCGATTGGGGGCGGAAGAGCTGGTGATGATGATGACGACATGCTGTGACGAGGCTACGGCGATGGCCGGCAGCAAATTCAGACGATCAGACGAGATCGAGCAGGTGGAAGCAAGATGGAGGGAGGACTGCAAAGAGAGAGGCGAGGAGCGAAGGTTGCATCGCATGGCCAGCTCTGTCCGCCCGGCCGGCCATCGACTTCCCCGCACCGCAGAGAGCCAGCCACGCACGCTTAGGCAGACAAGGCCAATCGATTCGACTCAGAAGAGGACCATGGTAACGAGCGCGAGGAGAAGCATGAGGTCCTGCAAGCAGGGCTCGAAACTCGACCTTTGGTGAGCAGCGCACAGAAGGTGTTCATCTGGAATTGATAGCTCAAGTCTCGAGCCTCGTGGCTTCATGAATCGGCGTCCGGCCGGAGGTTGATTGAAGTGAGAGAGGGCGGACTGAGACAAAAGTCGGGCGCGGGCGCGGGAGGCACGAGGCTGTGGAATTCCATCCATTGTGTCTCGTCAATTTCCAATCCATCCAACATCCCTCATCCTTTGTTCTGCCGCATAGGTGCAGCAGAGCAACCATCACCGCAAGCTTATTCGAGCTCGGCGGCCGTAGAGCACAGCACCATGCCGCCGACGTAGAATGCCAAGTGCGAGGGCACAGAAAGCAGGCCGTGGACGGCCGGCGACTAGAGGACAAGGGCGAGCGAATGACGCCAGAGAACAACACAAGCACTAGGCGCGGACAGGGGACAGGGAAGAAGGCGGATAGGCAAACGAACGTAGCCTTAGGCGCCACTCGCTGCTACGTGTCGGGCGACAGTCAGCCAACACAAAGCGCAGACACACACAGAGACAAGGTCAAAATTGGCCCTTCATTCGAGGCCTTGTCTCACTCTGATTTCGATGACAAAGAGACGCCGCCGGTCTGTACAAGTCTACTGCCCGCCGCTCCGGCCAATCCGGCCCCCGATGGCGCAGAGAAGCTCGCGGAGGTTGCGTCGTGTCCGACAGCGTCGATCACTCAGACCGATCGATTGACCAGAGGCAGAACAAAGCTACGTAGCTTGCTCTGCCGCTCGCCCGTCGTTCGCATGACTTCTACCGGAGAGCCAATCATAGATCATTCCCAGCAAATCTCGGCGCCACGCCCGCTGCGTCATGTTTCCGATGCCGCCTTTACAGGACAAAGGTTGCAGCATGGCTGGGAGCGTAGACGGTCGGTGAGCAATAGGGCACGGCAAGCAGCGGCAAGCAGCGGCAAAGGTCTGCATCAGCATCTCGCACCTGCACACACTCCCACCTCCTCTGACGTACACGTACTTACCGTAGGAGGCGGAGCGTCGGCCGTTCGCTCTTTGTCCCTCACTTTAGTCTATCCCCGCAGACGGCAGGTGGCGGAGTGATTGGGTTCGATTGTAGATGCCGTGCAAGGACAAGCGGTGCGTCGTCGTCAGTCAGCAAGCTGCAAGCTGCGACTGCATGCCTGCTTCTATGTCCTGCCTCATAAGGATGATTAGCCAGACGACGGCGAGTTGGCCGGCCCCCCCTTCTCCTTCTTACCACCACCACCAACCTTCTCGTGTCCCGTCGTCGCGTTTCCCTCTCCTCCCTCCTTCTCGATATACCACTTCTTCCCCCTCTGGCCAGGGATTAGCTAGTGCGGCATCACCTCCCCCCTCTTCTCGGTTTGACATCGAAAGAGCTGCTTGCCTAGCGAACTGAACGATAGAACCGCAACGACTTCCATCAACGCCGTCACCTCTTTCATCAACATCTTGGACACCTGCTAGTCAGATCCTTGATCACGCCCTCACGGTTCTCCCTCTTTCAGCCCCTGCGCATTCTCTTTACGACCACAGACTCCTCAGAGCCTTGGACATTTGTTAACGACCCGCACGACTCGGACGCACGACATTCTTTCCGTACATACACAGAGGCTGGTCGTAAGTACACGAGCGTCAGCGTCACGGTGTACAGCTACAGTGATGCTGACGCGCTTCCCCTGCCCTCTACTCCCAGCTCTACATTCTCCCTCATCACCCCCACCAGCATAACCCAGCATGACCGCGCTCAGCCTCCAATTCCTGCACCTCCTCGTTCTCATCCTGTCCATCGGCTCGCTCGAGCCTATGGGTGGCGGCGGAGGAGCACCGATGGGCGTGGCTGCTCTTCCAGTGTCACGCCGTGGCTCATTGGCAGACACTTCTGGCTTTCTCGAAGATCGGTCGAGCAGAGCTGGTACGCCTGCTGGCGATGATTCAGAGACTAACTTCCCCATACTTCACCGTCGCGCTGGGTCAATATCGGAGGGCTCTAGCATTCCGCTGAAGCGCATGGACCCAAAAGCGAACGGCGCCCATCCCCAGATGGTGAGTCAGTGCGAAACTGCGGCGTGCTCGACTTCTCAAGCTGATTTCACCTGCTCTGCCCCGTCGCGCAGCTGCTACAACACCACATCAACATGGCAAATGCGAAACTCACTCGCATGCGCCAGCGGGAGAGGGGCTCCTTTTCCGACCAAGACAGGCGAGACGCAATGATGCGTAGGCGGTCGGCCATTCTGGGCGACATGGAGAGGCGGTCGGTCAGCTTGAGCGAGCGTGCGCCCAAGCGGACTGGACGAGTCGGCTTTGCCGCTGGGCATGGAAAGCATGCCGAGGTGGCGGCCGAGAAGACTGGCCGGCGCGCAGTAGACGCGGCAGTCGAAGAGGCGCACGGAGGAGGCGACGGCGAGGTCGATGAAGAGGATGGTCGTGAAGATGACGACGACGATGGCGAAGAAAACGGGGAGCTAAGCAGGCGCGAGATTCCAGACGAAGCTACCCCCCACAATTTGGCTCCCTCGGCCATCGTGCCGAACCTCGCCACGGATGGCTCCATCTACGGCGCCAACCAGCATGATGCCAGCAAATTCAAGCTGGTCAGCACCAGCGCCTGCTCGTCAAAGAAGAGCAAGTCCACGGGCACTGCGGCTGACAGTGCTGTAGCGAACAAGGTCAACAACGCGAAGGCGTCCAGCTCGTCTTCCTCTTCATCATCGAAGTCTACCCAGGGCTACGATGTGGCCTCGAACGGCTTTTCTTCAACGGCGCTAAAGGCTTCATCCAGCAGCAACTTGATCAAAGCCTCGACACCTAAGACGCAAGGCTCTCTCGCCCTGGACATCGAGGCAAACGACGTCGGCTACATCGCCTCTGTAACAATCGGCACGGCGGGTACCTTCAATCTCCTCGTCGACTCCGGCTCAGCCGACACTTGGGTCGCGTCGACGATGTGCACCAACTGCTCCAACTCGCACAAGAAGCTAGGAAAAAGTACCTCATCTTCCTTCAAGGGGATCCGTCCGCAAAAGAACTTCAGCATTACGTACGGTACGGGCGACGTTGCCGGGCATTTGGGCAATGACACCTTGACGATCGGCAAATACAAGCTTCCCAACCACACTTTCGGTCTGGCTACGGACGAGTCTGAGGACTTTTCCGACTCTTCTGTGCCATTTGATGGCTTGATGGGTCTGGCCAAAGTCTCCCTCGCGAGCACCAAGACGCCCACACCCATCGATTCGCTCTACTCAACCGGTCAGGTCAAGCAGCCCGTCATGGCCTACCACCTGGGTCGCGCCGCTGACGGCAAGAACAATGGAGCGGTGACCTTTGGGGGTGTCGATGCCACCCTGTTCAGCGGCTCCCTGACGGAATTGCCAAATGTCTCGAACCAAGGCTTTTGGGAGGTCAATCTCGATAGCGTAGGCTTCGGTGGCAAGTCGATCAGTTTGGATGGATCGCAGCAACGCACGGCTATCCTTGACACGGGAACAACGCTCATCGTTGCCCCTCAGGCTGATGCTGATGCTCTGCACTCTGCGATTCCTGGAGCCAAGTCTGATGGGCAGGGAGGGTACACAATCCCCTGCACGACGGCCAAGCAGGTCTCCTTCACCTTTGGAGGGAAGCAATGGCCTATCGATGCGAGGGATATGACCTTCTTACCCGTGGATGACAACAATCCCAAGGGAGACTGCATCTCGTCGATCTCGGCAGGGTCGGTAGGCGCAAAGGGCGAATGGCTGGTCGGTGCCGCTTTCCTCAAGAATGTCTACTTTGCCACCAACTCCAAGAGCAACACCATTGCGCTTGGCAAGCTGTCGTAGACGCGAGTAGGTCTCGGTGGTGCCGAAGGTCTTGTTGATCGTGTAGATACCGGTGTTCGTGGATCTGATGCAATGAAGTCGAGTGTCGTCCCTTAACGCCTGTTTTCTCGAGTGCCTCTTGTCGATTGCTTTGCCTCTGGACCCTTGGGCCTCCACATCGTCGCGCCGAATCGAGGTGTGCGGCTGCATCTCAACGCGTTTGTCTGACGCAGCCGCCGATTTGGACGCCTTTGTCTTTGCTCCATCGACCTCAGTTGCAGCTTCTTCCTTTGATCGTTATTTCATCCATCCATTATTTCCACTCATCGACGCATGCTCTCGCGTCTCTTCGGACGACTCTGCATCCACGCCACGACTACGACCAGAAGCAGAGCATCCGCACTCTCCCTGTCTCCTCATCGTCACGCCACCTACACTACGTTGACTTCGCGCATCGCAGCAATGCCATCCGTCGTTGAAGCTCGCCGCTCGTCGAGGCGCAGCATAAGCAACGCTACCGCAAAGACAGCAGCCGCCCTGGCCGATGTTTCTGACAGCGACGACATGTCTGCCACACCACCTCCAGCCCCAAAGAGGAAGAGGGGAAGGCCGTCGGCGGCGGCGGCGGCAGCAGCAGCAGCAGCAGCATCTAAGGCTGCACCATCAATCCAGTCCTCTCCCGGCACGCCAGATACTCAGCATACATACGAAGGCAACACCGACGGAGATGCGTCCGCCTCCTTTTCCCCCACATCATCCGCACTCTCCTCACCCGAGCCAGAGGTATCCAGCTCCTCACCTCGAACGGCAGGCAAATCCAAATCCAAGTCCAAATCCACGCCTACCAAGTCGAACGCAATCGTAGCCGACGAGCCCGAGCTTGATTCAGATGGCGAACCTGTCAGACGAGCGAAAAACGGCCGCAAGCTTCCCAAGAAAAAGGCCAAGAAGGAAAAGGTGTACATCATCCCAGAGGTGGCCGAGTATCGCGATTTTTCCAAAGAGTACCGACCAGAGGACATTGTGGCGCAGCAGCAGCGTAGCGCCGGATTTAGAGGCAGGTTGGGTTACGCTTGCTTGAACACGGTTCTGCGCACACAAGACCCGCCCATCTTTTCCTCCCGAACGGCAAGGCTCAAGACCATCGACGAGAAGGGACTCGACTTCGTCAAGGACCTCGCGCGTCAGAATACCCGAGACATCATTCCCATGCTGCGCTGGAATGCTGAGCACGGCATCCGCTTCATGCGCTTGTCGAGTGAGATTTTTCCCTTTGCCGGGCATGCAACTCATGGCTACTCGCCGGACTGCGCTAGAGAGGAGCTCGCTGAAGCGGGCCGAGTTGCGAGAGAGCTCAATCACCGCTTAACGATGCATCCTGGCCAATTTGTGCAACTGGGCTCGCCCAATGAAAACGTGGTCACAGCGTCCATCCGCGATCTCGAGGTGCACGCCGCCGTGCTCGACTTGATGGGCATGGACCAGGATAGCGTCATGATCATTCACGGCGGAGGTGTGTACGGGGATCGCGCTGCCACTCTCGAGAGGATGCGCACCAATATCCGCGACAAGCTCCCCGAATTTGTGCGTCGACGCCTCGTACTAGAGAACGACGAAATTATGTGGGCCGCAGAGGAGCTCCTGCCCGTCTGCGAAGAATTCGACATCCCCATGGTCTTCGACTTCCACCACGATATGCTCCGCCCCTCCGCCAAGTCTCCGCGCGAACTCATGCCTCAACTCCTCGCCCTGTTTCAGCGCAGAGGCATCAAGCCGAAATTTCACCTGTCGCATCCAAGGCCAGGCTCGCGCAACTTGAGGGAAAGGAGGGCGCATGCTGATCGTTGCATGTCTCTACCGCTCGATTTGCCGGCGGATGCGGATCTGATGATTGAGGCCAAGGACAAAGAGCAAGCCGTCTTTGAGCTCTTCCGCGTCTACAAGTTGTTTGACGTACCCCACAAGGCGCTTCGCCCACCTGCAGACGACATCAGCGCTGCTACTTCTGGACGTCGCCGCGTGCTCAATGGCTCGGGTGGGACTGTGGCAGAGGATGGTGGCGAGGAACCTGCCAAGCTGACAGCGCAGGAGAAGGAGTCAGAGCAAGTCCGCAAGAGCATCGAGCATGCCAAGAAGATCGCGGCGAAACATGGTCGCAAGTGGGAAGGGCCCGAGTGGATCGACCCCAATGAGCGCACGGGGAGCGTATTGAGCACAGCGCAGACTATCGAAATAATGGAGAGAGAGGCGGCAGAGATCCGGGAGGAGCTGGGACGCAGGAGTGGCAGGTCGATGAGTGAAATCAGGGAAGAGGTAGAGGATCGAGTCGAGGGGAAGGATCGACCTGGCCGTGTCAAGAGGGGAGCGGCTGCTGCGGCCGAGAAGGCTGCGATGAAGGAGGAAGAAGAGGGAGGAGATGACGAGGACGAGCGGCCTGACGCTACGGAGAGGGAGGTGCCCGGCGAGGAGGAGGGGGTGCCGTACACACCCAAGACTCCTCCGCCGAAGAAGCGTGCAGCGCCCAAGAAAGGTGGGAGGGGCAAGCAGAGCAACGGCGGCGAGGTCGTGGAGAAGGATCATGCGGAAAACCCAAAGCTGAAGGTGCCCATCATCGCGCCTTCGAGCGCAGAGAACGTCGAGCGGGTCCTATCGTAACCTGTCATCATCGAGTAACCTGCCACACTGTAGCACAATGTCGCCTCTTCTTGTCTTATGTACGATCAATCGGTATTCACATAATAACGAGCAATGCAAGACCAACGGCTTTCGCTGCATCGTACGCTAGACGCGTCTCTTCCCACATCCTGATCACTCGTCATCGTCATCGTCATCGTCATCGTCATCCTCATCATCGCTGACCTCGACTCCCTTCTCCTTGAGTGCAGCTTTGTCCTTCTTGCGCTTGGTGCTCAGCTCATCCAGCATAACCAGCAGGTCTTGGTTCTCCTGCTCGAGCTCGGAGACACGGGCTGATGATGAGGCGGAGTCCTCCTTGGCGGCAGGGTTGGACTCGCTGCTCCTCTCCTTGTCCACCGCTGCGGCTGCCGCTGCTGCTGCCTTTTGCTCTTCGACCTGCTTTTTCAAAGCCTCAACCTGCTCGTGCCAGTCCTTGCGCTCCTCCTCGTGCTTCTTGCTCGCCTCCTCCAATTGCTGGCAAAGCTTCGCACTCTCCTCATCCTGCGCAGCTTTGCCGCTCGTCTCCTTCTCAGCTGTCTCCGCCTTCATCTTTTCGAGGGCAGCCTCAAGCGCCACGACCTGCTCCCTCGCAGCCGCAAGAGCAGAAGAATCTCCTTCACCCTGTCGTGTAGCTGCAGCGCGTACATTCTCCAGCTCGGAGCGATGTGACTCCTCTGCGCCTGTGAGCTGCGTCGTGTGCTCGTTGCGAAGCTTCTCCAATTCGGAGGAGTGATCACCACGCAGCTTCTCCAATTCCGCCTCCCCTCCCTTGCCCTTCTCCTCCAACTCTGCTACCTTCGCTCGCAATTCCTCAACCTCCTTCAGCGTCTCCGTCACCAGTCGTCCCCTCGTCTCCACCTCATGCTGAAGCGTCTTTCCTTGATCCGTCAGCTGCTCGATGCGACGGTGTGCATCCACGAGCTCAGCAGGTGAGCTAGAAGCTTGAGCGCTCGTGGTTGTCGGGGGAACGAGGATCGACTGAGCGATGGTTGAGCTCTCGTGGCGGTACAGCTCGGCGAAGGACCAGTCGAAGTAGAGGTCTGAGCTGGCCGCAGCGGACGCAGGAGTATCCTCGTCTGCTGAAGCGGCGGGCATAGCTGTTGAGCCAGTCGCAGTGGCGTTGTTGTCCTTGTTTCTCAGCCCAAGGTGAGCCATAATGCTCTCCTGCTGTCCCTGTCCCGCGTCGCCCTTGACCAGTGCAGCATGAATCGGGTCGATCGAGTTGCGGTGTGCCACCTTGTCCAGCACATCCGGCCCCACGAGCTTCAACCGCGCATCGTCGCGCAATCTATCCAGCCTTGCTTGGAACTGATCAGCTCCAATACGGGAGGTGACGAGATCGTGAATCTCTTGGCGAGTGATCATCTCGCTGTCGCCTTCGCCAGCTTTCTTGTGCTTCCCATCCGCGCTGGGTACCGGTCCCCACTCATAGATCGTCCCCAATACCCACGTGCCCATTCCCACGAGCAGATGCTCCCCATTAGCCCCCTCTGCGACCAGCTGCACGACTGCCTGCAGATTGCTCGAGTCCCCAACCAGATCCGCCACACTTTTGGGGCTCGAGTGTAACCACAGTGCTAGCAGCGTGAGGTGAGACAGGAGAATGCGTGTCCATGAAACACTTGTTGGCCCCTTTGCCGGGGAAGAGGAGGATTGACTGCGCTCCAAGCGGACAGCTTCGGATTGAGAGCGCAGAGAGAGGGTGATATTGCCGATCAGGAGGGAGAGGAGGGATGCGGCTTCATCGTCGTCGTCTCCATCCCGGCTTGGTTTGACTCCTTCCTCCTCGGCGGGGAGAAGCACTACCTTGCCATCCGCAGCATAGCGCAACCGTCTCGCTAGGTCCTTGACACTCTCCGCGCCCTTGAGCACCGTGCCCAATATGATGCTTGCAAACAGATTCCGGAACTCGTCGAACCCTTCTGCTTGGCCATTGGGCGGAAGGATGGTCAACGCTTCGAGGAGCACGGCGCCCGGCTGATCCTCTGGTCTTGTCTCATCAGAATGAGCCATGGACGCAACAACGAAGAGTCGCGCATCGATGTTGTCGCTGAGAATGCTCTGCAGTGCCTTGATGGCTGCAGCGCGGAAGCCGAGGAGAGAGCGGTAGCCACCATCTATGGGCCGAAGGGGTGGAGGGATCCCGTTGAGTGCTGCGTTGATGAGTGCAACGAGAGCTGACTGCGGTGGGAGGCGAGCATACTCGATGATGCCTTGCGCAGGTGCCCCTGCAGGGGTCGCGGCGAGGGTGGCCTTCTCACTGTCACCTCCTTCCGCCGATGCGGGCAGCGCAGCCATATCAGCCGCTACTTGAGTCTTGATCGGCTCGACCGGATGGACGCTCGCCTCGCCCAGTGCGTCTTGCACATTCCTACTCTGCTTGAGAAGGAGCGACAGGACGTGCAGCGACTGTGTCTTGAGACTGAGGGGTGCGGAGGATCCAAGAGCCAAGTCGAGGAGAGCATTGAAGAAGCCCGTAGATAGGAGCGCATTCTGATTGGCGCGCTTGCCCTCGCCCGTGCCCTGCACAAGGAGCCCCGCGATCCCCACGACAAGCTGAGCATTGATGAGCTTCTGCGAATCGCCGACGACATTGGGTCCCTTGCTTGCTCCTTCTTTGCCGTCCGCAGCAGCGGCGTCCTGCCCCTCTTCTTGACCAAACTCGTCGGTCCCATCATACTCCCATGGCTGGAATGCGAAGCGCTCCAATTCTTCGTTGCGCTGTGTTGCTAGAGAGGGAGGCGCGTTTGGCGGTAGAGGGGGCGGGTAGAAGAGGAGTGGGGCGAGGAGGGGGATCGAGAGGGTTTCGCGGAAGTAGTTCTGCGAGAGAGCCAGGGAGTGATGAGGATCAGCGACGGTGCTGAGTCGTGGAAGGCGTCGCGCATGCTCACCTGGTTGGACACATTGTATCGCAGCAGCGCCTCGAGTGCTTCCAGTGCGTCTTGCACAACTACGCCTCCTTCCACCCTTCCCTCTTGGGCGACGACGTCCAGCAGCTTCTCAAAAGCGCCTTCGAATGCGATTAATTTCTGAATGTCGGCATTCGAGTCGACGAGGTGGGGCAGGAGCAAGAGTGCCTCGTTGCGAATGATCTCCGCGCTGGACCCCAATGAATGACCAGTGGTAGGCGACGTGGTTGCGAGGCACTCCAAGATAGCGCCACATCCGCCTGGAGAGGTGAGAACGTGTGCTTGCACGAGCTGCTTGCGATGTCGGAGGACGAGGGCGAGGAGTTGAAGGGATGAGAAGCGTAAATAGAAGGTGCGACCTGGTGCTAGCAAGGGAAGCAGAGCGTGGAGAGGAGCTGACGTCTCGAGTAAGAGATCGAGGGCTGGAGCAGCAGGGACGTGTGCCTGACGATGTTGATGCTGACCTTTGCGGTGTTGAGCCTGCTCAGGTGGGGTGCATACAAGGACGAGGCAGTCGATGAGCGATTTGGCCACATCGTCGTGAGCGCTATCGGCGGGAGCAGCTCCGACGTCCTTTGTCAAGCATTCTACCAGCCCCTTGCCAGCGTGAGTTGCGACCTGCAGTGGGTGATCTTTAGCCAGTCCCTTCAAGCTGAGGATGGCAGCTCGACGCTCTTGGAGAGGATTCTCCGCCTTGGACGCAGCAGCCAGGCGTTGGGTGAACGTCTCGATTGCCTGAATGAGCGAAGAGTTGGCCGCCGACCCCTTGGAAAGGGCCGAGTATTTGTCTGCTAGCCAGCCGACGCCGTGTAGCATGGCGAGGGGGGCGAGATGGAGAAAGGGGAGTAGGAGGAATTGATGGACGAGAGCAAAGTCAACCAAAGTCCAGTCGTGCGTGTGACAAAGTGGACCGAGCGTGCGTGCGTGCGTGCGTGCGTGCTCGCGTCCAACGAGGCCCGAGCGCTCGCCACGTGGTTGTCTGATTGCATGGCTCGAGCGTCCTGTGAGGCGGACTCAGCGACTGGGCGGGCGTCGGTCTCTTGGTTGTCTCTTCTCTCTATCAAGCATCTCTCACTATGCTCATCAAAATTAAGACGCTGACTGGTGAGTGCAGCGTTCCAGCGAAGCAGCCTACATCCCCTTCTGACACTTCTTAACGCTCTCAGGCCGCGAGATTGACCTAGACATCGAGCCAAATGATAAGGTGAGTCCTTTAGTGACGCGAAATGCCCACAAATGCTGCGACCAATCGCTCACTCACACCCTGTCCACATGACAAGGTGGCACGTCTCAAGGAACGTGTAGAAGAGAAGGAAGGGATCCCACCTGCTCAACAGCGACTCATCTTCGGAGGCAAGCAAATGTAAAGACGGCCGAGGCGTGTTTCAAGTACGAGGAGATCAGCTGATGTATCTCCTCCGGCACTCTACGCGCAGGCACGATGAGAAGAGCGTAGTCGATTTCGGCGTCGAAGGAGGATCCGTGCTGCATGTGAGTAGGCATCAGGGAGTCGGAGGTGTCGTCAACACTAACTCACGATGTTGACGCCGCCTCTTCGTCGCCACGCAGCTCGTCCTCGCTCTGAGGGGTGGTAGCATGTAGGTGGCCTTGCTAATTGGCTAGAATGACAAGCATGTGAGCATTCGCTGCAGTCTTTGAGTACCCCGAGAAAGGTATGACAGCTCGCCATCGTCTGCTATGGGGACTCGAGTGGCCATGACATCGTTGCAACAGAGAGTACGGCTCACAGGGCGGAGGGGAGAACTATGAAGTCTGACCTGCCTGCATTGCTGCCCTCTTCGGCTGCAACGCTGGGGCCACCAACGTTCCACCCTCCGATTCTCGATTTCAGCCCCTCTTCCGCTTCTTGCACGCCGCATCAGTCTCGTTACGAGATCGTCGCCGCCATCGCCGTATCCCTCTGAACGATGAACGAGAGCCATAGACAAGAAGGATGGGCAACCAGGCCTCGCGCCACGTGGTTTGTGCCGCGTCATCCAATTAACACGAGCGAGCGAGAAACAGATTGTGCGCATCTCTCCGCTCCCATTCATTTCACCACCTAAACCTTGGTCATCCGCTCTCATGCATCAAAACACTACCGGTCGCACGCTAGTCGTACAAGAGATCGAGATGCTTTCGTGTGCGCATCTTGCTCAGCCTGGCCTTCAGGCTCGGTAGCGGCGGCCCTCTTCGCCCTCCAAGACGCGGATCAGCTCCCTTCGTTTCCTTAACTCTGTTCACGACGTACTTTTGAAGCACCGGGCAGTCGGGCTCGAAACACAGACAAGGGACGACTCCGCCCGCAGAATTGATCACACCCTCGACGTCTTGGTGACACTTTGTTTTTTACACGGTCCCAGCAATCTCGACTTTCGCCTCGATGCCGGCAATGCCGCAACCTTCCTCTTCTCATCACCCTGCAGAGCTGGCTCCTCCTACTGCTCCTATACAACCACGGTCACGTCCATGTGCATCTGACTCTCAACCCCTTGGGGCACTCCCGACTTCGGTGGCCTGCCTCTCGGCCTCTTTACTTTGGCAGCATCCGCCTCCGCCCCCGCCTTGATCAAGGCTGCCCGCGCGTCAGCTTCGACGATGGACTTGAATAACGGAATGGCACGATGATCTCTGCGGATCGCCTTCAAGGTGCCCTCTGAATTTGGCTTCATATCCAGGTCTACGCACTGCGTCTTATGCGGTAGCAAACACCTCTGAGGGCCATGATCGCACGTCGTCTCATCCGTATGGCCTCTGCACCGATTCCGCGCTTCATTGTGAGACTGCAACTCAACGACTAGGTGGTCTGGATGGATGCACTGCCTGTTGTGGCAGAGATGGGAGACGTGCTTCTTGCCCTCCACTGTCTCGAGGGCTTCGTGGACTCGGCCTTGGGCGATGAGCATCAGAGTGGTCAGTCGGAACTCGTGGCCGTAGAATTTGCCATGCTGGTCAGGAGACTCCCGCAGATCGACCTTTGGATAGGCACACGTAGCCGATGTTCTTGCTACTACGCAGCCTAGCAAGTTGCTGTCGTCGGTCGTGCGCTTTTCGCAGAGGCGGAGGCACAGTAGGTCTTCTCTTGCCGCGAGGCGACGATAGCTGAGGGAGCGCAAGCAGCAAGGAGGGGCCAGGGAAGCGAGGTCAGACAGCTATTCAGCGCTTGCCCACAAATGGAGGACTCACGCATCCCTAATGGAGTCAGGATTGGACCTTCGCAATGGCGAGCTGGTCGGAGAGCTGCTCTGGGAGCTGCCCTGGCTATACACTGCGGCTTCAGCAGCTACAGGCTGCTGCGTTGCCTCCTCTACCGTCTGAGCGGCAATGATGGCCGACGCATCGGGCTGAGGAGGCCTCGTTCGACTGGGCCTATAGCTGGTCTGGTCGCAATCGGCCGGTTCTGCAAGCTCTTCTTCCTCCTCGTTCGCCTCGATTAAGGCACCCTCCTCATCATATGGCGAAGTTGGCCTCGAGGATATCGGGTTCCATTCGCTCCCACTGTCCTCCGTATCGCTCTCGCTATCGGACATCAGCTGCTCGGCCAGCCTCTGACGATCCGACACCTGGCGTTTCCGTAACTGATACACTGATGGCGAGCTTGCAGCCTGCACAAACCCGTGCGGCGGCGTCGACAATGCAGAGGCTGCCGTTGACGAACGCCCATGCGGCGATGACGACAGGACCGACGATTCTGCGCGAGGCTGCGAAGGCAGCAATGCCGATGGCGGCGGCATGTAGGGAATCAATACCACTGGCGAGTCAGGCCGCGACCAAGCTCTTGCCGTGCGAGCTGGGTGCGACTGCGAGGAGCGAGCAGCGAGAGCAGTTGACGTCGTTGTTGCACTGTGAGGCGCAGACCCGGCTTCCTCGTCTGCGCCGACATTTTCACTGATGTCAGACTCTTGCTCACATCGCGACTGGTGTCTTTGAAGCTCGCGCAGCTGATTGGTGTAGACTCTTGCGAAGCGGTTGAGGTTTTGGAGGGACATACGTGGGGAAACAGAGCGAGGCTGGGAGCGCAGACGTGAGCGTGTGGAAGGAGCCATGCTGAGCAAGTCTTGAGGAGGGCAATGCTGAAAGGCAGAAGACGGTCGCAAGAGTCAAAGATCCTTGTCCTTATCTCTTTCAGTCGTCGCTGCAACGAACGTTGCGTGCCAGACCTCACATCGCCATCGATCACTCGTGACCCTCTTCGATGACCCGCTTCTTCCTGTCTCGATCTCTAGGACCGCAACCGTTGAAGTGCCCTTCGTCCCAGGTGAGCACTGAGCCCAGACCTCTTCCCACGACGTCCTGGCTGTCGCCGCCCCGGCCTTCGATCAAATCTCCGCCTCGGGACAAGAGGTTAAGTGTGAAGAGGCCCGTGCTTTCCCCTAGCGTGAAAACATGCACGGGCCTTCAAAAGAGAGAAGAGACAGAATTCCTTGGGGCCCCGGGCCTATGCGGATGCGGTCTGTGCAAGCTGAAGGACAATTAGATTGTTCTGATGCTCGGTGGAGCGGGATATGGGGACAAAGGAGCGACGAGGGAGAGGCAGTGATTCCCCGCAATCCGACATTGCGTGGAAAGTGGTAGAAAAGGCCTTTGGTTGGGTTAGCAGGGCTGAACTGAGAGTGAGGCCAGGGCTGTCCTACATGAATTTGGGCGAAGACTGCTGCTCCTGAGTCTTCTATCAACGACAGTGAGACAGCCAAGATACAGCGAAGCCTTCCCCGGCCTCACGTCTGCTGGCAGCTTGGGCAGTGTATGTAGCTATGGAGGCGAAGAGGAGTACAGGTCAGTCCAGCACGCAAAGCTGCTATCTTCGCTCCCACTCACGAGCTCACAGCGCCATTGAGGCAATCGTACCCTCCCCTGCCGAATCCACCTTCCTGATTAGGGATGTATCGGGCGCCCAGCAAGTCGACGGATCCCGTTGCCTGATAGGCACTCCCGCTTTGTGAGAAGGCAAGGCTGGTGCCCTTGACCACCTGGCAAGAAGCAAGCGCAAGATGAGCGTAAGCGTGGCCTGCTATCGTCGTGTTGCGCCGCGACTACTCACGTCCACTCGTCCTCCCTCGTGTACAGCGCTGCGAGTGACTCGATACATCCGACGGCCCTGCGCACCGTTGTAACATTACCGCCCGCAGGCTCGCCCTGTACTATCTGGCTAAAGACGGTGCAGTTGAGACAGACGCCGGTGACGAAAGCTGGGTCGAGGCCGGTTGCGCTCGGCGAGCTGGTGGCGTTGGTGGAGATGTCAGAGCTGGTAGAGGAGTTGACGTCCCCGTCGCCGCCGCCGCTGCCGCTGCTGCCGCCAGTGAGCTGCGTACTCTCCGTAGCGCCGGTGGGAGGCGAAGAAGTGGCTGGACTGTTCCCCTTGTTGCTCGTGTACGTGTTGATCAGAGAGGCAGGAAGCGAGCTGACAAGGCGGCGTGACATGCCGCGCGAACCGAAAATGTTGGGTGCTGGAAGTGACGAGGGCAGAGCGTCGCTCCCCGCCACGAAGGCAAGGATGGCGAAGATGATGGTGAGCGCGTGGATACGCATCGTGCAGCGCTCGATGATGTATGATGCGGTGAGAAGGAGCGGTGAAAGAAACAGTGCTCCTCGCCGTCTGCATCCACTTCTGGCCGATCTGGTTGATCCAATCTGGCGCCACCATTGCCATCCGACTGCTGCGACGGGTGAGACGGTCCGGGCCCTGCCAACGATGATCAGAGTCGTCTGTAGCGCAACGAAGCGCGGGACTGGGCGTGGTGCCTGGACGGAATGTTCGCCGGGTGCACTGGGCGTCCGGTGGGCGTACCGCAGTGCCTGAACGGAACATTATCTGCGGGTCCAGATCGATGTGACGGGGTCAAGGAGCTTGTCGACCGCAAAACCTCGCAGTGCCTGTGCGGAACGTTCGTTGCGTTCCAAGACGAACGTGACGGTAGAACAAGCAGAGTAATATCGAGGCCACTAGACGTGATATCACACGGAGCGTGTGCTCGCGCGATGAGCGCCGTTGCTGCCATGTGCGGATACCACGCCCAGCTACTTCTTCCCCGACCCACCCTGCGGGGGACGATCCCTATCCATCAACCTTTTCAACAAACTCCTCCCTGCAGTAGCCAGCTGCCCAAATGAAGCGTACCTCGCCTCCTTCCTCTTCTGTCTCGCTGCCGCCTCCTCGTCGAGCTTCTTTTGCCTCTCCGTCGCCTCCTTGGCCAGCTTGTTCTCCTGAATCTTGCGCCGCAACAGCCCTGCAGCAGTGAGCGACTTCTCTGACGGCCACGTCTCGCGATTGGCTATACGGTCGATCCACGGTTGGACGAGGCTGGCGAACCACTCTTCTGCAACGCTCGCGCCATGTGCTATGCGAATGTATGCTAAGTAGGCCTCGAAGCGGTCTGCTTTTGCTGAGGACTCCAAAGTGGCGAGATTGGTATCGACTTGGTGTTGGGCTTTCGCCGGGTCGGACTCCAGCTGAATGCTCTTGACCTCGCGATCTACGGCTTCCTGTAACAGCTCTTCAGCCAAACGGACGCGCATCGCCTCTATGCCTGCCAAGTCGTAAAGGTAGCCAAAGGTATCGTTGGTCGTCAGATGCGAGGCGAGGGTGTTGAGCCCTCCCGAGGCGAGATCGGGAAAGAACGAAAATACGAGTCTGACTGCTATCTCCCTGGCTATTGCGTCCCCCAGGTATTCGAGGCGGACGTTCTTTTCTGCGGCCCAGAGGAGCTCCTCGGGACTCTCGCTGCCTCGCAACCCCAGCGCAGATCGCCAGGTGATGCGCGTGATGCCACGCTCAACGACTTCCTCGTGAATGCGTGGGGGCAGGGCGTATCGATGGACTTCAAGAGCGAGGGCTGCTAGGTCGCGGGGCGACCGATATGTAGGCGAGGTGAAGGCTACCTTGGCTATAGCTGGTCTGTTCCAAGTTGGTGCGCCAGGCGTGTTGGGGTACTTTTCGACGATACCGGGAAGCTTAGGCGGCCAAGATGCGTCGGTGGGGAAGTGTAGCGGGAGGTGTGCAAATGTCCAGTGATCCAGGCCCCCCTTTGCGGAGTCAAAGAAGTCTGTCGATTCAGACTCGTCTTGGTCTTCTATGGCCTCGCTCGATGGCCTTGTGCTGCGATATGTCCCGCTGAGAAGGCTGCTCATGTAGCCAAGTATGCCTTGTTTGCGTCTCCAACGATCGAGCTCTTCGAGAGCGTCATGGAAGCGCCTCCGACTGGCTGTGATGCGTCGCGACGTCTTCGGTCGCAGTCGTTGAGCAGACGATGACGATGAAGGCGGGGGCGGGGTCGAGGATGATGAGGATGAGGATGGCTGCTGCTGCTGCTGCTGCTGCTGCTGCTGCGGCTTCGTCGATAAGGTGCGGCAGCATACGATAAGGGCGGACCTGTCGACGCCAACGAGGTTGCGCTGCCCCGCTCGTAAGGCGGCTATCATGGTCGGCGACGTGTATGAACCCTTAGTGACAGCATAGAGAGGGCAAGCGAATGGTAGAATGATGTCGAGTGAGAAGAAGCTCCGCCTTTCTCCCTTGTCCGTTGCCCAGTTCACTTTCCGCCCGCCGCCTCATGCCGGCTTATGCGTGGACCCCTCGCTCGCACGGGCGACGCTGAGCTGACACGACGCGAAGGAAACGAGGCCACGTGGCACGTGTTGGACTCGCGGCGCGGAAGAGCAATTAATGGGCGACGGGCGAGGAGCAGCGCATTTGGAGCTTCTTGACTTGTGATCCTCATCATTCATCTCGCTCACAACTGGCCGCCATGTCATCCTCAACGCCCCGACTCGACTTGAATCGTCCACGTCCCATCTTCCTGGGCTGGACCGCCCTCATCTTCGTCGCTGGCTTCGGCTACTACTATGCAAAACAGTCCAATCTCGCCAAGCGCAAAGAGATTATGCGTGCAGGTGGAGAGACGGGAACCAATGGCGGCCAAGGGGAGCAGACGGCCAGCGCGGCAGAGGGCAGAGGTGGTCGAGGTGGCGCTGCGAGCGAGAGGAGTCCTCTACAGACTCTGATTGACCAGGTGAACAGGCAGACATCGCAGAGAAGAAGGGCGGATGATTAGGTGCGGGGAGGAACGGCGAGGGAGGCTCGAGGGCTCGATGTTGGCATAATTCAGCCCGGTAACGGAGTGCAAAGCATCGCTTGATAGAGTTGCTGTCAAGGACTACACTTGTAGCCGCGACAGAGCGAGCAGATCAGCATTCTGTGCATCAGGTGAGTCTTTCGGGGTAAATCACAGGCGGCTGTGGCTGCGGCTGACCGTCGTTGCTCTCCAACACTAGGTCTTCCTTGCACAAGGCTATCCTAACGACGCTCACCTCGTACGACAGTATTCGGGGTCCGCACTGTCCAGCTCCTTCACCTCCTTTCATCCGACTTCACCCACGCACTATCTCGTGCGCCTCGTCCATCTCGCCCATTATCCACGCGGCGCTTCGCGCAGCAACACATGGAGAGCAGCGCTACGCCTTTGGACGAGACGGCACGCAGGCAGCCAATCTCGCGCCATGGGAGAGCGTATGAGCCTACGCAAAGGGGGTTCGACTTACAATCGCGGTGAGTCTCGCTGAGAGCATAGAAGAGCAAATGAAGCAGAGACTGACGGCAGTGGTCGGTTTCCATCGCTAGGCATTGACCGCTTGGCTAGGCACTTTGCAACGACGTCTCTGAGTCTCTGAACAAAGTGTCAGGACATAGCGTCAGGACATAGCGTCAGGACATAGCGTCAGGACATAGCGTCAGGACATAGCGTCAGGACATAGCTTGTGGACATAGCGTCAGGACATAGCGTCAGGACATAGCGTCAGGCTCGCGCTTTCGCGTATACATGCTGTATCGCTCGATCGGCTAGTCAGCAGCCTCGTTCCCTTTATCGTCCTACCTGCTACTGCATGGCGGCATTGAAACATCGAGCCGTCATGCCAGCATAATGTCGAGCGGACACCAGTACACTGTTAAGGTCGCCGGCCGGGCTGCTCTCAAATTCTTTCAACTGCCCCTCCATTGGCATCGACGGCTCTCCTGCTCCGTACAGCCATCCTCTTCATCACGCTCACCGCGACGATATAGTCTGCGCGCGCTGGCGAGCCTCCAAAGAGTAGCGGTCCTACAAGCTTTGCCAGACTCTTGCGCGCCCTCTCGCCTGGACCAAAGCGCTCTACTGCTTTGTGAGCTGTCATTCCGAGTCCGATGCGGCACGACGTCTACATCGCCACTTCGCTCCGGCGTCACACCGCCAATTCGTCGTAGAAGCAGCTATCTTGTAGCAGGCGCAGTCTACCTAGCCAGGACAGCTGGGCGGTAATGCGTATCAAGCCTCTGCTCGCAAGGGCCCGCCGTCCACGTTCGCATCGCAACAGCAGCACTAGCACCACGTGACGGCACTCCACTCGCTCTGCAAGCAACGACCATCTGCAATCTACGTCGCCGCTGGCATCGCAGAGATCATCGCCCCGCCACCATCCGTCAGCACTGTCTCATTATCTCTACGTGTTGCGTCAACCCCAGCGAGCGGCGAGAAAGAATTGCGAGATGCTTTGTGAGAGGCTTGGCAGGCACGAGCGAAAGAGGAACGGCTTAGACACGCGCGTACTCGCAGTACGTTCGAAGCAGGGGAAGCGCGACCGGCCCGGAGATGGGTCACATTGTATGGGAGGTCTCGTAGTAAGGTGTAGTAGTCTGAGCGGAAGCTCGAGTCGGATGGAGCAGGGAAGGGAGGCAAGTGAGCGAAGCAGGCACAGCGGTATGACACTGTGATCAGCCTTGTGACAACAGGACGAGACGAGTTGAGACTTGAAGACTGGGCAGAAATCAAAGGCTCCGGTCTAGATGTCTGAGATTGAGAAGAGAGAATGAAAAGATGCGTCTTCGTGAAAAAGTCGAACAGAATACATAGTATCATGCGGTGCGAAACGCTGTGTGTATTGAAGCTCGTTCAGATTTTGTCTAGGTCAAGAATAGGTGCTGAGGCGCGAAGAGTTCAACATTTGCTCGAGTTGTCATGTCTTCGAGAGTTGAGTTGCGCACTAGTTGAAGCAGCTTTGGTTTCGATTACAATCCTCGAGAGCGGATTTGTACTTGGATGCACCACCTTCCGCCCCGTTGACCGGGTCAGGTGCGGCTCAGAGAACGGAGCGCGCCCTCTCCCGCTAGACCAGCTGAGCTAGACGCCACCATCTTGCTCTAATTACGAATACGAAGTGTTTTGTAGTCATGATTAGAAGGCCCGAATACAAATCTCATAGGTACTTAACCGAGAGCATTCTGGCGCAGCCTGCCTAGATTAAATTGACACTAGCCCCGCGCAGATGTTCTCCGCGGAGACTAATGCCATTCAACCTACGCACATGAAATGGCGCTAAGCTTACTAGCACTAGACCCCACTGAGTGAGGCCGGCCTACAGGCAAGCCTCCTCATAGGTGAATTTTGGTAGGGTTAGGCGTAGTGCAGTTGTGCTTTGAAGTTTTAGGGTTAGTTTCTGGTTTGGGGTTTACACTTTGGCCGCTTCGGCTAGCCTGTCATGTGAAGGTCTGACCCAAAGGTTGTTGGACAGAAACGGCCGGTTGTGCGCCCAGAGGGTGCGCCAGCCGGCGCACCTGATGCACTGACAAGGCTCGGCCTAGCGGCCTCGCTCAGTAGAGGCCTGAGTTGGTTGACCACACCGCACCCTCTCCTCTAGTATGGACTCCTGATACCAACCATCGCAGATCGGACGGGATGCGGTGCTTTCAGGGTCCTATGGCCGCAGATGAGATTGGAATGGATGCGCGCCGACTATATAGGGCAGACAGG